TTTTCTTTAAATTTAAATTTTTATTTTTTTTTTTTTTTTTTTTTTTTTTAACTTTTTTTCATTTGCATACTTCAATACCCAGATCAAACGAGGTTGAAACACCATAAATATTCAATCAAAATATATTATTCACATAACTTTATAATACCTCAAACACTCAATATCACCAGATACGTGATAGGGTTCAGATAACCATAAATCAAAAGAATTAAAAGAGAATCATCATGAGTGTTTTACCACCAGATGTAAATAGTGCTTTAACTCACTTACTCGAGAATTTATTGTCATCCACTACAACTTCCAGAATAAATGCGGAAAAATCCTTGGATCAAGACTGGTCTAGTAAACAAAACGCTGAATTATTGTTAATATTTTTAGCAGAACAAGCAGTAAATGGATCCAATGACACCATAAAAGCATTTTCAGCAGTTTTATTCAGAAGAATAGCTATAAAGTCACCAAAAGAATTATCGAGTGTAACTGATAGAACCATTGGAGTCATGAGTGAGCCAGCAAAACAACAAATTAGATCTATTTTACTCCATGGATTCTCAGCTCAACAATCAAATCAAGTAAGACATAAATTATCAGATGCCATATCTGAAGTAAGTAAGGAAGATGTATCTCCACAGGGTACTTGGAATGAATTGATCCCAGCATTATTTGAAGCTGCCAAGAATCCAGATCCAAGTTTTCGTGAATCAGCATTCAGAGTATTTTCGGCATCACCAGAATTAATTGATCAATCTTATATAAATGACGTCTTACCCATTTATAACGCAGGATTTGAGGACGAAAATGATGAAGTTCGTATTGCTGCCTGTACCGCATTTGTTGCATTTTTCAAAGGATTACCAAAAAAGGTTTGGCCAAGTTTATCACCATTATTACCATACTTATTAAATTCTTTGCCAAGATTCTTACAAAATGGCCAAGACTCAGCATTAGCTTCCGTGTTTGAGTCATTGATTGAATTAGTTGAATTGGCTCCTAAGATGTTTAAAGATATGTTTCCAACAATAATTGAATTTAGCTCAGCAGTGTGTAAAAATAATGAACTAGAATCAGCTACAAGAATGGGATCGTTAGAGTTACTTACAACATTTGCTGAAGTCTCACCAGCTATGTGTAAGAGAACTCCATCATATACAGAAGAAATTGTACTAATAAATTTATCAATGTTAACAGAAGTTTGTCCAGATGACGATGATGCAGCAGAATGGAATAATAATGATGATACTGAAGAAGATGATGAGGAACCGGAATATGACGCGGCTAGACAATCATTAGATAGAGTAAGTTTACGTTTGAATGGTCAATCGATGGCTGGGCCATTATTTCAATATTTACCTGCTATGACTCAATCAGCCAATTGGAGAGAACGTCAAGCTGCATTAATGGCGTTGTCTTCAGCAGCAGAAGGTTGTTCAGACGTATTAATGAATGAAATACCAAGAATCTTGGATATGGTTTTACCCACATTAAATGATGATCATTCAAGAGTTCAATATGCTTGTTGTAATGCTTTGGGTCAAATGTCAACAGATTTTGCTGATGTGATACAAAGAACTTCTGGCGATAGAGTTTTACCTGCATTAATTCTGAAATTGACCAACAAGTCTGTACCGAGGGTTCAAGCACATGCAGCAGCTGCTTTAGTTAATTTCTCAGAAGCTGCTTCAAAAGAGATTTTGGAACCATATTTGGACGATTTATTGAACAACTTGTTAGTATTGTTACAATCACCTAAAAGATATGTTCAAGAACAGGTCTTGACAACAATTGCTATAATAGCCGACGCTGCACAAAAGACATTTGTTAAATATTATGATACATTAATGCCTTTATTAACCGATGTTTTAAAAACAGATATGGGAGATGAAAATAGATTATTGAAAGCTAAATGTATCGAATGTTCAACCTTGATTGCTTTAGCCGTTGGAAAAGAAAAATTTGAACCTCATAGTCATGATTTAATACAACTTTTTGGACATATTCAACAAACAGCTACAAATGATGATGATCCTGTCAAACAATATTTGGAACAAGCATGGGGAAGACTTTGTCGAATCTTAGGCAAAGATTTCTTACCATATGTTCCATCAGTTTTACCACCTTTAATGATTACTGCTAAAGCATCTCAAGATATCTCTTTATTGGAAGAAGATGAAGCTGAGGAATATAATAACAATGATGAGTGGGATGTCATTAACTTGTCAGGAAAATGGATTGCAGTTCATACTGCAGCATTGGACGATAAAGTTACAGCCATAGATTTATTAAGAACGTATGCTATGCAATTGAAAGAAGATTTTTATCCCTGGGTGAAGGAAATAGCCGAAGACATTGCATTACCTGGCTTAGATTTTTATTTACATGACGGTGTACGTGGATCTGCTGCCTTAACTTTAGCTTCTCTATTGAAGTGTCTTGTTGCCTCAACTGGAAATGATTCACAAGAAACGTTGCTACTTTGGTCAAAAATTTGTGATAAATTATCAGAAGTATTAAAGTCAGAACCAGTTACAGAATTATTAGTTGCATATTATACTGCATTGGTTGAATCAATTGGTGCATTAGCTCCAAATTCCATCTCAGCTCCACAAGTACAAGCTTTATCCAAATCCATCAATGCAAATTTAATCGAAATATATGAAAGAATTAAAGCTAGAGATAATGAAGATGATGAATATACTGAGGATGTTGAAGAAGATGAAGAAGAATACACAGACGAGGAATTATTGGATGAGATTAACAAAGCTGTATCATCAATATTCAAAAATACCAAAACTATAGCATTAGAAAATTTCCAAGCTATTATTCCTACCATTTCAACTTTCATTAATGAAGAAAACTCTTCATTGAAACTTTGTGGGTTATGTATAGTTTGTGATATACTAGAACATGGTGGACCAAACTCGGTTATTTATAAAGAAACATTTGTTGCAGTTTTAGCAAATTCTTTAATATCGTCCCATGCAGGAGTTCGTCAGGCTTCATCATATGCCGTTGGAGTTGCAGCACAGTTTGGTGGAGAAGACTATGGAGAATTTTGTGTTGCTTGTCTTGAACCAATGTTCAAAATGGCGTCTGTTCCAGATGCAAGAGCTGATGAAAACGTTCATGCAACTGAAAATGCAGTTGGAGCAATTGCAAAAATTTTCCATTCATATTCATCGAAGATCCCTAATATGGATGCATTGCTAGAACAATGGATAAATCTTTTACCAGTTGTACAAGATGATAATGTTGCTCCATTCACGTATGTCTTCCTTTGTACTTTAATTGAAAATAATCACCCAGCTGTTTCAAAACATGTTCCAAAGGTGGTAGATTCCGTTATACAAGCTTTAGCTCATGCCGCTATAGGTGGACAAACTGCAAATAGAGTTGCAGCATCTACTAGACAATTATTAGGTTCAATTTCTCATGATGAAGCTATAGCTATTTTACAAAAGAACCCGTCAGATATGGACATTGTTCAAAAATATTTTAGTTAAGTAGGTCAAATCCTTTAATAAACGCGTTACGCCTCGATGACACTTTGTATAATCCAAAAGAATGAACTTTCATGATTGATATTCACCTCTATTTTGAATTGATGCGTATGTATAACTTACAAGCTGATTTGATTTAATACCGACGAAGCAAGCTTGTGTTTGCCAGTGCCAGCTAAACGACAGTGATTCCAGTCGTAACACCAAAATTGGTTCTTATCATGTACAAACCTGCTCTTTAAAATTATCTTGAAATTTTATATGTAAATTCTGGCCATAATCACTCTTACACAAAATCTAAAAGGTAAATAACAAAAAAGTTCCAGATCAGGATTTTAATTCACAAGCACAAAATTGTCGTTACAACCTTTCCATTCGAAACTCATCCCATTTTTCATACCAATAAGTCCATTAGAATCATATCCTTATAGTTTTGAGTTCATTCTTAATGACAAATTCATTATCATCAGATTTACCAGCAACCAATCCACCAATTACAAGTTCAAACAATCATAATAATACCAATGCACAAAGAAAGAAACCGCTGAATTCGGTTGAATCGTGTGTCACAAGATTATTGGTATCTACCAAACATTTACTTGAGAGTCTAACTCTATGGGCAAGACAAGAGGCTGATGATAAGTTTGTCTCAGATGCATATGTCAAATTAGGTAATGATTTCAGAGCCGCTACAAGAGCTTTCAATAATGATGGAATGGATGTGTCAGACTTGGGTGATGTACCTCAGGCTTTAAGAGCTATATTGGAGACAGCATTGAGTGAAGCACCATCTCAGGAGAATCTTGATCGATTTTTACCAAACATTAGAAACATTATAGTTACTTTGTTACAAACTTTGAAAGCTAAACAGGCAAGGTTGAAAAGTCTAGCACAAGAAAGAGCTCAAGTTGAAATTAAGGCAACAAATCTGATTTCTGCATCACAATCTTATGTGCCTACTAAAACTTCAACAATACCCACAAGACAGGAAGAAATTAATAGAGTACATTCAGATAGGCAACCACGCAATTTAAATCATAGTGTCGAGCAAGAACAACCTACAGCCAGATCTTCATTGCATACGAAGGGCAACCATAATAGCAATATAGCGAATAATTCACCCGCTAGTAGTAACAATAACGTAAATACTCCACAAAGAGAAAGATTCTTATCCCCAAATAATCATAATGATCAAAACGATGCACTTTCTCAATTACAAAATGGAGATGCTCTACAACGAAGAGCAAGTAAAAGATTCAGTGCTTATCAATATGCAAAATTAACAAACTTTTCACACCAAAATGCTCTTAATAATGGTCTACCTGACACCTCCAAATCAAATGAACCAATTCCACCTATCCCCAAAACTCCAGAAATTTCAAAATATAGAAGAAAATCAACAATCCAAAACGGGGACGCTGATGAGAACACTGAAGATGAAACAGAATTTTATGTATTATTGAAAATCAACGAAAAAGTTAAAAAATCAATAGTTCAAAAACCTGTAACTTTAAATGCTATTAGATTATTATTTGTTGAAAAATTTGCATATTCACCAGGACTGGGAAACTTTCCAGATATATATATTCAAGACCCTTACTCAAAACATCTGTATGAATTGGAAGAACTGTTGATAGGCGAAGTCAAGAAAGGTTCACTTATATCATTAAACAACGCAGACACTCAATCGAAAGCTGTAACAGATTTGAACGATAAATTGGAGTCAGTTTTGTCTAAGATGGAATCAATGAGTTCCGGAATAGTAAAAAATGTACAAGACTCTATTGCAGCAATAGAAATTTCGTCTTTTAGGCCGGCAGAAACTATATCACCTGCTTCAAACATAGCAACAACTACAAAAAATGAACTGGTCAAAAATGATGTTATCAACAAGAAAGAATTACAAAAGCTTGAGAATGAAATCAGAGTTTTAAAACAGATGAATAACTCACAGGCTGCTTCATACAAGAAAGCTATACAAGATTCCCTCAAAAAACTCCAAACTCTACAAGACATTGGATTAGAAACATCTCAAGATTCGAATAGATTATATATGGAGTCGTGTCATTCAAAATTATCAGATGAATCGGATATGTTATTGACAAAAGTAGATGATTTACAAGATATGATGGAAGAAATGAGGAAAGATGTAGCACAAAGAGGTGTCAGAGTTGGAGAGAAACAATTAAAAAGCATAGTTAAAGAGATTAGTGAAGCTCGAACATCATTGAATGAAATGAATCAATTTATAACTAGAGAAAAACAAGTTTGGAAAAAGATTTGGGAATCAGAATTAGATAAAGTTTGTGAAGAACAACAATTTTTTAATTTACAAGATGATTTAACTAATGATTTACAAGAAGATTTAAAGAAAATTCAAGAAACTTATGAATTAATTGAACAATGTTCAAAAGAGCAAAATAAAAATGGATCATTTGGTGTTGGATCTACCAAGAGGAAAAATTTCTTTTTAAATAACATACCTGAACCAGGAGAGAGCTTGAACAATGTCAAAGATGCAGTGCTAATAGATATTCAGCAGTTGAATCCAGATCATGAAAGTCGTGTTGAAGCTATTGAAAGAGCCGAGAAAATGAGAGAAAGGGAAAGACAATTGTCTAGATTAAATCAATTTCAAGAAGAATTGGGAGATTTCGTCGAAGATAATAAACTAAAAAAATCTGGTGGAATTGCTGAATTGGAAAATCAAAGAATGGCAAGAGATAAAGAGAATTTAAAAAGTTCGTTTGGTATAATATAAATATAAAAATCATAATTAATGCATGAACTAACGACAAACTGATATATAAAACTTTTTCCAACCTCTAGTCTATATTACATCCATCCGTTATTTGACCTGCTTCCGTTGTAAAATTTTTTATAATAATGATCAAATACATCTGGGAAAGGGTTTACTTTACTTAAAGCTATTGAGTTTGAACCGATCAATTTTCCTTTAATTAATCCTGTATCAATCAATGTCACAAAAACATTCTCCTTATAAAAATAATGATCATTGGGTGGTATAGAATTCGGTATAGGTATCGGAACTAAATTTATATTTAGATTTTGTTGTTTTCCCTGTATTGACCAAACTTTATAAGATAAATTTCTCAAGATTAAAATATCAATTTTATTCATGATTAAAAGAATACCTTTATTTTTCAAGTATTTATAATTTTCATTGATTAATTTTTTAAATGTATTATAATCTCCAACTTTAACAGCATTTGAAACCTGTGCGAATAAATTTAAAAATTCTAGCATCGAAAGTTCATTACCATATTTTGATCTTAAATATGTAAAATCTGGTCTTTTCCCCACGATTAAACTTATAGGTATTAAATTTTCTAATATTAATTTTTGATTTTTTAAACTTGATGTATGTAATAAACACCATTCAAAATTTTCAAAACTTTTTATAAATTCATATTTTATGAAATAAAATTTACCTAAATAATATTTATACTTGATTTGTTCCAGTAGTGGAAATTCTTTCATTTTTAAAGATGTATTGTTCATATTACTAAAAATGTTTATACATAATAATGGGTTATCTAGTTTCCAATATATAAAACATAATTTATTCCCCAAATATAGTATTATGGATTTTTTATATACATTTGAATCATTTATCCTTATATTGTTGAAGATTTTCAAAATTACACTTGCCATATAATTTAACCTATATTTTCCTCCTTGCTCCTTGTAAAACATTTGATAATCTAACTTGATTGAGATTGGGATCACCATGGTAATTGTTGATTTTATAACATTTGATAGTAGCCATCCATATGTATTATTGTTAAATGCAACTGATAAGTCATTTAAATAAGTGGTTAATAAGTCAAATGAACAAAGCGCCGACCATGGATCCATCTCGGCACAGAATTTAACAAAACTGTTTACAACTAAACTGAAAGCTGGCCATTCTTCATCATACTGTGTAGTAACATTCTTGACTTTATGATTTGTAGTATTGTATATGGATGAAATAAACTTATTTTCGAGTGGTGAAATAGTTAAAAGTTTCGTCAAAGCTTGAAATTTTTGATCATTATTTGTAATTGCATGAGTCTTGTTTATCTCTCGTATGAAGTCGGAAACAGTCATTCAATGATCTATTTGATCCAAATTGTAAATGGGTAAGTGTTGATCTATTTAGATTAAGATCTTTATCATGTTTGTCCCATGTCAGTTTTTTTTTCGCGACTTGCCAGAATCATATTTGAAACCTCAGTATTTCATTCAAATAATGAAGGATTGAGAGTTAGTCGATGATCCGATGTAAGAGGTTAAAAAGAGTTTTAAATACAATTTCAGGCCAAATTTTCGTTACATGCATCATAAGCTATTTCTCTATAATTAACCCTAAATTAATAAAATTAATCAACAATTGGACTTGAACTCATTTTTTGTCGTTTAACAATATCATCACCATGTTTCAGTAAAGTTCTTTGCTTTTTAGATGTACTGCTACTACTACTAGATTCAATAGTACTTAAGTTACTTAAATCTTGTAATTCTACTTCTTTTGTAATTTCTGAATCATCAGTTAATGGAGTTATTGGTTCTTCAGCCTGAATATTTGAAATTATTTCATCATAATTGATTTCATCATTTTGTGAAACTATTTCTTCTTCATTTTGTTCTTGTTCTTCTTCATCTTCGTATGATTTATGGTACTTGGTAATTTCTTCTTCAACTTTTGTTATTGAATCTTGTTTTAACGCTTGTTCATATTTGTATCTTAAATCACCTTCAGCTAATAATTTAGCAAATTTTTCACCTCCTAATTTATTATTTTCAGATCTTTTACGATAAAATAATAAATAAGCAGCACTTGAAATAACTTCTTCTGGTTTTTCAATTTCAGTAACTCTTGAATCATTAAAATAATACCATTTATTATCTCTAAAATTTTTAACAGAAGCTGTATAATGACCACCTCCTAAACCACCATAATGATTATCAACTGCAATTAAATCATATATACAATCACCATTTGTTATAGTTGGATTTGCAACATATGAACTAATATCAAGACCTTCAATTGGAAAATCAACAACTGAATCAATTTTATCACTAAATGCTCTTGCACTATGAAATCTTTTTAAATGTATTGTTAAAATATCACCAGTTGACCATAATTGAATTGTTTTTGTTGCTCTTTTATGTGCTTTACATCTTGGACAATACCATAAATCTTGTTCACCTAAAATTTCAGGAGTACTAAAACTTTTTAAACATTCATCTAATGTAATTTTAGCTTTTTTCAATTTTTGATATTTAGCTTTATTATTTTCTAATTCTGGATTTGATAATTTTTCAATGTTTGATAACGCGTCACCATCTTTTGAAGCAAATAAGTTATTGTATACCGGTTTGTCCCATTCACATAATAATATAGAATTTTTATTAACTAAACTATTAAGTTCTTGTTGTTGTTGTTCTTCATTACGTTCATTTTGAATATTATTTTGCCCTTCATCATAGAAATTTGTTTCAAGTGGTGAATTAACATTTGATGGTTTTAAAGATTCAGAATATGCATTTGATGCAGGAGGTTCAGGTAAATTTGAATTAGATCCAAATAAATTTCCAAAATTATTTTCACTTTCAGTTTCTTCATCTGACGAATTTGATGATCTTAAAAGATGATTTCTTAAAGGTAATGGTGGTGGAGGTCTTTGTTGTACTAATTGAGGATCATAATCATCATTATATGAGGTTGAAGTAGTTGGTTTAGCATCATCAAATTTCCCAACAACCACAAACCCTTCATTTTCATCACTTTTATCTGAATTTCCTAATGATATAATTTCTGGTGAATTTGATGCCAGCATCTGTTCATCCAGCGAGGTCCTTTGTTCTTCATTATTTTTGTATTCACTCTCTGAATAACGATAAAAGGATTTTTTAGGTTCTTCTAATTGATCTGATAATAAATGAAAATCCGATAAAGCAGGTTTATGAAGCGGAACATTAATCAACCTTTCTGATTGATGTTTATTGATATTTGGATAATTACGGCCTCTTAAATGAGTTAACCCACTTTTACCACTGTAATCAGGTATATATTTCACTCTGAATCCGTATTCGCTACTTATATATGGATCAGCAATTGAAATATCACTATCGTAACCCTTGTTTTCATCTTGACCAATTTCATTTTCTTTAGATGTCAAATACTTGAAGTCCTGCTTTAAGTAATGTTCTTTATGTTTATAATCTGGATAAGTTATCTTTTTGAGTTTTTCATATTCATCAACAAGATCATAATTGCTTAATAATGAAGCGGCATCTAAAAGTTTTCGTCTAATAGTACCAAAACTATTCAATTGATCTTTTTTCAAAGTTATAAAAAGTGGGATACCAAAGAAATTACCCATACGATACAGAGTATCATCATCTTCGGCAACGTTAAATACAGGTAAAATAACATCTTCTTCAGGATTATTAGGAATAATGTATACCACAATATCATCAGGTTCTCTAATCAAATCACCAATCGGTATAAATTTATTCTTCACACGATCAACTTGAAAATCTTGATAAATTCCATGTTGAAAAATTTCATAAATAAATAAATTTGAATGATCAATTTTTAAAAATTTAGATAAATAATTGACCAAATCTTCATAATTTGAAGTCTTATTCAATTCAACTTCTAATTTCATTATTCTTTTAGGTAAGGTTGAATCTTGTGATAAATCAACTATTGTTAATGTATGATACCATTTTTTACTAATTGGTAAAGGTAATGTTAAATCATTAAATGGATCAAATGTAATTGATGTCTTTTCACAATCTGGACAAACTAAAGTTGATTGATATAACCCAGTGAATAAATCAACAATTACTGAATCATTTCTTTGTTTATGTTGATGCCAACAAGTATCTGCTAATTTCGTTATAGCTTCTGAATTATTAATATCTTCATCACTTAATTCTGGTTTTTCACAATATGGTTTTTTATATATACGATTTAAATCTTCATGTAATGCATCTAATAACCAACTCAATAATTCTTGAGAATCTTGTTGTAAATAACCAGAAAACATGGAACTATATCTTCCAATAGTTGATTTAAACTCTCTTGGTGAAATACTTGAAGAATTTTTATAAGGATCAAAAGCTTGTTTCAATAATGAACCAAACGCATTAGCAACATCACCATTGTAACCCAAGGGGTTATCTCTATTTAATTCACCTTGATATATATTATGAAAAAAATATTGATTAATTTCAGGTACATGTAATAAACATTGTAATGCTGAATTCATATAACATGTATTACCTAAATTTGATAAACCCATATGACCTCCAACTCCAACTTCATCATTATTATCTTGGAATGTTGTTGAATTTGATTTAATATATTGATCAATAGGAAAATCAGAATTACTTTTATCTTTATATTCAATAACAATATGAACATTTTCATATCGATTAGTAGAAATTCCTTTATCATATAATGTGAAACCATAGATCGATTTATCTACAACACATATGTTTTTTATGTTGAAAATGAAATTATTTACCGTGATCAAATATGGTATACTATTGTTGCTAATCTCAGTACCATTATTTATAAACCATAATCTAAAATCTTCAATTGGTTTCTTTTGTAATTTAAGCCAATATCTAATACTTTCAATTAAAGTTAAAAAAGTAGTAACTTTAGACATATGAAACATAAATGGAGACTCATCTTGTTCAGGTTGACTATATCTTGAATTACCATTTCTAAAATAACTTTGAGTTTGTTTTTTACCAATTTGATGTAATGCAAAATTTATAGGCCATCTTTCAATTTCCAATTTTCCGGAAACAGGATTAATAATGAAGTATCTTTGAACTGTTACACCTAAAATTTGAAACCAATGACTTAAATTTCTAAATACATGTTCAGAAACTGGATATGATTCATAAGGTTCTTCATTTTCAGGATATAATTGTTCATTTGTATCTAATATTAAATGAGAATCTATTGGTCCAAGTTTATGAACCAATTCTGGCCATGATTTTACTGGTTCATCTAGAAATTTATCTAAATATTGTTTTGATATGAGAAAACATGGATCACCTTCTTCCCAATTAGTTTCTTCTAATAATTCTTCAATTAGTTGCCTTCTTTCATATACTTCTTGAAATACCTCTCCATCATTTTCTTCATTTTCATTATCGTTCTCATTTTCATTTGATTCTTCTTCTTCCTCTTCTTCCCCATCTTCTTCACTTTGAGTATTTGCTCTTTGTTTAATAGATTTTCTCGAGTATGTCTTCCTCGTTAAAATTTGATTATTAGATGACTGTATAGAACTACTATCTGAAGATAATGATGAGTCACTATCATTGGGATTATTTGTCAAACTTGTAAGATTATTATCATGATTATTGATTTTGATATTTATTTGATCTAGATTCGTAATAGTATCGGATGTATTTGTTGTAATTATTCCATCATCTCCTTTATTATCTTCATAATTATCAATATTCATGATGCTGGGAAATACTGAATTACAATATGTATATGAGTGATGGAAGGTGATTAGCGGAACTAAATGAAATGATATGTGATAAGTTGTTGTAAAATTTAAATTAAAAAGATTGAAATCAAAATGTTTCAAAATCGCTAAATATAATTTTACAACCAAAAAATTTAGATACAATGATCACAATAAACTTACTCAATTAATCATATAGAATGTATGAAGAAGTAACGCAAGTTAATGGTTTATAAAATAATTAAAAAGAATATAACTTAATTACAAGATCTAATGAAGTATATAAGATATAAGATACTTATGTTTCATAATCATATTGAAGTTAAAATCTAAGGAAATTGTTGCGCGTCTTTACAAATTTTTTTGATTATTAAAATTTCGCCACATTTAAATTCATAATTTATTACTGACTTATCATCAACAACAATCAAAACTAGCAGAGTAATCAATCAAAACATAGAGACATAGGCCAATATTTAGTACCTGATTAAAGAAATTTTTTAATTTTAGTAATTCACTGTTTGAGCATGTATATAATTTAGCCTTCAAATGGAGTGTTAAGTAAGTAAAGAAATCAAAGAGCAACAACACGTACGATAATTAAAACCAAACTATTTAGTTAAAAAAGTTTAAATTTTATTCATTTGTTCCATGAACTGGTCAAATACCCATGGTCAACTACATGATGCAAAATAGAGTAATACCGACATTATATTCAACTACTTATCGAGATAGTCATCTTACAAGATTATAAAATCGGCAAGTATTTGACTTTATTTCTATTAATAAAAATTCACCAATGAATATACCATGACAATTTTTGTCGACAACTTTGATCTATGATGCACAAGGAATTAAATTGAAGAAACAAAGGTTTCAGATTAATTATAAACTTTTGCAACTCATTTAAAAAAATTTATCCTGATGAAGTTTGTTTCTCGAATTAAATTTTTTGTGTTTCAAATTCACTGTTGTCGACAAAGGCTTTCATGATATTTCATTATCAAGTTGATTAGAGAATAAGTATAATAGAAAAAGCTCCTTGATTTAAAACTTTGTACGTAAATTCATCAATTATATTTCTATGCAAAATGCTAATATCTATATAAACATATATAGCTATCTATAAACTTTCATTCATATGAATAGCTCTATTTTTTGAAATTTCAATAGCTTGTTTTAAAATATCTAAAGTAATATCACCATTTGAATTATTAATTAAACTTATTTTATTTAATTTTTTTGGATTATTTATAATTGAAATTCTTGATAATATACTTGATTCTTCTGCTTCTCCTTCTAAATCAGTTAATAAAATTGTTTGATTTTGTTTTTCTTCATCTTCTTCATCCTCATCTTCTTCTTCATCTCGGTCTTGTTCATCATCTATTTCCATTTCATCTTCATCTGTAAATGATTTAGTTGTTTCTTTTTTAATAACTCCAAAATTTGAAGAAATAGTATTTGGATCAACATTTAAATCTAATTTAAATTTATATTCAGATCTTAAATCAAAATTTAAAATTGGTTTTGAAGATGAAATCATACTTCTTAAATTTGATTTACGAGATTTTATTGAAATTTTAGTATTTATTGAATCATCTAAATAAATTCTTGGTAAATGTAATTCTTGTAAAGATTTTAAAATTGATAAAAAACATAAATCAAATATTGAATTTGTTGAAATTTCTCTTGAATAAATTTTTATATTTATATGAATAACATATGAATATATTTTATTTAAATTTGATGAATTACTTATATATTGAAATTGTTCTTGTTGTAAATCTGGATATATTATTTCCTCTTTTCCTGTTTCTTCATCTTTTATTGCAACTCCTAAATTTTTAACTTTTAATGATTCATAAGGTATTATTTTCACTTTTTTAAATACTTCAAATAAATCTTGACTTATTATCATTTCTTCATCTGTTGGTGCACCAGATCTACCTCTTAATATTTCTATTTGTGGATAAATTGTTGTATATTCTTCTTTTGAATTTGAATTTAATTCTTCAACTAAACTTAAACTTATTGTATTTATTATAACAGTTGAACCACTTTTTAAAATTGATGAACCAAATATATTATTTTTTTCTTGCTTTAGACTAACATTATTTGAAAATTCAATTGATTTAAATTCTTGAAAATTTCGTAAATTTGGTCTAATTCCAATTGATAAATGTCTTTGTAATGATACATCTGGTGCTATTCTTGCTAGTATGTCTGGAGTAAATGAAACTTGCTTTAGTTCAGTCATGATTTAATTATTCGTTTGATACGTTGATGAAGATGCTTGTACACAGTGTTTTTTGTAATAGTTTTCCTGATTCTTTATTCATGTAATGGCTAAATCTTATGCTCTTCTGTAATTGTTTCAACTTTCTTGATGATGTCGCAGAATATCTTTTCAGGACTTAAAAATAATTCTTTACGCACGCAAAACATCATCACATTGGAGCATCTAGAAAGAGCATCTAGAATGCTTCAAAACTATCAATTTTGAGAAAAGTTTGTAGAAAGTAGTTCAACCTATTTAGAATCAATAATTTGAATGTTATTTGTATGTAATTTTTGCTAATGCTATAGAGTATTTATACATTTTTCGAATATTTTAAAAGTTTGAGTGCTGCAACATCTGTTGCAAAATTAGAAAATAGTAAATTTCTGTACCAGATAAGCGATTGTTTGAGTGATTAACTCTCAATCCCTTCTTATAGATAGTTTTGCTATAAAAAAAGTTATTTTGTGGTGTTAGGATTTGATTTGATTCAGCCGTGCTAAAGGTTAGGGTTGAAAAACTCAGATAAATTTCTAGTAGACTAGACAAAAAGATGCAAAAGGACAGTCAAGCGCGGTCTATTTTTTCCTAAGTCCTAAAATGACTCTGGTAGTATTAGGTTATACTATGCATCAATATATTTGCGAAATTCTCCTACATTTTGAAAGAAGCTTCGTCTTAGTCCGAAGTGTTAGTCTTTGCCTAAGAGAGTCTTCTACAAAGAATATATTTCAACCTTATTTATTCAAGTACTCCTTTTATCATACATTCACATCCAACGGGATCCTACATGTGAATCGTTTTACTCTTATTGATTACACTACTTCCATTAGAAGAATTCAAGTAAATCCAGTTTTCTATTTTTCATTATAATATTGTCTCAAAAAATCGGCCCGGCTAAAGATATATAAATAAATTAGACTAATAAATAAAATTAAGATTCTCTTACTAAAAAGGGGTCCAATTAGAATCATAATTAAATTGATTATTCAATTAAGCATCGATTCAAGCATTTATCAAAAATTTCACAGGACACATTTTAGAGAGGAACATCTTAGTTTAGCCCTTACTTAATGTCTAAAATTTCATGCTCAGATATTCTACATTTTAAAATTTGTGGAGAAATAAAATTAAAGATTTAATTTGTTTTTCGTAGATCTTACATACATGTATTTCTATTGTTTCGAAAATTTATTGTATGAGTATATGTAGAAGATTTTTTTTTGTACCAATGGCTAGTTTCGATCCATCTCTATAGGCCCTCCATTCGAACGATGCGATGACATAAATGATTAATTCCTCAACGAGATCAGTTTCCTACTTTTTCCGATCAATCATAATAGTACTTACTTTGCAGAAGTTTTTTCTTTAATTTTCGATTTTGCCATCCTAATTGATGCAAATTTATGCACAAATTTAGAAATAACGATGAGTCCGGCAATTGACAAATTCTTTACCGATATATATGATGCTAAGTTTATAAATACGTGAAATCGATGTTTGAGTCGAGCTCAGAGTCAACTCGGAGGAAAGCTGAGCGAATACAAGTTGTTTTATACATAATTATGTAGTTTAGGATTCACCCTTATTTTAATTTGAAACTTTAATTAATTAACCCCGATCCAGGTCAATAAAACTTGGTAGCCTAAAATAACCAAACGTGGTAAGTTCTAAGATTCAGCAAAACCCGAAATTTAAACTCACTACAGAAAATTTATTTTGCAAAAGCTATAAAGTGGACCCAATCAATCTATTCGGTGGGTATTCAAATCCATGAGCCAATCATTAGGTTTTACATTTCTCAAACATCCGTACCGCAAAATACTTGTAATATAAGAAAGATGTAAAATTAAAAATCTAATACAAAATATGGTAGCACTCACTATCTATCTTATAAATTAAAACAATATCATTGGCTTCTGATAGTCAAATTTAAGTTACACAAAATTTAAAACATGATTCAATTTTTTTTTTTTTTTTAGTGGAAGTAGTTATTGAAATTTTAACAAGTAATACATCTTGGAGAATAAGACAAAGAGGAACTTTCATTGTAAACAAATGCAGTGTTTGTCTTCTAATGATGAAGGCAAACTGGTACAAAAGGATTAACATAATAATGTAAGAAATTAACAGGATCTCTCAATAAAAATTTTTCAATTATTATTTTATTATAAGTTACTTAGATTAAAAAAATTATTTTCTTTGTTTATCTCTCTCTCTCTTTAGATTTTCAAATTTTTTTTTAATTAAAAATTTTTATCTTAATATTTCATTTTACTTCTTTCTTCTTTTTACCAATATCAAATCATCGTTCAAATATCAATCGATTTGAAGTTCTAATTTAGTCAATAGCCATCGATATTAGAATCATTTAAGGGAAAAGAAAGACCTATCAAGAAAGAAAGAAGATTGATATTATATACACTTTTTACCCCAATATTTTGAAAATTTAGTTGATCTAATTTTCATACATATTACTACACATTAAATTTTCATATTTTTGACAACCAACTACAATCCTTTCCAAACACTAGATAATACACATATATATACTACATTACATATACATAGATTAGATATCAATTAAATGAGTACAGTCTCTTCATCATACTTACCACAAAAAGAATTTAATCAAACAAATATTTATGATTATGATGAAGTACCAGAAAATAAATCATGGGCTCAATCATTACCTATAGCTCAAGGTTTATATAATCCTGAATTAGAAAAAGATGCTTGTGGTGTTGGTTTCACTTGTCATTTAAAAGGTGAACCATCTCATAAAATAGTTTCAGATGCTAAAAATTTATTATGTAATATGACTCATAGAGGTGGTGAATTAAATCCAAAAGATGGTGATGGTGCTGGTTTATTAAGTTCAATTCCTCATAAATTTTTAGTTAGAGAATTTCAATATCATTGTAATGTAAAATTACCAAAAAAAGGTCAATATGGTGTTGGAAATTTGTTTTTTAAAAAAGATGATGTTGTATTTGATAAATCTAAAAAGACATTTGAAAGTATTGCTGAATCTTTAGATTTAAAAGTTTTAGGTTGGAGAAAAGTTCCTCATGATTCTTCAATTTTAGGTCCTGCTGCTTTATCAAGAGAACCTTATATTTTACAACCAGCAGTTATAATGAATGAAATTTTAAATAAAGAAATTGATGATGAAGAATTTATTCAAAAATATCAACAAGATTTTGAAAAAAGATTATTTATATTAAGAAAACAATCATCACATACTATTGGTTTACATAATTGGTTTTATATTTGTTCATTATCTTCAAAAACTATTGTTTATAAAGGTCAATTAGCTCCAAATCAAGTTTATGCTTATTATCATGATTTAGTTAATTCAGAATATGAATCACATTTTGCTTTAGTTCATTCAAGATTTTCAACAAATACTTTCCCATCATGGGATAGAGCTCAACCTTTAAGATTAGCTGCTCATAATGGTGAAATTAATACTTTAAGAGGTAACAAAAATTGGATGAGAGCAAAAGAAGGTGTTATGCAATCTAAATTATTTGGTGAAGAAATGGATAAATTATTTCCAATTATTGAAGAAGGTGGTTCAGATTCTGCTGCTTTTGATAACGTTTTAGAATTATTAGTTGTAAATGGAGTTGTTTCATTACCTGAAGCTGTTATGATGATGATTCCAGAAGCTTGGCAAAATGATGAATTTATTGATCCAAAAAAGAAAGCATTTTATGAATGGGCTGCTTGTTTAATGGAACCTTGGGATGGTCCAGCATTATTTACTTTTGCAGATGATAGATATTGTGGTGCTAATTTGGATCGTAATGGTTTAAGACCTTGTAGATATTATGTTACTGATGATGATAGAATGATTTGTGCATCTGAAGTTGGAGTTATTGAAATTGAACCAGAAAAAGTTTTACAAAAAGGAAGATTACAACCTGGTAGAATGTTATTAGTTGATACAAAAGAAGGTAGAATTGTTGATGATAAAGAATTAAAAAATAAAGTTTCTTCAAGATTTGATTTTAAAAGTTGGGTAATTGCAAATATGATTACTTTAAAAGATTTATCTGAAAAATTTGAATCAAGAAATATTAATATTAATTCAAAACCTGTTGATACTAATATAACAATTCAAACTGATCCAAGATTAATTGCTTCAGGTTATTCACATGAACAAGTTTTATTTGTTTTAGCTCCAATGGCTGAAGGTAATGAAGCTTTAGGTTCTATGGGTAATGATAATGCTTTAGCTTGTATTTCTGAACAACCAAAATTATTATATGAATATTTCCGTCAATTATTTGCTCAAGTTACTAATCCACCAATTGATCCAATTAGAGAAAAAATTGTTATGTCATTAGAATGTTATGTTGGTCCACAAGGTAATTTATTAGAAATGAAACCAGATCAATTAAATAGATTATTATTAAAATCTCCAATTTTATCAAATTCAGAATTATTAGCTATTCAAAATATTAATAAAGTTTATCCAAAATGGTCAGTTGCAAATATTGATATAACTTTTGAAAAATCTCAAGGTATTCCTGGTTATATAACTACAATTGATAGAATTTGTCAAGCTGCTTCAAAAGCTATTGCTGATGATAATCAAATTATTATATTAAGTGATATTCAAACTTCAGCTGATAGATTACCTATTTCTGCATTAATTGCTGTGGGAGCAGTTCATCATCATTTAGTTAGACAAAAACAACGTTCTAAAGTTGCTTTAATTATTGAAACTCAAGAAGCAAAAGAAGTTCAACATGCTTGTTGTTTAGTTGGTTATGGTGCAGATGGTATTAATCCATATTTAGCAATGGAAACATTAGTTAGAATGAAAAATCAAGGATTATTAAAAGATGAATCATTAACTGAAGAAAAAATTATTCAAAATTATAAAAATTCAATTGATGCTGGTATATTAAAAGTTATGTCAAAAATGGGTATATCAACATTAGCTTCTTATAAAGGTGCACAAATTTTTGAAGCTTTAGGTATTGATAATTCAGTTATTGATAGATGTTTTGCTGGAACTGCTTCAAGAATTAAAGGTGTTACATTTGAATATATTGCTCAAGATGCTTTTACATTACATGAAAGAGGTTATCCAAGTAGAGATACAATTAAACCAATTGGATTACCAGAAACTGGTGAATATCATTGGAGAGATGGTGGTGAAGCTCATATTAATGATCCGGCTGCTATAGCTTCATTACAAGATGCTGTTCGTAATAAAAATGAAAGAGCTTTTGATGCTTATTGTAAAAAAGAAAATGAAGCAGTTAGAAATTGTACTTTACGTGGTTTATTAGATTTTGATTTTGAATCATCAAATCCTGTACCAATTGATCAAGTTGAACCATGGACTGAAATTGTAAGAAGATTTTTCACTGGTGCTATGTCATATGGTTCTATTTCAATGGAATCACATTCTACTTTAGCTGTTGCAATGAATAGATTAGGAGGTAAATCAAATACTGGTGAAGGTGGTGAAGATGCAGCAAGATCACAAGTTAGTGAAAATGGTGATACTATGAGATCAGCTATTAAACAAGTTGCCTCTGGTAGATTTGGTGTTACTTCTTATTATTTAGCTGATGCAGATGAATTACAAATTAAAATGGCTCAAGGTGCTAAACCAGGTGAAGGTGGTGAATTACCAGGTCATAAAGTTTCAGCTGAAATTGGTAAAACAAGACATTCAACTCCTGGTGTTGGTTTAATTTCTCCTCCACCTCATCATGATATTTATTCAATTGAAGATTTAAAACAATTATTATATGATTTAAAATGTTCAAATCCAAGAGCAAGAACTTCAGTTAAATTAGTTTCAGAAGTTGGTGTTGGTATTGTTGCTGCTGGTGTAGCAAAAGCTGGTTCTGAAAATATTTTAGTTTCTGGTGGTGATGGTGGTACTGGTGCTGCTAAATTAACTTCAATTAAATATGCAGGTTTACCATGGGAATTAGGTTTAGCAGAATCTCATCAAACTTTAGTGCTTAATGATTTAAGAGGAAGAGTTGTTTTACAAACTGATGGTCAATTAAGAACTGGTAGAGATATTGCAATTGCTTGTTTATTAGGTGCAGAAGAATGGGGTTTTGCAACAACTCCATTAATTGCAATGGGTTGTATATATATGAGAAAATGTCATTTAGGTACTTGTCCAGTTGGTATTGCAACTCAAGATCCAGAATTAAGAAAAAAATTTGAAGGTACTCCAGAACATGTTATTAATTTCTTTTATTATATGGCTAATGATTTAAGATCATTTATGGCAAAATTAGGTTTTAGAACAATTAATGAAATGGTTGGTAGAACTGAAAAATTAAGAGTTAGAGAAGATTTTAGAAATACTAAGAATGCAAATATTGATTTATCACCAATTTTAACTCCTGCTCATACTATTAGACCTGGTGTTGCTACTCATTGTGTTAGAAAACAAGATCATAGATTACATGTTAGAGTTGATAATAAATTAATTGATGAATCTGAAATGACTTTAGCTAAAGGTTTACCAGTTACTATTGATTGTGAAGTTGTTAATACTGATAGATCTTTAGGTACTACTTTATCATATAGAGTTTCAAAAACTTTTGGAGAACAAGGTTTACCACATGATACTATTCATGTTAATGTTACTGGTTCTGCTGGTCAATCATTTGGTGCATTTTTAGCAAGTGGTGTTACTTTAGAATTAGAAGGTGATGCTAATGATTATATTGGTAAAGGATTATCTGGTGGTAGAATTATTGTTTATCCACCAAAAGAATCTAAATTTAAAGCTGAAGATCAAATTATTGCTGGTAATACTGCATTTTTTGGTGCTACTTCAGGTACTGCATTTGTTAGAGGTATTGCAGCAGAAAGATTTGCAGTTAGAAATTCAGGTGCTATAATTGTAGCTGAAGGAACTGGTGATCATGGATGTGAATATATGTCTGGTGGTAGAGTAGTAATATTAGGTGCAACTGGTAGAAATTTTGCTTCTGGTATGTGTGGTGGTATTGCTTATGTATTAGATATGGCACAAGATTTTGCTGATAAAGTTAATAAATCAAATGTTGAACTTTCATCAGTTACTGAAACTCAAGAAATTGCATTTTTAAGAAATTTAATTGAAGATCATCGTCATTATACTGGATCAGAAATTGCTGATAGAGTATTGAATGATTTTAGTAGATATTTACCAAGATTTGTTAAAGTTTTACCATATGATTATAAAAAAGTTTTAGAAAAAGAAAAAGAATTAGCTGAAGAAGCTAAAAAGAAAGAATTAAGTACATTTTTAAAATCAATAAAAGAAGATCCAGAATCAGATGTTACTAATGGTGAAGCTTTTAAAATTAAAAAAGGTCATGTTCATCGTCCAAGTCATAATAAAAATGAACCAAAAGTTACTGATGTTGAAGATACAATTTTTAATACTGAATTTGAAAAGAAAGCACCAATTAAATTAGATAAAGTTAAAGGTTTTATGAAATATAAAAGAAGAAATGAAAAATATAGAGATGCAAAAGCAAGAACTAAAGATTGGAATGAAATGACTTCAAGATTAACTAAAGAAGAATTACATTATGAAACTGCTAGATGTATGGATTGTGGTGTTCCATTTTGTACTTCAGATACTGGTTGTCCAATTTCAAATGTTATACCAAAATGGAATGAATTAGTATTTAATGATAGATGGTTTGATGCATTACAAAGATTATTAATGACTAATAATTTCCCTGAATTTACTGGTAGAATTTGTCCTGCTCCATGTATGGGTGCTTGTGTTTTAGGTATTAATGAAGATCCAGTTAATATTAAATCAGTTGAATGTGCAATTATTGATCATGGATTTGAAAAAGGTTGGATTAAACCACAACCTCCAACAAATAGAACTGGTAAAACAGTTGCAGTTATTGGTTCAGGTCCAGCTGGTTTAGCTTGTGCTGATCAATTAAATAAAGCTGGTCATTCAATAACAGTATATGAAAGAAGTGATAGACCAGGTGGATTATTAATGTATGGTATTCCAAATATGAAATTAGATAAAGGAGTTGTTAAAAGAAGAACTGATTTATTAGCAGCCGAAGGTATTGAATTTATATGTAATACTACTGTTGGTGAAGATATAACTGTTTCTGAATTAAAAGAACAATATGATGCAGTTGTATTTGCAGTTGGTTCAACCATTCCAAGAGATTTAAAAATTCCTGGTAGAGAATTAGAAAATATTAATTTTGCAATGCAATTATTACACAAAAATACAAAAGCTTTATTAGAAGATGAATTAGATATTATTCGTGAACAATTACAAGGTAAACATGTTGTTGTTATTGGTGGAGGTGATACTGGTAATGATTGTTTAGGTACTTCAACAAGACATGGAGCTAAATCAGTTACTAATTTTGAATTATTACCACATCCACCAGCTACAAGACCAAAAGATAATCCATGGCCTCAATGGCCAAGAATCTTTAGAGTTGATTATGGTCATACTGAAGTTTCAACTCATTATGGTAAAGATCCAAGAGAATATTCTATATTATCAAAAGAATTTGTTGGAGAAGATGGTAAAGTTAAAGGTATTAAAACAGTTAGAGTTGAATGGAAACGTTCTGATTCTGGAGCTTGGCAAATGGCTGAAGTTGCTGGTAGTGAAGAATTTTTCCCAGCTGATGTTGTTTTATTATCAATGGGTTTTATTGGTCCCGATTCTGATAATTTAGAAGTTTCAAAAACAAAAAGAGGTACGATTACAACAGTTGATCCAAATGTTTATAAAGTTGATGATGATTCTAATTTATTTGCTGCTGGTGATTGTAGAAGAGGTCAATCATTAGTTGTTTGGGGTATTCAAGAAGGTCGTCAATGTGCAAGAGAAGTTGATGAGTATTTAATGGGTTCTTCAAGATTACCTGGTAATGGTTCAATTGAACAAAGAAGTTTTAAGCAATTGGAAGAGTTAGCTGAAAAAGTTTAATTCAATGATTTTTTATATTATTTATTATTATTTATTGTTATTTATTATTATTTATTAATTTACGTATGTTTTATATTTAATTGTTGAGTTGTAGTTTGTCATTCTATATGATGTAGATAATTTGTAAGTCGTTATCTTGTAAGATCAAAAACTTACTTTAAATTAAAATATAACATCTTTTGCAACCAAAAATTATCATCACATTCTTAAATTTATACCAATAATGTCAGGAAAGGCCACAATAAATAATCTAATAGCTCACTATTTAAAAACCAACAACTATCCAAAAACATTAAAACAATTTGAAGAAGAAAATGGGAAACCAATAGATAGTAATTTAGATAATCCATCAGAAAATTCATTACGATCTATAATTCAAGATCGATTAATATTTAATTCATTATCATCTCAATTTCAAAATACGTCAATTAATTCAAATGATCAAGAACTCATACCTCAAAAGCTTAAATTTTTAATCGATAATGAATTTACGAATTGGAATTTACCATATCCTCATATACCAGATGTTTTAGATATTCATCCATTAATCATCTCATCTGCTTATGATTCATTATCTGGTACATTATATTTCACAACTAATGATTCTCAGATCATCATCAAAAAAGGAAACAATTTGAAAAAGATCAAATTTCAAGAAATTATCAAAAAGATTTTGGTTTTTGAAGGTGGTGTTTTACTATTAGGAATGAGTGGGTATTTATACTTGAAAGATTTCAATTTAGAAAATGTAAGTGATGAAACACCAGTTATTCAAACTCAATCTCGATTTACAGTTGATGCTAAAGTTATTAAATTTGAAGGTACCAATTATGTTGTAACATTAGCATTCAATAACATACTCAAATTGATAAAGATAGATGATAATAAATTTGAGATCTTAGATGAACTTAAATTGGATCTTCAAGGCACTTGTTTTGATTTGACAATATATCAAAATCAAATTGTGATAGTAGTAGGAAAATTAGAAAATACATTACTAGATGTTTACACCATAACCAATTTCAAGTTTAAGTTACATTATAAAATATCAATCAACGATGCAGAATTTACCACGTCTAGCTTTTCTCCACGTTATGTCACATTCTCAAATCCATCAAATAAAACTGAAATCCCAATAATAGCAGTTGCAACATCTCATGATCCATTTATGAGAATCATTTTAGTATCATTAATTGACTTTGAGTCCCCAACTCCTATATCAAGGAATCAAATTTTAAAAAATTACAATACATTATCTCCACAAGATAAATTTTCTCAACCTTTAATAAGTTGGAGATATCATAATAATAAAATTTCGGGGATTTGGGTAATGGGTGATGATGGAACTATCCGAGGTTTAGATGTTTTAGAAAATAAAATTATAAAAGAATTAAAACCATCAAACGAGTCAAGAGGTCATAAAACCAAAATCAAAGATTTCATTCACTTTATAGATAAAGACGGTAAGGAGAATTTAGTAACCAGTGGAATAGACAGACAAGTAATTGAATGGAAATCATAGTTATAGAGTTTTTCATTTCATTCTTTTAAATATACATCTATAAACAACACTAAATTAACAATTAAGCCCATTCAGGTTTTGATTCTTTAGATCCACCTCTCCAATTACCTCTTCCACCTCTATACCCACCTCTATTACCCCTTCCTCTATAACCACCTCTGAAACCTCTACCTCTTCCTCTACCTCTATATCCAGATTCTCCAAAAGTATCCATATTAAGTGATTTTTCTTCTGACCATTTCATACCTCCTCTTTCTTCAGTTGATGAAGATATAGAATCAAAAAATGATGATTGTTTATCATACTTAGGTCTTTCTTCTTCTTCTTCATCTTCTTTATCTTCATGTTTTTCCTTTTTAAATCTTTCGTTTGATTTTTCAAAATCAAAATCTTCATTAAATGATGTTTGCTTTTTGGATCTTGCAGATGGTCTTGATCTAGGTTGAGAACTTGGCGGCACTGATTCTGTTCCTTTTGATTTAGTAGATTTTGATTCTTCTGGATTTGGAACTGATTGTTCTTGTGCTTTTGGAACTGTTTCTTTTTCTGTCTTGGTTGGTTCAACTTTTTCATTTGTGGTTTTAGTTGGTTCTTTTTGAGTAGGTTTTGGCGCTCCAGTTTCTTTTGGTTGAGCAGGCTGAGTGTTTGAAGGTTTTGGTTTGGTTTCAGTGGTTGTCGTAGCAGTTTCAGAAGTTGAAGTTGGCGTTGGTTGTTGTTGTTGTTGATGATGATGCTGCTGTTGTTGATGCTGTTGCTGTTGTTGTGGCTCGTTTCTCGTCTGAGTTTGAGGTTGTTGATAGTTTGGATGTTGAGGTGGAGGTGGCTGATGAAATTGAGGTGGATACTGCTGAAATTGGTGAGGTGGTGGACCTGGTGGATAAAATCCTCCAACTGGTGGTGGAGGAGGATAAATTGGTCTTACTTCTTCGATAGGAGTATCTAAAACTGACAAATCTGCAACATCATTACCTCCAAATACAATATAACTATAAATTTCATGACCAGGTGGAACTTCTAAATGTGGTTGATTATTCATTCTACCTTCAGTACCAAACATTCTGACCGATTTCAAGGCAATGGTACCTTCTTCGGCATTTATATTTTCTAATATACCAACATAACGTATATGTTTTTTTGATATCAATGAAATGGTTTTTCCAACAAAGTCAGACATTGTATTGGTGTTGTTGATGAATCGATCTCAAGATTTAAAAGTTTACGAAATTGCAAATAATTTTTTTTCAAAAATGTTGAAACAATTTCGTCCCGCATTACAATTGTAAAACACGTCAATAAAAAAGTCTATAGTATCAGGATTTTTCACTGAATGACATAGTTTCAGTCTTTTTTAAACTTACAGGGGTCAGACCATTTATTTAACTATCAGTTGCCTCAGATTGAGCCGACAATTGGCGAAGGTTGAAAGTATATGTCGCGATAAAAGTTTGACGTCACTGGTAAACATGTCAGGAAAACTTAATCCAAATTTATAACGATCAGTCTTCCAAGCAGCACTTCTTCTTGCGAAACAATTTTCCACTACCATCAATCACAATGTCTTTGAAACAAGAGGTTCAAGAGGCGACAAATCCCGAGTTTAATGAAAATGATTACATTAGGGATCCAGAATCCCCTTTCAATGATGTAAATTCAGATGCAGACGAACAACAAGTAAATCCTGAAACTAGTCAAGAGTTTATAACGGAAAATCAAGAACAGACACCAATATTAAACCCTGATGATGATGAACCTAATATTGATGATGATGAAGCTAACATTGATCCAAGCATAATTGACCAAGAACCAGAAGAAGATGAAGACGATGTTATAAATTCCATCAAAACCAAACGATACAGTAATGATGAAGAAAGAGGTTTAACTCAGAAGAAAATAATAAGAAAGTCAAGACCTGTTTTACCACAAGATGAACCAGTTAGATACGAAGAAGCACCGGATGGATCAAATTATAATGATATGAATCCACAACAAAGAAAAAGAATGGAATTAGAAGAAAAAATGACAGCAGCAGTTAAAACAAAATCTTTTAGAAGAAGAAAAGCAGATGAAGATGACCTTGAAAGAATGCAAGATGATAAAATTGATCATTTGAAAGAATTGATGATAAATGCTGCTAATTTAGATGTTGATAAAAATACTCAAGGACAAATCGCAACTGAAAAATTAAAATTGTTGGATGATGTAACTAATTTGTTATCAAGAGCCGATTTAGCGATATCAATACTAGATAATAATTTATTGGAGGCTGTAAGATTATGGTTGGAACCATTACCCGATGCAAGTATGCCAGCTTATCAAATTCAAAAAGAATTAATACATTCATTAGAATCTTTACCAATCAAAACAGATCATTTAGTTGCATCTGGTATAGGGAAAGTCCTTGTGTTTTATCAAAGATCAAAAAGAACAGAACCACAATTGAAAAAAATTGTTGATAGATTAATTGGTGATTGGACTAGACCGATATTAAATAAATCAGATTCATACAAAGATAGAGCAGTACAATTTGGCGAATATAATAGAGTAAGATATTCAAATAAATTATCTACACATCATAAAAAATCAGAAGCTAAAACGTTATATGAACAAAATGCTGAAAGAAGGAAAAGAGCAGCTATACCTACTGCTAGAACAGCTGCTTATAAAATTGCTCCTCGTGTTGATACCAGTTTATTGAGAAGGCAAGCTGGTAGAGGTGCCGGTTATGATGATAGATTCAGAAGAATTAATCAAAAAATTACATCTATGGGAGGTAAAAGAAAGGCAACTAAGAAAGGAGGACCTTCGATTGAAGGTAGAGATTTAAGTATATAGTCGGAATTATAATGAATGAGACCATGATAAGAAGTAACTGCATGTTAAATTTTCGCAATTGACAAACTCCTACCTGTTCTCTATTCATGCTCTATTACCTTTTTGTAATATTTCGATAAAAAAGTAGAATTTAATTATTTAGTGGTTACTGCTTTCTCTACAATCTACAGTTTAAATTTCCAAAAGACTATTAATCTTTAAACTCTTTTCGTATGTATTGAAAAAAATGATTTATGTAATGTACATTGCGTCGTATATATAACTCTCCTACCCCTGTATGAATTAATTAAATGGATGACAATAACATAAGGCTTTACGATGATTGATGATTTAAGCCCATGAATATGTTTATATTAATTAGTTATTATCATTCTTATTATTAATGTGATTTGAAATGAATAAACTTATGATCTTGGTTTTTCTTTCTTTTCTTTCCATAAAGCTAATAATGAAACACCAGAAACTTTAACAACTTTAAATCTAACACCTGGAATATCACCTTTAGCTTTACCTCTTCTACCGAAACCAGCTAATAAAACTTCATCATTTTCATCAACGAAATTTAAACAACCATCATTTGGAACGAAAGCGGTAACTCTTTTACCGTTTTTAATTAATTGAACTCTGACACATTTTCTAATAGCTGAGTTTGGTTGTTTTGATTCAATACCAATTTTTTCTAATACAATTCCTTTGGCGTGTGATGAACCTCCAAATGGTGATGATTTAAAAGCTGTTCCTAATAATCTAGCTTTATAAGCTTGATCAGCCCATCTGTTGTTTCTTCTGTGAACTCTTAATTTTCTAGCTGAGTTAAGCCCTCTTGGTTTACCTTTTCCCATATTTGATGTTAGTTAATTATAAGTTGTTGTAAAAAGAATAAATCTATTTTAAGTTTAAATTGAAAAAAATTTTGTATGATTGAAAGAGACTGTTTCGCATAGTTAAAAAATTACCATAGTAAAAATGTGTGTAGATTTGGTAGCATTGGATAAAACTAAGATTGTTATTACGTACACTACATGATGTTCACTACCAAGCGTTGAGTAGGGTTTCAACCCTACGTCCTTAAATACACATTGTTGAATAAACCCGATATTTTTGTTGTGATAAGCCCGATTAGATAAGAAATTTAAGATAAGGTAGAGATATAAATCAATATCCTAAGTCAAAGAAATAATGTCAAAGATCTACATTACATTTCATCCAATTCACATATTTTATCCTTTACCATCTATAAAATAATCTAGTAATAGAAATGTCCAAATCTATAAGTTTTTCAACAATTTATCCTAAGGTCTAGAAACTATGGACTTATTCCTTTTAATTAATGATAATAAAAATAAGAACAATAAATCTATTTGATCTTTAAACATAAATAATAAACCTTGAACAAATACACCTTTTAATAATTGTGGTGCAATACCTTTATATAATCCTTTGAATTTTTCAGTATTCCATAAATGAGCTAAAGCATCAGTAAAATGATCAAATTTAATATCATCTTCATCATCTTCATCTTCATGATATTTTTCTGCAATTTTATTATGACCACCATCGGCTGGTTTTGTTTTAGCTTTCTTTTGAATCATTGCTTTTGATACAATTAATGGTTGAGTTGCAACAGTAGCTAAAGATTTAGCCAAAACTCCTAAACTAAAACTTTCTAATGGACCTAAAAATTCTTTATTTCCATATATTATTTGTTTTAGTCTTTCATATGATCCATATGTTATAGATGGATTAATACAAAGAACTAATGAAACTCTTAAACCTCTCCATAATCCAGTAACACCATCTTGATCTAAAATTTCTTTAATTAATTGAAATAAATTTTTATGTTGTTTATCTGTTTGTTGTTGAGTTGTTATAACACCAATTGGCATTGTAAAACATTGTGATATTGCTGCTGCTAATGCTCCTAAAAATAATTCAGTTGCTGTATTAGCTTTATGATTTGGAATATGTTTATATAAATTTGCATAAACTTTTTTGACTATTGAATACCAATAAAAGTATGAGAAATTTTGAGCTGCTGTTCCAACAACAGTTGAAAATAATCCATGATACCATCCTAAAACACCTTTTTTAGCATAAATTTGTTTTAATACATCTAATGTATTTTTATATTTTAAACCATCTTTACCTTGTATGGATTCTTCGAAATTGTCGGATTCTGATTGTGGTGGAGTTGGTAAAGATGCTGTGGATGAAGAAGATGATGTTGAACCTTTGTGTTTATTAGTTTTTTTGACTTGAGTTTGAATCAAGACTTTACTCAAATCTAATGGATATACCAATGTATTGGCAATTGCTGATGCTAATGCACCTGAAGCTGCTTTTTCTATTGGAGAAAGTGACATGATATATTGATTTATATTGTTCTATGAGAATCTACTTGTATAAGTGTATAATTATATTAGTTTCTGTTATGCTTTATGGAAAAATAGTTGATAATAATTCGAATAAATAAATAAATATAGTCTTGAAATGATGGAATTTGTTATCAGTTTAGTAATGATTTCTAAATTACAAATTGCTAATCAAATATATTGGTCTATTAGTGAAACTATAGTTGAAATGAAAGAAATGCCCAGTGTATATCCGGCGTATATATGAATCAAAATTGAGTTTGTGGGTTGAAAAAACGTTAAAATTGTGATTGATTAAATGTTTACTTTAATTTAAGAATTATTTGATTTTGCTAACACCATAAGATTTGAATTTCTTATAAAGGGAAAAAAAATGTATAAGTATATTACCGTCGGTATATTAAATTACGTAGCACGAGAGAAAGAAGAAATTTTAGTATCATTTTCGACGACATCAACATGTTTACATAGTCCACCATTATTCAAACTCTAGACACCTGATTCACCCAAAACAAGCTTTCATTAATTGTTGTTGTTTTTTTGGGTAAATCTTAACTTTAAAATTTGTATGTGATAATTATACTGTTAAGAGGTTTTGTGTAATGTTATGTCATTACCGAGGAACTTGAAACCCCACATTATTATAAAAAATTTCTATTGTGTTTCAGATATTAGGTAATACTAGTACATTTGAAACACTACCAAATGGGAGCTAAAGCAAAACAGTGGTGTAAAACTGGGTTTTCGATATACTACCCCAGTAAAAAGTTGGATAAAAGATTTATCGATTCACAGTGACTTTTCCAGAAAACCATTCATATTAATTGCATTAATCATTTGCAATCCCGTAAAGACTAATGAGTTTTCCTCGTAGTAAATTAAATTGCTTGAACTTCGAAAGAATAGAATTAACAAAAAATGGCTGCGAAAAATTTATAAATTATGACGATGAAATAAATAAATAAACCTATAGCTATATCCTAGTGACTCCTCCTATAAACACTTTATTTTTCAACTCTTCTGATTCATCATCACATTTCACAAAATCACCGTGATCTTGAGTTAATGAATTCAAAGGACTAAAAAGATAATTTATTGTAATAAATCTAACACCATATTTCAACCTTTTGCAAAAATTTAAAAACTTATTTTTGTTGTTTGCTTTAAGCTGATGACATTTAATCAAATCATTTTCAAAATAATGTAAAATAGGGTAGTTTTTATTTTGTAATTTTGAGACATCAAAATTTGGAATATTATTAATAATTCTTTTAGTTAAAGCAGATTCAATTTGTATATTTTCCATAAATCCAAATCTTAAAATACATTTAAAATGATTTTTTAATTTCATTGGAGCAATCAAAATTCTATCTTCTTCATTGACGGTTGGGATTGATAATACTCTTATACCAACAAATACAAAATTATCAGGTACTGAGACAAAATCTTTAACTATTTTGCCATATAATTGTGGTAATGTATTTGGACTTATTGCTAAAATTGATTCAAGATACATAAATCCAATACCATCATATTTTTGCAACCTTTGAATACCGAATCTTGAGTCAACATCGTCTTCGTTATACCTTGTCGTATAGTTTTCATTAACAGCACCATTATTATTTGAATTTAAATTAACCGTTATAACGTTTGATTTTGCATTGAAATACGGATATATTTCACCAATTTTAATTCTTTGACTATATTCATGGTTTACCTTCTTAGATCTTGCCCATCTCCAAACACACAAAAATGTCATAAATAAAGCAGCAACCATTAAACTAAACCATGCACCACTTTCAACTTTCTTCAAATTAGCAACAACTAAACATACCTCCAATGGTACAAAAATTGCAAAAAATAAGATTGGCCATATTATATTTGCTTTGTATACATAAAACATGCAAATAATAATCAACAGTGATGTAACCAAAAAATCTAAAGAAATACCTAAACCATAAGCTGCAGTAACATTATTACTGTTTTTGAAACCAGCGGTAGTACAAATTACACCAATCATTAATAACCAATTTACAACTGGAATATAAACTTTTTCAGCATAATGTGATGATGTATGTACAATTTTTAATCTTGGAAAACAATCTAAATTAATCAATTGTGAAACAATACTGAAAACTGATAAAATTAAAGCTTGACTTGCAATAACTGTTGATAATGTTGCTAACACAAACATGACCCAATATATTCCTGAACCAGTTCCACCAGGTAAACTTAAAAAAAAAGAATTAACCCAAGCTTCTGGATGTTCAACAATATAAGCACCTTGTCCTAAATAACAAAACATTAATGCAGGATAAACAAATGAACCCAAGGTTAATTGAACAGGTAATCTTCCAAAATGTGAAATATCTGAAAACATAGCTTCTGTACCAGTTATACTAAGCATAGCACCACTAAATAAATCGATCCCACCATTTTTCAAGAATTTAATGGCATAAAATGGAGATAAAGCAGCAAATATTGATGGATGATATTTTACAATATTATAAATCCCACAAATCATTAAACCAATCATCCATAGAAAAATGATAGGTGCAAATATGAATCCAATTTTATTTGATCCAAATTGTTGAATAATAAATAAAAAAATCAATATTACTTCTGAAACAGCCAAGACTTGATTGAATGAAGGAACAGCAATTTGAATACCACCAATTGCACTCAATACTGAAGTAGTTGGAGTTAATAATCCATCTGATATAACCAAAGAACAACCTAAAAAACAAAGACTTAAAATGAAATATTGAACAAATTTAATTAATCCAGGATTTTGTTTAATTTTTTCAATTCTTGAACTAACAGAAAAAATTGATGAAGTAGTAGTATCAGTTCTTGATAATAATTGTAAATCCAGTATATCATTTGATCCACCAGGAATTGTAACTCCCTTTGGACCAATTTGTAAAAATCTTGCAATTTTAGCATAAATTGCAACTGCTCCTCCACTTTCTCCATTTGGACCAATGACCAACACTATACAAACGTATTTGAAAATTACAATTATTGTAAATAAATAAAAAATTAATGAAACTGCTCCATAAATATCATCTTTATTTGGTGGTGAAGTTGGATATTTAATAGTGTTTAAAACATATAAAGGTGAAGTACCTAAATCACCATAAATTGCACCTAATGAACTAAAACTTAATAAAAAAATTTCTTTCCATGGTTTTTTCTTTGTAGGTTTTTTATTATGAATAGATTGATTTGTTTCATCAATAATTTCATTTTCTTCATTTTGTAATTCAGCTTCTTCTAAATTAATTTCATCATATGTATTGATACTGCATTGATCGTTTCTATCGTTTATTGATGAAATGTCCAATGTATCATCTTTAAAATCTTTTATTGACATATACTACTGAGGTTTGACTGGTGCTGACTTATAATTTAGATTTGATTTGGTTGTAAGTTTAGTATAAAAAAAAAAAGCCTCCAAAGAAAAAATGGTTAAAAAAAGTCAGATCTGAAACATCTTATATAATCCTGATTATTTTAATCATCTCGAACTTCAAACAAAGCCATTATCATTGATCTAAATGATGATAAAAAATAATTTGGATTGATATACCTAATATGGATACTGTTGATTAAAATGTATTTTTCGTGCTTTTGAAATTTTCCCCTAATTTTTGTCGATATAATTTTTAAATTTCTCAAATGTATCAAATGTTAAAATTGTTTTACAATAGTAAATGCAGATCTCACTAAAACTTTATGTATGAATCAACAACATTGTAAAGAAACATTATCTATGAGGGATTTATTTTGCAGTTATAATGAATTTTAAGTCTTGTAATAAGGTACACTTCTCATGAAGTATAAACAACAATTACTGAAATGAAATTAATTTCTTAAGTTCAATCAAGTATGAGCCAAAGCTTTGACAAACTTTTATCACTAACATTACTAGTAATTCTAGCATAATTAATTCAATAACATTAGAGATAACATTAGATATAGGTCAGGTTTTGAAAAAAAATCTCGAAGGAAGAAAGGAAGTTTCAAATTTAAACAATCATTGACGTAAATCAGATTACGAATTGTATATTAGTTAAAAACGCAAATTTTTTCATCTATTGTATAACTTAGAAAAATAAAATCTCTCAAAATTTTACTTGATTCGTCACAGCCCTACGTTATTTTTGTGAATTCAAACTATTCCCTCAAAAGTAAAATGCTTTTGAACTAACTCATTTTCGTGTTTTGAATTGCAATGTAATGGCAAATATTAGCACTGATTTCTAAGACATTATCACATCAACATACAAGGAATATTTGAGGTCAATTCGATGAAAAATGTGCCCCATATTCTTAAGTTGTAAGTCTGCATAGAAGCATAGATTTACGAGAAATTATTTTTATTCGCTCTCTATGAATTTTGCAGCCAAAACTTTTAAGAGGCTTAAGCAGAAAAAGAGAAAAATTTTCAATCAGTTCCACCGCCCTTGTCTAAATCATTCTTTTCCATTTTTTTTCATCTGTATGAAATGACCTCTGCTTCTAAATGATTACTGCATTTCAGAGTAATTTAAATTTAGCTCGAAAATTATTACTTAGTAACAAGAGAAAATCACGAAAATTTTTTATTTTAATGGAAGATCTATTTAAAGTAATTTTCAGCAATAGCCTAGTATTATTAACACTTGAGGGATTTTTTGACATTGAAAATTTCAAAAACATAATTCACAATGGCGTTGTTGTTGAGTTAAATTTAATGAGGTACTTTATCTTAAGATGGAGTTCTTATATGGCATTCAAGTAAAAGGCATCAATTCAATGATTGTTGGCAGTATACATTTTAATTTCTAAATTCACTTTATACTTGATACCTTGGTAAACTTAACAATTCTTCTAGATGGTTTCCAATCTTTATTTTTAATCTTATCTTTCAAATTAAAATTCAAATTATAATTTGAATAAATATCACTATATATTCCACTAATATTTTTCAATGGGCTAGTTTCAAATAATTTTATTCTCATAATTTCCAAACCCAAACTACATATACCTAAAACAAATTCAAATTCAGGTAAAAGATAATGATATTCTTCAATCAATAAACCTAAGATTAATAACCTTAGATTTGAATTATCCAAACCTAAAAATAAGTTATTGATTATATTTTGAACATATCTGTTGAAATATACATCGTCATATATTTTGATTAATACTCTTTGAATTTGTAATGAACAATCTATTGGTTTAATTTCATCAAATATTGATTTGAATAAAATCAAGAATTGTTGTGCATATTCAGCGTGTAATTCTTTATTATATTTCCAAGCATGTTTTATAACTATACATATATTTTCAACAACTTTCGCAGCCAATGACTCTAAGTATTGATATTGAGTCTCTAGTTCTTTCAACCAAATACATTTTGAATTATTGATGACAAAAGTATCATAATTATGATGATGCAAAGCAGGTAATGGCGCAGGAATTAATTTCAATTCTTTTAATTTGATTGACCTAGGAATCATTAGTTTATCCATTATGTTATAATTTTCACTATTATTTGAAATGTCTTTTGAGTTTTTACTTATAGCATTGTAGGAATAATATGTAGGGTGCCAATAATTTTCATCATCTATGGTCACTGATGACATAATTGCATCTATGGAGGTATATTGTGGATAAACTATTGATTTATTAAACATATTATAAAGAATATAAAGACTAATTTCTTGAATTTCTTTAGTAGCGCGTATGTATGGTGAGACTTAATCTTAGTTAGCAATATTGGAGTTCAAAATTCGTGATAAATTTCTCATGACAATTATGAAAATTGAATTGTGTAGTAACAGATCTGAAATTCAATTGTCGAGCATAATTTAGATATGCTACGCTGGTTCAATTAAATCTAAAGATGCAGATGTGATTCAAAGCAGTAGGCGACACCGTAGTCTTAAGTAGTTGAGTTATAAAGGAATTACCTGCAACAAGTTCTCATGCATGCTCATTAAACACTCTTGTGCAATACAACTGGTTTGAGGGTATTCATGGCTTTTGGTTCGCCTTGATTCATCTTTGTATAGCTTGATAATATTACCTTTTGGCTGCAAATTTAAGATCTAAACGCGTCTATAATTTGAAAATCTGATTCAAGAAATTTATATACAGGAACTTTTCACAACGCGATACACTCTTTATTATTTACTTTTTGATTTTACATCATTTACAAATTATAGAGATACTTGAACAACCCGACCACTGTCTCCATCATGTCATCTAAAGTCATTTCACTATTTTCAGATGGTAATTCATACCTATATTACCATGATCAATTAGATAGATTAATTATAGTGAATAGTGAAGGAGTAACAAAATTGGTGAATTTAAATGATTTAAATTCCCAGGCAGTTTCAATAGATACATTGGAAAATATAACAGCAATAGCTGTAAATAAATCTAACCTAGCAGTAACTACTTTGGATGGTAAATTAGAACTTATAGATTTAGTTGAAGAAAAGTCAAATGGGGTAATTTATAGAACAGAATTATCTTTAAGAGATTTAAAATTCATTAATCTGGGTAATAGAATATTATGTGGTGGAGATGATAATAAGCTTTTTGTGATAGATGTTAAGAATGAGGATAGAACTACAAGTATTATTGATATACCAGATCAATTATTAAATATTGCATATGATCAAGCGGGTGAATTATCAAGTATAAGTTTATCAGATGGATCAGTACAAGTATACTCGGTGTTTGGTGAACAATTAAACCTTATACATACATTTAATAATGTCTTGGAACCTAAGATCAATACTTCAACGACTAAATTTGATTACGAAGAGGATAAAGATGAGTTATATACTTCAAAAACTCAATGGAGTAAAGATGGAAAATATATACTTTTACCATCAATAAATAATGAAGTTGAAGTTTATGAGAGAGAAAAGAATTGGGCCCTAGTCAAATCATTCAAGGCTGACTCAAAAATTATAGATTTTGATCTAAAAGATGGTAGATTAGCTATATTGACTATGGAAAAATATGAAATTTTTAATTTTGAAAGTAAGGCTTTAATTCATCAGGATAACTTTGAATTAAAAGATGGAGCATTTCCATTAAATATAGAATGGGAAAATAAATCAAGTTTTCTTATAGGAACCACGCATGCTGATGTTTTAAGATTTAGAGATGTGGTCAAAAGTGATGGAGCCTTGTCAGCGGCTAGTTTATTCATCGATGAATTTGCAAGTGAAGATGATGAAGAGGTAAGCGATAAAGAGGAAGCGGTTGGTCGTGAAAATTTAAATGAGGAGCCATTGGGTAACAAACGTGTATTTATCGATGAGGATGACGATGGATACAACTCGATTTTAGATGATGATGATGATATTAATGAACCACCTAATAAATACTCGAATGGTAATCTTAATGGACATTCCAATGGATATTCGAATGGTCATCATAAAAGACATAAATCAAATACTCCCCAACCATCTTTCGTCACCACACCGACTTCAACCAAAATAATACCGTATTCGCCAGGTTCTACACCATTTGTTAATTTAGGTGAAACAACAGATAGAAGATATTTGACAATGAATAATATTGGATATGCATGGATTGTAATAAATAAAGAAAAATCAACAAGTAATTCCATCACTGTTTCATTTTTTGATAGATCAATAAATAATGAATATCATTTTACAGATTATCAAAATTTTGATTTGGCTTCATTGAATCATAGATCTATAATATTATCTGAAAGTTCAAAAGGTTTAATTTTTTATAAATCTCATAATAATTTAAATGATAGTGGATTGGATTCATGGGAAAAGAAAATACCTTTATTGAAAGATGAATATATAACGAGTATTGTCATAAGTAATTCAAAATCTAATAATAATACCATTGTTGTTGGAACAAACTTTGGGTATTTGAGATTTTTCAATCAATTTGGATTATGTCTAAATGTCATTAAAACTAGTCCAATTGTTACCTTAGCAGCGTCTTCAAATAATATAATATTCACTATAAATCAACTAACGAATAATGTTTATTCGTACTCAATAATTGACATAATGCAAGATTACAAATATATACAACATAATTCGATAGTACCGTTGAAAGAATCAACAAATGGATCAACATTAAATTTAATCAAAGGTATATTTTTCAATGAATTTGGTGATCCTTGTATAGTATCTGGACATGACGATACTTTACTAATTTTACAATCTTGGAGAGAAACTGGAAATGCTAAATGGATACCTATTTTAAATTGTGTTGAAAAAATTACAGAATATGGAACAAATGAAAATAAGAAAAACTGGTCATGTTGGCCATTAGGATTAATGAATGACAATCTTAATTGTTTAATATTGAAAAACAGTAATAAATTCCCTGGTTTCCCATTACCATTACCTATTGAAATTGAAATTGAAATTCCTACAAAATTAAATGGTAAAGATGCAAAAGAAGATCAAGAAATAGAACAAAATGAAGAAGAATTATTTGTAAGATCATTAACTATGGGTAAAATGTTGAATGATACATTACAAAATTTTGAAGAAGAAGAACCACAAGATCAAGAATCTGAAGAAATTTTATCAAAACTTCAAAATTATAGTATGATTTTTGATAAATCATTACTTAAATTATTTGGAGAAAGTTGTAAAAATTCAAATTTAAACAAGGCATTTAGTATTGTTAAATTAATTAAAACTGATAAAGCACTTGCTGCAGCTTTAAAAATTAGTGAAAGAATGGAATTTTTAAATTTAGCTTCTAAAATTGGTCAATTAAGGGAACAATTATTGATTGATTTGAATGATGATAGTGACTAGTTACACTGATATGTATATTATAATGAATTATTTACAGTAAAAAAATATTTTGAAAATTCTATTAAAAACCACTTTTATTTAAATTGTTTTTGAATGTAGTGAAAAATTAAAGGACTAACCCATAATGCACCAGCAATTAATCCTGCAAATTTTAAAGTGTCATAAGCGTATTGTTCTTGTAATTTCTTTTGCTCTTCTGATGGTTGACCTCCTCCGTACATATTTGATATGAGTGTTGAATGTAAGTTTTACTTTTAATTATTTGATGGCTAATTCTAATGATATCATTTTTTATTTCGTTTGAAATTTTCTTTTTTTTAATTCCTCTTCAGATTTCGATTTTGTACCATTTTCCACGGTTTTGAGTAAACGATCATACAATCTTCTTTTGAGTATTAGTGTAACACATAACACAACTCTATCACTTTCAAATCAGACCACTGTGAAGTTAGCTATATTTATTACACCTCCCGCTTTTTAGATAATTATTTTAAATAATTATGACGTCGATAAAGCCTTTCCAATTGGAAGATTTATTCAACATCAACCAAGTCAACCTAGATCCATTGACTGAAAATTTTAATATATCATTCTACTCACAATATTTGAATACATGGCCTAATCTTTTTTACAAATCAACAGAATCGACAAATAACGAAGAAGAAGTAATAAGTGGGTATATGATGGCTAAAACGGAAGGTAGTTTGTCCAAAAATGAATTACATACTCATATAACAGCTGTTACAATAAATCAAAATTATAGAAGAATAAATTTAGCATCAAAATTATGTTTACAATTAGAAAAAATATCAGAAGTTCAACAAACGTTATTTATAGATTTATTTGTTAAAGTCACCAATGAATTAGGAAGAAAATTATATGAAAAATTAGGTTATAGTATTTATCGAAGAGTTATAGGATATTATGGAAAAACAATGCCTGATGATAGAAATAAACTAGATAATGATATTGATGCATTTGATATGAGAAAAAGCTTGCAATTGGATAAAAATAAGTCAACTATTAGAGAAAATGGTGATAAAGTTTATGTGTTACCTACAGAGATATTTTTTTAAAGAAAGACGATATAAACACTTGTTTAATAAACGATTTACGAACTAGAAAAAGCATTCAACAAAGACTCAATCTGAAATATAAGAGTTTGTTGTTGTATTATAGGACTTTTCATAATAGTCAGATTTAGGTGATAATGGCTACCAAGAGATCTTAAGTAGTATGATGATATATTACTGTGTTTCCATATATTTCTAAGCGTAATGCCTCTCATATATGTAAGAGGATGGTATGAATTAGGTCGCAAGCACAAAATTCACTATACGACTCGAGGGATTGACATGGTAAAACAATTTTAATTTCTTTCGTACTCTATAGTGCTTAACTTAGATTTGTAGATGACTGATATTCTAAATATTTTGATGACACAAAATGTCAAAAGATGTATGATATAAAATGATAATTTTGCTATTCCTTCACAGCAGAAACAAGGAAAAGAAGGCAAAACTATTGGCTATGTCACAGAGGTCGCTATTTAAAGGAAAGAAATTAGATAGAGATGGTGGATTATTATCCAATTCATCATCAAGAAATCAATCAAGATCAAGAACTCCAATGAGATCAGATGATTCAGATTATGAAAGTGATTATGATGAAAATGAATTATTAAAAATTGAAGAAATATTAAGGGAGAAGCTAACTGCTTTAAATACTCAAGATATGGGAGAAGTAGGTAAAGAAGATAGAATAAGTTCAAAAGATAGAAGACAATTTGAAGCTCATCAATTAAATAATAAAAGAATTCAAGAAAATTCAAATATAAAAGATATTATTACAAGTTTAACATTTTCAAGAAGTGATATAAGTTCTCAATCTAGGGAATTATTATTGACTCAATTATATAAAATTATAATTTCAAAACCACTTGTAATATATAATGAAGAAAATATTGGAAATAAATTGAATTATGTTGATGAAGAAACTGTTTCAATATTAATAAATCAATTTACAAATAGTAATTATCGAAGTGAATTGGAATTTTTATATTTATTTAAATCTGTGATTGCATTAATTTGTTCTGATATTGAAGAATTTGGAGTATTAATATCAAATGATTTTTTAAGTCATATTCAACAATTAATTCAAGGACCTGTGAATAGTATCGTAACATCAGAAAATAAATCAAATATTATAATTGGGTATACGACATTGACATTAATATTGTACAATGATTCCTCAAGTTTTGGAATCGATGATAAAGTTTCATTATTGATGGAAATTGCAGAAGGGTATAGTGCGAGTGCAACGACTTTACAAAAACAAATTGAACTGGGAGATCGAGAGCATGCTACATTTATAACGGATAAAAACTTGGATAAGAGACTAGTTAATGAGGCAACCTCAAAAGTTTTAGCTGAAGCTTCGGTTGCCACATCTGCATTAAATGGTGTTGGGTGTCTATTGACATTGATGAAAAAAGGTTCATATTTAAATGAAATAATGGAGGACCTAATGATAAGGTTAGTACCATTATTAGACAATGACGAGAATAGAGACATTGCCAAAGCGGCGGGTAAAGTAATAGCATTGATCTATGAACTATATGATTATGGAGTTGAAAAGGTTGAAAGTAATGGAAATGAAGAAGAAGATGAAGAGTATAATTTGAATGCGCCATATTATGAGCAAGAAACGTTATGTTCCATCCTTACTAGACTACTTAATTTATCATCTAAGAAAGTTTCCAAGAAAGACAAAAAAGAAATAAGTTCAGTGTTTAGAAACATTCTAAACACCATAAGGATATATACAAACAATACTGAAAGGGAACAAGTTTACAAAGGAACAAAAGAAGGAGTAGAGTTATCTCAACAAATAATGGATTCATCTTACATTAAATTATCAAAATATAGAATAATCAAAGTAAATTCATGGTATTTATACATAAGATTAAGACATTTAAAATGGTTATTTTCATTTGGGTTACATCTGCAATTAGTGAATAATGAATCAGTAAGAGATGTTTTGAAACTGCCTGAAAATGAATATTCTTATGGAAGTTCACTTACTCAAGATTATGAATATTTTGATGATGATGATGAAAGTCTGAATCAATATCATCATACATTAAATAGTATTAATGATAAACAAAGAAGTTCTAAAAGAAAAAAGGAAAGAGTTGCAAAATTAGATGAACAATTGGAAGAATTGAATTTGAATGTATGATTAATCAACTTGGATAAAAATCAGAGAAAATTTTATTTTTTCTGTTGAATTCTCGCTTAAACTTTGGCCTACTTGAAATTTAGAAATTGGATATCGCGAGTTCGAATCTTAAATTTTTGGCTGAACAAATCTTTCTTTCCGATTTTGACCGATGCTTAAATATGTGGAATACAGGAGATAGTCGGGTCGAGTTATTCAACGGTAATAGGACGATAAATTTTCATTCTTATGCAATCAATATCAATAAACAAGTCTGAATATCGAATTGACGTTTGATCATAGTTGAATATAGTTGTATTAAGCTGTAAGATAAGTTTATGAACATTAATACAGACACTTAGTTATCGAAATCTTTCAATTACGCAGAACACCATCCTCTCTGGTGACAACTTATTCAACTTATTCTACGATACCTCGAAAGAAGTCTTCACTTTTTGTTGAAAAAGATAAATCATGCTTGAAGAACTGTATTGGTTTTTATAATCAAATCGACATTGAAGTAATTTGCCTCGAGGAGTTTGACTTGATAGACTAAAAAAATAAAATATTTTTTTCAACAGGATTTAATGCATAATGACATCATTTTGATTTATGATAACTTCTTCTTCTTCTTCGGTTAAGAATTGTTATAGAGGAAATCTCAAAACCGTTTAAATTTCTATGCTTTCATAAGGTGATAAATCAAATTTTAATACCGTTGCAATACATGGAAGCCATGTTTCGAAGGCTCGAAGACGTTTTCAAGACTTGTCATTTTCGTAAATCTTGCAAACGGTTGTTGTTTTGCTTTCATTTACGTAAAAATAGGTAAAGTCAAACACATTACTCGATCGACTTAAAATTTAATGATGTGTTGAATTATTACATGTTAACTTGAGAATTTAATTACTTGAGTTCAAGACAACGGCCTAGAGCTATATGAAAGAATACTCAATAGCATTTCGCCATCGTAACCCGGTTTTCTCGTTATCTACCCTCTTTTACCGTTTGTCGATATTTTAATATAATAGAATGTCCAATTTTGTACACTATTTACACTAAATTTTAAGCTAGTAAATTTAGATTGTTGGTTACATCATATTTTCATATTCAAATCGTTAACGCTTTTTTTTTTTTTCATAACATCAAAAGGATCAAGAAGTTATTTCATCAAAGTTGGATCAACTACACCATTCACCATTTGTCAAAGTGTACCTTATCATTTTATTAAAAGTTTAAAAAGAAAACAAGCATATTTCATTTACGAAAAGATATTCTAAAAAGTAACATATTATTTCTTTTCTTGACATTTCAACCGTTAAGATCATTATAAAACCTACAACTAAAGATTTCGGAGTAATAACCCAAACCATTTAATACATAACCAAGCATCCAAGGAACAAGTTGAATCATTCTCGAAAATCACATAAGATTCGGTACTTTGCAAATTTCATATTTAAAAATTCCAATTTTGCATCTCAAAACACGTCCCATAAGGATAATGACATATATACTTCAGCATTACAAGCAAAATATAATATAAACTAATTTCTTTATATTCGTTAAATCATGACAGAACTATATTTCCTACGTCATGCCGAACGAATAGATCATGCATTAAAACAAAATCCAGAAGCTAAACCCATAATACCAGATTATCAACCATATGATCCTTCATTAGCAGAATCAGGAATAGATCAAATTAAAACAGTAGTAGATGATATTTGTTCAACAACTAATACTTTTCAAGATAAAGAAAATTCATTAAGGAAAAATGTATTCATTCATTTTAGTCCTTATTTGAGATGTTGTCAAACAGCTGATATTTTAATAACTGAACTAAAATCAAAATTTAGTGAATTATTCCCCAATTATAAAGTAAGGTTTCAGCTATTAGGAGATTTTGCACTAAGTGAATGGGTTCATGACAAAATGGAGAATAAACCACCATTTATTGATTCAAACGATGCATATAACATGTATACTCCTAACCTTAAAACGTTAAAGAATAAAAATGCATGTTCAAATTTTAGACCAACTATTTCATTAGGTCAATATAATGGTCCTGATTTAAGTTATACAGATTATCAAGCAAGAAGTAAAGAATATTTTCAAAAATTATTAGCAACTTATGATAAGCCTTCATATATCAAAAACCAAGATATCATAATAATAGTATCTCATGGATATATGATAAATAATTTTATGTCATATTTTATTAATCATCCTATATTTGAAGAAATTCCAAGCGCTACTATAAATTTTGCCAAAAGGATAGAAAAAGATGAAATAGAAGATATAGAAGATGAATATGATCCGAAAAATTTTTATTGGAAAATGGAACAAGATGCTTTAAATATTACAAAAGAAGAGGGCGTTGATACTGTTTTAAACTTAGAAAGTGATATTGTATATTATAAAACTAATTTTATCAAAAAAAATGAATTACTAAATAAACCAAAAGAAGAACATATAAAAGACGAATATAAACCTAGAGCTTCATTCAAAATTGAATCAACTTCAGCGTCTAAAAGTGCTGATGGAAAACCACCAATACGAAATAATTATTTATGTCCAGCTGCAAAAGATTGGGTACCGAATAAAAGACATTTTAATATTAAAGCTGAATTCAAGGAAAAAGTAATGAATGATGAATCATTTAGAAGAAATTTTGATATAACACATCCACCTTCAAAACAAATTAGTCCTGATGTTTCACCAAATTCAGCACCCACCAGATCCAACTCAGTTATCGATTTATCAAAAATATTAAGTAACGAGTCAGTACAACCAATAAAATTAAAATATTCAAATACTTCTGAAATCCCTATACATAAAATAAATTCTAGAGTTAATTCACAAGTTAATTTAGCTCAATTCAATAGATCGGCAAATTCATCTGCAGAAAATTCCACAACAGACTTACCAAAATATGTATCACAATTACAAAATAGACATAGATCAAGTTCAAATCCAAATTCATCAGTTTATGTTGCTCATCATACAAAAGATTCTTATTTCCCACAAGTAATTAATAGAGTAAGATCAAACGAATCAGACATGTCAATCGATTCAATTGGTGATGGTGTAGTGGATGAAATGGATATTATAAAGGAGAATGAACCAAGTTCTCTATCTATGTCCATAGCAGCTGCAGCATCAGCTTCTGCATCAGCATCAGTTTCAGCCGCCGCTGCTGCTTCTGCAATCCCCACGACAAGAGCATCACCAATGGATACTTTAAATAGAGCAAGATCATTAAATAAAAAGAGACCAAATAATCCTTTATTTTCATCAACTTTTCAACAAAAACGATCTCAGAATCAATTACCAACTTTTGGAAAATTAATATCAAATTCAAATCATAGTAATGATGTTAGTGAAAGTAGTGATGAATCTGAAAGTGATCATGAACCAGGTGAAGATATAAGTGATAATAATAGTAATCATCGTAGTTCAAAAGAAAATATTCTGTTAGCTTTCAAATCCAATAATCATCATCATAATAATCACAAAGCTAATCATAATTATAGTCCAGGACGTGAAATTTCCGGTTCGAATTCTCCAGAATCTGTATCACCACCAAGAGCAAAACATAATAGATCAAGAAAAAATTCAATACAATTCTATTCAACTTTATCAAATGGACAAAATGGATCATCGGCAACGTCTCATCAATCACAACAACAGCAACAACATCAAAAGCCTAGACCTATATTTTATAATTTCGATACTGATGGTGATGATGATGATGATGATGAAAGTGGGAGTGATGATAGTATGTCTGACGGTTATAGTTCTTCATCCAACTTTAAAACTAAAAAGAAAGATAAAGATGATTATTTTTGGTTTGGTCAAAATAAATAGCTTTAATTAAATCCATAGAATATACGATTTTAATGTCTAGTATATCTGTAAGGGACTCGAGCGTTCATTTGGTAACATTTGATACAGATTCTGTGGTTAGTTTGGTAGCATTTACCGCTTTTTCTGATAAGGTTTAAACCATTATTGAAACCATTTCTATTTATCCAACCTATGTTTACAGTCCACAATCGTGACTCAATGATATGACCACTATTTCGCACCAACCATCAGACTCAACCCTTTCCAAAACTAAAATATCAACAACATTTGGACTCTCGAAAGATTTAAAACAACCAATAATTGTAAAGATATGTTATTTAGAATCAACTATACCTAATTCTGAATTAAAATTAGCAAAATTATCTCAAAAATTTGAAGATCCTTCAGTATTTAAAAAATTATCAAATATTTATAAGTATTCAGATTTATTTGTTAAAATTGAAGTATTTGATGGTAAAAATAATAATTTAATAAGTATACCAATTCAAACAACTTATCAATCATTTAATAATAAAAAACGATTATGGAATCAACATTTAAAATTATCAATAAATTATGATCAAATTGATTATGATTCTTATTTGAAATTTTCAATTTGGGAAATTATTGATACTAAACCTGAAATGTTTGGTTATGGATTTATGAGTTTATTTAATTTTAATACATCTACTTTAAGATGTGGATCCCAAAAAATTCCTATATTCACGAACATGGATGAAACAGTTTTGGAACAAAATGAAAAAAATATAAATTATAGAGATCAAATTGGATTGACTGATCTTGAGAAAGATTTGATAAAGTATGAAAATGGAGAGTATCCCAGAATCAATTGGTTAGATAAAATGTCCTTACCCAAAATTAACAATCTAATATCAAGTAATACGTATGATACAAGTCGAAAATATGATTATTATTTATACGTCGAATTACCACAATTTGAATTTCCAATCGTATTTTCAGATATAACATTTGATATACCGAAAATTGAGCCAGTTATTGAACCTAATATTGCTCCCGTTCCCATAAATACAATGAGTAAAATTTTAAATTCAATAGATATCCCAAAATCAACATCACAAGATAAATTCAAGCCCAAAATTCATGACCCTGATTTTCAAATTACTTCATTAAATTCTGCAACACTTAATAATACAACTCAACCTAATACCAATAATATCAATTTAGAAGATCCAATAGAATTGAAATTTCACAAATTAGAAAGAAATATAAACAATAATTCAATAATTGATAAAGATTTAAAACCATCACCACAATTAAGAGATGAATTAACTAAAATTTTATTAAAACCATCAAATGCAGAATTAAGTGATTATGAAAAAAATTTAATGTGGAAATTTCGTTATTATTTTAGTAAAATAAATTCAAATGAAATTACAACAAAATCAACTACAACAAAACTGTTTTTACCTAAATTTTTAAAATCTATAAGTTGGGAAAATGAATATGAATTAGATCATACTTTTAAAGAAATTTTACCTCTTTATTGGAGTGTAGATAAAATTCAAATTGGTGATGCTTTAGAACTTTTAGGTAATTATTTCAATCCTTATGTTCTTGGTAAATCCATTATCAAGAATGAAAATAATGAGAATTTATTAAAGACAGATCTTAAATTAAAAGATGATGAGATTAGCTTTCAAAAAATTTTTGATAATGTATGTTATTTAAGAAAATTAGCTGTTGAAAGATTAAGATTGGCAAGTAGTGAAGAATTGTTATTATATTTGTTACAATTAGTTCAAGCATTGAAATATGAGGCATTAATTTATCAAGATTTAAATGGTGAAAGCAGCGAAGAGTCTGAATTGGATTGTATGAAGTTACCATTGGCTAATTTTTTAATTGAATCAGCTGTGGAAAATGAAATATTAGGAAACTTTTTCTACTGGTATGTGAAAGTAGAAAATGAAGATCAACTTAATGCTGTACAGGGTAATATTGAATCGATTTATGGAATTATTTTAAATAAGTATATTGAATGCTTGAAGATATATTGTCATGAACATAAATTACCTTACTACAAACATTTGAAAAGACAAATTTGGTTTATTAAAAAATTGACGAATCTTGTGGAATTGATTAGATCTTCATTCAAAAAGAATGAAGCAACTGCAAAAAAAGTAGAATTTTTAAGGGATTATTTATCAGCAACCACAAACGAATTGAATAGATTTCCAGAACCATTTCCACTACCATTGGATCCAACAATAATGGTATGTGGATGTTACCCTGAAGAATCATCTGTTTTTAAATCTTCATTAGCACCACTCAAAATAACATTGAAGACCGTTGAAACTAAAAAAAAATCTGGTAATCAACATACAACTTCACAAATATTTGGACAGAAATCTAAAAAATATGGTAAATATCCTTTAATGTTTAAAATTGGTGATGACTTGAGACAAGATCAATTAGTCATTCAAATTTTGAATCTTATGGACCAATTATTAAAGAATGAAAATTTAGATTTGAAATTAACTCCGTATAAGATTTTAGCAACTAGTCCCATTGCAGGTTTAATCCAATTTGTGCCTAATGAAACTTTGGATTCGATTTTGTCTAAAAACACTCAAATCAACACAAATTCAAATAATAATACAGCTACTACAATTGCAACCACTTCATCAACTGACCAATCCCCACAAATTTCAACCAATGGTATACTAAACTATTTGAGACTACATAGTCATGATCAACAAATAGTTGAACCAATTTCTAAAAGTGTTTTGAATTCTTCATCAATTACAGATTCATCAAAAATTCCTAAACAACCAAAACAAACTGTAACATCGGATCTTGGGGTATCACCTATACTAATGGATAATTATGTCAAATCATGTGCTGGATACTGTGTTATAACGTATATCTTAGGTGTAGGAGATCGTCATCTTGATAATTTATTACTATCACCCAATGGAAAATTTTGGCATGCAGATTTCGGCTATATTTTGGGTCGAGATCCCAAACCTTTTCCTCCACTTATGAAATTACCAATACAAGTTATAGACGGAATGGGTGGTTTACAACATGAAAATTATAATATATTTAAAAATTATTGTTTTATAACTTATCAAACATTACGAAAAAATTCAAATTTGATTTTAAATCTTTTTCAATTAATGATGAATGCTAATATTCCAGATATTAAAATTGATCCAACAAGAGTTATTGAAAAAGTGGAAGAAAAATTTTGTTTAGGTATGAATGAAGAAGAAAGTATATTACATTTTCAAAATTTAATTAATGACAGTGTGAATGCTTTTTTACCTGTTGTCATTGATAGACTACATAGTTTAGCTCAATATTGGAGAGCCTAATTAAATTGAAAGTCTATATTACTTATTAGTTTGCTCTATAATATCTATGAAATATTTCCTTTTTACTTCTCATGAGTGAACTCATAAATATCACCCAACTTATTAATGTAATAGGTCGGTGATTCATTAGCATCTAACGACTTGACTCTCTCTTCTGTTTCAATACCTGTTAAAACCAACATAGTATCTAATCCACCATTCTTGCCAAATTTCATATCTGTATTCAATCTATCTCCAATCATTAAACCTTTACCTGGGTGTTCTTTTAAGCCAGGCAACTGAGCTTTAATTGAATTCATCATACTTTGATTTGGTTTACCGCATATAGCATCTGGTTGTCTACCACTAGCATATGATACAGTTTCAATAATTGAACCAGCACCAATCAATAATTTTCCATGAGATGGAAAAGTCGAGTCTATGTTTGTTGCAATGAATGGTATACTCTTATTGTCTTTTATAAGATATTGCATTGTCATTGACAACTTCAAGTAATTAATGTTGAAGCATAAACCACATAAAACACATCCTACGTTGGAGTCTATCTCATTTAACAATGGAGTATTTGGATCAAATACAATTCCATTCTCACTATATTTGGGATCAGTTCCTCCAACTGTAGTATAACCCAATTCTTTTAATTCTTTTTCAATTCCTTCTTCACCCAAGACCCAAATTTTTTTATCTTTAGGTAAATTCAATATTTTATCAATGTAAACAGCACTAGCAAAAGAAGATCCAAATATTTCAGACTTATTAATACCTGTTATTCCCATTTTAGCAAATTTTTTCAAATAATCATCTCTCGATTTTGTTGAGTTATTGGTTACAAATATAACGGTCTTATTTCTTTGTTTTAAATATGTTAAAGTTTCTTCAATTGATGGTAATAAATGATCGCCTAACCATAATACTCCATCACAATCGAATAAAAAGTAATCGTATTTGTCTAGTATTAAGTTTTGAACTTGTTGTTTATCCGTTATTTTGACTGACATGATATTTCAAAAATTGAGGTTTGGGGTCAACTGAATTGGTCTTTTGTCTGCTGTTCTTGCTTCTATTTTTATAATTTACTAAATTCATCAATAAAAGTCAGAGATATCTCACACAAAATCACCAGATCTAAATGTTATCAGACCAACGGCCGTTAAAATTACAATTCAGAACTACCATATGCAACTGAGTAATACACTCGATGTATTCTGGTTGCAAAATCACAAATGAATTCTTCAACTTGGATGCTGATTAGTCAAGCTATCAAAATGGTTTATCAAAAAGTTTAAGGTTCATTATGTTGTAATATGTGTCTTTGAAAAAGTTGCTGATTTTCTCAAATCAAATGATCAATTAATTCCTTAATTTACTAGAGGATAGATGGTGTAAACATCTTCAGTTTCCTAGAGAGCATGGTATAGACTTAGCTTATAGAATTAATTCAGGGAAGGCGATGTGTCTTTAAATTCATCATAACCTCAGGTCGTTATGTTTCACTCAATATAGCCGTTTAAAGTTAAAAATTACTTAGAAAAGGAACTCTCGGTTTTAAATTTATTTTTGAATGAGAACTCCTTAAGATCAAGACTAAACAACAACGAAATATAATCTCATCAATACCCCTTTAATATCATCCACATAAGCCAATATAATGGCAACAACCACACAATACAATACCACGGAACCAGTAGCAGGTCTAGCTAACAATAATATACACGATTTACACAATGGTATAGAAGGTACCAATCATCATAACGCTCCTGATGATGATCAATATGATAATTATAATTCAGATTCAGCTTCGGAAGATGAACCTTTAGATGTGGAAAAGAAGGAACGAAGTAGAAAACCATCGGATAATGCATTTAGACAACAAAGATTAAAGGCTTATAATCCTGTTTTAACAGCTAAAACCGTTATACCCTTGTTGATTGCAATTGCAATAGTATTCGTTCCACTTGGAGCTGCGATGTGGTATGCATCAGATAGAATTGAGGATATCACTATTGATTATTCGCAATGTGAAAACTTAGCAAATTATGATACTTGGTCTACTATTCCTGAAAATTATACAAGTTACAATTATAGAAAATCTTTCTATGATTATCAACCAAGTTTTGCTTGGAAATTGACTAATGACTCATCACAGCAATTTGAAGATGAGAGAAAGGTGTGTCAAATACAATTTCAAGTGTTGGAGGAAATAAAAGGACCATTATATCTCTATTACAGATTACATAACTTTCATGCAAATCATAGAAGATATGTCAAATCTTTTAGTGAGGATCAATTGAATGGAAAAAGTGCAAGTTTAGACGATATCAAAAACACTGTAGGTCAAAATTGTCAACCTTTGAGTGACAGAGATGGTGTCAAAATCTATCCTTGTGGATTGATAGCAAATTCATTATTTAATGACACGTACTCAACAGCTTTCCAAGCTGTAAATGGTACATCGGCAAACAAGACTGTGATTTTGACTGAAAAGGGAATTAACTGGAGTACTGATAAAAACAGATTTGTTAAAACCAAATATAATTACACTGAGATTGTTCCACCACCAAATTGGTACAAAATGTTTCCAAATGGTTATAATGAAACTAATATTCCAGATATTTCAACTTGGCCACAGTTTCAAAATTGGATGAAACCAAGTGCTTTAGCAACTTTCAATAAATTAGCTTTGAGAAATGATACAGCAACACTACAACCAGGTCAGTATCAAATTAATGTGGGCTTACATTTCCCTGTTTTACCATATAATGGTAAGAAATTCATATATTTGAGTCAAAGATCAGTTATAGGTGGTAAAAATGATTTCTTAGGTATATCATGGATGGTTGGTGGTGGTATATGTTTCTTATTGGGTTTAATTTTATTAATTATCAATTTTATAAAACCTAGAAAAACAGGTGATACAAATTTATTGAGTTGGAATCAAGATAAAATCAAAAGGGATGAAGCAAATGCCGCAAAATCTGATTTAAATGGGTATGAAAAATGAGCCTGTCTATTACCTTAATTTCATGACCTGAATTCAATTCAACCCTTACTGGAATATTTTGAGTCTTTTTTTAAATGGTTTATGGAATGTTTATCATAACGGATGTATTTCTTTTCATCCAAATGAGACCGGATTGAAAAAATGGTATTTTATGTTTAGTAAGCTTATATGTCTACTTAGGATTAAATAATGATTGTATAGAGAATAAATGCGAGTTTTGCAAGATTGTGTAAAGCCGACTTGCACTATTTAGGAAATACGGATTATTAATCATGTATTCATTTCGGAAAAATATAATTCAATACAAAGCTTTGATATAAATAATTTCACTTCACAAAAACATGAACGAAATCTGCCTCTCTCATTTGTCTACGACGGATATTCAAATTAAGCTTTATGGCGAAATTACTGATGTGGCTGATCCAATAAACAGTTAATAAGTAAAAAATAATAGGAAATTCAGTAAATACAAAGATGAGCGGATAATTTACTAGCATCTTTGTGTTTCAAATGGATTAGATATTTGTAAATTTAAAGTTGCGGAGTTTTTTAATATTGTTCCATATAAAACAGTATGATTACTAGTCAAATGGCAATTAAAATTATGGAACTATAGAGAATATAAATACATTTAAAAATGGTCAATTCCATACTAAATTGACACTTATTTTATTCAAAATCAGATCAAAGCAAATATTGATAATGTCAACCGCAACAAAATCAATTCAAGTTACTTTAAAAAAATCGCCAAAAGATTTCATTAATCCAAATTTTGATGAGCCAAATTCAACATTTGCAATAAAAGAGACGGAAATTCCTGAATTGAAAGATGGTGAAATTTTAATTAAAACGAGATTAATTTCAAATGATCCCACTCAAAGAGGTTGGATTAGAGACAAATCAAGTAAACAAAGATATTATGTCCCACCAATTGAAATTGGTACTCCAATGGCTTCTTTAGCTATAGGAGAAGTTTTGGATAGTAAATCATCCAATTACTCCAAAGGTGATTTAATTAATGGTAAATTTTATTGGGCTGATTATATCATAGTTAATGAAAAAAATGTTATTAATAAAATTGATCAAAGTTTGGGATTACCTTTAGAATATTATTTGTCAGTATTGGGTATGACTTCATTAACTGCCTTATTTGGTTTAATCGAAGCTGGAGGGTTAAGAAAATATTTAGGAGATGAAAAAGCAAAAGATTTAACTTTATTAGTTTCTGCTGCTTCAGGTGCAACTGGATCTGCCGTTGTTCAAATTGCTAAAAACTTATTAGGTGTAACTAAAGTATTGGGTTTATCAGGATCAAATGATAAATGTAAATGGGTAGAAAGTTTAGGAGCTGATAAATGTTTCAATTACAAAGATTCAGATTATCAACAACAAATTGATGATTATTTAGGTGATTCATTGTTAAATGTATACTTTGATAACGTAGGTGGAGAGATTTTGAACTATGCATTAACTAAAATGGCCAATAAGGGTACTATCATATCTTGTGGTTCAATCTCAACTTACAATTCATCGACTCCTCCATCAATTACCAACTGGGGAGAAATCACTGTTAATTCATTATCAGTACATGGATTCATTGTTACTGATTATATTTCAAAGTTTAAAGAAGGAATTGATATATTATCTAAAGCTTTAAAAGAAGGAAAAATTAAAGCAACTGGCTCTTACCATGTTGATACTTTAGAGGGTCCCAATGAGGTTAAGAAATTGGAACAAATTCCTAAAATATGGAATCAATTGTTTACTGATAATAAACCAAATGGTAAGTTAATTACTAAAGTTGCATAATGTATTTGAATGATCGAGATTGTATTTACTAAAGTAGCATTATGCATTTGAATGTTCGTTATTGTATAATTATATAGTTTAATCAAAAGTTGCAAAAAAGGTGTGAAACTATTTTTTTTTTTTAATTGCAAATCAAACAGTTGAAACAATATCATTATTACTACCTTTTTTTGTATGTGTCTGTATAAGCATTCAGCGCTTTGCCAGTTAACGAAAGATAATATTGACGACCACATCTTTGAATTATACTCGACAAATGTCCCTCCCAATAACTTAGGTTTCATAAATAATAAGTCCAATAAATTATTAATAACGTTACCCAGATCCCAAATTGATTTAGAAATTACTCAATCGATATCTCAATTATCTTCCAAATCTGCAAGTAATAGCACCACTGGTTTTGTTTGTTGGCAAGTATCTGTATTGTTTGCTGATTGGATATTATCATCGCCTAATTGTCCTTTCAAATTAAATGAACAAGATATCGTTTTTGAATTGGGGTCAGGGATTGGAGGAATATGTGCTTCAACCATACTGAAAAAAGTTGATCATTTCATTGGTTCTGATCAAAAGCATATTTTAAAACTTTTAAAGGAAAACATTGAAAACAACTCTTCAGATTTTATCAGTTCTACAATCGACTCCAACTCGAACTCAACAAATTCAAGTAAGCATATTAATGTGGTCGAGTTTGATTGGGAACAGCCAGAATATGGGATTCACAATCTCCATAAAGTAGTTACTCGGCCACCTGATTTGATCATAGCTTGTGATACAATTTACAATGAGTATCTAATTAAACCATTTATCAAATCATTAAAAACTTTACTTGGTTTAAAATCAGTTGCGTTAATCGCCGTACAATTGAGAGATGCAATAACTTTGGAAAGTTTTGTTACAGCATTGATAAATGATGATGAGATACTGTCATATACTGTCCTGGAGCAATATTTGAGTGATGAATTGCGACGAGGTTTTCAAATTTATTGTATTGAACGAATTCAGGATAAACATTCCAAAGTGTAGGACTATTAAGCAAATGCTCTGTAGATTAAAATCTCTTTCATTTTTTCTATTCGAAAAGCTAATTACCAATACTTAGGTAAACTTAAACTCAATGGATGAAATAAAACCTTGAGCGACAATAGTTGAAAATTATTTTGAAACAAAAATGTAAATAATATTTTTGAGAAATTGTATACAGAGATTCTTAGGTTAAATCAAAGAAATCCTACCACCCTTCATCGTACAAACAAATACATTTACCTTCATGAACTAACGATCAATTCATTTCAGCATCTAAAATCTTGTATATATATATCTTAGCATCAAAATGACTTCGCCCTTTGGAGGGTTTTTCACACAAAAAAACGGTAATACTATAAGTAATAATATTCAACCTTCATTTACATTTAACAACAACACGGCGTTCACCAACAATCAACCTACGTTTTCCAATGGAGTTCTACCGAGTGGCAATTTGAATCAGCCGAAGCCAAGCGAGAATAAAAACTTTTCACCAGCAAAACGAGGTCCATTCAAGAATCAATCTAAAAGATTTGGTAAATCAATTGAACCCATCGATCATGAGATGAAAAGTCTGTCATCCACACCAACACCACCTAATTCGAATAACAGCAATGGAAATCAATCTCAAGAAACCCAAACACAAATATTCAATCCAAAAGATGTAGAGATGACAGGTCCATTATTTTCTAGTCCCCTGGCATTTGGATTTCAAAAGCAAAATAAAACCATACAACCAAGACCAATTCCAAAATACTTTCTAACACAACCAAAATACTTGGTGACTCAATCGTTTGTTCAGAATGAATGGGATAAACAAAATCAAATAAAAATGGAAGACATGGAATCAAAGTATCAAGGTAAAGATTATCAAGGACTATATGAAGAGTTACAAAAACTAAGAGAAGTAGAGAGAAAGGAGATGGAAAATTTGGGATTAGTTGATGCCGAGAATACTGCAAAAAACTTAAATGAAGCAATAGCTTTTCAAGGATCGTGTCTAGATATGTGTCCGGTATTTGAAAGAGTACGAAGACAACTTGAAAACAATGTCAAGAATCTTGAAAAAGACCCTCAAACTAATAGGATATCAAAGGAAAGAGCTGTGAAGGCATTTTCAAGACCAGCTGCTGGCCAGCCACCTCCATTACCATCAGAAGTACGACCACCTCATGTTTTAAAACAGACTTTGGATTATTTAGTTGACTCGATTGTTGATAAATTACCAGAAGCACATTCATTTATATGGGATAGAACAAGATCAATAAGGCAGGATTTCACGTATCAAAATAGTTTTGGACCAGAAGCTGTTGATTGTAATGAGAGGATAGTTAGAATACATTTATTGTCGCTTCATATAATGGCAGGAAGTGATATTGAATATTCTCAACAACAAGAATTAGAACAATTCAATAAGGCATTGCAAACATTAATGGAAATATACCAAGATGTAAGAGATAATGGAGGCATAGCGCCTAATGAAGCTGAATTTAGAGCGTATTATTTGTTAAGTCACTTTCGAGATCCCGACTTAGAAAGACAAATCCAGAACTTATCGACTGATATTTTTAATGACTCAAAGGTGCAACTAGCGTTGAAACTAAGAAATATTATATCACAAAATAACATTCAGGAAAGAAGTGTGAACAATTTGATAGGTGCATTGGATTTATATGTGGAGTTTTTCAAAATTGTGTACAGCGAAGAGACTCCGTTGTTGATGGCATGCTTATTAGAGACTCAATTTAGTGAAATAAGATTTTATGCTTTGAAAGCTATTTCAAGAGCATTCCATACAAAAGGTAAGCTATATTCAATACAAAATTTGCAAAATGTTCTTGGATTTGACTCAGATGAAAAACTCATTAGGTTTTTGAATTATTATGAGATCGATATTATCCAATCAAATGGGGAAATGTTGGTTGATTTGTTCAATAAAAATAAATTGCAATCTCAGTATAAGTTGAATTCATTTACTGAAAAACCAAGACCGTCACCAACTTATTCTTCTCAATTGGATTCAAAAATTAAAGGGAAAAGTTTAAAACAATTTATTGATAGTGGAGTACCAAATAATGGTTTCAATTTAAAAACTGATCAAACTATTCTAGCGTCGAATACAAAATTAATAGATATACCTAGAGTTCAGCCAACAATATCGACGACAAAGCCCAATGCATTTTTCAACAATATTGATTCAAAGTCTTCTGAAATCAAAATACCAAATTTTCAACCACCTCAATTAAATCACAAACCTCAACAAACAGCACCAGTTTTTAAACAAGATATTAAACCCTTTGAACCCCAACCGCAGATTCAGCAACAGCAAAGTTCGCTTTTTTCGTTTCCAAAAATGCAACAAAATTTACTTAATGGATCCAGTACTAGTGCGGTCTCAAATAAACCACCAGCAACCCAATCACCCTTCTCCTTCGGATCAAGTAATACCTCATTTACCGCAACTCAAGAAAAAGCATCTGACAAAAAATCCATTCTTCCTCAAACCAAACCAAAAATTGATTTTTCATTTAATAAACCCACGTCGAATGAGTCTTCAAATTTTTTAGCACCTAAGAAAGTGACTTTTGATTCAACCCCAGAAATTAGAACCATTCCTTCTAGAAACGAAATACTCAGATCCGAAGCTTCATCAGATTTTCAAATACAACAAGAAGTCGATGCAGTACCAAAACAAAGGACATTGAAGGATAACATGAAATTTTCCTCAGCTGTAAGAGACATTGTCAACGATTTGTTCAATGACGTTATTGATATTGAACTACGTCAATATTTGCCCCAATTACTTCATGATCATAATTTGAAAGTTAAAAGACGTAACGTTATAAAATCATTAACTATGGATTTATTTTCTGCATTCATTGCTGAGATCAGTTACGAATTCATGATAGAGGTCAAAGCAATTTATAGGTACGACATGTTGGTTAAAAAGAAGTCAATACGTAAATTAACGAAGAAGGCAAGGGAGTGCAAAGAAAATTACGAAATCAAAAAAATTAAGAGAAATGAATTAAATTCTGTTTCATTCTCACAGCAGTCATTGAAACGAATGAGTAGTAGGGATGAAGCAAATGAAAGTTTTAAAAGGAAAAAACAAAGGGGAATTACTCAAGATTTAAATATTGCCAAAAAACAAAAAGAGATACAGAAATTTTGGGAACCCTTAGATTTACAAAACTTTATTGACATTTGTGCGTCAAAATTAGAGTTGAAGATAGAAGAATTAAATTTGAATCTAAAATGGTTATTAGTTGTTGAAAATTGGGAAACAGATTATTCAAGATGGCTCAAATCAAAATTTAATATTAAAGCTAATATGAATTTAATGGTTTATGAAAACCATATTGGAAATAGTAAAATTGATCTAAATATAACAAGCTTACCACCGAATGACAAATTAAATAAACAATTTTTCAGTAATTGTTCGTTTGTCTTATTGGAATGTGGATTATGCTCAAAGACCAACAGCACTGACATATCTCAGAAATTGTCAACAGACGCCAAAATTTTGAGGAAGATTTTATCGATGATTGAAAAATATTCGCTATATGAAACTCACATCATGATTTTATTTTGGGATGTGAATCAATCGGGACTATCAAATAGTGAAATCACAAAAGCATTACATTTAGATCAATATAGGTCAATTAAAAGCTTGAAAAATTTGATTCTATGTGATATGACCGTGAGTCAGGATGATCTAAATTTCGTCCTCACGGAAGCTGTTAATAAAATCTCATCTGATTTTGATGGAAGTCTTTCCGATCGAGGTAAAAGGCATCAATTGAAAATAATGAAAAGAAAAAAGCTAGAAGAACAAAACAATCTTCGTATCAAGAAACAAGAAGAAACGAACTCCTCAAATAAAGTAAGTCAATTAGAAAACAAGATGATGAATCAAGCTAAAGTTTTGAAGAAATACAGCTATCTTAACTCAGAGTATAATAAACCAATCAGTCCATCTAGACCCATAATTAATTCATCTCATATGAATTCAAATTCACTCGCAAATAAGTCCTTAGCCAAAATTATTGCAACAAGAAAAGCTTCGAGATCAAACTTCACTCTTGCAGGATCAACTAATTCAACTTTTTTCAATTCTACAGCATCATCATCAGTTATATCGAATGGTTCATTATTTAATGGACTTGGTAAAGGAGTGATTGAAGAAAGCACTCCTATAAATTCACCGAAAAGAACATTATCAAATGTGTCAATATCCAACTCATCTTTTTCATCAGATTTAAGATCACAGGACTCTCCAAAATTATCAAATGAAGATAAACTTAAAAAGTTAAGGAATCTTGCAGCTGGTGTTAAAACGAAATACTTACGATCCAACTTGTCAGATAAAAACTAAGCATTTAAATAGAATTTATTAATATAATGTATTATTATTGAATGATTTAATTCATTAGTAATGTCTTGGTCCATTCCACTCTATATTTCACAACGCGCCGCACTCTCATGTCCGAATTCAGTAAATACATTAGTTTTCTAATTTAAGTTATCAATAAATTAATTTTTCAGTGACAATAAAAGAGAGAACAACACAATTCGATTTCAATTGTTAACGAAAATTTAATCTGAAATTCATTAATCAATCCATCCTTGTTGGCTAGTCACAATTTAGTCAATAAGATTTTGCAAAATAGGCACCAATAAAGAACTTAAACTATTAGATAGATACAATTGGTAAAATTACTTTTTTTTTAATTACATCAATTTCAAATCCACATCAAATTCAAATCCGGCTTTATTTGGAAATTGTAATACTTTAGAAAATGGATTTATTAAAAGATGCAGCTAAGAATTTGAACCTATACGAAGTGAAAGCTTATGTTCGTAAAGCTCAAAACGGTATGTATAATGCATCACAATGTATGTTGAAGACATTTTGTACTAACTTCATCGACTTTAGTTGCTATGAACCTAACTGAAATTGAATCAAAAGTTCGTGAAGCCACAAATAATGAACCATGGGGAGCACCAAGTACTTTAATGGCACAAATCGCCTCTGCAACATACAATTATAGGGAAAGAGAAGAAATCATTGCTTTTATATTTCGAAGATTTACTGAAAAAGCTGCAAACGAATGGAGACAAGTGTATAAATCCTTACAATTATTAGATTATTTGATTAAAAATGGTAGTGAGAGGTTAATTGATGATGTAAGATCTAATTTGTCATTGATTCAAATGTTGAAATCATTTCATTATATAGATTCTAAGGGAAGAGACCAAGGTATAAATGTTAGAAATAAAGCCAAAAATTTGATTAACTTATTAAATGATGATACTCAAATTAGAAATGAACGTAAAAAGGCAAGAGCTAATCAAAAAAAATTTGGAGGTGTCTCATCAGCTGCTTTTGGTGGTGCTTCATCAATAGGAACTAGCTTTGGTAGTGGCTCTAGTTCATTTAACGACGTTGATGATGATGAATTTTCAAACAGGGTTTACGGTGATGGTGGTGTATATGGTGAAAGATATGATGATCCTGCATCTGCTTACAATAATGGCTCTACAGGCAATGGAGGAGATCAATTTGAAGAATATGATGTTCAACCAACAACAAAGACAGCCGTGTCTAAAGCTACTACGGGTCAAGCTTCAAGGGTAAATGCAAAAGCATCAAAATCAAAACCACAACCAAAGGAACCACAGGCAGATTTAATAGGTGATTTATTAGGTCTCGATGATGCCCCTAGTCAGACCCAAACCACTACAACAGGAGATGACGATGATGATGATGATGATTTTGATGATTTCCAAGCAGCTCCCTCACAAACACAAAGTAATTCAAATAACTTATCGAACAATTTATCAAGCTTATATCATTCCCAACCATCACAACAACAACAGCAAAAACAACAACCACAATTTACACAATTCCCATCTCAGCAAAACATTTTTGCTTCTTCAAATAATACGGCCTCATCATCGTCAAATTTTGGCTCCGCTTCATTATCAACTGGTCCTGCCAAATCATCAAACTCAAATGATGCCTTTTCATCACTATTCCTGTCTGCTAAAACTAAATCATCAAACTCAAATCCAAAAACCAATACAGTATCAAGTACAGCTGCAGCACCAAAACCCACAACTCAGCAGAAACAACAAGATGATGACTTTTTTGGTGATTTTAGTTCATCGAGTCAATCAAAAGTCTCTGGCTCCAAAAATGGAAATACAACAAATAGTAGTAATAACGCTGGAGGCGAGGTTGATTTGTTAAGTTTTTAGAGTAGGGTAGAAAGAAATGAAAAAGTTGAGAATACTATTTAGGTATCTATAAAATTCGAAGTTCCAATTTCTCAGGGTTTTCCACAACTGAATTCATCTCTATGTCGGCCTATGTTGAACCCTACGATTAATCCTACGATGTGATTAATCCTACGATGTGATCAATATACCATGATCTTGTATAAATCTGTACTCAGTAATTTTGTTTGTTTGAGCTCTATTCGTTTTTTGGGGTAATTTCTTCAACTTTTTGTTCTTCAATATTCTAAAAAAATATTCTATTGGACTCAATATAGTTTACTGCGAAAAGAAAATTAAGATACGGAATTTTTCATTTAAGTATTAGCTATTATAATCCACAAATCAATTCTAATATTATGCTCAAATCAACCATTTCCACGTCAATTAAACCATCAATTAGGTACTTTTCATCAACTAGAGCTGTACTCGGTACAAAAGTGTTTTTTCAAACTTCAATAAATGGGGAAAAGCAACCACCAATCAAATTTGAATTATATGATGATGTAGTTCCTAAAACTAGTGAGAACTTCAAGGCATTATGTACTGGTGAAAAGGGGTTTGGATATGCCGGATCTATTTTCCATAGAGTTATTCCAAACTTTATGCTTCAAGGTGGTGATTTCACCAACTTCAACGGAACCGGTGGTAAATCAATGTACGTATTTTAACCACAAACTTTATTCTAAGTTGATGAAAATTGAAAATTATACTAACAAAGTTATTAGCTACGGTGCTAAATTCAATGATGAAAACTTCAACAAAAAACATGATAGACCAGGTTTATTATCAATGGCTAATGCTGGTCCAAACACAAATGGATCACAATTTTTCATAACAACTGTACCAACCCCTTGGTTAGATGGAGCTCATGTTGTATTTGGAGAAGTCATTGATGGATACGATACTGTTAAAAAAATCGAGAGTTACGGATCACAATCTGGTAGAACTACTGCCAAAATTATCATTGATGAATCTGGACTCGCCGATGAATAATTTTGGGGATTTTTATAAGTACATAGAGAAAAAAAAATGTGAATACATATTTGAGTTTAGATAATTCATGAACTGAGTTCAATTGATTCAAAAAACAAAAGGATGAAGACCTCGCGACTATCTGGAACACTCAAAAAGACTAATTCAAATTTGATAATTTCTTCATTTTCATTAAATACTACATCTTCACCATCTACGTCATTGTCTATTTACTGAACAGTTGGACCCTCAATAATCTTAACAATTTCAGCGGGTTTTTTCTTCTTCAATTGAGATAATTTATCATAATCACCAGCCAATATTCTAGCTACAACTAAATCATCTCTATCTTCAATTTCTCTCTTTGATTTGTTTTCATTACTTAAGAATTCAATTGCTTTTGCAGTATCACCATGGAAATATTCTTCCATAGCTCTTAATCTTAATTCTTTTTCTGCCCAGATTGGACCATCTGATTCACTTGCTTTTACTTGAGCTGTGTATTTAACGTATAAAATATAAGCAAATATTGGTAAAACAATATAGAAATATGGGATTTCCCAACCTTCTGCTTTTGGAGTTTCTCTAATGATTTTCCATTGTAAAGTCCCTGTTTTATCATCTTTATATGGGATTTTATCTATAATTTTACCAGCATCTTTAGTAACAAATTGGAAGAATTTCAAATCATTTGAATTATCTTCAAATAATTTAATTGATTCCTTTGAAATGTTGGGCAATATATAATTCCATTCTGAATAATTTCTTTTATAGTACATATTTTGTAATTCTGCTATTGTTTTAAATTCTGAATCTGATGGTACTCTTGGTGTACCATCTGGATTTGTATATATCCTCGTTACAGATGGTAATGAATCTAATTTTGAACGTATATCCTGCTCCAATTGTAAATTAAATTTACCAGGTTTAAATTTGAGAAATGATGTTATTGGAAATTTGAATGTGAACTTCATTATATCTGAGGAGTGACTCTGAAACGATTAGATGGCTAGGATTCTTATTTACTAAAGCTATAGTGGTAGTACGTCGATTGTAGTTGAGTTAATGGTCTATGGTGGAATGTTGTTATTGTAATTCTAGTTGACTATTCGTTTTATTTTTATTGGTTAAAATTTTGATTTTTTTTTTTCACCAATTCAAAAGCACAAAACTATGAAAATGCTAGTACCTGGACTGGAATTGACATTCTTCATGTCGTAATAAGAGGCAGAGGATATTATTAGCATGAAGAGAGAGTTACACTATCAGTAAATATAGAAGCTTAAAATTGATGCAAATCGTAATGAAGCAAATTGCAAAACCCGAGAATTTAGGATTAATTTATCTATATAAAGATGTACAATCTTTAGTGACATATTTGTTTCGAAGCTCTGGTGAAAAGTATGTAGATTATTTGAAAATTGCAACAAAGCAACTTGATTCCGTTCATCCCATTCAAAAACGTGTTATATGGTTGAATGTGATTTTATACAACTTTGCAACTCAGTGGTTTCCTTACCCCATTGAATTTTATGACTGAGGGACCGAAAAAGCTTGACTGACATTGAGCTACACACTTGTAGTGTTAGAAGAAGCATTTTTATATTCATCTCTTTCTTGTGATCTATATTTGATAGCCAATGTCTGACACGAATTATATTTCGTCAATTCTGGATGACTTTCTTCACTTGACAACCAGTGTAATGTCAGATTGTATTCCAAAACATCAACGTTTCGGTTTCAACAACCTTCACAACTTACTTGACCGTTTATTTTGATTTAGTAGAGCCAAAATTGCCGAATCCCATCATGTTGTTAATATCACTCTCCAGTTGCTGATAAGAAGCTTTTTCATCCTCTATTTTTTGTTTCTTCCTCTGTTTCTGTAATTGTCTCTTACTCAATCGTTTTTCTCTTTTGTTTTCTTCAAATAACTTCCTTCTCTCAATTCGTTCACTAAACGTTAATCCGCCAGCAGATTCCATATCTTGATCATTCTTTTCCGCAATCTTTTGCTTAATTAATTTCTCCATGGTCATAATAACTTCTTTTAAACTAGCTCTTCGTATTCCACCATCTAATATTTCATTAGTGTCATCATTTTGTCCTTCCTTTTGATTTAATTGAATAATTTTATTTATATGTTGTGGAGAATTTAAATGATCGATTAATGATAAATTATCTCGAAATGATAAGTCACATACTGGGCAAAAGAACCCAAATCTTTTATTTGCTCCAAAAGATGATAAATTATCATTATCTGGATTAATTAAATTGTAAGTTTTAACAGCATCTAATGAAGTTTTTAATAAATCATCTCTATGCTTGATATAAGCTTTTGATGTATCATTACTGTTTGGATCTAATCCATATTTCTTACTTAATTGTTGTTCATCTGTTTGATTTTTGGATTTATTTTTTTTATCTTTTGCTTCTTTTGCATATACTTCTAAATTCCACTTCTTTCTACCATATTGATCAACTGTGATCTTTTCTTCATTAGACATGGTTTGATTGATACCGTGTTGGATTAGTTTCAAGGAAAGTAGATGATTTCATATTTCATGAGATTAAAGAAAAGTGTTTTGAATCAATATCGTTTTAATCATTTGTTTGCGGCGCGTGTTTCATCATTTCGTTTGAGTGAATCATCTAACATAAGTAATCAAACATTATCAACTAGTAACATGACAAGATCTGATATAACCTCAATGGTGAGCAAACCAGCTACAAAACAGCTAAAGGATTTGAATAATTCAATAAAATCGTTGTCTCCTGAAATATTGACTGAAAAAATTAATAATGATATAAATAAGATAAACTTCAATAATAGATGGGAAATAATTGGTACTCACTTAATAAGGAATGTTCCTTCAAAGTCAAGATTGAATGATGAGAAATTAAAAATAGCTGCATTTGATTTAGATAGTACATTAATTGAAACAAAGTCGGGAACTAAATTTTCGAGAGGTCCAAATGATTGGAAATGGTGGGGTAAAGATAATACATTAGTGCCTGAAAAGTTAAAGAAACTATATGAAGAAGGGTTTATAATAGCAATATTTACAAATCAAGGTGCTGTAATTGCAAATAATGATAGTAAATCTTACAATAATTTAAAAAATAAAATAGATTTAATTCAAAATAATTTACTTCAAAATTACAAAATTGATGAAATTTACGTGTTTGCATCACCTAAAAAGCCAGTGAAAGGTGTAACTTCAACTACAGAACAACATAATAATACAAGAAAACCTCAAATAGGGATGTGGGAGTCTTTAGAAAATGAGTTATCAAAAAACAATCAAACCATTGATTATTCAAAAAGTTTTTATGTCGGTGATGCGGCTGGAAGGAAACTGGATCATCTGGATAGTGATTTAAAATTTGCAGAAAATGCAAAGTTAAAGTTCATGACTCCAGAAGAATTGTTTTATGATCTGAAACAGAGTGACCAAGATGAAGTAGAATAGAAATAACAGTTTAGGATTACCAATTTATCATTCATTTCATTTGAATTCTACTTTTTCTATTTGAATTTTTATCTATTCACAATTTTGAACTATATCATTTATTAGTTTTGACCTATATTAGAATTAATTTATATCCATTAATGCATAGACCCATAAAGTTATAAATTTAGAAATTAAACTATTAGCAAATTCAAAATCATTTTTTACAGGTAAATTAAAAACAATTAACATATTTAAACTAATATCCTTTTTAAATTTATTAAATTTCAGTTTTTTCAATTCATAATTTAAATATTTAACAAGATTTAAAATCTCATAATCTGAAAATAATGTAAAACAAAAACATTCAATTAAAATAGGATCGAATGGATTACCAACTATAAAATTTGAACTTTCTTCTAATATGATTTTTATAACTTCAAAACTAAACATTGGTGAATTATACCAAATTTTAGATATTTCAATTATTGAATTGACTAAAAATTTTATAGATTTATATAATTTAATTTTAAATTTATTTGTGAAAGCAACAAAATCAAGATCTAATTCTTCAACATGATCATTTAAAAATTTATTAGTTGTATTTGAACTATTATAAATTTCCATTGATAAAAAATTAAGTCTTGTTTTTAAATAACAATTTAATTTTGGTAATCTTTTTTGATAATTATTTGGTAATGGTAATGTTGGAATTTTATAATCAATAATATCTTGAATTAATTCATCTTTATCTTTAGCTTTTTCTTGAGCTTCATCAAAATCTATGATCTTGTTGTTTAAAAAATTCATTGATTTGAGTTTATGTGCTATTTTAGCTTTCTCATTTGTGAAATTGTCTTTCTTGATCAAACTCAAGTTCATAATTGGGTGGATTTGACAAGTTTGAATAAGTTGATGCAATCAATGGAAGTTGAAAATTATGAAATTCATGATGGCAAATCTATTTTATATATGTATTTACCGACTGTTTTGAATGTGTTTCATGTTCAACCCGTCAAGATGTGAAATTAAAGTGGTTGTAAATTAATGAATTGATTACCACTTAATTACGAAAAATAAATATATTTGGTTGCAAAAAACTCAGTTGAATAAACTTTCACCAAATTCGAACTGATCGACTCTCATCTACAACTAATAACAGATTCATATTATGGACTTCACAATCATTGTTCTTTTAGTAGGTTTGCTTTTCATTTGTTATATATCAATTTTCAGAATGTTTGCTTATTTTCGAATCAATTTTTGAATTCAAAATCAAATAATTAGACAAACGGTCATAGAAGGAGTGACAGAAATTGACAATTATGATGGCATGTTTCAAGTTCAACTAAACAAAGAGTAAGCATGCTTGTAGGTATCAGGTGATTGAACCCAAATGGTTGACCTATATCAAAAGGATTATATCAAACAAGTACATTTAATGTAAATTCACATTTCGGTGAAACTTAGTTGAAATATCAAAGCTTGATACCCATTCACGATCAAGTAAAGTTAGTGGTTAATGCTTCAATTGATTATTGAGATCTTAAGTTTAATGAGTGCACCAGGAAGTGGTTAATTCAATACTTTATAAATTCATAAGCGCGAATTACCTAATTTGATCAAAATATTATTAAAGAGGTGATTTTGCAATTAATAAATCGTGATTTGGTTCCATTAGTCCTAATTTTATGAACAATTGATTTGAGTCATAAAGATTTATATTTATATCAATTAGATCTTTCAATTATCAAATCAACGTTTTGGTCCAAGGGTTTTAAAAGTACAACCAACTAAAGCGGAAATTTAATCCAGTTTTCTCGAACCATTTAACTGTGGCTCGGTATTAAATTTTTCAATTTTCGGTTTTTTCATTTTATTATCTTATCAACAAAATTACTCGAATCAGAATAATTACTAAGCTCAACATATTTACATCAACATTTATATGTTGAAAAAAAATATATATAATAGTATTTATCAACCAATTAGATCTTCAATTACTAGAACAATGTCAACAGCAACATCATCAACAACTACTACAAAACAAGATCCAGCATCATTACATAATCCATATTTTTTTCAAAAACCAGGTCAAAAAGATATTTGGTCATTAATTAATGAAACTGCAGCTCAAGCACAAGAAGAAAATCCCACTACAAAGATTATAAATTTAGGTCAAGGATTTTTTTCATATAATCCACCAGAATTTGCTATTTCAGCAGTTGAAGATGCTTTAAAAAAACCTCAATTCAATCAATATGCTCATGCAAGAGGTAATCCAAATTTATTAAAAGAAATTTCAAAACATTATAGTAAAAGTTATGGTCGTGAAGTTCCCGTGGAAGAAATTCAAATTACAACAGGAGCAAATGAAGGAATGTTTGCAATATTTTTTGGATATTTAACTCCTGGTGATGAAGTTATTGTATTTGAACCATTTTTTGATCAATATATTCCAAATATAGAAATGACTGGAGCAAAAATTAAATATGTTGAAATAAAATACCCTGAAAAATTAAATAATCAAAATGTTAATGGAAATGATTGGGAAATTGATTGGGATACATTAGAAAAATCAATAAATGACAAAACTAAAATGATTGTTATAAATACTCCCCATAATCCAATTGGTAAAATTTTTACAAAAGAAGAATTACATAGAATTGGGGAAATTGTTATAAAAAATAATTTGATATTAGTAAGTGATGAAGTTTATGAAAATTTATATTATACTAGTGAATTTCCAAGACCTGCAACATTAGATTCATTACCTGAATTAAGAGAAAGAACATTAACTGTAGGATCAGCTGGTAAATCATTTGCTGCTACAGGTTGGAGAGTTGGTTATATTCAAGGTCCAGCTCCTTTAATAAAATATGTTACTGCTGCTCATACAAGAATTTGTTTTTCAACTCCTGCACCATTACAACAAGCTGTTTCACAAGCTTTTTCAAAAGTTGAAGAATTAAATTATTTTGAAAATGTTAGAAATGATTATAAAAAAAAATATAAAATTTTTACCGCTGTATTTGATGAATTAAATTTACCATATACGATTAGTGATGGAGGATATTTTTTATTAGTTAATTTATCAAAATTAAAAATTCCAAAAGACTACGAGTATCCTCAATCTATATTAGATAGAAAAACTTTAGATTTTAAATTAGCTTATTGGTTAATTAAAGAAATTGGAGTTGTGGGAATTCCACCAACTGAATTTTTAATTGAAGAAAATAGATTAGGTAATGGAATTGAAAATTGTATAAGATTTGCTGTTTGTAAAGATGATGAAATTTTAGAAGAAGCAGTAGAGAAATTAAAAAATTTAAAAAATTATTTATAGAATAATTGCTTAATTATATATATTTTGTAATAGGTTATAGAATTCATTTACTATTATTTACATACTCATCTTTTGAAATTTTTTATAACAAAATTTCATTTCTCCAAAATCATCAAATCCATCTTCAATTTCCATTTCAATTTCTTTAAAATTATTTAAATGAAATAAATCCCATAATTTCTGCCTTTCATTTTCAAAATTAGGTCTTAATGGAATTTCAATTAAAACAATACTTGTTGAAGAATCTAATAAATATGTATTTATCGCATTCATCAACCATTGAGGATGATTTGAAGAATATATTGGATCACTTACAACAATAATTTCAAATTTTGTACCAAATAATGTTGAATCATCTGGTTTTGACCAATCTAATGCATGACATTCAATATCCACTAGATTATTAATTTCAATATTTGTTTTTAAATTTGATAAAATTTCAGGTAAATCAGTTAAATAAGTTTTATAATTTAATAAATTTAAAATTATACCAACTAATCCAGTACCTGAACCTAATTCTAATATTTTTTTACCAGTAGGTATTAATTCAGAATAGTTCAATAGTCGTTGACTTAAAATTAATGAACTTCCCCATGTTTTTAAACCTAAATTATCATTAGTCATTGAAGGTTCTTTTAATCTAATAAATTTATAACCTGTTTTTACTTCTAAATTTTTAAGAGATATCTTTCTTATAATTTCTGGTTGAGCCATACGACCACAATTTTCACTTATTCTAAGACTTGTTAAATTATGTATAATTTCAATTTCTTTTTGAGATGGTAACCATGAAAGTTCATTTGAAATTATTCTTGTTAAATATGCATTATAATCATTATATTGTAATTTTAATGGATAAGATAATTGAGGTAAATGAGATAATTTTTTGGGTGAGTTAAAACGGGGACAATATTGAATTAACCATGGTAATGCTTCTTTTAATTCTGAAGTTGTGATATCTTTTGAATTCCATATTTCTTCTTCCTTTATTAAATCTTCTTTATGATTATTTTGTTGAAAATTTAAAACCTCATCTGGTGATAGTAGCTTGAGTATGACTGATAAAGTAGCAAAATTAGGTTTTAGTTTAAGTAGTGGTAAATCTAAAATATGTAACGGTATTAAATGATCATCATCTTCTTCATCCCCCTCATCCTCAAGAACCTTCAAAATTGTCTTTTGATTTTCATTTTTTTCCATCATTAACTCTGAAACAGCTATTGTCATATCATCGTCATCGTTAAAATGTGATTTAGTTGAAGAAATGAATGATAATGGATCAAAATCCATTTACTGCAAAATAATCAAACTATTAGTATTTGAAAATTTTGAAGCGCATATAGAATCTTATGTGAGAGAACTTGATTTCATGCAGGAGATAAGATTAACTTTTCAATTAAGAACAACATAATAATGTCATAAACTCTAGATCTACATCTTTCCCTACTCTAATTCAAAAGTCTTATCGAATATGATATTCTCTATATACCAAACAAAAGTATTAAAATCTAACTAACCTTATACAATATCTTAAAAATCAATAGTTCTTCCATTAAAAGTCCATTCATCACTACCTTTTAATGGATCTTGTTTAGGACCACCTCTTTCCCCAGTTTTAGGATTTATATCACCTTCAAATTCAGGTATAATTTTTAAATATGCAAAATTTCCAATATCACTATTATCTTCTTCTTTGTTGGTTTCTAAAGTTGGTGGTCTATCTACTATATCTTGCATTCCACTGTCACCACTAGATAAAGAAGCAGCGACACGATCATTATAATCTTCTATTGCTATTTGGGACATTGCTATATTTTGTAATCTTTCAAATTCTTTTTGTTCTTTTTCTGGTAATTTTGGTGGTCCTTGATATTTTTCATTAAATTTTGAATAAAATCTAGTTAGGGTTATGGTTTGTTTGGGTAATATTTGGTAATGTTTGGTGATTGGTCTTACGATATTGATGGTTCTTATTTGGTTTATTAGCTTCATGTTCTCTAGGCTTGTTCTTCCACGAGTGTTGTGATGGAATGGTTGTAAAATACGTGATCTTTTAATTTTGCTATATCCAAATCTCGTATTGATTTTGTGCTAGAGAATTCTAAAATAAAAGTCCGTACGGGAAATATTTAAATTTATCACGAAATCAGTATAAGTCTTTTAGTCTACAACAGTAAACCATGGTCCATTACTTACTTTAGAGAATGCATCTTCAAAAATTAACATAATAAATTGATTAAATTAAAAGTTCTATAAATCGCCATTAAACAAAATTTTGAGTCTTTTTGGTAAAGAAATACATATAAAGCAAACAGTAGATCAAATTATGCCCATTTACCTAATAATGCCATTAAACCAGCACCCCAACACATAATAAAATAAGCAATTAACATTTTTTTAAAACCTTCTTTACCTTTAAATTCTCCACTATATAAAAATTCATGAGCCATTAATTCAACAATACCAGTATAAACTAATATACCAGCAGATATAGAATCAAATACTCCGTTAGTAATTAAAGATTTTCTTGAACCTGGTGGATAAGAATGTCTTACACCTAAACCAATAGCTATTGAAATAGGAGTACATAAAGTATATGCTATTGCTAATAACCAAGGAGTAAATTTATAACCTGTCCAATCAGTAGTTGCAATTCTTGTACCTAACCCCAATCCTTCAAACATTTGATGAAATACTAAAACTATATAAAGAGATTTAAATTCATCTCCAGAAACAGCTAATGCTAAACCAATAAAAACAGAATGGAATATAACACCAAATTCTAATACAAATACATTTAATAATTGTCCATAATATTGTTCTTTACTTTTATTATTTACTGGTGTACCTATGAGCTCATGATCTTGATGTTCATGAGCATGTTGAAAATGTTTTGGGTATGGGTTGGTGCTGTTACCATTTGTTGCTAATTGTTGTTTTTTATATTCTGTTTCACTATCTTCTTCTTCTTCATCTTCAACATCATGTTCATTTTCAATTTCATCTTTTTTTAAATCTTTTTTAACATACATTGATTCATCACCAAAGTGAGAATGACTATGACCATTTGCTTGTTCATAATCATCTGAAGATCCATTAATTTTTGCAATCTTTCTATCAATATATTGATAAGCAATTAATTCAAAAAAGAATAAAACAAATAAAGTCATTAAACATATTCCAAAAGCCCAAGGATAATCAGCAATAACACCAGTTAAACATTCATCACCCAAAGCATCAGAAGCAGGTTCTAATAAATGAATAAAAGCAGTAGCAACAATAACTCCACTACCAAAATATTTAGCACCAAAAAAACACCAATTTGGTAATCTTATAAATGAATATTTAGAAGATAATAAAGGAAATAATGTTCCTATTGCAGAAGTAGCCATTATAACAAATATTGATGAAATTCTTGCTCCAAAATTTTTACCATCATAATCATTATCTGTTGGACATTCATCTCTTTTATTTAAATATATAAATAAATCTGATAGTTGTTGATTCATTTTTAAATATTATATTGTATTATGTTTGTATTTGAGATATGAATAGATGTTTTGTCTTAAGTAGATTTAGATCTTGTTACTTTAATGTGTGATGAATAGGATCTTGTGATACAATATATATATATTACTAATTATGAAAATAAGCGAATATTGAAATGATTTACAAAAAGAAAGGGATTAACTCTCTTATATATATATATGTATGAATGTCTGATGAAGGTTGTTGAAAAGAAGTTATAATAGTTATGCAACATTAATTTAAATTTAAATATGTAAAATTTGAAAAATTTAAAGAATGTTGAAAAAGAGAAATTACTAAACTAAAAATACCATAACCACTATAATTTAAAATTTGCGTTAGGACTAACAATTTTTAGCTAACTAGAACTACCGAATTCAACTATTTTAGAGAAGAGACGATTGGAGAAGATAGAGATTCAATTTAAAGATTTAGATATATGTTTAAAGTTTAGTAATTGTAACTTTGAATGAAAAACTAAAATCTCAATTAGTTCAAATTTAAAGTTGAATATCTTCATTAAAAATGGCTGAAAGTTAGAATTAATAAAAGTTTAAATTCATTTCATTTCGTATCATGTATCAGATTGTTGGAGTTATTTAATTCTTCAGAAAATATTGAAATGGGGTGTAGTATTTGTTGTATCTGTACTAAGACCAATTTTAATATAGAATTAGCCTTAAACTCTTCTTCACTTGTGGTTAGAAAAGATCAATTCACCCTAAGCTATATAAAATACGGGACGGAGTATTGTTTGCTTTTTTTGCTTTTCTTTTTGCTTTTTTGTATTTTCTTTTGTTTCAATTTGTTGTTGTTGATGCCGTTTCATACAACGTTGTTTGTTTCTTATTGTTCTTATTGTTAATGTACTTTTAATCTAATTAATTTAACCACAAAGGTTGTGAAAATATTTTTAATTAGTACTGTATATAAGATGTTATACTAATATATAGTATTCCTGCGTATATCAAATACATTAATAGGTCCATTAATACTTAATATATGAGAAACTAAAAGTTAGACCAAATTAAATCAAAATTTAGTAACAAACTTCATTTATTCTACCAATACTCTCATTAAGCAACAATGGGGTCAAGTTGATATTATAGCTCATTAGGTCTGAATATTGGTATTATTCACTTTCTTTTTTTATTACTAATGCTCATCTATTAATTGGTTTAAGCCATCTTAAGTGGTAAAAAAATTGCGCATTAATTAATTCAAATTTATAAGACCAAATTTCATAACCATAAAATTAATCCATAAAATTTATAAACTTTACACGAAGTCAAATTTTAATATCAATGGCTAATCAAAAACTTGTAAATTATAATTAGTCTAGTCTAAATTAGATTCTAAATAATAAATCTAAAGTAAGTTTAAAGTCTTGTGACTTTACACTCAAACGTTGTGATTCGTCAGGTAACCTCAAATGTTGTCTTAGACCACTCTATAAATTGGTCTTATCAAAGCTGACTATAAGCTCCTTTTTGCAATTTGAATGAAATATGTATCTGTGTAAGGCTTTGTAGAAAAACAGCATGCATCATCAAACAATAACTAATCATCAACTCATTTTAGATTTTAAATTTGAGTACCGTTATGGTTATGCCGTTCCATTTTTTGACGTTAGTCAATGTATTCAATATAATTTTTTATTTTGCACATCTTCACCTAAAACAATTTCTATTTTATATTATTGAACAATGACAAGCGAAATTTTTGAAACATTTTCAAAATGACAGATGAAACTTTTCCAAGACCAAAAAAATTGAGTCTTTGCTATCTATCTATCTCGTAAATTTCAATTCAACAGAATTCTTGACCCAAAACCACTTTTATGCTGTAGATATTAAAATTTACACCATTTCCAACCAACAGAACTATATCTTGCCCAAATCCAAACTAAAACAGAAAAAAAACTAATAAAACCTTCAAATAAAACAAAATTTCTATAATTTAATTGATTACCTTTATCAATAACTAAAGTAACTAAATACATTCCCAAAATAGTTAAAAATCCCAAACAGAAATATAATGTACCATAAATTTTACCAAATTTTTCACTTGAACAAATTTGTCCTGTACATGATGGTATAAGACTTAAAACAGCTGATGATGATATACCAAAAAATATACTAAATATAATTAATAAATTTTTAGATTTAGCAGGTAACCAAAATCCAAATATAATAATTGTTGTTAATATAGATGTTATAATCATTATATTAAATCTACCAAATTTATCTGCAATAATACCAGATAATAATCTTGATGGAATACCACAAATATTAACAATTGTTAAAATTAAATAAGCTGTTTGATTATTTAAATTAAAAGCTAATGCATATGAACCTAAATATGTTATAGTTGTCATTGATACAATTTCTGCTAAAAATACTGCAATTGTTAATGATACAAATTTTATATCTTTTAAAATACTAAAATCTAATGCTTCTTTTAAAAATTGATTTAACTTGAATTTTAGTGATTGATGATTTGGTGAATTTGATGCATGATTTGGACGTGTCAATGAAGAATGATTTGAAGTTAATGATGAATTTGATTGTTCTATTTGATTGCCTTCTTCAATTATTTCAATATCACCATTATTAGTATCATTACTATTTTCAATACTATCACCTCCAGTATCAGTATCATCTTGATGTCTTCCTTTAACTAAAATAATAGAACAACTCATACAAAAAAAACAAATACAACTTAAAACTCTAATAGCATTTTTAAATCCAATTTTATCATATAATTGTTGTAACATTATTGAAAAAATTGATGCACCAACTAATCCACCAATAGTTGCAATAGAACAAGCCATTGCTCTCTTACGTAAATACCAATGACTTAAAGCTCCAATTAAAGGAGACATAGCAATTGAACATCCCAATGCTGTAATTATAGAAAAACTTAAAATAAATTGATATAATTTTTCACATTCAGCAGTTAAAAATAATCCAATACAAATTAAAAAAGTACCAACACACAAAGGTATCTTAGCACCATACATATCAAAAATTTGTCCAAATATAACATTAAATAAATACATTATACCTAAATATAATGCAAATACCCAACCAATATCTTGTTTATTTATATTTTTTAATTGATTTGATTCAATATAACTTTCTATTGCTCCTAATGTATTTGGAATACCAAAATCTGCAATTAATCCCATAAATGATCCAATTAATACTAAATTTGCTTCTTTTCCACCTTCTGGGAATTGGTTACTATTTTTTTCTGATGTATACATTAAATCGTTATCACGAGTGTTTAGTGATTGTGAATCATGATTATTTATTCTTCTTCTTCTTAGATTTTCATTATCTGGTTCAGATATTTCAAATTGTGATAGTGCTATGTTTAAATTATCATTATCTCTAGGATTTTTCGAGTGTGTATCAAATTGTCTTACTGGAACATCACTATTTCTATTTAATGATGATGAATGATTTTCTAAATCATTTTGATGTTTATTTGATGATGAATGGATTGCTTGTTGTGGATATTCTAATGTTGTAACTGATGCAGATGATCTTGTATCCATTCCATTCGTTCTTTAACCCTCTCCTCTAATGTTAGTAAATATCAATTTTGAAAGAAACATTGATGTATTGGAATGAAATTTCTTAAATCTAATCCATATCTGAAGCGGCTTTTTTATCAATTGCGCTTTAGGATCAAGCGGAATTTTGACAACCTGATTAAAGGTTTCAAGGGTATACATAAGCGAGTTGGTATCTAGCATGACAAAGGTTAGATCTATACTTAGATTATCGATGTTCAGTACAGCGATGATCCTAAGACATGCAATTGATCAAATTGTTATTGAATAAAAGTATTTGATCAATAAAGTATTGAATTCAAATAATTTGGCTACAAAATTTATTTGAAGTTTTAAAGTATTTTATGAACTTGAGGAAACTCTAACAAGTACAGTTGTAACCATTGTTTTATAACTCAATATAAGACAACCACTGTATTCAATCATTAAAGCAGAATATTATTGCAATTTCACTTCATGTTGGTGTCTTTATCTGATATAAGTCTTATATTCTCTTCAAATCTCTACCGTAATACATTAACTCTCAATTTTTTATCACCAAAACTTATTTACACAAAAAAATAGGTCACCAACTAAATAATCACATATTAATCAAATATTCAAAAACCGAAAATGTCAGACACAGAAACAAAACCAATTGAAGATAAAACAGAAGGAGAAGAAGAAGCAGAATTAACAAAAGAACAAAGATTAGAAATAGCAAGAAAGAAATTTGAAGATTTGAAAAAGAAGAAAAAAAAAGATAAAAAGAAGAAAACTAAAAAGAATAAAGATAATGAAGAAGATGGAGGTGAATTAGAAAGTGGAGATGATACATCTAATAAAGAAGAAACTCCTGTTGTTGAATCTGAAAAACCTGAGGTAAGTACAAAGGAAGAAGAAAATAAATCAACATTAGATAAAGATGAGGATAATCCAGAGTCTACGAAAGATGATGAATCTAAAGAATCAATTCCAATTAAAACAGATGACAAGGAAAATAAAGATACAACCATTTCAAAATCAAGTCATGATTTAGATTCTATAAAATCAGATTCTTCAATAATAGATGAATTACAAAAAACAATAGAAGATCAAAAAAAAATTATAGAAAGATTAAGAAATGAATTAAAAGATATGAAATTAAATAAAATGGAATTAGAAGATAATATAATTGATTTAAAACAAGAAAATGAAGAATTAAAAAAGTCTGCACCTACAACAACCACCAGTAAAACATCATCATCAACATCAACAAAAGATATACCTCAAGCTAAACCCATATTCCTTAATAATGAATTTGCTTCCATTTCACAACAAAATTTAAGTAAATTTAATTCAACTGAAGATTTTAGAGAAAAATTAATGATTTGGAAAGGTTGGCAAGTTGATATGACAAATTGGGGAGGTATAAGTACAAATATTGTATCATTATAAAAATTGAATTGTTTGTTCATCATCGTTTAATATATATATTTACATGAATTACTATTTAAATGTCATTACGTTAATTTGTTTGATTTGATTTGTAGATTCTACCTTACTCTAAATAAAGCTTTACCAGATAATCCCTTTTTAGCAGCTTCATTAATTTCATATAATTCATTTTCATGTTCAATAAAAATACATTCAGCAGGTTGTAATTGATCAATTCTTCTAACTTTTAATCCCGATGCTAAATTTCTAACATCCTCCGTGCTTAATTCAATTTTTTTACTTGGTTTTGAAATCATTTCTAAATTTGTTATAACTGGTAAATTATTTCTATATTTTAAATCTAACCATATTCTTCTTGTATTTATATTATTTGGTGTTGCATCTGTCGGTATTAAATCTGGTCCTGTATTTGATCCCTTTTGTATACCTGATATAAAACCTTGATTATATAATTGTATTGCAACTTGTAAATTTGTTCTATTGTAGGGTACTGCTGTTTTTGATAATGAAACATTCATACAATTTTTTAAATGAGCACATAGTTTTGAAAGTGTTACTAGTGATGTTGGAGCAACTGGCATTTGTAGATGAGTGAGTGAATATGTAGATGATTGGTTAAGTTGGTTCTTGATGTAAAAAATTTGAGACTAAAGAAAAAATAATTTTTCAAAATCAATCAATATCAACAGATATTCTTTACAATCATCAAAAATGTTTAGGATTCAAACACTTCAATTATCTAAACTTCTAACACAAAGAAAGGCAATATCACAACGTCTAACAACTCAATTATTAAAACAACAACCACTAAAACAACCATTTTTTAAATTTCAAAGACACTACGTGATTGTTCATAAAGATTTATCAAAACAAAAAAAAGAACCAAGAATAAGATATATAATATATGTAGTAATAATATCATGGGTTTTCATATGGTTTGTATCAGGACAAGTAGATAAAAAAAAACCTACACAATATTTAACTGAACGTGAATTTCAAGAATATGAAAAAAATACAGGAATCAAGAGAAGAAATAAATTAATTAGTTCAAATTTAAATAAAAATTATAAATTTTATGTTATACCATTTATAACATCAGAAGAAGAGATTCAAAAGATTGAGAAGTCAATGTTAAAACATGATCCTTCTAAAAAAGTTAAAATTATTGACCCCCAGGAATTAATAAAAGAAGAAAAAAATGATGATGGAAAAAGATATTCTGCTCTATTAAATGAATTAGACACCACCAAGAAACCATATCCACCTGGGCTTATAACAGCAATAATAAAAGAATATATAAAATTTTATATAAATACAAGAGAAGGAACATTTGATACAAATTTTTTAATTATAAATTATCCTCAAACAACAAATGAAGCAATAAAATTTGAAAATGATATAAGTAATATTTCAAAATGTTTTGTGATGCATTTTGATATGTTAAATGAATTACCTCAATCAAAAAATGATTCAACAATAAGAAATATTAAAAATGTTGATGGATATTTTGAAACTGTTGGAAAATCTCAAATATTAGTTTCAAAATTTGATGAAATGGATGCAAAATTTGAAGAAATTATGTTGGAAGATTTATAAAACCCAGTCAAAATGAATATAAATATGTATATATGCCTTGTCTATAAATTCTATTTATGTGTGTTTTATAATACAGATATTTTTGAATTATCAAATTCATAATTAAAACCTTCTTCAATAATCCAATCTTTCAATTCCGAATTTTTGTGGATTACTTCACATGCATATCCAGTAACTAATAATCCAGGAGGTCTTGAACCAAAAATTTCAACAACTTTATCTAATTTTGATAAAGTAGTTCTAATAATTCTTTGATCTGGACAACTTGCTTTTTCAATTATTGCAACTGGTAAATTTGAAGGCCAATTTTTATCATTAATTAATACTGGTATTAATTCAATAATTCTATGTAATGCCATTAAAAAAATTGTTGTTCTATTTGATTCAAACAAGGGTAAATTTGGTATTATTCCTTTACGACCAGTACCAGTACATATTAATACTTGATCTGCTACATCTCTATGAGTCATTGGAATATTTGCAACAACTGGTGCTGCTAATGCTGAAGATATACCAGGTATAACAATTGGTTTAAAACCATGAGTTTGAAAAAAATTAAATTCTTCACCTCCTCTACCAAAAATATAAGGATCTCCTTGTTTTAATCTTATAACAAATTTCCCCTGAATTAGTGCATTTAATCCTATCTCAAGCAATTCTTCTTGTGCTTTTTCTGCATTTCCTGGAAATTTTCTTGCTATAAAAATTTCTGGTCCATGATTTTTTGGGATAAGATCTAATACTTGTTGTGGAACTAATTTATCAGCTAATATTAATTCTGCTTTATTTATTGCTTGTAATGCTCCAATAGTTAATAATGATATTGAACCTGGTCCACTTCCAATTAATGCTATTTTTCCTTTTTTCGTGGTATCTTTTTCAATAGTCGGTGATGATAATTTATCGTCTTTATATACAAGTTTCAAATCATCAATTGATATATTAGATAATTTTGATAATGGATAATATTCAACAATTTGAGATAACCATCTATTTCTTCTTAATTTTATATCATCTTTTGATTGATTAAATTCTTTTACAAGAGAATTAAAATTTTTTAAATTATTTAAATCATCTTCATTTTCTCCTGGAATTAATTCTTTAATATTATCTTCAATTTGAATTTGATTTCTTAAATTTCCTATATTATCACAAATTTTATCTAAATCAGTAGGTAACTTATTTATAATTTCTCTTTTTAATCTTGATGATAATTTACATCCTTTACCATTTGTTGTTATACCTAATTGAAAATCTCCTTGTTTGTATGTTGATAATAATGTAAATGTACATAATTCAGGTTCATCTGTTGTATTTATTGGTATTCTTAATTTTTTACATTCTCGATAGATATTTTCTCTTATTTGATGCTGTGAACTTTGTAATAAAGTTACAAATACTTTATCAACTATAAAATCCGTATATTCTTTACCTAATGATGTTAAATGTTTTCGTATATTTATATCAAATTCAGGATCAATTACTATTTGTAATTTTTTTTCTTCTTCATATTGTTTTATAATTTCTGATATATTGTCTGTGTTTGGTATTAAAAGTATGGGGTAACCATTACATTCTAATATTGAATTTATTCGTAGAATAGTTAAATTAGAATATCCAACTAGTAGTATTCTTTCGTTTCTAATATTTAATGATGCTAATAAATTTGTCATTTCTTTAACTGTTTGTTATATCATTTGATTTTAATGCTTGTTGCAAAATTGTATTCTAATATTCTTTATGTGAAATAAAATTTATTCTAAATGTAATCAAAGCACGTGACTTGTAACATCTTTGGATTTTGGTAGCACATTAAACCCGAAAGACATCTGATGAAATTTACGAGGCACTGCATATAAGCAAGATGTTTGTACGATTTAATTTTTCAATTTAGATGCTATAATGAAATTGAATTGATTTCATCATAATAACAATACAAAAAATGGCTAAAAGAACATTAGGATTAGGTAAAGCAGCAAAAGCCAAAAAACAAAAAATTGAATCATCTTCTACAAATCCCGAAACTTCAACAAATCAAACAGAACCAGAACAAAATTCAAATGAATTAACAATAGAATTACCAAAAGATATAGATTCCACAAATGATGAAAATGAAGAAATAATAGAATTAAAAGGATTATATAAAACTTATTTAGATTCAGAAAGAGATAATGAATTAATATTAAATGGAATAATACATGAATGTGATAGAATTTTAAGAAATTATAACAGCGCAGAAAACTCAGAAAATAAAATAATACCTTCAACATTTTATAAAATTTATGCATTTTCATTAAGTGAATTATCAAAATTTTATAACAACGACTTAAAAAAAGTATCTGATTTTTTTGAAGAAAGTTTAAATAGAATAGAAGATGGTTTAAGGAAATTCCCCAAGGATATTGAATTATTATTTATAAAATTTAAAATTTTAATTAATCAAATTATATTACAATATATATCACAATTGAACATTAATAGTACTTCAATAAAAGATATAGATGTTGAAGAAATTGAAATAAATTTAAAAGAAGAAATTGATTATGCTTTAACTTATTATGATGAAGCCGAAACAAAAGCTTTAGAAGATGGAGATTATAAAATTTTTAATAATGATGAAATTTGTGAAATTTTAGAAAATTTTGATGATTTATTGGAAATTATTGATAATTTTGGTAAAGAAGAAGAAGAAGAGGAAGAAGAAGAAGAATATGAAGGAGAGGAGAAAAAGCAGAAGAGAGCAAAATCAAAGGGAGATGAAGATGAAGACGAAAATTCAGATTCAGACTCAGAAGAAATAGAATTATCAGAATCACATCCATTATATCCGCTAAAAACCACAGATAAATATAAAAAATGGTGGCAAAATCATACAAATAAATATTTAGAAATTTTAAATAAATTAAAATCACCATCTTTTAAAATTCAAAAAAGATTAAATGAAAGATTAGGACAATCATATTTAAAAGAATCAGAATTTACAACAAATATTTACTTAACATTAAAATTTAATGACGACTACTCAGGAATTGAAGAATTAGAAGGATTAACAGCAGAAGAATCAAGGGAATTATCTATAGAATTAATTGAAAAAGCTATATATCATTTAACTCCAAAAACACAAGAAGATGATGAAGATCCAGAAAATTGGGTTAATGTTGCAGAATCAAAAATTTTATTAGGTAATTTATATGATATAAATTCAAAAGAACAAGAAAAAAATTATTTAGAAGCTGAAATTTTATTAAGAGCTGCTAATAATTCAACAAATGGGAAATATCAAGATGTATTGGATAATTTATTAGCAAAAGATGATTAAGTTTTGAGGTATGAATTATTAGTAAAAGTTTTATGGTTAAGTATGAAGTAGATTTGTTCATGGGAGGTTAAGTTTGCTCTTTTGCGCCAACATCCTGATGAATCTATAATAAAAAAGAGTAAATAGAATAAGAGTATTCAATAAATATATTCAATTTCTTAAAAAGTTTCATTAATAATAATATTCTTACATAAAATAAGTCCTTTTACTAACCAGTAATTATTTAAACTCTACTAGCAATAGTACTTTCTTGTTGTAATCTCATAGCATTTGATTCATGAGCATTATCTTTACAATTTTGTAAACCAATACAAATATGATCTTCTAATAAAAAGTTTCATTAATAATAATATCTTACATAAAATAAGTCCTTTTAATTACCAGTAATTACTTAAACTCTACTAGCAATAGTACTTTCTTGTTGTAATCTCATAGCATTTGATTCATGAGCATTATCTTTACAATTTTGTAAACCAATACAAATATGATCTTCTAATAATCTATGTTTTGCACAAAATTTACCTTGACAATGAGAACAAGTACCAACCATTCTTAAAGGAGTTGAGTTACAATTTTTAAATGAACATTTATTTTTCTTTTTTGTCTTTTTTATTGTTGTGGTTGGAATTGTAGGTATTGATGATATATTAGTTGATGATGTGGATGATGAAATTTGTGGTGAAATTGGTGGAGTATCTGATCCTTGTGACATTAAAATAATATTTATTGGAGAATTTGATGATGATGATTTTTCAATTAATTCTGAAGTAATACCAAATGACAGTAATGTTGCATTATAAGGTTGTAGTCTTTGACCATTATAAATTAATTTAAAATCTTTTGGTAATGATGAAGAATTTGATGATACTTTAATACTATTTCTTAAATCTTCAACTGTTGAATTATCTGGTATAGTTATCTGTAATGAAGATTCAGTTGATAATCTAATTGTTACTTTCATTTTTTAGTATTCTTTTGTTGAAGTTGTTGAATGATGGTAAATATCAAACAATGAAGTTAATGTTTTAAATGCTATTTATAAAATGTTATTATTTAAAATGTCTAATTTTTACTAGTAAAATGATACTAGTAAGTAGTTGTAATTCCCTTGATTGGATACACTTTATAAATAAAAGTAGTTGTTAAGTATAAATTAATAATAGTTTTGTTGAATATTGTAATAGATAAGAGATTAGTTCACTATTTACTAGTCTACGTAATAAAAAATGAATGATTCAATTATTACATAATACTCAAATGGTAGCATACAAATTATGGTGGCAAAATTATTCACTCATTTTTTATTATGAATAATATAAAATTTCTTTTTTAGTCATTGGTCACATATTTAAATTGTATGACATGACATTAAACTTATATAAATAAATATTTAAATGTCACATGACTTTTGGTGTACACAATTTTACTGCATATAATTCCAATAATCTGTTTCAGATTTAAGGATCTAATTAATTAACATACTTACACATTTTTTTTTAAGATAAAACCTCACGAATTTCCTCAACTTTTTAAAAATTAATTTTTTTACTTCTCACCACTTTTATTTTTTACAACATATAAATAAATCACAATTGATATACTACCACATAAACTAAGAAAGATTCCAAAATTATACATCAAATCATAACGTAAGTATAATGTCAAACTCATAAAGTGCTAGCTATTTCATTTCATAAACATCATTGTTATCAATATTAAAAAAGTGCTTACAAATTCACAAAAGCTTAAGTGTTCAATGGAAAATTCAATTTTTTAAAATCAATTAAGTTGAGTTTAGTAGATCAAAATATATTAATGTCAGTCAAAATTTCATATTATCGAATATTAAAAAAAAGTTGAAAAGGACCCGAAAGGAAATTATTTAGCATTCTCGTCTGAGTCTATTTCAACTTTTTTCAAATTTTCAATAATATGAAAGTGCTTCATATAAAATAAAAGTATTAGAAGATAAATATTTAAAATTAGAATTGGAGGAAGTAGATTTACAAAAACAATTATTATAATGATATTTAATTTATTATAATATTGTTTAAATAGCATTAATATGAATGTTTCGAGGAAGATTCAAAATATTTTGTGATCTGTTGACGTCATAATAATTTAGGATCTTCATCGAAATGTTCATGAATCATAATGCAAATTCATTATCACATTCATAAATAATAATGATTATGGAGTAATAGCTAGTATTTAGTTTATGTAATAGATTCAATGCCTTAATTTTGAAACTATTGAATCTCTATTGATTTTCTTCATTTCTGTTATTAAAAGTAGTGATTTTACAACCACTTATATAATCTTTACACACATCAACCAAAAGTATTTATGATTTTGGTATTGAATAACGTTGCCAAAGGACTCTATAATGAGCAATAAATATGATGAATAATACTGGTTGATGAAATAGTTATTCAATTCATGATGTAAATGATGTAAATGATGTAATCGATATCTACAAAATATTTTTGCAATAAACTTTTATCTTAGGCCTAACACATATCATACAAAATCTAATACAGCAAAAAATTCCAAATCAATAACACCAAATGAATGTCAATTATTAACAAGATTATTTTAATCATGTTTTAAAATGAATGAAAATTTAACAATCACACTTACTGATGTGAATAATGAAACGAACCAAAATTTTTAAAACAAAATCTAAATATGTAAAATTTTTGCTCGCAGATCTAAAAATAAAGATAGTATTAGTAAAACAAAGATGTTATGAATGACAAATTAAATAATGAAATTGAATTTGGTTTAAAATTGAAAAACTGAGTGAGTCTCCAAAAATTTTAATGCAGGTGCTGCGGTGTTTCATTGAGTATTTGTGTCCCGGCAGTTCAAAATATTGTTGTTTTTTGAAAATAAAAGCAGATATTTTGGTAGAAACTTTGGAAGTTTCGTCAATATACTAAAATCGAAAACCGGTGCAAAAGGTAGTATATCAAATAGCAAACTTTTTTCAAATTTATCAACAAACAAATTGTAAATGAAACTTCACAATTCAATAAGGATTATCAATTTTCCACGAAAATATCGAATACCCCAATTTTTATACAATCCTTTGAAGGATTATTTGAAAACTTATGAATTGATCAAGACGATTATGAGTGTTATAACTGAACATACACAACCTACGTACTCTCATTAAAATAATCATTTCTTTAATTGTTTAGCAAGCTAGACTACTAAATAAACAATTAGTGTTGAAAAAAAAAAAAATCTCTTGGCTATATATTGTAGCACAAAATCTAAGTGAAACTTCAGGGGTGCAAGTGTTAACACAAATAGTTTGTTTCAAATTTAGAGTTGCATTGTTCGGCATAGCTACTTAATCTTACATATGGGTAGTAATCATTTTAGAATCATACATTTTTAAAGTAAAACCCCTTTAATTCTACCAAGTTTTAAAAATCAGAATTTGGTGTCGCGACTTTTACTTCTCAAAAAACTATACAAGTGAAGAAAAATACAACATAATAGATAAATGAAAATGCTTAGTTAGCAAAATTTTAAGAGTTATGAAGAGGAACTATTTGAACTGACAAGAACTCTAATTGATCAATTTATTCTTTCCACTTAATTTAAACAGTAGAAGAAACGCATAAAAACCAATATTTATAAATAAAGAATGCAAGTAGAAGTTTGTAATCATCAGGTTTTTCGAAAATTACACCACTACATAATTATATCTTGCTCTTTGAATTTGCAAACTTCTATTAAATTAAATACTCAGAGGTTGTAACTCAAACTTTAATAATCGAACTTATTAGTTTGAAAAATTCAGATAAAATTAGAAATCAAATTCAAAATTAAAACAATAGATGTATTATTACTAAATAGATCACTAAAAGTATAAAATATAGACACCATTATAGGACAAAACTTAATTGTTAAATTGACTTCTTTTAATAGCAACACCTTTAATCTGATTCCCCTTTTTTTAAAGAATCTAATTCATCTTTAACTTTTTCAATTCTTAAAAAAATTTCATTTCTTCTTGATTCTAAATATTGATTATCAAAAATAATATTCTGGAGTTCATAAATGCTCCAATATAAGTTTGTATAAATTTTCTTATACTCTTCGTATTCTTCCTTTTTAGACATTGCTATAACTGAATCAGAATCAACTAAAGTTTTAAAATCTTTGTTTGACATTTTTTATTCTTTGATAAACTAAATTTAACTTAAAAGAAAAGTGTAGAATTGATATGATATTATTTTTTTTTGCTATCAAATTATTTTATAATATAAAACTTCATTTGGTAGTTTATCATTTGTTTTGATTTTAACTTAATTAAGTAATTTAAAACATAACAAAATAATAATAATTTATTATAGAATCAAAAAGAACAATAAGAACCCCTTTAATTTATTTTATCTAAACTTTAATTTATCACTTTTTCTTCTTTAGCATATTATACATCATTTACAAACAATCAATATGTTGGATGACTTAAATATAGAAGAATCCAATTCATCCAATTTTGAAATCAATGAAATCACTATAGATAATAACAAAAAGAGAAAATTAGAAAAGGATGGTGATTCCAAATCTCAAGAGCAATTAGAAAATCCAAGAAAATTACAAAACATAAACGATGATGGTAAAAAAATCTCAAACAAGCCAACACAACAAAAAATAAATGAACTTTATGAACAAAAAACTCAACATCTTAAAGCAGTATTGGAAGAACAAACAAATTGTAAAACAGTCGAAGAATTAAAAGAATTTCAAAAAAAAGTAAATGAACAATTTGGTAAAGAATCGGTCAAAAATCTAAAATTAAAAAAAAGTTGCTCATTCTGGCAAAATGAATTACAGAATTTGGAAATAGAATTGAATCAGTACGACATATATTTGACTATAGGAAACTCAGACAATTTAATGATGAATATACATTTTGAAGAAGATCCAGAATCTTTATGATACTGGAAAAGTAAATTTTAAAGATTTTTGAGTTTTAGCATCTAGTCTTTATTATTTATAGCTAATGAATGCAATGTTTTTATTTTTTAACAAATGATTATCTTTGATGTAGTTACTCATTTCCTTTACCAAAAGCAGTGAGTTGTAAAATATTTATGTTAACTTAAAAATGGATTCAAAAATTGGGTGAAAGAAAAAAAATATTATCATATAATGCAGCCTTCGAGTGTTAAGTAGCATTTATAAACATTCTATAATGTAAATTCTGTATTTTCTTATCATGTAATCAATAAATCTCTAATTATTTTCACCATTTCCGTTGCCATTTTAAAATCATCAAGACTATGGGTGATATTAGCACCAGTACCAGTTACACGATTGATATAAATAATAGTTGATAAAACCACAGATTGATAAGTTCAATGTGAAAATATAGTGCTTGTATTTGACAAATAGGTGTGAACATGAGCTCTAAATTCAATGTTGATATGATGCCGTAGTTTATGATTGAATTATATTAATTTGAACATGAGGTGCAATTTGAATTTTGAGATTTGCTAATAGTATTTGATGAGCTTCCTGACTTTTAAATTTTATATTCATTTCAATTCATCCATCTGTTAGATGATGTTGAATCTCTCTTTTAAAGTTAATGAAGGAACTTAACCTTGTTACTTGATGATGAATCATATGATGGTGCATGTTTTATGGTAAATCGTGGACATGGTCGTCAAAAATTATTTGTTGGTGGATCAGTTATTAGCTTAGCTATTGATGATTAGGTAAATTCAATTGAGCAACTAAAAATGGTAATAGTATCCCAAGATGAACTATGAGATTTTATAAAGTTGTAGACCATGGAGTTGTTGTAGTGGTTGTTGATTAATTTGATTTGTTTAATAACGTTAACTTGATCCTCTGGAATTCTAATACCTTCAGTACCAACTTCAGTTTCAAGTTATGGTTATAAAACAAATCAAATTACCATCAACATAGTGGGAACACAAGTAATAAGATCTAAATTGATTCTTGTGAATGCATCTTTTTGTACATCACTGACCATTGTTACACCACCAGCGTGCCCAGGTGACATTTTTGCCCTCTGGCAGTAATCACATTTCTGTACAATATTCGTAATCAATTTAAGTAACTGAGGTATAAGCACAAATACCCATATCTGATAGTAACACTTAAGTTTGCCTTGATTTGCTGCTATCCATAAACCCAGCGGATGATGAAATATTGAATATGGAAATTGCTAATAGCGATTGACGAGGTTCTTGACGTTTGACTGATTCTATATCTATCTTGCTATATCTATTTTGCTTGATTTATTTGGTAGAAAATATTGTATCTCTTACTAAAAAATGATAAATAGAAGTAATCTTATTACCTATTGTTGAATATCGATTATGATACTTGATGATGAACAATTACTATGGTATACGCTGGGTTTGATGATGGAACAGTAATTTTAGTGTGTCCTAGACTTGATGCAGCGACAGTTATAATGGTAAGTCAAATACTTGATGGAAGAATAACTTTCAAACTAGTTACTTCATGATAATTTATATTCGAGTGACAAATATTGTAGTCAAATTCCAATTCAAAGTTTACATTTGATGTAGTTGTGTAATTTGGAACAGTAATATTGGTTTTGAAACTCAATGACGATCAAATCATTTGGATGGTGCTGTTGGGGAAGAGGATAGTGAAGTTGATGTTGATGTCGAAGTATTGAAGTATTTATTAGACTGGATACTAAAATTAAATAATTAGAGCGTTTGCTTATTGTTAATTTTCTCCGTTTTTTTTTTGAATAGCGACTGGCAAATTTTTTCCTTTTTTTTTTACACTAAATAGAGCATAATCTGCTCATAGTTTAGCTTTTTTCAATTAATCGTCTAAGAAGTCTACTTCTACATGTTGATTATTAAAAAAAAAAGATATCACAGAGAACACTGAACCCATTACTAGTACTTGAACCGTTGGATCAATAAATCTTATGATAAATTTTATAATAAACCTCATGATAAATCTTATGATAAACCTTATGATAAACCTTGTAATAAAACTTAAGATAAATCTTTTAATAAATCTTATGAAGATGCATTCCATGGTGTTATTACACGACGTTTCATTAACTATTGTCAATTCTCGTTTAGGTGTTAAAAGGCTTTATATCTGAAACATATGTACGTGGACTTAATTTATATCATCTAGATTATATTTATATCCTACGACTCCCACTTTTATCCAATATATTTTTATACTTTTATATTGAGAGACTGACGAACACTTATTAAATAATCATATTGTTCATATTCTAGTCCTTTACTTATTCTCTTATTAACTAATTATTATTTGTATGATCTCTAACTAGTTAAAGAAAGAACATCAAACGAAAGGGAGCACAAAATCTAAATGAAACTTCAGGGGGTGCAAATAACACAAATAGTCTGTTTCAAGTTTAGAGTTTTATTGTTAGGCATAACTACTTAATCTTGCATATGCGTTAATCATTTTGGAATAATACATTTTAAAGTAAAACCCCTTTGATTCTACCAAGTTTTACAAATTAAATTTCTGTGTCGCGACTTTTCCCTCCTATAATATTACATATGAAGAAAATTATACAACATATATGGATGGAATGCTTAACTGGCAAATTTCTAACAGCCATGAAGAACAGTTATTTGAGTTGGCAAGAAGTGTGTTGTTCTAATTGATCAGTCTATCCTATTCATTTAATTTACACAACATATGAGATGCTTTTTCCAAACAACACTCAATAGAACTAAAAAAATGTTAGAATTTTTTAGATTCAAGAATGTAGATGCTTGTAATCATCTGGTTTCTCGAAATGAGTACTATTATATCTATCTTACCCTGTGAATTTGCAAATTTCTATTCAAACATTAGTTACAAGTTGTATCTCAAGAGTATTAATCGAACAGGTTTAAAAATTTCAGAAAAACTACGAATCAAATTCAAAAATAAAACAATTGCTATAATATTACTAGATAAATTACAAAAAATATAAAACCTAAATAGCACCAAATAAGAATCTCAAATCCATTTCAATCATTTAATTCTCCATTCGTATTTTCTTTGTTTTTCAATTCATCTAATTTTTTTTCAGCTTCTTGGATTTCAATTAATAAAGAATCTGCATATGATTTTAAATATTGTTGTTTACGAGAACTAATTTCAATTTGTTGCACATAGCATTCAATATTTTGATAAATTTTTGAATAAAATTCATACAATTCTTCTTTAGACATTCCAGCCATGGAATCACAATCAATGAAAAGTTCTTGTTCTTGATGTTGCATATTTTAATTATTTGATTAACTTAATAAAACTTAAAAGAAAAGTGTAAATTGATATGATATTTTTTTTTTTTTGCCATCAAATTATTTTTATAATATAAAACATCATTTGGTAGTTTATCATTTGTTTTGATTTTAGCTTAATTAAGTAATTTAAAACATAACAAAATAATAATAATTTATTATAGAATTAAAAAGAACAATAAGAACCCCTTTATTTTATTTTATCTAAACTTTATTTTATTCACCTTCTTTTTTAGCATATTATACATCATTTACGAACAATCAATATGTTGGATGAAGTAAATCTAAACCAAATCAATGCAATCAAGTCTGAGTGCGACAAAACTCATAATCAATTTGTTAGAAAAAGAAAATTGGAAGATTATGCTGATGATAAAGAAAATGTAAAGGACCAGAATAATGAAAAAAAAATTGAATTTGATGAAGCTGATGAAGCTATTAATTTGAAGAAATTATTAAAACAAAAAGAAATTGAAAATTTAAGAATGAAAAAGGAACATATTGAAGCTATTCGAGTGGAAAAATACATGAATCTTCAAAAATTGAAAAAAGATGAAAAAGATGCTCATGATATATATCAAAGAAGTAAAAACCAAAGAGAAAAGGAAGAAAAAGAATGTACTTCTTTAGATTTTCAAATGATGAATATAAATATGCAATTATTAAAACATGGTGCGTACTAAGAGAGCACCTTTTGATTTATTTAGCTATTAGCTATTTTTTAGTTTTATCTAATAAATATAATGTCTTTACTTTAAAACTATTAAATCTCTATTGATTTTCTTCATTTCTATTATCAGAATTACTGATTTTTCAACCATTTACATAACCTTTATAAACAACAATCAAAACCTTTAATGATTTTGGTATAGAATAATATTGCCAATCTACTACATTATAAAAAGTAAATATGATGAATGATACTGGATGATGAAATTGTAATTTAGTTAATGATGTAGATCATCTAATCGATACTTACAAAATAATTATGCAACCAAAAATTTTGCTAAACACATATCATAATGAGTATGTAACAGAAAATATCCAAATTAAAAACTCCAAATGAATGATAATATCAATTATTTACAACTTATGTGAGAATTTATTCAAACTATTGTGATTATTTTTAGTAATTAATAAAAGTTTAAAAACTAAATTCTTAATAATGTAAATAGTGAAACGAATCAAAATCTCTGAAACAAAATCTAGATATATAAATAAATTCTCCCTAGATCTGAGAAGTAAGTTGAATTAGCGAAACAAAGAATTATGTATTAAATACTAAAATTGAATTGATTTGAAATTGAAAAATGAAAGGATTTATAAAGCTTTTAGTGTAGGTGGTTTAAATATGAGCAAGATTTTGATATAAGATTTGGAGTTTTGTTTTATGATAAAATTTATGAGCCAATATGTTAGAACTAAACCAAATAACAAAGGTGAATATATACTTATTTTCTGTATTATCAACAAATAAAAAATTATTAAACTCAATGTTCATGGATCATCAATCTTTCCGCAAAAAAAATTCTGATAACTCATTATTCATGCAAACTCTTTAAAAGACTATTTGGAAACGCACAACTTGGCTCGATGAGTATGAAAGTTAGGTAAACACAAACTTTGATATCTCAACTCAAAATAACTACACAACGACACTCAAGACTTTGGAACGTCTATAACCTCGACAACTACTCCCTATCAAACTCATTCAATATTAAAAGCCCAACGGAAGTCAAGATCTCTTTAGTTCAACCAATTCGTTAATTTTAGAACCGATAATTAAAATGTAAATTTGTCACAATTTCTTGAGGGAATACTTGTGTGGTTGAAATCATACATTGTTCCAAAGACTTAAATATCGTTGTTTGATTTGATTTGATTTGGATTGATTAGATGCATTGAATTTATACTTGTATTTATATAACAATCATACTCATCTAGACCCAATTCATAAGTATTCAAATTTGCCTTCAAAAAGGTTGCATAATAGTTTAAAGTATTGAACTTTCGGAATTTAAGTTAGTAAACTAATTAACAATTGGTTAGATAGTTTATGTTAAAGAATATTAATACTTACAATAGTGATTGATTAATGATATGTAAACTTGAAAGGTGGTTGATCAAAATGGTAGGATTGTAAGATAATTTGTAACTATTATGTATCTATGAATTCATATTTATGAAATTTACGTGTCTTATTTTTTTACTAAACACGACGCGTCTCATTTTTAAATGTCATGACATAACATATACACGACTCTGTCGATATATTTTTCAAAACATTTAAAAAATATTCAATTTTTCATTTCTTTTTCGTTTCTTCTTCTGCTGTCGATACAAGTGTTGGTTGTTAGTTAGTATTTATTCTTACATCATCTTTGTCAGAAGTTTCAATCCATTTTTTGCGATACTTTATTGAATTGGCTGTATGCAATTACAATTATGAGCAATATCAAATGTATATTATTATTTACTTTCAAATTATTCATAACAAGCATCAATCTAACAAAAATTATTATTAAAACCATTTGGCCTTATGACTAACATTACTAAAGGTTCATAGGTTTTATAGTGTGAGAAAAGATCCGGAATTTGCGATCAGACTACCTAGGTCCTTGTCAAGTCAAAGATATTTTAAAAGAAAATCAGCGTTTATATAAGGCGTAGGTATGCTCATATAAATGTATATAACTAGTTTAATAAGGTATAGCAAAAAATGGATGAAAACTACTTTCAAAAATGATGGAAGAGACTATGATACTTGTCAACTAATCATCCTTTACAACATGTGGTGAGACAGTTTTGGCCATTCAATGGCGATAATAGGACCAAATAATTTAACTTTGACAGATACTTGTCTTAATTTGAAAAAAAAGCTCATACGTGCAATCAATTTTACTATCCTTTTGTCAATTAATTAAATTCGTATATTTTCATTAAAAGTTATTCGTAAACTATAAAATTATTTATTCATCGAATTGTTTATCTTTCATTGATTTTCTTAATCTTACTTGAACACTATCATCATCATCATTATTATTGTTTGTAACAACTTCAGAAGTTTCTTTATTAAATTTTCCTTGTTCTTCTGCTTCTTCTGGTTCGTTACTTCTAATTGGACTATGTTCATCACCGTGGTCCAGATCAGAAGTAGCCATAATAGGAATGTTTGATACATTTTCAGGATCCGAATCTGATGAACCACTAATTTGTCTATTCAATTTATTTTGATTGGACACAGTTTCGTTTGAAATTATTTCATATTCTTCTTCATCACCATCTTCATCATCAATTTTATTATATTTTTTATAAAATTCATCATAATCTTTAAATATACCAGGACCATATTTATCACAAAATTCATTTACTTTAATTCTTAATTCATTTCTTGTATTTTTTAATTTTTCAATTTGAAAATTATCTTGATTTATACTTAAAATTGATAAAAATAATGGTGTTAAAGATTTATAATAATCAACTCCAATTTCTCCAATTCTTAAAGATGCATAAGTTGTTAATATAGCCCAACAATAAAAATATAAAAATATAAAAATATATGATGGTTGATATTTTCCTAATATTTTAAATTTTATTATAATAATTGTACCAATAATTGACCAAAAACTATATAACATTGGAGCTAATACCATTGCAACTAAAATTTTCCAACTACTTATAACATCTTTTGCTTTTATTTTAACTGTTGAATTAGCTAATGCTTCTTTGGCTTTAATTTTGGAAATTCGTTTGGCGATTATAAAAATTGGACCAAATAATATAATTCCTGGTAAACTTAATGACATAAATAAAATAAATGTAAAAAATCTTTTTGAAAACATCCAAATATTATGAATTCTTGTTGATCTATTTAATGATTCTACTTGATGATCATGTAAATTCAATCTCATTAACTGTTTATTATATTCTAATACTGAATTTTTTAATTCTTTTACATCAGGTTGATCTTTATATTGTTCATAACCTTTTATTAATCTTCTATTCATTTCAATAACCATTGGTAATGGAATATTTTTTCTATTACCAGAAGTATATAATCTTCTTGCAGCTTGTAAAACCATTAAAGTTTCATAATCATTACAATTCATTGTAACTTCTTTTAATTTAAATTCAATATGTTTCATTAATTTATTTATTGAATCTTTTGAATTTTCATTATATTCCTGGGCTAAATTTTGATCAACTATAATTGGTTTACCAAATTCCATTACAACTCTTGATCTAAATTTATGAGGATGAAAATAACTTAAACCAATTGGTACAACTCTAACTGGTGTGATTTGATTAATTTCTCCATTTTGAAATTTTTCAATTTGTTGAGATACAGCACCTAATGCAAATATTGCTACTCCTGATTTTAATGGAATAAATTGTAAACGATCATGACTTGTTGCTTCAGGAAATATTCCTAATACTCCACCTTGATTTAAATGATTAAATACATTTTGAAAAACAACATGATTATCAAATTGAGATGCAGTTTTAAATTTGGTACCATTTTTTAATACAGTATTTATTTTATCTTGAGTTTCTTTATTTGATGAAGTGAAAGGTCTTTTTAAAATTAATTTTGTATCATCAATAATTTCTGATACTTTAGTATTACCTAAATTATCAGGTAATCCAATTAATCCCTTTGATTGACATTGTTTTGTAAAATTTGTTTCTTTTCCAATTATAATTTTATCATCATTAGAATCAACCATAATTTCACCAATTGCTGGTTTTAATAAATCTTGAGCTCTTTCAACAGGTATAGCACCACATAATTTAGCAGCATCACCAATAATTCTTTTATTATAAGATTTTTTAGCAATTAAAAATGAAATTCTTCTACTACTAATTTCTTTTACTTTTGTCATAACAACTAATCCATCAACAAATTGATTATTATGTGGGGCAATAACAAATATTATAGGACCTTCTTGTGGAATATTAAAACTACCTCTTGTTTGAACATCTCTGAAAAATGTATGAATTATTAAATTGAAAAACCATGTGATTGTATCATATGCTAGTAATCTGAAAAATACATTAATGAAATTTGTGGATTTGTTCGAAGATGAAGGATTTGTAGCTGTTGATTCAGATTCCCCCATGTTCAAATATGATTTATATTGTTTGATGACTTGATTTATGAATTGATAACTAAGATATTTGATGATAATAAATGAGTAAAGAACTTGATATGCAAAATTAATGTGAAATGATGTGAATTAGCAATTAACAAATTAAAGAATTCAGATACAATTGATAAGGATATTTATAATAAATGCTTTAATTTTTCTCCAACTAAATTGATCTGAAGTTAGCAACCGAATGACTCTCTTTTTACTTGAGTGCCTAGGTAGTCAATTGAAATATGGTTGATAAGTTAAGGTTAAAGTTTTCTCTCGTAAGTAATTGATATACTTCGAGGGGAAATGAAATAGAATCACTAAAAGTTTAAATTAGTAGTTTCTGCTTTGTGTAACTACCAAATATTGTAAAACTTTTGAAACATACAAAACAACATTAAGAGTGTTTCAACCTACACATAAATTATGTTCATAAATTCATAAAATATACATATACTTATTTACTCACGTTCACCAAAGAATACATGATTTTGATTATCATATCTAAAAGCATCTAAAAAATCCATATAATTATTTTTATTATTATTTTTATAAATATTTGAACCACTATCACTACTACTATCTTTGTTAGCAGAATTCAAAATTTGATCTAATTCTTGATGAATTGTACTTGGTACAAAAAATTGTTGAAAATTTATCATTTCTTCTAATGCTTTATTTTCTGTTCCTAAACTTATCATTTCATTATTAAAAATTTCATTATTATTTTCTGAATTTAAAGAATTTAAAGAACTTTCTGAATTTGTTGTCGTTGTTGTTTTATCATACTTCTTCAAATCATTCATCATATTTTGTAAATTTGTTGCCCATCTTTTACATGTTATATTAAAATATGCAAAATTATTTAATATATTATATCCATCATCTAATGCATCTTGTAATACTGATATATAATGATAATCTGGTTTTGATGAATTTCTTTGTTCTAATAATGTAAATCCCAAAATAATTGATGCAAAAAAGCATGATGATTGTATTGTAAATACTTCTTTTCTATTTGGATTATGAGTTACAAAAAATTTTAATAATTTTATAACTAAAAAACTTGCTTTTATACAAGCTTTACAAAAATTCATTAAACTTTGTTCATCTTTAATTTGTTGTTTTGTTTCTGGTTTTAATTTTCTTGTTACAACATATACTAAAAATGGTCTTGTTAAAGTCATTATACCATATAATTGTCCAATATGAACTAATACATATAAATAATTATTTGGATCAGTTCCTGATTCCATTTGAGTTTCTAATGCTGCACTTAATTGTAATTCTTTTGGTAATTCAACTGACCATCTTTTTAATTGTAATGCTAATATATGAGCTCTCTTGATATTAACTATACCATCTTTAAAAATATTTTCAACAATTTTTACATTAATTAATGCACTATCTGAAGTTGCCTTTTGAGCCATTATTCTTATTTTTTCAACTTCATTCAAATTTTCTGTAATTAATTTACAATTTGAATCATCATAATCATAATCATTTATCATTAATGGTCTACCTAAATTAACTCCACTAATACAATCACAAACATATAAACTTCTCCATAATCTTCTTCTATGATTTTTTATATCAATATTTTCAATTCTACTATTTATACAATGTCGATGTAACCCCAAAGCTTGTGCAATTCTTATAGCATTACCTAATTGAATCCAAGCATTTGATCTATTACAACAAGATTGATAATAAAAATATTCTAAAAAATTAACTTCACTTATCCATAATTTTCCATCAAATACATTACTTCTAAAAAATACTTGAGCCAGATTAAAAAAAATTTCTGAACTTGGTAAATTTAATTGTAAATTTGGTGAACATTCACTATATAATCTTCCAATTGCAAATACATTATATAATAAACATAATTTCTTAGTGTTTGTATTTATTGGATTTTTATAAGTTTCTTCAAATATATATTGATTAAAATATTGCATATTAAAAATATAAAAAGTATCATTAATATTTGTCTTGAATAAATCTATTAATATTAAAGCATCTTGTTTTGTTGGTAATTGAGAAGGAACAGGTAAATTTCTAAAATCAACACTTTCATCAGTTATAAATTGCTGTACAGGATCATTTGTAAAAAGACTTGGTCCTGAAATTTCTCTAAATAATGATCTACATTCTCCTAATAATGATAATGCTGAACTTTCTCCAAAAAATCTTAAATTTCCAGTTTTTGTAGTTAATAATCTTGTATGTTGACCATTTAAATTTGATAAACCTTCTTGATCATTTTTTGAAATTATATTATCATTTGTTAATGCTGCTTGTAAATTTTCACATATTATACTTAATGATATTGATGACAGTCTTTCAAGGTTAATAGGTTGATGTTGTCGTGGCCGAGATTGTTCTTTTCGTTGAGTTGACTGGCCATTTCCTTGATGAGAATGTTGTGAGTGTGCAGGGAGTTGTGTTTGACTGTCTTGATTTAGCTGATGTTGTTGCTCTTGTTGATGTTGATGCTCTTGTTGATGTTGAACGGCCACTCCCACCTTCTGTGGAACTGTCGTTGGAGAAGTAGTCAATGACGGTATTTTAAACTCATTAGTATCTTGAGAAGGACTTGTTGGTAATTCTTGACCTTGATTTTGTCTTAATTTTTCCAAATATGCTTTTGATTTTAAAGATCTACCATCTATTTTTGAATATTTACAAGTTAAAACTTTTGATTGACAATATTGACATGGATTTGTACCATCACACTAGATTTTTTTGAAGTTAGTAAATCATATTTATCAACAATTAATTGATTCTGTGAAACTTCAAAAAAAAAACGTACTTTCATTTTCCTTCTTTTACAAACATCACAAGCTCTTGATACTTTTTTTCTTTGTGCAATAGGTAAAACTCTAGGTCTACCTTTTGGCCTAGATATCTTTTCAATCATCTATATTTGATTTGATACATTTGTGAAAAGTAAAAGTTTTTCTATATTTATTATGTATTTATCTTTCCAGTTTATAATGATGATGATGGTTTATAATATTAAATCTTAAAATAATAATCTATTACTAAATTAAGAATTTCTTAGTGGGGAAAAAATCGCGCGACCCTATAAAAACATTGGTAGCGTACTACCTTTTTTTTTATTATCTCGGTTTTTAATATACTTAAGTAGTCAAGGTTATATTCCCAAGATCTTTTTACCATTGAATAGATTTAAAGTACCATATGTTGCTGTAATAGTAACTTGGTTCATTTGAGGCTTGTGCTTTGCTTCCGCTTTTGTCGGAAGTGGAGAATTATGGGCGTGGTTGCAGTCAATAGTTGGTCTTTCAATCTTATAAGTTGATCTTTCTAATAAGTTGGTTTTTCATTGTAGTTATAAGTTTAAGATATTGAAAAGGCTTAAAAGTACATGGTAAAACTCATGAGTTAACTTTTAAGAACTGGACGTATCCTTACGGACCTTTATTCGTGGTAATAGTTGGTAGTATAATTGTATCAGGTTTTTAGAAATAATTGACCTTATCGGATTTATGCTTCCTAAAATTTTCAAATGAATAGGCAGAAAATTTTCAATTTCAATACTCAATTGAATCATAACCAAGCAATTCTGTTAGTTGAGAAAAGAAATTGAAAAGATCAACAAAGAAGAGTTAATTAATGCAATGCAGCTCATTAAACAATCAATTAATTGAATTATCGGTCCATTGAATCAATCTGTAAGGCGAATGTTCTTCAAAAATTGTGGTGGATCTAATGAAATAACACAAAGTTGATATTTTTATGCAATAAAAATCGCAGAAAAGCGGTAACTATTATTGATCAAAAGTATACACGTGACTAAATTGAGCCGGAAATAAATTAAATAATGTGATCACGTGAAAGCTGCAAGTATGGTTATGTCCGTATATTACTTTACTACTTCACTAACCCTTAGACGTTGTATCGCATAAGCTTAATTGGTTTGCGCAAAAATTTTTCTTTGAAAATACAAATGTGGTTTCCAATACTCTTATCATCCAATGATGGAAGTGACTCAACCCATATAAAATATCATCATCTTGACAAGACCTTCTCTTAGTTATTCAACATCTTTGTACCTCAATTTGAAACGAAAAGAAATTTAAAACTTCCCGTTTTGTGTCATCTTTAAAGTTTTATAAATTGCTGCAAAAAAATTGAAAAAAATTTGAAAAAAAAATTAAAAAAACTTTTAACTCATTCTGCAGTTTTTATTGTAACCAAAAACAAAAAAATGAGAAAACAAAAAAATGAGATGAAATGAATAAACTATAAATATAAATCAGTTTGTTGAGGTTCATACCATGATTTGAAAATTTCATTTCATTTGAGCATTCACTTGCTACTTAATAAATATTTCAGATTCAATAGATACATAAAAGTCATTTCAAATTTTAATTGTTGTTTATTTGCCACTCATTCGACTTTGCTCGCAATAATCATATACATCAATACATCAGAGTCATTTCACCTAGCAATCACAAACTAGAGAGTACATTCAGAATTATAACATAGAGAATGTCGTTAGTAACATCACAAGATACCAAAAAAGAGCATATCACAACGTACGATTTAGAAAATTCAATACATGAAGATGATCATAGCTCCTCCTCCATTGAACAGGTTGAAAAAACAGAGAATTTGAATCGTGCTTTAAATCAACGTTTAATTAATATGATAACATTGGCAGGAGTTATTGGTACTGGTTTGTTTTTAGGTACTGGAAAATCATTAGCTGAAGGAGGACCAGTAAGTTTATTTTTAGGATATTTAATAATTGGTATATTAGTGTTCAACGTCATGCTTTGCCTTGGAGAACAGAGTGTTTTTCTACCAGTTTCAGGTTCTTTCACTACTTATTCCAAAAGGTTTGGATCTGACTCATTGGGATTTGCTGTTTTAATAAATTATTGGTTCAATGATTGTTGTTCAGTAGCTGCTGATTTGACTGCTTTGCAATTAGTTATTCAATATTGGACCGATTTCCATTGGTATGTTATATCAATTATATTTTGGGTATTTTTATTATTTTTAAATGTGATTCATGTTAGATTTTATGGTGAAGCAGAATATTGGCTAGCTTTATTGAAAGTCATAGCAATTGTTATCTTCTTTATTATCAGTATAATATGCAATGCAGGTAAGAATGACTTTCATGAGTATCTAGGATTCAAATTATGGACATATAAAGATGCTCCGTTCCCCAATGGATTTCCTGGCTTCATAAACATCTTCATTACAGCAGCTTTCTCATACGGTGGCTTAGAGTCCATATCGTTAGCTGGAGGCGAAACTATTAACCCTCGGGTTACTATTCGAAACTCCATAAAAACCACTTTTTTTAGAATTTTCATTTTTTACATTTTAACTACTTTGTTCATACTGATAAATATACCATATGATTATCCAAATTTACTGACTAAGACCGTTGCTGTATCCCCTTTTACAATTGTATTTCAACAAGTTGGAGCTAAAGGTGCTGGATCATTTATGAATGCTGTCATATTAACATCAATAATTTCTGCAGGAAATCATGCATTATTTGCTGGTTCAAGATTAGCTTTTAATTTAAGTAGTCAAGGTTATATTCCCAAGATCTTTTTACCATTGAATAGATATAAAGTACCATATGTTGCTGTAATAGTAACTTGGTTCATTGGAGGCTTGTGTTTTGCTTCCGCTTTCGTCGGAAGTGGAGAATTATGGGCGTGGTTGCAATCGATAGTTGGTTTATCAAATCTCATCAGCTGGGTTTGCATTTCAGGTATTTCCTTAAGATTTCGACAAGGCCTTAGAGTCCAAAATAAAACTCATGAATTAACTTTTAAGAACTGGACGTATCCTTTCGGACCTTTATTTGTGGTAACAGTTGGTAGCATAATTGTGATAATTCAGGGTTGGACTTCATTCTCCCCTTCCTTTGATATATCTTCGTTCTTCAAGAATTATTTAGAGGTGGGGGTCTTTCCTCTATGTTTTCTTTTCTGGTGGCTAATTGTCAAAAGAGGTAAAGATAAATTTGTGAGAGCAAAAGATATGGACTTTGAAACTGATAGATATATTGAAACACCTGAAGAGAAAGCTGCAAATGATCATGCTGACTCTTTAAAAGGATGGGCTAAATTCAAGAATGAATTTGTTAATAATTTCTTATAAATGATCACATACTATTTTAGATTCAATTTCAATATAATTTTCAAAAAAGGATTTAAATAAATCATTTAATTTTTTAATATCATAAGTTCCTCCAGTTTCTCTTATTGAATGCATTGACAATTGAGGATTACCCAAATCTAATGTTCTTATACCTAATTTACTACTGAGTAAAGGACCAATTGTTGAACCACAAGGCGAATCATTTCTAACAACGAAAATTTGCAAATTTACTTTAGCTCTATTAGCTACTGTTTTTATAAGGACTGCTCCATTTGACGCAGTCGAATAGCGTTGATTACTATTTACTTTAATAACAGGTCCAAGATTAAGTTGTGGACGATGTTGAGATTCATAAAATTCTGTATAATTTGGATGGACACCATGTGCCATATCTGAAGATAATAAAAATGATTTGGAAATAGTTTCATGGTAATAGTCTACTGAGGAATCACCATTAAAATCAGTTCGAGTTAAACGTTGTAAAATATCTGGTAAAAAAGATGAATCTGCTCCATGTGAACTACGTGAACCAATTTCTTCATGATCAAACAAACTTATTAATTGAATACCTTTAGACAGTTTCAAAGTTTCAATTGATTCCACTAATGCTTGTGCTGCTGTATAACAAGATGTTAAATTATCTAATCTTGGTGAAAAGATAAATTCATCATTTAATCCTCCAATTACAGATTTCTGATGATCATATAATAATAATTCAAAATCTTCAATTTGTTTTGGTTCAATTCCTAATTCTTTAGCTATTAATTCAATTAATGATTGATTATGTCTTGATATAACATGTTGAACAGATTCAAATTGTTCAGGAGTTAATTGTAAATTAGGATCATCTGAACATTTCTCTAATGCAACTTGTCCTGCAATAGGTACTAATTTTGTTTCTTTATTAAATTCAAATTTTGTATTAACTTCACGATTTAAATGTATGGCTAAAGTAGGAATTCTCAACAATGTTTTATCAATTTTCAAAAGTTTTGGAACATATTGTCCATTTTCATTGACATAAACTCTTCCAGCAATTGATAAATCTCTATCAAACCAAGTATGAGCTATTAATCCTCCATATTGTTCAACTCCAATTGTTATAAATCCTTCAGAAGTTCTTTTTGAAATTGGTTTAATTCGTAAACATGGACTATCTGTATGAGCACCAACAATAGCTATTCCATTTCCATTTTCATATTCTCCTCCAATGGTAAATGCAATTATTGAAGAAGCATTCCTTGTGACGTAATATTTTCCATTTTTTTTCAATTTGGGCCAACTTGATCTTTCATCTAATTGTTCAAAACCAGCTTTTATGAGTATTGATTTCACGGTGTTCACTGCATGATAAGGAGTAGGTGAATCATTTACAAAATTTATAAAGTTGTTAGCGTATTCTAATTCAGACATGATTTTGGTTCTAGTTGTTGCAAAATGAAAAATGTAAAAATTGACACGGCTTTTTTTTTTATAATCAACAAATGTTGTTCATATTATTATTATCATTAATAGCATTTATAAATTGTAGTCAATTGGCTCCATTATTGATAGCTTCTCATAAACTAGTTCCTGATCTTAATACTGAAATCAATGATTCGAATTTAGAACCACATAATGTTACTTCTGTAACAAACTTATTAAAAAAATTGATAACTCAATGTTCATCGGATGCTTATCTAATTGTTGATGTTCCGAACTTAACGTATCAAGATTTAACAGATAGTCAGAGAGATAGATGGCAATTCTTATTGAACTATTTATACATGTCGTCGACCATTGTGGGCTTACCTAGAGTTGAATTGGGTTTAGATTTAGATCATATTGAAGATTATATAATAAACACTTGTGAGGCAGAAACAATACCTAATGAATTACAAGACTATTATGACACTCGAACAAGAGTAATTAGAATCAATGATCCTAATCCAGATGAATTAATGAGAAAGATTCTCAGAAAACTTCCTTCCCCACATTATACAATAATCGTAACATCTACAACTCCAGGATTTACTCACCCAATTCCAGAATCAGTAATGGAAAGACAACCTGAAAAATTTGAAATATTTCATGACATTGTAAATAATCCAAAACATAATGGAGGTACTGAAAAAAATGATCGATTCCATAAAGTTGAGCCAAACTGGAATCCTATTAGAGATTCTAATGAAAGATATTTAACAAATAAAAAAAAAGATGAAATCCATTTATTTGATTATGAATTATGGACAAAAAATGAGAAATTAATAATTACAATATTTATTATGTTATCTACTTTATTATTCATAAAAATTCATTCTAGTATTACACTGGCATCAAAATAAAAAGAAGGATCTAAACTTGTAATATCAGCCAGTTTTACTTTACCATCTAATAATAATTCACTCATTATTTTACCTGTACCTGGAGCATTATTTATACCCCAACATGAATGACCAGAAGCTAAAAATAAATTTGTGACATTAGTTTCACCTATTAGTGGACCACTTGATGAAGGAACATCCAAAACAGGTAAATAACAAGCTTGACGTCTTAAAATATGACCTTTTGCTAAATTAGGAGATATTTTACTTACTTGTTTATATAATTCATCACATTTAGATCGTACAACTTCAACATCATCTGTAGTTTCTGGTACATCAACCGCTGAATCTCCTTCTCCACATACATATACTTCGTCTTGTCTTGCATATATTTCAGGTGATATATATGAATTAGGACCAACTTTAAATTCTGTGAAAATAGCATATGGACTTACTGGTTGATCTTTAAAAGGAGCTATAGTTATTGAATGTGCACGTAATCCTGAAATAGGACAATCTGGTAAAATTTTTGAAGTCCATGGACCAACTGTTAGTACTGTTTGATCAGCTTTCAATTCTATTTGTTTATCATATTTATCTCCATCTTTTATTGAAGTAGGTTGATATTTAACTCCAGTTGCTGTACCAGTTTCTTCTGAATATGTAATTTCTTCAACTTTACCCAATATTAATTCTATTGCTCCACTTTCTACTGCTTTTCTTAATATGAAATTTGTAAATTTATAAGGATGTACTTGAGCTGTTGTATCTGTACCTCCTAATGTGGAACAATTTGTAATCACTTCAGAATTTATCCAATTTAAACTGGATGGTAAAGTTTTTCCTTGACTTTCTAACAGTATAACAGATGATGATCTTGTATTTCGTGATTTTTTAGGACCATTTGATTCTGATTTTATTTTTGATATATCACCTTCTAATGAAACTGTAGTTAATCTTCTATACCCCCATTCTTCTTCTCCATTATATTCATTAGCTAATTTTTGATGTAAATTGAATGATAATGATACGATTTGTTCAGGGAATGCCCATAATGCTAATAATCCACCAGCTTTCCCACTTGCTCCTCCAGCAACTCTTTTACTTTCAATAATAGTTATATGATATTTGTCCGAATCAAATTTCGGATGTTTTGTGATGAAATAAGCTGTGCAAACTCCGATTATACCAGCTCCGACAATTATTATATGTTTCTTGTTCTTATGTCTGCCTGAAGGTTCAGACCTGAATTGTAGATAATCCATTATCTATTAGTGTGTTGTTAACTAAGAAGAAGAAAATTGAAATGAACTAAATCTTAAAACAACCGAAAAAATAAAAATCAGTTGATCTTGAAACTTACAACGGTTTTTTTTTATATTATTATTATAACGTGAATTTATCGGGTTGTACAGACAGAGAAAAGTAATAAATCGAGTTTTAATATATCAGTTCTTATTAATTGGAGAAATTGCAAACATTACCTGTGTACTACTACTTCAAATACTCAATTTTAGTAAAGTCGACTTTTTTTTTGCAACCATGAAATCAGACAGGTTCTTGATCAAAATTCCTAGATTAAATTCAGATATAACAAGTGAAGACGACGAACCAAAACTGAAATTAGAAGCAATACTTGATGAAGAAAGACATCTCATCAATAAAATTTATTTACAAAGATATATCTTTATTAAAAGATTTAATTTATTAAATTCATTATTAGAACAATATTCTAATCAATTAAGAAATGAAAATGAAAATCTAATCAATAGATTTCAAAATTTGAAAACAACATTATCAAATTGTTTAACCTTGGGATAACCAACCCATTTGTACAAAAAATTCATAAATTTTGGAAGCTTTATTTACATCAATTTTTAATACTTGTCTTGCATCTTTCTTTTTGAGAACTCCATTGTTTTTAACAGCTTCTTTCATTAATTGATTCTTTATGGCTAAATAAGGTTTTGGTAAAATTCTCAATGTTGCACATAGTTGTTTTTCTTCCGCAGATAATAATTCATAATCCGTTGAATGCGTTATGTCTAAAGGAGTTCTCCCCATTGGTTTTGGTGGTTGTGTTTGTGGAGGAGGTGATAATGGGGTATGTCTTGCACCATTTCTTATATAATGTGCACTTCTAATCAATTTATCTTTCTCATATTTAGCTCCATCTTCTAATGTAGTAATACCATTCTTCCTCCATGCTTGTAATTGTTGAATTCTTATTCTACATCGAATTTCTGCCAATAAATCATTGGTAAAACTTTCAAAATCTGATGGTGTCAATACCCTTATATATGCATTAATCTTTTTGAGTAAATCTTTTTCTTCCTTTGATTTTCGTTTATCTAAACTTACATTTTTTCTATATTCTAATAAGTTGTTTAAAATCATTACTCTTTTCCTCTCTGCTCTTGTTGTTAATCTTGAATTATATATATCCAAAATTGTCAATTTTAATTCAATATCATTAATCATATCATCTGGATCAAAAATCATATCTTTTATAGGTACTTCTGCTTCATTTTCAGCTTCATGATCAAATTCTAATCTTCCTGGCATATAACCTTGAATTTCATGACATAATGGAACTGATGCAACTGGTTTACCCTTTGGTGGTGGTAATGGCATATTTCTTCTTTTCTCTAATCTTTCTTTTCTTTCTTCTAGGAATTGTAATGGTGGTATATTTGTAAAATCTTTATTCATTTCAGGTAATGGATAATCTTTACTTTCGAGATAGATCTTATAATAATGTTGTGCCACTTCCTCCTTTGATCTATTTCCAATATGATCAGCAATATCTGCCCAATTCCCTAATCCAAAAGTTTCACATCCTTGTATCAAAAGTAACTCTTCATCAGCTCCCCAATTTCTATCAAATATTGGATATGTATTTTGTTCTATTATTTGATAATCATGCCATGGTTTATGATCTCCTGTAGTTAATCCTGCTGCAAAACATGGCACACATAAATCATAATCTGAACATATGGCACATTGGACCCTTAACCTATTTGTACAATCCGAAGAACAAACATCACAATGGAATAATTTACGTGCATCCATTGTGGTGGCAATTGACATGATGGTGCTTAAGTTGAACTGATTTGTTGATATTTTGTATGTGCGCGTGCAAATCACGTGTAGACTTTTATTATTAGGGCTTTTAATTTTTTGGGTGTATTGTTCTCACTACATTTTTATATTTTTCATTTCATTTTACCAATCTTATCAGCTCAATATACATAAACAACTACAACAAGAATGGTATGTACATTAAATATCAAAGACCACTAATGGATGAATACTAACCATTGATTTAGGGACGTGTTAGAACTAAGACAGTTAAAAGAGCCTCAAAGGTTTTAATCGAAAGATTCTACCCAAAATTAACTTTAGATTTTGAAACCAATAAAAGATTAACTTCAGAAATTGCAGTTATTCAATCAAAAAGATTAAGAAATAAAATCGCTGGATACACAACTCATTTAATGAAAAGAATTCAAAAAGGACCAGTTAGAGGTATTTCATTCAAATTACAAGAAGAAGAAAGAGAAAGAAAAGATCAATATGTCCCAGAAGTTTCTGCTTTAGATTTATCACATACTGGTGGACAATTAGAAGTTGACGCTGAAACTGCTGATTTAGTTAAAACTTTAGGTTTCAAAATCCCATTACAAACTGTAAACATTTCATCACAAAGAGGTCCAAGAAGATTTGCTAAAAGAAGTTAAGTTTTGTACATTATAATACACAAATAATAAGTAAAAAAATTAAATTTCAGTTGTAGACCTTTTTCTTTATACAGAATGTTATACTTGTATCTACTACTACTACCTTTAGTTACTGCGATTCAATGGTTCCCATTAGATTCAGATGGAAATATTCCTAAAATTCAACCTTATTTAAAAAATCAAGAGATTTTTTTTGATTGTATACAAAGAAATATAGATAATGGTGAACATAAATTTGATCAACAAAATAAAATAATATATGGACCTTTTCCTAAATGTAAAGAGACTCAGAAACCTTTTGTTTTTGAATACGGTATAAATGAAGATTTGAATTGTACTATTCAATTTACTGATGAATTATATCATTTATTTCAATTATATATTCATGAAGATGTCCCATTTAGTTGTAGATTACCATTATCTTCAGAAGTTGCTTCATTAGAGAAAGGTGGAGCTTTTATACCTTTTACGTTCAACTTTAGAGGTGAAATCACTGATTCTCATATTGATATTGATCATTCATTGAATGTGATAATTACAAAACCTAATGAACAAAATACATTTATAAGTGCTGTTGCTTATGGTTCAGGAACAAACACCACCAGAGTAGTAATAGGAGATGAAGTTACATTAAATTTTGCAATTAGATGGTTAGATCAATTGAAAGTTGTTGGATCAAAAGGTTATGATTTACCTTATAAAGATGGTTTTTATAAATTTGAAACAACAACTTCGATAGTTTCATTATTTTATGTTCCAATTGCATGTATTATAACAGCAGTAATTGTATTCTTAATAACTTATAAAAAGAGAAGGTATCAACCATTAGATATTGAAAAAAAAGATTAATTGCATTATATATTTAATTTAATTTCCTAATTATTGATTGTATAATTGATTCTATCTTCTCATTTCCTTTTATTTGTCGAAGTTTATTGATAAACATATTTGTTAATTCTTTATCATTATAAGCTAAACATTTATTCACGGCCAATTGAATATCATTATACCTTAGTGGAAGTGTTGTATCAATATATTTTGTTCTTATATCATCTGGATAATTTTCTTGAATATATTTTAAAATATTACTGTATAAATAATTTTTATCCATATCAAATTGATCAATTACATCTAAAAATTTCTCCGTTTCACCTAACCCTAATTTCTCAATACATGCTTCGAAAATAGCTAAAACAATATCTCCTCTCAACGCAGGTGAAGCTTCTTCAACATCTGGTAATTCCTCGATATCAGGTGCTTCTGGTAACTCCATTTCATGTTCAACTTGTAAAATTTTCCCTAATTCTTTTCTTGCTAATAGTTTAGCAATATAAGTCAATTCAAATTGTGCATAATTCAACCAAAGTTTTTCAGATTCAGGATTTAATCTTAATCCTCTTTGAAATAATAATCTTGTACCTTTTGCATTCCCATTAGTTTCAAATTCATATTTTGCAGCTGATAACCAAGCATCAATATTTCTTGGTTGTAATTGTAATAATCTTGAGTATATCTTATATATGGCTTTTATTGCTCCATTTTGTTTGGCAAATTTAAGATATGTATTCCATAATTGTATATCACCAGGAAATTTTTTAGTACCTCTATCAAGTATAAACATTATACGACGCACTCCAGCCCAATCACTTAAACTTGGTTTAGTATCAATAAATTCTTTTAATCTATTATATCTTTTTTTACGTAATTTTTCAAGGTTTTGTTCAAATTCACTATATTTGATATAATCTCTTGGTCTGGATCCTCTACCTGTAATTCTATGTTCAAAGTCCGTACGTCTTCTCATGATCATTGTGATTTCATTTTTGTCGAATAGACCTTTGACTTTAAGATCTTCAAGTTCTGGAACCGACTGCTCTAGGTAGTATCTAACTTTATCAGACATTATTGATGGTGATGTAGTGATTAAGATGATGTGAAAAACGAATTTTCAATTTAGTGATGCGTTAAGTATTAGGGGGTATTTTTTTCCAATTAGGCGGTTTTCTATATTCCTCTTAATATGAGCCTTAGATTTAGAAATGAAATTGAAAAATTATTCGTAACATATGTCTCATATATATGATGCTTGTCCTGAGCTTCGAAGAAAAAGCTCTTACCGTTGAAGTATAGAGAGTGTTTCAGCTGGTCAAAATTGGCATGTTAATTCTAATCTTTCGGCGCAGTTATTCATAATTGAAAGTCTATGAGATCCTTATTCATTTAAACGAATTGGTCGAGTTTAAGCCACTAGAGATTGTTCTTCCAACTGCTTACTCGTCTTAATTTACGTCAAAGCATAAATCGGATTTTAATCATAGATTGTTTTAAAACACCAGAAAAAAAAGAAATTTTTATTTTTAACCCGAACATCGTTTAATAACAAAATAAAAATAATATAAATAAAACATATGATCATACATTCATTATACATCCTTAAACATATTCAATTCATTCAAACTTATCAACTTCAATAATAATGTTTAATCCTCCACAGAATTTTTCAACAATACTTTCAAAGCCTACGTTTTTACCAAATACGTTAAATATCACAAGAAAACCAGATCTCATACCTGGAGTACCTGATGGTATATTAGCATTGATAGCACCTATAGTGGCATATTGGACATATTCTACATTCTTTCATATAATAGACGTTTATGAACTAGCTGAAAAATATAGAATTCATCCTAGTGAGGAAGAATTGAAAAGAAATAAAGTAACTTTAAAAGAAGTAATACAAGATGTTGTAATACAACATATTATTCAAACCATAGTTGGACTAATAGTATATTATTTTGATTCAGTTCCTGTAACTGGTCATGAAACCTATATAATGTGGCAATTAAAACATAATTATTTACCAAATGTACCTGATTCAATAATATATTATGGATATATGTATGGATGGTCATTTTTAAGATTATGTATTGCTATTACAATAATTGATACTTGGCAATATTGGTTTCATCGTTTTATGCATGTGAATAAAACTTTATATAGAAAATTCCATTCACGTCATCATAGATTATATGTTCCATATGCATTTGGTGCATTATATAATGATCCAATTGAAGGATTTCTTTTGGATACTTTAGGAACAGGTGTAGCTTCTTTGACAACTGGTTTAAGTCATAGAGAATCAATTATATTATATACTTTTGCAACTTTAAAAACAGTTGATGATCATTGTGGTTATAAATTACCTTATGATTTTTTTCAATGGTTATTTCCAAATAATTCAGTATATCATGATTTACATCATCAACCTTGGGGTATTAAATCTAATTTTTCACAACCATTTTTCACTATATGGGATAAAGTTTCAGGTACTCAATATCAATTTATGGAAAATTTTAAAGAATTACAAACTAAAATTACTTTGGAGAAATATAAAGAATTTTTAGAAAGAAAATCAAGGAAAGGACCAACAACCAAAAAGGAAAAAGAAAATTATGAAGAAGAGCTCAAACTAGAGCAAGAATTGGTTGAAAATGAAAATAAAAAGACTATATAGAGACATTAATTTAATGCGTAATATTATTATTATTATTATCAATTATTTTTCTTTTGTGCGTTAACACTCTTATCAACAAGATGTCAAAAAAGGCAGATGATATATGGAAAGGAAGTGTAGAGAAAATAGTATGTATATTGAAGTTACTTTTATCGAGGGTGATTACTAACTGATTAGAATTCTGAGTTGTTCACGTTAACATATGGATCATTAGTTTCTCAATTATGTCGAGATTTTCAAAATAATTATCAAGAAGTCAATACCCAACTAGATAAAATGGGTTATAATATAGGTTTAAGATTAATTGAAGAATTTCTAGCGAAAACAGGGATACGTAGGTGTTCAAATTTTAAAGAAACAGCAGATATAATTTCCAAACTTGGATTTAAATTATTTTTAAATATACAACCGCAAGTAGAAAATTGGTCAAATGATAATAAATGTTTTTCATTAGTGATTCCTGAACCTAATCCATTGACGGAATTTGTTGAATTGCCCGAAACTGCAAAGGAATTATGGTATAGTCAAGTTTTATGTGGTGTTTTAAGAGGAGCGTTACAAATGGTTCAACTTGATTGTGACGTATATTTTGTGAAAGATGTATTGAAAGGAGATGACAAAACTGAAATGAAGTTGAAATTAAACAAGGTATTGAAAGATGAAGTTCCAGTGTAGAAGGAGAGAGACGGATCCAAAAAACATGTCGAGCTGAGAGATTAATAAGGGAAGAATAAAGTGGACAAGGTGTATGTCTCCATTATCAACCTACAATACTAATGCTAACTTTACCCCAAATTCATGTCAATTGACTTTTGTTTCTGCTGATTCTAAATCACTCAAATTTCGTATAGCAATACATGATTCACTATCAATCAATGTCTCATTATCTTCGAATTTTAAATGAGCAGCTTGCGGTCTTGGTAAAATTATGTCTCTTGTTGGTCTTGGTAAATTTGTATCTCTTGTTGGTCTTGTTCTACTATGTGTAGATTTTTTCGACGGTTCATCGCCTACACAAGCAACAAGACATAAAATTATTCCTCCAATAAGAAATGGTAATGCAGCGATTAAAGCTATTAACACAAAGTTATTATCATAATCTGTATCGTCGTCTGAAGGTTCAGTCATGGTAAAGAAGAACTTTCATAAATTTTTTCAATTTTAATCTTGTATATTTAATCTATAAATTTTGAATTTTCATGCAACTCTATGTAAAAACTACTCAAGTCTAGGCCAATGGTTTACCAGTAATTTTAGCATTAGGATCTGCATCATTCTTTTCTCCAAATTTTGGATAAGTATTATAACCATAATCATAAGGAGTATAAAAAGTACTTCTATCATATTTATTTAATGATTCATTTTTTTTAATTCTTTCTGGTAAATCAGGATTTGCAATAAAATGTCTACCAAATCCAACTAATGTACGATCATTTGCATTTGAATCTTTAACAATGTTTTTCCAATCATCTTTTTCATCAGAAGTATAATTACCACCTCTTAATATAATACCTTTCCAATATTTATAAAAATAATCCAAGTTTATATCTTCAGTAACTTCATCTTGATCGTATCTACCATCAACTAAATCAATAAAAGCCAATTCATTACCTTCATCAGCCCTTTTTTGTAATTCACTTAAAATATAGGTATAATCTTCTTTACTTGTTGGATTAATACCAGGTTCTTGAAATACATTATATGGGGAGAATCTAACACCTATTTTTTGAGCAGGAGCAACCTTAAACAAATTATCAAAAACTTCAAATATAAATCTTGACCTATTTTCAACTGATTTACCGCCGTATTGATCAGTTCTGGTGTTTATTTTGGGATTTAAAAACTGAGACCCTATGTAACCATTTGCAAAATGTAAGGCCACATAATCGAATCCAGCGACATCTAATGCTAGCTTTGTTGCATTGGGAAAGTCTTCAGTTACTAAAGTTTTAATTTCTTCAACAGTTAATGGTCTTAATAAATTTCCACTTTCTTTTGCTTCCTTTTCAGAAGCTTCATGTTCATAGATATCACTAACACCTACAAAGTCATAACCTTTTTCTTTTAATAATTTTGGACTAGCTACTCTTCCTAACCCCCATAATTGTACAGCAATTTTTCCACCGGCCTCATGAACAGAATCAACAATTTCCTTCCATGCTAATGCTTGCTCTTCATTCCAAATACCTGGAACATTTGGATACCAACCTAATTTAGGTGTTGCAATAGTTGCTTCAGTTACTAAAAGTGAACCATTTTTAGCTCTATCAGTATAATATATTTTTTGTAAATCTGTTGGAATATGATCACCAGGATGAGCTCTATTTCTAGTAGTTGGTAAATGAGCAATTCTATTTTTCAATAAAGCATTACCAACTTTAATTGGTTTGAATAAATTTGAGGAAGCTATAGTTGAATTAGTCATTGTTTAATTCTCAATGTTGTTACTTTTTCTGTGTATATTTCTTGTTGTTGCAATTGATATATTTGTTATATTTCTATTGTTTGATTATGTTGATCAAAAGTCAATTGAATCAATGATTGATGAGATGTTTACATGTTTTTATATATTTTGATAATTTCATTTGAATTGTGGTTCAAAATACTTTATTTTTCATTAATTACTAATACACCGGAATTAAATTCGTATTTAACTTTCCGAAATGGATTAATTATTTTTCTTTAGCAATTTGCTTTGTGCGAGATCTAAGTCGAATAAGATGAGAACAATAGGGCTGAACACGCTGCTGGGTTGCCAATCTTTATTATCGTGTCACGAAGTCGAATGAACTTGTCGTCAGACGGACTTAATCGTAGTTATGATTTATAATCATAATTATTGTAATTCTTTATCTGAAAATAAATCCGGATTATTAACCATTTTTCTAACGAATCTGTTGATAGTACGATTGAATTATTTGCTGATTACATTTGCTTGTTCATCTAAATTTTAAGAGCTCGGTGAATGATACAAGGTTTTAGGTTTTTACCTTAAGTCCATGAATTAGTAAGACTAAAATTCTGGTACTTTGTTTAAATGTTAGTAATTTTAATAATGATGTTGAAGCTTGAACAGTGAATTTGAAGTTGCAAAGTGACTGCGAAATTAAAAAGATGATAGTGTATAGTATTATTAATGAAATCAGAGAGTCATTTGATATGATTACTTGTGAGATATAATTTTTACGCCAGCTAGATGACAATATGGTGATAATAGTCCATTATGACAACCGTTGTAAGATATTAGTTCGAACAAACTGAAAATCTTATAAGCACAATGCATTAACCGCTATGCTATGGGTGCTGTTGTTGGTTTTCGAAAGTTCTGCTTCTCCTCGTCGTTTCAAAAATTGACTCTTCTTGTTGGTTTTTAACTCTATTTGTAAGTCGAATTCTCTGTGAAAATAATATTCAATTTAAATAGAATCAGAGTATGTTTGATAAGATTCTTGTAATTTCTTCATATGGCAATTACTTAACTCTGATTTTGTAGTTGACAAATGATTTTCTCCAGTTGAGACCAGTTTGCAGATGCCTGGTGCTTTTTCAAGAATACTGAGAAAAGTGAACTTAGAAACGAAAAAATTTGCTTTATTTATATAAATTTGCAATATTGAGCTTTCTATGTACTGAATTGAAAAGCTGAACCTGGATAAGACCTATTGATTCTGAGCTAAAGCTTTTAAATCAATTTGAAACAATTGGTGATAAAAATATTTTGACTTGATCTTACTTAAGTATTATGTAAGAATGGTCAAGATATTACGTAATGAAAATTTTAATAATAGAATCAAAATCAATTTCTACAATCATTAGTTTAGCTAATTGATTTCATTATCTATCAAAAGTAACAGAATTCACCAAATCAAACAGTCATGATCTTGATATTTTAAAATAAATATGACAAAGTACCATTCACATGAATTTCAAAATTAAAAAATACTAAACACCAGGATTAATTCAATAAATCAAAAAACATCAATCGATAACTAGTTCATTGATCCATAAGAAAAAAATTCCTTATCTTGCAGCGTATAAATAGCATATTTTAAATGAGGACAAGAAGCTGTAATAGCTTTTCCAAAATCTGTGAAATCCCAAAAATCATTAATGTTTTTCAATATAAAAACTTGCAAATCAGACCAATTCACAGTAAGCATGGAAGGTAAATCCTGAATAATATTTTCAGAAAGATCTAAATATTGAATCAGGTCCTTGAACATTATAAATTCTCGACCTGAAAAGATTATTAGATTCTGCGATAAATCCATAACTTTTAATTTAAGATCATTATTATCACCTTCAATATCCATAATTTCATTATTTTTCAAAATCAAGTACTGAATTGATCTTGGTAATTCCCTTAAATCCAAATTTTTGAGTCTACTATTTTCAACACGTAAATACGATAAATTTGAACAATGTTTCAAATTTAATTGTGCAGTGTCTATGTTTCGTGATTCGTCGTGATAGTGTAATATAATATTTGAAAGATGTCTGTGATCACCTTCTGGTAATTGATGATTTAAATATTTTATAGTACGAGGAAGAACAGATGGATTTTGTACTGCCACGGATTGAAGCAAAAGAGTTTCCAAATCTTTTGGAAATGTTAGGTAATTTATTATTAATGGTTTGTCTTTATTGTTAAATTTCAAAACTTTTAATGATTCTGGAAATTGAGGAAAAAATTCAATATTATCGTCCGTTAACATTAAACATAACCCGGTGATTTCAGAATTATGAATTGAAAGCAAATGATAAGCCAGTCCCAAATAATTTAATTTTTTGACAGTTATCGGTAGTTGTAAGCTTCTTATGATTGGACATGAGGTGTTTGGTATATTTGAGCATGAAATGTCAAGTGAGCTTAAGTTCTTGAGATAGGAGAGACTTAAATTTGTGGATTCGAAACATGATAAATTTAGGGTCGTGATTTGTTTGGGTAAATCCTTCAACATATTCGAAGAATTTGGTACTTCATCAAGAACTAATTCTCGAACTACTGGCGGCAATTTAAATAATGAACCTAATATTACTTTACTCAATTTGAGGATCTCAGTACTAATTAAAGACTCATTTAGCATGAAAGGACCATCGATTTGTAAGTCTTTGATTTTGCTGATATTGCTCAAAATGATTTTTCTTTTAAACATGGAAAATTCGGTCAGCTTTAAAGAAATAGAATTCTTTAAACTTAGCTGATGTTTAATAATCAAAGAATTTAGGTCTCCAAAGGTATGAATTAATTTCAGCAACACAGAATTTGAACAATTAACAATTTTTAAATCGAGCAATTTTTGTTTCTTAATAGTAAGTCTAGTGGTGTTGATATTTTCAAGACTTAAACTTTTCAATGATAATGGTAAGTGTAATGTCATAGTTTCACATCCCTTATTGGAAGTATTGATATATTTAATTTCCAAATTAGTTAAAGGTAAACTTTCAAGAGCCAAATGTCCTTCTATTTCATTTTTTGTGTGGACGTATAATTTTGTTAAATTTTTTGGAAATGCAAGCAAAAATGAAGGATTTACTAATTTCAAATTATGAATTCTTATATCAGTTGTTATTTCTGAATAATGATTATTGTTAATTACCACCTGATTTAGGTTTTCGATTGAAAGAACTTTGTTGACTTTATAATCATCTTTAGTATCCACCTCAACATTGAAAATTATATTGGAAAAATCAAAATTTGCTTTCATCAATTTTTCTATGTTTGATGAGGATGATGTAACAATATCTGGACGATTAAATTTAATGTGTTCCATGAATTCAATTAAAGAACCTGAATTGTTCGGCTCAGAATAAAGGTTTAATCCATCTTTTATGACATAATGTTTTTTACTATCTTCGTGATATGAATTTGGTGGCGTTGACATTGGAAAATTTGAGTGTTAAATATTGTTGATTGGGATTTTTGAAAACGGTTGGTACGTGTATTTGGTATATAATTAATACATTTGATGATTGTAATGATGTAAATATTGTATATTTTAGGGAATGTTGTAATATATATTGATAATGAATATTAGTCTATGAAACGTTGAGAGAAATGAAATATGTGTAATTGTTTACTGATAATATGATGTTATAAATAATAATTTTTTTGATAAATAATATTTTTCAAGTGTGTTTCAGGTGAGAAAAATTAGTGTTTCGTCAATTTAATTTTAATCTGCAAGTAACAACGAAATAGTAGCATTACCATAAGCTTATGGAAATACATCAAAAGTCAACGAGCTGCTTTTTAGATGTATCAACTTTTTATCTTCTTGATTTTACTTAAATTTGAACATTCGGTATCCACAAACAATTTGTGCAATCAAAAGTATCTTATCAAAATTAGCACACGATTGTTGTCAGGACTTTAGTACAAATTTTCAAAAAAAAATTTTAAGTTCATACCAAATTAATGTCTCTGTTCTAAAACATTTGACTACTTTTAATCTTTTTGACTAATTAGTATCAGCTCTCTATATAAATTAAATATTTCCTGGATAGACTGCAATTTTACTAAACAAAATTAGGTTCAGTTTCAGATTCGAAAAAACGTTTGTTCAACTTGTCTTCAATTTACAACAGAAATTTTATCTCAAAATGCCTAATTACAAATTAAACATGATATTGGTGATACACGTCTTAGAAAAGACAATTGTAACTTAATCATTCCCAAAAGTATTCTTCATAAATCACCAGGAATTATACCTAAGTATTACAATAAACTATGAAGAGCAGAAAAATCAGTACCTTTTCTAGTGTATTTTTCAGGTCTTATTGTTGTATAGCCGCATGCATATAACCTTCAACGCGTTTACAATCTGTTTTCCAAAAGTTTTTGATTTTGAGTTAGTTAAGATATGTAAGTATAGTATGGGAGAATATTATATTTGATCAGAAGCAAGAAGAGAATGGAGTGGATGCAAATATGTTTCAGAGTTGTTATTTTGTGTAACAATTTATTTTTAGATTATGTCTAGGCTTAATTGTAGACTTCGAAGATAAAAGTTCCAGCGATACAATTGTTATGGACCCGTTTGCACTTGCACTTGATTCACTGAATTTTAACCAGCTTAAAGAATGCTCATCGAGACCAGAATTGTGTTTAAAAGAAGTTTACTTATTGTACAGTAAATGCATCATTGCTGATCTTGCTAGAAAATTTTTATTTCACAGTGTTAGTAGAGTATGCCAAAACAATAAGTCAGCACAATCACTAGATTGACAATGAACGAAATGTAAGTAAAATGCATACATCAATTACGAGAGGTAATAATTTGAAATCCAAGCACTTTGAAATTGTATAATCACTCATTCGATGATCTCAAATCCATAAAACTGGCATAAGTTTCAATTGAATAAGCTATATGACGCGTGACTTTGGAGCAGTATTCTATTGAATGTAGTAGCCTTTTTCATCTCCCACCACAAAGAAACCCAAGACAGCATTTAAAGACTGGATTTGTTCTGTAGCAACTCATTCGAATTTGATCTGTTCACTATACGTCCCCAAGTCTTGAAGTCGAGCACAATACTTGTAATTCATTCATCATGCAACTTCGATCCAGTAGTAACATATTTGCTACTGAGTTTTTCGAAATCAACGACTCACTTTTAGTACTCACAATTTCCAGAATTTGCCAAAAAAGATCCAATTTTAGAAGTTATACTCAGATTTTTGTTAGCCTAATAAATTTCAAATTTGTTTCTGTTTAATCAAACTCATTCTGTTTCATTTTATCTCCTCCGCTTTAGAATAAAACAAAATAAGCCCAATTCAACTTTTTTTCAGCTCAATCATGAAATCCATTAAACAACGTCCAATAACTAAGTTGTTGACTCTATGATCATAAAAATGGAAAAATAAAGATTCGGCATATCCGTAATATTAAAAGGAAATAGATCAAAGTTCAACCTTTCGAAATGAACGAAAAACAATCTGGTATTTTGAAAGTAGTGGCCATCTAATATTATTGATCGAATTACCCAAGATATTTCCCTATTGTTGAAGAATTTCGACAAATTTGACCTCAACCAATCTCAATTATTAATTCAATGATTAAATCTGAATTAGTGAAACGATAATTATGCATTTAGTAAACAATCCTGGTGGTGTGGAATTCCACAATTGCACGCAACAATCACACACAAAAATTTCGTTCTCTGTTGGCACAAACATAGGCTAATTAGATTGTAGTAGTCTCGTTATGCTCGACATAAGTCTTTGATTCGACGTTCCATTCAGAAATTGTGATTGCTTGTTAATAAACGACTCTTCATTTATTTACCAAACAAACGCGCATATAATGCAGAAAAAGAAAATCAAAAAAATTGCTGCTACAAAGTCGTGCGTAACGCACAAAAAAATTATCGATTCTTTTGTAAGCCTTTTTTTCAAATCAAACATTATTTTCACAGAGAATTCGACTTACAAATAGAGTTAAAAACCAACAAGAAAAGTCGATTTTTGACACGACGAGGGGAAGCTGACCTTCCAAAAACCAACAACAGCACCCGTAGCATAGCGGTTAATGCATTGTGCTTATAAGATTTTCAGTTTGTTCGAACTAATGTCTTACAACGGTTTTCAAGTTGGAAACGCAAGGATCCCGAGTTCAATCCTCGGCGGGTGCATTGTATATTTTTTTTTAATGTCTTTGGGTTGTTACATGATCTAAGATCATTTGGGGGAAAGAATAGGGTTAGATAAGTCCAATTTGATAGCCCCCCAGAAAATTTGTTTTAAGTGCTACCATGTTTTGACTTTATTGCTCAACGTCAATTTGAGGAAACTGTTTTAATTTTTACAGTTGGTAAGCTTTATATAGATATTTATTTACAGTTATGACTTTAATTCTATGGGTTGTTCATCGGAATCTTGTTGCCTATTGGGTTGCAACTCAATCTGTCATAGATGTAATTTTCAAAATCTTTTTTTTAAAAAAATTTTTAATTTTCTCGAAACAATAAAATTTTGACTTCTCCATTTTTGAATTAACAAACATAATGTTACATAGTCTTCGTTCTAATATGCTATTAAAGCATCTATATAATTTATCTCATCTAATTTAGCTAAGTTATCATAACCGTTTAATGAAAAACTATAATTTTGTTTTTAAGATTATTGATGAATCAAATATTCGAGATATATTTTAATATTTACCGCACTTTGATGCGCGAATTGACAAATACATCCGTGCATACATACAATATAATTTTTTAGCTTATTATCTTCAAAAGCTTGGGTTGTCTCTAAATGTTTGAAGCAAGTCTTGTATAAAAAGCCCAAAAGTTCAAGACATTATTACTGATTTTGTTGTAATTTAAACTTTGAGTGTACTGTTATTATTTTTTGGCAGCAAAATAATGATTATAATTGAAAATAATATCAGTGTTAATTACTTTAGACCTGAAGATGAATTAAGATTTTATATATTGAATATTCACATCAATTTACTATTTGACCTTTTTAAAGTCAACAACTAAGTCATAAAAATTTGACTAGAATGAAATTTATGCCAACTCCACGAATGTTTTACTTTTTTCTTAACTAAAAAATTGTGAAACAAGTGACACATTCAAATAAGGTTTTGTGTTACAAATTGAAACTTAGATTATTTCTTATGAATACTTCGTGTTAAAAATTTAATCAAAACAGTGGTTGAATGGATTTTGCGAAATCGCACCTTATAGTGGAGCTTGAAACAAAAATGGATGATTGATGTAAAATTAGTGCTGTCTGATACCTATCGAAAATTGAGCACATGGAAAGTATGGCATGTGTCCAGATCTGATACTTATAGTAGTACTAGAGAAAGGTTTCTAATGTCGATTTGAGGGATATGCGCCCATTGTAACAAAAACACTATGTGGATCAATGAGACCGAAATTAAGCTTGCCTCTTTTAGTTGACTATGGACGACTACTTCTAACAGACAGGTAAGGTAAATCAAATCAAATCAATCGTTCTAGACATATTACAGAATGCCAATTGTATATGGCTAAAACGCAATTTACATTTAAGTTAATACTTCTATCTGAAACAGTAATGATATTTTGAAAAAAGCAAGTTAAATTAAGCAGTTTTGAAATATAAAAATATGTATCCTCATGATATATCAATGGATCTGCGGAGGTCTTAGCAAAAAATCACTCAAATTGGGCAACTTTACCCAATTCAGATCAATCAAACGGCTCACCGCAGAGAAGTTTAGAGACCAATATCAGTCCCAGTAACCCGTATATTTAATAGCCATAAAACCTTTAATTATATTATCAAATAATTGTATTAATGACATGATAGATTTCTTGAACTTTCAGTCATTCCTCCCCAAAGATAATTACCAATTGCAGCTCCAACAGCAACTGAAATCATATACCAACCATTATAAGTCATAAAAACTAACATTAATAAAAATGAATAATAAACTTGTAAACCATATAATAATGCTCTTTGTAATTTAAATCTTGGTAATGGAGCATTTGAAGTTCTTTCCCAATGACTGAACCATTTTTTAAGAAGTTCATAAAATGATGATATGACTGCTACAGCAATTAATGAAATAACAAATCCAGGAAATGTTTTAATGTGCCACCATTTATAAACTATACACACATTATGCCAATCCCATGTGAAAAGCATCTACATAAAGTTAGTATCATCAATCAATCCAATTCATGTAGCGTTATAGTTACATACGTTCATTGAACACCTATCTTCAGGCATTGATGGCATTTCATGCATCATTGAAGTTTGTTCATGCATTTTTGATAAAGAACAAATAGAACAACTGAAAAAATAAAAAAATTAAAAAATTAAAAATTAAAAATTTAGATTTCCGATCTTTCTTATAAAGATTGAAATAGGATCATTATCAACTCATTCTTTGAAGTGTTATCAACTCATTCTTGAACTGAAGAAATAATTGAATTGAAATCATTAATCATTCACCAACAATATGAAGATCTTATCAGATGATGAGAAAAATGCTCATTTTAATCATGTTTTATCAGAAGGTTTTAAAGGATTAGTATATGGAGGAGCTTTATCAGCAGGTATATTTTCATTCTTAAAATTTAAAAGACCAACAACTTTTGCAAGTTTTAGTCCAAGTATTAAAGCTGCAATTTTAACAATGCCAACAATTGCATTAGGAGCATTTTGGGCAGATCAAGGATCATGGGAATTCGATAAAATGATGCATCAATCTGAATATAATGAATCTGAAATATTAAAAAAGCATAAAGAATTTAATCAATTATCAACAACTGATAAAATTATAACAAAATTGAATGAACATAAGTATGAAATTATTGTTGGAATTTGGGGAGCAAGTTTATATGGAAGTTGGGTCATTATAAACAGAGATAAATATATGACAACAGCTCAAAAGCTTGTGCAAGCCCGTGTGGTTTCGCAGTTTATCTCAATATTATTATTATTGGCAACACTTGGTTTGAGTATGAGAGATGCTGAAATTAAAAAAAATCAACCAAAACCTATACCAGAATGGAGAAAAGTTTTAGAAGAACAAGGAAAATCTAAATAGACAGGGATAGAAAGGCAAGTTTATAGATTTAACAGATCGTTCTTAGGTTTTAATGGGTGATAATCTTGTATATATAAATTGATATATAATTCCAATGAGTAGATTTGACTATATATACTTGATATTTCGATCTTTCCAAATTCTTGATATCTCATTAGCTACAAATGTCACAATGATCACTTTGTTCATTGACCACAACGTTGCATGAATATATATAGTGTCTTTAAGAAATCCAGACCATCAATGACAAGATGCATTGCTAACTAGCCATTACGATTCATTCTTACTAACAAAACTAAAATAGATTAACGATAAAAAAATTTCCTAATCGGTGCAACGCGATACGGATTTATTGTGGAGTCAAGATAAGAAATATACGATTGCTGAAATTGGATTAGACGTAGAAAGAAGAACTAATTGAAATCATAAGTCAAGTAAGTCAATTATCTATCATAAGGTCTATCATTCAATATAGTAGATTATACAGTCGCCAATACGGTTATAAACAAGCAAACATAGATAAATATCATCGACCCTCACCTTCTACTTTGTTAATATTCCATTTCATTGATTCATATATAATTATCTTTTATCACAATTGATACATTAGTTCCCAATTCTTCGGTAAAATCATCATCATGGCTTATAAGGGACAACGTTACAAAAAGAAATTCAACCCAAAATTAAACAAATCTAATTACAGAAATTCTAATCAAGAATCAGAAATTGAAAACTATTATCAAGAATCAGATATTGAAATAAAGAAAAGAGAAAAAAGAGAATGTAATATGAAATATGAAGAAGGAAATTTTATTCAAACTGGTCACATTTTCTCAGGAAACATTAATTCCTCTGATTCAATTTATGTTGAAAAAATAGTAGATCAACTTATTGGAGCATTTGATGAACATGCGAGAGAAAAAAAGTCAATTACTTCTTTGGATATGTTAAGCATCTCAAGACATTTCTTTGTTGGGGATGCTTTGACATGGGTGGATGAATTTGCAATTTCAAAAGGTATTGATAGATTAGAATATGTACTGGAAGCTTACCGAGGTGGTGACACTAATAAATTCAAAACTGCATTTAGTCCAGAGGAATTTTTAGATGCATTTCTTGCAAGGTTCAAGCCTGTTGATCACGTTATAAATGTTATAGATAAAATTAGGGAACTTAAACAAGGTTCAATGGATTTAGATACTTTCAAAAATAAATTTTACAAATATGTTTCACTTTTAAATGAGGAAGAATTGAAAATAGATTTTGTTCAATTCAGGCTCTTAAAACATTTTAAACAGAATATTAATTATAACCATAGAGGTGTAACATCTTCTTTTAAGAATTTAGATGATATATGGGACTATAGTGTTCACGGCATGTGAATTCACCTCATGAAAATTACTAATTCAAGACTATAGGACTTACCCCAGTTCTTGGACCATAAGATTATTCTTATCATCAAGCATACAGATGTTGAAAGCTATGCTTAATGAGGGTAATTCTATACACGAAACCAAAATAAATTTAAAGCAAGTAAGATTTAAAAATTATTTCAATATCAAAATCAGTAACTGCATAAAGATGAGTAAATTCTTTGCTTTTGAAAATTTTTGGGTTATGTGGATTAATCATGACAAATTAGTTGGGCTTATCATAAATTTCTACTGGATATAGTCCTTGGCTTGGATTGAAATGATTGAAAGTGAAAGTCCACAGTTGTCAAACTGGGTTGTTCTTAAATATATACTATACAGTTAGATAATCAATCGAGAATTACATCTAGATCATGAAAAATAATCAAATCATGAATTAGAATTCTAATTGAGAGATTTTACAGCTAAAGATATCATATAAAGATTAATCTGACGGTCTTTTGTTCCAGAATTATTAATGTAATATACACGAATTTGTTTTGAAGACTCCAAACGCATATCTGCTCAAAATCATATTAATTGATTTCCTCTATTTACTCCAATCTCTAGTCATGCTTGTGTTGATTTTAAAAGGCACAAACAAATTCGGTAATAAGGAAGAAACTAATGAACAGGAAAGACTTTCACGACTTAATATCAATTGTTATTTTAACTCAATTGAGTACACAAAATAGTATCTGAAAAATAATTTTTTTGTTTCAAACTTTACTCATTGAATCACCAAAACAATTTCAATGAATAATGCCACCAAAAGTTAAAACACAACAAGAAAAAATTCAAGCTGTAGTACTAACAGATTCATTTGAAGAAAATTTCACATCTCAACCAAAATGTTTACTACCTTTAGTAGGAGCACCACTTATAGAATATACATTAGAATTTTTAAATAATTCACCAATAACTGAAATTTTTATAATTGTTACAAATGAAAAAGTTTATGATTACTTAGTCAAATCAAAATGGAAAATTAATATAATAATGTCTATGGAATCTAAGTCTATTGGCGATGTAATGAGAGATATAGATAATAGAGGTATAATAAGTGGTGATTTTTTATTTGTTACAGGAGATATAATAACAAATATAAATTTTAATAAATTATGGTCATATCATAAATCTAAAAAATTAGATAAAGATTATATGATGACAATTGCATTAAGTAATTCAAAAACAAAATTTACAAATTCAATATTTATATTAGAAAATCAATCAAATAAATGTATATATTATCAAGATTATCAAAAAACTATAGATATTGATCCCGAATTAATTGAAGATGGAGAATTTATAATTCGAAATGATTTAGTAGATTGTCATATAGATATTTGTTCACCATTAGTTCCACAAATTTTTCAAGAAAATTTTGATTATCAAGAGTTACGTAGTGATTTTTTAAAGGGAGTATTAACTTCAGATATTTTAAGAAAAACTATATATATTTATCAAACTGATTCATATTCTGCGAGGGTTTATGATTGGAATACTTATGATTCAATATCAAAAGATATATTAGCACGTTGGTGTTTTCCCATAGTACCAGATTCTAATTTATTTGATACATCATATGTATATGAATTTAATAATATATATAAAGAAGATAAAATTTTATTAGCAGAATCTTGTAAAATTGGTACATCTACAGCAATAGGAAGAAATACTACAATTGGAGAAGGAACAAGTATAAAAAATTCAGTAATTGGAAGAAATTGTAAAATTGGGAAAAATTGTAAAATTTCAAATTCATATATATGGGATGATTCAGTGGTGGAAGATAATACAATCTTGAATAAAAATTTAAATCAAATTCCATTAAATTTTTATAAATTAACAATTAATGGATCTGATGATTCAATAGCATCATTAAAAAAGAAACGTAATACAAGAAGAAGATTATCAACAAATTCAATAATTTCAGAACCTGAAGAAGATTTTTCAATTGAAGGATTTGCAACAGTTTCAAGAGCAATAGAAAATAATCATGATATAGATACTGCATTATTAGAATTAAATACATTAAGAATGTCAATGAATGTAAATTATCATGAAGTTAGATCAGTTACAAGTGAAGCCATTATAAAAAAAATCATTGATTATATATCAACAGAAACTTTAAAACCTCAAGAAGCAACTACAAAATTATTTTCAAATTGGGGTCAAATGTTTAAAAGACAAACTTTTGGAAATGAAGATGAAATTGATTTATTAAATATTTTAGAATTAGAAATTGAAGAGTTAAATTCAAATTATAATCAAATTATATTATTTGTTGCAATAAAGACATTATATGATATAGAAATTATTCAAGAAGATAATATATTAAAATGGTGGGATTTAAATGAAAACAAAGCTGGTGATGTAAGAGGTTTAACATCTAAATTTATCACATGGTTAAAAGAAGCTGAAGAAGATAGTGATGATGATTAGCATATTCTCTTCGTATAGATTTACGTATTCTCGTTTAATAAATATCATATGATACGTGAAAAAAAAATATATAAACACAAACAAAGTAAGACGTGGTGTAGAATTAAACTCAGTACAAACCACAACGATGTATGATGTTATAGTGATAGGTGCTGGGGTAGTAGGACCTTGCATATCCACAGCTCTTGCAAGACAAGGTAAAAAAGTTTTGGTGGTGGAAAGAGATTGGTCAAAACCAGATCGAATAGTTGGAGAATTATTACAACCAGGAGGTGTTAAAGCACTTAGAGAATTAGGAATGATTCAAGCAATAAATAATATAGAAGCAATAGATGTAAAGGGATATTATATTCAATATTTTAATCAACATTTAAGTATAGATTATCCATTAAAAGAAGTTGCAGAAGTTACAAATCCTATAAATTATTTAGAGAAAGAAATTCCATTAAAACTGGATAATACAATAAATGTTGAAGAATGGGAAAAAGATTCAAGAGTTAGAGGAGTTGCATTTCATCATGGTGATTTTTTACAAAATCTTCGATCTATCTGTAAGAAGGAAGTAGATACAATGGAAGGAACAGTTGTGAAATTAATAAAAAAAGATGATATAGTGATAGGAGTAGAAGTGAAGGAGAATAAGAATAATACCACCAAAACCAAAAAAATTTATTCAAAACTTGTCATTTCATGTGATGGAATATATTCAAAATTTAGAAAAGAATATTCAAATAACAATCCTTCAATAAATTCATATTTTATTGGATTATATTTAAAAAATGCAAAATTACCAGAAAAGAATAAAGGTCATGTATTATTAGGAAATCATGCACCTGTATTAATATATCAAGTATCACCAAATGAAACAAGAGTTTTATGTGCTTATAGATCAATAAAACCTCCTTCTTCAGCAAATGATGAAGTTTATAAATATTTAAAAAATGATGTGTTACCACACATCCCTAAGGAAACATTACCTGCTTTTACATCAGCATTGGAGGATAAAAAATTTCGAATAATGCCAAATCAATATTTATCTGCAAAAAAACAAAATCAAAAGGGGTTTATATTATTAGGAGATTCTTTAAATATGAGACATCCATTAACTGGAGGTGGAATGACTGTTGGAATATCTGATTCTGTATTATTAGCAAGATTATTAAAATCAGTAGATAATTTTGAAGATTATGATTTAATAAAAGATAAACTTTCAATTTTCCATAGAAAAAGAAAAAATTTAGATGCTGTTATTAATACATTATCAATAGCATTATATTCATTATTTGCAGCAGATAAAAGATCTCTCAAGATATTACAATATGGATGTTTTAAATATTTTGAAAAAGGTGGTGAATGTGTTTCTGGTCCAATTGGTTTATTAAGTGGTATATTACCATTTCCAATGTTATTATTTAATCATTTTTTTAGTGTTGCTTTTTATTCAATTTATTTAAATTTTATAAATAGAGGTATAAATTTCCCATTAGCTATTTGGGAATGTTTTGATGTTTTATTTACTGCTATTATAATTTTTACTCCATATTTATGGACAGAATTGGTACAATAGATTTATGTAGAATTTTATAGCACAAAATGAGATAAATAATAACCGTAACAATTTAACATGAAATTTATAACCTATACATAGATATCTCCTCTAACCAAGCCACTATGAGTAATTTACCATTATTAGGTACATCAAATCAATCCAATTTCTTAACAAATGCTAAAAAATCAACTTTATTAACATTGAAATCATCACCAGTAAATTATTTATTGGTGTTTGTTCCAATTGGTTTAATTGCTGGTTATTTAAATTGGAATTCAAATGCTAAATTTTGGATTAATTTTTTATCAATTATACCATTAGCTTCGATATTAGCATTTGCAACAGAAGAAATAAGTGAACATGTTGGACAAACAGCTGGAGGTTTATTAAATGCAACATTTGGTAATGCAGTTGAATTAATTGTTTCAATTATTGCATTAAAAGAAAATCAAGTTAGAATTGTTCAAGCTTCAATGTTAGGTTCAATATTAAGTAACTTGCTTTTAGTTTTAGGCTGTTGTTTTGTTGCTGGTGGTATAACAAGAGTTCAACAAAGTTTCAATCAAACTGTTGCTCAAACAATGTCAAGTTTAATGGCTTTAGCTACTGCTTCATTATTAATCCCAGCAGCTTTTCATGCTTCATTACCAAAACCAAAGGGCAACCTGGGATTTTTCCCAGAACCTGGTTCATCAGATGAATTAATTTTAAGTTTAAGTAGAGGAGTTTCAATTATATTATTATTATGTTATTTATTTTATTTAATTTTTTCATTAAAAACTCATAAATCATTATTTGAAGAAACTAATTCTGCAGATATTGATCATAATAATTCAAGTGATGATATTATAACAAAAGATGATGAACATTTATCAATTTATGAAGCTTTAACAATTTTATTAATTACAACAATTTTAGTTTCATTTTCTGCTGATATTTTAGTTGGTTCAATTGATGATATTGTTGAAAAATCAGGTTTATCAAAAACTTTTATTGGTTTAATTATTATTCCCATAGTTGGTAATGCAGCAGAACATGTTACTGCTATAGTTGTAGCAATGAAAGATAAAATGGATTTAGCTATTGGAGTTGCTGTTGGTTCATCATTACAAATTGCTATATTTGTTACACCATTTATGGTTTTAACTGGTTGGATAATTGATGTACCAATGTCATTATATTTTTCAACTTTTGAAACTGCTATATTATTTGTAAGTGTTTTTATAACAAATTTAGTAATATTAGATGGTGAAAGTAATTGGTTAGAAGGTGCTATGTTATTATGTACTTATTTTATTATTGCTTTAGCATTTTTTTATTACCCAGATTCAGCAGGATTATAGAGAAATGTGAAATCATTTATATAGAGGTTTGTGAAGAAGTTGATCACAATGTATTTTTATAGCTTGTACTATTTTTTTAACAAAACAATATTTATTTTAGAAAGAAGAAGTAACTCTTATGCTTTAAGAAACGTCTAACACCGAAAACGTAGAAAAAAGCTACCACTGAAATGCAGTCTCTGCACTTCAAAGTTGATGAAAGTCTATCCCATAAACTACATCCAATTCTCTAGTGAACTTGAATTGGAGTTATTTATAGGTCAATCTTTTCTTCAGATTGACACTCCTTTAGTCTATCTCTTATTATCCAGCTAATAAATTGCAACGTATTACTGACAAATCTAAGCTATCAGCAAAAAATGTCATAATTCAATTTATAAATTGTAGTGAATAGATGTAATATGTCTGATAACGTGTAAACTTTTGTTGTTTTTTTTGGTTCTCAAAGCTGTTTCAAACAATTTATGAATCCAATTATGGCCCTTCTGTTAAATAGCTTTTATAATGTCAATAATACGTTACTTATAACTTCATGACTATCAACAGTTGACTGGTCAACTCAAGACCAAAGCTATTTTGCAAATCTGATATTCTGATACCAAAACAACAAGTTGTGAAATTGAAAGATATCAACGTTTCAAATCTAGAATTTGGTATTGTTATGAACTTCCATTTTGCATACGTTTAAATTATATACTTTTCGTTGTAAAGTGAAGTTGTTCTTATTCAAAATAAGGCGAGTGAAAACGAAAGAATTTTTTTTTTCTCCTTTTGCAACAATTTACTACTGAGCTTTGAATTCCACTACGCCAATCTTTTTGAATTTAACAGAAAGAGAGGTGGCCAAGGATAGCTTATACACTGCATAAAGTAATTTCCTATACTCAATAAATCAAATAAGAAGATACAATAATGATACTACATAAAAGAGGCTATAATTGTATCTATATTATGAGATCGAAAGTATTGTCTGAAAAATCGTTAATCACAAGACATTAAAAAAAACTTAAAACACGACACTAAAATCTTAACAATAAGAATTTAATTACTATAAGACACGTCTATTCCTTTCAATTTAGCCTAATGATGTGATAACAAATAATAAATTATTATATTTCATTAAAAAGGTTTTGGTTAGATCTCTCTCTCTTTAAGTTTATGAGTAAAAAGCTAGTTGAAAGAAACGTATGAAAAAATAAAAGGATCACCAAGTAATTAATTAATGAATTGTGTTTTAAGACGTGATTTTTTTATAAATTGATATTACAGTGACTGTTCAATATATTTTTGAATGAGCTAAAGAGTGAGTCTTTGGACAGGCTTTAGATAAGTATAAGCCTTCTTCAATTTTCAATTATGAATTACACGTAGAAAACTATGTTCTATTATATAATCTTATAATTCTTATTTTTTAGCTTATCTTACATATATTTTCTAGATACTTAATAAAGTAATTTAAGTTTTAATTAAAAATATTTTTTTACCATTTAACGAAATAATTTTTTAATCTAAGCAATAAAAGGTTCATTGCGCTTAAACATTTAAACTATACATATTACAAAAAAGAAATTGATAGAGTAGTAACTTAGATAGAAACCTTGTGTTACTTCAATTAAAGTAAGTATATGTTGGCACACTATAATATATTCTTAGAAAGTATTGTTTAAAAAACGTTCATATATACCGTTGAAATCATACATCTATTGATCCACACTTTATTGAAAGGAAGAAAATAGATCAATTCACGATTTAAAAGAGTATCTTGATGATCCAAGTTACTAGCAAATGTAAAAGGACTTGTGGTATTTGTGATAATTATCAATGTAAAGTTTCGATAATACCCATCTTTACGAATATCAACAAAAATACTCCTTACATGAAATTATTATTTATTTATTCTTTTAAAGATAGTGTGTAGTTGTGTAACGATTGAATATATATTGAAACATCATAAAACCGAAAGGGTTGATTATATTAGTACAGTCGTATGCTACCAACTGCTACGATACAAAAAAAAATATGAAACGCGAAAAAAAAAATTTGAAATTTAAATTAATTTTCTGTGTCATACTAAAACCTGCATATAAACACTAACTATTCTTTACTTTCCTAATATGGTTATAAAATTAAATTAAATTGTAGAAGAATATACCCAAGCAAACTTCATATATATACTCATTAGAATTCAATCTTTAGATTTTCAGTTCATTTTAACAACTATTATCAAAGACATTTTATTATTTTATTTCATTTTTTACTTTTTATTTCAGCAACAACCATTTATTAATACCCTTTTTTAATTTCAGATTTAATTATTTCATAATTTTTCACAGCTACTCCCATAAAAAATGTCAGATAAAGAAGCATTAAAAATATTTTCAAGACAACCAGTTTCTTTAGAAATGATTGATTTTTTAGTTTCAACAACAAATTCAATAATACAAGTTAAAAAATCATCAACCTCAACTTCATCATCAAACACTTGCAGAGTAAAAACTATATCATTAACAGAATTTATAAAAAATTTAATAAATTATTCAAATGTTCAAACTCCAACATTAATGTCAACATTATATTATTTAAATAAATTAAGAAATCATTTACCTGCTAACGCAGTAGGAATGGAAACAACAAGACATCGTATATTTTTATCATGTTTAATATTAGCAGCAAAATCCCTTAATGATTCATCACCATTAAATAAACATTGGACAAAATATACAAATGGTTTATTAAATCTTTATGAAATTAATTTAGCTGAGCGTGAATTAATTAATTTATTAAATTGGAATTTAAAAATTAATGAACTGAATATGATTTTATTATTACAACCTTTTTTATTACCAATAAAACAACAATTAATATTAAAACATAAAGAATTATCTATAAAGAAATTAAATTATTATAAATTAAGTTATAAACCAAATTCATCAACTTCAAGTTCATTAGCTTCAGCTTCACAATCATCACTGTCAATAAATTCATATAATTCAAATTATTCATTATCTTCATCAAATTCAAATTATTCATTAATTTCAAATACTTCTTCAACAAGCTCATATTCAGATGAAAGAATCCCATTATCTAATAAATCAATTAATAACTTACCTAGTTTACCTATTTTGAGTAAAAAGATGGATGATAAACAATTACAACAACAGTATCAATACCAATCATATTCACAATATCAAACACAATATCAACAACCTTATCCACAAAATCATCCACAATATCAACAACAACAACATCAAAAATCAAAACCTATAATAAAACGTAAAAGATCAATGATGAATTATTTAAATAATTCAAGAATTATAAATTAATATTTTAGCTGGTTCTAATATTGATTTATTCTTTATTTCTTTAATAATCTATGGTTTTGCATTTTTGATTGGTATTTAGGTTTATAGACTTTTTAATTAACACTATTATTTATTTTATTACTCATTATTTAACTATACAAACATCCGTATATTTATTAATCATTACTATATTAAACTATTACAAACATCCGTACAGAATTCGTACAGCATCCGTACAGCATCCGTACAACATCCGTACAGCTAATGACCATGAGGATCTTCTTTTGGAGGTTCAGGATTAACTTCAATAATAGTATCAATTCTTAAAATAGAAACACAAGCTTCTAAAGCAAATTTTAAAGATTTTATCTTGGAAATAGTTGGTTCAACAATACCAAATTCTGCTTCATTTATAATTTTTCCATTTATTAAATCTAATCCATAATTTTTATATTTTTTACGCTTAGTATCATCTGTTTTAGCCATTTGAGCTGCTGCATGATATGTTCTTAATTTACTTACTAAATCCATTGAATCTTTTGCTGCATTCATTGCTAATGTTTTGGGGATAATTAATAAAGCTTGTCCAAATTCTGCTATTGCTAATTGTTCTCTACTACCAACTGTAGATGCAAAATTTTCTAAATAAATATTTAAAGCAGTTTCAACTGCACCACCTCCAGGAACAACATGACCACTTTCTAAAGTTCTTTTTACAACTGATAATGAATCATGTATTGATCTTTGCATTTCATCTAATGAATAATCATTTGGACCTCTTAATATTATTGAACTTGATGAATGTTGTTTTGTTCCTTTTATTAATATACATTCATCATCACTTATTTTAATTTGTTCAACTTCTTCTGCAAACCCCAAGTTTGATGAATCAAAAACTTCATCACCTTCTAAATTACTTAATGATGATACAAGAGTTGCACCAGTTGCTCTTGCAATTCTTCTTAAATCTTCTTTTTTACAACGTCTTATTGCCATACAATTATTTTCAATAAATTGTTTTAAACATAAATCATCAATTCCCTTTGTTGTCATAATAACATTTGCTCCACTATTTATAATTTTATTTATTTTTTCTTGAATTATACTATATTCTTTTTGTCTAATTTCTTCTAATTGATTGGGATCTTCTATATTTATTTGTACACCCATTGCCATTCTTGCTTTTTGTAAATTTATATCAAGACATGCTATTTTAGCATTTTTTATTGATTTTATCATTGCTTGTGATGCAACTGTACAATTTAATGCATAACCATCAACTAATATACTTTCCAAAGAAGATTTTCCATGAGCTTTTAATATATTTACAGCTTTTATTGGATATTTTATTTCACCCTTTGAATTCGTTGTTTTAACAGCTAACATTGCTCCAACAACTAATTTACTAAAAAAATCAGAATCTGATCCAATAATTTTAGAAGACATTGATGTTTTGGCAATATTAATTAAAGTTTCTTTACCTAAACTATCAACATTTTGTGATAATATTTGATTAATATATCTTATAGCTTCCTTAAGAGCTAATCTATATCCAGAAATTATTGTTGTAGGATGAACTTTATGTTTAACTAATTCATTAGCTCTTTTTAATAATTCAGCAGCAATTAATACTACTGAAGTTGTACCATCTCCAATTTCTCTATCTTGTTGTTGAGCTAATTCAACTAATATTTGACCTGCTGGATGTTGAACATCTAATAATGATAATATTGTAGCTCCATCATTTGTAACTGTAACATCTCCAATATCATCAACTAACATTTTATCTAATCCTACTGGTCCTAATGATGATTTAACAACATTAGCAACTGTTTGTGCTGCTAATACTGTTTGATTTCTAACATCATCTCCACTTACTTTTTGAGCTCCTAAAAATAATGTATCTGGTCTTGCTGCTGTATACATTTGTAGATGATGATTGTAGAATAGTTAATGATGTTTTCTTTAGTATATTTTGTCTGAAAAAAAAATTACTTTTGATCTTAGGAATTCTATAGATTTTAGATGAAACAATTTAAATTTTGATTGAAATACAACAAAATTATGAGGTGAAGGGACTTTAACTAAGTCAATTACGTTCAGAATATACTCAATTACCTTATCATCAATTCAAAGATGGTTAGTCTCTCTCAAAAATTGCAGTTTTTAAGAACTAACTCCACCATAATGCCATTTAAACGAGTCAAACCTCCAGATATCACTTTCTACCCATTAAACATACTTAAAACACGTATTAATTACTCTATTCACTCCTTACCTGTTGTCAATCCCTCTGTTGTAAAGTCCTGGCTGGTTCTTCAAAGTCGTGTAACAATTCCCAAGATAACTTTTTAAAACAAAATATAAACAAAGCTCACCTTTAAAATTTACGTGACTTATCACAATTCTATTCTTTCTTTATCATAACAGTTATGTTTAGAACATTAGTTAGACCAATTGGATTCCAATTGGTGAGACAAAAACCGTCTATTAACTTATGGGTCAAATCTTTCACCACAACTCCTTCAATTTTTGCAACTGCTGTTTCAAATAAAAAATCCACCACCAACACCAAAAAAAACAGCACCACTAAAAATAAAAAACCATCAACCTCCACTACAAAAAAATCCAAATCCAAAGCCAAAGCTAAAATCCCAACAGAATTAAGAAAATTACAAATCAAATTAACAAAAGCTAAATTAGATAAAAAGAAAACTGAATCAAAATTAAAAGCTCATGAAACGAATTTAAAAAAATTAATTAGAGAAAGAACTAAAAAAGCAAAAGAATTAGAAAATTCAAAACTTTCTAAAGCAAAAGAATTGAAAAATCAAAAAAAATTATTAAAAGATGCATTAAGAGATCCACGTACTTATACAGTTTTTAATTTTTATTCTAAAATAACCAAAACTCCAATATCTATATTACGTGAAACTTATGAAAATTTACCATCTTATGAGCAAGATAAATGGCAAGAAGCAACAACTAAATTTAATGAATTATTAAAAAAACAAGTTACTCCAAAACCAAAATTAGGTCCAACATCAAAATATCAAAAATTTGTTAGTGAAAATTACCCCCTGGGGGAATCATCATCAACAAATGCAATGAAATCAATTGCAGAAAAATGGAAAAACTTAACAAATGATGAAAAAAATTCATTTGAAATTCCTGAAGATGAAAAAACAAGAATTAAAACAATTCAAAAAGATTGGCAAAATAAAAGATTAAAAGAATATCCTGAGTTAATTAAATTTAAAAAAGAATATACTTTTGATATTAATGCGTAGTTAAATAAGTATGAAAAGTTTTAAAAAAAGTATCTAATAAATAATATTTCAAATGTCTAATTAATCTATACTTCTATATTCATTCATTCATTATGATTCTCCTTTTTTACTTCCTCTCCTAGATGAGTTAAAACTCTCTTTAATTCATTTGGTAAAATTGGTTTACTTATAAAATCAATCATACCACATTTTATACATTTTTCACGATCATCTCCTGCAACATTAGCAGTTAATGCAACGATTTTAGGAATGAATTTTTCATTACCAGAATTCAGATAATTTGAGATTAATTCTTTTGTTGCTGTTATACCATCTTTTAAAGGCATTTGAATATCCATTAATATAACATCATATTTTTCACCTTTTTCTAATTTTAAATTACATTTCTCTAATACTTCAACTCCATCTTTTGCATGATCTGCTTTAAAACCTAATTTTTCTAAATATTTTAATGCAACTTTATAATTTAAAAGATTATCTTCTGCTAATAGGATCTTCAAAGGAAATTCATCAGCTAACAACACAGGAGTTATCACCTTAGGTTTATTTTCTTCAAAAGTTTTATCTCTTAATAATCTTACAACTCTTTCTCTTTGAAATGGACATAATAAAGCTTCATATTTTGAACTTTTACCAACCAATGGTTTACCAAATTGTGCTAATATTACAATTTTTGAATTTGAATTAATTTTATTTTCAAATTTATTATTAAATTCATCATACTCATCTAAATTTATAAAAAAATAATCTGATTTTAATTCATTTGTTGTTATTTGATTTAAATCTGATATATCATTAACTTTTAATTGAAAAAATTGTAACATATTCTTTAATGCTGCACCAGTTAATTCTAATTTATTTATTATTATTGCTGATTTATTTGGTAATTCAATTTCAGGTTTTGAAAATAATTTAACATTAAAACTAACATTAAAATAAAATGTACTTCCAACTCCTTCTTCACTTTCAAATTTAATATCTCCTCCCATTAAATCTGCTAATTTTTTTGATATTGCTAAACCTAATCCAGATCCTCCAAATTCTCTTCTTGATGATCCATCAACTTGTGAAAATGCTCCAAATACTTTATTATATGATAAATCTGGTATTCCAATTCCAGTATCTTCAACTGATATTAATATTTCATATCTATCATTTGTTAATTGTATTGCATTACAATTTATTATAACATGACCTTGAGTTGTAAATTTAATTGCATTACCAACTAAATTTATAATAATTTGTCTTACTCTTGTAACATCTCCTATAACAGTATCAATTTGTGGACAATTATTAAAAAATACTAATTCTAATTCATTATCAACAACTTGTTCTCCACCTAATTGTATAGCACTTTCAATACAATCATTTAATGAGAAAGGAGCACTTTCTAAAGTAAATGAACCATGTTCTATTTTGGAAAATGCTAATATACCATCAATAATATTTAATGTAACCATCGCAGAAGATTTTATAGCTTCAACATATTCTCTTTGAGTTGAATTTAAAGGAGTATCTAATAAAAATATTGAACATGATAATAATGAATTAAATGGAGTTCTAATTTCATGTGACATATTAGCTAAAAAACTTGCTTTTTCAGCTGTTGCATCTTCAGCAGCCATTTTGGCAATTTCCATTTGATTTATTAATTTTGCTTTACCCATTGCAACAGAAGCTTGAGAACAAAATAAATTTAATAAATCTCTTTTTCTACCATCAAATATTGCTAATTTTTTATCTCTTCTATTATCAACTTCTAAATATAATGCTCCAAATACTTCAAATTGATTTTTTAATGGTAAACATATAACAGTACTTACTGAATTATATTTATAATAAGAATCTTTTCCAAATCTATTTGCAAATGCAATATGATCATCTTCTTTATTTATTGGTTCACCAGTATCAAGAACATGAATTAATAAAGAATAAGGACATACATCAATTCTTGAACTTAATGGTTCTTCTTGTAAACAATAAATATGTTGAGCAGATCCAACTGCTTGTATTTTAGGTTCTTCTTTATCAACATAAACAACAACTCCATAATCAACATGAGCTAATTCAATAGCACAAGAAATTAATTGTAATAATATTGCTTTTACATCAGGAGCTTCAGATATTCCTAAACATGCTTGTATAGTATTATTTAAATCAAATGGTGCATTTGTATTTGATTTTAGATCAATTTTTTTATTTTTCTTTTTTCTTGCTTGTTTATTTATTTTCATTTCAGATTTCATTTGATCATCAAGATGATTATTTGTACTTATTGGTAAACCAAGTTGATTAGGTTTTGAATATATAGATTGTTGTTTTGGAGTATTATTGTCATTTTTCTGATTATTATTTGTTGAAGTATTATTTAATCCTGCCCAACTATATATTGGATCATCAACAAGATATTTTCCAAATTCATTTTCTAATAATTTAATATATTCTGGGAAATCTAATCTCTTCAAAATATCAATTGCTCTTATTGCAAATTGACTTATTCTTTTTTTATTTTGATTTGAATTAACTAACCATCTTGCACAAAATACACATACCCAACATACATCATACCAATTTTTAACTTTTGTACCTAAATCAATTGATTCCTCAAATAAATCAAGAATTGATAATAATTCTGTTTTCTTTTCTCTCATTGCTTTTAAAGCATTTAAAAAAATTAATCTATTAGCAAAAGTTGATTCATTATTTGCTGCCCATATATTAGCTTTATGTAATATATCATTAAATATTTCAGTTTTTCTACTTTCAATTTCTGGTGACATTTTAGATGAAAATGCAATGTGAATAGCAACCATAAAATAATAATGAGCACTAAAAAATAATAAAGGAAAATCACCAACTAATTTATGAACTTTATTTAATATTAAATCTACAGCTTCATCATATTTTTTATCATAAGTCATTGCATTTAATATAACACAATAATAACAAAATTGACTTAATGGTAAATGATTTGATAAATCATTACGTTTTTGAAATTCATTTAATGATATAGAACCAAATAATAAATCTTCACAATCAAATAAATATAATTGATCTTTTGATACATCAGATTTAGGTCTTTGAGATTTTCTTCTTTTAAACATATAAGAAACTTCATAAGCTCTACCACTAACTAATAATAAAAATAATTTAGCAGTTTCTAAAGTTAAATGTAATGCTGAAAAACTTGATAAAGTATCATTTTGATCAGTTTCTGAACTTATTTCAAAATATTTATAAACTTGATTCATTGATTCAAAATAATTTGCTAATGTACAAACATAAATTTCATAAATTGCTCTTGTAAAACTTAATGAAACATCATTAGCTTTACTAACTAATGTTATTGCAACATTACATAATTCTTTTGCTCTTAATTGACCTGCTGAAGTAAATTCTCTTGCAAAATCTGCTGCAAAATCTAATAATATAAGTGCAGCAAATGGTGATGAACCTCTTGTATGAATTAATTGCATTGCTTGAACAATTAATAATCTTCTACTTGAATCCTTTTTTAATACAACTAATGGTGATAGTAATTGAGTAATTAAATGGAAAATTAATAAAGTTTTTGAATCATTTGTTCTTTTATAATTTAATATGTTTCTAATTTCAGGTACAGACACAGGAATTTTAGCAATTAATTTTTTATATTCTTTATGATTTGTTTCTTCATCGTTAGTTATAATAATTCCTAATTTTGGTAAACTTTCAAAACATATATTTATAGCTTCTTCAATTTCTCCTAATTGAATTTTACATCTTACTAATTGATAAATAAAAACTAATCTATCAAATCCATATTTGATTTGAGCATTTGTTATAACTTCAAGACATTTTTCATATTCTTTAAAATAATAATGATTTTGTGCTATAGTTAAAACAGATTTTAATTGAGTTTTTGAATCAAGGACATCAATTAATTCTCCAACAACTTCAAATAATTTTTGAGCTAATTTCATATTATAAGTTGAAGAAGCATATCTACCTGCTTGAACTAATACTTCAATATATAATTCTTTTTCTTCAGGTCTTGCAACTTCATATGATTCACTAAAATAAGCAGCCATTTGCAAATAACCACCAATATTTAACGTTTTTTCTTTACTTATAGTTTTATAATATCTTAATGCACATAATCTTGAATATTCTTTAAATTTATTAGTTCTTGTTAATTCATTTAATATATGACCACTAATGGAATCATGAAAAAATCTATAACTACAATGTGATGCTAATTCCCAAATATTATTATCAGATAAATCAAATGGTGATTCATTTGAACAAAGTGACTGAAAAGGGATTTTATAGTATGTGCTGGTTGGAATTATAACTTTTGCTTCCATTAAAGTATGTATTAATTGAAATACTTTTTCCATTGGTAATGCTGCAGCAACAATTAAATCTGATAAATGGAAACCTGAACCATTTGATATAATTGCTGCAAATTCTAATAATTTCATTGTTTCTTCAGTTGTTGATGCATCTAAATATTTTACAATAACTTCTTGTCTATTATAACCATACACTTCAGGACAAATATTATCTATAACAATTTCACCATAATTTGGATGACTAACATAATAACAATGTTGCCAGAACCTTGCCATTCTTGTAGCATAAATAAATAATAATATATTTCCACCTGTAATATCATAAAATTTTCTACCTTCTAAGTCAAGTTTATTTCCAACTTTTTTGATTTCTGATTTCTTTTTATCATACATTGATGACATACTTGTAGTTTCATCATTTTTCTTTTGAACTTGATTAAAGAAAAAAATTGGTTCACTCATATTTGTATCATTTTTTAAAGGTGGAATATAAAAATCATTTAATATAATATTTGATTTATTAACATAATTTTTAAACCTTTTTTCTTTTTCCTTTGAACTTATTTTCTCTTGAAATTGATCAACATCAGTTGTATATGTTGCTATTATTTTTAATGACATTGCACTTAAATCTGCTTCTTCTTCATCAAAATTAAATAATTCACATAGTAGAATCATTGATTCTTCAGTACACCATTGTAAATCATCTATAAATATGGTTAACCCTTGTAATCCAACAACTCTATAAAAAGATCGTATTATAGATCTAAATTTAACTTCTAAACTTGAAGTTTGTTCTTCTTTTCCTGGTGTTCTTGGAGTATTAAAATTCAGTTTATGTGAATAAATTGACATATATTTTGGACCTAATAATTTTCTTAATTCAGGTATTAAATAAAATAATATAGATAAATCTAAAGGAATATTTGAAACAATTAAATCTCTCCAACTATCTTGAATATCTTCTGAACATTCTAAAATTTGTGTTATAATAGTTTTTATACCATCTAATAATAAAGAATAAATTGAATTACCAATATCAGCACAAGAAAATTTCCAAAAACAATATAAATCATATTTAAAAACTGCTCCTGCTCTTAAATCATTTAAAATTATTGTTTTACCAACACCACTTTCACCACTTAATAAAAAAAAATTAATACCTCCATCAAATGTATTATTATATCTATCAAAAATACTCTTATAAACATCTTCTCTACCAATAAATTTATTATTAAAATTTATTATTGGTGAATGGCCCACTTTTTCAGAATACTTAAATTTTTCTTTATTCAAATAAATATCAAAATCTCCTGTTTTTTTCCAATGATTCCAAACTTGTTCACCTAATGCTCCAACTTTATCAATATAATGATTTTTAGTTAATATTAAATCACTTAATAAAGAATAAGAATCTAAATATCTATCATCTGGATTTTTTTCCAAACATCTCATTATTGTTGAACTTAATTTTTCAGAAATCCAATTTGGTGCTAATAAATGTGGTGCAACAGGTTTTTGAAAAACATGCATTCTTATTATTGAACTTGGATCTTCAGATTGAAAAGGTAATGTATTTAAAAGTAATTCATATAAAACAATACCAATTGAATAAATATCTGATCTATAATCAACATATTTATTTATAACTCCTGAAACCTCAGGAGCCATATAAGGAATTAAATCAGATATTTCACTAAGATGATTTTTTCTATAACCATAAACAGAATTTTCAGCATAATGAAAAGAAAATTCCCATCCAGTTATTTTAATATTATTTTGATTATTTTCAGATTTTAATAAATTTGAACTTGTTATACCATTATGAACAAATCCAATTTCATGAACTATTGCTAAAGTTTCTACAACTTTTATCATATCTGATATAATTTCAATAACTTTTAAAGGTGTCTTGGGAGAACTTGTAACTTGTTTTGCTATTTTATTAAATAATGAATTTGTTGAACTTGTTGCTCCAATTTGTCCTATACCATTAAAAAACCCAGTAGAATGTTCAATACTACTTGAGGGTGTTAAATTTGAAGCTGATCCACCACTTGCTGCTGATCTTCTACGATTATTTCCATTATTTGAACCAGTTGATGAATAAGAACCATTTCTTTCAATATCTAATTCCAGATTATCACAATTAATTTCTTTAAAAGTTTTAAAATTAAAATCTTCATAAATTAATGCCATTCTTTTTTGATTTTTTGATTTGGTTTTATCAGAAAATTCCATTGTTGTACTTTCATCAACAAATGTAAAACTAAGAGCTTCTTTTGGATATAATACTCCAGGTAAATCTAAAGGTAAAGTTGGAGGTAATGATTTATCACTAAGATCTAGTTTTGGTCGATTAGTATCAGTAATATAATCATTTGTTAAAGTTTCATTAGACCATAATAAATGAGTTTTTGGAGCATTTATACCAGACAAAATATACCATTCATTTAATAATCTTGATAATGATAAATTTCTTAAAATATTTGGTGATAATCTTATTATAACATTTGTATTAACTTTAATAAAAGAACTTTTTGAATTTGCTAATTTACTCAGAAAATTTTCATTTGAAACATTTGTTAAATCATTAACTTTTATAGCATGATAAGTTAAATTAGTTTGATAACTTAAATAACCAAATTGTTTAATTAAATTATAACCAGGTACTGTATCAGGTAAAATATTTGAAAAATCAATATATTTTGATTCAGAATTTCTTGGTGATCTTGATTGATTTAAAGTTTGATTTAAAAAATCTAAATGATCTCTTATGTAATTAATATTATTTAAATATGATGTTCTACCTAGTGCTACATTTTCTCTTGTTTCTGATGAAAGTGAAGAATGATCACTACTAGTTTCATGACGTGAAGATTCATTAGACATTACATCATGTTCATTAAATAATGCTGCAAGACTTTGATGAGGATTAATATTAACAGATGTTTGTTGTTCATCAAATACTTTAGGACTTAAAGTTTGATCTGTTGAATAATCATTTAAAGGAATATCAGGAATACTTATACTTGAAGGTGGTTTTACTAATCTTGTAGGTGAAATATCTGAATGATTTAAACTTAATGCTGATGGAGGTTCTGAAGAATTTAAAAATGCAATATCAGTATTTAATGAATCTTGTAATTTTAACCTTGTTAATCTATCCGAAATTGATGAACTAGAATGATGATGATGATGTTGTTGCAATGTTGGTAGTGGAGATGAAATTATATCATTATTGCTATTATTATTATTAAGAATTTGATTATTATTGGTTGTAAAAACAAAATCTGAATCAAAAGTAGGTTTTCTCAGGTAAAATGGTCTTTTTGTATAATATTGAGTAGTTTGTTCATCTTCATCATCAATTATTGCACTTGATGCACTTGTTTCTTCTCTTATAGATGTGGTTGGTGATATATTATCAAAGAATGAATTTTGTTCATCTGGTGAACCCATAATTTAATTTTATTATATTTGATTTGATTGTGTAATTCTAAAATGTTAAAGGACAAAATAGATGAGAAATGAAATGTGAAGTTATTAAATAGATATTTGATACAATGGTTGAAATATTAATTTGTAGTAAGTTTGATCGATGCAACGATAACAATGAATGATTAGGAAAGATAATTTTGAATTCAATTTTAATGGGTGAAGACAGCAAAAAGTAAAATAAATGGTTGATATTAATGAATAAATGATATAAATTTTGTTTATGATAGTAATACTAATAAATGGTTTAATATAATGATTTCTAGAACATGTAAATATAGAATTGTAGATATTCTTTAAAGAAGTTGATAATTTGGAATTTAGAAAATTAAGAATGAGGTTTAAAATAAATTTTTTAGAAACATGTAAATAATTAAATCTAAATAAATTGTTTAACAAAATGTACCAATTCTTAAACAAAAAATATATTAGATCCTCAGGCTAACTTTTGGAGAAGAAGAAGATGTGGACTAATTCTACTAAGATATAATTTTGCGTTGCTTTAATAGGATACTACGATCCACATTAGTGGCTAAATAATTTGTAAAGGACAGTAGTTGGCTTTTAAAATTAGCTAAAGGTGTTGGCCATGAACATTCTTTGATCAAAGGTCCAATTCTTTGCAATTTTTATTATTGTTAAATCGGAACTCCTAATTTATAAATTTTGTACTACTTGTTGGAGTATTTAATATTAATAGAATTTTAAATCAATAAGAGGTATTTTTTTAGTTGATAATAAAATAATAGTTTAAAATTTTCAAATATCCGCCTTTGTTGATCAGAACTTTGACGTTATTCGTCCTACGTAATTCCTTTTGGTTAACTTACAACTTAACTTTGTGCCATACAAGTATTCGATAATGTATTGAGCATCAAATAGGTTCTCAAACATCAGGTACAATTCTTAACGGACTACCACCCTCATGCATATACTAGTCAGCGACAAGTTATCGAGCATTCTTCTTAAATTTGAATTCAGTTAAAGAATTAGTTTCAGACTTATTGTATTTTAATGCTGATGAAAAATTAAAAATTAGCCACTATTGTTTTATTTTAGTGAAACAAAGGGTAAATTTTATTTAGACTTACTTAATATATTCGTCTTTAATTTTCCTGAATTCCATTAGTAATCAGGAATTCCTCAAATTTTAATACGAAAATACAATATTCAACGGTACTTAAGTCTCCAATTTTGTACATTCTCCAGAAAATTATTTTTAAACTTACATAAATCAATTTAGGTTAGATATTCGAGATTAAAGTTATGGCAAATGCTTATTTGAGACAAATCTAACACACTGTCTTTAGTTCAAACACAAATTACTATGTAGGTTTCATCTACGATAAAATTGCTATTCCCTTGATAATTAAATTCTTGCTTAAACGAAATTAATGAAGTTTTTTTTGCTTGATAAAATTTTATTTCTTTGATTGCTATTTGTTCAAAGTTACACAAATACTTTAATTTTGGTTTTTTGTAGTAGGATCGGATCTTTTTCGTAATTTAGGAATTTAATAAATCCGAAAAAACAAAGTTTCAAATTCAGAAAAATTGTCACGACAAGTAGATCTGAAACACGACACCAAATACATTACACTAATAAAATATATGTCGAAACTATAAAAAAAAAAAAAAAAACATTAAACAAGACATATGTAGTAATAATTTTTACAACTACTCGAAATCAAATATTAATAGAAAGAGTACATTAACGATATAATTAAATAAGATATCAAATTAAATTACATACGTAAAAATAATTAAAAAACTAATAGTAAACTAAATAATAATCAATTTATAAAACTTTTTATGAATTTTTTGATAATTTAACGATGTTATGAAACTTATTCACCAACAATCTAATCAAAATTTATTTATAAAAAAAGCTTCAAAATAAAACCAAAGAACTAAAATAGCATAAAAAATAGATAACGGAAATAATTTTTTTTTTTCATCAACAACCAACGTAAAATGTCTTCAAAGCAACGAATAAGAATCAAATAAATAAAAAAACCACCAGTGTTATATCTCTTCACTTTCTCTTCATCACCTTTCCTTCTCATATATAACCATCTAGAACTTAAGCAAATACATTATATGGAACTTTTTTAACATTATATTTATTACCTTTTCTAGTTGATCTAGTTGGAGGAGGAACAAATTTAATATCATTTGAATTATTACCATTTTTATTTTTCTTTAAAAATGATGTAAAACCAGTGGCACCAGATTCATTTGAATAAATTGAACCATTTTCATAATTTGAATATCCGGTTATTGATGATGATGTACCATTATATTTATAACGTCCACTTACATTAGTTGAATTAATATCATTTGCAAATAATGATGATGATGATTTTTTTAATTGTTTTTGAGCTAATTGTTGATTAGTTAAATTTGTTGTTGCACAACTTGATACTGTTGGTTTTGTACTTGATGTAAATAATGGAGCAGCAGATGATGTTGGAGATTGTGATTGTGGTTGTGATTGTGGTTGTGAAATTTTTGATCTTGTTGAAATTGATGGTGGTGGTGATAATGGTGATGATTTTTGTTGTTGTAAATTATATGGATTTTGTAAAGAATATGATGATGGTGCTATACTACTTGAAGTTTCTTCATATGGAATTGAAATTCTTTGTAATGATGGTTGTGAATTTGGTTTTGATTGGTGGGTTTGTTTTTTAGTTGAAGATAATGAAGTAGTTGAAGCATTTGATTTTGATGATGAAAAAATTGAACTTAATATTCTTCTTAAACCTTTTTTCTCAGATTTTGAACTAATTGATATATTATCATTTGTTTCTCTAGCACTAACAAAAGATTGAGTACTTCTATTTGCACTTGGTAAATTAGATACATTATTATAACCACCAACACTATTATTTCTTAATGAAGTTCTAATTGAAGCAGAAGACATTGATTTATTCATATACATTGATTTTGAAGGTGGTTGTTGTTGTTGTTGGAATGAACCCATACTTGATTTTGAATTTAATCTTGGAGTTGAAGGTAATGAAATTGGAGCAATAACATTTTCTGGATGATTATAACCTTGTTGTTCAATTTCTTTTTTCAAAATAAATGAAGATCTCATAAAACCTAATGAAGCTCTTGAATTTGAATTAATTGAAGCTGCTGAAGCTGAACAACTTTTTGAAAGTGAATACATTGAATTTTTTCTTTCATGATTATAATGTTGTTTCTTTTGTTGTTGTTGTTGTTGTGGTTGTTGTTGTTGTTGAATAGTTGGTGGACTAAATTGGAAATCATCAGAACCAGTTGAAATATTTCTTTGATGATTAATTTGATTCATTGGAGTTGGAACACCACCACCAGATTTTGAAATCATCATTAAAGAATTTGAATCAACACCAGAAGAAATAGAAGATCTATAATCTGAATTATGTAATGATAATGAACTTGTTCTTGAATTTGAATCTTCACCACTTGATGATGATGTTGTTGATTTTTTAACAATTAATTTATTTTCACCATCTGATTCATATTTTGAAGAATTATCATCATCTTCTACGATTGGAGCTAAACCTTTTAATCCAAATGATTGATAATCAAAAGTACCACCTGTTAAACCACCTCTTGATAATGATCTTTCTGGAACTGTATCTTGTTGTGGTTGTTTTGAGATGAAATAAGTTTCTTCTTCTTGTTCATCAACTTCTGAAGATTCTGGTGAAGGTACTTCAATTTCTTTTTGTTGTTGTTGTTTTGAATTGTTATTTCTTCTTCTTCTTGGATCAAAAGTTGGTGCAGCATCTTCAATTGAATCTTCAGATGAATTATCAATTTCTTGTTGTTTAGATTGTAATTTTGTAAATAATGAAGTAGCTTGATAACTTTCTGAAAATGAACCTCTTCTACTTGGTTTTGGAGTAACAAATTCATCTTGTTCAACTTCATAACCATTTTCATCGTTAGTTGTTGGAATAGTTGGTAATTGTTTTTGTTCATAAATTGATGAATTTGTAGATGATATTGATGAAGATTTTGAAGTTGATTTTCTTTTTCTTGGATCAAAACTTGGTCTTGGTGATGAATATAATTCTTCTTCTTCAATAGGTGATGATAATAAAGATTTTAAATTTGATGAAATATTTGAATTATTATTATTATGAATTTTTTGAAATTTTTCATTTGTTGGAATTTGAACTTGTATTGGGGATGAAGCAACATCCATTGATCTTCTAAATCCTTTATATTTATCATTTGATTTTAAATCTATTTCAATTGAATTAAATTGATTTAATAATGAATCATTTGTTCTCATTGTACCTTGTCTAACATCAAAATCCATTTTAGGAGTTGATGGTGTATTATATTGTTGTTGTTTTGAGGATGTAACATTTTCTTCAATTGAACTTGGTGGAGAAGATTTTAAATTTCTTTGAATATTTAATGGTGGAATTTCAATTTCATTCATTGAATTAGTTTCACTAACAACTTCTTCTTCATATTGTAAAATTGAATTAGCAACAAATACATAAACTTTTATCCATACTAATTCTAACACACTTGTCCAATAAGTATTTAAAACTTGTTTAAAAGTAGTAATTAAAGCATTTCCCATTGATTCTAAATATTTAACTGCTAAGTTTGCAAATCTTTGATTTTCATTTACAAATTGATATAAAAATTCATCTAATAATTGATTATCATCAATATTATTAATAACAAAATTAAATAAATCAGCAAAAATATTTGAATGTTCTTTTATAATCAAATCATCATTATTAAAAATTTGTCTTAATGATCTATTTTGATCTAATAAATTTGAATATAATTTGTTATAAAATTGATCTTTATTAGTTTTTGACCATGATGTTTTAATGTTGTGTAATTCAACTGGACCTAAGTTTAAGTCTGACATATTAAATCTTTTGGAACTATATTATCTATTTTTGTGAACTCTATGAACTAATTGATTAAATTTGGGTATAAAGATGGTAAAGAACTTGGTTGATAAATTAAAAATAACAGATTTTGATGAAGTTGAAGAATAATAAGTTTGTTACTTTCTTTTTTTGAGATTATTGGGAATTAGAATCATTATATAATTGTTATGAATAATTTCAATAAAGGTAAGATCTTAAGTAAAATTGTAATATACCAAACATGGTAAAATCTGTATAAAAATTCATTTATTTTCTATACTCTACATAATTTAAAATTATATTTTTTAGAGTAATAAAGATATTTGTTACACAAAATTAATCATATTTTTTAATAAGATTTCTAAATTAGGAAATTTTTAAATGAAGTGAAACTTTGAACTACATTTGTTCATTCATCAACTGAAGCTTCATCATCAAGTATCGTAACACCTTTGGAATAAAAAATGAAGAGCTTATACATTAAACGACATATAGATCAGAAAACAAGCAGGTTAAAAAATTTACTAACTATTAATCTCCCCCAAATCTTGTCTCTAGATCTTGGTTGAAATCTGAAAATTCGAAAAAACATAGAGATCTACTTTCCACCAAAGTTTCAATTTCTTAGATCCAACACAATACTGCATTGATACGAAATCGCTATTTAGATTTTAGGAAACGATAACTCTACCTTAGACACACATCTATTCACTTCAAAATGTACGAAATTTGTGAAAAAATTTGGTAGCTCAAATATATGAAACTTTAAATTACCCAATTCAGTAATTTTTGATTTTATATAATTTCTACTCCACTGGTTAGACTACACTGGTATTAATTTTCAATACTTTCTCAGTACAGTAATAGTAAGATAGTCATTCTATAATTAAATATACAATTTAGGTACTATTACTTCATCTAGTAACTCGATTTAATTAGTTCTTGATCTAACGTTTGATCAAACTTGTTCAAACCCTTTCAGAATAATCCCCCTTTTTTCAAAACGGAAAACTATCAAACTTTGAAAGTCAACTCAACTAATTTACTATTACTCGTTACTTAATATCAAAAATTTCTAAACCTGTCAATGTATTTCAGAGAGAATCTTTATACGTTTAAAACTTCGATGATCTAAAGCTATCAAAATACTACTTTTAGTTTTCTTATTTACTCGTATCAAAACTGTTATGGATTTTTTTTAACCAAGTCAGTTATATTAACAATTTGTGTTCGCTTCAAATTTGGCCTGCCTTAAGTCTTGTGGGGCTAAGTTAATTTGAATTAGACTCTATTAAATTTAACGGTAATTACAGAACCAAACTAATAAATTTGATTCAAATCGCGTTCACAAAATCACGTCTACAAAATAATTATTATTGACTCTATAATCTGCATTTTGAATCCATGAAAGAAAAAAAAAAAGGGTATCATCTGAAGGTAGGAGCTGTAATCATTATCTTCTATGGACAGTGGTTCATGATATAATTTTTTCCCTACTGATTCTCTTCTCACTGATTGATTAGCTATGATGAATTTTGTCTTATTATAAACCTTCTCAACATTCAAAATAAAATTAATTTTATTTTGAGGTTCTAATTTATTACATCTCTATTAGTTCTCTTAAAGCAAATGCTTTCAAAAGTTGTAAGTTGGTCGAAATTAAGGAAATCGTCTATCATCAGAAATTATCTGAAAAGCATGAGCTGAACCTGGAAAAAGTTATCGATATCCATTTATGTCTTCCACATTTTTGATGATACATGATTTCAGTAATTAAACCATCAGATCCAAACTGGTTTCAATAACAGAACTAAGTTTTTGATAGCAGCTTAATGCTGTTGGTATCACCATTGACTCCGATGACTTCGTTTGGTTAATTAGTAAAGATGTCAAACAAACAAACATTATTCAACAAACGGCGTTATCGAATTCGACGATGATATCAACTTACTTAAGCAAACTCGGGGAGCAGAAGTCCCATATCTTTAAATACTTTGATTTTATAATTGGCCAAACATGTTTGTTAGTTCAATTGAAAAGTTTGTTAAACATCGTGATATTTATCAAGCTATTAAAGTGAAGAAATTATTCAAATTTTGAATTAAAATACTTTAACCATTACCAATACCTCATATAGATGGTGACTAATCTCAATGTTTGTTGGAGGATATCCAAAAAAAAAAAATGGTAATGACTATTTTCTAGCCGTAATAGATCGATTTTCAAAAAGAGCTCATTTCATCCTAACATCAGCATCAATAACTGATCAGGCATATGCCCGATTATCTCCATCGATTAAAAGAGCTACTTGATGAAATTATTCATGACAAAGATGTTAGATTCATTGAGCATAAATGAGCTCTTTTTGAAAATCTTTCTAATACTGCCAAAAAATATAGTCTTTTTCATTCTATTATAATTAGTTCAACAATGCTTATAATACCCACGTTCGTAATAAATCAATCAAAAATGACACCTTTCGAAGCAAACTTAAGTTATATTCCTCAAAGCATCTCGAACCGATTTGACATTAATAAAAATTGTTTCTTATTAAATTCTTCCTTTTTCAATTGGTACCAAAATCCCTAATATACTTTTTGATTCCGCTAAAATGCTTCAACTTCATGATTCGTCAATTCCTCATAATATTTTAGAATCGTAAGCTAAAAACAGACAATGCAATAAACGTAAACAACCACTAATTTTTACAAACTCAGCAAAATTTGATTTTAATAAATTTCCAAAAGCAAACAAAACATTTTTAGCACCTTAAACAATAAACTTTGTACATTTGAATTTCTTTTGAAGCTTGAGCTGGAAGTGGTTTCATTTAGAATTTGAAAAGTTACTTTCTTGATTTTTTAGATAGAAGCAGCCAACATTTTACTCAGTATTTGAATATTTTGTATATTCCATGATAATTTGGTCCAATAGTCTGTTGTCTTAAATCCTTCATTATTGTGATTAATTCTTCGCCTAAACCATCTTCGTTATATATTTTTGAATGTTTGCTATTATGACTTCAAAATCTTCAAAAGATAATTGCTTTAGTAATTTTAAATTCAATACTATGTCAAATTAAATTTGAATCTTACTCCTTCAATTGAACTAAATACAACAAATTCGCAAGTTTTCGAACTTTAGTTCTTGATTCTGATTCTTTGTAGACCATAAGATTTAATGTTACCATGTAAATAGACAGCAGATTCGTATTTCCCCATGGATCAATAATGTTTTCTTTATTATTTCAATTAATGTAGTAAATATTAAAAATTCTCATAGGTCACATTCAAGTTATCTAAAGGGGTGCATGAGCTTTCGTATGTATTTCGATTTCAGTATCGATAAACGGCAAAAGTGTAAAACTGAATCGTGGTAGGTGTTTGCCCTCTTGTTATGAGTTTGATATTTTTATTTTCAAATTTTTTGTATTAATTTTTGATCAATCAGTAATAAAATTTCAGGTAATAGAGACAAAGACAAAGACGAAAATAATTTGAAATCACATATTCACACTCCAAATAAAAATCCTTACCTATATAAACAATGAGTCGCATGTATCATTATGGATATAAATTGGTAAATTTAGATAATTCAATAAAACAGTATGTCTTTTGCAACTTTTATTTAACTCTACATCCGTAAAGCAGTATAAAACTAAATCCATAGAGATTTCAAAATTTAATAATAATAAATATTCAAGTGTAACTTCGTTAAATCATGTAAAAGAGAAAACAGGACAGAAATCCTTTTGAATTCTACAAATTCTCGAAATCGAAAAAGATATTATTTATTAAAATTATTAATTATTATTAGCTATTATTTTATATACCCCATATAAAAAACAAACCTACCCATATAAAAAACTTCCAAAAAGCAAAAAGAACAAAAATGCAAAAAGATTTACCTGAACTCCTTCGTTAATCATTATATGCCAATGTGGATTGAAAAATTCAAATTAATAAACCACCTAAATTAACAACTAATTTATCATTTTTATATTTCAATAAATTTACATAATCAGCTAGTAAATTATGATTCAATAATTGTTTAAATTCCGCTGAGAATAACATTTCATTTTGATTTCTAAATTTATTTAACAGATTTGAATATATTATTGATTGATTAAATTGAGTTTTAAAATGATTTATAATAAATGAATAAAATTTTGATATTGATTTTTTATTGAAATCTAGATTCGTAGTTGATGATTCATTTTCATTATGATTAAATTTTGAAAAATTATGAGTATAATTATTTGATTCATCGAAATTTGCTAATGCTTGAAACTTGAATTTAGTTTGTAAACATTGATTACATGAACAATTATTTAATATTGAATTTCTTGTTAATTGTAATGTTGGAATCCACCAATTAAAAAAATCAACAATTTTTAAATTTTTTAAGTTTGGTAAAATATTTATAGCTTTTGTAAAATTTTTCCAATCAATTTTACATCTATCATTTTTTATAAATTCATTTATATTTATATAAATTGATTCAATTTGTGAAAATTTTGTAAATAATTGTAATAATTGATTATTTATTAAATATGAATATTGTTCTAAATTACTTGATTGATTTTTAGACATATGATTTATAATTGATAAATTTTCTAATTTTGTTAATTTGTGAGAATCCTGAGATAATTCTTGATAAAATTGATTTATACATGAACAATCAGAATGACAACAATTTAATTTAATTTCAAGATTTGTTAAATTTTCAAAATTTATTTTTTCTCGGAAGTTTTGATAATTTATTGGTTGTCTATTAAAAGTATGGGAATATGATAATACAAAATTTGATAATTTTGGTAAATTTAAATTTAATTGTAAAAATGTTAATGTTGATAAACTTGTATTAAGATTTAATGATTCTAATTCAGGTAAATTTATGACATTTTGAGGTAATGATTCATCACCAATAATTAATTCAATAAAAAAATCTAGTGTTTTTAAATCATAATTATTATTTATTGGTAAATTCATAAATTCTGAAACATTTAAAATAGACCAATTTTTTAAATTATATAATTTTGAAATTGTAAAATTTGAAGAATAATTATCTAACTCATCATTTTCTTCAATAATTTGATAATAATTATGTTTATTTAAATGTTGTAAAATAGTTTGATTTTTTCTAATATTATCAATATCAAAATTTATAAATTCTATCGAATGATGAGTCTTGTTCCAAAATTGATTTAATTTTGTATATAATGTGTTATATTCAAATTTATTAAAATTTGATTTACAATTTATATGAATTGATTTGATTAATAAGAAATTTTCAAAAGTTAATGAATTTACAAATTCATTGAATTTGTTTATATGAATATATGTTCTATTTGAATTTCTGGTTATAATTGTTTGATTATCATCATCATAAAATGTAATGTTTGAATATAATCTTGAATTTGTTAATTGATTTATGAATTTTGAAGTATATGATAATGATACTAGTGAGTTTTGATAATCAATTGAATCATACAGGGATTTTGATAACGTGTCTGTTAATATTATATTAACAACATCAAGTGGTAAATATTGTAAATCTATCATGATTTCTTGAAACCTAATGGTTATTTATTAATGAATATGTATATAAGTATCTATTTGATTACTGTTTTATTCATCTTTTTGTATATTTGATGGGAATATCCTTGTTATTTATATCCTTTAATAAATTGTATAAATTAAGTCATCCTTATTATATTTTATGTTTGTGTAACTTAAGAAATATATAGTAAACCACTGTATACAGGATTTACTGGGGTACAAACACAAAAGCAAAAAGAAGAAACAAAAGCGTGATGTGTGTAGTCGGAATTTAAATACCGAAGCCTCATTAGCCTCATTATAGAAGGTTACTTACAAGGAGAAAAGGCATTTTGATTCAAAATGTACCCAATTACTAGTGAAGAATGGTTCAAGCTAAACTAGGATTAATGGAACCACTAGAATAGGAGTTTTAGTGGTTGAAAACAAGAATTGTTGTGGTTGAATGGCATTAACGGTAAGTGACATATTATTATATTTCAATAACTATTATAATATCCAACCACAACATTGCCACAATATTGAATGTGTTTTTCTTACAATTGGTTAAAATTTTAAAATACCTCAAACTTTTTGCTATAAAGGAGTTTGAGTCCACGTTGAGATCCTTTAAAAAACGTCCTTGGCCCAATTGTACTACGACTACTTTGTACTTGCTTTGAAAGGCTTAATGCCTTACAATTTTGTATATGGTTATAGATGTTTGTTGTGGAGTTTACTTAATTAACTTGGCTATTTCTTTAAAATGCCACTTCTCCGAAAAAAAAAATATTTAATGTTGTAATTTTGTTGAGCAAAACCCTCATCGTCTCGCTTTAGAGGGCCATTTTATTCCAGCAATACTCGTTTGTCTCCTTAAATTTGCGCTAAGCAATAAAACTTTAACTCGCTCTGTAACTACCAATTGTCACGTGGGTTATTTATCCGTTAGACCATTTACTTATGCGCTTTCTATTAATAGATATGCATATTTCTTGGCTTTAATATAAAGCTTAAAAAGTCTAGATTCATCTTTATATTTCTTTTGACATCTACAGAGGATACTTATACCAAACCAATTTGACACACAGTTGATGCGTTACATTTATAATTCCGCAAGCAGATGCTTCTCAAAAAGAATACATTTTCATCTCGCTCATGCGAGTATGTCCTGAATTATCATTTACATACGACTTGAATTACCGTGGTGATCTTTTTTAAAAATGGTGTCAACAAAATCAAATTTAATGAAAAATTTTGACTACTTGGAATTTGAATTGGAATAATGTAAGTAGCTGAAAACTTTTGTATACACATCACTCTACGTTACTACCTACTGTTCATGAATTGGGAAATTATTTGAGAACCAAAACGAAGACTTTTCAAGTTTTACACATTTTTCGCCATCAGAACCCGGTCTTTTAGCCTGAAACTAATAAATTGGATGACGTCCATGTTATACATCTCAATCGAATTAAACTGAGCTAGTTCGTGGTGTTAGATCACTATAGCTTTAGTTTAGATCTTTGTTTTTGTATATAGATTTACAGTATATATAAATTTTTTATCGTAAAAGTAAAATCTGAAACAAGCACAAAAAACAAGTTGGCTTAAATACAGGAACACACACGTCTATACAAAAAATTGAAATTTAAATAAAATCTAAACAAACAACCGTAAACTTTTCTTTAATCATCTTACAACCAAGCTCAAATGATTTACACCACTCATCAACTATTAATATTTGCTGATTACTTACTATCTAATCAAAATTCAATTATAAGTTCACCAATAAATGGAGAAATTTGGAAAATTTATCAATTATTTAAAACTTATATTGTAGATAACAACAAATTACATTTTACAAATATAAATGAGTTTTTAGAATACATTGAACAATTTAATACACTTTCCGGAGGATGTTTACATTTTACAAAATCTAAATATGACTCTAAAGATAAAATTAAATCAAAACTTGTTTGGATAAATGATATTGGGTTAAAGATTTTGCAACAAAAATTTAATAAAACAAGTAATTCAACTAATACTCCAACAGGACAAAATACTGATCAATATAAAGAATGTACATCATTATTTGAGTTTATTGCAAAACCCGACAAAACAAAAAGATCCTTAGATAAAATTGATAAACTTACAATTGAAGATTTAACAAATTTTATTCAAAAACCAACAACAAAATTACAATTAGATAAAAAAAGATCAAAATTAAATACACCAAAATTAAAATTTCCAGAAATATGTAATGAAAAACATCATTCAACAACATTATCTACATTATTATTTAAGCAAAATAATAACAACAACAACAACAGTAGTAATAGTAAACAAATAAATTTAAATGATCAATATATAAATCAAAAATTAAATCAATTTAAAAATCGTATATCAACAGATATTTTAAATTGTTTAAATGAAAAAATTCATTTTTTACCAATTTTATATAATCATACTGATTTAAAATTAGGTGATTGTTCTTATTTAGATACTTGTCATAAAATAAAAACTTGTAGGTATTTACATTATTATACTTTACATCCTACATCAAATACAACTTCAACTTCATCATCCAATACAAATACAATTTCAAATACAATTACAAATCAAGAATCAAATTCCAATGCAAATACCAAAACAACAAATCAAAAATCAAATTTAATTGAAGAACTTACAAATTTGGATTATTCATTAGGTGAGATTTTTTCATCAGGTTTTAAAGAAATATCACAACCACAATGGATAAATTGTGATATAAATCAATTAAATTTTTCAAAATTAGGTAAATTTTCAGCAATAATTTCAGATCCAGCATGGTTAATTCATCAAAATTTACCTTATGGAACATTTGGAGATTTAGAATTAATAAATTTAAAAATAAATGAATTACAAGATGAAGGTATAATATTTTTATGGGTAACTGCAAGATCCTTGGATATTGGACGTCAAGCACTAGCAAAATGGGGATATGAAATAATTAATGAAGTTATTTGGGTTAAATTAAATCAATTAAAAAGAATTATTGTTACTGGTAGAACAGGTCATTGGTTAAATCATTCAAAAGAACATCTTTTAGTTGGTTTAAAAGGTAAACCAAATTGGTTAAATTTAAAAATTGATTTAGATATTATTATAAGTAATACAAGAGAAACTTCAAGAAAACCTGATGAAATTTATGATATAATTGATAGAATGTGTGGACCATTTGCAAGAAAATTAGAAATTTTTGGTAGACAACATAATGTAAGACCTGGTTGGTTAACTATTGGAAATCAATTAAATGGTATTAATTTAAATGAACCTGAATTAATAAATAATTTAAATTCTTCAACTATTTAGATAATAAATAGATTGATTAAAATAAATATGAAACTAATAATGAAGTTCTTTTCTTTTCATCAAAATTACTGAAGTTTTGCTTTCTTTCTAGCTTTTTCTTTTGCTTTAAAATCTCTTATATTTTTTCCAGCTTCATTATCCATGGACTTCTTCAAATCTAATTTATAACCAAACCAAAAAGCAATTTCAAATGAAACAAAAAATGGAGCTAATACTAAAGCACCTAATAAGTTATCTAATAAAGCAGGTGATCTTTTTTCATGTATTCCATGACCATAAAATTGTGCAATCCAACTTATTAAATGTAATCCTATAACAATTTTTAAAAAATTATCTTGACCTGCAAAAGATAATTGATTATAAACTTGAGTTATAAAATAACTAAAAATTGTTAAAATTGAAGCTGTTATACCTCCAACTTTGAAATCTAATGCAATATAATAAATTCCATAAATCCAAGCTATTAGGCTACCTAAATTGAAAAGTGGATTTAAACTTATGAAAGATAATTTCACAGGAGTTAACATACTTATTGCTGTTAATAAAATTATTGGAATACATATTAAATGAATTGTTACATTTGTATTATTGAAATGATATGATCTATAAAATATTAAATGATTTTTCAAATCTAATAATCCAGCCATTATGAGATTCGATTTTTAATTAAATTTTGGATTTTTTTGAGTTTGATAATAAAATGTATTAATGTAACTGACTAATACGGTGACTGCGTTTGTTTGAGGAATTGAGTTGAAATAAATATGATTGAACTACATTCATATTCGGAGTTTTCAGTTATCGGCTGTTAAAATTAAAATCCTGAATTGAGGAGAAACAAAAATTGAGTCACGTGAACATATATTTCCGTCTTCATACAGCGTAGTCAAGAGACGTCTGAGTAGGCAATTGAGTAACCTCTTCTAGAAGTAAAGGCTCTCCAGAGGTAAATTCTATTCACAATAGATTTTGAGAATCCAGTTTCTTGTACTTAGAGTCTCCTTGATTGTGCAGAAATTCACGATTTTACTCAGAGAGTATACTTAAAAGCACAGAACTGAAAGTTAAGTTCTTCTGTATCACAAGTTAAGTACTGCCAAAGCAGCTGATTTCAATTGAATGATATATACAAGTTCTTCATTACTTCATTATTCTTTATTAGATATGTCCAATGTTTGTGTTGATGGTTGACCAACCTTTTTAAAGTCTGACACGTTCAAGCCGTCAACTTGCACAAGATAATTCTTGATAAATTTATCAGGTAGATCTTCATATGTCAAACAATATAAATATGCTGAAAATAAAATATCACTAGGAGAAGGCAAATCCTCATCAAAGAAAAATTGTTGGTCTGATTTTTCCTTCTTTAAACTCTGTAATTGTTTTAAATATTTTTCAAGTAATAACAAAAATCTCATCGAAGCTTTTGATTCTTTTAGTATTTGTTTGGTCTTTGATTTTTGTAATAAACTCTTTTCATGTAAACCACTTATTGGCTTAATCCCTTCTTCTTCCTCTTTCTCCACAATTAATTCATTATCATCATCATTGAAAGTTTCAGTTTCAGCAATTACTTCATTATCATTTTCTTTATCAAATTTAAAAAAATTATTTGAATTTTTTGAATTTAATCCCAAAATTTTAATTTTTTCAATTGATTCATTATAAAATTTTAAAGATTGATTATACATCCATGGAAATTTAAAATATTTGGTAAATAATTTTCTTGTATAATTTTCATAATTTTGTTTATTGGAACATAAATTATAAAGATTTATATATTCAAATCTTGTTTCTAAATAATTTATTATACTTATATTTAATAAATTTTCTTTAAAATCCGATGTAATATATAAATTTGAAGGATTATATGTTTTGACTAGATATTTGGCTATACTATAATATCCATCATATTTCTCATCTTCAGATATTATTAGCACTGGTAATTGATTTAATTCTGATAATTTTGTATTATTTGAAGTTATAATCTTAAATGGGACGTTTAACGGAGTTAAAACCAAGTTTAGTAGCCAAGTTGTCGCTATGCAATGAGGTGATATTATACTGACTTCATCTTGATATCCCCATACATGCAATTGAATCATTATTTGTGAATTTGTAGACTGAAGATGGTTGTATGATACTACGTGATATGAAATGTTAAGGGTAGTGTGCGAATGATCCAAAAAATATCACGAAAATTTACTTGCGTAAAAATTAAATTCTCTACAACCATTTCTTACTTTTTCATTCATTATGGATGAACAATTCAAACTGTTCAATAATCATTAACATAATCCATCAATCAAATCATCATTGTTAATTTTGGCTAACTGAAGCTTTAAGAGTAAAAGCTGTTACATATTTCCACGGATCTATTACTTTCAAATCAGTTTTCAAAGGCAATGAGTTCAGTTTTTATTCAACAAAAACCAAAAAAATTGTCGCTAGATAAAATAGGTCAATTAGAGGATGAACTTGAAATAAATCCATTAGATTATAACAAATGGATTAGATACTTGGATCAAATTATTGCTAAAGATAGTCAAGAACAAGTGAGGAAAGCATTTGATAAATATTTAGATATTTTTAAATTTGACGTATGTTGACAAAATTTTGGAATGAATGGTTACGGATTATAGAAAAGTTAAAGCATGTTTTTATTTTATTATTTCATTATATATATGCTGCTGGTCGGCTGGTTCATTGGGAGTTGATTTCAAAATTGTTATTACTTGTGTATAGTTCTTTTTTCAATGTTATTTTTTGCATGTTGTGACTTGTTATTCAAGTCTTAACTTTTCTTTAATCAGTAGATATTCGTATGACTTAGATTCGGTAATACTAACCCAATATTTTTTAGGGAGCTCAATGGAACAGATATATTAAATACGAAATAAGTAGAGGAGAAGAAAAATATGCTGAATCATTATTTCAAAAATGTTTTGGTATCACTGATAATGTTGATTTATGTCGACTGTATGTTGATTACGTTAGAAGTGCTACAGATTTTATAACTGGAGGTGAAAAAGCAAGAGGGACAGTTATTCAAGCTTTCGAATTTGCAATAAATAAAGTAGGTTTAGATATTCTGAGTGATGGACTATGGCAAGATTATATTGGATTTCTAAAATCATGGACTCCTGGAGCAAATTGGGAACAACAACAAAAAACAGATTTAATTAGAAAAGTTTATAAAAAATTTTTAGCTATACCTACTGAAAATATTGAAACTAGTTGGACTCAATATACAAAATGGGAAAATGAATTAAATCCATCTATTGCTCAAAAATTTGTTTCTGAAAAATCTGCAGAATTTATGTTAGCAAGATCATGGAATACAGAATGGCAACGTATCACTAATAAGAAATTAAAAAGATCCATAAATGCTCAAGCATCATTATTAGATAATTCATTAGAAGAACAAATCAAATATTGGAAAAATTGGATAGAATTGGAAAAGAAAAATTCTTTGGAATTAAAAGATTCATTCACGTTAAATAATAGAATCAATAATGTTTATAAACAGGCCACATACGCTCTACCTTTCGTACCTCAAATATGGTTCGAATATGTAAAATATTTGCTCAATGATAATGAGGAAAGCAATTTAAATGACTGTATAAGAATTTTGAAAGACGGCTTAACATTTAATCCCAAAAGTTTACTACTCTCTTTTCAAATTGTCGAATTGTATGAGAAAGATAGTTCTTTTGATAAATCTAAAGTAATATTTGAAAGTTTGATAAATAAATTGATTGTTGACTATGATAAAGTGACCAATGAATTGAATGAGTTAAGAGAAAAATTGAAACCCGTAAAGAAAGAAGAGGAGGAAAATAGTGACGATGATGATGATTATAACGAAGAAGAAGAAAAAGGGAAAATATTAACAGAAACAAACGGAGAAGCAAACGAACAACCAAAAACCAATGGTCATCTGTTGCCAAACATACCTGGTTTACCAAATAAACCCAATTCTTTACCTAATATACCTAATTTACCAAACATTCCAAACATACCGAACACTACAAATATTACAAACTCACCAAATTTACCAAATTTACCAAAAATACCAACTCAACAATACTCAGGTTCTTCCATTTCATTAGCAGATTCTAAACAATTAAAATTATTGGAAAAACAACAAAAACAAATATCAGAACAAATTACATTGGTTTATATCAAGTTCATGGTAGCTAGTAAAAGAGCTGAAGGTATGAAAGAAGCAAGAAATGTATTTAAACAAGCAAGAAAATTTTTAGGTATAAATTCTCAAATTTATGTGGAAAGTGCATTATTAGAACATTATGCAGATAATAAAAAAACAGCTATAAAAGTTTTTGATATTGGACAAAAAGCATTTCCAACTAATGGTGAATTTGCACTAAAATATTTGGATTATCTAATAATGATTAATGATGTTGAAAAATTAAGAAGTACTTTACAAAGTTCAGATACTAATTTCGCAAAAGAAATTTCACAATTAACTGAAGAAATTAATGTTGCTGACATTGATCCCTTGATAAAATCAGAGAAAGAATTAAAATTAAGAATTAAAAAGAAAAATTTGAAAGATTTATATAAACGATATATTTCATTTGCTGCAACCAATTTATCATTAGATATAACGAATAGTTTTACTAAAAAATGCGAATCATTGTTTCCAGAAGATGATCCAATAGATTTGTTCACAAGTAGATATAAGTTGGATAAGAAAAATTTGATAAAACGTGATGAATTAAAAGTGGAAGATTATGATGATTATGATGATAATGAGGAAGAATCACCAAGGAAAAGAAGAAAAATTTCAAACTTGATGAACTTTGAAAATGATAGTCAATCGTCAGCTGTCAAAAACATTCAAGAAACAAGCCGTATAGAACAATCCATAATTGAACAAGATTATCAAAATAGTAACATCAACGGTTCGAATGAAACGAGTTTTGTTGGACCATCAATAGTCGCATTAATGGCTGCTTTACCCAACGCGTCATACTTTGGTCTCCCTTCAGATAATGTATTTAATAGTGAAAAGTTGGTCACTTTATTCGCCAATTTACAAAACATATGATAGTATTGATTTTTACGCAATTTATAAAACTCTAGTAAGTAAGTAATTAAATATATAAGTACTGTAATATTAAATCTTAGCTACCAAATTTTGTCTCACCAGAAAATGGCTGCGAAAATTTACTCGATCTCTCAAAATAACAAACAAATTTTTTGAATAAAATACTATTAATTAGCTAAATTGCCTTCACAAAAAGTACCGACTCGAATTTCTAATGAATACTAAGACACCAATTAAAGATTACACAGCGTCGTTGTATAGACTTAGTGCAAAATGGTTGACTACTCCTTATGAAAATCCAACAAAGTCAAACTTAAAAATTGCATTAACTTTAAGAAATGTTTTCATTTGGTTGATTTTGATTAATGTGATCAATTATAATTTAAGAATTGTTGTAAATTTTGGTAACATTGATGTTGTTCAAGTGTTGGGTAAACAGAAAGGGAATAATTTAGTACCACAAATGGTAGTTGACAATGAAGATGATTTAAAACAAAGAAAGAAATTGGAGAATATATTAATTGGAATGTATGTTAGAAATGAAGAAGTTTATTTGAAAAATATTGATCTTACAACTGTTTATTCAAAAGTTTATCTAAAACTATCTGATTATAAAGTTAGACTAATAATGGATGAAGGATTAGTAAGCTCAGATAATTTTAAGTATGACGATGATAAGAAAATCACTTCAATAATCAATTGGATTCTACCTTCGGATTTTCCTATATTCAACATTATGAAAAATCAAAATTCAATATCTAGGTTTTTAAGACTACATTTGAATAAGTTATTCCCTTTAAATAGTAATCATCAAGTAATTATCAAACAAATAAATCAAGTTTATAAAAATTTAATAATTGGAAAATTTATAATTTTAATCAACTCAATAATCATCTTGTCAATTTATATACTAATGTACTATTGTCCTAAAAGATTAAGTTACCACTATATAAACTTGTTTGCTTTATATTTCATGAATTTTTTTAATTGTGCAGTGGTTTTGATGATGATCATAAGTAGACAGAAAATAACATCAGTGAAAGACCATCAATTGGGATTGTTAATTGTCGAACTATTTTCAATTTTGGGTTTCAATTTGGTTTTCTATCAATCACATGATTCCATCATGAACACTTATTTTGTACAATTCACTCCTACAGCTTCATCAATCTATTCAGAAAAAGAAGATGATATTGACACATCTGGTAATAATAATGTTGACAAAGTTGGAGATCCCGAGATACCATCAACAACAGCTGGGTTGACTGGTAGAACTGCAACTAGAAATTTAAGAGCTAATCCACAGAATGATAGGAAATTCAATTACACAACTAATAATAAAAATTTACCAAATAGCCCCAAAAGTCCTTATGAATATCAAAAGTCGGAATTTGAACAAAGAAGAAGCGCTACAGCACCAATATTGTCGTCAATTACACTGACTAGATCCCCAAATTACACGGAAATTTGATCAAAAATATAGTTTGTCAATCCAAGTCCATAATAAATGTACATGTAGTCTATAAATTTTCTATTTACAGTATAATACATATCTACATACAAAGTTCATTAAAAATCATATTCGTTAATATCGAATGTTTCTTCCGTAGACGGTTTGAAAGGCCACTGTTCATACGCATTTGAAAATTGCAATATGTCTTCAGTGGTGAACTCCGAAGCCCTTTTTTCAAGTGTTTCATTAGTTAAATAATTTTGTAAGTATTCAGCCCCTGGAGCTAACCTTGGTAATAGATCTTTCAATTTTGATGAGCTCACAAATATACCAGATAATAAATGCTCTATATTTGCAATTGAATCACTTTTATGTTCACCAGGTGTCATTTCAATAATTGCCACATCAGGACTTCGAATAAATGAGTTCTTTTTTATTACTAATGGTTGATCTCTAACGAGTATTCTTGGATCGTAACCTTGACCTAATATCTCCGAATCTTCACCTATGGCAATTAATTTTGTCTTGGTATATAAATCTCTTTTCAATGAAGTTCTATTTCTTTTGCGAAAACCTGGTTCACTCAAAAATTTCATGGCTGTTATTGATGGCATCAAAATAATCATTCTAACTTTCCCATATTTCATTAACCAGTTTCTATTTCCACAACATCCAATCCATTGGGCTATTATTGACTCATCAGATTTTCCTGTCCAATTTGCTAACACTAAAAGCTCATCATTTATTTTATCATCCCACTTTACATTTGGTTCTTCAATCACTCCATCGTTAAATAGTTTAGTATACGTGTCCCAGTCGAAAGGATCATTTTTCAAAATCTCAAAATTTTCTTGATTATTTGATTCAGATTTCAAAGTTTCAATTCTATTCATCCAATTTTTATAATTCTCATCGAATTTTTCTAGCAAAACATGCTTTTTGGGTTGTAATTCGTAGTTTATCATCGATGAGAATAATCCAAAGCCAGGGTTGACATCTATTATGTTCAATTTATGATTTTGATTATAGTCTTCTTTTATATTCAACTTATTGATTACATTTTGACAATCTTCAGGATACTTCAACTGAGATTTACCATGAGTGTACCTAGGTAGACTCTGGAATGAGTATTGAAGTCTTGGGTTCAACGATCGTAGCACTTTAGTTTTGCTCATATATGTTTGAAGATATTTAAATGGTCTAAAAAATGAAAGATGATATTAACACAAAATCAATGTCTCTAACATCTAAATTATTATCATTATCTTATCAATCAATTCTTTAACTACAATGTCAATAAATGGAGTAATTCTTAAACCAAATTACCAACAATTACTAAGATCAAATGAACTACCTTTTGAGATAAGCTCAGACGGACTTGAGAAACTAAAATATAAAACAAATACACCGAGGCAAAATTTATCAATAGTACTGGATAACCTAGAGGCAAATTCGTCAAATTTGAAAATATCGGCACAAGATGGATATATATACCTTACTTCAAAACGACTTATATATATAACTTCTTCCCAAGGAGATATTGAATCATTTGTAATTGATTTGACCCTTGCTCCAATTTTAAAGTTAAATCATAAATTGGTTTCACCTTGGTTTGGTGCAAATTATTGGCAATTTTTATTTTTCAGTTCTAAACAACCTAGTATTGCAAGTGATGGATTTCCTAAAGAGCAATATTTTAAAGGAGAGATTAAGTTTTTAGATGGTGGACTTTTTGAATTTGTTGAGAAATTAAATTTAGTATTAAATGATGTTGTTAATAATAAAGATATAGATGATGCATTACCTGCTTATAGTCCTACATAATATAAATTAAACAAATACATTATTTATTATAATACAAAAGTTGAATCAAAATTGTGTAATTTTTATCATTATAAAAACATTTCATCAAATTGTGAAAAGTTTAATAGTTCATCAATTTGTTCTTGTGTTAATGTTGATGAACACAATTCTTTTAATTTATTAATACAAATATTCTCTAAAGTAACAGCATCTTGATAAACAAATGACCCTTCTTCATTATATTTCTTAGCGTTGCTAAACATTAAGTGGATGTCTTCCAAAAAATCTTTGATTTTAGTGTAGGTATTTGTCGAAGCATTTCTCCTTATGACATCAAGGGCTATTGGATGTTTGATCAATATATAATAATCTGGATATAACTTTTTGGAAGGTTTAACCAAGAACAAATCACTTAATTTCCTACCTTCACCATCTGTATGGTTCATTATGAGTCCTAAAATATTTTCAATTTGATTTTGTAATCTAGCTCTTTCATCTGGTGTCAAGGGATCAATTGATGGAGCGGTTCTCGTTAATAATGAGCCTCTGCCTCTACCTCTACCACGTCCAACACCTCTTCCACGACTACCTCTTCCTCTACCACCACCTCTTCCTCTAGTACTTGGTGCTTTAACAGCAGTACTTGGATCTGATTTGATTGATGATGTTTCATTGGCGGTTGATGGAGTTGAAGTCTCGGGATTTGTTGCTATATCAGGAGTGCCATTTTTTTGTCTCTTTGGATTGTTGGAAAGTTCGATGTCATCTTCAGCTAAACGTTTGGATGATGAAGAATCTTCACCATTATCAGTTGCACTATCATCTCTATCAGAAGTGATTCTAGATCTACCTCCACGTCCTCTTCCAGTACGTCCACGGCCACGAGAACCTCCTCTTCCTCTACCAGCATTTCTTGAAGATGGTCTGATCTCATCATCACTTTCAAAATCTTCTTCGACACTGTCACTATCATTATCTGAAACAACTCCATCAATTTGTTTCAACCATTGTTCTTCAGTTAAGTTATCATCATACTTAGTCGTTTTTCTTTCTCTAGCACCACGACCGTAATCTTCTGTGACAATATCTTCTTTTTTCAAAACTTCTTCTGGGTCTTTTCTATATATTGGTGGTAATTCTTGTTCAGATAATAATCTAGTTGGATAGGAAGCATCTCTCGTGGCAAGATATCTTTCTTCATCCAATTTTTTAAAAGTTTCCAATTCACCTTCATTTCTTGCAATTATTTGGTTTAACTCATCATCATCCAAATCTTCCTCTTTTTCATCAGGACCTCTTTGTCTTTTCTCATCCTCTTTTTCAATTAATGCTCTCAACATTGCCTCTTGTTCTTCAGCAGTTGATTTATTATCGAATTTACCAGCTTGAATAACTTTCCCATCAATTTCCAATTTTGCATGTGCTCTTTCCAAAATCATTTCTTCAACTGAGTTTTCAGTAATTAATCTCAATATTCTAACTTCATTCTTTTGTCCAATCCTATGTGCTCTATCTTGTGCTTGTAAATCTTGGTGTGGATTCCAATCAGTATCGAAAATGATAACAGTATCTGCTGTTTGTAAATTTAAACCTAATCCACCAGCTCTTGTTGACAACAAAAAGCAAAAATAATCAGAATCTGGAGCATTAAATAATTTTAACAATTCGGTTCTATCATCTGCTTTTGTACCACCATCAAGTCTCATATATTTCATTTGTCTTAGTCTCAAAAAATCTTCCATAATATCCATTACTTGAGTCATTTGGAAAAATATCAAAACTTTATGTCCAGTTTGTTTAAATTTTGGTAAAACTTTATCCAATAATTCAAATTTACCTGCTACTCTCCAAATCAAGTCATTGTTTTCAGCAGTAGGATTAATGAAATTCTCAACATCCTCGTATACAAAAGGATGGTTACAAATTTTCTTCAATTGCATTATTTGATTATTTGCATTTTTGATTGGGATAACAGCATTATCATCTTCTAAATCACCAGCATATAACACATTATGACGCAACATTTGTTGATAAAGTTTGGCTTGAACTGAGGACATTTTACATTTAACAACTTTCTCAATTTTATTTGGTAAATCTTTTTCAACATCTTTCTTCAATCTTCTTAACAAAAATGGTCTCAACACTTTATGCAATCTTCTGATAACCAATAATGTTTCTTCTTCACTTAATTCAATCTTATCTTGACCTCCAGTATTTGCAAAAGGTGTATTAAACCATTCATCAAAAGATTTGACTGAATTGAAAATTTTAGGTAAAACGAAATTCAACAATGCCCATAATTCTGGTAAGTTATTTTGCAATGGAGTACCCGTTAAAATTAACCTATAATCACTATGATAGTTTGTAGTTAAAGTTTCAGACAATTTTGAATTTGCATTCTTCATACGATGACCTTCATCGATAATCATATGAACCCATTTGACTCTACCTAATAAACCTTTATCTTTGATAATGTATTCAAATGTAGTTAAAAGAATTTGGAAATTACCCATTTTGATATCATGTTGTAAAACCTTTCTTTGATTTGGAGTACCCTTATATGTGATTTTTTTGACCGATGGTGCCCATTTTTCAAATTCGAGATTCCAATTTGTGACTGTGGATAATGGAACAATAACGAGAAATGGTCCCGATATTTTTTTAACCTCAATCAAATATGTTAATAGCGAAATTGTTTGAATAGTTTTACCGAGACCCATTTCATCCGCTAATATACCATTTAAATGATTATTAAATAATGATACCATCCACTGTAAACCTTTCAATTGATATTCTTTCAAAGTTCCTCCAATTAAAATCGAAGGTTGTTTTGTGACTTCTTCCTTAATTCTATGAGCAACATTATAATAATCTGTTTTCTCTCTTTTTTCGTCCTCATTAGGTGCGGCAGTAGAAGATTCCTCCTCAACCCGATTGTTATTTCTCTCCTGAGCTTCTTTTTGTTGTGTTTGAACAGCTTGAGCTAATGAATCCAAAAATTGATTAGTTTGAGATAACAAATGAGTAATTCTTGTATCTTTTGTGTGATCTAAAAGTTTCAAATAAGCTTCTTCATCATTCGATTTCAAAGCTTGTAAACGTTGTTTAGCCATTTTCTCAAGTTTCTTTTGTTCTTCTTTAGCAGTTTGAGCATGAAAATTGGAAACTTTGTTAATAAATCTAGTGACTTTTTCTTGTTTTTTGTTGAATTTGATGGTGGTCCTATTTGTTGAGCTAAGGACTTGCTCGACTACCATGGTATGCTTCTTCGACTGCTCTTTCATTTGAGATTCTAATTGCGATCTATATAAATCAATAGTTAATGCAACACTCTCCATTGATAAGGTATTGAATCTTGCTAAGAAATTTGGATGTGAATTTGGTAATAAGGATTTATTGAACCACATTTGAGTAAGAACTTTACCTCTTGCTTCTTTCTGATTGGCTATTAACTCCAACAGGTTGAGTTTGGTTTGTAATTGATGCTTTTGTTCGGACTCTTCATCATGTATTATGGATAACTCTTTTTTGATTGAATCTTTCTCCAACTCGATTCTAAGCAACATACTTAATTCTTTATTTATTGCGATTTGACCCATGTCTATAGTATCAGGCATCAAGGATGGAATCTGAAATCTACTCTGAGGAAGATATAAAGTACTTAATGGAACATCTTTCGCATGTTCACCAACTATGTCAGCAATTTGGAATGTATCAACTTCTATTATTGGTTCAGTGATAGGAACAATAATTTTTTTATCTTTATTCTTCTCATCTATCACTTTGCTTAATAACACAGGTGGTGATGGATTAGCAAATATATATGGAGATTGCTGAGGTTGCTGAGGTGGTTGAGGTTGCTGAGAAGTAGCTAAATGTGTATTTGTTGGACCATTCATTTGTGGTTGAAATTGATTTGGATTTTGAATGGGACCATTTTGTGGAACTTGACGCATTTGTTGGTGTTGCTGCTGTTGATGCTGTTGATGCTGTTGAAGCGACTGTTGTTGTTGTTGTTGTGGTAGTTGCTCTTGTTGCTGAGGAGGTACTTGCAGGTCTTGCTGAACTTGATTTTCTAGCATTTGTCTTTGCTTTTCTGCAGCTAATCTTTGTTCTTCTTCTCTCATTTGTTTCTTCGTCATTTTTTTCGGTTGATCCTTATTCTTAGGTTTTGGACCTCTCTTACCTTTCTTTTTCTCTGGTTCAGGTTTCACAACATCGTTGTTCGTATTATTCGGTATATTAGGCGTTCCTAGATTTTGTGGAAGCTGTGTTGATGGAGGAATTGCTTGTTGTGGGAATTGTTGTTGATTCAAATCAACATTAATGTTATTCAGTTTTGGGGCAGTTGATTGTAAATATCCATCATTTGGGTAAGACGAGCTAGGATTTGTTACAAAAGCTAATAAATTTTGAGGTATAGGATTTTGATTAGATTTAACTAAGTATTTTATTGCTTGAACTTGAGATCTGAAAAGATTTTGCTGCTGACTTGTGAAAGCTGATTCAGAATTATTCATAGGTGGTTGTTGATTCATCAACCAATTATTATTTGGTATTTGGTTTGGCATTTGCGATTGTAGTGGTTGAGATCCATTGTTTTGTAAGTCTTGATTATTATTAATAAATTGTGGTGGAAATCTATCATTGACGAAGTTATGATTATTTCTACTTGGAGCATTTGCAGCTAAATTCGAGTTCTGGGTTAAAGGTGTTCCATTAGCTGAGTGATTTAAATTCCCCATAGCAGGTGATTGGGTTGGAGGATTAGAAAAGTGTGCCAGATTAGGGATTGAATTATTATTATCATTATTTCCAAAAGCTTGTTGAGGTGTCGGTGGCGCAAGATGTTGTCGTTGAGGCGTTCCATGCAGAGAAATTTGACGGTTGTGTTGTTGTTGCTGCTGTTGCTGTTGTTGTGGAGGCTGTTGTTGTTGCTGTTGTAGTTGTTGTGGTTGCTGCTGTTGCTGTTGTGGTGATTGTTGAGTTTGCTGCGGTACTGCTTGCTTATTTAAATTCTGTTGTTGTTGTTGTTGTTGTTGTTGTTGTTGTTGCTGCTGAAATTGTTGCTGTAGTTGTTGTTGATGTTGTTTAATAGTATTTATAGTTTTATTCAATTGAGTAAATTCAGGAACATTAACAACTTGATCACCATATTGTTCTCTTAATTGATGCCAGCGAGTAACTATTTTTTGAATCTCTTCTTTTGTGGGCATACGATTCATCTTGATTTAAAATGTGTCCTAGTTATAGTTGAAAAATGTATTGATATTCTCGAAAGGAATATTTACAAAAACAATCCAAAAGTAAAAGAAGGATATGGAATGCGTAATTATGGTGTATGCAAATGAGTCCCTGCCAGGAGTTTTAGAATCTTATCGGACAACGTCTTGGATCTAAAATGATATTAAATGATTGATTGATTCGATTGATTAAGTAGTAAATCTAATGTTAAACTTTAACTTTTGTAATATTTTATTATTCTATTTACAAATTCGATTTTTTTTTGTTTTTCATTTTTTTCGAAAGACGTATTTTTTTTGTCAGATTTTACGGACTTGCGACTTTATTGCAACATACTAATTACAACATACATAATCATTGAGAATAGAGGAGTATAACCAAAAGCACTATCCGAATTGAATAAACCTGATGATTCAGCTACTGCTAAAATTGCTGTAAAGGAGTTCACATAGCGGATGTTTCGAACCTAATATCTCATATTATTGTCCAGCATTTGAACCTAAACAAATATCATGAATAAACAACATTTCACCATGTGAAGAAACGATAGTTAACTCATTTTAAAAATGTAAATTTAATTTTATTTTTATTAAAATGCGTGGCTATTCAAAGCTCACGTCCTGAATTCAAGATTATGGTCTCCATAATTGACCATGTCCTCTAGGTGCATAATTTATAGCTTGAAATTTCTCCTTTTTGATGAATCCATTAGCAGAAGTATAATCTGGTTCTTCATGCACTGCTCCTTCAGTTGATATGTAAGTCTTTGGAGCTTTATTACTTTGCTTTCTTCTACCTCTATAAGTATTACTTTTATGATGAATCTTCGGTGGAGTTTGATCCATTTTTTGATATTGATATAATTCAGTTGTATCAATTTTACTTTGTAAAACATTATTAAATTCAAAATCATCATCATTTAAAGCAAATGGATTATAGATTTTGAAAGAATTTACATCATAATTTTGAAAAATTAATAATTCTGCCTCATTCACATTAACACAATCAATTCCAAAAGATTGAGCCCAAATTTTAGTGATTGAATCTTCTGTAACTAATTTCCATTCTTCAATAGATTTCCAAGGTTTTTGATGATTACTTGATGGTTTTTCTAAAAATCTTTTATAAATACAAGTTCTCAATAAATATTTTAATCTTGGTGGCATTTCTGCATAAGAATCGGAATGTTCTAAAGCATTTTGATAAGATGGAGAATTTTCATAATGAATTTGAAATTTATCATCATGAAATGAATTTTTTCTTTCCGATTTTGATTTATATTTATGATGATCATTTTCGTATGCATCATCTTGTTGAGATGGTAATTGTCTTAATAAACTTGAATCAAATCTTGTTTTGTAATTTGGGAAATCTTTAATCTTTGGTGAATAGACTTTGTACTTAAGGCAGGAATTCCAAGAAGGTGTACTATCATTTGGAGTTTCTAAATTTACATTATAAGTAATCTTTTTTTCATCATGATGATTATCATGGTTGTTCGGAGTATTGTATTGATAGTTGTAATTTTCCAAGTGATTATCAATAAATTTAATGGCTTCTCTTGCATTAGTTGCACTAATAGATGTCCCCTTTTTAACAAATTCAAACTCATGTAAAGTATAGGAAGGGATATGTAATTCCAATAAGATAGGTTCTGAATTTTTGTTGAAATTACTATTTATGTAATCATCATTGAACCATCTTTTGATATTCCCTATTCCTCTAACAAAGGCAGTTTGATCTAATATTAATTTAACTTGACGTTTTGAGTCATTAGGTTGAGTAATATTTGGAAATGCTCCATTCTTCAGTCCATTATTAATTGAATCCATTAATTCATCTTGTAAGAATCTTTCACTTGGATCAGAATCATAATCTTGAGACATAATCTTCGATGAAGGGTTGGTAATGGTAAGGTAAAGGGTTGAATTTATAATGCTCCTAAAATCTATTTTGTATGAAAAAAAATCTGAGACAAGTTTACGAATTTAAAAAAGTTTAGCGAAAACCATATTAATTTTGATCAAATACAATAGAGAGAACTTACAATAGATAATGACTCTGCCGTTTGCATAGTACATGGAGAATCATTCAAGTTAATATTCTTTTACTATTCAAACAAGATTAGCAAATTGTAAACTACGATTGTTCGGATTGACTCTAATCTTATACTAATTTATGCGATGATCAACTTGTCACATCATATGACCTTTTCAAAGTTGATCTAATCTCTTTAGTAATAATCGGCAATCACGTACATATCACCTCCATTTATGCAAAAACTTATTCATTTTGTTAGTATTCAATGTCAATCAACAAAAGGACATCATTTTCAAATGTCAAATCATAATATTTTTTAACTCTTAATTTCCAAAAAACAATCAGATAAGTTTAGTCAAGGGTATAAGCATTGAAATAATTCTAATATTAGAGATGCCAGAAAAAACATACTTTTAAATAAAACATATTTCATCCTATTAATTTTTGGAAATGTTAAGATTTAAAAAATTTTTCTCTATGAAATGACTATTGATAAGTGTAAAGTTGAAATTGTTCATACCTTTAAAAATATTGTTGTTCAATCTCAATCACCCATCACTTGTTGCATGATCAAACTCATACTCCAATTGTGTTGAAATGAAAGAAGAAGAAGAAAGAGTTGGTGTATTAAAATTCTTCGTATTAGAGAATTTAGTATTTAGTGAAAAATTATTTGGGGTTGAGTGCACGAACTTTCATAAAATGAATTTTTGCAACCACTTTTCATTCAATCATTAATTACGTTGAAATGTTTCCTCATCTTTTCAACTAAAGTTTTTTATCCAGAGAACCCAATAGAAAACATGATGTTGTATTACTTGTTGCAATTGCTCAATAAAAAAAACTAACGATGTTATGCATAATTAAAGCTTCTTACAGAACTTATTCCAGCCTTTTGATTTACTGTGATCCAGGACTTGTGCATGAAGTGATTCTACGGCTAATTAGCGAGACAATGATCTGCAATTTGCTTGTTTGCATGCTAATTTAAAAAAGATCATCGTTGCCTTAATAATGAGTGTCCTAGTGTCTTAAATGGTCTTCATATAATTCATATTGTTTGCTAAAGCCTAAAATATCACAAAATGATACTTACCTCGTCAAAAAAAAGCTAATTAAAAGTTTAACCATTGTTTCACCAGTTTTTAAAAGCATTAGACCCTAATTAAGAAATTAATTTGGAGAAAGTTCAAATCTCGTAATTGATTTATTAGGAAGAAGCTTTTTAAGAGATTTACGAAAATTAATTCATTTTACCAAAGAGTTCAAAATCTAAAATCTTAATTCATGAATTATAAAAATTTTGTAACAATATTGGATGAACATATTGAATTTGTTGCCTGGCCTACTATTCAAGAGCACCTACAATCAATATGAAAATATTAGTACCTCATTAGGACCCTTTTGATGATTCGATTATTAGACGATTATTGGTATAGAGATGACAGAATCATTTAAATTTTAAGCCAGCCTTTCGATAACATGGATTTACTTTCAAATCTTCCTTTTAGTTGTTGTACATTTACACTCACTATAGAGATCTGGATCAATTAATTTTATGTAATATCCTAAAATAGATTATTTCAAAATAATTTGGTAGCTCACTCTATTGAAAATACCCATTAACCACAAACAATACAATACAATCAATTTAAATACATAGCTCTTTTGAAAATTCAAACACATTTTACAAATCCAGCTTAGTTACTATTTCAATTCTATTTTTAATTTATTTATAACACTCATTAATTATCAAGTTAGTTTAGATTTATATCTTTACATGGGAATCTTTTTTTTTTTTTAATGTTTTGACAATTATTATAATTCATATCAAATCATCGTCATATTGTTCAAACCAAAACAAAGTTCATCGAAAGTAGAATAACTGACTTTTAAAATTCAAAATGAGTCTGTTGCCAACTACTCCAATTAAGTCTTTCAGCAATAATACACAACAAGATCAAGTTACACCAATATCGTCAAGACAATGGAAACAATTTCAAGAGGATAAGAGAAGATCTCGATCTTTATCTCCAGTAAAAATTAATAGAAATAAACACAAGATTAATGGTTCATTAGAATTTCACGATGAGGATGATTTAAGAACAATGTTTAATTCTCCTAACTTAACACCAACTCAGTTAAAAAATATTTATAAAAATCCTTCATATTCAAGATTACATATAGTTGCAAATGGAAATCCAAATCACAAGAACAATCCAACCCAAAACAAATATATAATACCTATACCTTTGACTTTAAAACTTCCACCGAAATTAAGTTCATCACCAAATATAACCGATGGTAAACCAAAGTCATCAGCCTCATCAACAATATCATCACGATCTTCATCACCAAGTAGAGCTGGATCACCTGAAAGGTCGCATTTACCCAAACAAACAACATTAATATATACACCGCAAGGATATGAAAAAATAGATATTTCACTGTCATCAGAGGATGAACAAAATGGTACTTCTTTTGATATGTCAACGACTCCATTAACAAGAGAGATTTTAAATTCAAATCAAACAATGAAAACATCACCTTCACCGCCATCAGTAACCACAAACAAAACAAAATATCTGAAATTAGCATATAAAAATAAAGAATCAGATGAATTAAGTATGATTGAAGAAATGTCAAATTATAGTTCTAGAAGTTCAAGCATTAATGATGGAATAAAATCAAAAACCAACCAAGAAGTCACTCATAAACCAAGTAAAAAACTTCCTGCATTACCAACTACCTTTGAAGATCCAATTCTGTTTACACAATCTGAGTCATCGAAATCAAAATCAAAAAGAAAACCACCACCACTGATGGAGACAAATAATGCATCAATTGAAACTAGTAATGTTTCCAAACTTACACCAAATAAAATGAACGTAATGCAATCAAGTTCATATCAAATTCCTGTTTCAAGATTAGTTACTCAACCTCCCATAATAACAAAAAATGTATCTCAACAACCCAAAACTGACCTTCGATCACGATGTTTTAGTGATGAATCTCAAACCACATCAGTAAGTTCTTTCGGCTCACCTGGAGACTTTGCTTCCTTCCAAAGATTACATAGAAAAACACCACCAATTCCTAGCTATGCCAATGCGAATAACAACTCACCAAAAGTCAAGAACCCAGTTACTACTTTATCTACATTAAAAGAGTCTGAATCAAGATCCAGTTCAAAAAATCCAAGTAGGGTGCCATCAGATTCAAGTACATTTTCATCCAATTCAAGTGTAAATAGTTGGAATTCTTTACAAAAATCTATTGATATAACATTGAGTCGAGAACCTACAAACAAATCTTTCAATTCAAATAAATTAATATTAAATAACAAAGTAGAAGAAGGAGAAACCGAAGTTAATGATCAAGATCATTGGTCCGATACCGAAGCGAGTGATGCGGAAGATTCTGAGAAGGAAACAGCCCCATTAAAAATATCAAGACTGAGTACAACTGTATTGTCTGACGAAACTAAAAAAATTGCAACTTCGATTAAACCTACCAGTTCACCTCAATTAGAGAATAATAATGAATTTGACATTGGTTACAATTTTCCTAATAACCTTGAGAATATAACAAACAACAAACAGCTAAAATCAAAACATATTGAAGAAGAAGATTCAAAATCAACAAAATCAAGATACAGTTTTTATTCATCAAATGGACAAATTGATATACCTGATTTATCAAACAAAAGAATAATGGATCAATATTCTATCAAATCTCCATCTTCGAAAGCACCATCAAGTTATAATGAAACACTTTTCTCGGATAGAAATACAAACTCATCATCATCTGAATATAGCAGTAGTAGTAGTTCACATAATAATCAAAACAATAACAAGATAGGTATAAGGATTCCAAGTAAAAATGCTTTAACTCATCTAGAAGAACAATTGAAGCTACACTCAATTGAGGGTGAAGATTCTGAATATGAATTTGAAAACAAGAAGAATTCATTGTATGTCGACTCAAAGATTTCAAAGACTTTACCAGATTTACAATGCAATTTTATTCAAAACCCACAAACACGATCTCCAGCAAGGCATAAACGAGGTAAATCAATGTACAATATAGACTTAAATGAATTCAACTTTAATGAAAATCAATCAGTTGATCAAGGTATAAAATCTCATAACGACCAACTTAAAATCAGTCACAGTAGATCAAAATCCATTGACCCATCATTACCATTGTCTTTTAATAATAGATATAATAGTTCAGTAGATACTTCAAAACATCATAGTATTAACGAGCCACAAAATCAAAATCATAGAATCAAAGTCCCAATAAACATTTTAAATTCAGCTTCATCTTCCATACATAAAAATAACTACAACGAAAATGATGCAGTAGCAGAAGATATGAATATTAAAATAGCTGAACCTCCAAAACCAATCAATTATAAAATAGATTTTAAAGAAAATAATAATAATGATTTGAAATTTGGTAATTATAATACAACTCCAAAATCAATATCAAAATTGAATAAAACCAAGCTAAGAGATGATGATAATGAAAGTATAATAGTTGATTTAACAAAAGATAAATATGAAGTTTTCACTATTCAAAGATCAAATTCAATAATATCTTATAAATCTACTACAGAAGTTATAAAGGGAAAAGAAATGGAAGTTATATTAGTTGAAGAAGATGATGATGAAGAACAAGTAAATGAAAAAGACGATGAATTATTAAGTATTTATTCAAAATATAGAAATAATTCTTGGTTATTTACTAATGCAACAAAATAAATAATTGAGTCATTAAATTTGATATAATTTTTTAATAAAAGTTGATATATTTATTGCCCATTTTTTTTAAAATTCATAATTTGCACTTTGATTAATTTCATCTAATATATCCTGATCCTCAAACTCGTTATCCTCGTAGTAATCATTAAATTCATTTGATTGTTGATCAACCTTGTTCATATACGAACTTTCTTTCTGAGACTCATTAAATCGAATTGGTTCTTGTAAATTCATTTTATTATCAAAATCCTTTTCGATATTATTCGTAGTGGGCCTCAAATGTAAAGATAACTCTTCAGAATTATTAAACCAAGAATATCTTTTAAATGATTTCTGTTTTTCAATTTTTTCTTGCTCACCAGATAAATTTATTTCTGACTTAGTAAATAATGAATTATAAATCAATACATTGTTATATCTTTTTTGCATGTAACTTCGTTGAGATGAATTTCTAGATAGAATCAGATCAAATCTAGTTAAGTTTTGATGATCTTGAAATTTTGTTCCCTGGTGTTTATCATTTTCAGTAGTCAATGAATGATTTTCTACAGAACCCAAAAAATTCATCATACCTAGAATCGACTCTCTATTAAATCTATCATCTTTTTCGATCGAGCCGGCTCGATCTTGATTGTTGGTATTAGTTTGATTTTGCTTATTGTAAGATTTGTTTTCATTGAAACTGTCGTGATTATTATTTTGAGTTGATACTTGATTTTGCCAAGCTGTAAAGGCTTCGACCTTTTCACCAATCTTGAAGTTCAACTTGTCATCAAAGGATTCATGAAATGATGCAATAGATTCATTGTCTGATATTTTAAGACCGCTATTTCCTTCTTCTTTCTTTATGTTGATTGGATCTCTATTAATAATCAATCTGTTATTATGATTATCTGACTTGTTCGAATCTCGAGATCTGTGTCTTAGATTACTACCAATTGTGAGGCCATTAATAATAGGACTATTCAAACTTGAAGTTGGAAGGAAGTCAAACACTTCATCTTGTGGCAACGGTGGCGAAATAAATGAATCGTAATTGAATTGTTTTTCCTGATTAGGCTGTTCGTTCGAAATTGATTCCAAATAATTTTCAAGAATGTCAATTTCATTTCGATCTTCAGCGTCTAAATTTGAATAAAATGAGTTTGATGACGAAGTTAATGAATTCCCTTGAATTGATAGATGCAACGACGAATTAAATTTACTCTGTTTTGGAAAAGAAAGGCCCTTTGTGAACTCATTGAATTTGGAATTTGGAGAAAGTTTGGGTTCGGCTATTTTCATCAGCGATTCATTCAAAAAATAACTTCTTGAATATTCGTCCTCTTCTTCAATTCTACTCAATTCAAAATCATCTTGAGCAGTTTCTGCTTGCATTTGATTAGTTTCTAAATCTCGAAACGTAGACTGCTTAGGGGTCGTTTCATCGGCAAAGTCTTCGCTACCTTGATCTTTATTATCATTGAACATGTCAGCATAAGCAGTGTTTTCACCTTGAAATTCTTCTTCGTAGTCATACTCCTCCATATCTTCAACACCACCATTATTTTCAAAGTCATAATCAGATAGTTCCTCATCTTCATATCCTAAGTCGTTCTCATCAAATGAATTTGGAGCCATATTTTTATTTACTGTCATATTTTGCTTTTTGTTTGAGTCAGTTTTGGTTTTGTAATATTTGACTGAAGTATTTCTTCCATTTTTCATGTCTTGAACAAAGGAAAATTGTGAGGTATTGTCATCATCCTCGTATTCAAAGTCATCTCCTTCTACAGATTCATTCGAATAACTTGTATGATCCGTTTTTAACTCATCTTTGTCTTCTATCGAAGACGTTAGTGCAGGGTCAAAACAAACATCTTTCGTACTTCGTTTGTTTCTACTTTCAGGTAAGGAGGGGATACTAAAATTATCATTAGACAACGTGATTGGTATTCCTAATCCATTGGAAGATTCACTTGTTGGTATTTTAGTTGCATATGAATGATCCTGAGTACCATCGTTCATATTGTGATTTATTTCTGATCGTAGACTTGAATGTGATTGTTGTGATTGTAAATGGTGTAAATTCTGTTGTGATCGATATTTATTTGAAGAAGATCCCTTTCCATGATTCATTAAATTTAATTCATGTAACGATGGAGACGATACGGATGGCTGTACAACCCTGAATGTATTTGAGGCTATAGGTGGATCTTCTGGTAGATGTTTAAAGTCATTGTGTGCATGAATATTATTATTACTTTTACTTCTAATATGTCTTTTAAAAATCGAGCTCTTCGAGTCTTTTGGTGAATCTTTACTGCTAGTTTGCAAAATGTTTTGTAGGTTGTCATTTGATGAAGGTGTTGTTACTGACTTATTTGACGAAAATAAATTTTTAATTGGTGTTAATAACTTTTTCGGTGATCCCATGACACTAGTACTAGTACCTCCATTAGCAGAATTATGGTTCGATAAATGATTCGATGGTGGTGGAGTAAACTGTGCAAAATTCAAAGACTTCGGCGACGATAAAGGTGTAGATTTTTGATTGTAATAATTTTGAGGTGGTTGAAAGTTTGAGTTTGATGAATTTGAATTGAACATTCCTAAAGATGTCATATTTGTGTTTGTATCTTGTAGCTGAAAGTCATTTTGATTTGATAAGGAGTTTTCATTCTTCTTCAGTTTGAGATAAGACCTCATCTATCTTTATGATTACTTTTAACTTCTATAAATGAAGTCAAACAAATTAATTTATTTGCTAATTAATTCTGATGAGTTTTATGACAAGTAGTAAGTTTAATTTTTCAAAAACTATTTGAATTGATGTAAAACTGCTATAAAGCGTTCAGCTCTAATTGTGCGACTGACAAACTGAGTGTTTTGAAATGTTAATATTGGAGTTAAAATGTATACTTGTTGAAAGATGAAAATAATGATTAATAGTAGTTAATTGAAAAGGAAATAAATTAATTAAACATATTACACAAAAATGATTTGATACTCTTTCGAGATAGAACCAACATTACGTAATGAAACAAGTTCAAAAGTACCACCAAACTATAGAATTTTAGCAATTACGATTCTTAATTAAAGTAAAGAGATAAAATAACTTTTGATAATAATAAATAACTTAATTAAAACGATAATACACACTGATGCCTATCAATTTTCATAGTTTTATTGTCTTAAACTTCTTCTATTTTTTATGGCATTGGATAATACTTCCAATACTTTTTCAGTATCTTCCCATCCAATACAAGCATCAGTGATAGATACACCATATTTTAAAGCATCTTTGCCACCTTGCTCTGCTGGTGGAACATCTTGTCTACCTTCTCCAATATTACTTTCAATCATCAATCCACATATTGATTTATTACCTTTTGAAATTTGTTCCGCAACTACAGCAGCAACTTTTGGTTGATTTCTATGATCTTTATTACTGTTTCCGTGTGAGCAATCTACCATTATTCTTGGTCCTTTCTGGGTTGTATCATTTACTAAATTTGCCTTTATTAATTGTTCTTCTGTTGCTTTTACTGAGTCCTCATCGTAATTTGTACCTTGTTTCCCTCCTCTCAATATAACAAAGCAATCTTTATTACCATCTGTTCCAACTATAGCAACAATTCCAGGTTTAGTAACTGAAAGGAAATGATGAGGATGTGAAGCAGCTCTAACAGCATCGATTGCTACTCCCAATGTACCATCTGTACCATTTTTGAATCCAACTGGAAAAGATAATCCTGAAGCTAATTCTCTATGTAACTGAGATTCAGTAGTTCTTGCACCAATAGCACCTACTGAAAATAAATCTGATAAAAATTGAGGAGAAATTGTATCCAACATTTCACCTGCAATTGGTAATTTGGAAGTCAAATCAACAAATAATTTTCTAGAAATTCGTAACCCTTTATTTATGTGAAAAGTTCCATTAATATCTGGATCATTGATTAAACCTTTCCAACCAACCGTGGTTCTTGGTTTTTCCAAATAAGCTCTCATGACTATTAACAATTCTCCTTTGTATTTTGCAGCTTGTTTTTCTAATCTTTCGGCATAATCTAATGCCGATTTAGGATCATGTAATGAACATGGTCCAATAATTATTATAAGTCTATCATCTTCTCCATTTAAGATTTTACATGCATCATCTCTTCCTTGTAATATTACTTTTTGAGATTCTGGTGTTAACGGGTATTCATGTTGTAACAAATCTGGTGGAGTCAATGGATCATAACCACGTACTTGTCTCGTTAGTACATACTCTCATTCAAAAGGTCTTTTGTGATAATCTTTTAAACCTAGTTTGATTAACTGTTCTGCTACATACTTCTCCAATCTTCCATACGAGTTCTATCTCCTATATGTTCGTTTGTAATAAACATGATATTGTCCTATTGAGTAAACTCCTTTATTAGCAATGAGCTAAGTTGAAATGAATAATTAATTTGAAATGATATAAACAGGTGAGTTTTATTAATTTAATTTGAAAATATTATGACTGAAAAATTTGAGAAATAATATTTTAATTTTTGAGTCAGTTTAGGTTATATACAGGCATAGAATTATTGCAACATTATCTTAAAGGTGGTTGAATTCATGATTTGATTGATCATTCCAGTACCTCAAATTTAACAGTATTAAACTCTTATTTCTATCCTTTCCATCATTTAAGAAATTCTACGTCACTTTTGTTTTCCTGGTGAATGCAATGGAAAATTAACCAAAACAAACTCATAAACCAAAAATAAGGTGGAAACAAAGTCATAACCTTTATCATACGTAGCAAGGTTTTATTCATGAATGATGATCTCAATTCTTAATACTTATAGATAGTGGACTCTCAGTGACTTTAGTTTGCAGTAATTTCTTGTATGATTAATGAGTACAGTCTGCAGTAATTTCTCGTACGATCGATTATTCTTTGCGTTTGAGTTATGAAATCAATGATTGACTAGATCACAGAAGCTTGGAAAATAAACGATGACAATTTGGAAGCCAATTCATTTCATAAGGTTGAGTATAGTAGTAATGGTTTTAATATGTTGACTATTTGTTTAGAAAATTAATCAATTTGTTCAAAAATTATCAACACAAAATTGATCAAAGTTAACGTTTAAAGATAAGGGATATTTTTGAGATCAAATTAGATACATCATTTGAGAACGCGTTCCGCATTTAATCCTTCTAGTACATGTTCATTAACTACTAGACTATAAAAAAATGCATTTTTTCGATTAACCACAACCAAATTAGTATCAACAGATCCGCATTACGACGAAAATGTAAAACCAAACTCAGTTCATAGCCTTTAATTTGCTTCGTTAAATTCATGACCTTCGGTTATGAAAGATCAACCATTTCAAATATATAGATATACGAATTGTTTTCAATATCTTGCAAATTTGAATCATCACATAGAACTACTTTTTCATCATTAAACAAAACCCATTTTATTTCATTATCAATCTCTTTCCTAATGAAAGATACATAATGACCTGTATGTGGAGATGAACCTTTATGACATATCACTGATTTCAAATTATATTTAGTTGAATTAGTATTAGTTTGGTTTTGTAATGTTTTTTTCAATTCTAACCTTTCGCTCTTCAAATCTATTGTTGCCTTGATACCAGACTCTTCAATAACTCCATCATCATCCGGATTTGAAAATAACCATTCGACTGCTGCATTTACATCTCCACTATTAACATGTAAGGCTTTCTTGGACAATTGAGTGGAAAAACCCATAGAGACTAATTGATTAATTAATTCTTCAGACGTTTCATTCACAGGAACCAGTTTGCTTGTTGATGAGTTCAAATCTAAAGGTACATCAATATCTGCGTCTTCCATATGCTCAAATAACCAATTCATTGCAGCTTCAGGATCTTTATTTCCAGTGATATACAACGCTTTTATGCATCTGGGTTCTGGAAATCCCATTGCTAACAATGTATCTAGCGCAACTTGATTCGGTTGAAATGAAGAGGAGTCATCATTTGACACATTTGACTCTACTTGTGTTTCAGTTTCACTAAACTTCGGAGCTTTAAATTCGGCTAAATCTAATTCATAAGGTATTTCAACTGGTACGTCAGCTTTATAAGGTGCCCAATTTTCCAATTTTATTCGTTGAACATTTACAATCAAATAATTTGGAAAGGTGACAAATCCACTTGATTTGATTGCAGGCTTACCTGAGCTACAATTGTCACATTTGAAACCTTCAATAATTTCTGGTGCTGTAAGTTTTTTAAAACTATCCATTAAGGTTGTTTTTTTGTAAATCTTTTTTCCATCTTCCACATTTAAAACTTCATCTTCCAATGGAAGTGCAAGATTATCAATTGACTCATCTTTTAAAGATCCATATTTACAATTCAGGCAAATTACTTTATCTGCAAATAAGAAATTGAATTTTGAATTCAAGATTAAGCCAAAATTCTTATCCAAGCTTTCCATTAAATATAATAAGAATTCAAACGCATCTTGTTGTTTTGAAGTTTGAAACTCAGGGTGATTTTGACCAATTAAAGTTTTGAAAGTTGATGGTTTTATACCTATTTGATAATCTTCTCCTTTGATAGATCCAGATTTTGAATATCTTCCACTATATAGACCATCGTATATTTTTATCAATTGACTTTTCAAATCTTCAGCCGGGTTCTGAACATCGAAGTCAAATTCTAAATTTTCAAAATAACTTTTATATGGTTCCAAATCGAACAATGATTGAATTACCGAGTTTAAATAACAGGAATTACCCAAGTTTTGGAAACCAGTCAAGCTTTTACCATAAACTGGTTTTAATTTTTCATCATCTTTAAAATCCCAATTCATATTTTGATCTATATTCATTTCAATCAATGATTTTTCAGTTTTTACCGAGTCACTTAAATTAATACCATATTTTTGTAATATTGCAGATAAATTTGGAACTTTCACTTCGTCATTACATTGATAACAATATGCGTCACAACTATCTGGGTTAGATGATAGCGATCCTAATTTAAGAGCAACCGGATGCTGAGTCGATTCATAATGTTGCAATGCATGTCCATTACCATTCAATGATGATCCATATTGCTTTCTTCCACATCCTAATACTCCACAGTGCAAACATATCCATAAATTTTCTTTTAAATCACATTGACTGCATTGACCAAGATCAGGTTTCAAACTCGTTTCAAATTGTTGTACATCGACTGAATGCGGACATGGAACAATTTCTTGTTCCCACTGATGAATTTCATCATTTTTATTAGATGAATTTGCTTCTAAGATTTGTTCAATCAAATTATTAAAATCATTACTTATTTCATCTCTCCTATAATACTTATCTTCTTCCACATCATATACGGATATGTCAATGTTATAATAATCTTCATCCTTAACATTCTTGATTTCTAGTTTTGGTATTTTAGAATGCTTCTCACCATTGCCATCATATAATAACTTATCAATTTCTTCTCGAGGTTTCTTTGTTTTATTTATATTTAAGTAATATTTATTTCCCGTCTTTTCATAATTGTTAGCGGTGAAATTATAATCATTATTTCTTGAATATGCCTTATAAGTTTTCAAATCTATATCTAATCCTAATTCATTATTTTCTGGGGTATCAAATGTATACATGCAATCATCTTTATATATTTTAGAACCACTTGGTATCCTAGACGGTATATCACTAGGCAATTGTAAGGTCATATGCTATTTTTGTTATGCTATCGAGTAGTAAGATTTGGTGACAATGATAAATTAAAAAGTGTTGCCAATCTTGTCTTTTTTTTTTGGTCTCAATTCAATTTGACTGCAAAATTCAAATTCATATTTCAAACTGATTTATATGTGCCACAGATTAGTTCAAAATTTCCAAAATAGGCTTAATAATGTGCAAACACCGTTGTCTTTGAATCAATACGATAAAGGTAATTTGAAATTCAAATCGTGTGTATATTTTGCAAATTGGTCAGTATATGATAAAAAGCATTTTCCAACAAATATTCCTGCTGAATTATATACTCACATAAACTATGCATTTATAACAATCGATGAAAATTCGGGAAATTTAAAATTCACAGATACCTGGTGTGATTTAGAGATGGAAATACTCACTAACGGTGTGAAATGTAAAGGAAACTTACAACTGTTTTATCAATTGAAAAAGTCATATCGTAGTTTGAAACTAATAATGTCAATTGGAGGCTGGGGAACTTCTCACTTGTTCAATGCAATAATTTTAGATTCCAAGAAAATGTCGAATTTTGTTGATAGTGCAGTTGAATATGTAAAAGAATATGGATTTGATGGAATTGATATTGATTGGGAATTTTGTGGTGAACATCAAGGTTGGAAATATGTTGAATTGTTGAGAAATCTAAGAAGCAAATTACCTTCGAAGTTTAGTTTGACAGTGGCCGCTCCAGCTGGATTAGAACATATAAAATGTTTGAAAATAAGAGAAATGGATCAATATCTATCATTTTGGAATTTGATGTGTTATGATTTTTCAGGCAAAGCATGGTCCACCAAAACAGGCTATCACTCAAATTTATTTGGAAATAATGGAGATAATGATTTGAATGCCGCTGATGTTGTACAAATTTATTTGGAAAATGGAGTAATACCTTCGAAATTAGTATTAGGACAACCAATGTATGGAAGAGCATTTTACGGAACAGTTTCAAATTCAATTGGTAATACATTTAACAGAGATATTGAAGGGGAAGACACTATAGATTATAACAAAATATTAAGCGGAGATTTTGATCATAAAAAGGTTAGTGCATATTCATACGATCCTCAAACAGGATTGTTCATAGGTTTTGATAATCAACAAAGTGCGAAAATAAAGGGACAATTTGTTAAAGAAAAAGCGTTAGGAGGAGGAATGTGGTGGGAATCATCTGGAGATAAAACAGGAGAGGCTTCATTAGTTTTCAACTTTGTAAAACAGTTAGGTGGCATTGCAGCTTTAGAGAAGTCAGAGAATAATATATCTTATCCAGATAGTAAATATCTAAGAAACTTACAATAATTTGATTCAATATACAAACCAGATTGTTAAGTCGAAATCCAAGTGTAGTAAATTTCTCGTAATTATTTTCAGTTTTCTTTAAGGTGATCTAAAGAATAGAATCCATTCTAGCAAACACGCTCAAAACAGCAGCTATTAATTCCAATTGTAATTCACTTGCTGATGACTCTTCAATTTCGGAACTAACTTGCTGACCCAAATTTAGCCCTAGACCTAAAGGACTTTGATGTGATAAATTAAAAGGAAACTCACTGTAATCAGCTAAAATTTCGTCTGCTCTAGCAAATGCTTGATCTCTTTTGTCATAGTTTAATGATAATAAAACGTTTTCTAAAACATTTGCAGCATAAGACCCACTGACTAATGAAATTGATCTTAAATACTTGAATGAAACATCTTTTGGGAATTGGTCATTTGAAATGGTATCCAAGTCAACATTTCTCTGTATTAATAATGCCAATAATCGATTTTTTATATATTCTTTTGACAATTTATCTGCTATTGGATGAGTTGCCATGTCAAATAAAAAGAAATTTTTCCTCTCCGTTCTTAAAATGCCTTTGTCAACTAATCCCTTAGCCAACCTTTCTCTAACTTGTTTTAATTGATAATTAATTTTCATCAAATTCCAAGTTTCTCCACTTAATAAATCAATCCAATTTGTTACTGATAGATTTGATTCATCACTTTTCATAATTTTTAACGCTTCATCTAACAAAACCTCTCCAGTTGGTTCTGTATTTATGACTTCAACTAACCTATCACTTGGTTCGAATCTTCTTCTAGCTGGGTCATTGACCAAAGTTATTCTATTTCTAAACGTTAATTCTAATAATATACAACCTCTTAAAGCATATGAAATGTTATCATTCCAAAACGATAGATAGCCCTCTTTGTCTTTTAAACCAATTAAAAGAACTTCTTCCATTAATGTCAATAATGGTTGTTTCAACTCTCTATGGTCTTTTATATCCCTATCGTCATAACCTATTTTATGATCTGAATCGTTATTTTGTATATTTGAAGCTGAAGTAGAATTGTTACTGTAGTCTCTTTCATCGTCAAATGAATTAGAATTATTTGATTTCACCGTTGATTGTTTTGCACCACGACGTCTTTGTAATCCCGAGGTGGAAGACATTGTTATTTTTGTAAATGATTTCTAGTTTTTAGTTTATTTCTAATGAAAATAAATAGGCAGATAGTGAAGCAAAGTCTGAACAAACGGTATTTTGGCAACTGCTGTTATCTGTGAACACAAAATTCGAGTCAATTGAGCTATGATCGATCTACTTAGTTGTGTGAACTTATTTGGTTAAGATGAAATACCAGTGTTCTGATATTATTACTATTATGTGAAAGTTGTTCAACGATTTTGATTTTTGTACTGGAAAGTTAAATACGTGAAAAAAATGTGAAAGTAATAAATATTAGATACAATAGCAGTTTATATGTTAAAGAGTGGAAGATCATTCCTAAGCTTTAGCTAAGCAATTTCAGCCAGCAAACTCTAGAGTAAACACTATGGGAATCGGGTTAAATATTCCCAATTGAAACTATTTACACTCAAAATTGAAAGAGTAGGGAATTAATTAAAAATACATGGTAAAAAGACCTTATCAGAAGTATACTAAACTTTGACAGAAGTAAACGAAAGAACAGCTGACACATTCATTAAATGATATTTCCATTCTCTTTTCCCGATACTAATGTATTCGTATGACCATTATAATTATTTTTCGATCTTTGGGCACAACCATAATGAATAATTTCACCGTCTTTGGTGACACTCAAATAACTATAACCCAATCTTTCTTCACATACAGCGCAAAGCTGTTTACTTGAGCTAAGTTTGTAACCTTCATTTTGTAAATTCAAAACTTTTGACTCTAAATTTTTGGAACCAATCTTGTATAATTGAGAATTAATTTTGGAATCATTCAATTTTTGGTTAAGATTATTTAGTAATAAATTCAAAAATGGTTTTAATTTATATAATGGAAAGTTTGTGGGTAACGTATTGAAGACTCTCTGAGTTGACATTTTAGTTCCATGTTGAGTCAAAAGTTTTGATATATCGTCGACGTTATTTTCACTATTAACCAACAAATCCTCCATCAACTTATGAAATAAATTAATACCAATGGTTTTACCGTTTGGTTGCTTAAACATCTGGTCACAATAATCCATTGCAGCATCTAGATCGTTCAATTGATTATATAGAACATCAATCGATTTTTCATGTTCTCTTAATTTTTTGTATGTAAATACAGTCAATCTCAAAAACTTGTCATCATTTGTAGGCATTTCCTTCAACACCGGCCATGGATCGAATGATTCACTTGTCAGTAGTAGGTGATATAAATCTTTGTAGTACTGATCTTCATTCACTTTATTTATGATTTGCTGAATATATAGTAAACATAATTTAGTTTCAAATTTTCCAAATTGACTACCTCTTTTAAGTTTATCTTTGACATCACTTTTGTATAACAACCAGTTCAAATAATTAATTGCAAGACCAAAGCTTTTTCGCAGAATTAAAAAGTGCAACACCTTACCATGATCGTAATTTTCACATTCGAATGAGTCATTCATTAATATCTGTGAACAATATTTTTCGTTATCATCTAGTACCCAGTCCGTATATTGCAAAATCAACGAAAGATTCTCGTTAGTTAATTTTTGAAGGTATCGTATTGTTAATGATGGACTTCTAACAAAATCATCTTCAAAATTATCTTCTTCATTTGAATGCTCAATCGACGACTTATCGTGTGCTAACTTATATAGCATTTCCAATGCTTCTTTATGCAAACCTCTTCCATAATAAAAATCTAACAACTCTCTTATAAAATTTGGTTGTCTTAAATTTCTCTGCTGAACATGGTTATGGATGTTGCTCATTAAACATCGATTCACAGTTTTTGAATCACAATGATTATTCGGTATTCTCAACAACGGCCCTAGTAACATTGGTTTACAGTAAAAATAGCACAAGAATAAGGTAGTATCAATGATTGTTGCAACCTCCTCAAGTTGATCTTCAAAAGGTGGGTATATATCACCTGGTTCTATCTCAACATCTTTCCATAGTATCCTAGGTTTATTGAAAAATTGTAACAATATCCTTCTTTGCTCAGTTAAATAAATGATCAAGTTATTTACAGCTTTTATGAATCTTCTAACGTTTATTGGGATCTTTTTGTTTGTTGACGAAGTTCGAGATTTACGAGTCGTTAAATCCGTTTCATATTCAGACTCAGACAATGTGCTTAATTTTAACTCTTCTTCCGATATTTTTTTCACAGGATTAAGCGATGTATAGTTTTGAGGTTTGTTGATTGATTTATCTTCGTTATGCACCACATACTCACCATTTAAAAAATCAGGAAATAAAGCAAGCACGTCACGAAATGAAAGAATCCACTCGCATCCTATCTCTACTAATGCCTCATGATACTTCGAATATGTTAAGAACAAATGAGTTGCTTTCAACTTGTACAAATCCCTCAAATTTAATTCTTTTGATTTCTCTCCGTCAAATATATCATTTTCCGCACTAACTTTTAAATTTGAAACAAGATATATAGCTTTATTCATACCACTTAATTTCAAATCGTTATTTGGATCTCTAAGATTACCATTCGAGGCTTTGCTACCAACATTTAAGTATTGAGTGACTTGATTATGGAAAGGTACTATATTAAACTGAAAAACATTCAGTCCAGATGCTAAGCTTACTATGAATCCATTGCTTTCAGAAAAAATCTGGTTTGAATTTATGCTATGCTGAAATTTTTGAATCACCGACCCTTCTTTAATGTCTAAAATTTCAATTTTCTTTGGATAAGTGACTGCTAAGTATATGGGATATATGAAATTGATCGCTAGCGGAACAGTTGTAAGTTTTAAATTTGAAGGTTTGACCTCAATGGGTTCTTTTGTTAAAGATACAACTGTCGTATCTTTCACTAACAACATTTCGTATTCGTTGATTGGGATAGTCCAAACCAGTGGACCCGTCGTTGATAACCCGAAATACGAAAAAGATGTCCCGTAATTGAAAAATTCCAGATCTTTGATACTTGATAAGGCTATTGGAGTAAAAGTATCTAGATTCACAAGCCAATATTCATTGTCCACACCAATTATAATATTTTCGTCATTAAATTTGTTGATTGTTCGTACTCTATCTTTCAATGATAAGTCTTTAAATTTATTGAATTGAAGTACATTTCTGGATTTATTTGTGATTTTGAAGATTAATAACCTCTTTTTGACTCCAACAAGTAATAGTCGATCCCTGTTATGTTCGATATATAACACATCTCTACAATTTGACTCTTCAAGGGTGAATATTAAATTTATGTGACTTCCTACAATTTCAAAAATTTTTAAACAAGTGGGACTAATAATCAATACTATGGTTTTGTGAACTGTTTGTGATGAAGTGAATGGCAAGATCTTGATACTTTGAATGCTAGAACTATCTCCAAATAAGTTATCAAATGAGTGAGTTAGTTCATAATCATGCTTCTCGTTGAATAAATGTCTTGGATCATGGAAAGATTTAAATGACCTGATGGATTTGGAAGCCAGCGATTGAATAGTTTCGGGGAATGTCTTGGTGGTATGACGATCTATTTCAATTTCATTTGTAGATGCTGGTTGTGAGGATATTTTGTATATTAATAAATTTCCTTTACTACTTCCAATGTATAGTTCGTCTTCAAATTGAAAGAAACTTGATATTTTGTTATTATTGCTAGCTCGTAATGGCTCTACTCGAATCCTTTTGGCAGGTTCAATTATATCTATGTTCATTTCATTGTATTGTGATGTTTATGATACTTTGTATCTGAAATACATGTCAAAGTGAGATTAAAGCGCTTAAACTACATTTACTATATTTTGGTAGCATTATCATATATTACTATTATGATTAATTATCTATTTAATAAAATTGATAGTGCTAGAACAATATTTAACAATTTCATCTATTTTATTGTTCAATTTGTCATTAACTGAAACGTATTCATTGATCATTGCATGTAAATCTTCTTCTTGATCATATTGGTGCAAAACGTCACCATGAATTTTCAAAAACATCGAAAAAATAGTCTCAATAATTTCAAAATTCTGATTACTTTTCAAAGCATATACTAAGGATCCTATAAAATTAGTCATTTCAGTCAAAGGTGGATTTGAGTTCAAAGATCTTATCTCAAGATCTAATTTAGCTGGTGGAAGTTGAATTAAATACTTGACAAATATTTCATAATTTTGTGTCTCACCTGCTTCCCTTAATAATTTTGTGAATTCACTTTCAAATGCATAATTAGGCTTTTTATTCAACAAACCCAAATTGCTTGAATCCTCTGACTTCTCTTGTGAGCCATTGACTTTTGCACCTTCAGCGACAGAAGCTCTATCCCCTACGGCTTCACCAGACAAATTCAAAAAAAATGGAGCTTTTTCTGGTTTCTTAATTGCTTCTCTTGGTTTGTTGTTTTGTTTTATAGTATCCAAATGTAATAAAGTATTGAATTTAGTTCTTGGGCCAGTAGATAAAGTTATCAATCTATCATCGATTTGATTGCTTGATTGGAAATTACCAAAAAAGGAATCTTGATCTTCTTCATTTTCATCCAATGCTCCTTCTAATAAAGTTGAACCTCCATCACCAGATGCGTTAGGCAATAATATTGTTGAAAATTCGTTTTCTTCTATATGTCTAGTTGATATTGGTTTAAATTGAGCTCTGTTGGTCCACAATGAAATTCCATTTCCGGAAACGTGAGTAGTCGCTATTAGATCCCCAATCGGTGAAAATTTAACAGATGTAGCAACAATGGGTAAAATCACACCATCAATACAACCTCCAGTTGGTAAATCCCAAGTTCTTAAAGTTGAATCCAAACCAACTGAAACTAACCATCTCCCATCGGGTGAAAAATCTAAACCTGAAATTCGATTTGAATGTCCAACAAGGACTCTTACAATTTTTTGGGTAGTCACGTCAATAACAACGATTGACAAATCATCTAACGCACATGCAACTAAATCTGAAGATTTATGATAAACCATTGAAGTTACCGGAGCGTCTAATTGTAGTTTACCTAAATATTTCGATTTCCCAAAATCATAGAATCCAATAATACCATCTAGACCACAACTTATCATTTTTCTATTCATTCCATCAATTGCCAACCCTGTAACTGCTTGTTTATGTAATACATACTTTTTTCTTAATATACCAGATTGTAAATTGTAAACACCAATTCCACCAAATGAAGATCCCACAAGTCCAAAATTTCCACATTGTGAAATACATACAGACTTACACATACCTTGATCAATAGTATTCAAAACAGTCTTCCCAACTCTTTTAGTCGAAGAATCCCATGTTCTTGCAAATGGCTCATCTTTATGTGCTGTTATTATATTTTCCCAATCTCCAGTTCGAGAATCAGAAGAAGTTATAGCTATTATTTCAGGGAATTTTTCTTTCAAAGATGCTACTTGACCTGCCTGTCGTTTTCCATCTTTTGATTTATGCAATCTTTGTGAAAATTCTTGTGCTTGTGCATCTTTTCTTAAAGAAAAACTCCAAAATGATCTATCTCTTGATGCACTCAAAATGAAATGTGTCTTATCTTCATTAGGAAAATTTATTGCCAATGGTGGTGCTGAATGTCCACCTCTGGATCTTAAATGACGTGGAGGTGATATTATGGAAGAATTGGTTGAAGTTAGGCTTGGATCAAATACAAACTCTTTCAAGTGATTATCTCCACCATTTGTGACTACTATCGGCTGTCCATTCAAAAACTGAGCTTTAGAAACACCACCATGAGCTTCTCGATGTGCGTTCCTCAAAATATGAACTCTTTGATTTTTATCAAGATCGTGGAAATATAGATCTCCATTGTTTAAACTTGCAACTAAATGTGGTGACCCATCAGTTCTAAATGAAATTGAGGTTACTTTGATAGATGCCTCAGATCCAGACGTTGCAATTTTATCACCTATTATTGAACCTTTTTTCAAATTGTACAAGATGACATTTCCTGACGAAGTTCCTAACGCTATCACATCCAAAACAGGTGCAAACTCAATGCATGATATACTTTCATCACCAAATTGATGAGGCGATGATTTAAATAATATTTTTCCAGTACGAACATTTATGATAAATACTGAACTGGAAGTGGCGACCACAATTTTATTTAAATATGTAGGAGGATGAATAAGTCCCACTATTTCACCTTCAACATCTACATTTATTTCATCTATAACTGAGTGCAATACCGTTGGATAACTCATTTTTGGTAACTTTTTGAACGTAAATATTTCTCCGGTTGAACTAGTTGCAACAAGATATTCACCAAAGTAACACATATGATTTATTACACCATTTGTATCACATTTTAAACTATACTCTAGTCTACCTCTTTTATATATTCCAATTTCTTTCCCATTAGCTGCAAAAATGTAATGGTAATGAGTTGCTAAACATGATATTTTGAAATCAGTTTGAGTCTGTGAAACAAATAATAAATGTAATGTAGCTATATCATATATTTGAAAAGATCTCCCGACAGATGTGACTACGTAAAATGTTGATCCTAAATTTCCAATTGCAAATGGAGTTGAATCTGTGACATTCCCAAGAACTCTGAAAGGACTAAATATTTTTGATGGTCTTGATTGTTTCTGGGATTCATTAGCACCGTTTAGTTTTTGTCTCTTCTCAATGACTTCGACCATTGTTCACTGTCGAGTTATGTGATTGAAAATATAAAGGGTTTTAATATTTGATTAAGATGTGCATCGTAAATTTATTTTCAACGCGAGATGATTTTCATTATTGCAAAAAAATCGAGCTTGGTTTAAAGAAAGTATTGAAAATACCATAATGACTATCCAGGAAAAACGACCTTTGGAAGAAGCGACAGCTTTAGCTGAGGAATCAAAACGACCAAATACCTCATCCTATATAAAAGGAGTAGCAGCAATCAAACCACAATATATTGTTCCATCCTCTTCAATAACAGAAAATATAATAGAATATGATGATGATGAAGCAGAAGCAGGAGATAAAGTTCAACAAAATGGAAATGGAAACCATAGAGGAGGTAAGCAAAATAAGAAACAAAGAGGTCAGAATAAAAACAGAGAAATTCGACAAAGAAAAGAAGCAATCAGATTATGTGCTTCATTGATTGATCCATCTGATGAATCAAGACCATGTTTAGCAGGAGAGGGTAGAGAGTGTAAGTTTTCACATAATTTGGATGAATACTTGGCTTCCAAACAAGAAGATATTGAAGGAACATGTCCAGTTTTTGAAGTTTTGGGTTACTGTCCAGCAGGAATGAAATGTAGATGGTTATATTCACATTATAATAAAGAGGTTAAAGAATTAGTTAAAGATCTAGAGAAAATTGCAATATCCAAAAAATCAAATTATGAAGTCAATAATATAAACAAACAAGATAAAATAGCAATGCTGAAAAAGAAGTACGAATTTAAGACGGCCAATACAGTGATAGATCATCTTGAATCAACAATAAAGAAAGACACTACCGATCCCAAAGAACAGAGAAAAGATAATAAAGCAACTTATGTGGATGCCCCTTACAAAATATCCGAGAAAAAGAAGATTAATCTTAATAGAGCTAAGATTGTTTCTCCATTAACAACGGTAGGGAATTTACCGTATCGTCGTTTAATGAAAACTTTGGGAGCAGATGTAACATACTCAGAAATGGCTTTATCAGTGCCGTTGGTACAAGGGCATCAACCTGAATGGGCATTACCAAAAGCCCACATCAGCGAATACCCAGGTTTTGGAGTGCAAATTGCAAGTTCCAAAATATGGTCAGCAGCAAAAGCTGCTGAAGCAATTTATAGAAATACTACCCATGTTAGTGAATTGAATTTAAATTGTGGTTGCCCGATTGATTTGTTATACAAGCAAGGTCAAGGTTCGGCATTATTGGATCAACCACCCAGGTTATTAAGGATAGTGAAAGCAATGAACGCATCATCCGGTGATATACCGGTAACTATTAAAATCAGAACAGGTGTGAAAGAGAATAAAAATACTGCCAAAAGTTTAGTTCAGAGAGTCTTATCAGAAAACCAAGTTGCTGCAATAACATTACACGGCAGATCCAGACAACAAAGATATACAAAAGAAGCTGATTGGAATTATATTGCAGAAGTTGGTAAGGTTGTTTCGGAATGGAATAATAAAAAAGAGGAAGATAAGGAGTTAAGCGATCCTGCTAATCCTACGTGGTTTGTTGGAAATGGAGATGTTTATACACATGAGGATTGGTATAATGGAGTTAACACAGAGGGAATAGATTCGGTCATGGTTGCAAGGGGGGCATTGATTAAACCATGGATATTTGAAGAAGTAGATGCACAACAATATTTAGACAAATCAGCATCAGAAAGATTGGCAATGTATGAAAAATTTGCTAAATTTGCGATAGAACATTGGGGTTCTGATGAATATGGGGTTGCAACGGCAAGAAGATTTATGTGTGAATTCTTGAGTTTTACTCATAGATATATTCCGGTTGGGATAATGGAAAGATTACCGCCAAAATTAAATGAGAGACCACCGAAATGGGTTGGAAGAAGTGATTTAGAGACAATGTTAGCTTCAGGTGATTATAGAGATTGGATAAAAACTACTGAAATGTTTTTAGGTAAAGCTGGTGACGATTTTGCTTTTACACCGAAACATAAAAGTAATTCCTACGATAACAAAGAATAGCTGCACATTTTGCATTTTTAATAAATATATATATAGTTGTTAATGCATGGTGATATACAGGGATAGTGAGTAATTATGTGACCAAGCTTATGTTCTAATCTTTAATTCCGATACTTCATCATAATCTTTGTTTAAACTAGAAGCTTGATTTTTCAATAATTCTAAAGTTTCATCTTTTTCAGCCAATTGAGCTCTTAATTTTTCGAGCTCTTCATTATCACCATCTGATACAGCTTTTACATTGCTAGACTCTTCATGTTTCAATTCATCCACTTTATCTTTAGTTGCAATTAATTCTACAACTAAATTATAAGTTCGAGTTAAAATTAATGTTAAAAATAAAGTGAATCCACACAAATACATGTTTCTTTGTGCATAAAATCTTCTAGCTTGAATTTCTGATCTATCATTCATTATAGAAGAACCAGGATGAGCCTGAGTAGCAGAATGTAATTCAGTAGTGACTGCATATACTCTGTTGACTGAATCAATGAACAATACAGCAACAAAACCTAAAACACATTTTAATGCGATTTGAAATTGTTCATTTCTGAAAGGTGCTGATACTGTTTGTAAAATAGATCTTCTTACTTTTCTTGGATATGGTAATGAAAGTATTCCAAAGAATACCATTTCAATGACTAACAAACCAAATACTAAATTGTAATATAATGCCATTTTTTATATCTGTGAGTAAAATTTGAGGTGTGGTTTAATCAATTGAGTTATTTAATATGCTTGAATAGTATCAATTGATTGAAATAAATAAATTATAAGTTGTATAGAAAAGTGATATAAAATTTATTTAAGTATCACACTTTGCTAATGTTAATTGAAATATGTCCCTTTATATATATTTTATGAGGCTTTTACCTAATTCAGAAATTAAATAAAGACACCGATATAACTTAAGATTGCTTTTTCCATTGGTGAAAAATTTCAAGTTGGAATGTACTTAATATGCAAACGACGATAAATTAAGGTTTAGTCAAAGCACGAAAAACTTATAGTGAGTCAAAATTATATGTTATTGATTAAATTAGTTAGTGATAGGTTTCAAATTAAAGAGAGTTTCAGACGAAATAGTCCGAATTTGATCTTTGCAATTGTTTCATAGTCAATATTTGCATTAAGACTATCGAATTATGACAACATTATCAAAGTTGTTCCTGACCAAGCTTTTCTTGAAAAAGATGTATTTGTAGCTTATGTATAGTTCTGCTTTACAAGATTAAATCCTATTTAGTTAAATATTTAGGCTGCAAAACGCGTTTATATCAAAACAAATTTTCTTTTCTACTGTATGATCTGAAACATAATTTCAAATTATTTTACATCAATCACAATTCAAAAAATAAATCATGAATAAATGAATCAATCTGGTAATTGGGACAACTCCACTTCAAGCCAAAGTTTGAATAATAATAGTATAAACGTGGACTCAAATATAATAACTTCAAGTACAATCGAACCAACCAATGTGAATGATCAAAGACGGCAAATATCTTCAGATCAAACTCCACAATCGAACATTAATGCTTCTTCTATAATAAACAACGACACAGGTACTGTGAATAGTAGTAGTCAGTCTATTGATACTTCACATAGATTTTATGATTTAATTCATGATCATACAACTCAACTCGAAGTACAAATGCAACCACAATTTACGACTGAGGAAATTCATAATTCAATGAATAATGGAAGGAATTCTTCTTTCTCGAGCAGTAACTTCGAAGAACCACACAATTTAAGACATACGACTAATGATTTCATGCAATTAATTAATGAAGATGACGAGCTCGAAAATGATGAAAGATTACAAGAAACTTTAGAAAGAAACCCTCATCATGCAAGTAGCTTTACTGTTGAACCGGACGATGAGGACAATGTTGATGATGATAATGATGATGATGACTTTTATGGGGAGGATGATGATGAAGATAGTTCAAATGATGTCGAAGAAGATTCGGATGATTTTGAAGCGATTGATCATGATATGATAAGTCATGGAACTACAACTAGTAATATCTACCATCAAAGAAGTACGGGTCAATTAGAAGAAGATGAAGTCATGGACGAAGATGAAGATGATAATGGAGAGGGTGATGAAGATGATGAGGATTTGGAAGAGTTGATACCAGAAGAAGAAAACAACACTGGCTCGTCACAACCAAGTCTAGAACAAATCCAAAAGGTGTACTACACAAGAGGTTTACAAGAATTGGAAGCTCTACAATTGGTTGACTTATCACAATTAGCGACCTGGAAACTCTCTTCTTATAAACAAGGATGTGGACTAGCTCAGCTAAGGGAGGATAATCCTGAAACATATTGGCAAAGTGATGGTAGTAACGGTGGGAACAATACAAACCCAAACAGTTCAAACTTAGTCAATAATCATTTAAGCAATCCACATTCAGTTACAATTCAATTCATAAAAAAAGTTTCTTTAGAAAGAATCTCAATTTTTACAAACTACAGTTTGGATGAAAGTTATACACCCAGCAAGATCAAAATTATGGCTGGTTCAAGTGAAGGGTGGGATTTAATTGAAGTTTGTACAGTTAATTTCAATCAACCAATTGGTTGGTCTCATATAATTTTCAATGGAATGAGAAAAGATGCAGTTTTGAAATGTTTCATGATAAAAATTTTCATACTTGCTAATCATCAAGAAGGTAAAGATAGTCATATTAGAGCAATTAGATGTTTCGGTAGGAAAAATCAGCCTCAAAGGAGTTTGAGAAACGATTTCGATAGTCGAGGAATAATTGAGCATCTGGATATGCTCAAAGATTTAAGCTTGGCAAGTGGTTCTAGAAGTTTATCTGGTATTTCTTTAAATCAAAGGGTCTTATCTTGCAGCACGAATAAAGATGATCGTGAACCGATGGAAGCTGAAGAGGAGCGAGAAGAGGAGGACAACTTTGATGATGACAATTCAAAATTGGATCCAGAAACGTCTAGAATATTACAAAATGTTAACGATGTTATTAGAAACAATGAAGGATTTCGAAGTATTGAATTAACCAGTGTATCTTCGATACGATGATGTATGATTCATATGATTTTATATCTTTTTAAGTTTAAACATCGATTTTCAAAGAGTAATCGACTATACTTGTTCCTTGATGAATTGATGAAGTCGAGTAAATATCAATGTCGTTACATAGATAACTGCTTAAATTTTGAAGAGTCAAACCACCTGAGCATTCTAACAAAAACGATTTATCACTTCCTTTGTAGTGCTTCTTTAAAGATTGAGCAACTTTTCTTAACTCTTCACCTTTGAAATTATCCAACATTATAACATCCGCTCCAGCATCTATGGCTTCTCGAGCATCTTGTTCAGAACTAACTTCAACTTCGATTTTAACAGCGAATCCACAAACTGTTTTAGCTTTAGCGACTGCTTGAGTGATTGACCCAGTAGAAGCAATATGATTATCTTTTAACATTACCATTGAACTTAAATCGTATCTATGAGTATCTACTCCTCCCACTAACATTGCATATTTCTCAATCAATCTCAAACCTGGGGTTGTTTTTCTTGTTCCTGCGATTAATCCTGTATAACCATTTTCATCCGCTAGCTTTTTAGTGATATATGATTGCGTAGCTATTCCAGAGGCTCTTGCTAACAAATTTAATGCAGTTCTTTCAGCTAATAAAATATTTCTAGCTTGACCACTCACCGTTGCGACGACTATTTTACCATTATTTTTATTCAACTGTTCTTGAGTCACATAAGTTTTTTCTTCATAATTCCATTTAACTTGTAGATTACATTGTTTGAAAACTTCAGCAGCAAATGGAATACCACATATTAAACCTTCTTGTTTCATATATAATGAGCCAGTTTCTTCTTTTGAACCAACCACAAAACCACCAAAATCAAAGGAAGGGACATCCTCTGATAAGAAAGCTGTTATTTGTTGTTTCCATTGACCACTTTCTGGTAATAAATTAGCATACGCGGACATTTTTGAAATATGTTGTGAGCTTTTTGTATGGTGAAAAATTTAATATCTGGGGAAAAGAAAAAGTAAATAATCTCAAGCATGATTTGAATTTACGAGAATTTGACTTTGTGAAATTTTTAATTCATCAAATTTATTCAGACGAGTACCAATAACAATCGAGTCAGTGCTATTAAAATCAGCTCATCTACTACAACATGACATGGCTATTAAAACCTTAAATACAGTCGCTAATAAAGAGAAAGTTCAGTCGATCTTGACTTTTAATAATGACTTCAAAAAAACCACAACATGTACAATATGTGAAATGATATATAATACTAAAATTCCAGCAGACGTTGAAGTACACAAAAAATATCATTTGGAGTTTACTAATGGAATAAGTTGGCCAAGTACATTGATGTCACTGGAAGCGGTTACTTTCAATCTTATTCGTCATAACTCAAAACCTCAGACAGGCAAGTTGAATTTAGTTAGAAATCAGAACAGTATACAGGTTACAATTCAGACAATTGACAAGAGTAACAAAAGACAGATTGGCAAGATCGAGAAGCTTTTGAATATGGTAAATCAAGAACTAGATGCTAGTGATGATTCCAAGCAATGGCGAGATTCAAATTTTGAAAGAAGTAAAGCCTTTGTAGTGATTATAAATAATAAAGCTATGGGACTATGTACAACAGATACCGTGAATGAAGGAAAATGGATGATCTTCAAAAATCAAAAAATTGTACCCAATCAACAAATTTCTGGAATTAAAATCGGAATCTCTAGGATTTGGATTTCACCAAAATGGAGAAGATTAGGATTAGGTTTGAAATTATTAAATTATGTTTGTGAAAACTCAATCTATGGTCAAAGACTTCAAAGTGGTCAAATTGCTTTCAGTCAACCTAGCTCTGCTGGTGGTAAATTGGCAAAATCATTTAATGGGGTAAAGCACAAAAGTGGTGAGATTCTAATACCAGTCTATTTATAATAATTAATACATGATCTAATCCAATCTAAACATAGTTTGACCTCCAGCTGCATTTACGATATTTTCAACATATTCATAAACAGTTGCAGTCATACCACTACTTATCAAAACTTTTAAAAATCTAGGTAAAGCACCTTTGAACATTGACAATGGACCCTGGGTTAAAAATAATTTGTAAGCTGTAGTCAACGAATCTCTATAAATTTTTTTACCATTCTTCAGTTGTAAATGAGTCTTGATCACATCTAAAGGTTGAGTTATTGCTATAACTGCCACCGATGACATCGCATGCATCCCGATTGAAGTTATCATGGAATAGTCGTGAGTGGCCCAAACATTTTCGTTTTGATGTGGATTGATTAATTGGCGCATGAAGTTGTATGATGAGAACCATACCCATGATAAAGCAATTTGTCTGGTATATGTTACAAAAGTACCAGCTGTATATGCTTTTATACCTTTCAACCTATACATTTCTTTTATCGTACCAAATAAAGTCAATGACGGATGTTTATTATAATATGCTTTCAAATTTTCGATATGTAGTCTCTCTTTTGCCTTTGGTGGTTGAAATCTATTCTTATGATTTTTGATTGAGTCTATTATTTCATCAGAGTAGTAAGCATTAGGTGAGACGTATTGTCTTAAGTATAATGGCTTATTAGATAGTTTATTGTGGTGATGTTGATATAATTGATTTGACTTTGATCCAGTTATGTCGTAACCCAAATCTTTTGTTCTAACTAGTTCATTTTGTAAAGACTGGTTTTGAATCATTGTAATTTTGATATTTTCAAAAGGAACAATCCAAGCAGTTTCAATAGTTGCACTCATAATCCCAGCAATGACAATCCTTGGTGCGGTAGTTTTATTGGTTTGTCCATGATGAGAATCAATTGCCATAAATTGACTTGCCCAATTATATGAAATTAATCTAGTTCCGTTTTTTATTATTTCACCAAGCACCAAAGCACTTCCACCTTTATACATTTGACCTAAAGTACTAGGATAGTTCCCCGGTATGTTCCATTTTTTCATATATGCATCTTTATTTATTTGTTGTTGAGTTTTGATGAAATCAAATGGATAAGTCAAAGTTGCAGTGACTGCTGCTGCTGTACATCCCGAAACCAATGCAACTAATAAATTCTCACCATTGTTTGAACTCTGTTTCTTTGAAGGCAATGATAAGCCCAAATCAGAGTCGGACTTTGTTTTGGCCATTAATCTTATAATGCTATTACTGTTTTTTAGCAATATCTTTAGCAACAATCGATTAAATTTGAATATACAGTATTGAAACGGGAAATATTAATTGGTAGCTAGAATCATTTAATGGATCAAACACAAAACTGAAAATTTAAATCATAACAAACCTTTTTAAAAGCAGATCGTTTTAGATATCTATACGGATATTTGCAAAGAGCATCAAGTTTCAGAAATTAGATTTGGGATCGATGTGCATTGCGCTATGATACACAATAATCAAAAAAGTTCTAAAATTGACAATCTACCGACCTTGAACACAAGTACTTTACAACCATCACCATTAATAGGTCATAATTCAGTATCACCAAATAAACCAAACATACAATCACCATCTCGATATAACGTATCACTACCGGCCCATGAGCCAGCATTGACTAATATTTCAAATAAAAGACCAAGAAGTTCTTCACAAAGGAAACCTTCACCCACTTCAAGACAATCCTCAAGACAATCCACATCAAATACTCAACCTACATTAAATTCATTAGTAAAACAGATACCTAAACATATTATGCAAAATCAGTCCTCTGTCATCACCGAACTGGGTGAGAAATATTTCAGATCAACTTATAGAGGAGCAGTAACACTTGAGTATTTAAAATTCCTTTGTAAAGTTGCAACTTTTCATGAAAGTAAGACGAACAAACATAAGAAAAGAAAGATAGACAAAAATACAGACGTTAACCAAAAACTCGATATTGAACCTCAAAATGTTGTTGCTGACCAAACATTACAACCAGGCTTCATCACAAATGAGGAAAGCAACAAACTGGACAATGAGCGTATCATGAAGCAAGACTCACCTTCTTTGTCTTCCTCACACAATTCACAGGTCGAAACACCAACAATGAAAGACAATAACCTGCATTTTGACAGTTTGGCCCCAACCACTTCAACGGACACGGACACTAGGGAAGCTCTTTCGACTCAAAGGCCACATTCAACAGATACTCAACCGATTATACCAGATTCAATTGATACTACACTAAAAGCACATGCTCCAAGACCTGTTTCTTATTTGCAAAAAATACTTTTATCCCAAAAAGCAAAATTATATACTGAAGAAGATTCTGCAAACAATCCAAGTTTTAATGATGTGAATTTAAATGATGCAAACAACTCCACGTATTCGTATTCACAGACATCCCAAAATTTATTTTCAAGTGCCGATAATTCAAAACTGAGTCAATCAACAGAATATAGTGTATTATTCAGTCAAGATGCTTTTGAGTATAATCATCAATTTTCAAGTCAAAGTTCAATTAAACAAAGACATTTCAAACGGCCAACATTTTTTATTAAAGAAGATGAGCCCAGTGAGAGCTCTCCAGGGATTAAAGACTTAGATCATGCTATTGTCGACAATAAACTTAGTGGTATCAACGAAATAACAAAGGAGTCCATTGAATCGGAAAATTTGCAAAGTGATGGAATCCTTCAGGAAAATACTTTATCGTCAGTTAATAATAATACTACTACCGCAAATGCAGCTCCAAACACAAATACGGAGCCCGTTGTACATGAAAGTCAAGCATCTCAGGAGATACAAGTACCTGAACAAACTCAAACTCAAGATCATGATCTGGACGTCGATGAACCTCGAAAACACCATTCCAATGTTACTGAAAATCTGGTTTTGAATTATGCTTCTTCCCAGCAAGAGAATGATATAATTGCACCCAACGAGTCATTTGAACAAAATGAAATAATGGGTGAACAATCTGAGAAAGATGATGCAGCTGAAATTAGTAGTGAAGAATTATTTGTTAAAGATCTTGACGATGATACTGGTGAATCAAAATCGGCTACTCCATTGATGGATAAAGGTGTTTCGGAATTGGAACAAACAAATAAAGTTTCAATATCAAGAGAAGAAAATGAGATTTCGACGAGTGGTGAATTGGAAGACAACTCATTCGAGGAAAAAATTCGTCACGTTGAAGATCAAGAAGTCAAAAATGGATCCTTTGCGGAGGCTTTCATGCTTAATTCGAAATCAAAAGAGACAGAGAATGATTCAACAGGTGATCAAGCTGTATCAAATAATGAAGAAGAAAACCTGAATGGTATGGTGAGTTCAATAGATTTGTCGGATATAAAATCAGCGGAATCTAGTAATTTGACAGCTGAGTCTAACAATGAAATTTCGGCATCTGCTCCAGCGGAGGAAGAATCGATTGATCCTAATACATTGAATGAAAATCAAGCTGAATCTGCCACAATTGGATCAGACAAGTCAGCAGTTACATCAACTAATGTAGAGGTTATCAGCGATAACTTGAGATCCACAAAATCAAATGAAGACAGTGAGGATAATAATGAGGAAATTGTCACCGTCAATTCAGAAGCAATGGATTCATATGTAGACGCAATCAAAAGTCCAGATGAAAATGAAAAAGATAATGAGGATAATGAACTCGATACAAATATCGATTCTGTCGATCATGAAATGGAGGAGGCAGAACCAGCGCCTCTTGAATCTGATTATACGAGAAAAAATGCTGATATTGAAAGCCATCAAATTGATTCGGATGAGTTGGAGTTTAATTCAAGGAATGAACCATCTGGTGCTGAAGCCCAAAGCGAGGTTATAGTACTTACATCTAAAGATAGTGATGATGAAATAATTAAGAGTGCTGAGCCAATTCCGAATAAAGTTGATGATAATACCGGGACAGATATTTCCATTGCAGGTGAAGAGGAAAGTAATTCTGGTTGGAACAAAGAAAGTGCCGAAAGTATTGAAGAAGTCAAAGAGGTTGAAGGAGAAAAGCCAGGAAACATCGAGACTGTTATGGAAGATAATCAAGAAAAAGATGATGAACCTCAATCAGATGAAGTTAGCCTTAACAAGGGCAAAGCCTCTCATGTCGAGGAAGAGATAGACGGTGCTCAAGAAATTTCAATTCTAAAACCGGTTGCAGTTGCTGCCGATGATGAAAAAGTCCCAGATAAAGAGCAAATTATGGATGATTCGAGTAATGGATCCAATGATTCAATAGACTACAAAATTGTTGCCGACGATATTAGAGAACTTGTCAGAAACATAAATAATCAGAATGATGTCAATGGTACTGATGAAAGCGAAAACAGTCTGGACTTACCTGAAAATATCATCAATATACTTCAATCAAAATCAAATACGTTCCTTCAAAATCTAATGAACGATTTGAAAATGTATGCATATTCACGAGATTCAACAGAGGTAGACATGTCTGACGTATTTTTATATTTGAAAAATATTAACTTTGCCGGTAATAATGATTCAAATAGTGATGTCGAAAAGATTTCAGAGTTGGCACAAAAAAATCTACCATTTGAATTGTTAGTCGAGATTGATCAAAGTATTTGTCGAACTATTGCCTTGTTGGGTGAAGAAGAAATTGATGAAGACATGCTCGAAAACTCAAGTGAAAAAAAATGATATGTGAATTTTAAATACATATATACATGATAATGTTACATTTTATATAATAATTACTCTCTAACCTGATTGTATGTTGGCTGATGTCAAGTGTCTATGGGTTTTAATCAATTTTAAAAGCTCAAAGATAGTTGTCGGAGTTATACCTTGTATTCTACGAGCTTGACCTATTGTTTGAGGTTGAATAGTATTTAAAATTGAACAAGCTTCATATGAGATCTTCAAATTACCTTCATTAGTATAATTGAAATTTGTAGGTAGTAATAAATTTTCGTCTGCTTCATATGCATTTAAATGACTTTTCTCTTTAAACATGAATGGCTCATAATCACTTTCAACGTCTATACGATTTTTCAATCTTCTTGTTAAATTTTGATAAAACTCAGGGACTCCGTCAACAAATTTGTCAATATGTGGTAACAAATTATTTATTGAAACTCCTTTGTACGATAAAAGTTTCCAACCGTCAACATGAGTTGATGATTTCAAATCAGTAGTAGCTCCTGATAAAACAGGGGACCATGTTTTCCCAGACAACTTCAAACTTTTCAAATGATTCTTGATGTTTATAAATTGATTATACTCATTTTCAAAGTGTTTATATCTCTTTTCACCAACTACTCCCAAATCATAACCCAATTTAGTAAGTCTAATATCCGCGTTATCTGATCTAATAGACACCCTAAATTCAGACCTTGATGTAAACATTCTATATGGTTCTTCCACTCCCTTGGTGATGAGATCATCGATCAAAACACCAATATAACCATCGGATCTTCTTAATTCCAACAATGGTTTCTTCAAATATGAAAGACCAGCGTTAATACCTGCTATACAACCCTGAGATGCAGCTTCTTCATAACCAGTGGTTCCATTAATTTGACCTGCTAAATATAACCCATCGACGAGTTTTGTCTCCAAAGTATTTTTCAATTCTCTTGGATCAACATAATCATATTCAACTCCATAACCTGGTTGAACCATTTTTACATTCTCACAACCTGGCATTAATTTGACTAATTTTTCTTGTATTTCTTCGGGCATAGTACATGAAATTCCATTTGGATAAATCAAATCAGTATCAAGACCTTCAGGTTCCAACCAAACTGTATGAAATTGCTTTTGTGGAAATTTTATCACTTTTGATTCTATACTTGGACAATATCTTGGACCTTTAACTGTCTCTCGTATATGTATAGATTTATCCAAATTTGCTGCAATCATTGAATGAAATTCAGGAGTAGTTTGTGTTTGATAACATTTCACTAATTGATCTTCTAAGTCTACTTTGTCATTCACATAAGACATTGGTTGTGGTGGGAAATCCGATGGTTGTTCGATCATATTTGAGAAATCAATTGTTTTAGCTGATAATCTAGCTGGAGTTCCTGTTTTTAATCGTCCTAGTCTGAAACCAGCTTCTTTAAATGTCTCCGATAAGCCAAAAGTAGCTTTCTCACCCATTCTACCTGATGGAAATGCTTTTAACCCAATATGTATTTCTCCACCTAAAAATGTACCAGTAGTGACAACTATTTTTTCACATCGTAGTATTCTTCCATCTTCAAGAACTAAGCCTTTAACTTTACCGTATTTTCTTCCATTATGATCCTCAGAATGAGTTGGCTCAATTATGATATCTTTGACTTGTGCCTCTATGATTGATAAATTTTTATAATTACATATTTCATTTTGCATCTCTTTAAGATATATTTTCCTATCAATTTGAGCTCTTGGACCATGCACTGCAGGACCTTTTGATGCATTAAGTATCCTGAAATGTATTCCTGCTTTATCTGTAATTCTTGAACTTACACCATCTAATGCGTCAACTTCTCTTAATAAAGTTCCCTTTCCTACACCACCCATAGATGGATTACAAGATGCTGTACCTATTTTACTTATTTCGGGTGTTATCAACGTCGTAGCGGTTCCAGATCTCGCAGAACCTGTAGCAGCTTCGCAACCTGCATGTCCACCTCCAATTATAACCACAGGATGTAATTTTGATTCATTTAGTTTATTTCGTAGATCACTGTTGATAGTTATTGATCGTCTTTGATGACATAACTTTGACCTTATTTCATTACGTGATATTCTTAATGGAAACATAGTCTGAGTAGGAGTTGTTATATCATTCTAACTTGATTGTACTGTTGGTTGTACAGATCAAAGATATTGATGTTTTTTTGTGTCAGTATTGATTGATAAATTCTCATCTCTTTCATATAACCACTAAATTTAAATTTCATCAATTATTCAAGAATGGCACCACCTACAGCAGAAGCAGATGATTTAGATGATGGATTAGAATACGATGTTCAATTATCTGAAGATGAAAGTGTTGAACAACCAAATAATACCAATGAGCAAGCAGAACAACAACAACCTGACGATGAGGTAACGGTTTCAAAAAAGAGAAAGAGATCCGAAGGTCAATCCAATTTTAAAGAGAAAAAGAAGATGAAAATGGAACTAGATACAGAGCAAAAGAAAAATATATCAACCGAATCAAATACAGAAGTGATTACTGATTTCATAAATTCAAAAATTAGTCGAAAAAATTCAAATTTATCAACTTTAGAACTAAGTGAGTTATATTTTTCAAAAGATAATATAAGGTCAACTTCTGAGTATAAAAAACCTAGAACGCTAGATAATTTAAGTGATTATATAATTCAAAGATTTAAAAATATGTTACCTGGTAAGGAGAATAAGAAAGAAAATAAGAAGAATAAAAAGAATAAGAAGAAAGAAGGTAAGAAAGAGAGTGAAATTAAAGATGAACATGAAGAAGATAGAAAATACATTGCAATAGTTTCAATGTCTGCAATAAGAGCTTGTGATATTCATAGGGCTACAAAAGATTTAAATGGAAGTTCATTAAAATTAATAAATAAAAATAAGGTGGATCAAGATTTAAAATTATTGAAAACTACTAGATCAAGAATACTATGTTGTACACCAGGTAGATTACAAAAAATTTTAAATAATGAAGATTCAAGTTTATCCAAAAATGAAATTAAAATAATCATTGTTGATAATTCATATTTAGATCAAAAGAAACAAAATATATGGGATATTAAAGAAACAGTTGAAGTACTAAAAGATTTAACTAAAGATGGATCAAAAATTTATTTATATTAATTTTCAATATTTAACAGTAATGGTAAATAAATATTTTTTTTGGATTTGAAGTATGATGAAACTTCGCTGATGGTAACTTTTAATGAATTTTCGTCAATAGCAGACTCACAAAATTCTGCTAGCTTCAGAATTTGAGTTTTGAAATTCAATTTTTCAATGGAAGTATGATTAAATTGTAATATAAATATTTGATTTGCTAATATTTTTAAGCCTTGAGTTTTAGTGATTTTATACCCTTGTGACTCTGTTTCTTCAGTGACCGAACTTCTAGCCTCTTCAATTTTGTCAATAACAGTTTCGAAATACTTTTCAGCTAAACTTTTTATCCAGTTATTTTTTATTTCAATAAATAAATTCAGAGTAGGATCTTTAATGAATGTGTTTATATTTCGAGCCTCAATAGTGGATGAGCGAGTTAATAAATTTTGAGCAAGTTCATATAACGTCAGAGCAAAACGAAGACTTGGCGTTGTTGGTATTTCGTTTCCTTCTAACTTCAATATTTCTTGTACATTTTGGTCTATTGCTTCGTTTATTTCTGAGTCAAAAATAAGTTTAATAATTTTTTCATAAATTTTCGTTATAACACCATTCATCCTTTTTGTAATTTTACTGTAATCAATTGTGTTTGAATCTATACCTGTGTCAAGATCATGTATTAATCCTAATAAGAAGAATAGTTTGTCAACTTTATCTTGATCGTTACTCAATTTTTCAATTGAATCACATAATTGCAATACTTCTTTCTCAAATAGTGTTATAATTTCTTTGTAAAGTTCTTCAAAACCAGACTTTAAAGTATTGGATGAAAATTCTCCCCATATGACCTCATCGTTTTTAAGGGTCTGGTAAAGACGAGGAAGATCAGTAGATTGAGGCTCTTGTGAAGTAATCGAGTACAGCACTTCTTGTTCCAAATTTGTCAATTGACGTATTTTATTAAAATGATGTATCCAATCATGCAAATCTTGTGTTACTTTAGTTGAAAAATTTAAGCTTGTTTGATTTGAAACATTTGAAATATAATCATCAACATTATAATCCATTAAATTTACAAATTCAAGATCAAATCCAAATTTATTGGTTTTTGATGAAATTGGATTTGATAATAATTGTTTTAAAGATCCATAAATCCCATTCACATCATTTAAAGTTGATATATGCTGTTGACAAAATATTCTTATGGTTGATATTAATGTTTCAGTAAGTTCTCCAAGTAAGTTTGTATTTGATATTATTTCAATTAAGTTTGAATTTACCCCAGAGAATTCCATATTTTCTTCTAATTTTTTAAGACTAATAAAATACTCATAAAAGTTATTAACAAATTTTAATACTTCCTCAAATGAAATAATTTTTTCGTTACTTGTCCAAGATACCAATGATGAGTCCCGTAAAAAGGATATAATGTTTTGTTGCAAGCTATTGGATTCGGTTGTTTCTGTTTCCTTGACCTCGAATTCAAGTATAGTATCCTCTAACCAATCCTTAAATCCTACCATCGAAGTGACACTCCATGGTTTGTTAATGTTATTAATTAATCTGAAATAATCACCATTCTCCTCGAAATAAGATTTGACATATCTACAAGTATTTTCCAAATATTTGAACAATGTATAAAAATTGATATTATTTTTCGGTTTTAGTGTAGTGATTAAATGACTAATATAAGCGATTCTGAATTTCAAAAAGTCTTCCCTGATTTTACTACTATTGCCAATCTCATTTTCTAGTATCGTATAACATACTAAATAGTTGCATAAAGGCAGTGTATTTTGATCAGCCAGGTTTAACTTCGAGCTACTGATCATATCAAATTTCAGATTCTTATTTTCGTCTTCATCTGAGTCATTTTCTTCATCTTCAAAAATGTCATCGTCTTGATTCGAGTCTGACTTTATTAAATCTTCTTCGCTCAATCTTTGACTTGAACGAAATTTATCACTTGAACTCAATATTGATTCACTTACTTTATATACCTTCATTTCAAATTTGAAATATTCTAATAAATTGTTTTTGACCAGTTGTAACTGTAGTAGAACAGATTTGTCTTTTTCCAATACATCTTGAAACACAGTATTAATAGTATATAATTCTTGAACGAATGAAATAAAATGTGAAGTATGCAATAAAGGACTTGGTCCATGATGACTTATTTTACTATTTAATTTGTTTAATCTCTTCTGTAAAATATTTTTAACGACTATTGATCTAGTATTTTGTTGAATTTTTAAGGCTTGATTATTGATTAAATAATTGTTGAATTTTTGAGATTTATCATTATACGGTGAAACAAAAGCAGACGGTTTGTAAGATAATTCTTGCAAATTTCCATCAATTTGTGAAGTCTGTTGTTGAACAACACTTATGTCTTCTGCAATTTTGATAAGATCTCTGTATTTATTACTAACTAAATCATGTAATTCATTCTTGGTATTATTTATAATTGACTTGTATTTTGTTGATTTCTGTTGTAGTTCTGGTATGCTTAACTTTGTGAATAGTTCATCAACGCTTTCAGTATTTGGGAATTCATTGGTAGGTGTTGAGACTTCTGTCATAAATGATAAAACTGATTTGAAGTTTATGAATTTTAATATGTAAATATATATTTTCAAGAAATTTACGAGATCAAATAGAACTAGAAAACAATTTTGGTGGTCGAAATCAAAATGAGCTATTCATGCATAAAGAAAAGGACAATAACTAAGAGATTTAATGGGCTTTCGTTGTAAAAATGTTTCAACTTTCCGTCGTGAGAGATCTACTTGACCCGTTCTAGTTAGTGACGTTTTAACAACGCTTTCTCCAAATACAGTGGATACAATCCGTACAATTGTGACAATTTTTTTAAAAAAACACCTGTCGAAAATCGATTTGATTCAACATCTCGATCTATACCAAATTAAGTGATAGTCTTTCAATATGCCCATATCTCTAAAGTTCAATTTAAACAGTTGTTTCTAATTCTTCTTGTATTAAACCTTTGACGTGTAATGCATACAAAATTTTAAGATGAAAAAAAAATAAAAAATTTCAAATATCAAACACAACTTTATTGAGTCAAAACTAAATCAAATCAAATCAAACTATAATCTTACCTACAAACTAACCCACATAAAAATGAGTTCCACTAATTGTAGGTTCTACGAAAACAAATATCCCGAAGTGGATGAAGTTGTTATGGTAAATGTTCAAGAAATAGCAGAAATGGGAGCATATGTTAAATTATTAGAATATGATAATATAGAAGGTATGGTATTATTATCAGAATTATCAAGAAGAAGAATTAGATCAATTCAAAAATTAATTAGAGTTGGGAAAAATGAAGTAGCAGTAGTATTAAGAGTTGATAAGGAAAAGGGATATATTGATTTATCAAAAAGAAGAGTATCAGCTGAAGATATTGTAAAATGTGATGAAAGATATAATAAAAGTAAAGCAGTTCATTCAATATTAAGACATTGTGCTGAAAAATTTAATATTTCATTGGAAAAATTATATGAAACTATTGGATGGCCATTAAGTAGAAAATATGGTCATGCTTATGATGCATTTAAATTATCAATAACAGATTCAAATATATTTGAAGGTTTAACACCACCAAATGATGCAATATTAGAAGAATTAAAATTATATATTTCAAGAAGATTAACTCCTCAAGCAATAAATATAAGAGCAGATGTTGAAGTTTCATGTTTTGGTTATGAAGGAATAGATGCAATAAAATTAGCTTTAAAAGAAGCAGAATCAGTATCAACTGAACAAATGCAAGTAAAAGCAAAATTAGTTGCTGCTCCATTATATTTTTTATCAGTTCAATCATTAGATAAAAATCAAGGTATTCAATTATTAGAAAAATCAATTGAAAAAATTATAAATAGTATAGAAAAAAATGGTGGTATATGTAAAATTAATATGGCTCCAAAAGCTGTTACTGCTACTGAAGATGCTGAATTAGAACGTATGTTGGAAAGTAATAAAAAAGATGAAAATGAAGATGATGAAGATGAGGATGAAGATGAAGATTAGAGAAAAAGCATGTATATATAGTTTTAATAAATAGAAAGGAATTAAAATCAAAATCACATAAACAACTTTATTTATATTTATACTTATATAAATAGAAAAGAATCAAAAATCAAAATCAAAATCACATAAACAATAACTCGGGTTTTGGAGCAGATTGTTTAATAGTTAAATTATTATTATTTGCTCTTTCTGTAACTTTTGCAGGTAAATTTGGTAATAAATCAGGTGAAACTCTAAATTCAGTAACACTTTCCGGAATATCAATACCATCTAATGTAATTAATTCTTCATTACCACTAAGATCTAATAATGTTAAATTTGGAAATTTTATATTTCTAATATATTTTAATTCATTATAAGCTAAACTTAAAGTTTTTAAAGTCGAAGGAAATTCATAATTTTCTAATACTCGTAACCCATGATAACCTAATTTAAAAACTTTTAAATTTGGTGGTAATATAACATCTTTTAATGTTATAATTTGTTTTTCATTTACTGCATATGAATCTGGATTATTATCAATATCAAGAATTTCTAATGTGGGTGGGAAATTTACATTTTTTAAAGTTGTTAAAAGATTATCACCAATACGAAGTTCTTTTAAATTTGGTGGGAAAGTAATTTTATTTAAAGTTTTAATTTTATTACCATTTAAATATAATATTTCAACTGTTGGTGGAATTTTTAAAGGACCAATACTTGTAATTTCATTTTCTGATAATATTAAAGTTTTAACTTTTGTTGGTAATTTTAAACCTTTTGATCCTGACATTGCAGTTTGTAAATTTAAAATTTCTAAACTTTCTGGAAATTTAACACCTGCCATTGACTCATTTGGAGTATTTGAAATTTCTAATTGTTTTAAATTTGGTGGGAATTTAGCACCTTTCATAGTTTCAATTGGATTAAAACCCAAACTTAAAGTTTCTAACAGGTTTGGAAAATTTGCAAATTTTAAATCTTCTATTCTATTTTGAGAAACATCTAAATGTTTTAAATTTGGTGGGAATTTTATACCATCTAAAAAATATAATTTATTTTCAGTAAGATCTAATTCTTCTAAAGTATCTGGAAAAATTACATTTTCTAAAAATGCTATTGCTCCATGACCTGCTCTTAAAACTTTTAATTTTGGTGGCATTTTAAATCCTCTTAATGAATCTAATGCATATCCACCACCAATATTTAAAAATTCTAAAGTATCAGGTAATTTAATATCTGGAAATTTACGAATACTACTTTCACAATAATCTAAAGTTCTTAAATTATTCCAATATATAATATCTGATTGAATTTCTTCTTTTAATTCATCTTCTTTATCTTCATCTTCCATCATATAAACAGTTTCCATATCATATTTATCAATTATAGCAAATTGAGTAACTTTATCACCACAAGAATCTTTAATATATTTTAAAAATGATTTATATTCTCTTAAATCCTTGGGACTATATTCTTTCCAACTTTTACCAGGTTGAAAATGAATATAAACTCCAATTTCTTTTGCATCATCAACTATTGTTTTATTTTTTTTTAAGAAGCTAACAAATTTATCTAATGGATCCCATGAATTTTCTTGATATTCAACACATATGTGAATATAATCTGCTCTTTTTGGTGGAGATGATGAAGCATTAACATTTTCAATTTCAATTATTTCTAATTCATTATTTTTAAATTCTTTAATTTCTTTTAATAAAATTATTGTATGATAATATTTTGGATTACCATTTATTAAAACCAACCTTGAACATTGTTCTGTTTCATCATTAATCATGGTTGCAAATGTTTTGATTAATTTGGTTGTAAAAGAGAAAAAAAAGTTGTGTTTATGTTATAGATAATTTTTTAGCACAAAATTATATTTATTTATATAAATAAATATTTTGATTTAAAGTTAAATTTATACACACGTTTGTTTTTATTTCAAATATTAAGGAGATCGTGTTATCTAATCTATGGTATTTAATAAGATAATGCATTAGATTGTACTTAATAATAGAAAGAAAGCTCAACCAATTAAACATTCTTTTCACAATTGCCTCGTGGCATTGAAAAATATAGAATTTAAGAAGTAGAATCTTGTTGCAGGCAATCAAAATAACACACTACTGTCCAAAAGCAGAATAGTGAGCGTAAAGAATTAGCTGGTTTGAAATTTATTTTCAAAAAGAGTGTAATTTTCATGACATCTGCTGCAAGCTCTTGTCAATTTCAAGGGTCTAATCTTAGTTTTTTTAACACTGAAAATATTTTTGTACTTTCTCTTACTCTCACTCTCAGCCAAAATTTGAGCAAATCGTCCAAATATTCCCAATTGTAAGACTCTTTAATATGAACATAGCCAACACTCAGTTCTTTTCAATGAATCAAATCGTCTATTCTTGTCACGTCTTACGCGAGGCTGACTTTAATTAATGAAAAATTACGTGAATAATGAGCTACCAGATTTTCAAGAATGTGAAACAATGTTGTTTGAATAACGAAAAATGTAATTTAACCATTGATAAATTTTTATAAATAACACCGTGCTGCATGACGATCAATCATTATGTTTTTTGCGATCTTGACTAGTGTGTATAAGAAACGATTACTTATCAGAGAAATTTGTTTCTAAAAATTATTTTATTTGTGCAAAAGACTTGCTTCTACTAAACTCTATTTACATTATTATACAAAATCTAGATTTTAAAAAAATCGTCTAAGCTTTTTCTTTACTTTTTGCAAAAATATTCGTAAAAACATCAATTACAGGAACTCTTACCAGTGTATAATCTTGATAATCAGAATCCGTAAGTCCATCTTTTTCAAAAATATGATCTCTTGCTTTTAAATAACCTCGAAGTAATAATAAAAATCCACCAGCTGCTAAATACATAATTCCTGCAAATATTGCACAATTTTGATAAGCTGTTGGATCAATTGATGCAGCACTTCCCTTGACTAATTTTGCACCAATAACTGGTGAAAAAATACCTGCTGTACCCATCAAGACCCAAACCTGAGCAAAGACCACATTCATTTTAGCAAGTCCAAAAGTTCTAATTGGTAAGTTAGTAAAATTCCTTATAAAACCCTCTTAATTTATCACATACCTTGCAATTACTGGAGCAATAACAGCATATACAGATCCCATTAAAGCTCCTTCAATTAAAGCAAATATTACAGCAGTTGCATAATTTCTTGCTGGAATCCACATAGCTAAACAAAATATTCCTGCAACAATATAAGCAATACTAGCAACTGTTGCTCCACCAAATTTATCTGATAATAAACCAACACAAGGACGACCAAATAAACTACCAACTTGAACCATAGCACTTACAATTGATGCTTGATATGAACTATAACCTAAAGTTTGTACCCAATTAGCTAAAGTATATAATAATATAACATAACCAAATATACAACATAAAACAAAACAAATAATATAATAAACTCCAGCAAATTTAAAAACTGAAAATTCAAATAAATTAAATTCTAATTTATGAGTTGATGCTTTTGAACGTACTAATAAAATTGCAATCCAAGTAATACCAAATCCTATAATGGCTTGAGCTCTTAGTGCCCAATGAACATCTCTTGTTTCAACAACTTTTTGCATACCTAAATTAAAAACAATCCCACCTAATCCACTACCAGCAGCAGCTGCTCCATTTGCAAATACTCTTTTTTTTTTAAACCATTCTCCAATTATTGGAGTTGCAATTAAACTTAAAAATGCTAAACCAAATGATTGCATTAAACCTTGAGTTAAATATAATTGCCATAATTTTTTTGACCAACTTGCTAACATTAATGAAGTAAATTGTAAAATATTACCCAATATTAAAATTGGTAAATATCCAACTATACCTCTCATATATATAACTAACGGACTAAAAAATAAACCAACTCCAAATGCAATACCCTAATAAGTGAGTTAGTATTTTAAATTTGTTTTTGTATTTATTTCATTTACATACCCCAATGTAAGCATAATCAATTTTAGTGGCTCCTTCAAATGTATCATTTTCAATATAATGAGCAAAATAAATAGCAAATCCAGAATTCATACCCCTAAAATAAAAATTTGTTAATACTCCAAACTTGTTGACTTTTTTGAAATAATGTAATTTTAAAACACATACCATGTACAAAAATTGAACATAACACCAGCTGCTAAAATTACCCATGCATAACCTCCATCAATGTCTGGATCATTTTCATTAATTGCTTCTTTTGGTGGTGGATAAACTGCTTCTATATCTTTTTCAAGTTCTTGAGAATGTTGTGTGACTGTGGAACTTGATTCATTTGAAGAATGTGGTTCAGACATATTTTTGATTTAAATATTAGACTTTGATTATTCATAAAAAATTTAAAACTCTTTTCAAAATTCTATCATATGAGTTTCATTAAATAAATTTGGTAAATCTTCTAAATCCTTTAATATTTCATATATTTTCTATTTAAAATTTTTTAAAATCAATTTAAAAATAACGGAAATAATATGACACATTAATTTTGAAACCACTTTTAGTAACTTTACGAACAAGATTTGAAATCTGATTGAACAACTAAATGAGTTAAACCCCGAACTATGTTACACTTATATTCCTTTTTATGGTTTGTTTGATCTACAGTCTTTGAATTAAGTGTGGTCCTCTTTGGATTGGCTTGTCTCAAGAAGAATACGGCTTAACAAATTTTTGTAAGCAAAATGTTTGCGTTTAATGACAAATCCTTTTTTGTGTAAGTTTTTATTTTTCGGTAATTCGGTGATCTCGTTACGAGAAATGAAAAAAGGAATTTTTTTTTGTGGGATGAAAAGTTTAAAACACCAAAAGGTACGAACAGTTTATCAAAGGTGGATTACCGTGACAAATCCATTTTTGAACTAGATTTACAAATAGGCTTTACTTTAAACGACTTTATAGCAAAACGTTGTTGAAGATCTTTTACATGTTTTGTAGTGGATTAGTAATATCAGTGCATGATGCTTCTCACAAGAACGAGGTTATGAGTATTCAATTATACTACAATTTAAGGAACAGTGATGACAAATCCCGCAACAAAAACGCCTAACCTATAACAGTTTACTTACCCCATTTATCGGAATGTAGTGATGATTTCAAGTCGAAAACTCCGTGGTTGTTGTTAGTACTTTATGTCCTACATCAATTTTTCGGAAAATGTTTCTAAAATAATAACCCCAGAATAAGATCGCGCTCATCAATACCCGATAAAAAAGTACAGCTCTAGTTTTCTTAGGTGGTAAATGAATAATTACGAAAAAAAAGATAGTATTAAATCATACTGGTAGGAGCTACCCGGGAATCGAACCCGGGACCTCGCCCAGACGTCGTTTAGTCAAAACTTTGGCATTTTACAACCCCAAGGACGGATCATACCACTAGACCAGCAGCTCAATTATCCAAAAAATGTCATGCCAAAATAAACAGTCTCGTACAGCTTTGCTCCAACTCGACCGAGGCTTGAATGAGTTTAGAGCCAAAAGTTGTCTTGATGGGCGACCAGAGATAGGTACAACCTGACCAATTTTTTCATATCTGCTGCGCAAAAATAAGATAAGAAATTTTCAAAAACTTGAAAACTTCATAAGTAGCACTTGAATGATCTTACTACGACCTCGAACCTTCATTACACCATCCCTTTTTCGAAGATGTTATTACTCAACGGTGAATGATATTGCTCTACCTAAGACCAGAAATATTGGAATAATAGCACATATAGATGCAGGTAAAACTACAACTACAGAACGTATGATATATTATAGTGGTAGATCAAAAAGAATAGGAAATGTTGATGAAGGAGATACTATTACAGATTATTTGCCATCAGAAAAAGAAAGAGGAATAACAATTCAACTGGCAGCTATAACAATTCCATGGAATGAAAATAAAATTAATATAATTGATACACCAGGACATGCTGATTTTACATTTGAAGTTATAAGATCATTAAGAGTTTTAGATGGTGCAATAACTATATTAGATGCAGTTGCTGGAGTTGAAGCCCAAACTGAAAAAGTATGGAAACAATCAAGTAATTTAAATTTACCAAGAATAATATATGTAAATAAAATGGATAGACCAGGAGCTGGATTTAGTAGAACCGTTAAAGAAGTTATAACTAAATTAGAAACAAGAGTTGTTTTATGTAATTTACCATATTTTGAAATTTCTAATGATCAAGAGATTGAATTTAAAGGAGTAATTGATATAATTCATGGAAAATTATTAAAATGGAAAGATGATAGTGATGGGAAAAGTATTGAAGTTGAATCATTAACTCCAGATCAATTTGAAATGTTTTCAAAAGCTAGAGAATCAATGGTTGAAACATTAGGAGAATATGATGAATCAATTATTGATGCGTTTTTAGAAACTGAAGATTATAAGAAAATTGATTCAGAACTATTAGATCAAGTTATAAGAAAAGCTACAATTGATAATTTTATAACTCCTGTATTTTGTGGATCATCTTTTAGAAATATTGGAGTTCAACCGTTAATGGATGGAATTGTGAAATATTTACCTTCTCCTTTACAATCTTCAATACCAGAGATTAAAAGTAAGAATAAACAAATAGCCAAAAAAATGGATTCAAAAGGATTAATATTCAACAATGATCATAATCTTACCATAGGTCTCACATTCAAAGTTATGACTCACGCAACTCGAGGACCAATGGCTTTTGTTAGAGTTTATAGTGGTAAATTATCAGCTTCATCTAATATTGTAAATACAAGAACTGGTAAAAAATTATTAATCAGAAAATTATTAATTATGCATGGTGATTCACCAGAAGAAGTTAAAAATGTAGGAGCAGGAAATATTGCTGTTATACCTGGTTATGATACAGAATTTCGTACCGGTGATACTATAGTTGCAACGAATAAAAAATCAATAGGTGCATTAGAATCAAGTTTAAAACTTATGCCTATTGATATACCACCACCTTTATTTACATCATCAATTGAACCACATACTGCTGGTGATGAAGCACATATGAAAAAATGTTTAGATATTTTAATTCGTGAAGATCCTTCTTTAAAAGTACATGTTGATGAAGAAATGGGACAAACTGTTTTAAGTGGTATGGGAGAATTACATTTAGATATTGTTCGAGATAGATTAATAAATGATATGAAAGCAAAAGCAAATTTAAGAGAAGTTGCTGTAGCTTTTAAAGAATCATTTATAAAACCACCAACTAAAATTGTTAATGAAGGTTTAGAAATTACTGTTAGTCACGTTGAAAATTGTCGTGAATATGAAAATGTTGATGGTGCACATATTTATGAAGATGAAAATAATGTTATAATATTATCAGATTCTGCTGCTTCTGAATTTGTAAAAGAATGTTTATCGGAAAGACGATGGAAATGTCCTAAATCAATAGAAGATTTAAAAGAAGCTATAATTAATGGTTGTTTAACTTCACTTCAAATGGGTGGTCCAAATTTAGGTTTAACTATAAATTCAACTCTAATTCAAATTGATAAATGGGATGCTGCTGTAGATAAATCTGAAGATTTGATTCCAACATTAATGCAAGCAGGTAGAACATCTATTCAACAATTAAAAAATGATTCTAATTTTGCTATATTTGAACCAATTATGGAAACAAAAGTTCATGTTAATTCAGCAGATTTAGGTGAAGTATCACATGATTTAACTCAAAGATGTCATGCAGTAATAATATCAGTTGAAGATGAATCTAATCAAAATATTGAAATTGCTAATTGGTCAATTGAAGAATCTGAAAAAATTTATTTACCACCTGATTATACTTTATCATCAACTAAAAAAAGAGATCTTTCAAATAAAAAAATTATTATAGCTGAAACACCATTAAAAGAAATGATAGGTTATTTATCTAAATTAAGAGCTTTAACTCAAGGTAGAGCAACATTTGATATGAATTTTATAGGAATGAAACGAGTTGTTGGAACAAGAATTGATTCAATAACTAAATCTACATAATAAATTTTTACTGTATATAGAACTAGCACAAAATAAATAAATTTGTAAATAGAGATTTGAAAAAAAATATCTTGAAACACAAACAAACAATTAACCAAATACAAATCCATATCTAATGCAAGATTATATAGATAGAGCACCATTATCACTAGATAAAGATAGAGTTACATGTTTATTATTAATAAACACTCATTTAATTAAAAAATGTAGTGGGATGTATAATAATATGTTAAGTAATCCACAATTTATGCAACAAATGTCAAATGAAAATAGATTTAATGTAACTCAATCTTATACAAACGCTTTGAAAAGATTACAATGTAATTTAGCTACTTTACATTATTTGAATGAGAAATATCATGGAAATCAACCTTTAATCAAAGCTATATATCCTACAATTGTTGTTGCTCCTCCTGATATGCCTGAATTAAATCCATTATATGGAAAATTACAAGAATTATATGGTGATGCTATGCAACATTTAAAAATGAGAATGGAAGAAATGAAAAGGCAACAACAACAACAGATGTTTCAGCAACAACAACAACAGCAGCAGCAGCAGCAGCCAATGCAACCTATGCAGCAGCAACAACAACCTCAGCATCATAATCAGCAACAACAACAACAACAACAACAACAGAGACCACCATCACAACAACAACAGCAGCAACCACAACAAAATCTACAACAACAGCATCCTCAACAACAAAATCTACAACCCCAACATCAACATCTCCAATCTCAACCATCATCTCAACCTCCATCTCAACCACCTTCTCAACCACAATCTCTGCATTTACCACAACCTTCAACACAACCACTTGATGATTTAATGCTTACTGGTAATGACTCAACATTCAATTCGTCACAAACTCCAATGAATGATTTTCAGAATAATGGATTTGGAAATAATAATGGTAATAATTCTAGTGGAAATACTGGTGGAAATGGAAATAATAATAATAATTTTAATCCAATTACAACTTTATCACCTCAACAAATTTTACAACAAGCAAATGAAAGAAATACACCTTTAAATACTAATGATTTTGGTGGAATGTTTTAACATTAAGAAGAAGAAGCTCGATATGTCATTAATTAGTGTTTTCGGATTTTGAATCATTTTCCAATTCTCCTTGTTACTTGAGATGATAAAGAATTTGATCCTTCATATCAATTGTACGTGTCGAAAAGGGTCAAATTTTGGATGAATATAATTATTTTTTGGTCTTTTAGGTAGCATAATGTTGTATTGACACCAGCTTCAAAAAACTGAATCTTGAAAAAACTGAATCTTGAATTAAGAATACAAACAACATATATGTTTCAAGAATAATAATTTGTCTGATTAGAGTAATAATAGATAGATATCTTAATGTAATAATATTAATAAAATCTTTACGGTATTAATAATACAATTCATTTCTAATTTAATCTAAATTATAACCTAAATCATTATTTAAAATATCAGAGTAACCATTAGATGAACTAGAATTCAAATTTGTAGTATGATCAATATTATTAAAAAAAAATTGTTGTTTCTCATCATCAATTTGAGATTCATTATTATTATAAAAATTTAACCAACCTGCTTCATTTGAAATTTCATTCCATAATTTTGTTTCTTCATCTAAAAATGTTAAACCTTCTATATTTGTTAAATCTGGATTGTTATAAAATTCTGTATTTTGTAAATCTATTATTGTTAATGGATTTTGTTGTTGGTGAGTTTGATCTTGATTTTCGTTAGTTAGATGGTGCTGATCTTGATGTTGATCGTGTTGTGGTGGTGCTTCCTGTTGTTGTTGATTATCATGATGTTGATGATTATGATCATTACCTTGTTCTTGTGACAAACCCACATCAATATATTCTTCATCATGTTTTTTTAACAAATCAATCATCACACCATTAAAATCTAAAACTTTAATTAATTTCAATAATTGAGCTCTTCTTAAAGCAGCAGGATAATTACCTAATCTTTTCATCTTGGTAAATAAAATTAAAGCATGATCTAAATGTAATTTTGTTGCATCATGAACACCAAATGATGAATTAAATAAAATTAAAGTTAATGCAGATGTGAAAAGATATTCTCTATCCATCCAACCAAAAAGGGCAACCATATTATCTGGTACTAATGACCAAATAGATTTTATTGTATTTATTGATGCTTGAAATGAAGAATTTAATAAACTTAAAATATTTTTTGAATATTTTGTTAAATCAATATATTTATTTTCATTTTCTTCACTTGTGTTCAGATTTAATTCTTTAAATTTTTTTGAAGCAAAATGAAATAATAAAGGTCTTACAGCTAAATTTATACCTTGAAAATATTCAGTCATTAAATTTACAATTAATCTTGAAACTTTTGGTTCATCAATTGAATAATCAACATTAAGATAATTTGGTAATGAGTTCTTCCACAAGATTAATCTTTGAACTAAATCTGAAACAATTGGTAAAATATTATAACTTGGTTGTTTTGTATATAATGAAGATAATATTACAGCATTAATTTGAGTAATTGTAACACAATTATTTATATAATCAGCAGGTGGGAAAATATAAAAATTTCTTACATCATTTTCATTTTTTGGATAATTTGTAAGCTCAATTTTAAAATCCATTGGTAAATCAGTTGAAACAGAATCATCAGCAAAACTTAAAGGTAATCCAGCTTTTGATGATAACATTCTTTCATACATATAAACAGTCCACCAAATTCTTCTTCTATGTTCTAATTCAAATCTATTTAAATTTTCTTTTTCTGCATCAACATGCCACCCCAAGATTAAGGAAGCTCTTAAGGCTAAACCAAAATAAAAATATGATGCTATAGTACAATCAGCAACTTGTAAATAAAAAGCATATAATAACATAACTTCAATTCCTCCATCTTTTGTTATATTATCTATTGCTCCTGAAGCAAATAATCCTGTAAAAATTTCCGAAGATTGATAAAAAAATCCTGAACCTGGTAATGTATGTTTTTCTTTTAATAATTTATTTTTTGATCTTTTCATATTTTCTAATTTTTGTCTTTTCGCATGAGTATTTGATTCTGTACCTAAATACATTTCACCTATTGCAAAAATTAAAAGAATTTTACAAAACCAAATAGTTTCCAATATAGTTTCATCTTCAATATTCTTTTTATCTTGATTGGTGGTGGTATTATTTCTTCTTAAAATTTTTTTATTTTCTTCAGTTTTTCCACTATATAAATTTGACAAAAATTGTTTAATCAATCCTTCATTAAAAAAATAAAAACATCCATCATTATAATTTATAAATGTATCAACTAATAACATAGCATAAGAATATGAAGGTAATGAAAAATTCATTGACAATCCTGGTCTTGTATTTGTTTTAGTTAATGTAATTTTATAAGCATTTCCTTCTTTTTCTAATATCTTGTTTTCTTTTGGTTCATTATGTCGTATATCATTTGGTGAATTTGCTGGACTTGAATGATTTGATTTGTTCTTATTATTATTGTTGTTACTATCCGTTGAATTTGATCTTTGAGATAATAAATTGATTGAAGAATTTGGAGGTATCATATTTTGAATCTCTAAACCAAATAATGTCATTGATGATGATCCAACATAAACTTTTTCTCCAGTTCTTGATTGAATTAATCTACCATATTTATCTAATGAAGGATTTATAACTTCAACCCCAGTTTGGTTGTTACCAGTATTGTTATTACTGTTTGCTGATGATGATGAATTAGGTGGAGCAGTTGCATGAATTTGATTTAAAGGTGAAAAAGGATGATTTTGTTTAAATGATGATGATATTGATGAATCGTTTGAATTCTGGTTGTTATTATTTTCAATTTCCTTGATATTATTTCTTAAACTTGCATTTTCTTTTTTCAATCTTGCTATATCATCATGTAATCTTGATAAATATTTCATTGATATAACAATTTTTTTATCTGCTTCAATATATTCACATTTAGTTTTTGCTAATTGACATTTTTTACATGGATCACCTCCTGGACATCGTATATGACGAGTTCTACATCTTATACAAGCTAAAGTTGATCTTTTAGGTCGATTTGTTGTTGTTGTAGTTGTTGTAGATTTTTTATTGTTATTTGAAGATGATTCATTTAATGTTTGAGTTAAATGATGGGGTACATTTGGTGGTGGTGGTGGTTGTTGTTCAGTTTTAATGTTGTTTAGTTGATTGTTGGTAAAGCCATTGTCGTTAATGCTGTCATCCATTATCCTTTTGTTCCAGGATAACTGCTATTAGTGACTGATAGGATTAAAAACTCCACTTCAATTGATAAATCCACTGTAAATTTTTTTACGATAATGTTTATGTTACACAAAACACTCAAACTAAAACACCGAAAGAGGGGTTGATAAAACGCGCAATAACGCAGACTGACTTCAATCAATAGTTGCAAAAGAGTTACACCAATGAAGAAATGTAAGAAAATATGAAAAACAATCACTGAAAATTCAATCTAAACATATGGTAACTATATAAAAACTACTACTACGACTGTACTTTATTTTGATTTTATTTTTATGCGAAGGACAAACTTAACCAGTATTTCACTTTGAAACTACTGAGTACATTATTTAACTAATGGTAAAACATTTTGAGGAAATTGACCAATCATGTTTGGAACTGCATCATCATAAGAACAAATAACATAAATACCAGAACCACAAGATTTTTTAGCACAACCTAATTTTGAAGTAGATTTCCAAACTAAAGCGGTAAAATGACCAGTTGAACTTGAAAAACCAGGATTATTAAAATTATATAATTTAATTTCATCATACCATGCATCAACAGTACTTGAAGCATCTTTATAACCAACTGCTAAATTTTCACCATATGGACCACCTGAATGAACTAATCCACTGTTACAAGAATATTTATTTGCATAATCTTGAGCAAAATTATAAAGTTTTTGATCCCATTGTAAAGATGATACTCCATGTAATGATCTTTTTGAATTATGAGCATCTAATATTTCTTTTGAAAATTGTGCATCTTGAACATTACCAAAATCTGGAGATGATGATGATGATGAAGTTGTTGCTGGAACTTGAGTTGATGAAGTTGCTGGTGATGGTGGTGATTGTTTAGTTGAAGTAGGTTTTGGTGGTACTTGAGATGAAGAACCTGATGTTTTAATTTGTGTTGTTGAAGGAGTTGCAGTGGAGACTTGCTCGTTCGCAGCAACAGCATCAATTGAAGTTGATTCTGGACTTTCTTCTGGTTGTGAAACAAAAGAAGAAATTAAAGTTGTTGCAACAGATGATGCAATTGGTGGTTCAATAGCAGAAATAGATGATGCAGCAGCACTGGAGTCACCAACAGTTGAAGTTAATAAAGTAGTTGGATTAGCTTGAACTAATAAAGTTTGAGTAGTTAATGAATCACCACTTTGAATTATAATATGTTCATTATATAAATTAACAGCAATATCTTCAATATTATTGGTATCAATTAAACTTGTAAAAACAATATCTTGATTTAAAATATTAGTTGAAAATACCCAAGTTGATTGTGAAGGAGTTGGTTCTTCTTCTGCTGGTTGTTCAACTGCTTCAGTTGTAACAGGAGCAACAGTTTCTTCTCCTCCAATAGTTAAAGTTTGAAATTTAGTTACTTGTTTAGTTTGAGTAACATAAACATAATTTGTTGCAGCTAATGTTGAACTTAAACAAGACAAAATGGTAGCGATGGTTGCAATTGAAAATTTCATCTTAGGAATTCTGAAACGCGTAATTTAAATTTTTATTTAGTAATGAATGAATGAATGAATGAATGAAAGTAAAAACTTTTTTTATGAACAAGTGTAAAAATGAATGAAAGTAAGGAATGACGATAGTTGGAATATGAAAAGTATAGACTGTTGTTGGTAAGGGAGTGTGTGAAGTTAGTTGAAACTTTTTATAGTGATAATAATAAAAGATTTAAAATAAAATATAAAAAATAAAATAGAAGAATTGAATGATTATTTATATAATTATTTTCTATAGTTTTAATGACGCAACGAATTAAAAATTACTAACTAACTAATTAGCTAAACTAATAAACAATAATAATAAGAAAAAAAAGGTACGATATTGTTATTAACATTTTCCATGATTTTTACGTATCATTACTTATTTTATTGTTTCAAAAAAGTATTAAGAAAGGGGGAGAATTAAATTACAAAAACTAAATAAAACAAATAAAGTTAAAAAGTAAACAATTAACAAGAATCTTACAATAACCAACTAAAACCAAAAACATAAACTCAAATTCTTTGCTGGATTGCAAGTAATTATAGAAATAAGATTTATATCTAATTAAGCATTAGCTTGCTCTGGTTCTTTCTTGGTTCAAATTGACTTTTTCAATCGTTATTCAACGTAATACGAAAAAGTAAAAAGTAAAAAATTTTTATTATAGAACGTAATTAGCATAAAATGATCAACAAATTAAAAAAGAAGATCTAACATTGCGTTGATTTTATTTAATTTCTTAATTTTAAAGTTACACATGTCGCATAGTGTCAATTTTTAATTGGTTATTGTTATTTATTATCCTCAAATTTTCAATTTTATTTGGTGAAATAGTTGGAACATTCTCAATCATCTCATTGAACCGACTAATTTGTTTGTCCTCTTACCATTCTTGTTCAATTTTATGAGAAAGATGTTATTATGAAACATTCCATCATGTACATTTTTCAAGTTCAAAACACGAATATATGAAAAAAATGCCTTGGGCTAGGTAAAAATGCAGAAGTAAGTCAGGTTCTAGCCATTCCCCCTCTTTACAGATAAGTATAGGTTTAGAGCTAGAAATTAGCAGATGAGTACCCCTAAAGAATATTATAACTGAAGAATGATAGCTAAACAAAATCTAGATCTCTTCATTTAATTGTTTCAAATGTGAATTAAAATTGTACCATTTTTTTTAATGTACAAAGTAACCCTCCGTTATCATGTTAAAAATCGTTTAATTTACACGAAATATTATAATTTATTATAAATTCCATAAAACCCATCAAAAATGCTGTAACCAAGAGTATCAATGAGTTATGAGAAAGGGGGTAACTATTACTTCATAATAATATGCTATCTTTAATCAACTGATTTTATGTGAATCAATACAGAATGGTAGTTAATTCATTTTCCATTTTTGACGAGAATTTGTTACGAAATGTTTCAAATATTAATTTTCTATGTAAAGTTTTGCAGACTTCTAACCAACGCAAATGACTCGACCGAGAGAATGAATCTTTATAAGCATATTCTTCCGGTTTAATACTAGTATTTTTAAGTAAGTTAGATTTCAACTCATACTGAATGTGTAATTGGGAATGGGTTAATTAATTTGACGATACTAGAGAAAATAATAAAAATAAAAACTTACACAAAGTTAGAGATCAGTTTCATAATTTTTCGTTACAAAGTTGAATTGAAATAGTTTATGGAACTTAAAAGTATTATTAGGCAAAGAGACTGGAGATTTAGTTCTAACTCGTCAATGTACATACCTTGTAGAGAGTGACCAGAATTGTCAGATATTTCTGTGCCGTCCCATAAGGTAGTTAGAAAAATCAGAAAAGTTTTAGATGCTATAATATACCATTTCATGTATAGACTATATATATTTTGTATGCTTTTTTCTTTTTTCAAAAACTCCTTGTATTCTTCCGGTGATTAGTATGTGATTTTTTGAAAGAAGAATGCAGATCTTCTTCCTCTGAGTTTGGAATGTTTCTTCAAAACTCAAATTTTCATTTTAAATTCCTGTTTCTATCGTTAATCTAAATAAAATCTCCAACTTTCAAACTCTATTACCAAAGCTTATATCTATTCGGAGCATTGACAAGTGTTGTTCTTTTGATGTTGTGAACAGTAGTTGTGAACCTATTTGATTTTAGTACAAATTCTGACACTAATTATAGGTGAGACACTCAATCAACTAAACTTCAATTTAAAACTATCTCCGTCCTTTCCAGCCTTATTTTAAACTCTTTTATTTTATCAGTAACTTGAGTTGAGGTTTGCAATTCAATTTATGGATAAAATCAAAACGTTAAGACACAATTCAACAGACGAAAATAGGTTTAAGTCGAAGTCTTTTGATTTACGTATCACTGGTAATCTAATTAAGCTAATTCATTATGAAGACCAGTACATATTTTTCGCATAAGTTGCTTTTGCTAATTTTCTAAGGATTTACCTGTTTAGCGTTTTATGGTGAGTGTTTATCAGTTTGAAATTTTCGAACACATTGGCAATTGAGGTTTCCTGATCCATATGCTTAGTTTCATAAACAGCTTGTTATTTGAATTAATAAAAATAATTCCACACAGTGTAAAATAGGTATTATAAAATTTGAATTATTAAGGATTCGAGATTAATAATATGATTGATGTTGATGAGCTCCCTAAATACCCCAGAAGTTGAATCTGTATCTTCAATAACACAAACTTCATTTTAAATATTTGTGATGTTATGATGTTACGACTTTTTTTTTTTTCAAAATCTAATTATTTATTAAATAAGTAGTCTAGTTTTGACATTGTTGGAACCTCTAATTATGCTGACATTGTAAGTGACGATATAAATACAAACAAATTTTTTGTTCCATCTTCCATGTGTATAACAAACTTTCAATGATGAAGAAAACTTCTTGTGAAAACAGAATGACAAACTTCATCAAAATAAACATTCTAATACCATTGCAACCTTATTTTCTTTTTTCTTTGAGCAAACGGGTGAACATACTGTCAAAAAGAACAGTTCCAGGAACAATTCGTGTACTGATGATTTGATTTTCTTCAAACCTGACCAAAGCTTCATGAGTAGCAGCCATTACATACAAATGAATCATCAAAATCTCGAAACATGCCTGGCTCTGCAGTTTCTGACAAACTATTCACCTATTTACTCAAATTCTTTTATTTGATACTTATATTGATCTGCCATGAGGTTATTCCAATCTGAGAATGGAGAAGCTGGATCAATGAAACACTGTGGCATGATCGGGATTATAAAAACCAAATTATTGAACCTTAAGATAATGATTCAATGTTGTTGATATGATTAAAGTTTGTTGGCTCTATCAATACAGTTGGTATGAACATCATGCCAGTCTCCTTCGGACATCAAATAATGATAAAATAAGAAAGTGTCAAATCCTAACCGTATCAAAGCATAATTTTTGATAATTTCAGGAAAAGAATAAAAATTGTGTTGATTAATGAAAACTTTTTTCTGTATAAAAATTGAAGATTTCAAAATCTACGATGCTACCAGTTTAACCAATTTTCAATTAAACTTCCATAAAAGGATTAAATATAAACAATAGAATCTTTAGATCTACAAACTTACAAACCTTACAAAATATGGCATATCTTTTTATATTTCTTTACCTTCACATCTGTACAATTGAAGGCAATTGATAATTTACAGAAATAGCTATTCAAAAATGTCTCATAAACAATCAATGAGATCAAGGTCTTCATTGAGTAATACTAATTCCTCATCAAATATATCAACACCAATTAGAGCTAATTCTACTATAAATAATAATATTAATTCAACTAATACATCAACAATGAGATCAAGTTTTAGACCTCCTTCAAGACCAACAATTATACGTTCATCATCACCTATTCAACAACAACATCACCAACAACAAACTCGTTCAAGACCGAGTTCATCTTTAGCTAATAGTAGACCTGGTACACCAATAAATTCAAGTAATAATTATATAAATCGTCAAGAACCATATACTGGTACAATTTCTGTATCAATTCGTCCAAATCCTCAAACTTATCAACAAAACCAATCACAACAACAACAACAAAATTGGAATATTGATCCTTTTAATAATATAATATCAAATACTTTAGATGGTACGAATTTTATATTTGATAAAGTATTTCCAGCAAATGATATAAATTTAAATAATAATTATCAAGTTTATAAAAGAACTTGTAAACCAATAATTGATAAATTTTTAAATGAAGGATATAATGGTACTGTATTTGCTTATGGTATGACAGGATCAGGTAAAACTTATAGTATGAAAGGTGATGAAAATGAATTAGGATTTATTGAATTATCTATAAATGAAATATTTGCAAAAATTAATAAGGAATCAAGTGACTTAATAAAATTTCAAATTAATTTATCATATCTTGAAATATATAATGAGAAGATTATTGATTTGCTCAGTAGTAGCAGTAGTACCAACAATAATAATAATCTACCTATGACTGATTTAAAAATACGAGATGATCCGGAATTTGGTATAAAAGTTGTTGGTTTGAATACCCCCTTAATAACTTCAAAAGATCAAATATTATCGTTAATTAGAAAAGGTGATTTAAATAGAAAAACAAGTGCAACTGATTTTAATTCAAGGTCTTCAAGATCTCATTCAATTTTACAAATAAGATTAAAAACTATAAATACTTTAACAAATAATGAAATATTATCAACTTTATCATTATGTGATTTAGCTGGTTCTGAAAGAGCTTCTTCAAGTTTAGAAAGGAGAAAAGAAGGTTCATATATTAATAAATCTTTATTAGCATTAAGTAATGTTATAAATAGATTATCATCATCTTCAATGGCAAATTCTTCAACAACTTCATTAGCATCAATGACAAATAATGGAATGGTTGATAATCATATTAGTTATAGAGATTCAAAATTAACTAGATTATTACAACCTGCTCTAAGTGGTAAAAGTTTAGTACTGATTTTATGTACGATTCATATGGGATCGAATTTAAACTCAAATAACAATAATAATTATAATTCAAATCAATCAGTTTCAGAAACTTATAAAACTTTAAGATTTGCAGCAAGAGCTAAAAATATTGTTATAAATGTTGAAAAAAATAATTTTAAAAATATAGAAACAAATGATTTAGAAGCTATAAAATTAATTCAAGATTTAAATCAAACAATTGAAGAACAAAAGAAAGAAATATTTATATTAAAATCATCATCATCTGCAAATTTTATGAATAATAGTAGTATTAATGAATTTGAATCAAATACATTATCTTCAAATATAATAGAACAAGAATTAAAATCAGAAAATAAAATTTTAATTGAAAAATTAAATCATTTAAATAAACTTGTAGATTTACAAAATACTGAAACTATAATAATAAAAGATAATATGATTAATGATATATTAGGTTGTAATTTAGATAATAATACTCAATTAATAATGACAAATATTGAAGAATTTTATAAAAGAATAAATCATGAAATTAATGAATATAAAAATTATATAAAAAATTTAGAATCTCAATTGAAAATTGTTTATCAACAAAATTCATCACTACCACAACACCATCAACAATCTCAATCACAATCTGAAGATGAATTAATGGAAGTCTTGAAAGAACAAGAAGAAGAAATTATACAATTAAAAAATCAAATACAAGATAAAGATCATATAATAAAATCATTTACAAAAACAACAAAATTTAGAAAATTAATTGATTCAAATACAAATAAAAATAAAAATGATTTAACTCCCAAAAATCAAAATTTATTATCAAAAAGTAATTATAGTCTAATGGATCAAGATTATAAACGATATTCTACAACAGTATCAAGAGATTCAAATTTTAGTAAAGGTACAGATGAAATAGATGATGATAAAGAAAATGAACCTGAAATTTTCAAATTAACCACCAATAGTGATAATAATAGAGATTTACTTATAACTCCCAAAAAACCAAGAGCAAGTTTTGATATTTTACAAAGTTTATAGTGATTGTATTAGTACTTAGATATAATTGTAACAATACCCCTTAAGGACCGTTAACTTTTTGAATATTGTAATCTTGAAATTTTTACTTCTTCTTTTGGCTTAGTAAAGTACCATCTTTCAATGGGTGACAATATGAATTTAGATATAAGAATCTTTTTGAAAGTGACGGCGTCAATATGACAGAAACTAAAGATGTTCGACATCAAGAAGTAATAAATATCTGGTAGTTCCTTTTTGGTGTCCGAATTTATTCTATTTCTTTTGAATATGTACCACTTAATTCTATTGCATGCTTTGAATTTGTAAGTTTCAGTAGTTTAAATTGTTCCCTTACTTCCCAGTGTTTCAAGTCTACCATCACCAAGCAGTAAATCCTATGAAAATTGAAATGATCTTCTTTCTAATACTTTTGCAAATAGACCAGTAATAATTTGCTTCATATATTTTATTTCCATTAGAATCTGTTCAATAAATTGTTGTCCATAGTCGTCATTGTTATTATTATCAATGTATTAGTATCTATTACGTCTCGGTTTTCCAACCCTAAAATTACCTCTACCTCTAAACCCTCGATTTCTTCCTCTATAACCAGTTCCCGATCTAAAATTTCCATCATGTCTTTGCTCAAAATTAAATCTGTCATTTCTAGTTTGTCTAAAATTACCTCTAGTTGTACCACTTCCACCGCTTCTGTTACGAAACTTTCTATTTCTAGATAATTCATATTCTTCTTTAAGCCTCTTAGCTTCTTTTTCTTCTTTCTTTTGAATTGCCAAGACTGAATTTTTGACAATTGTTGATGTGTCAGATGGAAAATTGGGATGAGTATGCAATCTGTATTCAAATTCGCCCACAGATGGAAGTTTGTATTCCAAGCCCTTTTCACAGTGTTCAATAAACTCCTTAAATAATTCCAAAATAATTTGAGCTACTATTCTCTTGAGGTTTCCCCATTCTCTATATCCAATAAAATATATAATTAACATGGGATATTTGTATAAAAATTGATCTAATTTATTATAAATGTGATATCCAAATCCTTGAAGTAGACTCAAAGTTTCCATGTGAGAATCTGCCGATTTGTTCTCATAAAAAGGTTTTGTTAACTCTTCCAATTTTTTTAATATCTTTGTTGAATTGAGTTTTGAAAATAAAGATTGTATGTATTTGAATGCATCACCCGTAGTTAAAATCTCCTTATGTGGGTAAAATCTCTGAAGCATCATCAGTGGAATTATATTTTCGTTGATTAACCGTTGAGAAAATAATTCGTCTAATAATTCACAAGCTATCCTCATAAATTCAGCTTTGTTTTCTCCAGGTGGGACCCTAATACCTCTGATTTTAAGAGTTTCAAAATCTAATTCATCACTATTGGATGTAAAATATTTTTCAATCCCATCAAAACCCTCAAAAATGGGGAAGAATTCAGTCATAAATTCTAAAGTATTGTCATCTGTTAATCTGGGTAACTTGTCAAAATTTGTAACCATCGAAAATTGAGTCATAACCTCATGTCTCCAAGCGAAATAATTTTCGACATTATTGATTCGGTAGTGGGAGGACATGATGTTGGTGTTGTTGTTGTACCAATTATTTTTGTTGAAGTCAAAAAAAAGCTTTTGGTGAATTTGCTAGTTGTTCAAATTTGAGTTGTCTGATATCTGTAGGTAGCTCTAATGATAGTCTCACGATCCGGGTATCGTTGACGATGATATTTGCTGGATAATTGATTCTTGAATTTAAGTCGACAGCAATATAATAAAGATGAGAGATACATTCAAATTAAGCGAGTTTAGTGTTAAGGGGTAAATAGAGCTAGGTTAAGGGGTAAATACAATTGCAACAATAAAAATTCACAATGTTAAGTATCAAATCTACTTTTTAATAATATATTACCGGTAAATTCTTCTCAAATATTATTTTAAGATTATATTGTTTGAATAAAATCATGAAGACAGACGAAACGTGTATTCATTTTAAAACGTCACATGTTTTGATCACTCAAACAATTAAAATCTCTTGGTATTTGGCAATCTAATGAACAACTGTTGGAATCAATATAAATATTCAGAAAGATCACTAACTCAATTTAAAAATTGATTCATTTCGTCTTTGATTAAACTGATTCAAAATGAGTTGTGATACCTCAGATTTTAACATTCGGTTTGATTGTGGAAAATATACTTATATATCTGAAAATTTAAATCAAAGTACATTAGAAGGAATTTATGCATGTGGTCAAAATAAATTAAGATTAAATTCTGGTTCTGTTAGTAATTTTAGGTTTAATGATAGATTTGGGTTAATAGTATTGGTCTTTGTATTAAGCTTTATACTTGTTCAAAATTAGAGTTTTAGAGTTGATTGTTTTGAATCAGCAAAATGAGTACTGGCAATGAATATATACATTTTCTTTTTACAATTTCTATTTACATTGTAGTTTCCATTTTATTTACATCTATTAAATCATAAATTTCCTTTTGTAATTTCGTAAGTTTGTTATCAACTGATTCATCCTCTTTCGACTTTTTACCTAATGACATTAATTTTTTTAATCCACTTTTTATAGTTTGATTTGATTCATCTAAATTTTCAACTTCATTATATAATTTCATTAAAATATTTATATTTGTTTCTATTGAACCAACATAATTTATATCATCTCCCTTTTCAATCATAGCTTTAGGTTTATAATATCTAATACTAGCTTTTATCAATAATTTATTTAAATGAATTTTTTGTTCTAAAGTTTCAACTTGTAACCAATTTGCAAAATTTATTGTATCATTAATTTTATTCATAAAGTTATAAAAATCAATTGGTATAAATGATGTTTTAGATTTTTTTAAATGAGCAAAATAAACATTTGTAAAAGTTTGTAAATTTTTTAATAGTTCATTTAATTGATTGAATGTTAAATGAGGTTTTGTACTATATGTTGTCTTCTTGTTGGAATCATTATAATAATGAATATCTTTAAAAAAAGTTGAATACATATTCTCTATATGATCTTGTTTAATGTCAATACTATCTACTTTATATCTTGCAAATACTAATGCAGTAAACATTTCCATAATAATATTAGTTCTAGTTGAACCATTTAATCTTCCATTTTCTCCAACTTTATATATAAAAGAATTAAACATTGCATCATCAATTATTGATGGAATTCTACCATTTTGATGCAGACGAACATTTTTAATTTTATCAAGAAAATTATCTAATACATTATGTCTTTTCAAATCAGCTGGATAAATTCTTAAACCACCCCATTGAATTAATGAAAACCAAAAAGCTTCAACATATTGTTTAAATTTCCCAATATTAATTAAACTATCAAATGTTTGATTTAATAAAAATTTATTTACTGAATATTGTAATTCTTCTAATCTCTTTTTTTCAATTTTTAATTTCTTTTTAGTATTTGATTTTTCAACAAAATTTAAATCACGTTTAAAATCAATTAATGGTTCTGGTGTTTTCTTGAATTTATCAAGATAATTCATGTATACTGATGGATTAATATCATTGTCCAATTCATTGATCACATTTTTTGGTATTAAATCATCAATTTTATCAACATAGGTTAATTTAGGTTTATTTTTTAACCCATTTAAAGCTAATTTAATCCTTAAATCTGTATGATTTTGAACTTTTTGTGAAGCCTTGATAAGTTCATCTGCATTTCCATCATTTTTTTCTAAAAATTGTAAAATTAATTCAATTTCTGGTGAAACTGTTCTTAATACTTTTAATGCTCTTTCATTATATAAATAATGTGAACCACCTTTTAAATCAACACCTGTTCCTGATTCACGACTACATAGACTACTGATACATGTAGCTATTAGTGGCATATCAATATGAATTCTAGTCTTGAGCCAACTAGCTATCAATTTTTTGTTTTCTTCAGGATCTGAAGTTTCCTTAGGTGGCATTGCTAATGATTTTACTTTTAAAAAAATTGCTTCTGCTGTTTTTATATGACCTGCTTCAAGATCTAATAATTTAACAATACGTTCATGTGATGATAAAGTATTATCCTCCAAAATTTTATTTTTTTCAAAATCAGTATATTTTTTAACACCATGCAACAAAATTGTAAAAGTTTGTGAATCAGGTATGATTCCCTTTATATTTAACTTTTTATCTTCCATTAATTCATCAAAAAATCCCCAAGCTTTTGCTTGTCTATGATTAAAATTTTTAACCAATATACTTAGACAAGCATTAAAAATTGATGTAGTTAAATTTTTATTTTTATGATCTTGTATAATTTCTCTTCCATTTTTAAAAGTTTCAATCATTCTATCACTCATTTCATTACTAACTTTACCCCATGAACTTGTTTTTGAAACTCCATCAAATAATCTTAAATATGTATATCCATCACTTGCAATTCCATAATTTCTTCTTTCATTAAATACTTTAATTCCATTTTTTTGATCGTTTCTATCAAAAAACCATTCCATTATAGTATTCATTCCAACTACCGCATGTCTTTTATCACTTATTCGACATAAATATAACGCTCGTTGAGCTTCTTGATCATATGCTAATAAATCAACTACATTTTTAGTTATAAAATAAGGATCTTTTAATTGTTTTTCATTAGTTCCCAATAAAGTCAATGCTAATGTTCTATTAACTTGTCTTTTATTTGCATCTTTTATTCTCATTACATTTTCAAATATAACTTTTGATTGTTCATTACGAAATTTTAAATCATTAAATCGTAGAGTACTTACACTGAACGGTTTCCCCTGCCTATCTTGAAACATAACAGAATCATAAGTTCTCTTTAGGTTACCTAAAGCTCTACGTAATGTACTTTCTTCTCTTGAAGATTTTTGAACTCTTTCAACTAATCTTTTATTATATCTTATCATTTCTCCATTATTTTGCATTATATCATTTAATTTCTTCCGTATATGAATTTTAATTCTTGCTTCACTAGTTTGATCTCTAGGAATATGTAGTAGTTCAGTGATCTTTTTGATATTCTCTTTCTTTGGTTTCTTCATGATCAGAGTATGATTTGGTGTGTTTGAACTGAATTGGTCTAAGCTTAGAGAGATGCGTGTCGCGATATTTTTCAATTTTTTTGAATCAAACAAAAACAAAAGTCAGTTTCAAAATAATCAAGTGTTTCAATACACACGCGATAAGTATCAATGAGTAAGAATAATGGAAACAATGGTACGGGGGTTACAGAACCATCTCAAAATGAAGGAAGTAGAAGAATTATTTACGATGACAAGTTTCAAAAGGAAAATTGGAAAAATCTACTGAAATCAATCAATAAACTAATACATGATTTTTGGATTTTTAATGTTAAAACCACAATTTTTCGTCTTTGGAAATTAAACATTGTTAGAGGTCGAGGGTTACTAGTAAGATCAATAATGAAAAAACAACTTCAAAAACCAAAAGAGACATATTTATACTCAGCTTTAATTAGTAAAATCAATTCACATATTCCAAAAATTGGAAAATTAATTATAAATAGACTCGTATTACAATTCAAATCAGGGTATATAACAAATAATTATAAATTATGTTTATCATCAGTAACATTTATTGGTTATTTGACTTTAAATGAAGTTGTAAGTCACGTTTTAGTGTTACAAATCATACAATTATTACTAGAAAAACCTACAAATTCAAGTATTAATTTATCAATTGAATTGTTGAAAATAACAGGAGAATTCTTAATTGAAAATTCAAATGCCGCAACTGTTATGATATTAAATAGATATAGAGATTTATTACAAGAAGATGAAAATTTAGATAATAAAACAAAAACTGCAATCAAAAATATATTAAGACAAGGGCAATCTAATTTTAGATCTAATCCTCCAGATATAATAAATATAGTTGATAACTGGGATAAAGAAACTCACTTAATTGATATATCGGCTGATTTGAAATCTCGAGATTATTTGAATTTATATACTTTTGATGAGAAATTTAAAATTCATGAAAAAGAATATAAGGAATTAAGACGAGATATTTTGGAAGAAGAAAATGATGATACCACAACCTCAGGAAGTGATTCGGATTCCTCAGATAGTGATTCTGATTCCTCAGAAAGTGAAGAGAAAAACCAAATAATCCAATCTAAACCCCAGCATGATGAGGAAAACCAAATACTCCGGTCTGAACCCGAGCCAGTGCCCGAGTCAGTGCCCGAACCAGTTGTGTCAGATTTAAGTCAATCTGAACTATTAAAATTTCAAAAAGAAGTATATTTAACAATAATGTCATCAATGTCATCAGATGAAGCAGTATTTAAATTATTAAAATTAAAATTTAAAGAATCAAATTTGAATTCAGAAGATAGTAAAATTTTGTCAGATATGATTATAAAATGTTGTTCACAAGAAAAAACATATTCAAAATATTATGGAATTATAGGTGAAAAATTATGTTTTAAAAATAGAAAATGGGAAAATAATTTTATTGAATTATTTAAAGATTATTATAATAAAATTGAAAATTTTGAAACAAATCAATTAAGAAATTTAGGAAAATTTTTTGGTCATTTATTTTCATGTAAAGCTTTAAACTTGGGTAATTCATGGAATGAAATTAAAATTACGGAGCAAGATACAAATCCTGTAAAAAGAATATTATTGAAATTTATTTTTCAAGAAATGGTTGAAGAAATGAGTATAAATGATTTAAAAAAAATGGTTCTATTGGATAAAAATTTAAAACCTTTTATTAATGGAGTTTTTCCAGTTGTTAATATTAAACTTGAAGATATTGAAAATGTAAGATTTTCAATTAACTTTTTTACAGCTATTGGATTAGGTGTATTGACTGAAGAAATGAGGGACGTCCTAACAGGCTTGGAAGAAATGTTAGATAGAGGTAGAAGTAGAAGTGGGAGTTCATCAAGAAGTAGACTGGGATCAAGTTATTCAAGAAGTAATAGTAGAAGTTATTCAAGAAGTAGATCAGGTTCAAGACAATCATTTTCAAGGTCACCAAGTGAAGAAAGAGGTAGAGAACGTGAAACAAAAACTGCAAAATTCAATGAATCAAGAACTCCTTCAAGAACTCCTTCTAGAGAACCTTTAAAACGTGCAAGATCAAATTCTGAAGATTCTAGATCTAAACTTACTAAAATTTTAAACTCCTTAAATTAATTGCATACTGTTTGGTATTTAGATATAAAAAAGTAGTTTAATAATTGCTATGTTATGCTAAACAATTTCAACTCTTGATTTAATTTTAATGATGGTTCTTGTTAAATTGAATTTTCAAAACTGAAATATAACTCCGTTTTTGTGTAGTGGCTAGTAATTAATAGGAAATAGGGGGTAAATACAAACAAAAAGGGGTAAAAAAACTCTAATACCACATATTCTCTTTTTTAGTAACGAAGTAAATCAATTAATGTATACTAAAACTTGATTTATCTGAAAAATTCAATAAGATAAACTATAAAAACCTATAATGTTCATAGTTTTTGAGGTATTGAAGAATTGAAATTGAAAGTCGATGGGGTATAAAAAAAAATGAAATTTTATGATAATTAATTAATTCTTGTAATTTGATAAAAAATTTGAGCAGCAGAACCATCATTTAATAAAGTTCTTTTTGGTTGTTGAAAATTCCCATTACAATAATTATCAATAATTGAATTAAAACCAAGGGCTTTATCATTTGTTATACTTTGATAACGATTATATAATACTTGTATATTTTGATAATCTCCAAAACTTCCTGGAGTTAATTGATCATATAACCAAATAAAATTAGCTTGTGAAGTTAATTGATTAACGTATTGAGTTTGTTGTAATAACGTTATCAAATCTGCTATTCCAACAAATAATAAATGAGAATAACTTAAATTATTATTCCAAACTCCATTTGAATTTAAAAATACTGTTGATTCAAAAACAGAATTTGCTAATTTTATTGCTTTATTTAAATATAATCCATCACCTGTAAATTTTGTAAGATATGAATAAGTAGAAATTGCTGTTCCAACTGTATAAGTTAATTTTCCTCTATTTATTGACCAATCTCTACTATCAATTCCATCAAAATAAAATCCATCAGTATCAGTTAAATGAGTATCTAACCATGAAAGACAACTATTTGCAAAAGTTAATAAAGTTTTATCATTATTATATTCATAAACTCTTACTGCACTTAAAGCTGCTTCTGTTGTAGATATAGATGCAATATAATTTGCTCCAACTTCCCATGTAATACCACCTATAGTAGACCATTGAGTTTGAATTAAATGAATCAAATTTATTGCAGTTGTTAAATACTGTTGATTTGAAGTTAATTTATAAGCATCTAAAAATACCCATAAAACTTGTGAATTATCATCAGTATAAGCTTGAGATCCACCAGGAGTACTTGTAAACCAACCAGTTTGTTGATTTTGAAATTTATATAAATTATTTATAACTAATTGAGTTTTGGTGGTGTCACCTGAATTAACTATTGCTTTACCTGCAACTGCAACATTCCAAACAGAATCATAATTAAAACCAGATTGACATTGAGGATCGTACGCGTTAAATGCTTGATATTGATTATTCCAAAATAATGACCATGTAGCATTTATAGTAATTTGAAAAGCTAATTCTGGATCCCATGATGTTGAATCACGTTTTGGATTTATAGATCTTATATCTACATTTATTGGTGATGAAAATGTATAATTTAAAAATAGTAGAATTGAAATGAAAAACATATCCATTTTTGGTAAATATGTATGAATGAATGAATGAATCAATAAATGAATAATTTTAAGCTATGAATAGTAAAGCTTTTTGATCAAAGCGATAGTTGATGAAGCGAAAGCTAAATTTCTTGCAAGATAATCAACATAAAAGTAAAGACTAGTATTCTGGAAATTTGAAATAGTTATATCATTACTAAATTATTGAAATATACTCTAATATTTAAAACCATAAATTTAAATATAAAAATTTAAGAAACAATAAACATGGTGAAATATGTACAATTGATTAAGTAGTTCTTACAATAGTTCAGTATGAAAATCCTTAATATACTATAGTATAATACTTAAGCTTATTACTATGATTTATATTAAATGTGTAAATATTTATGCATTATTATGTGGGAAAAAGAAATAAACAGTGGGTAATAATTGATAGATAAAATGAAAAACGGTTATAAGTTTTGAAAAAATTGATAATTGCATATTGAACACAAAATCAAAAACTTATAAGCACACACACATATCCAAGCACATGTGAATAGCCACAAAATCAAACACACGAAAGTAAGAAATAAGCGATCACTTTCGATAATTATAGGTTTATTCGAGAAAGTAAATCTTTGTTGGATGCGTATCCTAGATAACGAGAATAGTCCACTTAAGAAGAAGAAGTACAGAGTAGAAAGCAATATACTTTCGCTTATATTGTTTGATGAAGTTCTTACTTAAACGAAAGAAAGAAAAAAACCCTTTCAATTATTACATTGTTTTGTTAAATTTTTAGTTTTTTAAAAGTTTGATGGTTTCTTTTTTCTATTTATCTATTTGCTATATTATTTTTATATTAGTGAAAGGGGTGGGGGAGGGGCAACGTTTCAAACACTAATAAAAACAAATCTATACTTTGGTTCCAAATTGCATGGTGGTTAAATTAGAGTACTATAGCCCGTCCAATTATAAGGTCTTGCTTTTAAAATTTTCAAGGCAGAGCAAGTACTTGTCACTTACTATCTCTTATTGGAATTTTGACCTACTAGCCGTGGACATCAAACTGACTTATAGTACTAAGCCAAAACTTTTATATTGTATATTTTGTTTTATTACTGTTAACAGTAAGTTGTTGAGGTAGTAAAGTGAAACGAAGTACTACTGTTGATAAAATTATTACAGTATGTTACTATAATTTTCTGATTTAGTGTAAGAACTCGTATCTCTCTTTATTTTTTAACACAAAATTAATTCTATGCCCTAATTGAGTTAATTAATTAAATACATACAGATTTTGTAACCTTAATTTACAATTTCTATACCAAAAGATAAACTGATAGTACCATACAGAAATGAGGAGACAAAGAATTTATGAAACAAATTTTAATTATGCTACGACTCTATTATAATATTGGTCTTAAAATGTTGCCGAGTTCAATATTTGTATAAGATCAAACCAGCATTTTACTATGCCCTTTCTCCATTTCTATTTTTAATAAATGGTAAATTTAGAACACTAAAATAAGCCACATCAAATTGAAGTCCTTAGACTAAACCTTAGAGTATATAGCTTTACCTAAATCCTTTTAGAAGAGACCAACACCTGTGGAATTTTATTGCCGACTTGAAACCTGAAGATAATAACTCGTTTATAAGTAAACGTAGATCCATTTAAAAAATAATAAAAATAATTCTTCGTAAACCTCTTTGATAATAATTTATTATTATCGTAATTAATTATTATTATAATTATATATTATGAACTATATAATATAATAAATATGCATTTGAATTTATAACATCTATTTGATCAACTATTGAAATAACACTATCATCAAATTTAAACCATAAATTTTGAAAATTTTTTATATAAACTATATAATGTCCTGTATTTACTGATCCAATATGACAAACAATTGAAAATAATTCAAAAAATTGATTTGATTGTTGTGTTTGCTGTTGTTGTTCTCCTTTTTGATTTTCTTTATTTGAATCTTCTTCACTTAAATATCTTGATAAATCTAAATATAAAGGAATTTCAACTGGAGTTTCAATTTTTGAACTTATATCATTTAAAATATTATGATTAAATCTTTTTAATTGAATTGACAAAATGGGTGATAAATTTTTTAATTTTAAAGTCTTTGTTGCTTTTGATTTATTTTGACAAATTTTACATTTTATCATTGAATCTAATTTTTCTTCTTGAGTGAAAAGATTTAAACAATCATATAAATTTATTTTACTTTCTGGTTGTGATTGATTCAAATGATTAATTTCTAATGATATATCTATCATTGGATCAACTGTTTCTGTTATTGATTTACATGAATTACATTTAACACAACTTTGTAATTCAAATGAAAAAGTTGAATGGGTTATACATTTACATCCTTTTGAATCTAAATTTATAATAGATCCATTTCTTGATCTTGATGTATTATGTTCATGATCAATATCCATTGAATCATTAATATCGTCTGTGTGTCCATTACTATTAGTAGCTCCATTAGTTGACCCATTACTATCACTACTACTACTCCCATTAACTTCTCCATTTTGTGTAACTTGTTTTTGTGTCACCATCACTCTTTGATAATCTTGATGAAATTCATTCAATAAAAATTGCCAAAATTCATGAGCATCTTGTTCTTGAAATCCAGCTAAAGATTTTTGTTTATACCAAGAAGTAGTTAATAAATTAGTCATTCCAAACCCTTCATTATTTGTTGTTGTAAAAAATTTTTTAAAAATTGAATCAATACTACATGTAATACATGCATTTTTTTCATTAATAATTCCATGAATTTCTTGATTTTTCAAATGATTACAATTAAAATAATGTAAATCATTATTAAAAAATTGATTTTTAATTAATGGATTATGTATAAATGTTTGTAATATGGAACTCATAAAACATGTAGCTCCTAAATTTACAAATCCTTTTAATCCTAATATTGATAATTTATTTGGATTTGTATAATTTTCATTTTGAAATTCATTATTTTCATTATCATTAACTTCATTATCGTTGTCATTGTCTTTGTCATTGTCATTGTCATTAGAATCATCATCGTCCTCATCACCATTATAATTATTAATCACTACTTTTGATCTAATTCTTTCTAATTTAGGATGATTAATATAATTATTACACTTAAAACAATATAATAATCCGTATTTCGAATCAATTGCAAACATATGTTGAGTAGCTTTGTAATGATTAAAAGAATGTAAATCACAACCAATATGAGGACATTGTAAACATATCATATTTTGTTGAAAATTTGTAATTGAACAATCACTACATTTTAAACTTTGATTTTTTTTTAATTTTAATTTATATTGATCAATTATTGAATTATTTTGTTTCAATTTGTAAGTATTTGAGTTAATTATTGGTTGTGATATTTTAACTGCTTGTTTATAAGTATCAAATACTGTTTTTGAAGCTTTTGATTTCAATACTTGATTTAAATGATTACATGATTTTAAAGAATAATAATTATCCGGTAGAATTTTTTGATGCTTATTTGAATTTTTAAATGCAATTGGTACGGATGATGACGATGATGCTGGTAATGATGTTGAATTTTCAATTTCTTCTTTTTTGATATTATTTGATGAATTTTGTAAATTCTTTTCCCGTATTGAATTGTTTATATTAGTTCCTTCATTATGCATAGTATTCTCCTTTTTAATTTTAGGTGTTGGAGTAGATTTCCTAGATGATGACATAATTTTGTTAATATTGAATTTGAAATGATGCAAAAAAATAAATGGCAATAATATTGAATAGAAATTGCAAATGCTAAATGGAATGAAACAAAAATGAACAAAGTACGATGTGAATGAAAAATGTAATAACGAAATAAAAATGCAAGTGATAATGAATGTCTTTATTGGTTTAAGTGTCTTATTTGATGAATAGTTTAGTTAGTTTAAGTAGTATTTCAATGGTAGAAGTACCTTAAATTTTGATCTTGTTCGAAATTTAATTTTTTTTTGATCTAATTTTGGATTTAACGGTATTGTGATCTAAACTTAGTATGACGCAAGTATCACTACTACTACTACTAACAACAACCTATAGGTTGCAATGTACAACAGAGTAAAGAGCAATGACTTATTGTCATGGTTGATGGATGACAGTGAAAGACAACACTGTTGAGAAATGATACATTTGTATTGTTTGTTTCAATGTATTAAACTGTATTATAAAATCAATTCGCAACCATGTATAATAATTCTTTGTTTGCACCCAAACTAATTAACAACAACAACAACCACTAAATGAACCTCATCAAGTTTTAAACAAAATAGCAGATAAAATATTATCAGGTATATTAGGAATATCTTCAAACATATTGTTAGCCAAATTAATTTCATTTATTTCAATCTTCTTTAATTTATTATTTAATATATTAAAATTAAATTTATTAAAAAAATTATTACTTAAATCAATAAATTTTAAACTTGATTTTCCTTGGTGATAAAATTCAATTTCAAATGTTTTGAAGTTTAATTTATTATTTGATAAATTTAATGATATTAATGAATTTGGTATTAAAATTTTATCAAATTTGTGAATTTTACATTGATTTAGTGTTAAAAATTGTAAATTTTTTGGTATTTGAAATTCAGTATTTAAAATCTCTTGAAATTCATTACTTGATAGATTTAAATTTTTTAAATTGGTAGGTAAATTATTCAAATCAGCTACGGATTTTAATTGATTATTTTGTAATTGTAACCATTCTAAATTTTCCAACTTCTCCAAGTCAATTTTATTTATAAAATTTGAATCACATTTAATTGATTTTATTGAGCAAGGAAAATCTTCAATTTTTAACTCTTCCAAACTATTAAATGATAAATCAATATTTTGTAAATTTTCAAAATTATTTAAATTCATTCTTGTTATTTTATTATTTGATAAATTTAAATTTTTTAATTTTAATAATTTTTCAAATATTTCAAACTTCGTGATTTCTGAATTCTGAATACTTAATTGTATAATTTGTCTTGGAAATTTAAATTGATTCCAATCTGTTTCTTTACATTCATCAAGAATTAATTTAGATAAATTATCACCAATAATTGAATTAATTTTTGTTTTTGAAACATTTAAATATGTTGTATTTGAATTTAATTCAATAGATGTAAGATTTGGATTATTTGATAAAATTAAATCTTTTACAGATAATTCACTTGCATTAATATCTGCCTCCAAACAATTTGAATCCATTCTTAAAATTTTCAAATTGGAATTTTTTATTAAAAAATTTATTTCATTCAGTTCTAAATTAACAATTTCTAATAATGATGGAAATGCCAACTTATGTATACCTTTCAATTTTACATTTATTAATTTTAAAATTTTTAAAGATGAAGGAAATCTAAATCTTTGAGTTATATAAATTGGAGAATTTATAACTTCCAATCTTAATAAATTTAAACAACTTGAAATTTTATCATTTAAATCTTGAACATCATCAATATTTTCAATTTTTAGCTTTAGGAGCTTACTTAAATTACAATTTTTTTTAATTTTCCATTTTCCCCCCATAATATAAAGAAATCTTAAACTATCGGGGAATGAACTTATATGAGAACTTATCATACAATCAATTAATTCTAATTTTTTTATATTTTTGGGGAAATTTAATTCTCTTGTTTGAATAAATGATAAATTTGATAAACTTAATGATGTTAATTGATTAAATTTTGAAAAATTTAAACATATACTATAAGATGAATTTAATTTTAAATTTTTAAATTCTAAAAAGCTTTTTGGATAATTATCTTTCCTTCCAATTAGTCTTGTTTCACCATTAATACATAATATTTTTAAATTTTTATTTAAATTAAATTTACTAAAATTTATATTATCAACATTATGTAATGAAATTTCTTTTAATGTGATTGGAAATTGATTAAAATCATTTAAATTTAAACCATTTGCAATTACTAATTTTTCTAAATTGTTGGGTAATTTTATGGACTTTATATCTTCAATTGGTCCAAATACATAACCATTTCCATAATGATGTAAACCAATAAATAAACCTAATGATTTTATTTTTTGATAAAATATATTATTTTCAATAATTAAATTAAATATAACTTTAATTTGATTAATATATGAAGTTGAAAATTTTATATATATGAAATTTATCTTATTAATTAACTTTGTTTGATTTAATTTAAAATATTTTAAAATTTGTAATAATATATTACATCCATTATTATTTAAAATTAAATCAATATATAAATCTAATTTGTTTATTGAATTTTTAAAAAATATATTAAAAATTTTATCAGGATTTAAAATATTTGTTGAAATATATATAATTTTTTCATTATTTAAATTTAGTTGCATCTGATCATCATCTTCATATCTTAATGATTTCGTTAATGCAATCTCTCTTGATAAATTATTATTACCAAAAAACAATTCATAATCCATTGAAATCCAATAATAAATTTTTTCAATTTTCAAAGAATCATCTTGAGTTGTACTATTTATAATTAATGGTGAATAACATGTTAAATTTTCATTATTTAAAAGTTTAAATTTTCTTATATTAGGTTTCATATTAAGTGTTTCACTAATTGGATTGAAAGTTTTATCTAAAAAATTATTATCAATAGTATTAAATTGTTTTGTATTAATTAATTCTGTTGATGTTTTTTCTTGTGGTTTTATTGTATTGAATCCTTGACAAATATGTGAGATTTTTGGTGGTGATGGTGTTTTACAATGTTCAATGTCTGAGGATCGAAGTAAGGTAAGACTGTTCGCAGCTTGATTTGATTTAATTTCTGGAAATTTCATTAATTTATCCTCAAATTTAGTTGGAGGCTTAATTTCAACTAGTTCACATGATTGAACTTCTGATTGATCAGTAGATTTTTCCTCCAATTGTGCTGTTGATCTTACTTCAAATTGTTCAATAGATTCAATTTGGTTTGATTCTGAATTTGCAGCATTATTTTGTATATCAGCTGATGCAAAACCGGTTTTTTCAAATGAGCTTGTAGCAGTTTTTAATTGCATATCAATACTATCATCTGTTGATTGAATAAGTTTATTACCTGTTGTATTTAAATCAATATCACTAAATTTTGCTGAATTAATCAATTCATTTTTAATATCAATTATATTATTTTGAGAACTAAGTGGCTTAATTGATGCTGATGAACCTGATGAATTTCTATTTGTTATTTGATCAACTACATGACCTGTCTCTGTCATTAACTCATGAATCTTGGCTGTAATTATAGATGTCATTCTGGAAGGAAATAGATTGGAAGTGGAAGTCAAATTGTAATGAAGATATTTTGGTTGTAAAAAATCTATTAAAATTCTAAAAATGTTTTGTTATGTAACAGAATTAAACTACCAAATGCAATATTTCGTAAAACATAATCTTCTGACACTCAAATAATGTCACTATATGCTAATCATAAAAATCATCATCATCATCATCATCATCCTGGTCATTATTTCTAATTGATTTCTTAGCAAACCTTAATCTTCTTGATTCTTGTAAATCTTCATCTTCATCATTAATAACTAATCTTTTATCATTTTCATTTATTGCTCCAAGATCAACTAATACTTTTTCCAAATCTTTTAAAGTTGTTGAATTCCCACCTAATTGAGTTAAAGTAATATATTGTTTTAAAACATTTTCATTATGATATATAATTAAAGTTGGACAATTTGTTTCAGGATAATTTTCAATACATCTTTGAGCAGGAATTTCACAAATTTTTAATTCAGGAAATTTTTTTGATAATTCTTGTAATAAAGAATTTAATAATCTACTTTGTAAATTTGATTGTAATGATAAATGGACTATTACATATGAATCTTTTGATGCTTTTGTTACTTCATCTTCATATTCATTTTTACTTATTGGTATTATAGAACCAAATTTTTTCTTTTCTGATAATTTCTTTATTTCATTAAATCGTTTCTGTTTATAAAAATTTAAAAATTCTTCATCTTCTTCATCTTCTAATTCATTTAATTCTTCTAAATCTTTATTTTCTAATCTATTTTCATACTGTTTTTTAACTGCTTCATCTAATGCTTCTTCTAATTGTTGTGTTGGAGATGGTGGTTTTTCTGGTATTACTCCATGAGCACGTAGTATATCATTCCATTCTGTGTCTTCATCTGGATTTACTTGTACTGAAATTTTAGGATCGTTATTCATTATGATACAATTGACAAGGTGTTTATGTATAGAATTGCAATAATCAAATTCATGTTTCGAATATTGCGGAATAATTCAAAACGGGTGTCATTTTTCAGTGACGAAGTCTTACTTTTCGTGACATTGCAAGATGAGATTATATCAAGCAACTCAACAACATGTCCATAAATCAAGAGATATTATACTACATCAATTATTAAACAAATTGGTTCTTTTTATTTAAAATTAATATATACAGAGTGTGGAAATCTTTCCTTTTGATTAAAAAAAAAAAAAGGTCTATTAAAATTGAAATTTTTTTTGCTTGTGAAATAAATATATTAATGAAAAAGTTGGTGATATAATCATGTACTTATGGTAAAATTCAAGTTCTAATAACTAAATTTAATCTGAAGTAGCTTTCTTTAAATAAGTAACTAAATCATTTCTATCTTTTGCTTTTTTCAAACCACCAAAAGCCATTTTAGTTCCTGGAATATATTTTTTTGGATTTTCTAAATAATCATGCATTGATTGTTCTTCCCAAGTAACTCCCTTTTTTTTGTTGGCATCAGTATATGAAAAACCTTCAGCTTGACCTGATTTTCTACCAAAAACACCATGTAAATTTGGTCCAACTTTATTTGGACCACCTTTTTCAACAGTATGACATTGTAAACATCTTGTTTTGAATAAAGTTGCACCTTTCTTTTCTGAACCTTTTTCGTATGGAGCTGGCATTGTTTTTTTATATGTAGTGAGTTAGTTTAGTTTAAGTTGAAAAATATAAATATAAAGAAAAGAAGAATTAGTTTATATATATTTATGTAGTATGTTTAATGATTATATTTTTTTCTATTCTACTTTTGCTAATTTTTATTTTATTTCAAACTGCAAAAATTTAATTGGTTTAAAATTTTCATAAATTTTTTTTTCACTAGTCTAATAGTAAAACAAGCACAATAACAATAACAAGATCAGTTCCAAATAAAGACTGAATAAGTAATTATACAGCTTATAGATAAATAGAGCAAAATACTCAAAAAAAAACACGCAGTAGAATTGGTGGTAGGCTCAGTTATGTATTGATGGCGGAATTCAATATATGTTAACTATAGACGAAAAATTAAAGTAACTATTCTATTCTCTCACAATACTTGTAAATGGAAGGTGTGTGTTGTTCTCAGATGTGAATAAAAATTAAATGACCTAAGTTTTAACTTGCGTTGTATCATTACGTGGCCACACTGTCGTACCAAACCACACTAGCCCTTTGTACAAAATTTACGTCCAGCTTAAACTTCAATCATCTCAAGAAATTTTACATTTTCCACGGGAATAACACTCCGTACTATTCCGTTCAACTGTTCGAGAAACGTCATATTTTAACTTTGTTGATTCAATTTGAATTATAATACTTCATACATTTAGTGTAATTATAATTTTGATTTCTTGCGATAATTGCGAGATATTAATTTACATCAATATATATATATAAATTGAATTGATCAAGTTTTTTGTATACTTTATAGAGGTAACTAAAGTTCTATCGACAGCAAATCCTACAAGTACTTATTTCATTAATCATGAACAAATCATATTCATTAAACATTCAATAATACATTTCTAAAAATCATTTTCATTAATATTTGCTTTATCACACATTGATCTAAAAATTCCATCTTTTTTATTAAATAATTTAAAAGGTTCACCTTTTTCAATAATTTCACCATTATCCATTACAATAATTCTATCATAATTTAATAAAGTTTTTAATCTATGAGCAATACAAATAACAGTACAATTTTTAAATTCTGATTTTATTGTTTTTTGAATCATTAAATCTGTTGATAAATCAACTGATGAACTTGCTTCATCTAATATTAATATCTTGGAATTTCTAACTAATGCTCTTGCTAATGTAATTAATTGTTTTTCACCTAATGAAAAATTATTTCCTTCATCATCAACTATTTGATCTAAATGAAATTTAAAATTTTTTGAAATTTCTTGAGAATTTAATTGTTGTTGTTGAAAAAATTGATCCTCACTTAAAAGTCCTGATCTATATAATGCTTTCCATAATGTACCATCTAAATGTTCATTAAAAGGATCTAAATTTTTTCTTATAGTACCTTGAAATAATACTGGTTCTTGAGGTATAATTGATAATTTTGATCTTAAATCATATAATCCCAATTTTGAAATATCAATTCCATCAATTTCAATTTTACCACTTTCTAATTCTGTAATTCTATATAATACATTCATTATTGAAGATTTTCCTGCTCCTGTTCTACCACATATTCCAATTTTTTCACCAGGATAAAAATTTATATTTAAATTTTTTAAAATTAATGGAGTATTTGATCTATATTTCATATAAACATTTTTAAAAGTTATATAACCAGATGATGGCCAATTTTGAGGTGATTTATTTTCATCAATTTCATAAGAAGATTCTTGAGGTAAATTAAATGCATAATCATATAATCTTTCAACTGAATTCATTTCATTTTCAACTGATGTCATTGATCTTATAGTTAATGATAATACTCCAACTAATTGAATAACATAATTTAACAAAAGCCCAGTTGATGAAGCACTAATATTAAATTGTCCAGTTATACAAAGTAAACAAATAATTAATGCAAAACATGAAGTAATCATATCTAAATGAACACATAACCAACGTTGAGTTGCAATTGATAAATAATAAGCTTCATTCATTTTATTTATAAAATAATCATTCTTTGTTATAAAATCTTGTTCAACTTTAAAAGATTTTATAGTTAACATACCAGTTAAAGTTTCATTAAAATTATTATAAACTAATGATCTTTGAGTTGATTCTAATCTTTTAATTTCTCTTGATGAACCTTGATAAAAATTAGCTAAAAATATAAATGCAAATATTAAAAATGGTACAGCAATTATAAAATATGGTAAATAACAACTACATAATATAATTATACCAATAATTAAAGCTAATGGGAATATGAATAATCTCATTTGTTCACCTAATTCATTATCTAAAGAATCTGTATCCTTAGTAAATCTATTTAATATTCTACCTAATGGTGTTATATCCATATATGACATTGGAGTATGTAAAATTTTATTAACAGCTTTTAAATTTAAAAAATTTGATGAACAATCTTGCATATATGCTAATATACTAAATTCAATTGCAGTAAAAATAACAGTTAAAAAAGCAAATATTATATAAAATATAATATAAAACAGGTCTGTTTTATTATTAAATTTTTTTTCCATCCAAAATGATAACCAAGTATTTGTAAAAACTTGACAAAATGTTGCTATAATAACAAAAATCAAAAATATGGGGATTGCAAATTTTCCCAATTTTCCACTTCCTAATTCAATATATTTTTTATAAATTGACCATGAAATTGCATTTGTTGCTCTTTCTTCATCTGATGTTGTTCTACCAGTTATACTTGAGTCTAGTTTTTCTAGATGTTGAGTGGATTGATTGAATGAGTTTAAATCTGATAAATCTTGGTCATCTTCTTCAAGGCTGCTCTTCTTCACTGTTCCCTGTGAATCTCCCCCATGTTCTATTAATTTTCTAAAATCTTTATTATCAATCATTAAATCATTTACAGTTCCAACATCAACTGATCCATTATTTACAAATACAACTTTATCTGCAAAATCCAATATACTTAATTGATGAGTAGCTAAAATAATAGTTTTATCACGTAACAAACCTTTAAATAAATGATTTACAATATGTCTTGCAACTTTTGAATCAACTGCAGAAATAACATCATCAAATAATAAACAATCAGCATCAGTATAACAAGCTCTTGCTAAATTTATTCTTGCCTTTTGACCACCAGATAAAGTAATACCTCTTTCACCAATTTCAGTTCTATCACCAGCTGGTAACATTGAAATATCATCTTCTAAAGCACATGCATACAAGACTTGTTTATATTTTTTTAAATTAAATGGTTTACCAAATATTATATTTTCTTTTATTGTTGCATTTTGAATCCATGGTGAAGAACATAATAAAATTTCAACTGATTTTTCAATTGATCCTTGAGATAATTTTATAAATCCTGCTAATGCATTTAATAATGTAGTTTTACCTGATCCTATTGGACCAGTTATTATAACTAATTCTTTATTTTTGATAGTTATATTAACATCAGATAAACCTAATGAGCTACCTTGAGTTGTAGTTGAATCCATATCATAAGTATCTGAATCCCAATTTTCTTTTTCTTCTTCTTTGGAACTGATTGTATGATGATTTTCCCAATAAAAATCTGCATGAGATACTTTTATTGCTATATCTTCATTTTTAAAATAATATTGATTCTTAGGATTAATTAAAATTTGATTTAATTCTTCATTAAATTCTTGTGCTGATAAAAATTCATTACATCTTTGAAATCCAATTAATGCATCTGCTCCAGTAGCTAATGCAATAGGTAATAACATTATAGCTTGAGCTAAAATTGCATATAATGATAATGAACTAAATACTTCTCCTGGACTTTTCATATTATTTGTTCCCCACATTGTTATAAATGAAATCATTGAAGTTAAAACAGGTAAAGTAACAGCATAAGCAGTTATAAAATTTCTTAAAACTTTTATAGTAAATAAATGATTCATTTCTTTATTTCTTATTTTTGATATTGCTAATTTATAAGCTTTTTCCCATGCATAAAATTTTATAATTTTTAAATTATTTAAAATTTCTCTCATTAATGAAACTCTTTCATCAGTATATTTAACAACTTTTTCTCTTGTTTTAAATAATACACTTGTTAATATCACACAAATAAATAATGAAATTATGAATAATCCAATACCAGCTAATGCTGCAACTCCCATATTTTTTATTAAAATAACAATAGATATTATAACTGGTATAGGAAAACAACAAATTAAAGGTTGGAAACCAATAGCTAAATCAATTCTTGATAAATCTGTACTCATTAAACTAGTAATTTTACCCACGGGGAATTTATATCTTGAATCATTATTTAATTTAAACAGTTTCATTAATAAAGCTTTTGTTAATATAGCTTTTGATTGAGCTCCACAAATCATTGCATTATGAAAAAAATGATTTAATAATAAACCATTTATAAATATTAATATAACTGATCCAATAGTTAATCCAATACCTCTATTATATGTAGTATATACTCCAAAATATTTATATTGAACAAAATCAATAATTTGACGAGTTATTAATGGTGAACAAGAAATACAAACAAATGCTAATGCTAAACAAATACATGAAAAAATATATTGTTTTTTAAAAGTAAGGAATAAAGCATAAGGTATAGCATATTTTGGCCAATTATATTGATCTTTTGAAATTATTGGATTTAAATTGTTTATAAATTTATCATACATATATTCAACTTTTAATTCAGGAGTTAATTTAAATAAATCTGAAGGATCTAATGTTCTCTTGTAACCAATTTTTAAAACAGAATATAACCACCAAAATCCCATACGATTTAATGGATTAGTTATATGCCATGGATAATCTTTTCTTTCATTTTCATTTGGTATTGGAGGAACATTTTTGCAAAATAACCATGAAAATAATCTTTTTTGATTAGTTAGTTCTGGTTGTGACTCTAATGTTGAGGATGATAATGACGAGGATGATGATTGATTGAATAGATGATGGTTCTGATAGTAATAATTTAGTTGCCGATTTTCTATTTCTTTTGAATTGTTTATATTGGTAGCATCCGGGTTTTGGTTATGATAACTTTCGGTAAATATATTATGCAGAGACTTATTATTATCATTATTGTCGTACATTGTACTTGATGATCGTAGATATGGATTGTTAGTTTTAGTAGTATGAAACATTTGGTAAAGCTTTTAATGAGTAATAGGGTATCAGTTGTGTTAATCGAAAAATTACAAGATTATAAGAAAATTGTTAATATTCGATACATTAATTGATATATATATTCCTTCTACAAATTATAAAATGATTATCTACATCTGTTCGAATAATAAAGTTTAAAGCACTCAAACTTAAATTTTTGATATGAAATAATTACTCTTGAACAGGGCTTCGATTGTAATTATTATTTCAAGTGAAACCCCAAGAATTTGTCGTGTTGCGAAAAGTATGTGTCGTTAAACAGAATATGTTTTGTCGTTTTTTTAAAAAAAATATTTTTGTCGTTTTGCAAAACAGTTTTGGTCGTCTTTCAAACTCCATAACTCGAAAAAAAATCGATTTATTTCTACAAAAGTATACTACTCCATGTAGAAGTTACCATTGAATTAATTATAATTCATAGCTAGATAAAGAGTAAAAAGATTTTTAAAAGGTAAGGTGTTCTCCTAAATCTTTAAGTCTCAGAAATAGTCCTGTGATGGATGTTCTTTTTTTAATTAGAAGACAACATTGTATTCAACAACAAATGGCACGAACGGCTTAAGAACAATTTGGTTCCCTTGGAGCTTTTAATTTCATAAGCCATTCTCTAAATTTTTCATTTTCCTGCTCAAATATTTCCAAGTATTCACCAAATTTTGCTAAATATTCTCTATATTGATCTGAATCTTCACCAAATATCCTAAGAATCCTATATTTTCTTTTAAAATTTGCAATATAATTCCAGTTAATATCGCTTGTAAAATTTTTTGGAGGATGATTTAAGGGACAAGTTAAAATTGTTTCAGAATCATCATAATCTCTTAATTTTAACCAATATAATTCATCATCAGTTAACCATAATTTATCATCAATTTCTTCAAATAAACCTCCACATTCAATAAATGAAACATATTCAGGTTTTATATCTTTTGGATATACTGAAAATTTTGAATTTATTGTACCATCTGTTTCTTCATATGAATATTTAATTTGACTTTCTACTTTAACTGTAGAATTCTTTAATGGTAAATAATTTGGCATTCTAGTTTTTGATTTAAAATTCTCTTTGAATGTTTATCGAAGGATAAGAATTTTTAATTTATAAATTTAATTTAATTGGCTTAGTTGGTAATTTGATTCACTTACTAATACATTGTTTTTACATAGTAGGTCACAATACTTACCATTTTGCAATCATTTGGTTTTTCTCATATCAATTTACAGCAAAATTCAAACGACTTCATTTCAATAAACTAGGTATCAACAAAATCAACTATCATTTTTGGATTTGGTTTTACAATGTTTTCCAATTCTTTGCCATGAAACTCTTTTTTTGTGCTATTCAAAAATTTTGCAGATCAATCATGTAAATTCGCATTATCGACTGAACTTTTGATCGGAGTCGAATCCAAAAATTGTTTGGACATTGGACTCAAAGAAAGATTGCATGAGACGAAATGCTTCTTCTGTCATACGAGTTCGTCTTGTTCAATCTTTGAAAGTATGATTTGGAAAACGACAAAAAGACATTTAAAGAAACAAACGAGACATTTCAAAAAGGACAAACTATACTATTGTAAACGAACGACAAAAGTTTCACTATACGACAAAGTTCTGCGGTATTACTGTATTTTAATATATTATAATTGTTTGTCTGTTTCACCCCATTAGCTTATCTATATTGCTTTTATTTTTATTATTGTTTCCTTTGTAAAATTTATTACTTGAATTACTGCAAAAATATTTTATTTTAATTGCCGAAAATAATAAATAATAAAATTTGACACAAATTCAAAACATTAAATTTTAAATAAATTATCTTAAAGGGGAAATTTAAATCAAACATTTTAAAACCTCATACATTTCAATTAGTTGATGTAATAGATCTACAACAGCTCATAATTCAAATCCCAGTAAAATATAAACATTTATGCAATAAATATGTCTAAATTAATGCAACTGAAAAAAAAATTTAATAGATTTAAGTTACTTTACATTTCCTATCTGCTCGGGGAAATAACTCATCCACCAAATTACTAATCAAATTTAAATTCGTTTCATTTAAATGGAAGGTAGAATTAATAATGATCGTCGATTCTTTAAACTTGATAAAATTGCTAGTGTGAGCATTAACTAGATTGAGAATTTTCAAAAGATTTAGTTTGAATTAAACTTTAGACTATTTTGAAGACCAATCTATATTTTAGATATATTATAATTATCAGCCCATTTTCAAATTACCAATTCAAGCATATATACTCCAACATTCTATTACATCGTGAGTGGCTTGGTACTGAATAAAAAGCACTTTAAAATATCGATTTATGAAATTCAAATACAATTCGTCATTTTGGGGAAAATTTTGATAAGCCCTGTTTTATCTTTTTTGATAAATTGACGTCTTATTAAATTTGAAGCCCGAAACAGCGATCCACAGTGAGGGGTTCATAACCATTTTTTTTTTGATAGATAAGTAAGATTGATAAAGTAAGTTTTAAACTGACTAATACAGCAGAAGGTACCGTCTTGTTTCTAAGGGTGAACATTAAAAACGTTTGGGGTTCTGACGTAATGTTCTATAAATTGTTGTAGCATTTGTATTATACCATAAAATACTTTTTTGTAGATTATAAGAATTGAAATTTTGACAAAAGTAATTCTTTTTCGGATAAATATTTTGTCTACAAATAAACTTCGAAATTTGACACAAAAAAGGAGAAAATGAAACAAGAAGTTTATTTACTATCAAAATAATAATTTATCCTTTTTGTTTTTAAATTAGGAAATTTTTAAATCAAATTTTAAAGTTTTTTAATGTAGGCTATATCAATATTCGAAATAGAATTTAAATACGATTTTAACTTTAAAAAAGTGGGGCAAAATGATTAGTATTTTGGGAATGATCTTTAATTTCAAATTCTTTTACTTTAGAACATTTTGATCTTATTGCAATGCTCGAAATTTGATACAATTTCCGAAGGGATAATTAAATTATAACCACACCAAAGGATATTTATGTAATTCAGAAGATTGTAGTACTTTTCTTTGAGACTAATGAAATACTTTCCACGTAATGAATTATAGTAAAATCTTTTTGTATTGTTTTGAAATTTGAAACAAATTATTTGAAAATTTTTTGTAAAATTTGAGTACGTTTTTCTCAAATAATGTTTTCATAATTGAGTATAATAAGTTACAACTTCCCTATAATTTAATTCTTTTATCATTTGATAAAACAAGGTATTTGCTAAGCATTCGAGTTGTTTTTGTCCCTAATTGTACAGTCATTGCCAAATAGACGGGAATAACGACTAATAATACAGCGATATGATGGGAATGTCGCAAGATTAATACGATTTTGGAGTACAATATCCAGTACGAAGATTATTCAAATAGCATTAGGACTAATATTTTGCACGCCACTTTAGTTTTGTAAAATGGGCGTGTGGCGTAGTTGGTAGCGCGTTCCCTTAGCATGGGAAAGGTCATGAGTTCGATTCTTATCTCGTCCATACTCTTTAACAAATTAATGTTTTTGCTCAAAAGTTTTTTTTTTTTTTTTTTTTCACCAGTTTTAGGACACAATTAGTTCTTTGACTTATTGCTCAAACTTACTTCATCTATAGCAATGTTTGGATATTCATTCGAATTCTTTCAAATTATTATTGTACTCAAAAACAAGAAACTTAAAATATTATTAATCTATAAATTATACACCCAAACTTTCATCCAACTAAGAATAAATAAATTTGAAAAATTTTAAAGAACAACTTTTTCAGCCAATGATTTTTTATAATCTAATATAGAACCATCCCATCTTGTAGCTGTTTTATTTTCAATAACAAAAATGTCTTTTGCAACTTTATCCAATAATCTAAAATCATGTGAAACAACAACAACACCACCATTAAAAGCATTTATTGCATCAGCTAATGAATCAATTGTTGATAAATCTAAACCATTTGTTGGTTCATCTAATAAAATTAAATTTGGAGCTTCTAATGCTAATAATGCAAAAACAACTCTTGATCTTTGACCTTCAGATAATGTTGCCATTTGAGCAGTTTGTGCTTCACCACTTAAACCATAACGACCTAATTGACCTCTCCAATATTGATAATCTTGAGATATACTTGAAAATTTATCACGAACAAATTCTAAAGGAGTTTTTGTTAAATCTAATTGATCTGCTGAATGTTGTGAATAAACTCCTAATTTTATATGTGTATGTTTTATAACTCTTCCCTTTTGAGGACTTAATTTACCTTGAAATAAATTTAATAAAGTAGATTTACCAACACCATTTGGTCCAACTAATGCAACTCTTGAATCCATATCAATACCTATATCTAAATGTTCATAAAGATTATCTTTTTCTTCACCTGAATATGAAAATGACATATCATCAAATGCTAAAACTGGTGGTGGTAATTTTTCAACATCTGGAAATTTAAAAGTAAAAACTTTATCTGGAACAACTGGTTGAATTAAACCATCTGCTTCCATTTTATCTAATATTTTTTGTCTTGATTTTGCTTGTTTAACTAAATTAGCATAAGTACCAGCTGATGCAATAAATTTTTTAATATGAGCAATTTCTTCTTGTTGTTTATTATATTGTTTCATTTGATTAGTTTCTAATTCAGCTCTTGTTTTAACATAAGAATCATAATTACCACCATATAATTGTAATTGTTTTAATCTCATATCAATCATATTAGTACAAACACCATTAAGGAAATCTTGTGAATGAGAAACTAATATTAAAGTTCGATCATATCTTTTCATATATTCTTCTAACCAAACACATGCTGCTAAATCTAAATGAGCAGTTGGATCATCTAATAATAATAATGTTGGTTTAACAAATAATGCCTTGGCTAAAGCTACACGCATTCTCCAACCACCAGACATATCTCTTGTTCTTTTTTTAATTGTAATTGCATTAAAACCTAAACCAGTTAATATAATTGCTGCTCTTGATTCAAAAGTTGAAGGATCCATTTCATCAATTTTTTCATAAAGACCTTCTAAAGCAGGACATTCTGGACCTTCTTTAACAATTAATTCTTCAATTAAATCTTCAATTCTTTTCATTTCATGTTCTGCTTCTCTTACAACATATTCTAAAGCAGAAAAATCAGTTGGATCAGCTGGTTCATTTAATAAATAAATATCAATATGTTCAGGAATTGGAAATTCTCTTGCTGCAATTGATTTTAATAATGTAGATTTACCACAACCATTTTCTCCTAATAAACCATAATGACGACCATAATTTAATTCTAATGTAGAATCTTGAATTAATACTTTACCATGAAATAATAATGAAACTGAAGATAATTTAATATCTCTTGAAGTTTTTAAAGAATCTAAAACTCCTGTAGTAACTCTATCAGATAATCCATGTTCATCAGTTTGTAATTTTAATTTTGCAACTTGTTCACTTGCATCTTCAATTTCATCTTCTTCTGCATCTTTTTCTGCTTGTTTCTTGGTTTTTTTAATACTTTTACCTTCTGCTGCCTTTTTGGCTTCTCTTTCTAAACGTTTCTGTTCTCTCTTGGCTTTTGATGCTGAAACTGACATAGTAAATTATGTTTGCTTGAAAGTTAAGTAGAATTTGATGTAAGATTATTTTAAATTGATTAAAAGAGAAGAGAAAATGAAAAATTGAAAAATTATTAATTTTTTGTAACAGAAAGAGAAAAAGGAAATAAGAGCGGCTTGTGTCTTTTTTGTATGTCAGGACACTACTTTTTAATTTTTGTGTAAGTTTGACAGAAATGATTTGACCTAACTCAACTGATACATAATTGAAACAAGTTATCAACTCTATCAAGAAGAATTTGGGAAAACTAGAGTAGATGAATTACAGGGAGACATTATTTGACTATTCAAGCTTGCAGATAAACAGAAATGTAAGGTTGTCGATGCATATATTAAAGCATGACCAGTATCATTGAAATTAGCCGATTTTGCCTTCAATTGATTCATGACATACTTGTAATGTATGAACGAGTGCAAATGAAACACTCTATGTTAATTGCACTAGTATCAGCTCTAGTGGTCTACTGCTTATAACTACTTACTAATACTTCATTATATATAATATCGCCACTAAAATAAATTTTCTTTTTTATTTTGTCTAATTGTATTACGACTATTATTTTTGCAACATATTTTCAGGTACATTTAACTTACTAACTTATTTATCCCAATATTACAACACACCAAAACGATGGCGTCTCCCAATAAACCAACCAAAAAGGGAGTTAGTCAATCAGATGATACAGGACCAAAAGATATCGATGTATCATCACCAATTCCAATTAAAAGTTTAAATGCATTCAAAAATCAAGATCAATTCAAGTTTGATAATAATGGTTATACATCATTCGATTCGAGATCATTCACACCAAATACATGGGGATCAGTTCAAAATCATCTTACAAGAAGACCATCATATAATACTTTAGTATCATCAAGAGAAAAACATTATAATTTAGATTATCCAAAAGATTCAAATGAATTATTAAAATTACAATTAGATCCAACATCCAGGTTTTTTGCAAGATCTAGACCAAGAACTTTAAATTTACCTTCTTTATTACCTTATAAAATTGAAAATCCAGAAGAACAAGCAAAATTTTTAAGTCATATAGTTTCACATTTATATATTGCCATTAAATCTTTAGATATTCAAGGATCATTATCTATTAGTGCAAAGGATTTAGCAGCATTAAAAGATTCAATCTCAGATGTTGATATAGCATTAGAAACCACTTTATTTGAAATGAACAATACAGAAGAAGAAGAAATCGTGGAAGAGATTGATAGTTCTGATGAAGAGATGGATAGTTCTGATGATGAAGAAGTAGTAGAAGATGATTCAGATGAAGATGATAAAGATGCAACTAATCAACACAAAAAATCACCAAAATCAGCAGCAGTTGTAAGTGTTAGAACATGGACTCATGAATTGTTAATTTGGATGAAAATGAAATATGATATGCCTTTAAGTTTAAGAGTTAATTTATCAAAAGTATACTATGCATTATGTCTTTGTCGAGGCCAACATGTTAATGTAAAAACATATGTTCGAGTATTTGAATTATTAACAAGTGATCAAAAATTATTAGCTGATGCTGGATTGAAATTATCTTGGGTTGAATTATATGAAGAATTTCAAAATTTATTCCCTTCACCAATACATGCAATGGAAAAAAAAGATCAAAAATATTTATCAAAATTAGCATCAAGAGCATCTAGATTTTATGATCCAAAAAGTTTACCTGAAATATTTGCAAAATTAGGTAATAATTTTTCTCCATCAGTTTCGGCATTAACTATTTCAGCATTTCCTTTATTACCAACAACTTTTGGTAATGGTGTTAATGATATTTATGATATTCGACATTATATTGAACCATTATTTCATATGTGGTTAAAATTGAATAAAAATAAAGATTTAGAAGATCAAATAACGTGTAGATTAGGAATAATAGCAATGGAAACATTAATTAAATTAAATGATGAACCCATATTGTTAGGAAAATTTGGAATTTTCACTAAAGATCAAATGGAATTTTTATTTAATGATTTATTGAATAGTTTAGGTATAAGAATTCTGAAATTTTCATCAAAAAAAGTAAAATATTTTCATGGATTTGCTTCAACTATAGTATTTTCAATAACTGAATCACAAGCTGAAATAATAGATTATATAAGGTCACTTATAAATGCAATTGAAAGTTATGTTCATCCTTCAAATTCAGGTGATTGGACAAGACCAATTTCAAAATTCATACTTGCTATAATTTATCAATTTCATAAAAGATATAATATGGAAAATGAAATTGATGGGTTACTTTATAAAATTTCTGTTAAATTAAGCTCAACTACTGTTCACGAATTTGTTAAAATCATGCTTCCTATTGTTAAAATTGGTATACAATCGAAAAAAAGTGATGCTTCTGGAGATTATCTTTCAGCTTTAAATCTTTTATCATTATTAGATTCTGAATATGTTTTGGAAAATACTTTATTAGATATATATGAATCTTTGGAAGGTGTAATATCAACACATAGAGTATTGAATGCATTACGTATGATTGATTCCTTAGCTAGACCACTTGTTTCAACACCAGTATTCAGAGTTCATTTAACAAGAATTTTACTGTTGATAATTCCAGGAATTGATTCAAATGATTTAGTAAAAACATTACAAACTTTAGAAGTGTTTTCAGCTATTGCTAATTTCACTCCAATATATAATTTAAATGAATATGAAGATACTTCATTAGCAATGGAATTCACTCAAAATCATATAGAATATCTTCAAAGAAAAATATACAATAATGATGAAATTTTTGAATATGATAAAAATTTAGAAATTGAAGCTTTAAAATCATCAACATCAGCTTTTAAAGATATTTTTAAATCACTAGCACAAAGAGTACCTCCATTATTAGAAAATTTACCTGATCCTGCTAAAAGTTCAGGTTTAGAAAAAGATTTAGCTATTTCATTACCAAAATTTTTTTATGTCATATTTGAATCAATGTCAGATGAAATTTTTAAAATATTTAAAGATGAATTATTTGAATTTGTATTTAATAATGTACATCATTTAATAGCTATAACAGTTGGAGAACTTTGTGGTGCAATAATTAAAAGAGATCCTAAATCTTTTAAATTAAATGCAACCATTTTAATGGAAAAAATTAGAGACGAAATTGATGAAAATGGTGCAGGTACTTCCAGAAGTATTGAAGTTGCTCCAAGAGATCAAGCATTATATTGGTATTTAACGATTTTTAAATATTGTGCTGGTAATGCTGGCTCACAATTAGTTAAAATGCCAGAATTAAAAGAATTTTCATTTTATTTAATGGATCATATTGAAGGTGCTTGTGTTTCAGTTGCAACTTCTTTAGTATTTCATATTTTACAAAATGTAACTAAAATAAGAGTTAAAGAAAGTAGATTAATATCACCTGAATATGAAACAAAACATGGAATTACTGAAAAATGTTGGGGTGGATTTTGGGATTCTAAAACTAGATTTGAAAATATAAGATTTGATTGGTTTGTTCCAACTGAAGTTGAAGTTCAATTTGCTTATAAATTTTTTAATGATCATGTTATGAAATGTATTGAAAATATAATGAATTTAATGAAAAATTATGAAAATAACCCACAACCAAATAATTCAATTGTATTACTTGATTCAATTAGGAAAAATTTATTATATTTTAATAATTCATTAAGTGGTGTTGCATTTTTGTTAGATCCTTCATTTGAAGAAGATATACCTATTTTAAATCATGAAAATGAAACAATTCAACAAAGACTTTCATTATTAAATAAAATTAGAAATTCAGTATGTTCTACTCAAAAGGATACAACATATGAAGAAAAACAAAAAGTTAGTGGAGATATTCAAAAAGTAATAGAAGAATTGAAAAGTGAAGATCTTTTAGAATATATAACAGGATTTGAAAATTTAGGAGAAATTGAGGAATCACCAAAACCTAAATCACCATTGAAATCAGCTCCTAAATCAGCTATTCAAAAAGAACTTACTCCTGTATCTGGTAGAGAAACACCAAGTATTGAAGGAGTTCAAATGTCTTCTACAAATCCTGCAATAACATTTAGAGAAAAAAGTTTATATACTTCAAGTTACTTTTTTGGAAATACTAAAGATAAAAAATTTAATGATTTATATATGAAAATACATAAAACAAGATATTTAGTGGGGAAAAGTTTACATTATATTTGTAAATTCTTATTAGCCAATTTTCATGATAATACAAGAGTTTTTAAAAATTTATTAAATACAATAAATGTATGGATTTCTGATGTTGGAAGAGAAAGACTTCATCATTCAAGTAATGCAGAAATTGATTATGGATATGTTAGTTTTCTTCAAACAATTAATCGAATAAGAAAACCATTTACAAGAATTGCTATTGGTGCAAGATTAGAATCATATCATCAATCAAGATTATCATTACATGCTACAGCTAGATCTGAAACTGGTTTAGATCGTGTTTTAGTCGAAGATGTTATTAATCTTTCTGGGTCAACTTATTCCACTATTTCATCGAGTGCTCAAAAAGTTTTATTGGACTGTATGAGAAGAATTAGTGGGTCTTATAGTCATATAGTCAGATCAACCACGCGAAATCTTACCAAAGCTTTAGAAGCAAATGATGATAAGAAAATTGAAAGTATTTTAAAAGTTCTTAATCTTAAAAGAATTAAATATAAATTAAGCAATGATTATATTAATGTTCAAAAATATATTGATTTATTAGAACGTTGTTTAAAAATTGATGAACCAAAAGTTCATAAAGTTTGTCAAAGTTTATTTGATGGGATTTGTAAAAACATAACTACTCCTAGTTATACATGTATTATAGATCATGATGCAATAGATTTAATACGACCACCTGATGAATATATTGATTTAGAAATTAAAGCAGTTCAATTAGCAAAAGATAAAAAAAGAAAATTATATTTTGATAAATTAAAAAAATTAGAAGATAAAATTATAGAAGATGATAAACCAAATTTACATTGGAAAATTTCATTACTGAATCAAGAATTTTTAGTTAATTTACAACTGCATTTAGATATTCAATTACGTGGTGATATTTTGGAGAAGCTATTTCATCAAGCTGGTAGTGGACATCCAATTATTTCAAGACAAGCATTACATGGAATTACTAAATTAATTGATAAACTTGAAGTTTTAAGTTCTTTCAAATATGACTTGAATAATGCTTATGATTTAAACTTTATACCTGATAAAGATTTAAAGATCGATACTACAGGATCTTTTACCTCAAAATGGTTTAAGGAAATGAGTGATGAAAATCCTGAATATTATATTGATACAAAACCAAATTCAGGTTGGTTATTTTGGGGTGATCATATAATAGCCGCATCTGCAAAACCAAATTATAAATGGGATATTCAGGAACAAGATAATGTCGCTCTTGCGAGATTTGGTTTACTTATTGATAAAGAATGGTTTTTAAAAATTGTTAAAATGTGGGTTGCAGAAGCTGAAAATAATAATGCTTTTCAAATCATTGATGTACAAGTTACAAGTACATTAATTTATTTAATTTCAAATGATTATACTCCAAATTTTTCATATTCTGATTTATTATCAATTATTGATGAAATTTATGAACCTGAAGAAAAAAGTGCTCATATTATAACTTGTGAATTATTTGCTGGTATATTATTAGCTTCAAAAGAAACAGCACCAAAATATTGGGATGAACGTGATGAATTTATAATTAAATACCTCAGAAGAATTTTTGAAAATGATATATCACCAGGAACTCAAGCTACTTGGGCTGTATTTTGTTTTTGGGTACCTTCACATATTGATTATAGAAGATTTAAAAAAGTTATTGATGAAATATTAAATTTTAAATTAGATCCAAATTCTGATCATGCTTTTAAAGATACTGCTAGAATAAGTTATATTAAGGGAATCTTAAGTACTATATCTTGGAGATATCCACATTCAGATACGATTTTAGATGGTTGTATTGAGAACATAAATCATAAATATAATACAGTTCGAGCTGAAATTGGTGGATTGTTAAGTACTATTTCTCAAAATTATTATATGGATGGGTATCAAGACTCTGAAACTTTCATTAATTCAACTGAATTAATACAAGATAATAAATTATTACAAATAATACCGAAATTATTTGAAAAAGTTGAACAACATAGATTGGAAGTTATGGGTAAAACACCTCAAGAAATTTTAACTTCTGATTATATATATCTGGCTACAACTATATTGAAATGGTTAAGGACAACTTTACATATGAACGTTTCAGTAGTACTACAAAGATTTGCATCTTCATTAATAGTTCCATTTTTATTAGAACTTATTAATATGAAAGAAGTTTGTCAATTAGGAAATATTGATCCAATTACAGTATTAAAATATGTAAGTCAAATCACATATACCAAAAATGAACTTAATAATGTTCTTGAAATGTTGAATCAATACTCCAAAAAAGAATTAAATATAGTTCAATCAATAGTTATTGGTGAATTCACAGAAACTGTATTTTTCAAAAATTTATTTAATTTATCAAAAATTCAAAGAGAAAAAATTATAGATATAACAGTTTCATTACTTTATAGTAAACATTTGGAAGTAAGAGAAGCAGAAGCAGAAACTTTATCAGGTTTAATCCATATGTTACCAGATGATACAGTAGTTCCAAAATTTATTAAAATTTTTTCAATTCAATTAGAAACAACAAGATCAAAATATAAAAGAAATTTTAAAGAAATACCTAATGAAGAAATGATTAAATTACATGGTTCAACTTTAGGTTTAGGTGCATTAGTTCATGCTTTTTCATTTGCTTCTCCTCCTCCAAAATGGGTACCTGATGTTTTAACTACAATTGCAGATAATGCAACTGGTATATCTGGTGTAGTTGGTAAAGCTGGTAAAAATATATTAGCTAGATTTAGAAAAGATCGTCAAGATTCTTGGCATATTGACAGTCATGTATTTAATGAAGAGCATTTATTGGCTTTAGAAGGAGTACTTTTCCGTAGTTATTTTGTATAGTTTACATTGGATGTTAATGTATATTGGTAACGAATTATTTAACGAAGAGCAAAAAAGATAATGAATTTGATTTAACGAGTTATTATTTATTACAACCAGTAGCTTAATATCTTTACCTTCAAATCACTTGTGAGAATCAGAAGTAATTCAGATAGATACTCTTGCACTGCAGAAGCTCATTTATGATATTGTTGGACAAATGTGCACTGCGGTATCTCATTTATGATACTGTTCGATAAATGTATCATGGTAAGATTAAACCGTAGTTGTAAAACCATCATTCCCATAGGATTGCTTTTAATATTACACCACCTTTTGATCAATACTCCGTAGCCTCGATCATCACCCCGATATGACGGTGAATTGCAACAATTCTTTCAATGACACAAAAACAAAGTTATTTTAACTTAGTAAGGCCATAGTTTAAAACTACATTTTATTTTCAAAGCGGTGATTGTACCCCATTTTGACAAAAGCATCAACAATTGCAATTTAACTTAAATTACTTATTTCAAATAAAAAATCCGAAAATCCAATAGTAGCAGTTCCCAGTAAATCTTTATCATATTTTTTAAAAATATCAGTTAATTTTCTTAAATAAACTAATAATTCAATAAATGAATCAAATTTTAATCTACCAATTTCTCCAGCATCATTTTTAACACTATATTTTGAAAAAAGATGTAAAATTAAATCAATATCTAATTTATAACCAATTTGTTCTAAAATTTTTTGAAATTCTCCAAATGATATATCACCAGATTTATTTAAATCTGCTTGAATAAATAATTTCTTGTAGGCTGATAAATATTTCCATAATGATACAAATTGTTCAAAATTTAACGATTTATTTGAATTATATGATGATGATGATGAAGATGATGATGAAGATGAATCATTTTTATTAGTGAAAAGATTTATCATTAACCTTATTGTTGATTCTTGAAATCTTGTATGATCAAAATTTAATAATGCATAAGATAATTCTTTTCCTGATAATCTACCTGATTTATTAGTATCAACTTTTTCAAATACACTTCGTAATTCAATCTCTAGTTTTTGCTTTGATGTGAGTGGTAATGATTCAGTTGATGAAGGAGGAGGTGGTCTTTTATTAGGTGGGCTATGATAATGTGTTTGTTGTTGTTGCATTGGTTGTTGAGGTTGGTGTTGTTGTTTCGGTATTATTTGAGGTTGTGATAGACTTTGTGGAGGAGGTTGTTGGTATATCTTGTGTTGTTGTTGTTGTGGATGTTGTGGTGGAGGAGCATGATGATATTGTTGTGGTTGATACATATGTTGTTGTGGTGGTGGAGCTTGCATATGTTGTACTGGTTGTTGATAAACAGGAGCAGGGACATATTGTGGTTGCTGTGGTGGTTGTTGTTGCCTATAGTAATCCGGTGGACCATTGTAGTAAGGCTGATGTTGTTGCTGAGGATGTTGTTGAGGATGTTGTTGAGGATGTTGTTGTTGAGGAGTTGATGATCCAGAATATTGAGAACTAGCCGTGCGTGATTGAGGAACCCTTTTCTGATGATTCTTTTTAGGTTGTTGATATTGATGTTGTTGTTGATATGAAGCTTGCTGCGGCGTTGGCATTTGTGGTAAATCGTTCATGTTATAGGACATTGATTCATATAAACTTATGATATGGAGTTAAAGTAAATAGTTTATATATTTGTTTTGATAGAGGTTTTCTTACAATAAAAAAAAAGATGAAAATTGTTTAATTTTAAATCTAATTATTACATCATTGGAATAGTAGATAAAATTGTAAAGAACAAAATCACCATGTTAAACCAAATGCAAATACAAGCATGCATCCAAGTGATTTAGAACTTGGCTATTACTCAATCAACAATGCAATTCAGAAGTTGCTAGCACTTAATATGGCTTACCATGCCCGTAAAAATTTGGCTCAGTCGTGAATTCACGAGTGTCTCTTAAATTGCGACATACTAAATTTTAGTAGATCTTACAGATTTGATGATTTTAGAGTGAATTTTTAACATGCATTAGAATGAAGGTGCAGAAGATGCTATGTGGTTTCAATTGAGAAATAAAATTTAATGAAAAAGGTATCATAGAATCTTACAGAATTGAGATTGGTGCGATTTTTGATACGTTCTTCCATTATTTCTATAATTCAACTTTTTTGGTCCCAAACTTTTTGCAATTTGTTCTTTTTATAATGTGCATCTTAAATTTGATTAAACTAATGACATGAAATTGCATGTATAATGCTTCATACTATGAGGAAAGAAAATCGAATAACTTCCCAAGAATGCAAGCAATTTTGCATCTCGCAAGATATATCGGAATCTGCAAAATTGAGTTCGATCCATATCTCGTTCCGGATAATTTAAACCCAAGCGATATCTTTTGTCTTTGTATCAAGATTTTCTCCGAATAGATTTTGAGTAATTTTATCCCCCGCAAAAATTGATTTAATCTAACAAGATATATTAGACCCCCAAAGTCCCCCACGCTCGTATCATATCTAATATGAATTATCGTAATATTATTATTATAACTGATGGGAAAGTGGTGAAGAATATGCTTATAAAGATCCAACGATTCCCACTATTCTCAAAACTACTAATACCATCAAGATATACATCAACAATGACAAAACCAAAAGTATTAAGATTAGGTAAAATTGAATTTGGAATTGAAAAATGGAATGAAATAAAAAAAATTGCAGAAGTTATAGATTGTGAATCAAAAGATAGAGAAGAATTTTTTAAAGATTTAAGTAATAAATATTCAGATATAACAAATATAGCAAGAACTTTTGCATCAATTAAACAAACAGGTAGATTTGATGAAGAATTAGCTTCAAAATTACCTTCAACAGTAGTTAGTGTAAGTCATACTGGAGCAGGTTATGATCAAATTGATGTTGATGCTTTTACTAAAAGAGATATACAAGTTTCTAATGTAACTGTACCTGTTGAAGCTCCTACAGCTGATACTGCTGCATGGTTAACTATAACATGTTTAAGAAATTATCAACTTGGTCATAATAATCTTATGAACGGTGATTGGTTAAAAAAAAAAGCAGCAGGTACTCCATTAGGTCATTCACCTAAAAGTCAAGTATTAGGAATATTGGGAATGGGAGGTATTGGTAGAGCTATAAGAGATAGATTAAAACCTTTTGGATTTAAAGATATAATTTATTATAATAGAAGTCAATTACCAGAAGAATTACAAAATGGAGCTAAATATGTAACAAAAGATGAATTATTCAAACAAGCAGATGTTATTTGTATAAGTATTCCATTAAATAATGAAACAAGACATTCAATAGATAAAGAATCAATAAATAAAATGAAAGATGGAGTTATATTAATAAATACAGCAAGAGGAGCAGTTATAAATGAAGAACAATTACCAGAATTACTTAAATCTGGTAAAATAGGAGCTCTTGGAGCTGATGTTTTTGAACATGAACCAAAAATTGCTAAAGAATTAATTGAATTACCAAATGTTGTAAGTTTACCTCATATGGGAACTCATACATCAGAAGCTATAAAAGATATGGAAGATTGGGTTGCTGATAATGTTGAAACTTGTTTAAAAACTGGTAAAGTTAAAACTATTGTACCTGAACAAAAAAATATGAAAATAGATGCTAAACCATTAGTATAAATTTAGATACATTCATACAGTTATACATATATGATTTATTAATAGTATACCTTCAAATGTAATTGTATAATATTTAGCTAATCTGAATGACTAACTTCAAAAGTATGGTAGCAAATATCTATCTTATTACTTCTTCTCTCATTTTAAAATAAAATGAAACAAAGCCGATATGGAATGGGAAAAAATAATTTTTTTTTTTTTCATGTAAATAATTTTCAATCATAACCTTCTCCAACATTAAGCATTTAAGTTATTATTGTAACTTTAAATAATTTTTCAGTTTTATACAAACGGCTTTCAGCAATAGATTTAGAATAAATGATTGTTTAAATTAGGACAGGACATTTAGAACAAACAACTAATACATCACATACATTACATAATCCACAAAATAAAATATAGCAATGGAGCATCAGGAGCATCAGATACAGTTTATGCCTAAAGATCCAATGGAGATAGATTATGAAGCATTACCAGAAGATGCATCATTAGGAGCCCATTTAGGTGCGGGAGCTTTAGCAGGAATAATGGAACATACAGTAATGTTTCCAATTGATTCTATTAAAACAAGAATGCAAATGAATTTATCAAGTAAAGAAATATCAAAAGGATTATTTCAATCAATTTCAAAAATAAGTTCAACTGAAGGATTTTATGCATTATGGAAAGGTGTATCATCAGTAATATTAGGAGCTGGTCCAGCTCATGCAATATATTTTTCAGTATTTGAATCAACAAAAACATTTTTATGTAATAGATTAACTACATCTCATACAAATAAAATAGTAACAGATGAAAATCATCCAATAATAGCAAGTTGTGCAGGTATAGCTGCTACAACAGCATCTGATGCATTAATGACACCTTTTGATATGTTAAAACAAAGAATGCAAGCAAGTGCTGCTTATCCAGAAAATAAATCAACATCAATAAGGTTATTAAAATTAGCAAGTGATATTTATAAAAAAGAAGGTATTGGAGCGTTTTATATATCTTATCCAACAACATTATTAACAAATATACCGTTTGCTGCTTTAAATTTCGGATTTTATGAATATACATCATCAATATTAAATCCAAAACATATATATAATCCTTATCTACATTGTGTAAGTGGTGGAATAGCTGGAGGTATAGCGGCAGCTTTAACAACTCCATTTGATTGTATTAAAACCTTATTACAAACAAAAGGTATATCTTCAAATGAAGCTTTTAGGCATGTAACAGGTTTTAAATCTGCTGCTAAAGCTTTATATAAACAAGGTGGTTATAAAGCTTTTTGGAGAGGTTTAAAACCAAGAGTAATATTTAATGTTCCAAGTACTGCTATATCTTGGACAGCTTATGAAATGTGTAAAGAAATATTAATAAAAACTTAAATAGAATACATGATATACATGATATAAATTAATGAAGATTGTAAAGTTTGCTGATTCTGGAAATCAAGTGAGGTCTACGTATTGATAAATCATCTCAGACATGTTCTTCACCCAATTAACATCTTTGTGGTGTGCGTGATGCGGATGCCCCAACGAAATTCAATTAAACAACTGTTGAATTGCAAAGAGCCCATTGACTGCAAACCAATCGAAAAGCAATCGTACTGAAAACCCTTTAAGTATGACTGATTCTTATGTATATGTCCCATTATCAACATTTACACCAGTAATTGTGTTAAGTATACGATCATTAATGGATCATTGTTTTATTGCATTCTTGTTATACTAACTTTTGGTGTGGAGGGTGATTTTATCATGGAATTGATTTGTGCTTGTTATCCTCCTTGAACATTTTAATTTGTGAGAGCCTTTAATAAAGCATCAGCTTTAGCAATATGAGCCAATTCTCTTGGATGTCTTGATAATCTTTGAGCAACAAATGAAAATAAAACACATGAAGTTAAAAATCCTAATAAATTAAAAAAAGCAGTTCTTGAATATAATCTTTCTTCTTCTTCAGTTCTAAAAGATTGAAATATACGTCTTATACTTGCGAATATCATTGATTGTTGTTGTTCATTGTTTTTTGATTATGAGAATTCAATTGGATAACAAGTAGATTGTTACTGGTGATATTTTTAATTTAATCAATTTCATTAAATGCGTTTTTGTAAACTTTCAAACGCGTTTCGATTCCTTACTTAAGTACCAACAGTTATCAAAAAAATAGTTCAACTCATTTCAATGATCGGTATCGGGTTCTTAACTTTAAGGTTAACTACAAAGTTAAGTTCGCATATTGCACTAAATAGCTCTTGATTGCTTTGAAACAATCCAACAGCCAACCATTCACGATGCCATTCCCATCACAATTTTAACCATTTTTCAGACTAAAATCGTGTTATATTTCTTGTAACATCGCCCATACGTTTTCACGTTAAGGTATTTAAAACTCTCAAGAGTAAATTTTATTTGAATGGAGAGTACCACCGAATTTCCCACCCGTTAAATTTCGACAATTCGAATGTTTCTCCTGGTAAGAAACCTTGTGTAAACGGGTAAATGCGAATCAAAACGAGTCGAACTTTAGGACGAGTATGCCACGAATGTGTAAACCCGTGAAATTTTTGAAAATGTACCATTATGATATATGAAATCTTACCGGAATCGCTGACCATTCGAAAGAGTTTATCATGAAATAAAAAATGATTTTGAAAAATATTTCTAATAAAGTAAGTGTAGAAATTGATGTCCAATTTTGGTAAAGAATTATTAACCACGAAATTTGAAAACTAGAAAGTAAAAAGTTCAATTGACATTCCAACGAGTCGGATGTTCATAGGACAAAAGATGATGAAGTCAGCTAAGCGTCGAAAAAGGCTTTGAATACTATAAAAATGTTAGTTAAATTCTACATGTCTATGATTGGTCTCATCTACAAGGCAAATTAACTTTTTCTTTCTTTTTATTGAATCTCTATTTGACTAAAAAGTATAGAGATTCGATAATTAGTTTTCGGATCATCTTACAAATAAGATATCTTAAAAATTAGTATCATATTACTAATTTGGAATTGAATTAAATGACACTTAACCCGTGCTCGGAAACAGAACCTCTTTTGGAGAAGTAAAATAGAAAATATATAAACATTGAAAAATTTTTTTTTACTTTTTTAAAAAGTGTTTTAACTGATCAAATAGATTATTCTGAGGTGAAACGACATTTCATACTTGAATTGTGGAAATATAACCTTTGAGAATAATGTATTATGCATAAATTTGCTCAATCTTTACTTTGTATCTCCTTATTTTCTACAAATTTCATTTTAAATGGCGAAATAGCAATATAATATATAGTAACCATTGGTTTATCTTTTTCATCAATGTATCAATAAAGTTTGTAAACTTAAGTCATAAACAGCTACTGATTTATCAGATAAGATCTAAAAGAAACTCAAAAATCATGTTACTATTATTACCTTTTCTTTTTCTTCTCATCGAAAATCAGGTCCCTCCCTGTCAATTTTGGCTAAGATTTTTTTAGATTAGATCTGATAGATCCAGGTAATCTTCTCTTCTCAATTTGTATACATTTACGGCATTTTCTTTTCATTCTTAGATCTACTAACTGCCGATATTTTTTCTTGATTCTTGAATGCATTAATTTTTTTTAACTTCCATAAAACTACTCGGTGTTAATATCAAATATTTTAGACTACTAACACCTAGGCTGATAAAAGACTTATGACGACATATTGAACTTAAATTACATGCATATACTGTTTCTCCGAAAATTCTCTAATATTGAGATAAACGACATTGGTTATGAGAAACGTTTTGAAAAAGAAATTCAAATTATGTATAATTGATAAAACAAATTCATTTCAGATTGTTAAAAATTTAAGAAGATCTACAAAGGTTAGAAAGATATAGATGGGGATATAAAGAATGAAATTTATCCTTAATTTTAAAGAGATTCTTCCTCTTTTTTTGTATTTGTTCAAATCTTTTCAACCAACCTTACATATTCAAACCTACAACTAGCTTCAAATGGCTTCATCATTAGATAATAAGTCATCATCATTTGATGAAGAAAAACATGATACAAGTTTAGAACATCAAAAATCTGAAGAATTAAATCATGCTATTGAAGATGAAAAATCAATTGGTGTATTAAAAGCTGAAATTTTAGCTAATCAATGGAAACATACTTTTTGGTATAAAATAATTTTATTAATTTCTGCATTTTTAGTTGGTTATGCTTATGGATTAGATTCTCAAACAAGATATGTTTATACTGCTTATGCAACAGCTTCATGGTCTGAACATTCTTTATTAACTACTGTGAATGCTATTACTGCTTTAACTGCTGCTGCTTCTCAACCAGTTTATGCTAGATTATCTGATGTATTTGGAAGATTAGAATTATTTATAGTTGCTGTTTTATTTTATGTTGTTGGTACAATTATTGAATGTCAATCACCAACTATTAATGCTTATGTTGCAGGTGCAGTATTATATCAAATTGGTTATAGTGGAGTTATAATGGTTTTATTATTTATTTTATCAGATATGTCAACTTTAAGATTTAGATTATTATTTTCAATTTGTCCAAGTTTACCATTTATTATAAATACTTGGATTGCTGGTAATGTTACATCAGCTGTTGGAATGAATTGGAAATGGGGTATTGGAATGTGGGCATTTATTTTACCATTAGCTTGTATTCCATTTGTTTGTTGTATGATTCATATGAGATGGTTAGCTGGTAAAACTGAAGAATGGAGACAATTTAAATTAAAAAAAACAAAATATCAAGAATTTGGATTTTTAGGATTAATTAAATATTTATTTTGGAAATTAGATGTTATTGGTTTAATTTTAATGGTTGTTTCATTAGGTTGTTTATTAGTTCCATTAACTTTAGCTGGTGGTATTAAAGATAAATGGAAACAAGGTAATATTATTGCTCCAATTGTTATTGGTGCTGTATTAATTCCAATTTTTGTTCTTTGGGAAGTTTTTGCTAAAGATCCTATTATTCCAGTTCATTTGATGAAAGATCGTGGTATTTGGTCTGGTGGTGTTATTTCATTTTTATTTGATTTTGTTTTCGCAGTTGAAGCAAGTTTCCTTTATACTGTTTTGGTTGTTGCAGTTGATGAATCTCAAAAATCAGCAACTAGAATTACAAGTATCTCATCATTTACTTCAGTTATTTGTTGTTTCATATTTGGTTTATTTGTTGTATTCTTCCGTCGTATGAAAGGTTTTGTAATTTTGGGTTGTTCATTATGGATGTTAGCTTTTGGATTAATGTATCATTATAGATCTACTTTAGCTGCTCATTCAGGTATTATTGGTGCTATGGTAGTTATGGGTTTAGGTACTGGGTTTTTCACATATCCTATAACTGTTTCAGCTCAAAGTTGTGTTAGTCATGAACATATGGCAGTTGTTACATCTGCTTTATATACTTTATACAGAGTTGGTTATGCTGTAGGTTCTTCAGTTGCAGGAGCTATTTGGACTCAAACATTATTCACTAAATTATCAAAATATTTAGAACCATCAATTGCAACAAGTGTTTATCAATCACCATTTGTATTTGCAGAAACTTATGAATGGGGTTCACCAGAAAGAGAAGGTGCAATGAAAGCATATGGTGAAGTTCAAAGATTATTAATGATTGTATGTCTTTGTTTTGTTGCACCAATGATATTTTGTGCTTTCTTTTTAAGAGATCATGAGTTAAATAGAAAACAAAGTCTTGAAAATATTGAAGAAGAAGAAGAACAAGATAGATTAACTAGATTTTTGGCTAATTTTGGTAGAACTAGGTAGTTCAATTTGAGGTAAGGACTTTTTTTCAAGCATATAGAGACAATATGTTTATGTATTAATGATGATAATGATGTTTAATTTTACGATTTACTAAGTTACTTAATTTCACTCTGATTTTTATCTGACACTTTGATTATTTTCAACACTGGAGATGTTGATTGAGAAAAGAGAACGAATTTGACATCTTTAAAACATGCTTTATGTTTGACGCAAACGTTATATGTTATATCAAATAGCTAGTTTGAAAATTTGCACAATGGACATTTTTTATTAGAACAGTCCAATGAAGTTTATACATTTATGTCAACAAACTTTTAATTTATATAAACAGAACCACCAAGAGATATTTGTAAAATATTAAACACAAGCTTCATTTAGAGCCTATGTATATCAATCAGTTAAACAAATAAGCTACGTCAATTATAGTCTGTTAGAATTAAATATCAAAAAAGGAACAAGCTTTAATTTTAGCTTGTTTCAGATTTTGTACACAAAAACAATTTGTCTTACCTGAAACAAAGAAAACCATCACGTGAGTTGGAATTATTCTAGGGCTTTGACCACTTCTCTATCAATTATGAAAAAGTATTAATGAATTTTTCATTAACTGATCATTTACTACTATCAACCATCTACATTCATCAACAAACGTATGTGAAACTACAACAAAAAGATTGGAGAATAAGACGACAGGGAGTTCAAATAAAGATTAATGAGATATCAATAGCTCGTCTCCAAATTGTATTATAACATGGTATATAATTGGAAGTTGAATGAAGTGAGAAATGAAACAGATCGAACTTAAGAATATACTAATCACAACAAAGTGATAGTAAGACTATAAAATAAATACAGATGTATAATCATTTGATCAGACTTCGAGAAGAAAATCACAAAAAATTAAGACCTAAATAATCAAATCAAGATGTTACAAATTTCATAATAGATAAATCAAATTGAGATAACCACAAATGCATTTCAAACTTCAATCAATATAAGGAAGCTCATTTATCTTCGGTCTAACTTGTCGACTTCTCCTTACAATTAGATGATTCAATTATACTAACAAATCAAAATCTAGATAAAAAATGGGAAGAGGTCCAAAGAAACATTTAAAAAGATTAGCAGCTCCACATCATTGGATGTTGGACAAATTATCTGGTGCTTATGCTCCAAAATCATCAGCTGGTCCACATAAATTAAGAGAATCATTACCATTAATTGTATTTTTAAGAAATAGACTTAAGTATGCTTTAAATGGTAGAGAAGTTAAAGCTATTATGATGCAACAACATGTTCAAGTTGATGGAAAAGTTAGAACTGATTCTACTTTCCCAGCTGGTTTTATGGATGTTATTACTTTAGAAGCTACTAATGAACAATTCAGATTAATTTATGATGTTAAAGGTAGATTTACTGTTCATAGAATTTCAGCAGAAGAAGCTGCTTATAAATTAGGTAAAGTTAAAAAAGTTCAATTAGGTAAAAAAGGTATTCCATATGTTGTTACTCATGATGGTAGAACTATTAGATACCCAGATCCATTAATTAAAGTCAATGATTCAGTCAAAATTGATTTAGCTTCAGGAAAAATTACTGATTTCTTAAAATTCGATACTGGTAGATTAGTTATGGTAACTGGTGGTAGAAATATGGGTAGAATTGGTGTTATTACTCATAGAGAAAAACATGAAGGTGGTTTTGATTTAGTTCATATTAAAGATTCATTAGATAACACTTTCGTTACTAGATTAGGTAACGTTTTTGTTATTGGTGAAGAACAAGGTAAACCATGGGTCTCATTACCAAAAGGTAAAGGTATTAAATTATCTATTACTGAAGAAAGAGACAGAAGAAGACAACAACAAGGTTTATAAACAATTTAAAATAGTTGTTTTTTAACCCTCCCACTTGTGTAAATTTAATAAATATTTCATAATATTAAAAACTTAGTTATTAATTCAATGCATTTCTCTCAATTTCGGACTTAAATAGCGTCGAATGAGCTGAAAATTCAATATAACCTCCAAGGTTTTGATCTGTACCCATTTGTAAAAATAAAGCCATCAACCTGTATTCCATTCTAACCATAGTCTTCTATAATTGTTACTTTGCAACACTCTTATTTCTCCAATTTATGATTCCGTACAACCAGTACAATCACAGACATTGAAAATTATCCTCAACTGACTTTGGATTATCAATAATTTCTCCATTGGCATCTATTATTTTACCTTTTCTTCTCAAAATTTCAATATAATACTTAATCACAGAATCATTATCAGCTATAATCGCACCAACTTCATCTTCTTCTTCAAATTTTCTCATATAGTCTTCAGCTGCTTCAAAGCTGTCAAAAGTTGTATAATCGGATTCATTCAAATTCAATGCTTTAATATATTCATTAGATACTTTTAATCTTTCCCCATTTTCATGTTTGACCCCACATACATAATAATTTGAATTCACTCTATTAATACCACCATTAATCAGCAACTTTATAAGATCACCTTTGTTTAAATTAGGTGGACCTTGATCGTACAAATTTATCACTCGTCCATCAAACATTTCCATTTTATGTGGAAATTCCACTATTTGATCTAACATAGGATAACCTAATTCTTTCCAATTAGTCAGTCTTATTATAAGAGGATATAGATCTTGGGTCATAATCGAATGTAAAGTTGTGACCAGTTTCGATGTTTGAACATATATTATGAATAAGACGTAAGAATTTTGAATCAAAATCAGGATTCGATTATAAAAGATAGACTAAGCCAAAGCCTTCTTACTATTTTGTACATAGTAAAAATCAACATTATTAGCTCTATTTTTAATAACCATTTCAAATCATTATTTGCGTAAAAACTCGAGTAAATTTAGTGAACTATTTAGGTTAGGTGATTATATGATCAATCTGATTTATTATCACACAATTTAATATTTAGTATAACCTGATGTGTTAATAGGCCCATATAAAGAATCAAATCAACAAAATTCAACCTTATCGGTTATGAATAAGTTAGTTTATTCGAGTAATAATTGGTTTGAATGAGTAGACATGTTGACCTAAGAGAGTGTCTGATTTTAAATTCAACTTGCAACTGATGAACGTTTCAAAAATGCATGAGTCTTGAACCTAATTCGTCTTTATCTGATTTATCTCTCTCAGTTCTATAATCAGCTTTGTCTCTAATCATGCATTAACTTTACCTTGTCGACATGATTTATAGATATCCTGCTAGTCTTCTTTTCCTTTGTGAGTACAAATTGTTTCTTTTTTATACAAATGATTTTTGAGATCCCAAGCAAGATGATTCAATTGATGGTAATTGAAACAATCATTCAATTTTGAATAATTTCTAAGAGTGTGTTCAACTGTTTAGACAGTAAGCGCAATGAATTATGTCCTTCAATTTACAAACACTTCATAATTAAACACCGCCCGTACTGTCTAAACAAAGAAACACACCAAAGAAATTTTTCAAGATTAAATAATTGTTTTTGTTGGCACTTTACCAGTTTTTAATAAAACTATGAGGAAAGCATGTTTGTTTTCTTTAATGCCTAACATTTTCGATAAAATTTGAAAATTTTCGAGTGGTGTCAGAATTAAGTAATTATGAAACAAATCTAATCAACTGTTGGTTCACTAAAAACTTTGAATGATATTGATAGTTCTATTTAATACACATAAGTCGACATCCATTATAAGGAAATTGTTGTTCTTTGAACTTTGTACATACTCCAGAATGAGAAAGATGGATGAAGGAAAAGATTGTGGTGGATTTCTGAATTTCTCCAAGTTTGATAACACAAAAATTTAATCATTTTCTTATCGTAGATAATAGAACAAATTTAAAACAATAAAGGTTATCCATCATTCACTATCATCACTTCTTCATTTCAACCTCTTCAATTCATCCAGCACCAAAATAATACAGATCATCAATCATTATTAGCATCACTTCTTTATTTACTATAGTGCTATGATAATCAAACTATTCACATTCCTAACTACATTTTTTTTAACCCACTTAACTACTTGGTCAACCACAAATGAATCTTCATCAATACGACCTTTAAAATGGAATGATATTAATTTTCTATCTACCACTGATACACATTCATGGTTTGGAGGGCACATAAATCAAAAACAATACAATGCAAATTGGGGAGATTTTATATCATTTGTTGAAAATATGAGAGAATTAGCTAAAAAACAAAATCAAGATCTTTTATTAATTGATAGTGGTGATAAAATTGATGGTTCAGGTATATCAGATATTTCCAAAATTCATGGTCAATATTCAACTCCCATATTTGTTAAACAAAATTATGATATTTTAACTATTGGAAATCATGAATTATATTTATTAGAAAGTTCAATTCAAGAATTTAAAGCTGTACAAGAATATTTTCCAGATAATTATATAACTTCAAATGTTGAATTTAATAATAATGGAACTTTTGTACCGTTCGGTTCAAAATTTAAATATTTTGAAACTGAAATTAAAAAAACTAGAATATTAGCATTTGGTTTCTTGTTTGATTTTAAAAGATTTAATTCTGGAACTAAAGTTACTCCAATAAAAGAAGAAATTGAAAAACAATGGTTTAAAGATACACTAAAACAATATCAAGGTAAAGTTGATTTAATTGTAATTGCTGGTCATACTCCAATAGATCATAATTGGCCCGAATTTTATCATTTACATAAACATTTACGTAAATATTATCCAAATACTATAATACAATATTTTGGAGGTCATAGTCATATTAGAGATTTTTCAATTTTTGATAAAAATTCAACAGGAATACAAAGTGGTAGATATTGTGAAACTGTTGGATGGGTAAGTATTGATTTAAATAAGAAAGATTTAGAAACAAAAGAAAGATTTTCAAGATCTTATATTGATTTTAATTTAAATTCATTTCATAAACATTCAAAGAAAGATATAAAAAATTTTGATTCTGAAAAAGGTATAGAAGTTACAAAACTTGTTGCTAAAACAAGAAAAGATTTAAAGTTAAATACTCAAATTGGAACTGTTCATTCTAATTATTATGTTGATTATGTTCCAATAGATCATCCAAAAAATATTTTTAATTTAATAACAAATCAAGTTTTAAATGATTTACCTGGATCAGGAGAAAGAATTATTATAATAAATACAGGATCAATAAGATATGATTTATATAAAGGTCCATATACAATAGATTCTCAATATATTGTATCACCATTTGAAAATAAATGGGTTAATTTAACAGTTCCAAAATCAATTGCAACAAAAGTTGCAGAAAAATTAAATGAAGCAAGTTATATTTCTACAACAAGATTAAAACCTCCTCATCATTATTTAAAAAAAGAAATTGTTTATAGTGATGAAGCAAAAGATAAAAAACTATCAAAAGGATATGTTACTCATGATGATTTTGGATCAAATGGTGATGACACACCACATAAACCAGTTATAAATTTTGATATTCCAAATGTTGTACAAAGTGTTCAATTAAATAATGAAATTGAATCATTTATTGATTTAGTATTTTATGATTTTATAACACCAAATATAAAATGGGCCCTAAAGGAATTAAATTATGAAATTCAAGAAGGTGAAAATCCAACTAATTATTCAGAAATATTTTTAGGTAAATTATTAAATAATTATATAGCTGAAAAATCACCATAAATTTTAGATCATTATCATTATATATTTAAAGTTGTATCTTTCGGCACATAAGTAAATCTATAATCTAAACTATTTATTATTTCTCCTCCTCCACTAGTTGTACTACCGAAATTATTATCAACTACAACATTTCCATTTATTCCAAACCATGAACCCCATATAGGTCTATTACTCTTTACAATAGTTGCTGGTTCTTGAATTAAATCTGCATTTTCTCCTAATCTATTCCTACCACTTTGATCAAATTTAACTTTTCCTGAAAAATTTATAATAAAAGTATTTGTACCAGGAATTAAATGACAATCAAAACTTGTTAATTGATGAAATGATATGGGAGTATTTAACCATTTTTTTTGAAATATTAATTTTGAATTTTCATTTTGTTGTAAATTAGGTATTATGGGGCTCCCATTTATAATTATTGCTGAATTTTGTTTTAAATTTGAACCAAATTGAGTTGCATAACTTTCAACATTTAAAAAATTTGAATTTGTTGAATTATATTGTGCATCTAATGATGCAAAGAAATTTTTTAGAAATGGTTCAATTGGTTGTGCTAGATGATTGTTAGCAGATGATACATTGATGATAAAGTATTTTTGACAAAAAATGTGGTTGCGTTGATTCTTTTTACATACTCGGATCTTGTTGATTCATTTTTTTTTTATTATGATGTAATATTTATGGAAAATCTACTTTTTGGTCTAAGTTATGTACCTTAAACAATTTGTTTCATATTGATTTCAGTTCTTCAAGTGGTAGTGCACATTTTTCAATTTCATTTGGTAGTAACCTTTACTTAATACGACTTAATTGCTTTTTTTAACAATCTCGCACGAGTTCAATTGTGTTTCATGATTAGCCTAATTGAAACCTGAAATTATGAACCACATGCAATGTCATAGCAATTTAAAGTCAAGTTTTATTATGAGGTGAGACGAATTTCAAATAATAAGAGTTTCTGCTTTTAGGTCACCCTCAATCCCCAGGATTTAAGATAGGGGAAATTGAAATTCGTTTACATATAAATAAATTTCAATATCTCGAGAATTTGAGACAGTTAGAGATAGGCTTAAAGGAATAAATACTAAATTATAATAAAATGTCAGGAAAACAACAAGCAGAAGGTATAGCAGCAAGTGTCATTGGAAGTGTTGGAGGTAATAAATTAGCTGATCATCTTCCAGGTGGAAATGCTACGAGAATGGCATTAGGAATAGGTGGTGGTGTTGCAGGTGGTGAAGCTGCTAATAAAGCTGAACAACATCATGAAGAAAATAAAGGAGATTAAGAATTTTGATATTCAGTATAATGAGTTTGAATTGAGATTGTATAAAAATGCACATGTAAACAAATCATGGAGACTTTCATCAACCTTCTTACTAGCAGGATTAATTAGACTTCAATCTACAACTCAAGGTTGTTGGTAGTTAGTAATATACAACATTTAGTTTTTTGAAAGGTTTTTAGTATCAATTCTTTCAATGTCTATGTTCGTGCTACCGTCAACTTCTAAACCAATAGCCCCTCAATTAGTACAAGAATTACTATTCTCAGCCCTGATTTCGCTAATAAATCTGATTGAATCACCTCTGCGAGATTGTGAATTACTAGTCAAATATCCGATATTTACTAGAAATGATTATCACATAAGTGAAAATATTAACTTCAGCAACCAGCTCATCAATCGTGTACTACATTAAATCCAATGATCCAAACTACAATCTAAAGAAACAATTTGAAATCAACAAGTAAACTAATTTGATTTTAGACGAAATAGCCTCGTCTATCAACGTACCTGATTTATCCAAAAAAATCTGAAGTATTACATGTTGACGCGGCTAATCAATGATGAGTAATTAAGTAACAGATTTAAGCTGGTTCAAGATCTAAAAATAGGTTATTAGATCAAAATCAAAATCATTCTATGAATCAATATTGATATAGTGTTGTTTCATGAAAAAATGCTAGCTAGTTAAAGTCAATATCTCAAAATCAAACATAAATCAAATTGCTTGCAAATCAAATCAAATTTGGAATTATGAAATGTTATATTTGTACTAATAAGATGAGTTGTTAAGTATAGATCTATGATTTTGTGTTTTATAGATTTCGTAAAAAATTTAAGCTTTTTTTTTTACTTGCAAAAAATATTAAAGCTTGCATCAGCAGAACTACCAAATGATCAAGTATCCCAAATTGGAATTAATTTAACTAAATTGGGATAATTAATTACTTACATTATAGTTATAAACTATATAGAATCAATATAATAGAAGAAATTAATTAGATATCAGAATCTAAAATTTAAAAGGGAATCAAAAATTGTAGTACTAAATCAAGATTAAAATTGTAATTTTTTAATTTTAATTTTGATTTGATCTCCATAGTTTAATCTGATGCTATTTATTCAAAAATAAAAATGGCTTGTATTCTTATTCTATTGCATAATGAGTCTCTTTCTTTGTTCCTTAAGTTCTTATTTTAAGTAGATCAACAAGTAAAATTTAGTATTAATTTAAAATTAAATATTTATATAAACAGATTTGATTTTCTCCATAAAAAATAATATTTACCTCATTTTGATTTGACAATTATAGTATCTCATACCAACAATTTACTTTACATTCATTAATAATTTTCACTTTTCATTTCAGTTTCATTCATTTTTAGCATTTTGATAAGTTTACCCCCTAACTAATAATTTTCAAAACAAGAACAGAACTCCAACTTTTACATAAAAATTTTCCAATCCTTTATTATTAACTACTATTCATTCGTTTCAAATTTCAAATTTCAATATTTTTGACACAAATATCTGAAGTTTTACATAATAATCCAATTCCTTCAATTATTTATTACCATGAGTTTAGTACAAACAATGATGTTTTCAGATCAATTAAATACACATTTTAGATCAAGAAGTTTTGAATTAATTAAAGAAGCAAAAACTGCAAGAATTAATAAAAGATCATTTAGTGATGATTTAAATTCAAATAATTCTTCATCAACAAAAAGATCAAGAACTGCTCCACCTTCACCACCATATGATTCAAAATCAAAATTAATTATATCAAATTTTATAAAACCAAAATTAAATCATCAAATTAGATCAAAATCTTTATCACCAAATAAAAAATTTACTTTATTATCACCTTCTAATTCAACTCAGTCTTCACCAAATACTTCTCCTAAAATTCAATTACCTAGTATTACAGCAACATTAAACACAACAACAGGAGCAACCACGACCACAACCACAGCTGGGACTACCACAAAAACAACCGAAAAACCAGTTATTCCAACTGTATCATTAGATTATTTTGATACATATAAACCAAATGATGAAAATTGGAGATATGAATTATTAGATAAAATAACAAAAGAATCAAAACATTTTCATTTAAATCAATATAATTATCTTAATAAATTAAATGATAATAAACCAAATTTTGATTCAAAAATAAGTACAAAAATTCAATATACTTCTCCTGTAAAAATTAAAAATGATAATAAACAATTAAATTTTCCATTTGAATCAAATTATACTTATTTAAATCAAACTTATATGAAAGATGTTAAAAATTATCCTGAATATTTAGAATTAGCTCAATCATTAATTAAACTTTCTGATTCTAAAATTCAACCAAGATCATCATCAAATGATTCAAATATACAACATATTCATCATCATCCACAACAACAACCTCAACATCTTCCTTCTATGCATCAATTTCCTCCACCACCACAACAAACTCAGTCACAACAACATCATCCAATTTATAATACTTCATTACCGCTGGTCGGTTCTTCATTTTATCAACATAATAATAATCAAACTGTATTACCAAGTATTTCTCAAACTTTACCAAATATTCAACAGTTTTCAACTTCAATATCATCAAATTCATCAACATCATCATCATTAATATATAATTATCAAAATTCTCCACAAACTCATAAATTTATACCTATTTCACCAATTCAAAATTCTTCAAATTTGAAAATTAAATCAAGATCAGAATTAATAAAATCACCACCACCACAAACAACAAACAAATCTTCTTCTCATTCTCATACTTCAAGAACTTGTATATCATGTGGATCAGATCAATCACCATGTTGGAGACCTTCATGGTCAATAAAACAAGGTCAATTATGTAATTCTTGTGGTTTAAGATATAAAAAGACATCAGCAAGGTGTCTTAATGATTTATGTAAAAAAATTCCTGCAAAGGGTGAATGGTCTCTTATGCAAAGTAAAGGAAAAGTATTATTTGAAGATGGTATGAAAGGTTTTAGTTGTTTAGATTGTGGTTGGAGAGTTGAAGTTAATAATGAGCATCTTCATTGAAACTGTGAATTGTGAATTGATTTTAGTTTAGTTTAGTTAGTTTAGAATACCTCTATCGTCATATTTGTCATTAATATATTAATCGTTTCTAGTAGAACCTTGTTAACTTGGTAACTCTATCAAAGTTTCTTGATGATGTAATTTTACTTAATTTCTCCGAAGGCAACAAACAAATTTAAAATTTGGTGAGAATTTAGATTTACGTATCTTGATAATCAAACCACCAAACAAGAACAACAAACAAGTAGTATCAATAGACAATGTCAGATATAACGATCACTGTCAAATCATCAGGTGATAAGAAATATGAAATATCTTTCAATCCTTCAATTACAATACTAGATTTAAAAAATAAAATTGAAGAAAAATCATCAATTCCTTCATCAAGTCAAAGATTAATTTATTCAGGTAAAGTTTTAAAAGATGATCAAACTGCTGAATCTTATAAGATTCAAAATGGTCATACTATTCATTTAGTTAAAAGTGCTAATGCTTCAACATCATCTTCATCTTCTACACCTGCAGCTAATTCTTCAACTACTTCCACCACTAATCAAAATCAAACTTCATCTCAGCAATCTCAGCCATCTGTTCCTTCAAATATAGCTGCAGGTCAAGGATCATTTAATCCATTAGCAGATTTAACTGGTGCACGTTATGCAGGATATACTCAATTACCTTCTGCTTCAATGTTTGGACCAGATGGAGGAATGAATTCAAATTTACCAGATCCTGAACAATTAAATTCAATGTTATCAAATCCAATGTTTCAAGAACAAATGAATTCAATGTTATCAAATCCTCAAATGTTAGATTTTTTAATTCAACAAAATCCTCAATTAAGATCAATGGGTCCACAAGTTAGAGAAATGATGCAAAGTCCAATGTTTAGACAAATGTTAAGTAATCCTGAAATGTTAAGATCTATGATGCAAATGCAACAAGGTGGTGCTGGTGCAGGTGAATTTGGTAATATTTTTGGTGGAGGTGCTGGTGCAGGTGCTTCTTCATTCCCTGCTCCTGGTGCAAATCCAACAACTGAAAATATTACAAATAATGAAGAGAATAATTCAACTGCTCAAACTAATAATAGTCAACAAACAACTAATCCGGCAACTAATCCAGCTGCTAATCCATTTGCTGGATTATTTGGAGGAATGCCACCAATTGATCCCTCTGTGTTATTTGGTGGTGCCGGTGCTGGTGCTGGTGCTGGTGCTCAAACAACTCCACAAGATAATAGACCACCAGAAGAAAGATATGAACAACAATTAAGACAATTAAATGATATGGGATTTTATGATTTTGATAGAAATGTTGAAGCTTTAAGACGTACTGGTGGAAGTGTACAAGGAGCAATTGAATATCTACTATCACATGTTTGAATTAAATAGCTATTTAATGAACTTTTTATATATAAAAATCTTAAATTTAAATGTACAAAACTTAACAATCATTGAAAATAAATTTGTTCTGTATATGTTGTAGCACAAAATCGTTTTTCTGAAAATAGATTTTAAAGTAGAATATCAACTTTTCTAGTAAACAAGCTAACATCACCATACTACAACGAATGATGCAATACTCAGAATCTAAACAATGTCGACTGAATCAATAAACCTAGAGAATTTCCAATTATCTAAAATTATAGCAGTACTATTAAAATCACAAGATTATCAATTTACAAAAACATTTTTAGATCAAATAACAGACTTAACAATACGATATTTACATACAATAGTATCTAATTTACAAGAATATACTCAATTGCAAAGACGTAAAATTCCATCATTATCTGATTTAAATATCTTATTAAAGTTTCATGAAATACTGATTAATGATTTAATTATAGAAATACTAAAGAGTAAAAAATTTAAAAATCATAATCAAATAAATTCAATAATAAATACCAATCAACAACAAGATATAGAAGAAAATGAATCATCATTACCATTTTTTCAAAATGAAACATATGCAATTACAAAAGTAGTACCAAATAATATAAAAAAACCAAATTATATACCAAATTATTTACCAGATTTACCACCAGATTATACTTATCAAACAACATCACAATATAATGAACCAATTAATGATTTAAAACAGCTTAGAATAAAATTAATTGAAGAAAGTAGATTAACTGAAAAGGCTTTATATAAATTAATTGAAAATGATGAAGTTGAATTAAATAAAAAAATTAAATTTGAAAATGAATTATCTGAGTTGTTGAGAAAACAACAAGAACAAGAAGAAGTAGTTAAAAGAAAGGAAGATGATGGTAAAATGGACGGAATAGAAGAGGCGAAGTCAGGAGATGTGACAGAGGTGAAATCAGGAGACACAACAAAGGTTAAGAAAGAAGAGGAAACCGATACAAGTATAGAGCCAATTACAACCACAGAACTAAGTGCAAATATAGAACCAAGTCCAACTACAGAAATCAAAGAAGAAATTTCTGAACAAGTAACACCTACCCAAGATTCAATTAATAAATTTGATTTCATAGAATATGCTAAAAAACGAAAAAAAATAGCCTTAAAAAAACAAAAATTAAAGGAACTAAAAAATGAAAAAAGACAATCAAACATATTTATGAAAGCAGAAACCTATTATTCACCATATGCAACAAAACAACCAAATGAAGAAATAAATCAATATTTTAAAAATATTTTAAATGAAGAATTTAAAAAAGTTATTGTATCAATAAGAATTAATGAAATTAAAAAACAGGAAGAAATTCAAAAACAAAAGGAATTAAAAGAATTAAAAGAAAAAGAATTTAAAGAACAAAATGAAATTCAATTTAATTTTGGTAATAATAATAACAATTCTGTTCTTAATGGTAATGATGATGATGATATAGATAGTGATGATATGGACGATTTTTAGGAAAATATGTACTATATATGTAACTTTTCAATAAAGACACTTACTCTTCACAGTTTAGGTTATAAAATACCTGTTTGAAACAGCAATACACTATTTATGGAACTTTGTTTTCGGAAATTTGAAACGAGTGAATCGAAATGAAATTGAGACGGAACTGCGACGACTTTTTTGTGAAAATTACGTCAGTGGTGAGATCAAATTAAAACCAGACCAAAATAATCCAACGCAGCCATGGTAATGAAGTCTCGGTCTTTGCATTTGCTAAGACAATCTGAAAGAATGTTTCAAATTTAGCCTAATACTAAAATTAGTTCCAAAATACCCCTTTTTTTAGAAAATAAATTTGTTATAATAAACGTTGATATCATCTATGTAGATCCAAATTAAAGATTTAAACAGTTATAACTGATATTCTGTTAAATCGAGTAACTATTTACCCCTAATCTTGTCTGCTCCATTCGGAATTATACAGAAATTTCCTGTTCTTTATTGTTCTGTCGAGTCGAGTTAATCAAACATTGCTATTTTCAATAATTTCTATATGGAATTTTCTATAAACGTTGTTTGATTTTGTACTATAACTAATAAACTCAATTAAAAAAATAATTTATCAACTTTTTTTTCAGTAGAAAATACAATTGCTTTTGTATTTCATCATTATGATATAGCATTTATTTTGTACTTTTAACTTATTATAACTAAGAAACTTTCATTTTCATCAATTGATAAACTAATTCTATAGACTTTTATACAAATATGACAGTTATTGTTGGATCATTGTATGTATTTGCTCAATCATTAACCATAGCCAATTGAAAAACCAAATTTACTAACTTTTTCAGATTTCTTCCTTATACGGTACATTTTCAAATAGCTAAAGATCAATATGATTATTTAAAACAAGAAGATAGTTCAAAATTACAATCAATACAATTATCTGGAGAAAATTCAATAATTGGATCTAATAATAATTCAACTTCACAATTTCCAATAATTGATAGTACTACTTCAGATCAAGCTTCAATTATTCCATCATTATTAAGTCAAAAATTAAATTTATCATCATCTACACCAAAATCTCAATCATCAACTTTAAATAATTCAATTCGTTCAGATACTCCTGAAGGATTTTTTTATAATCAAAGAAATATTTTACAAAGGAATAAATCAAATAGTAATACAAATACATTGAAATCATCATCAACAACAGGATCAACAGGGTCGACCGGAGTAACTTCAACCACCACAGCAAGTCCAGATCATCATTATATTCAACCAAGACCAAGATTAGGAAATAGAATAGATAGTTCAATATTAGATCCAAAAAAGCCAACTTCAGATGGCGTAACAAGTATAAAAATTTCAAGATCATCAACTAATTTATCATCATCAAGTCCAAATTATGTTGTTAATAGTGGTATAAGACCTCCAAATCATAGATCAAATTCTTCATTTTTAAGAAATAATAGCACTAGTACTGAAAATCAAAAATTTGGTTTTACTATTCATGGAAATAGTAGTTATAATTCTATATTATCTGAAGAAGGAGAGAGAAATAATAATAATAATAGCAGTAGTGGAGGAGGTGCTGGTAGTAGTGATAATAAGAACAAAAGTAACACCGAAAATAATGCAATGATCCCCTCCTCATTTGAAGATGAAGATGAAGATGGTTTAACAGGTTTTGAAAAAAATTATAAACATTCTGTTTCAAATAATAGAAGATTAGCTCCATTTGGTGGATTTTCAAAACCTGGTATTGAACATACTTTATGGAATGAAGAAAATATTTTTGATACTGCTGAATGGACTGTTGATTCAAGTGATGATGGTAATGGTTCATTAACTAAAGCTTTAGATATTTCTGTTAAAAATGGAATATTAGATCAAAATAAATGGGTTGGTATTATAGCAATGCCAAGTGATACTATATCAGAAGATGTTAAAAATAAAATTTCATCAAAATTAAGTAAAGAATATAATTGTGATGCTGTTTTTCCTAATGATATTACATTTGAAGGTCATTATAAATCATTTTGTAAACAGATTCTTTGGCCAACTTTACATTATCAAATTCCTGATGATCCAAAATCAAAAGCTTTTGAAGATCATACTTGGGGTCATTATAAATTAATGAATCAAATTATAGCAAATAAATTAGTTGAAACTTTTATTGAAACAAATGGTGATTGTAATTTTGAAGATTCTCAAAATATGATTTGGATTCATGATTATCATTTATTATTAGTTCCAAAAATGATTAGAGAAAAATTACCAAATGTTAAAATTGGATTTTTTTTACATGTTTCTTTTCCAAGTTCTGAAGTATTTAGATGTTTTGCTCAAAGAAATGAATTATTGGAGGGAATGTTAGGAGCTAATTGTATTTCTTTCCAAACTAATGAATATATTCGTCATTTTAGACAAACTTGTAATACTTTATTAAATGATGTTATAGTTAATGATAATGAAATTATTTATAAAAATCAATTAACTATAGTAAATACAATACCAGTTGGAATTGATTCACCATCATTAAGAACGAAAGTTTATAGTGAAGAAGTTAAAGAATGGAGAAAATTAATTAGAGAACGATGGAATTCAGAAAAATTAATAATAAGTAGAGATAAATTAGATAAATTAAGAGGTATAAAACAAAAATTATTAGCTTATGAAAAATTTCTTATAAATAATCCAAAATTTATTGAAGATACTGTATTAATTCAAATTTGTATTGGATCATCATCTGATCAAAATTATGAAAATGAAATTATGAAAATTATTTCAAGAATTAATTCATTACCTGAAAATATTTCAATAAATCAACCTGTTGTATTATTACAAAAAGATATTGAATTTGAACAATATTTGGCATTACAATGTGAAGCAGAAACTTTTATTGTAAGTTCAATGAGAGAAGGTTTAAATTTAACATGTCATGAATTTATAACTGCAACAGAAGAAAAAAAATCTCCTTTAATTTTAAGTGAATTTACTGGTTCTTCTGATTTATTATCATGTAATGGAAAAGGAGCTCAATTAATAAATCCATGGGATTTAAAAAAATTTTCAGAAACCTTTTTGTATGCTTTAAATATGTCCAAGGATGAAAAATTAAAAAGATGGGAAAATTGTCATCATTTTGTATTAACTCAAGATTCAAAACATTGGGTTGAACATTGTTTGGAAAGTATAAATAATGCATGGGATAAGCAAAAACAATATCAACAGCAACATTAAAGTGGGTCTATATTTGTTTATCTTTATAACTCAACAATACCATATCATTAATTTCTTTTAAATTATTTAAAAATTCCAATTTTTCATCATTTTTTGTAATTTCATTTGTTTTATTCCAATAATAATTTAAAAATTCATCTTCTGTTATAAAATTTTTATTTGATTTATCTCTATTAACACACCAAAGATTTTCTTTTAATCTTTTATGAGTTTCTCTTTCATCTTCCATTCTTGAAAGAATTTGCTTTTTTGTGAGGTGATTATCGCCACTACTACTCTCATTTTTATTTCGTATATTGAATAATTGATCTACTTCTATATCTTCATCAATTGCAGGTTTTTTCTCTAATTCAATTCCATCAATTTGCAGTTTTCTTTTCCTTTGTAATATAATTTTCCATGCAATATTTAAAGAATCTTCATCTTCATTTATCATGATATCATTTTCATCAATTAACCAACAATTATTAAATTTATCTTTGTAGTCTTCATAATTAAATTTATAATATTTCAGTATATTACATAACCCATTAAAAATTGAATTTAAATTTGTTAAATTATTAACTGGACAAACCAAATTTATTATCTTTGGTAAATTTAATTTCAAACTATGAATATAAGCACCATTTAATTTTAAATTATTAAAACTTTCTATAATTAAAATTTCAATAAATTGGAAAATAAAAGATTTTAAATTTAAATCTATCTTGGAATCTTCCAACACAGTTATTATTGATGGTATTATATAATCTTCTTTATCTGAATTTTTTAAAGCAAAATAACTTGCTTTTGTTAACAGTTGAATATGAGGTGTTAAATTTTTTAAAATGGTTGTAAATTGATTTGCTACTTCAAAATCATCCATGTTGCTGTTGTGGTTGTTTGGTTAAATTGTGGGGATTGTTGGTTAATTTAAGTAACGTGGATTGGTTAAATACTGTGGGTGGTTGAAGTCAGGTTATGTAGGTCCTTAAATAAATATTGATAAACACAAGTTGGTTGTAAATAATAATAGTTATGATGTATTTTGTATGTCAATATAAAATCAATGTCAAATAAAATCAGTGTCGTGAGTTTGCGACTTAAAATTTTTTATCTTTTGCTTCATGAGTTTGAATTTTTTCATTGTTTCATAATCATCACAAGATATTTAATTATATATAATCAGATTAACCTCACAACAATGGGTAAATCAGGTAAAGGTAAAGGAGGTAAGAATAGAAGAAGAGGTAAAAATGATAATAGTGGACAAAAAAGAGAATTAATTTTAAAAGAAGAAGGTCAAGAATATGCACAAATAACAAAAATGTTAGGAAATGGTAGAATTGAAGTACAATGTTTTGATTCAATAAAAAGAATGGGTCATATAAGAGGTAAAATGAGAAAAAAAGTATGGATGGGACAAGGTGATATAATATTAGTAAGTTTAAGAGATTTTCAAGATGATCAATGTGATGTTGTACATAAATATAATTCAGATGAAGCAAGATCTTTAAAACAATTAGGTGAATTACCTGAAAATGCTAAAATTAATGAAACTGATACTTTTGGAGCTGATGAAGATGAAGATGTTAATTTCGAATTTGGTGGTGCTGATGAATCTGAATCTGAAGATGAAGAATTAGATATTGACGATATATAAATAACTGCATTTTACCTACTTTTTAATAATATTGTATATTAATAGAATGAAAAGAAGAAAAAAATTGGAAAAAATTGGAAAATCATGGAAAATAATGTCAAAATGTCAATGTTCTTTTATTTAATCTTACTCTATTTCAAAACTATCAACTCGTCTTAATGCTACTTGTTCTTCTAAATCAGATCCTCTACGTAATTGCATAGATCTTCTAACAGTTGAAAATGATCCAACTCCATTATCTAATGGTCCCATATCTTTTGATGTATGAACTCCAAATAATTCTCTATGACGAGCATCACCATCATCATCATCTTTTCTTGCAATATTTAATAAATAAACACCACTAAATATTATTAAAAATCCTATTAATAATGATATAATATCAACTGCTGATGATGTATTAAAACCTTTAAATAATATAAATGATGCAGCTAATGTAAAAGTTGTAAATGTAACATAATATAAAGGATTTACAATTGATGTATCAAATTTATCTAATGCTTTATTAAAATAATTCATTTGAGTTATAATACATATTGCAACAACTATTAAAAATAAATAAGTTGAAATATGAGTAAATTGATTATTCCCACTTAAAGTTAATTTTAATGCAATACCAAATGCTTTTATTGACATAACTGATATAGAACCAACTGATGAACATATAGATAAATAAATCATTGGATTTGTATTTCCATATTTTGGAACAATTTTATAAATCATAAATAATGAATATAATCCAACTATAGTACAATAAAATAAAAATCCAGGTTGTGTAGCATAATTTAAAATTTCATCAACTGTTTCAACTTCTTTATCTGGTGGTGCATGTAATACTATTATAACTGAACCCATTAAACAAATTGCACAACCCATTTTCCCCAATGTTCCTAATTCTTCTTTTAAAAAAATTGCAGCTAATACTGCACCTATAATAACTGATAATGCACCCAAGGGAGTAACTAATATAGCAGGTGCAAAAGTATAAGCAGCAAAATTTGCAATTTCTCCAATTGCCATTGTTATCATTCCTCCCCACCATATTGGATTTTGTAAATAATCTTTTGGTTGTACATTTGTTGAAGAACTTCTTGCTGATGCATCCATTAGACCCTTTTTTGTTATAATAAATGATGTACCAATAGCTAATGAAGAAGACATGGCTAATGCAAGTCCTATATATTTATCATCCATTGTCATGATTTATCTATAGTATTATCATATATGAGGTGATCTATTAGTTTGTTAGTTTAGTTTAGTTAAGTTGAAGAAATAGCCTAATTGGTTGTTGTTGTTGTAGTTGGCTGAGTATTCTATTATCTAAATTTCTATTTTTAATAAATTTTCAATTTCGAGACAAAAATAAAAAAACACGTCAAATGAAGATTTATTAATAGAAGTAATCGAATCATGATAGACACGTCTTAGATGAAGAGATATAGCATAGATCTAACTCAACTCAGATCTCTATTGAAGATAAAGCTATATAACATAACAAAACAAAAACCCATGTTTAAATATATAGTAAATTTGTAGACATAACTCTCCTTTTCTTTTCCCACAATCCCAACCAAAAATGCCAAATTATAAAGAATATGAAAAATTTATTAATCAAAATATCTTATTCATTTATCAATTTTATAAAATTATATTCATTAAATTTGTAAAACTAATTTTAAATTCAATTAAAATTTCAAAAAATGTAATTAAATCAGAAAATTCAATTGATGATTTATGGTTAATTTTTAATATTTTAACAAGTTTTACTGGATTAATTTGGTTATATTTATGGCAAAACTCAACACTAAAGAAATTGAATGATTCTTATTTTACCATTATTTTGATATCTTTTTTTAAATTTGGTATAAAATTATCTTTACAAATTAGGAAGTTATCATCAAAAAATTCACTAATTTCATTAATATCAAATTCAAAATTTAAAATTAATGAAAAACCAATTTTAAAAATTTTAAAACAAGAAAATACTTGTATGTTTATTTTCACTTATTTAATTTTAGAATCCAAGATTAATTATTTTAAAATTTGGTTTTTATTATTACATTCAATTTTTATGATGTTTAATGTAAAGCATCAAATGGTTAAATTTTGTTTTGGAATTTTAGAAAATATAGTGTTGATTATATTTTGGTATGAATCTTTCCTTACTTTTAAATTTAATATTCCAATTTGTTATACAATTGCATTTTTGTTGAAACTTGAAGAATCTGATACTGCTATTAAATCAATTAGTATGATTTTAAAATGGTTTAAAAAAAATGATATTGATAGACCAACTACTTCTATAGGTTTTGATTGTTTTAGTATAATTAGTGATTATTAAGTTGTTCTTTTAATTCAATTAATTTTTCCCAACCTTTTGAATCTTCCCATGAATCTTTTCCCTTTGACATAAGGGATCGAATTGTAGTTCTTGCTTTATATTTCCAATCTTTACATACTAAATCTCCTGCTCCATGTTTACCTGGTAATTCACCTAATGATTCAAATGCACTAACTAAATCATCACATGCTTCAACAACTTCATTCCATATATTTTCATTTGATTCTAATTCTGGATTATGTAATAATACTCTATATGCTTTTTCATTATATTCTAATGCTAACCATGGTTTTTGTCTCCATAATTCAACACGAGCAACTATTTTCCAACATCGAGATGATGATGTTATAATTGATGGTATTTTGTTACATATTAAATCAATACATGTCTTTTGAAAATGAGTTAATTTTGTATCATTATAATCACTTGATATTAAAATTTCTGCTAACTTTTCCAACATTGGTAAATCAATAGCAGAATCTCCATCATTTTTTTTTATTTGAATTAATTCATTATATGCAAATAATACATCATTCCATTCATTTAATTGTGAAGCAACATTCATATAATTTTCAAAAATTCTCCAAGATTTTTTATCTCCTCCACATCTTATAGCTTTTTGTAATGCATTAAAAGCAGGTCTTTTTTTATCTAATTTTAATAAGCTACTTGCTAAATTTGACCATGCATAAGAATTTGTATCATCTAATGAAACACATCTTGTAAAAGCTTCTGAAGCTAATTCAAATTGACCTGATTCTAATCCACAACATCCATAAAAATACCAATTTTCAAAATTTAATGGATTTGCAGTTAAACAATCAAACATGTTGGCAATAGCAGCTTCTAAATTTTTTTGACTATAATAATATTTTGATAATGAAGCTTTTGCTTTTGGATATTTACCAATTTCCCAAGATTTTTCCCATAATGATGGATCTTGTTTTATATCTCCCAATATTGATATAGCTCTTGCATCAGTGGGGAATTCTTTTATTCTTCCAATTAAAATTTTTTCAGCTTCTTCTTCTTTACCAACTGCTGCATAACATAAAGCAGCTTCACAATATAGTTCTAATCCTTCATAAATTTCTAATGCAGATTTTAAAACTCCTAATGACATATAAGTTTCAGCTAATTTAACATCCATGACCCATTGAGGTAGGAGAGGTAATTGATGAATAAATCTTAATCTTTGACAAGCTATTTCATTTAAATTTTCTTGTTGTTGTGTCTGTGGTAATAATCTTGTTTTTATTTTTAATCCCATTTCTTCAACTAATGATGTCATTTGTAATAAACCTCTTTCTATAGTTCTTGATTTACTAGTTTCAAGAATTGATCTTTCCCATAATGCTCTTGAAAAAAGTAACCAATTAATTCCTTCTGGATTTGAATATAATATTCTTGCTACTAATGCTAGTAATTCTTCTTCAACTAATGGATCATTTGATGGAGAAGTTTGTTTTATTACCGCTAATCTTAAAAGTACTTGTAGCACATCAATATTATTTAATGGTGGTTGATTATTTGGATCTAATTCTTTTAAATCTGATGGAATATCTTCAACTTTCATTGCTAATGGTAATAATCTATCAGCTTCTAAATCATCAATTAATAATTCAGGATCTAATTTAATTTTTTTACTTACATTTTCCAATTCTAAATTTAAATTTTCTAATGAATCAAATTCTGGTTTTTCTAACAATAGATCAGAATCTAATTGAAATTTCTCAAGTTTATTATTTTCATTATAATCATATAATGTTGGTTCATAACTTTTTCCCAATACAATTAAATTTGATGTAAAAAATTTTTGATATTTGGTTCTTTTTGCTTTTGCACCAGATAATAATAATTGTAATTTTGAAAGTTTAAAAGCTTTTATAAGTGGTGTTGTTGCTGAATGTTCAGTTTTTGCATGTATATTAATTCTAGCTTGTTCTAATAAGAATTGAATTTCTAATAATTTTTTGATTTCTTTATCACCTTCAGGAATTAGGTTCAAAAGTAATTGATCATTTAATAAAATTCCACATATGGACAGTATAATACTTGGAGTATCTGATAATACAGATGCATGAATTTGTAAAGCTCTTGAAAACCACCAACTTATTGATGCCTTTAAAGGTGAATCAATTTTCTGAATAGTTGTTCCAATATGATTCAATAGTGATTCAGTATTAAAATTTTGAAAAATTGGAATATTCATAAGTTTTTCAAATATTAATTCTGAAACTATTAAATATATTGGATCTTGCATTAAATCATAAGCTTGTTGTCCTTCCATACATAATGCTCTTACTGCATCTTTTTGAACTTTATTTTGATCAACATTTGGGAAAAATATAGAATGAGATTGTAATGTAATAGGAGGTCCAGTAAAATTTGATTGTATAAATAATTGTAAAAAAGCTATAGCAAATGATTGTAAACTTATAAATGAATTTTCTCCAATAAATTTATTAGTTAATTCAAATAATTTATTTGTAAAAATTTGCAATACTTCAATTAATGGTTTTTGGGGATATTGTTTTAAAATGTTTTGAATATCTGGTAAACTTGAAATTTCCTTGTAATCACTTATTTCTATAACTTCTGCATATTTCCCATCTAATAAAGCTCTTGTGAGTCTTTCTAGTCTTTCATCTTCTCCAAATTCCAATTGATCCGACGGCACTTGTAGTATTAGTTGTGAATATAATTTCTTTAAGCTCATTATGCTTTGTTGTTGTTGTTGCGAAAGAGATGGTTTCGGATGTGCTGCAAATTGAATTTTGGTAGAGAGAAAAAAAAAATTATATAAAGTCTGTGATTTACTATCAAAAGTTTATTAAACATTTCTATTAAAAACTAAATAAAATTCTATAACTATAAGATTATGATGAACCACCACCAAAAAATGAAAGACGTTTCTTTGAATCACCTTGTTGTGAACTATCAATTCTTTTTAATTCATTTGATTTTCTACTTTTTGGTTTTTTTAAAGAATTTCTAATCTTGATACGACTCATATCTGATCCATTATCAAGATTTTCATCATCAGATGCAAAATCAATAATTTCTTCTTGTAATATTATTTGTGAGGGATTATTAGTTGATGACATTCTTTTTTTAAAAGTTGGTTTTTCTATAGATGATGATTTTTTTTGTTTTTCTTCACTATTATTTAAATCTATTAATGATAAATTTGAATCATTATTTTTAGTGGTTGTAAGAATTGAAGATGATGAATTTGATGAAGCAAGACCAACTTCAAGATCAATTAAATCTGGTTGTTGTTGTAATTTAGGAATATTATTTGATGATTGCAGTAATGTTGGTTTATGACTTGGTCTAAATTCTTCAGGTGAATTTACGGTGTGGCCCCATGGATTATGATTTTTATGTTGTTCTGGTTTAAAATGACTTTCAGATTTTGTAGATGATAAATTGGATGGTCTAGCAAATGGGAAAGGATTATTTGGAGATGATAAAGTATCAATGTTTAAATTTTTGTGTTGATTATTGGAAGATGATGCGTTGTCAATTGATAGGTTTTTAAATTGATTGTTTGGAGTATTTTTGGTGTTATTTGAATATTCTTGACCTGAAGCATTATTAATGTTGTTTGTATAATCTTGTTTATTAGTATTGTTGTTTGCAAAAATATCATCAGCTAATTGTTCAGCTCCCTTTTCCAAACTTTGAGCTTGAGCATTTGTCCATGCATCTAAATTTTGATAATCATTACTCAACACTTTTGATGTTGTTTCTTTTGAAACATCTGTTTTCATACTAGTTGATCTTGTTGGAGCTTTTCCAGAAGAAGAACTTAATGATTTATCTAAATGATCAATATCATCCAATGAAGGAAATCTTTCTTCAGCATCTTCAAGTTGTTCCAAATCTGATATTGCTTCTTCATTTTCCAGACTAAAACCTAATAAAGAATTAGGTGTTTTTTCTAATGATTCTTTAGGTGGAGCTAATGATTTTGGAGCCAAATTTTCTTCAGTCACGACTGCTTCTTGTTTTGAGGAAGTTGATGGAGGTGGTACTACTTGTGGGGCTACTTGTGACCTCAATTCACTAGTATCGATCATACTTTGTTGTTGATAATATATCTGTTTTTGTTGCATAATTTCATTTTGTTTTTGAGCTTGATATTCTTGTAAAGCTTGAAAATTATAAGGACCTAATTTATAAAAATCTTTTATACCTAAAGATTCAAAATTTATATTCATTATTTTACAAATTAAAATTAAAACTTGAATTATATTTGGTCTAAATAATGCATTTTCTTGTAACATTATTATTATTAAATTTTTTAAATCTCCTGAATATTGAGGTATTTGAGGAAATTGAAATGAAGCATGTAATATTGCAATATCACCATTTGCTTCAAATGGAGTTGTATAATAACATAATTTGTAAAGAAAACATCCCAAAGCCCATATATCTGCTTTTTCATCAATTGGAATATTTCTATATAAATCAATCATTTCTGGTGATCTATATTGAGGAGTAGTATGATATAATATATCATGACTTATTAATTTAAATTGTTGTTGATCTTGTGGTGGCATTATTGGGATAGTAGTTGAACCAAAATCACATAATTTAAAACTTTGTTGAGAATTAATTAATACATTTTCAATTTTAATATCTCTATGAATTAATTTTGTTCTATGCATTTCATAAACTCCTTGACTAACATCTAACATAATTTTTAAAATTTCTACTTCTGTTAATTTTGTTTTAATTCTAGCATTCATATAATCTAATAAGGATCCTCCGGGACAAAGTTCCATAAGTACTAATACTTGATAAGTTCCATTTTCTAATCTTTCTGCATGTGAATCAATATATGTTACAATATTTCTTGCATCTCTTAAAGTTTTCATAACATCAACTTCTTTCCGTAGTAGATTTAATCCATTCTTATCTGCTACAATTACTCTTTTTAAACATGCAATTCTTGGTTCTTTGTTGCCGGTGTTTATCAATACTTCATATATATGAGCAAAACCTCCTTCAGATATATATTTAACTATAGTTACTTTATGTTTACCAACTTGTAATTCTGTACCTTCTGATAACTTTTGAAGTTTTTCCATTATTATGTGAATATTGTGGTTGATCTGGCAGAAATTACAATGAAACGGGACAAAAACTCAATTGAACAATATCAATTGAGTTGTGAATGGTTCTCCTAAGGTATATAAAGTTGAATAAACTGATTGAATATGGTCTCAAAAACTATATATTTGAATGAGTTGTTTTAATTAAGAATTGCGATTTGATATTATTTAGCTCTTAGATCTATTTTTATTTTTTTTACTTAGACCTACATGGTGAGAGATTCTGATCCAAAACACAAATCTTTTACCAATAAGAATAGATGAGAGGATGAAGATGACTCCATACACAAGTATATATCAAACCTATTCAATAGTACCAACCTATTTAGCAAATGAGATTCTACTTATACGTTTGCCCTCAATTAATTAAATTATAGCCCCCAGTGATCCAATCTAAATTAATTTTTGTGGAATTTCGCGCTTGATTCGTTGCAACAAATTTTGCAGCAATAGAATTTTATTCTATCGTCTAAATTTAGAACTACATATGTATCAATTTGAAATGCATCAGTAACATACATTTACCATATTTAGTGCTTACATAAAATTCATAGCAGATGTCATATTTCATTATATATTTGTTCCAATTCCAGTAAATTCAAAGGTATATAAATCAAATTTTTATTCAGTATTAACATTTGATGATCAGAAAATTCTTTCATAAAAGTTGTAAAAGTATTAAAATTTGAAACAATTAAATTATTTAATGCTTCATCATACATATCATTAATAAATAATGAATTTGTTGGTGAACCTTTTGTTGTAGCATTTTGGTTTTTTAAAATTTCAATTTGATTTTTAACTAATAATTTAAATAATTTATTATGATTTTCTGTTAAATTATTTAAAATTATTGATGATGATTTTGTATTTATTTTACTATTATTGCCAATGTCTAAAACATTTGTAAATAATAATTCATTTTGATATGGTATATAAGTTGTTGATTCATGATAAATGAAATTACTATTTTTAGTTAGCAAAGATGAATTTATATGATCTATGGAAGCACAACACCATATTTCTGGAATACTTATTAAATTTGATAATGGTGTAAATTTACTTCTTAAATTAACTCCATCAATATTATGAATAATTAATAATAATTTTGGTTCAGTTTCTGGCATTCGTCGTTCATTCATTGTAGCAATTAAATACTCAATACATTCAACCGTATGCTTTGGATATTTATCACCAACTAATACTGATGCAATTTGAAGAACAATTGCTCTTATATCTAAATTAGGATTATATCCATTTACAACTAAAATAGGAGGTATTGGATTTTTATAAATTTTGGTCCACCAAGATCCAAAATAATTTTCAGCAAAATCATTGAGCACCGAGATTTTTGAACCAACTCCAAATAAAATAATTTTAAAATTTTGTGATAATTCAAAACACCATTGATGATATAAATATTTATTTAATTGTAGTAACGAATTTTTTTCAATTTTTAAAATATCATTTGACATTTCAATATATTTATTAAATTGATCTCTAGTTAATTTTGGAGCAATTAATGGAGTAGTATTATTTCTAAATCTTTTATGATTTTGTTCAAAATATCCTTCTGCTCCATTTATTGAAAATACGGATTGATCAATTAATTTCATTGCTCCATTTGATTCTGATTCTTCAATTTCTTTTAAGAATTGATTTGCATAATTTAATGATAAAGGTTTAAATGAGGTCACTTCGGTAGTTTCTTGGTTTGTAGTATCTTTTTTTAATCCTGAAATCAATGGAGTTTGTTTGGTAGATTGTTGACTTATTAACAAACTTAATAATGATCGTTTATCCTTTTTTTTGGGAGTATCTGGCTCATTATTAACCAGTGTTTTTGAAGCCAATTCTTTAAACATTTCATCATCTTGATGGAAAATACTTTTGATTTTTGTTGCAACATCATTGAGTCGTTTACTTTTTGTGTTGTATATTGGTTCTTTTGTTTTATTTTGCTTTTTCCTTGGTTTTGGTTCTTTTGCTTTGTTTTGTTTTCGTTTCTTGGTAGGTATGTCATCTTCAGATAAATCTAAATCTTCGTCTGATTTATTATCATTTTTCAAATCTATATCTGATCCTGACAGTAGTAACTCTTCATCATCAATCAATCCAACTTTTCGTTTTATTGATCTTCCTCTTTTTGATTTAATGGTTAAATCAATTTCTAATTCAACATCACTTCCATAATTTCGAAAATCATTCTGATCTATATCTTTTTCATTTCTTGAACCTTTAATAATTCTTTCAGCTATTATTCTATCTTGTTCATCTAAAATATCTTCAGGACCATCATATTCATCATCCATTAATCGACTATATATCGTTTTATTGGCTCTTTTTCTTGCAGATAAATCCAATTCAGTATTGGATCTCTTCTCCGGTGATCGTAGACCAGCTCTTCCATTCGGAGTTTTAATTGGTGATAAGATTGTATTTTTAGTAGGTGAGTCATATAATGTAAGTATTCTATCCCTTTTCGAGGGGGATCTAAATGGACTTTGATTCATTAATTGGATTTCTTCGTCATTAAATATGTTGGTACTTCATTTATTTATGCATTGAGACCAATTTCGTAAATCAATATGAAATTTATTTTTAGACGTGAGACATCCAAACCATTTTATCATACATACAAAGTAGCTAAACTCATCTCAACCTTATACACCAACATAAAAGCATGCTAACGTTTTGTCCAAACTGTTCAAATATGCTACTAATAGCTCCAGGAGAAGATAACTCAAATAGATTTTATTGTTCAACATGTCCATATGAATTTCAAATATCAAATTTTCAAATGTTTGATAGAAAAAAATTACATAGAAAAGAAGTAGATGATGTTTTGGGAGGTGAAGGAACATGGGATAATGTAGATCAAACCAGTGCTCAATGTCCCGTGGATAGTTGTGGTGGTGATAAAGCTTATTTTTTTCAATTACAAATTAGATCTGCTGATGAACCTATGACTACTTTTTATAAATGTGTTAAATGTTCTCACAGATGGAAAGAAAATTAACGAGGTTTATATAGATGGAAAGAGAGTTAATGAGAGAAATCAAGGCTTTAAACTAATCGAGGGTAAATTCAAGTCTTTGGCTATGGGATTAATACAACTAATGGACAACTACTAGAAAATGTCTAAATTTAAGAATATATGACCTCAAAAGAATGGAAAGAGTGAAACTCCAGAAGCATAAGGTTTCAACTCAAGCCAGTATGAGTGTGTATTGGTTACAAATTGCATATTACTACAATCATGATCCATTGATATCCGATTACAATAGTATTCCGTAATATTCTACTCTATTATATTGATTAGCTAGATTTTCCCATTGAACAATAAATCTATCAGAAATAGGTAAAATTAATCTTCCAGTAAGACTTAATTTTTTACTTCTTGCTAAACTTTCAATATATATAATTTTTGTTGAATTTAAACCAAAAAATTTCATTATAAATATTGCAAATGCTAATATGAAAGAAGTTCCCGGACCGTTCATTATTATAAGATCGCTTTTGACATTGTATAACGTAATAAAAGCATCAATGATTGAGTAAATGGAATTGAATATAGCTTTTGGTATTGAATCTCCAACATTTTTAGCTCTATGTATTGATTTGGTGTTGGCAAATCCTTTCTGTTTGATTTGATTTAATGTTGCTATATCACCCTTAGAATATATCCAAGTAGTTTTTATATCATTTAAATCTAATTTTGAAGTTAGTTTTAACATTTCTCCTGTATGACCTCCAGATCCTAAAAATATTGAAATATGTTTATTTTTTAGGTGCTTGATTGATTTAAAATTATTTATTGATTTAGTTTGAGTTGTGAATGGTAAGATATATATTAGTCTTAATAGTATACCTGCTATTGGAATTGATATTAGAATTACGGTAATGCATAATTGAGATTCGATACTCATTGTTTGATTGATTTTGGTGAAGAAAGGTTAGGATTTTCGAGAGAACAAAAATAATGTTTCATATTTAAGTTTCGTTCTAGGTTGCAAAATTTATTACAAGGTACGGTTAATTATTTCACCAAGAAGATTAACTTCATTCTCCCAATAAAAGGAAAAATTTCTTATTATCGTAGAGTCATATAGTATAGAGCCCTCTGAATAGAATAATAATGCAAACAAACATTACATGAAATACGACTATCTAAACAATGAGCTGTTCTTGACGTTGCTCAATTTCCATCTTTAAATTTTAAATCTTTTTCTGCCAATTGTTTCATGACTTTACCAACCAACAAACTCAATTGCTTTTGTTCTTCATTAGTTTTCCCCAAAGGTTTTACTTTACCATAACAAACTCTCATTAGAAAATTATTATCAATATTAATTAACCCCGCAGTGTTTTTATTTTCATTTAACCCATTGTCATTGACAAAGTCTGCAAATTTTTCACAAGAATTACGATCTTCAAATGTTATATAACCACATCTACAACTATGATTTAGATTTATACTTTTAATTTGACCAAATTGTGAACAATATTTAGAAAGGACATATTGTGGAAGATCGGATGGAAATCCAAATATAAAGAATGATAATAAATCTGGATATTTTGATGATTTTAAATTATTGTTGAATGGAAGTTTTTTAAATGATTTTGATGTAATTGTAGCTTGCTTTTCCACATCTGTATTTGTTGTATTTGTACTGTTGGTGTTCTGTTCTTTGAATTTTTCTGCTAATTTTGATAACAATTCTTTAGCTTTCATATCATTAGAATCTTTTTTTTCAAATGATCTTTCCAATTTATCAGCCATAATAGCTTTTACTTCTCTATTCTTTGAGGTCTTTAAAATTGATATAGGATCTAATCCAGCCATTTTTAAAGCTGTGTCTCTTAATTCTATTGGTATTCCATATTCCATATCTAGTAGACATATTTGACAACTTCCTCTTGCTTTTGCACAAGTTTCACATATTATTGTATTTAAAGGTTTTGATGATATTGATTGATTTCTAAACTTGTATACTGTGAACGGTCTAGTACACTGTTTACACTCTTCTCCATTTTCATGTTTTGTCATTTTTATAAATCTTGAATCACCTAGACATCGCGTACATATGACGAAGGTATTTGAACTCATTTTTTACGGTGTGATGAAATGAAGCGTTGTAAATGAAGATGAACTATAGATCAACATGCTATTCATATTTTAGTCGCTACCACTTATCGATGTTCTAATCCTAAAGTCTGATGAACAAGAGTTAAGCTTATCAAGCTTTGTAAATGATAGAGATGTCTCACGCAGTTCAACGTTCCTTTAAATCACATGAACAAAATCATTATCATGGTTCAAATCATCAAAAAAATTGGAGTAACGCGTTTGAAGCACACTCATTGTAAAATTTAAAAATGGACTAATTATTCCTCAAAAACTGACATAGTCCATTCCTAAATTCTACAACACGTGTGTTGCAAACGATAAATGATATTCGTTACTCCATTAATACGTTGTCCTGCATCAAGAAGGTTAAATATTTTTATTGAGATCTTAATTTCTTAGTTAGTAACAAGTTTTTCAAGTAAGATGTAATCAAATGATTGAAAATGGTTCCGAAACTAAAATCAATTTCTTTTAAAGGTCAGTGTTAAAAAGCTCTGATATTATGGTTGTTTCCACATGAATTGTTTCAGTTGAAGAAATTCGTTGTTGTAAAATAATAATTCATCATTAAAAAAGAACTTGTTGAATTACGAAATCATTTTTGAACTTGAAAAAAGCTTGTAAAACATACCAGCATGTTTGTTGAATTTGAATCAAATTCTTTGGACTGCAATCATATGATTAACATTAATCTATTGTATATCTAAAGAAATTGTATATTTGAATCATGAAGAAGAAGAAGAAAAAGAATTGAATCAAAAAAAAAAAAAAATTAAAAAAAATTTCGAGAAGAGAAGAAATGTGTTGAATTAACAACTTAGGTCGCATCATGGCCATTTGATTTCCTAAGAATGGGCTCATCTTTTAGAATGAAGAAACCAAAACCTACCCAAGTGCATGTTGATATAAAGTTATCGAAGATTCTAGAGGGTTTATGAAAATACCTTTCCATTTTTATAAATTTTTAGAGTTTGTTCAAAAGAGAAGTGCTGACTTGAGACGATGGAAATTGACTATGCATTAAACTCATTGTTTGGGGTTTAAATCGCTAGATTAAAGGCAAGAGCATGTGAATACAATTAATTAATATAATATCAATGAAATTGGAATCACCAATTTTTACCATTATATCGATTTTAATCAAGCGACACGAATCACAATCATGAGTTTGAGTGTAGGTCAAATTGCGTTATCTCAAGTCAACTATACTTTACCATGGACATCGAGCCTGTGTTTAAGACTCTCCTAAATATCATTAAGTCGTTCCTCGAATAATTACTGCGTTCTTACTATCTCTACCCCTCGAAATACACCAAACCTTCATTCTAAAAAATCGAGAAAAAAAATATTACGAGCTTAGTAAGTTGATAAGAAATAATCACAAGCTAAGAGTCAACATTATCGAATCACCAGAACCATAATGTCAACAGAAGTCAAGATAAAGAACACACCGGCTATAAAAGAGCCAGAACAATATTATTTCATGTCTCCTAGATGGATGTATAATATGTACTATATACACTTTCCTTTTATAATGTTGACAAAGATAGAATGTTTATTATTACATGGAAGTCTACTATTATTCATGTTTTTTATAATATATGGTATATATACTTATTTGCCTACTAGTCTAATGACTGCATCATCAAGAGGCTATTACTATATATTTGGTGATGATGATCTAAGATCAAAATTAGGAATACAAGGTTAAATTTGGAGGGGAAAAATCCTTTGGATTAACTGGTTAGATAGAGCATCGTAATATAGAATCGAATTGAATTACAGAATTCGATAACAGTTGAAAACCTTGTAGAATGTGCTTCTACTCTGTACTCTTACAGTTTGTTTCTTCCGGATTTAAACAAATGATTATTTCCAAACGCGTTGTTTACATTTAAAATTAAATTTGATCTTACTTTTTTGCAACAACAAATTCAAACAAAGTATAAGCCAATAAGGTTGAAAAATGAGTCCAAATGTTTAGTAAACCAAATGCTCCATTCAAACCACCAAGGTTAATCAGAAAAGATGAACCACTGGAAGTGTCCAGACCCGTTGCAAAATCATTACCAACATCAAATAAATCATCTTTATTAAAAAGACAACGAGTTCCAACTATCAACAACACAATTACAAAAAAAATCAAACCTGAAGAAAATTTAGACACCACCAAACTGGAGAAATATATTGTTCAATGGAGACGAAAAACAAATAAAAAGAATAAAAGTTGGGATGGAGATGGTCAAGCAATTATTAAATATTTAGAATCTGGTTGTGAAATAACTTTAAAAAGTAGTGATGGGAAACCAATGAGTAAGAAAAAATTCATTCAACTTCCAAATTTCAATGATGTTATTGCTATAAGTGTTTATGAAATTATGTTAGATGAAAAAGTTGATGATGAATTTCCAAAAGAGGATTCTATTATTGAAATTGAACCATCCCCACCACCACAAATTATAACAACAGAGTTTAAAAAAGTTGTGCCAGAAAATTATGTAGAACAAACTCAATCAAGAAATCCATTATATAAAGATACATCAACTATTTCATTAACACCACCTCCAAATTCAACGAATTATGTGGATATTAATATAGATCCTTTATTATCTAATATATTACGACCTCATCAAATTGAAGGTGTCAAATTTTTATATGAATGTTTAATGGGTTATAGAGATTTCAAAGGTAATGGTTGTTTATTAGCTGATGAAATGGGTTTAGGTAAAACTTTAATGACTATAACAACAATTTGGACTTTATTAAAACAAAATCCAGATCCAATCAAAAAATCACCAATTGTAAATAAAATTTTAATCGTTTGTCCAGTAACATTAATAAACAATTGGGGACAAGAATTTAAAAAATGGCTTGGTCCAAATAAAATTAATGTTTTAACTTTAAATAATCCAAAATGTGATGATAAAAGAGAAATTATAAATTTTGGAAAATTAAATGTTTATCAAGTCTTAATTATAAATTATGAAAAAATCTTATCACATATAGATGAATTATCAACAGTGAATTTTAATCTATTGGTTTGTGATGAAGGTCATAGATTAAAGAATAACTCAGCAAAAGTATTAATCAATTTGAAGAAGTTGAATATATCAAAAAAGATCATATTAACTGGTACTCCAATACAAAATGATCTTGAAGAATTTCATACAATTGTTTCATTTATAAATCCAGATGTATTACCAACATTTAAAACTTTCCAAAAGGAATTTATAAATCCAATTACAAGAGCAAGAGATATCAATTGTTTTAATTTAAGCATAAAGACTATAGGTGAACAAAAATCAAAAGAATTGATTGAATTAACACATAAATTTATTTTACGAAGAACTCAATCAATATTAGAAAATTATTTAACTAATAAAACTGATATTTTATTATTTGTTCCACCAACAAATTTACAATTAAAATTATTTGCTGAAATTAAAGATTCAAATAAATTTAATTTGGAAACAGGATCTAATTCATTAGCTTTAATAAATGTGTTTCGCAAAATTTGTAATTCTCCTTCATTATTAGCTACTGATGAATATTATAAATCAATTTGTTCAGAACCCATAAAATTATCAACAAGTTCAGGAAAACTAAATGCTTTAATACCATTAATTTTAGAAATTGTTAAACATAATGAAAAAATTGTTTTAATTTCAAATTATACAAAAACTCTTGATTTTTTAGAACTTGTTATTAATAAATTAAATTTAAAACATTTAAGATTAGATGGTTCAACTTCAAATAATTTAAGAAATAAATTAGTTAATCAATTTAATAAAGATGAACTGATAAATATTTTTTTATTATCTTCAAAATCTGGTGGAATGGGTATTAATTTAATTGGAGCATCAAGATTAATACTTTATGATAATGATTGGAATCCATCAACTGATTTACAATCAATGTCAAGAATTCATAGAGATGGTCAATTAAAACCATGTTTTATATATAGAATTTTTACAACTGGATGTATTGATGAAAAAATATTTCAAAGACAATTGATGAAAAATAAACTTAGTTCAAAATTTTTAGATAACGACGTTTCATCAACTTCTGATGTTTTTGATTATAATGATTTAAAAAATTTATTTACTATAAATGAAAATACAAAATCAAATACTCATGATTTATTAGAATGTTCATGTTGTGGTGATGGTTCTGTAATATTAACTCAAGAAGATGAATCAGAATCAGAGGGAGAAGATTTATTTGAAACAAGAAATTCTTTCTTGTCTGCTTCAGATTTACAAAAAAGAATGGATGAAGAAGGTGCTAAAGTAAAAGCTGTAAAAAAAGCATTATCAGATTATGCTCATTATGATCCAGAAACTACTACTGACCTACAGTTTGATCCAGTGTTGAGTAAAATTGTTAAAAATATATCTTATGAACAAAAATTACCATTCACTTATATAATGCAAAAAAGTAGAAAGAATCAACCTTGAAGTATCTTTTATTTATAAATAACTATATAAATTTAATCTACTTATTTTTTAGCAGCTTTTTGAGCAGCTTTAGTAACTTTACCAGCTTTATCTGATTTTTCAACTGATTTAATGACACCAACAGCAACAGTTTGTCTCATATCTCTAACAGCGAATCTACCTAATGGTGGGTAATCAGTGAAAGCTTCAACACACATTGGTTTAGTTGGAACCATTTTAACAATAGCAGCATCACCAGATTTAACAAATTTTGGATTTTCTTCTAATTTTTTACCAGTTCTTCTATCAATTTTTTCAATTAAAGTATCAAATTTACAAGCAATATGAGCAGTATGACAATCTAAAACTGGAGAGTAACCAGCTGAGATTTGACCTGGATGATTTAAAACAATAACTTGAGCATTGAATGAATCACAACCTTTTGGTGGATCATTTTTAGAATCACCACAAACATTACCTCTTCTAATTTCTTTAACTGAAACGTTTTTAACATTGAAACCAACATTATCACCTGGAACACCTTCAGCTAATTGTTCATGATGCATTTCAACAGATTTAACTTCAGTAGTAACACCAGCTGGGGCAAAAGTAACAACCATACCAGCTTTGATAACACCGGTTTCAACTCTACCGACTGGCACAGTTCCAATACCACCAATTTTATAAACATCTTGTAATGGTAATCTTAATGGTTTATCAGTTGGTCTTGAAGGTGGTTCAATAGCATCAATAGCTTCTAATAAAGTTTTACCAGTTGATTTACCAGCTTTGGTTTCTTTTTCCCAACCTTTATACCATGGACAGTTAGTTGATGGTTCAATCATATTATCACCATTCCAACCTGAAATTGGAACGAATGGAACGGTTTTTGGATTATAACCAACTTTTTTAACGAAATTTGAAGTTTCTTTAATAATTTCTTCAAATCTATTTTTATCCCATTTAACTGAATCCATTTTATTAACAGCAACAATTAATTGTTTAACACCTAAAGTATAAGCTAATAAAGCATGTTCTCTGGTTTGACCATCTTTTGAAATACCAGCTTCGAATTCACCAGTACCACCAGCAATAATTAAAATAGCACAATCAGCTTGTGAAGTACCAGTAATCATATTTTTAATGAAATCTCTATGACCTGGGGCATCAATAACAGTAACATGATATTTTGGAGTTTCGAATTTCCATAAAGCAATATCAATAGTAATACCTCTTTCTCTTTCAGCTTTTAATTTATCTAAAACCCAAGCATATTTGAAAGAACCTTTACCTAATTCAGCAGCTTCTTTTTCGAATTTTTCAATGGTTCTTTTATCAATACCACCACATTTATAGATTAAATGTCCAGTGGTGGTTGATTTACCTGAATCGACGTGACCGATAACAACGACGTTAACGTGAGTTTTTTCTTTACCCATTTTTGTATAAGTTAATTTTCAAAGTTGTTGAAGAAAGAAAGGAAAGAAAAGGAAAAAAAAATGAGAAAAAAAATTGAATTTTATATAAGTTGAAGATCGATGAGAAAAAGAAAAAAGAAAAAAAAAAATTATCCTTCTGAAGCAACCGAAAAATTTGAAAATTCAGGACGGCCCCGCGGTAGGTTTCATGAATGAATCGAGTAAAAATAATGGACCTATAATCGGCTTAGTAAAATAGCTTCGATAATGATAATAAAGAAATATGGGTATAAAAGGGTTTAGGAACGACAAAGTTCTGCTTCTACGAAGAGAATCTAAGATTTAAAGAGAGTTCTAATCAACTTAAAAGAAGATTATGAAAGACGTTACTTTTGTTGAAAATTTCAAAAATTTGATATATTGAAAATGTGTCACGTGCAAAAGTTATAGATAGGGTTTTTAACCTTATCGCCTTCTTCGTTTCCTTATCTGTACAAGTTCCATTTCATCATTCTTATTTAATGAATTATCTAATTTCTTTAATAATCTTTCTTGATTATTCATAGATTCATCATCTTCATATCTTATTTGTGATGATAAATCTTCATCAATTGTTATATCATAATTTTCTTTATTTTGATTATTTTCTTCCATTTCTCCAATTGAATTATTTGATTTTGAAATTTCAATTAATTTATTTCTAATTGATTGTGGTGATGAAGTTCCAATTAATTTACCATATTTTTGTTTTGTTTTTATCTTTTTGGGGGATGGTAATTTAATTAAATTTTCATCATCACTTCCTTTTTCTATCAGTTTTGTAACAAATGCTTCTTCATTTAAATTTTTAATATATTCAATTAAAGATTTTGGTCTTGTATAATTTATTGGTGCATATATACACCATTGTTGATTTGAAATTTCTGGCATTAATAAAATTGATTTATATCTTGATATTTCAAATATTTCCCATAAATAACCAATTGAAACTATTGGTATATTCCATTTCTTTGCGGCATCTATTTTACTTTTTGCTGATAATAATGATACTGATGATTGACCTGATTGATATGTAGGACAATTTAAAATATCTTTACATTTATATTGAAATAATTTAGGAGAATTTTTCATAAAACTTTCTTTAAATAAATTAATATTTAGTATTAATAAATCTCTTTGATCTGATAATGATTCACAATATTCAAAATTAAGAAATTTTATTAATTTTCCTATATGTAATAATTCAATTCCAGTAAATCCAGTTGTTGATATTTTAAATTTTTTAGTTGATTGAATTAATCCTTTTATTGGTTGACCCCATCTATCTAATATCACTTTTTGATAAAATATACATCTTTCAATAAAAAATTCAGTAACTAATTTAATTTCTCCATTTGTTATTTTTTGTTTAGTTTCAGAAGGTAGTAGTTTTAAAGTTGATGGAGTATGATTACCTTGATTAGCAGAAACTAAAATATGAGTAATTGAATTATCATAAACATCTTTTGTTATTTCTCCTTGAAAAGTTTCAATTCTTTCACTTAATAATTCAGATTCTCTTGAATTTAATCCAACAAATAAAAAACAAAATCCTAGAAACAAGGTACTTTTGCTTTTTTTATCAATTGTTGTTGTTGGTTTAAGTGGTTCTTCATTTTCTGAATCACTTTCTTCATCATTCCAAGTACTATCTTGTTCTTTTGATTTTTTTTGTACTTTTGTATTATCCATAATTGAATTCCAAATTTCAGCTTTATGTGATTTATTCACTTTTTTGGGTAGGTCTTTGTTTGTTGTGATTGGTGGTAACTTCTCCTTTATTGGTTTTGGATTAATAATTTCATTCCAATCATTACATCCCTTTTCATAAAGTTGATCATTATCTTCTTGTAATATATAATCCTCAAAATCTAGAGCAGCTCCTCTTAATATACTATCCAATATCCAAATTGGATGAACAACGGGAATTTTCCATTCAATTGCTTTATCATATCTTGTTCCTCTTGGATCTGCACTAATCATACAATCTTGATTATTCAGTAATGATTCTTTAGCTTTACCTCCATTATCTAGGATCGATTGCATTAATTTTTTAGAAGTAAATTCTTCTTCTCTTATATGTGATTTTCGGAAACTTGCATTATTTATAAGATTTTTAATTTGAAATTGTGGTAAATCAACTCTTGAAAAACATGTATTTATCTCATCAAATATTGGTAATTTATAATCTTCAAGTCGTATTTCATCAATTTCTCCAATTTTCCAATTTTCATAAGCTTTTATTATAGAATCTTGAGTTAAAAATATAATATCTGGTCTATATTTTATACAAAATTTATATTTTTCTGTTTTTCTATTTCCAACAATTAAATATTGTACATCTGTCATTAAATCGTCATAATTGATACCACCTAAAGTGTCAATGTTTTTAATAATTTGTAGTCTTGTTTTGGTCTCTACACCAGTGCAGCATAAAGTTTTACCTGCCAATGGTTTTCTTGTTTTCATTTCATAGTTGATTGATTTGAAACAAAGAATTGAAGAATCATTTTTTTGTTTTGCAACTCACGCGTTTATTATGTACATAAATTATTTATAGATAATTATAAAATAGAATCAGCAGTTGTTGCACCAGTAGCATCTTGATCATAATTTTCAAAAATAGAATTAACAGATGAATGAATTGAATTTGATGGATTTAAAAGAAATCTTTTTCTAGTTGATTTCAGTTTTCTTCTAATACAAAAAAAGTTATTATTATAATTTGATAAAGTTGTAGTTACATGACGAGCTGGAACAATAGTTTCATAATCTGGAGGAGGAGATGTTGAATGCAATTGAGGTTCAATGCTTTGAATCTTTGATTTACGTTTTAAATTAAACATCTTACCAATTGATTTAAATAATTTGATTAATTTTAATTGTTTTTTAGGTTCTTTATAACTTTGATAATCTTCATTTGATAAAAATGGATTTGAGTCATATCTTGGAATTTCATTTGAAGCATCATCTGTAGAACCAAATAATGCAAGCCTTGTATTGATAGGTTCATTAATAAACCATGACATTTTTTGAACAGCAATGGTTTTCTTTAGTTCATACTTTCGATAATAAAGTTGAATTAATTTTGCAGCAAAAAAATAATATTTGGCAACCAGTTTTTGTTGTGATAAAAACTGATTTTTTATCACTACAATTTAAATTTCCAATAAATAAGAGACAGGTTATAAGGTGGTGAAGAATATTGCTATTAATTTTGGTAAGATTTATTTAGAGTTACGTGTTTTGAGATAGAGATCTATATAGATTTAATTTATTATGTGATATCTTATACTTTCAGGCAAACAATATATTAAGAAAATCAAAAACAAACAAATAAAATGCAAAGGTTTTTAGATGGTGACATGTCAAAGGTCAAGATTATATCATGAAATAATTATGTAGAAATCATTATTTAGAATCTTTCTTTTTTAGATTGAGTTTATGCTTTAACTGTTTAGCAAGCTAGACTACAGATCTAATAAATAATTAATAATGAAAATTTAAAAAATAAGTTGTACAACTAATTGCTCGTTTTTAATCAATAAACCATTGGAAACTATTTCTATACCATGGGACACACTTAATCACGTTAAATAAGGATCAATCTAACCTAATCCTATGGAAATTGAATCATTAAGTTTATTTCTTTACTGTTTAGCAAGCTAGACTACTTATTTAATAAATAATTGATTTTTTAAAAAAAAAACAGCCATTGACACTTTTATTATGGTCCCTAGCAGGATCGAACTGCTGATCTTGGCGTTATTAGCACCACGCCTTAACCAACTGGGCCAAGGGACCAATTTACAACCCAAAAATTTTGGTGGTTTAAACGATGTTGTTTATTTTGGACCCCAATTTATAGCTCAAAGTTTGTTCAATCTTGTGTATTAGTTCATTAAATTACTACTACTTCGACTGAACCTACACTAATTCTTTAACATGCAAAAAAACTCTATCAATTAAAATATCAATACCTTTGAGAATTAGATTGAGATAAAAAGCAGAGATTGTAAAAGTAATGACTATGTCTCTATGTTTATTTTCATTCTAATTATTTTAACCATTTTCTCCACGATTTTTAGTCCATTCTGCTGATCCTGTTTGTCTACCTTTCGGTATATTTGATGATGGTGTTGATTTTATATCGCCTTTAACTTGCTCCTTATTTCTAGGCACAATTATATTCTTATAAATTTCTAACAACAGATTTATTTCGTTTTGTTCATTTTTCAAGATGTCATAAACATCATGCAATTTTTTAAAGTTATAAAATTCGATAACTTTTTCCACTTCTTTTGGATCAACAACTTCTGTTTGGTTTATTTGCTTTTCTTTAGTAATATATTTATCACTTAAATCAACAATAGAATTCATATTGAAACCAATCACATATGACATTTTTTTACCCCAATTGTTACAATATAATAAAGGTTCATCAAATACTGCTTCACAAGGATCTAAATGTACCCATTTTTGCAAACCATAAGAATAATATTCACACCAAACATGATCTTCATGATTTAAAACATATCTAATTCTATCTTTACCTTCACCAATAAGTGCTTCCAATATTAATAAAAAGCAATTAACCCATTCACCACATCTACCATTTCTTGTTCTTAATAAAGAAATTGGATTATTTATTCTTGGAAATTCTATAATACGTTTACATTTTGAACATTGATATACTTCAATAATTGATATTTGATCAGGATTATTTGCTGGTGGCTTTTTAATACCTTTATGTTCTATCTGATCATTATTTCCACATTGACATGAAGGTTGATTAACCCATTTAAAAAAATCATTTTTAAAATAATTTAATAATTCTAAAACAATAAAATCATCATACCTTAAATTTGGAATTTTATTTTCTTTTTCTCTTTTATCGACATTTTCATATATTTTTGGTAAATCAATTGTATTTAATGCTATATCTAATGAACTTGGGATTTTATATGGTGCAAGACAATTTATATGTGAATGGATTGATCGAATTAACGGTAGATTAGCTTTTGATTGAAGATCATTTACATTTATTGTAGGTTTTTCATTCAAGATTTGCTTAGTATAAGCTACAATGAGCTTCTCTTTTAAATTTTTGTAGTCAATTGTTGACATTTGATGAGAATGAGTTTGATATCGTGGAAAATAAAAATCGATTTCATAGAATTAACACAAAGAGGACAAACTTTTTATCATTATACATTTAAGGTGCTATTTTATTTTCTTTTATCTCATGTTCCTTACTTTCACCTACTTTTGATTCAGATTCCTTACTTTCACTCACATCACCATTGCTTGCAACTTTCCTTGGTGGTAGAACTTTGTTAAATGCATCTCCCCAATCTTTGAACTCAAACCATTTACAACAAATTTCATAAACATGAGAAGTGACCAATACATCTCTACTATATAATTTTATATATTTCCCAATTGGTAATCTTCCACATTTTAAACCTAACTTCTTAGCTTTATCATAACATAATCTTTTATGTCTATTTTTATCCACAATTCCTCCAATGATATATGTATGATCAGATGTTAACTCCATTAAATCATCATCAGTATCTGCTGTAAGATATACAAATTGATCTTTATTTTCCTCAGTTATTAATTCTTCTAAATTTGTCGAAGTGAATTCAATTCCTTGCCAATTCTTATATTCTTGTAATGAAGTTTCAAATCTTTCTTGTAGTCGTTTGTTGAATGATGTTATCTGTATTGGTAATTTATATGGGGAGTGACGCATGATAGAATATGAAGTTTGAATTTGTCTTGACATTGATGTTATTTCTTTAATATTCATTAAATCATCAAATTCACAATCTATTATAAATTTAACATCTGTTGCTATTTGTGTCTTTGGTTTTTTCAAAATTGAATTCTTATATTCATCATCATTTTTTATTCTATCTCTTTTCCTATCTCTTTGCAATTTCTTTTTAGCTCTCATTACTTCTCTATATTGATCTTTAGTTTCTTCCCATTTTTGTTGTTTTTGAATTTTCTTCCATTCACGTCGTGACATTCCTTCTGGTAATACTTCATTTTGTTTTGCTTTTCTTCTTCTTTCAATTTCTTCCGCTGATGGGGGATTGTTCTTTACCTTTTGAGGTTGTTGATTCATTGATCATGGGTTAAAGAAAAATGAAAAAAGTTTTGAGACACAAAAAATCAATTTCTTGAGCTGTTGCAAACATGCTGCAAAAAATTGGTAGCTAGTCCGGATCAAAATATGATCTAGTTACAATCACGTTAAACGCGTTCACTTTACATAACAAACCTTCATCATTTAATGTTTTCAAATAGATGTCAAATACTTTCAATGGTGAAATTAAAGAAATACCAGGTATCTATGTTGATCGATTTCATACAAAAGGAGATTTATATTTTTTAACACATTCACATCAAGATCATTTACAAGGATTATTATCAAAAAGCTTTTGTAACAAAGTTTATTGCCTGCAATTAACAAAAGATATAATAGCATTAGATTCAAGGTATGAAGAGAAATTAAAATATTTGATCCCAGTTGAATACAACAAATCATTTCAATTGCTGACTTTTTTATCAGTTGTGACAGTCACAATGATTGAAACTTATCATGCACCTGGTTCATCCATGTTTTTATTTGAATCAGATGATGACATTTCAGTATTAGTAACAGGAGATATTAGAGCTGAAGAATGGTGGACATCATCTTTAATTAAAAATAGAATATTATTTCCATACATTACTGGATCAAAAAAGTTGGATATAATTTACTTAGATACAACATTTAGTTATCGAGGGGAACCATATATTAAAATCATGCCCAACAGTGATGGAGTAGTGGCATTAATAGAATTATTGAAGTTGTATCCCACTGATCCTGACATCGAGTTTTCTTTTGTTGATGCTGTTTCTGGTTCTGAGGAAATTTGGTTACAAGTTGCTGATCATTTTAATGGAACTATTTCAGCAAACGAATTGGTTACTGAAAGAATAAAATTGATTAAAAATTATCACTTAGAAGGTGATGGTCCTGTTTTTAATGTTGGTAATTTAAAAAAAGATATTCCAATTATGATTGCAATTAAACATACTATAAATTTTAATATTATTGATTATGCTGGATTTTGTTTACCTGTTAAAGTGGACACAATAGATGCGAGACAATTAGTACTACTACAAATACTACGAAATGGTCATCAATTATATTTATATCAAGACAGACAATGGATATTACCTAAAGATGGATTAGAATTGTTGCCTTTGTGTTTGATGCTTATGTTTTCACGTCATTCATCATATGAAGAATCCATGAGATTTATTGGACTATTCAAACCTAAACTGGTATTTCCTTGTTGTGATTCAAAAAAGTCATGGCTAAATGGTTTTACAATTGAAAGAGTTTTTGGTTCAGTATGTTCTTCAAAAGATCATAGATATGATAAAGAAAAAACAGAATTATATGGCTTACCTGATCATCTGATATTAGAACGTAAAGTTGTTTCAATTGATCGTTGGTCTTTTTCACAATGTTTACAAGAAGTTGACTTTGTCGAACAATACACAAAAAAAGAAAGACCATTTAAAGGTGTACTTAAATTAATTGATGATAATGGTGATAAATCAGCTTATTATTCATATATTAAAGATTTTAAACTTCAATCAATTATAGCAGGTAGAAATGAAGCAAAATATAAAAAAGTAGTAAATTATCATCAAGATATTAAACAAATGAAAATAAATGAAATTGATCATGGATCAGATTTGGAGAGTGATTCAAGTACACCTTCTTTGAATTTTGAATCATCTACTCCAACTGATCCATCAACAGAGATAGACATTGTTTATTCAAGTGTTTATACTGAACAATCAATATCAGAAATGAACAATAGTAATCTTTATTTATCCCCTTTTATCAATCATAAAGAAATTGACGAAATAGCACAAAAGTTAAGAGAAGATAGAAGAAATTGGCATGGAATGAAATTAAAATGTATAAATTCTGCTAATAAAAAAATTAAAAAGTAAAAAAATCTGACTATTGAACTCTTTCCCAAACTAGCGTAGGTAGCCCAATATCCCGCGAAGAATTATTTTGCAAGTAAGTTGTCTCATCTATTGTTTTACTAACATTGTTCGTTTCAGATTTTTAATAGGCTGCAAAAAAAAACTACAAATTGCAAAATAAAATAAACTCATAAAACCTCGAAATTAGTATTATTACTATCACAACTATAGTCTATAGTGAGTTAAACATTACCATTGAATCATGCAACATTTAAAATTTATATATATTTGTATTTATCAAAATTATCGTTATAGTATCTCTTACTTCATCAATCGCTTTTCAAGATGTAATTTATTCAAGCGTCATAAGTAGGCAATTCAAATAACCATAGTCACTGGGCATCAGAACTTAGTTTCAAATGTGGTAAACATGCAAAAAAAATATATACCTTTAGACAGAAATAGAGTTTTTAAGTTCAGTTCCAAAATAAAAAAATTATACAAAGTAACTTTTGATCATAGTAACAAAAATTTTCAGATCAAGGACTGGTTCTAAGTCTGAACCATGTCAAAAGATAAGGGTCAACAACTATTAATCCATGGATTAGAACACCATTTCGATTGATCTACTCCGTAGGTGATTTTGTGGTTGTTTTTTAAAAAATTAATCAAAAGGATTAGGCTTATCACTTAGTGATAAATAAAAATAATGGTGAATCAAGTACTTGATGATTAACAGTTATAAGCTTAGCTACTCAATAATGTAGAACGTATGCTCAATAAATTATCTACATAATTTTGCAACCAAACTTTTTGCAACCACTTATTATAAAACACAGACTTGTTTTTGAAAAGAAGAAATAAAGCCTTACTTGAACAAATTCATTTGAAACACATTAATATATGAAAAGAAACAATAGTTAAAAGATATTGAAGGAATCTTATTTTATCTGTCTCAGGGTTAAACTAATTTGGTGAAGTTATTCTTTTTTCAAGACCACCATAATGATCAGATAATTTCATTATTATTACTGTCCGTTTTATTATGCTTTCACTATCTCTTATATTCAGTGCTGGTACGTCTTTAATAAACTGATTATCAATAGCTTCACATTCTTCATTCACACAATCTTTAGCTGCTCGTGTAAATTTAAGATAGTCAGCATCTACTGAATAAACAATATCTTTCAAGTAAACTTTACATTCTATTTTACTTATTCATTCTTTTTGATATATTTTGAACTACTTTCGAGATTGATTTCTCTCTTGTGATCTGGAACTTGATTTTTCCAAAGCTTATCAGCTGTTTCTGAATAAAATTGTAAATACTTCTTAAAATGATTATTCAACTGATAATTTGCATCAAAAATTGTAATTGTGTTGTAGAATCAAGTTACAAAAGACTAAACTTTGAAACTAATCATGACAAAAATCGTTTTGAGATGGGTTTTTATTTATTTAAACCTGAACTCTGAAATAAATACGAATTTCTACAAAGAATCCTGAACAAAATAAAGATTGAAATAGATTAAGTTTGAAGATATTACATATGAATCTATATGATTTTTTCTTTTTCACTTTTTATCCAACCATTTTTTACCTTAGTTAAGAGTATGCTATGTTTGATCACAAATAAAATGTTTCAAACAATATAATTGGGGGCTGTTAAGAATTTTTCAACTGCAAATGATTTGTTTACTTTAAAACCAATGAAAAAATTCATATACATTAGTACATTAACACCTCTATTAGTCGGAAATAATTTCATATATATCAGATAAATTTCAATCATTTATATATAGATTTGAAAATAATTCATGATTAAAAGCACTTTTAGCTCATTTTGTTCTGTTTAAGCAAAAAAGGATACACCTAAATAAAAGGGTCTTTTGGCTCGTAAATGTTGCTCTATCGGGTAAATCTATCAGCCGCCCTATTTCCTAAAGTAGAGATCAAAACAAATAATAATATAAAAATTAAAAACATATAACAATAAATTATCAATAATAAGTAACGCGTCTTTTTCGCCACTCCTTTTCAAAACTTTGTCAACCTACATGTCATCAATTCCAATCGAAAGAAAAGGAGAAAATTGTGATGAGTTTTTTATTCTCAATCCTGGAAATAAGTTTGATGAAAATTTGATTGGTAAATATATGATTTACAGATATGAACCTGAAGAAATTCGAGATAATATACCAATTTACAAAAAGTTTGAAAAAGAAATATTAGTGGACAAAGAAATTCTTCAAATTATTTTTGGGTTGACATTAAGCTATAGAAGAATAATGGTACTTAGATGGAAAGAAATTATGGGATTTTTAAAAGACGATCCTGAATTTGATATTTCAAAAAATTTTGATTTAAAAAATATTAGAAATAAAGTTGATTCAACTGAAAAATTAGTAAATCACGACAGAGAATTGATTAGTGCTTTGAATCATTTGGAAAATTTTTTGAAAAAAATCTATGATAATATTCCTATACCAGTTTACACTAGAAAGTTATTACCATCTTCAACAGCAACTAGTATCATTTGTGTTACGGAATTTGACTGCGTATTTGATGAAGAATATGTTGGAATGTATGTCTTACACAATAAGTCCCATGATTCAGACTTACAAAAAAAAATTTTTGAAAAGTTCAATAAAGAGTACTTGAATACTGAATTTACTTTACAGCTTTTGTTTAAAAAACTTAATGCCGATATGAGAATCAATTACTGCAACACTTGGAAAACAATTTTAACTGGTATGACTGGCTATAAAAATTTTAACATTAAAAATGATTTAGTTTTAGATGTAAAACAATCAAAAAAGTATATGAAGCAGCTCAGTGTTACCAAAAACTACAGTGATGAGACTAAAAGAAAAATGGATATAGCATACCGTCATTTAGATTCAGTTTTAAAAACTATTAATAATTTAAAAAAATTGGCAGCCGATTTAGAATTTGATGATGCAATAGCTGAATGTGAAAAGGCTTATTTGGAAAATCTTGAACCATCTGAAAGAAAGTTTGGTGAATCATTGAAAGAACTAGCAAGAGATTTTTCATTAAAGTATAGTGAAAATGATTTGGATCAATTACTTTCGAATTATTCAAAACAAATTTGCAAAGCTTATCTTAAGTGCAATAAATAAAAATTAATATTCAATTTTACGATTTACTCATAGCTTGTTTAAAAGGTTTTACCATGATTAATTGTTGATTTTTTTGATTTCATGGTCTTACTTTTATGATTAATGATGGTTGGTGGTTGGTTTTTTATTACTTAGGTGAATCTAATTTCAATTTTTTAGATTCAATTTATATTCAATTCACTTTAAGTTTGCTAACTTGTTTCAATTGTTTACGGTAAGCATTTTTTTTCAGTTCTGCTTTATTCATTTTTGGTATCTATGTATATTTGTATTTAGTATATAATTGATTTATATCTCATTGAATATACAAATATTTCATATATTATTATCATTAAGTAAAAGATCATTCCCATGTACAATTGGACTGGTTTAATTTTGAAGGAAAATACTTCATTGATTAGTTAATATTAGACAGAGTGGACTTTAACGTTCATTGTCATTTATTGGCATCAATTTTTTTATTATCTTTCAAAATAACTAAATCTGAACAATTTTCAGATTGTGAAAAAATATACTGTAGGTAGTAATGTTGTTTTCCTAATTTGTTTGTTGCAACTACATTATTATAATCAGGCTATTTGATTTTTCATACTTTTCAGCATAATTTTTAATTTTCCTTTCCCTGCTCAATAATGTCTTTCAACTAATAATTTCAACAGCCTAATTATCAACAATCAAATCTTCCACTTCTCACTCTTCCTATTAATATGCAATATAAATTTAAAGTAAATATAAAGTAGTTTCTAACTCTCATAATTCCAACTACCATGACTTTTACACTTCTCAGCAATAAAGTTTTATTTCCAATAATTCATTTGATTTTAAAGTCAAGCCATTTGTACCATTTTGAATTAAGTAATTTCTTATTGTGAATTAGACTTGATTCTGATGTTTGATTACTGCTATATTGTTTTCACATATGATCCTTTAATTGAATTATTCCATGTAATAAAAAGAATGTTAATTCTCATGAATTTTGGTTTTGGTTTCTCATTTCACTATTAGTTCCAAAATTTAACTCAATTGTTGTTGATGATGATGATGTTGTTGTTGTTGTTGTGGATTAATACTTGATTAATTATGAGATAATTTTTTGAGAATTTAAACTGACAGTCAATGAATTGATTAATTTTGATTTATCATTTATTCTTACAATACTCAAGTAGCAAATATACCGTCATTATATATTTCATTAAAGCAAATAATTATCCACTTATTCTCAATCCTTTCATTTCTAAATAATATTTGAGTAAAGTGATTTCACTTAATCATGCTTTTGTTATAGAAAATGTCAATGATTTTGTAATTGATTCTAATATGTTAGTTCTTCTGATATGAATAAGCATGTATTTGTCGTAAGACGGGAAAATAAGCCTGTAATAATCAAATTCATTGTCATTACCCTATGCTTAAGTGTATCTTTATTAAAAATTTATACTGTCCTGTATATAATACTAGTAAATGATGAACAATAGAAAAAAAAAAGTAAGTAGATTTTATTCAAAATATAAACAATAGATTTTAATACGCGTCTATTGTTATTATTACACACTTTTTCTGATTAGATTTAAGTCATAACACTAAATACTAATGTATGGTCCTCACAATCCTTCATTTATTTTAAATCCTGAATCAAAATTTGATAAAGACTTAATTGGTACTTACCATTTTCATCGTGGGGATGTTAAATCAGATGATTTGAAAAAGGTTTTTATAAAATTTGGACAAGAAATCTTGAATAATAAATTAGTATTAAATGATTTATACGACGTAGGATATGACATAAGAAGAAAATGGATTTATGCTATCAAAGAAATACTTGAAGTTATGACGAAAAAAAATGATTGTAACATCAAAAAAGATTTTCAAATAAATGTTAAAGAAATGAATGAATACTACGACAATCATTTTAAAAATTACAAGGTGAGTTTCCAAACCGAAAAAATCTATCGTCAAGCAATCAAAAAATTCGACTATTACATTAAATTAAACAGAAGAGAACTTCAGCAAAGTGACGGATCTTATTACTCAAAATTTTCAATTCACTCTCAAGCCTCAGAATACAAAATTAATGCAACTTATGTTTTACAACATTTAACTGAAAAAAATCCAGTTGTGCTCAAATTCCAAGAAGAAGTTTTATCAAATAAGAATGTATTGGAAATGATTTTCAAAGATGATGCTAAGCGCCGTCAAAAATTTGCTAAAAGTTGGAGACAATTCTTATTGTTAATAGACAAAGAGGATCAAACATTTAAACAAGAAAATGATTTAGTAGATCATTTCAATTATTTAAAAGATAATGCTGCTGATAGTGTGTTGGTAACAAATAAAAGTATTGTTAAAGATTCATTATTTAATTTTAAAAAAATATTAAATTTAGCATATGGCTACAAATATTCTCCATCCATGAAAAGAGCTCTTGAAGAAGAAGATTTACCCTCACAATCAAAAAAAATTAAAATTTCAACTGCTGAAGATGAGCCAATTGGATTCAATAAACTTGAAGAATTTGAAGATGAACTGGCTGGAATAATTTCATCATCAATTAAAGGATTAATTGATTTTTTTTCGCCATGTGTTGAACGGTTAGATGATGATGAAAAAATTTTGCTCGCTGATACTATTCGTGAAGAATTGATGTCAATGCAAGCAGTATTGAAACGAATGCTGATCAAGGAACTTGAAGATAAAGGTGAACTTAATTAGTCGGGCCAATTATTGGCAAGTTCTTTTTATTGAGTAAAGCATTTATTAATTATTTTATGTTTTGGATGGTCTTGATTTTATGACTGGTCATAATTTCTTCGTCATTTGGTTTTTGGAGTAGTTGAAATAAGGTACTTCAATTATAGTTGATGATGGTGGTATTTAATTTTTATTCAGTTTTTGTTCATTGGGTTTAAATATTTAATTAATTCTTTTATATATATATATATTGTTAGTTGGGGAGATCTATAGTTCAATTTAATACATATTCCCTTTTTTTGTTTTGAAAATCTATATTCTCAGATCAACAAAGTGTTAAGGGGACGGAGCTGTTGGAATCACATTTCAAACTACACTCTAAGCTTAACATGAATTTTAAAAATAAATTAACTGCAATCAGATATAATAATTAAAACGATTTAAAAGTAATTTACTTGCCAATTTCAAATTAGCAACGAAAGCTATGAGAAAGGGAATTAATTTAAGTTTTAATTTGGCATCTTAATTTTATTTTTGAACTATAACTAATATACAGGTATTACTGATTTACATCAGACCTTCATTCATCTTCTTCTCTAAAATTGTAAATCATCAAACCACAATTTAACCACCATTGTTCTGCGGTACGTGGAAGTCTAAGAATATTCAACTTTTTTTTGATTTGATCTGTAATTAGTCCAAAAATACTTGTGTTTCTTCTTATTTGAAATTCTCCTGGTGAAGCAAGATATTGAGACATCATTTCATAGATGATCGATATTTCATCACAACTTAAATCACCATGTTTAAGACATAACCTTCTATATTTGGCTCTAATTTGTGATAATTTTAGTTCCTTGAAATATAATTGTCGGATCATGGGAAAATCTGGTGTTCCATCTACTTTTTTATGTTGATCAATACTTTTAAGAAGTAGAACCTCAAATTCTTGACTCCACTCAAATTCACCTTCCACTAAAGCAGTCTCCTTGTTTCTTGATAATCTACTTTCTCTGATCAAGCCATAAACTTCTTCTGCATCTCTTTCTACATATAAGCCTTTTTCTGGGTCGAATTTATAGTGAAATTGTTTAATTCTACCCCATAATGATCTTAATGCGTGTTGAGTTAATCCATCTGTCATCGGAAAACCTTTCCATTTGTACCTCCTTGGTTCAACTTTATTATGAATTTGACTGTTAACGTGAGCAACAACATCTTTATGTAATTTAACTCTATTAGGTATTTTTTTATGAATTTTTTCAAAGATGCCTTCAATCGGTAATATTGGATCTATTTCATAATTGACATCTAAGACGGGAAATATTTTAGTTTTGGTAATTGAGTCTATATTAAGTAATTCATACTCTTCATCTTCTGGATTTACATTGATAATAGCATTACCAAGAAATTTTCTAGTAAATCTTAAAGCTTCAATTCTAACTAAATTTGTTTCTTGTTCATCGGTTGAATTAATGACTTGGTTTGTGTTAATGAGAGACTCAAGTTGTTTTTGTATACCATTTGCATCAAATCTTTTAGTGGCATATAATTTATTCAAAGTTTTACTAATTGATCTAAAGTTACAACCAACCTTATTAAATAATCTCACAATGTTAACTATTTCGTGAACAAAAAAAGTACTACCACCAGATGACACATTAATATCTCCTTCTTTTCTTTTAATTAATTTAGTGTCAATAAATTCTTCTTTGAAAGTCATTTTGAAATCATCTTTATCAAAATTAACGGATTGTGATTTTTTCAAATTCTTTAATGTTCTAAAAAGTTTATTTTCAGTAAATAAATTTTTTGCATAAATATCTAATTTTTCAAGATCATTTATTATATTTCTTAATCTAGTGACTCCAATTTGAGTTTTCTCCAAATGATACCTTTTCATAATATATATTAATATATACAATTGTATTCCCTGGTTAGAATCAAATCCTTCATCAACTCTTTCTTCATCAAAAATATCTAAATCTTCCTTGAAAAATTCGGATGATGATGCATTTGTTGAAGAACTAAAATTATCTCTTGAATCTTCTTTAATTTGTTTAGGATGTACTGTGTTTAAGCCCTCTAAAGTTGAACCTGAATCTGAATCTGTATTTGTATTTGTATTTGTATTTGTACTTGCATTTGTACTTGTATTTGTATTTGTATTTGTATTTGAATCTGAATCTGAATCTGAATCAAATAATGAAATTTTTTTAGTTGGTTTAGGTTTAATACTAACTTTGTTTGAATTAGATACTTCCAAATTATTGGACTTGTTGGATAGGTTTGAACTGGCGTTTGAATTTAAATTTGATCTTGCTGAATCTACTACATCTATACTGGAATCAGAGTCTGAATCTGATTTATCATTAAATGTTGTTACTTGTTCAAATTTTTGATTTCTTTTCATTTGTATTTTGTTAGATACTTCAGAAGTTTTTATTGAACCTGTAACTGCAACTTGGTCTACACCTAACCCTGTCTGTTTTTCCAAATCTGAATCTGAATCTGAATCAAATAATGAAACTTTTTTAATTGATCTTGGTTTAATATTGATTCTATTTGAATTTGATACTTCCAAATTATTAGATCCTGTTGATGAAGTTAAACTTGGTTTCGAATTTGTAAAATTAAATGAGTCTGTACTTGAATCAGAATCGGAAACTGATTCATCATGAAATGTTGTTATTTGTTGATATTTAATATTTCTTTTCAAATTCTTCTTCATTTTTTTGCTGGTAGTATTTGTTTCAACATCTATTGCATCAGTTTTATTATCAGTACTAGTATGCCCTTCTAATGGTGATAATTGATCAACCTTATTAGATTCGTCTTTCATGCTTTCATATTTTCTTTTATTGCTTGAATGAATTGAGTTGTCAAAAAGCTTTGATAATGATGCATTAACTGTATTAAGATTCAAAGATTGAATCAACAAATATTCCAATTTACTAATAACAGCTTTATTAAAACCCGATCTAAGTTTATCAATTAAATTCTGCTTCTCATCTGATAAAGTCTTGAAATCGTTTTCTAATTCAGGTAATTGTAATGAATATGCATTTAATGACCTTTTCGTTAAATCAATTTTTGAATTTAGGTTTTGAAGTTGAATTTGTAAATCACTATTTTCATTATTTTTATTGATTTCATTTTTATCTTTTTCATACTTTTTTAATGAATTTAAAGATTTGTCATTCACATCCTTTAATTTTTTAATTTTGGTCTTCAAGTTATTTTTCTCTCCCGCTTTTCTATTTCTTTCTCTTAAAATTTCTTCATTTTCTGTATTATTAGATAAATTGATTAACGGACCATTAACATTTGTAAAATAATATCTATTAAAACTATGACTGGAGTTTTTGTCAAATCCAAATTCAATATATCCAATAGAATTGTATAAGTATTTTGAAACCCAGAATAAGTCAGGCTGATAGGAATGGGAATTAAAATTTGTAACTATAGTTTCATCTTGATTCACTAAACATGATAAATTTTCAAATTGATTTTCAGCAGCTATAGATTTCAATTCTTTAATTTCCGAATTTAAGCTTTTATTAATTGATTCTAAGTCCAAATTTTTATCCCCAGTGAATATTTTTAATGTATCATATTTTTTCAACTCTTCTCTTAGGGTTTTTATTTGAGTAAGTCTGATATTATCAGTGTTCTTATTTGGAAAATAGATATTTATTATCTTAATCACGTGATTTTGATATATAATGTCAAAGTCAATAGTACGGCTTTTGCTATCTTCATCTATCATCTTATTACTTATAAGATTTAAATTTTCAATTTTTGCATCTCCAAATTTCTCATTTATTATAGCACATACTCTTCCATTTGAATGTAAATGAAGGTGTTTTTTAGTTTCAATGACCATTTTTATTTGTCTTAATGAATTTTCTCCAACTTCTTGAAATAATGAAATGAAATTATTTTGAAAAATAAAAGGATAATTTAAACCAGTTAGATTGGCAATATTTTTGCTAAAAATAAATAAGTTTGATTTGGATAAAGATTCAAAATTTATAAGTTGATAATGTGGAAAATACATCCCGTCCATTTGTTTGTCGTTTTTAGATTTGTTGTTGTTGTTGTTGTTGGTGATTTTTGGTAAAAATTTGATTAATTCCTCAATTTGATCTTTCTTTGATTTTATAATGTCAAACAAGATATCTTTCTTCATTTGATTTTTTGCAACTATTTCCTCAATATCTTCATCAGTTAATGGGGGTGGTGGTGTATTGCAACTCATATTTGATAGTGTTGATTGAAAAATAATATGAAGGTTTAGCTGGTGTTTTTTTTTTTGTTTGTTTTAATCGTGAATTTATGATATATATAACTTCTTTTTATCTTTTATTAATTTAAATGATGTGTAACTTTAAATTAGTTTCTAATGTGTTTCATGTTGTTAGGTAATTGCTGCTACCAACTACTATTTCGTAAATATATCAATTTTCGATTTTGTGTAAAATTATAAGTTATTCAAAGATTAGGCCGTTGTCGCATGAGACAAGCAGATCGTTAAAAAGGTAAGCTGTCGGTTGCTACAGGGCTAATATGGGTGCGGAGGTTTTCATCCTTTAATTAGGGCTTCCTGCAAATTCAACGGAACACATATTTTGCGTACTATGAATATAAAGTATAGATTATAGATGGCTTATTATACGTGAATTAGAAATATAGAAAAAAAAAAAACTCGTCTGAAATTGAAGGTTTAAGAAAGATTTAAACTCATGTTTGTCTAACAATGTTAAAATTCATTTGAAAACATTTGAAACAAGCTATATTTTTTGTCATGTTACCAATTTTATGTGAACAATTAATATTGAAAAAAAAAAAAAAAATAACTACAACATCCCAAAGATATATATCGATATACGAATTATCTTGAAAGAGAAAAAAAAAAATAAACTACTCGCCAGGTAGAGGCGAATTAGATGTGTTTAGTACTATATAGTCAAGTTGGAACGTTTCATATCAAGTGAAAATTTTATCATTTTGGTTCATCTTATTTTTTTATTAATTGATTATTTGTTTGATTACTGTTTCTTTTTTTTTCATTGTCTGCCCAGTTGATGATAATATAGATGATAATTCAAAAATTATCTTTTATAGTTTAGACTATTTGGTATTGTAACTGTAGTCAATTTCGCAGCTTTTTTTTTCAGAACATTAATGTGTATTAGATTCGTACTTTCCAAACAGGAAAATACAAACCGTATACAAGGGAAGATCGAACTGTAGATATCTTTTTTATCAATTAGCAGATAACTGACGTTTTCAATGATTTTTCTTTTCAACCAACAGTTTGGTGCCTTTTTAATAGCATGACATAACATTTAACATCTTATCATATTCTCTAATTTGACATAGAGCCAAAGCAGAGTTGATACTAAAAAGTCCTGAGATATTTTCCTCACTAACTTTGAGACTATGAATACATTGATGTCGATAAGTTAGTGAAAGAAAACGTGTATATAGGATTATTTTAAAGGTTTTGGTTATTTGGGTGGTTCTTTAAAATAATTTTGATAAGCACGCTTTCTCTTAAAGTTTAATTGGCCTCGATGTAATTTATAGTCTAAAACCTGGTTAAGAAAGTTAGCTTAGAAGTATTGAAAATCGTACTTCTAGTGCGAAAGTTGTGAGCTCCATTACTATAAGTAATGAATATAATAAGAAATAACAAAGATACGTCTGATTGCTTTTAAATATCCTGTACCTTTTATTTGCCAGGCCTTTCATCGAAATTGGAAAAAATGGTAGGTTAGTGAAGCAAATGCTGAACGATGTTTGTAGAGTTCTTTTTATCTTGCTTTGCAAAAAAAACTTTCTTCTCTCTTACTGTTAAATAAGCCATCAGTATAAGGAATCGAATTTACTTAATAAAGGAATAGACGAATCACTCATACATTTACATTTTCGAAACAAGTTTCCTCAGTGTTTTTTTGAAAAAAAAAACTAATCATTCATTAAGTCAGTAGTCTAGCTTGCTAAACAGTAAAGAAATAAATTTAATTTATAAAACTTTCCTGCTATTGTTCTTCAAACTTTTTGTAAAATTTACTAGTGCCGTTGAAAATAATTTTGCAACCATTGAGTCAATTATTACTCAGAAAAGTCATAATTTCTTTTCCTATTGACTTAAAATTCTACGTTCTCAATGAAAGGAAGGGCTCTTAGCTCATACTTTATGCTAGGACAAAATATAAGACATATAAGGTACTAATCAGAATAAAATTCAGTCACACGTTGCAGCATTTGAGGCGAGCTTCTAAATTTTTCAATTTGTCTGCAAAATTTAAAATATGTTTTTAGTCTTTTAGTTTTAGTGATGCCGTACATTTCGTTTTGATATTTAAAAACTTTGTGACGCTTTTTGCTCATGTTTTTAAAATGATCAATTCCACTTTGAAGTGATTTTTGCACTTGAAGTGAGTTTCTATGTTTCATAAAAACCTTTCAATTTTGTGTCCTAATGATTATATTTATATAAATTGCTAAGAAATTAATTTGCGCAAAATTTACGATTGACATATTCTTATATCAAATTCATTTTATTTATCATCTACATCATTTCAATATTCCTAGTTAAGTGATCGATTTTTACAATATCTGGTTGTTCCAAATGAATGGCACAAAATCAAAAACTTTCATAGTGTTTTACACGTGGTTCGGCTTTGATTAAAATTATTATGCATAATAAATTGAAAAATATTTATGTGCAGTATTAACTAATCTAATCATTTTTAAGATTACAAAATAGAGATAACGTTTTACATTTATTATTCAAACAACAATTTCAAACCTAACAAACGTGTTTAATAATATTTATTCCGTTAGATCTGTGATTTAAATAATGTGCATATACATTCAAAACAATGCAACTAGAGTGGGATAAGGATTGTTCACCTATTGTTCTTAATTTAAGTTTGAAAAATTTTAATCAGATATAAGATCATTTGTAATTCTTCATTGAAAATGAATTTGATTGTATTTCATCACAACAACCATAAACAATTTCTTGAAGATTCTGGAAATGTCAAAAGAAAACCAAGTGATTGAATCTGTTTATACAGAACCGGATAATATTAATGAATCATCAACAAAAAAAGTCCAAATGGATGAACAAGACAAGAAACATTTCGTTTACAATGCAGAACAAAGAAGACAAAGATTGGAAGGTGGAGTTACTACTCGAGATTTCTTAATGATCTTATCTGCAGGGTTTGCTTTAATTTCTGATGGATATCAAAATAATGTTATGTCAATGTTAAATAAATATTTTGCAATCAAATACCCAAAAGTTTATGACGCTAATATGTCAGCACAAGTTTCAAATGCTTCATTGGTAGGTACAATATTAGGGCAATTGACTATGGGATTCTTTGCAGATCGAATTTCAAGAAAGGCTGCTATAGTCCTTTCGACTTTCGTCCTAGTTATCGGTAGTATCATGTGTGCCGCATCTCATGGTAAGACTGTAACAGGTATGTTCTGGATGCTTACGATTCTGAGAGGCGTGGTGGGCTGGTCGGTAGGCGGGGAGTACCCTTCCAGTTCTTTAACTGCAAGTGAAGCTGCAAATGAGTCTGTCAAAAAAAGAGGAGGTGTTTTTATTATGGTTACAAATTTCCCACTTTCATTTGGAGGACCGTTATCAATTTGTGTGTTTTTAATTGTTTATCAAATAACAGGAATGAAATCAGGTCTCTGGAGATCGCTTTTTGTTGTTGGGATGTTTCTCCCTCTATCAGTTTTCTATTTCAGAATGAAGATGGTAACATCAGTGTTATTTAAAAAATCAGCTATGAGAAAAAATCCACCATATTGGTTAGCATTGAAATATTATTGGCCAAGATTATTAGGTACTACTATTACTTGGTTTTTATATGATTTTGTTACTTTTCCAAATGGTATTTTTTCAGCAACTATTATTTCAAATGTTATTTCAGATGCTAAAGATTTACAAAGTATTGCCGAATGGACATTATTACTTGGTGCTATAGCTTTACCAGGTGTGTTTGTTGGAGCTTTAATTGTTGATAGAATAGGTAAAAAATATACTATGATGATTGGATTTGTTGGTTATATTGTATTTGGTTTAGTTGTTGGTTGTGCTTATTTTAAAATTAAAAACATCACTGCATTGTTCATTGTGCTTTATGGGTTGATGCAATCCTTCGGCAACCTCGGTATGGGTAACTGTTTGGGCTTGGTTAGCAGCGAGTCTTTTGCTACTCCTGTTCGAGGAACGTTCTATGGATTCAGCGCTGTAATAGGTAAAGTTGGAGCTGTATGCGGAACATATGCTTTTAAAAGAGTTTTATTTGTTGGTGGAACAAAAGATAGTGGCCAAAGATATACTTTTATAATTGCAGCATGTTGTGGAGTTGTCGGTGTTATCTTAACTTATATCTTAATTCCAAATTTAAAAGTAGATGATTTATTAGAAGAAGATGTTAAATTTAAAAATTATCTCAGAGATTCAGGATACAAAGGTCATTTCGGTTTGGAAGAAAATGACGATGAAGAAGATATTGAAACTTCTGAAACAGATAGTGTTGAATTAGAGCAACAGAACTTTACTGAAAAGCATTGAATTGTATAGTGGATTTGATGAGTATATAATGCAGAGTAATATATATTTAATAATTTAATCGAATCATTTATATTTTAGTAATTTGGGTAATGAGAAAAGATCATAAGTAGTACAAAATCTAAGTAGTACAAAATCTGGGTAGCACAAAATCTAAGTGACACAAAATCTTTAGATCTGTAATTATCCGATTTATTATTTTTTTTATTTTTATTTTTTCTTTTTTTTTTTTTCCTCTCTAGAGTGCTGCGATTAAGAGACACAAGAAAGATNCCTCCCTCTACACTATCCCAATGGGAATTATCTACTCTATATATAGACTAATATATTTAAGTTGCTATTTCTCTCTTACTGTCATATTGCTTATTTAGACCTAGTTTTGTGTTTTCTTCGGATTTATTTGTTTCCGGTAATCGATACCTCATCAGTCCCCCAACACTGAATGTTAAGGTTGGTCTAACATGAAGTTTCATCTTTATTTGATTATCGTGATTCTGATGATTTGATTTCTTCTACTTTTCATTATAAGTTTTTGATGACTGCAATTTTTTAATATTTTGATATATGATATTCAAGTACTGCTTGATGATATAATGATAAATTTCTTAATTTGATGATACATGTCTGATCATGTCTTTGCTTTTTAAATTTTTTCTTTTAATTTATTCCATAATGATTTTAATGTTTCTTCTTGAACATGATCTCTTCATATAACGTATACTTACTATTAAACTTTAATTATGCTCGAATGATATGTTTTGCTATAATTGAAATCTTTTAATATTTCTTTGCTTCTTGATATATTACTAATACATATTTCCAGTGCTACTAATAATTAACAGTCTTTTGATATGTTCGTGATGCTACCTTATTCATTAGTATAATATGCAGTGATATTTCTGTCTAGGTATTTAACTTCATTTATCTCTGATGCGTATTAGGTATTGGAAGATGAGTAGAATTTATGAATTTTATTCTGATTTTAATTGATTGTAAGATATTATCATTACTTAATTTGATATATGCAATATTTCATAACTTTTAGTTAAATCTCTTCTTTCAATTTGAATTATAATTCTCTATTACTAGTCATTAGTACGATTGCTGATTAAAAATCTATTGTAAACCTGTTTCAATGATACTTTTATACTTATAATTTTCTATTCATAATTCTTCTCCATAGTCTATATTTTAGGATTCATTTGATAATTCTCACAATCTTCTCTAAATTTTAAGTTTGTAGTCTCATCACTAATTAGATTAGTGGAAATATTCTCTTCTCTGTCATTAAATCATTCTTTTTCTATATTTTATTGTTTGATGTATTGATGATGTATGACTATTAGTTTCTGTATTTAACTGGTCTTGAGACTGATTTAGTGATTTTACTATTTTTATCATTTAAAAGAAATATATTGATTAAGTTTTTACTAAATTTAGTTTGGTTTAAGTTCTATTGATTACTGTTCTTTTTGATAAAGCATTATTTAAAACATTCTTTGAAATGACATTAATAACTAATTTCTATATGATTTTCGACGTCTTTAGTCTTTCATGGATTGTTTGGAAATTGATGATGACTGATTTTTTAGATGATGATGATGATGATACACCTAATAAGTCGTCGACATAAAGTGCCACATATATCTTTGACTTTTCTGAATGTTTGAGTAATCATTCATTATTTGATTTACGTTCTTGAAATCCTAATTCTATGAAGATTTGATAAATAATTCTATACCACAAGTATCCACTCTGTTTTAATCCCTACATGGCCTTTTTCAATAACCAACATATGGTCTTATCAGCAGTGTATCCTTTTGGTGGTTTTACAAGAATTCTAACATCCTCATCTAACTTAGCACTTAAGTAAGCTCATTTGACATCTATATGATCTAAATCCATATCGTATTGAACTGCAAGTGATGTAACTAATCTAACTGAAATGAGATCTGTAACTGGATTGTTTTCTTTGTATGGATTATAGTTTAATAATTTCAATTTGTTTGAATCCTTGAATAAAACATCTTGCTTTATAAACATCATCTTTTAGATCTATATGCTTTTTGGTATAAACCCATATTGCTGATATAGTTCCTTTTCTTTACCTGATGGTATTTTGATTTCTTCGAAAACATTTAATGATTTGAATTTTTTAATTTCTTGTTCTCTTGCTTTTTGCCAGTTGATATCATTGAAATCTATTTTAGTTACTACTTCATTTATTTGTAAATCATATATATTATCCTTTTCATGTGCATTTAATTTTCCTATGATAGATTGAACATTATTTATATATCTGGATGGTGTATGAATTTCTCTTCCTGAACTAGTTCTTTTCACTTGATTGGATGGATTTGGTTGGATTTTAGTTAAAATTTTATTACTATCAGATTCGTCAAATATTTCTAATTCTCCAGCTTTATTATCTAATTATCTATAGGTACAGGTTCAGACATTTCTTCATTAATTGATTGAACATTTTTCTTAAAAGTTGATTTGTCTTTATTCTTCGATCTTTTCTTAGCTCGATTATCCAACTCGACTATTGGTTCAAAGATCCTTCCCTCCAGCGAAGTGTCGCCTTCAAATCTAAATTCATCCGCAATAATTGATTCTGACTTGGAATTGATTTCGTCTAAAGAAGAATCAGAAGTGGAGGAGTTTCGAGGCTCTATGACAACTGTTGCATCTCCGATTTTCTCGCATCCGTCATTTGAGGTCGTTGCTGTTGATGATTTCTAATACATATTTTCTTTTCGCTGAGGTGAATATGTTGGTGTTACGATTGTTTGATTTTATATATGTAGCTAATTCTAGAATTGCTTCTCCTCTTTTGTATGCATATTTGATTAAAAACTCATACCACGGAAATATGTATATTATCTCATTAAGTAATCAATTGGTTCTTAAAATAAATTTACAAATTTTTGTAGTTTTGCTCTGAAATAAACACAATTCCAATTATGGGGGTCCCTTAAAGTATTGAGTATAATCTTCTTAGCTCTTCCTCCTAATATTTGATTATCTAAGTCAAGTAAACCAAAACCACCTTGATAAGACAACGTTTTGAGGGTATCCAAGCTGATTCCTTTGAAATTTTTTTTTTTCTATAATTGTATTCCAATAAGAAATGGCATTGCTGTTTATAGAATACATAAGATCATGGTAGTAGATCTTACTCATTGTGTAATAATTTATTAGTTAAACTTAATGATGAACAGCCAAATCTTTTGCTTCATACATGGTGTGCTGATTCATTATTTGACTGATGAATCTTTTCCAATCCATTTTTCTTAAGTTAGTTTCTAATTATTTTAATGAAGCCTCTTTAAAGTCAAGTAATTCAAAGTTCAAAGGTGTATGCAGTTTAGATTATATAACTTGCTCTATTCCACATTTATTTCTTAACCAATGTTTCTTTTCAATAATTTTAACTTTTCTGAAAGTATCGCGTAATCATCTGTCTTATTATTTACACGCATTACTATATTATCTGCGTATGCACAATATATTGATTTAATCTTTCCTGTTGGTAATTCTAATTCGTATTCTTCATTTTAATCTTGTCAAGAAAGATTCTAGGCATAAATTGAAAAGCAACGGGGAGGTGGAAATACCCTGTCTTAGTCTTTGGTAGAATTTAAAGGTGGTACTTAAATAATTGTTTATCTTTATTTGTCCTGATTGTTTAACTACTAATGCCATAATAAATTTGATGCATCTTTTTCATTAGTTTAAAGTTTTCAGTATTACTCTCAAAAATTTGTGACTAATGATATCAAAGCTTGTTTTAAATCTATTATTAAAATATCATATTTGTTCGATTTTGATTTCATTATCATTTCCATCACATAATTCAATTTCATGATGTTAGTCGAGCCCTGTCTATCCTTTAAAAAACCGACCTGATCGTGGTCTACGAGTTTGTTTATGATATGTTGTTGTCTCTGATTTAGTATGATTCCTATTAGTCTCCCAGAGCATGTCATCACACCAATAGGTCTAAAGTTATTTAATGTATTAAATTTCTTTCCATTTTGTCTATGAGAGTTACAATTATTCTTGTGGCACCTTTAGGTGTTGTGTTATTGTCCATATCATTAATCGGATCTAGTAAGCATGTAATCATATTATTACTTTTTGTTAATCTTTTGAGTTTTTTGAAATTAACCCCATCGTATCTTGCTCCAGATTTGGTATTCAACTTCTTGATAACAGTAGCTATTTCCGTGGTTGCAAATAAGTGATAGTGAAATACTTCACAAACTGAATGAACGAGTAAGAATTCGTTGATTTTCTATAAAACGATTTGAAACTAATTATTTATTTACTTTCTTTTAATTATATTTTACTAAACTGTGTTTGCTTAATATCTTATGAATATATGGTAGCTATCCCACACTAAGTGTTAGAAAACGAGACCAGGAGTGCGTGCGATTAAAATAGTGACAGTTAACTTATTGATTAACTGATTATTGATATAAAGACTTAATTAACTATTAACTTATATCTTATCATTTTGATAATGTTTTCACTCATTTTATATTATTCTTTAACTACTCAAGTAGTATTATGTACTCCTTGAATTATATTTCTCCAATTTATCTGTAAGATCTAAAATTATATCATTCATATTCATATTTCATTTTGTGTCATCAATGGATTTTCAACACTAAAGTACACTCATTAGAACAAAACAGTTAAATAGCAAAAAGAAGTAAAATTGAAGAATTACATTCAAAATCATTCACCTATGTTCGTTTAGATTAGATCAGGTTTGAAAAATTGAAGTGAAGGAACATATTGCTTTTGACATAAGTTTTGTATTACTATATTCTTGATTTAAAAATAGTAAAATATGTTAATAATTATTTCAATTTTATCCAAAGGTAAGTTTTGTGTAAACTTAAACTCACACTCGACTTTTTATAATCAAATATTCCGGGCATTTGAATAAATATTACACAGCTCACGAAGAGTAAGATTTAAATATTCATGCTACCTACGTATGAAATGATCGTATAAGTTGATGAACTAAATTGCACAATATAAGAATTTACGTTCGTAAGGGTCATAATAGTGGTAAATTGTATATGGTTTTAAAAACGTTATCTCTATTTTTTTGAAAAAAAAAAGTAAATTAAATTAATCAAATTTTAATTTATTATGCATATTGATTTTGAGCAAAGCCCGACCACGTGGAAAACATTATACTTTCTATAAAAATTATTGATTTTTGTTATTCTAGCTTGAATTGGTTTTCAAACCCTGAATTAAATGCAATGGTCTCTCATTCATGAACTATTCATATATTCTTCTCATCCAATATGAATTATATTAAATTGAAGGAAATAAGAAAAAAATTTTGACATAAGAATATGTCAATCGTAAATTTTGCGCAATTGAATTTCTTAGCGATTTAATTTTTATCCGTGTTTCTTTTTTAAAAAAGTGGACACAAAACTAAAATGTACCTTATGAGAAGACCAAGTGGAAACTAGTCTACTCCGAAAGTAGAAGAAACTTGAGTAGTAATTCGCTTCACTTGAGGTAGGGCTAATGAAAAGGCATAAGAAACGAAATATTAACACATTCCAACTTAATTGTTCCTACACTCATGAGCCAAAATTGAAAGAATCTCAGTGAAATTTCAAGAACACGATGTAAAGAATCACCTATTTTTGTTTATACTATACTATAAATTTTTCAGCCGTTTCAATTTAGACTAAGTAGAATTTAGTTTCTTTTTCAAATTGAAATATTTTATTTTTCAAAACTAAAAGATGGTGTTTTAGATTTTCCAAGCTACTCTAAACCATTTGAAATTTGCCTTAAAAACAACGTGGGTTTTGAAACATACATTTAATTGTGCCTTAGAAAGAGTTGGACAATTGCCATACGAATCTCTAAACAAAAAATGCAAAAGTTTTGAGCATGGTGTTTATTTTTTAAAAATTTCCTTTAAATCTGTTAAGCTCGTGTCTTGCTAGAAAAGAAAAGTTTGACTACTAAGTAAGACATGATTGAAAAGCTAGTCGGATCGACTTTTTGAAAAATTTAAAATGTAAACGCCATTGGAATTGATCCCAAATTCCAGTTCTCTGGACAGAAATTTAAACTAATGATTGACTACTTGATTTAAAATCATGACTAATGACTGACTACTGATTTTATAAACAATCACCCTCAAAAAAAAAAAAATGATTGTACTAGCACATCCAGTATTCTCCTTACACCCATACCGCACCAACTAGTAAAATTCAAAGCTTAATTCAGTAGAAATCCAAAATTTAATAAGCGAGATAGATACAAATACTTTTGAAGTTCCAATTGCAAGTGTGTATTTAATTATCAGAATTTGAGGCAACATATTCAAGATGATTTAAATTTTACTTAACTTTAAATATGATGAATCGTTTATTTTTTGGCTGCAAAAATCGTACAGAAAATCTGCACACAACAACCATACACTTTCAAAGGTATGATAATATATTCATTTCAAAATTATAAAGATTTTTTATTTCTGTTTAGGTATTAGGATTGCCCTATACCAGACAGAACTAGAGGTAATTTACAAGCCATCAACGTCTTATACATGTGCTCGTTTGTTTGTCCGAAACCTCGGTGTGTATCGTAATATGTGAATTTAAATGCTTTCACAACTTAAAAAGAATGCTTAAATATTGGTCTGAATGACTTTCTCTCTTATGTGTTGAATAAAATTTTCAAAATTAATTGGTTTTTCAAATCTATGGTAAAATTGTCCAAACAATGTGTTTCAGATCTTTGAGATCTAATCTCGTATCTCGTATCTCGGATCTAGACTGCATATAACCTTGCAATACAAAATTATCAGGTAAAGTTTTTGACATAATCAGTAACTTCATTTTCTTTGAAAATAAGATCATAAGAAATACATTTTTAAAAAGCTTGTTAGCTGTGAGCATTCTCTATCGTAGTAACCGCTACAGTAATTTAATAACATGTCATGAAACCTTGGAATTGAACATATGTAAATTGAAACTGATTGTTGTTTGCAATATTACATTGATAATTGGCGGAGGAAACACCATCTCCTCAAAATCCAAAAATATCTTTTTAACCATCATATAGGTCTTCTACATCATAGCAAAAGTAAACTTTCAACCCCTCCTTCAATTGATTGAAGAAATATTAATAATACAGTGACGCAGAAGAGTCCAAGTCTCAAAGTATATTTTTATAACATCAAAAAGGATATAACCGCTAAGAATATTATAAAGGCAAATATTATAACTTAATTCAGTTAAAATAAGCAAAATGAAAATTAAAAAGAAAGCAAGAGATAAGAATATCGAAATTTACCAATAACAATCAAATCAATTCAAATCAAGGATCAAACAAAAATCAAGGGATTCGATCAAACAATAAATAAAAATAAAACAATCCCTGTCAATTTGATAATTTTTAGAGAAGAAGAATGTTTGATCTAAAAATGTAGATCATTTGAAAGATTTAGCAAACGATTTAAAGATTAATAGATTGTTTTGTTGGGAGGATAGATCGGTTATAAAATTTGTATATTATGTGAGTTCATGCACTACCCCGAGATTTTTCAATACTTTCAGCCATAATTTTTGAATTTTAAGCCAAAACTTTAGTCACCTGGTACTAATTCTCGGTCGAAGAAGCTTAAAACCCTTAGTAATTTTTGTTTTTCTACTACTCCTCATGGTAGCATTTTTTTTTCATACGGCACAAAAATTAAATATTGAAAACATTTATTCAAAAGGCAACAGAAAAAATAAATTTACTAACTCCCTTAAATTATCAAATCGCCTTACACTTTTAAACCCAACTAAAAAAAAATTTAAATAACACCACCACCAATAAGCGATATTTATATTCCCCAAATTTGAATGAAACAAGAAACTAATTTTTAGCGTAAAGAATGATCTTAGTGTTATTTCTCCACATACTAGTTACATACATCATTGTGCTTTATTCTTTTAAACCAATTATAATAATTAATTATATGAATTTCCTATTGGTTTAATTTTATGATGATGTAATTTAAAAAAGTGAGACCAATAAAATTATAAATAAAATAAAATACTAAATTAGATTGAATAACCGATAATTTTCTATTGTTCTTTTTTTAATACAATAAAGATAATCAAATAAATCAAAAACATCTAACCTTATTCTTTTTACATTTTGTGATTACTCCATGTTTTCTCCTTATTATCTGATTTTATGATAGTAAAACATTCATAACTCATGTTCTAAATTCCTTTGAAAGGGTTTGTTAATTGTATGATCCTGTTCTATTCTCTCAATACAACATTACATTTCATCTATTTAGTCCTTAATAAAGATTTAATGAATACGATTTGTGTCAATAATTACTTTTTTTTTTTCTTATTCATATTCCAGAAAAACTTTAAAATTTAAATTGAAAAATTAATTTTTTTTAATGCAGAATTATCCGATAAAGATACGCTTACGCCCTTGCTGATTAGAGAAATACAGTAGATAAGATAGTACATTTGAAAAGAAAGATATACAATACTTCTCTCAAATATCTCTCTGATAATGTGAAAACTTTATATCATCTCTTTCTACTCAGTAAGACTAACAATCTATCAATCAATCTATCTTAAAAAAGCAATTGGAAAAGTTTAAATTTCTATTTAAGTAGTATTAGTTTATCCTTTCTTTTAAATGGTTTATGTTTAATAAACCATACATCTTAAGTTAGTTAGTACCTTTACACAACAAAACTAACCACCACCACAGTAGTAAATAATTAAAGGATAAATTAATTAAAAAAATAAAAGCAAAACTAAAAACAAAAATAAATTTTGGGTAGTTTTACACTACATACATTATTTAAGTACTTAATATATTACTATCTAATTATTTCTACTTATTAATTTTTTACAACCATTTATTATCTCATTATCATCATCATCAACTACTTAAAACAAACTTATACCATAGACAATATATGTTCAATACTACTACTACCACTCTCACTACGTTGTTCAATATAACACATCAAACAATTTAAACACATTTCAACCAGAACCCAAGACAATCTACTCAAAGTATCCACAATTTTAAATTTTTACAACACATTTCATCAAATTTTTCAATTTTAATATACAACCAAACAAACCATAACTAATCTTATTCAAATTTATTTTCATTTCTATCCTATGCATTTTCAATATTTATAATTTTCTCACCAAAAAGTTTTTCATTTGTTTTTTTATTAATCATAGATATCAATTTTTATATATATAAAGACACTTCAAAATGTTATTAATTAATAGATTAAACAGCAGCAATACAGCCACAGACAATTTATCAAAACTAGATAGTAATGATACTATAGAACAAATTAATGAATCAACTCCTAAAAAATTATCTGAAGAAGATAAAAAATTAAAATTTAATATTCAAGGATTATTTAAAAGATTACCTTCATTTAGTGCAACAACTCAAGAAGGGTCACCTAAATCTGAATTACCACCATCAACCATACCACAAAATATAATGTCAGATATAAATCATATAACAATAGTACAAAGTATAGATGAAGAAGAAGAAGAAGAACCTCAAGAATTTTCATTTAATAATTATGAAGATTTAAATTCCCCTATAACAACTCCACAATTAGCTCCAATATCAAAAGTTTCATTATTTAATTCTCAACAAAGTTATTTCCCCAATCAATTTTCAAATGAAGAAAGATACACTTCATTTACATCTGATTGTATATCATTACAAAATAGTGAAATGAGTAATCATCAAATTGAAGAAGAACCACAACCACAAATTGAAAAAAAGAAAAAAGAACTTAATAGACCACAACCAAAAAGAAATTTAAGAAGTTTATTACGTATTGGATCATTTTCAAGTAATCAAAATATAAGAACAAATAATCCTCATACAGCAATACCAAAAGAAGAAGAATTTTCAGAATCAGATTCAGAATCAGATCTAGAATTTGATCCAAAACATGAAGAAAGTCATTATGATTATAAAATTGGAGGTTATCATCCCGTATGTAAAGGTGATATATATTATAGTAGAAATTTTCCAAATAGAGAATATCTTATTATTAGGAAGTTAGGTTGGGGACATTTTTCAACAGTATGGTTAGCAAAATCAAGACTAATTGATGGAAGTAATTCAGATGAATATTTTGTTGCAATAAAATTTGTAAAATCAAATAAAAATTATAAAGAAGCAGCAAAAGATGAAATTAGAATTTTAAAAACTTTAAATAATCCTAGACATAGTGATCATTTACCTGAAAATTATAAATATTTTAACCATCAAAAACCTGAAGATCATCCTGGTTATAATCATTTAATGAAATTATTAGATGATTTTGAAATTATTGGTCCTAATGGGAATCATATTTGTATGGTTTTTGAAATTTTAGGAGAAAATGTTTTAAATTTAATTTACAAGTATAAGAAGTTTTATAAAAATGTTAATGAAGAAATTAAAAAAAAGGAAGATGAAGAACCAATGAAATTTAATAAATTAGATGCTGTAACAAATAAGAAAAAATCAAATAAATCAATGTTAAGTTTAGGATTATCATCATCAACTACATCAACTACTTCATCAACATCATCAAATGTATCCCCAGTAATGAATGAAGATTCAGATTCAACCACTACCTCCACAACAACAACAATAGGATCATGGGAAAATGGAATTGATAAAAAATTAAAATCATTAAATTCAAATTCACTTTCCAAAATAATTGAAACTTCAAAAAATTGTGGTGGTATACCATTAAATTTAGTTAAACAAATTGTTAAACAAATGTTATTAGCAGTTGATTATATGCATCATTGTGGTATTATACATACTGATTTAAAACCAGAAAATATTTTAATTCAAATTGATGATATAAACAAGTTAGTAAAGTCTATAGAAGATAAAAAAAATTCAAGAAATAATTCAATAAGTAGAGCTACATCATTAATTAAAAAGAATTCATTTAATAAACCACAATTATTTGGAAGAACTTCAAGTTCAACTATTTTACAACAACCAGAAGAAAGAGCTTCTTCAATAGTTTCAATAAATTCACAACAATCATTTTCATATCGTCGTTCAAAAAATTCAATTGTTGGAAAATATGATTCTCCAATAAGATCATCAAAACCATTATGCTGTTCAACAACTCAAGATGTATTTTTTAAAGATGTTGAATTTGATAAAACTAAGAAGTTATCTATATCAAAAGCAATCAGCCCTAAAAATTTTTCAATTTTCGATAAAAAGCAAACATTCGTTGAACCAACAAACTTGTCAATAAAAATTGCAGATTTAGGTAATGCAACATATACAAATGAACATTTTACAAATCAAATTCAAACAAGACAATATAGATCCCCCGAGATTTTGCTTAAATATAAATCATGGGGTTCTTCAACTGATATTTGGAGTATTGGATGTATAATATTTGAATTAATAACTGGGGATTTTTTATTTGATCCAAACGATGGGAAATTTTTTGATAAAGATGAAGATCATTTAGCTCAAATTATTGAATTATTGGGGAATTTTCCTGATGATAATTATCTTTTGGATTGTAAGCTCACTGGAAAATTTTTTAAATTAAATCCAACTACTAAGGAAATAGTTTTTAAAAATATAGATAATTTAAAATTTTGGAGTCTTGAGAATGTTTTGGTGGAAAAATATAAGTTCCGAAAAGATGATTTAGAAATTCAATTAATTGTTGATTTAATTTTAAAATGTTTAAAATTTAATATTGATGAAAGATTTGATGCTGCTAGTTTATTAAAACATCCTTGGTTTAGCTATGATGGATCAAATTCTGTAAGTGAAAGTGATTTAAAAAATTTAAAGAATGATCATGATGATTTACCTGGTTTTACTTTTGAAGAATAGGTGGAGATAGAGAAGCGGAAATTAATGATAATGATAAAATTTACAATTTATAAAGAGTGGGAAATTTTTAGTTTTTAGTTCGATTTTTATATATATATATATATGCTAGCTTTTAAGTTTAGTGTGAATACTTTTTTAATGAATGATTTTATTTTAGTTTATTTTTTGTTGTTATTGTAGTGGTTCTTGATTTTTATCACGGTTCACTCATTGTTGATTGATTGTTATCGTTGTTGTATCTAAGATTTCTAGGTTTGATTTAGCTCTAGAATGATATTCTTTGTCTTCAATTAAGAATGAGAAATATTTCGAATAGGTAGGTATATATCTTTGAAATTGGTTCGGTTTTATTTATTGTTTTCAAGGCTTTTGTCAAATACTTCAAGATATTGCTTCCCTTAATTCAACTAAATCTGAACGATTCACTAAAAAAAGCCTAATTTAATAGGTATTGTCATAATCTTAATTTGTTTGATATATATTCGTTTAGATTTATCTAGGTAAGAAATTTATGATTTTTTAATTGATCTAAAGTAATACTTTCAGCATGTTTTAAATCAACTCTTAAATCAATTTTTGGATCAATTTTATAATTTGGTTTTTTATTTTGTTTTATTGAATCTATACTTGATTCTGAATCTGAATCCGAATCTGAGTCGGGATCTGGATCTGAGTCTGAATTTGAATCTGAATTTGAATTTACTTCTATTACTTCAATTTCTTTTTCAACTTCTTGTTGTAGTTCTTTTTCTCTTGATTCGTGTTTTTCAATGTTTTTATCCTCTTCGTCTATTACTTCCTCTGCTTTATCTTCCACCTCATTTTCCCTATCTTGGAGTAATGTCTTATCTTCTTTAGCATTTTTCCTCTTCTTTTTCAAATCATAAGCACTAACCAATTTGATTTCTCCATCATCATCTTCTTCCTCATCAAGATCATAATTCATAACAACTTTAGGTTTTTTCAATTTTGGTTCATTATCAATTTCTTCATCATTTTTTACATCAATTTCATCTAATTCAAAATAAGGTTTATCAACTACTATATCAGTAATTTCAATTTTTTTACCTTCTTTAATTAATTTTGAAATATTTTGTAAAGTATACCAAGAATCCAGGTCAATTTTTCCAAAAACATATTTTAAATTTAAATCAGTTAATGATATAATATATTCATTATTAAAAACTCCCAAATAACCTCTTTTACATTTAATTCTTGAATTTGATTCGATTTCTAATTTTATATCTTCTTGTTTTGGTTTTATTGTTAGATAATCTTTATTTGTGAAATTTAAATCTCCGAGATTTTTGGAATTACATAAATTTAAGAATTGTAATGATGTTGTGGGAGTTTCTTTTGCAAAGATATGAAACGGTAGGTTTCCTTTTGTTGTTTTTATTGTAACTTGAGCCGTGGGAATTGGTTCTAAGGCCATTTTGAAACGAGTTAATTGTATAAATCAAGTTTGTAATACTTAATATGTAAATTGATTTGACTTATTTTACGCGGTTGTTTGATTTAGGAAGATTTATTTAAGCACTACCAAATGGCAAGCTCCAAATTTATAAAAAATCTCTTTATTCAACGAATTCTTAAATTAATATTAACAACCAATCCTTCCTTTATACATACCACATAAACAAGCAATAGATATTTTAGAATCTTATTTGGCTAAATTTATTGAAATATATCAAGAGGTTTGGCCGATATAAATCATTAGTTTACATAAATTAATCAAAGTATGTACAAATCATTAATCTAAATTTTATAGGTATTCTTATATTGGTGTGAATTCACAAACATTTCAAATCATACAAATTTCAAGCAAACTAGCACCAAGAAATAAATCGAAGGATTTTCAAAAAGTGGAGAACCATTTAAGCTTAGCATTAGGTCTTGCAACTTGAACTTGTCGATAATTGAACAATTTTTTTGTTCACCAAGAATAGTTGTAGACTATCGCGCAAACAAAGCCATTTGTAATGTCGATGATAAATTAATCTATTTTTATGGAGATGGTAAGGACTTGTGAATCATTAACACGATTAAAGTAGCTAAGCAGTTGTAGCCAATTGATACAACAAAGGCTATTCAAAGGCTTCATGTCGATTTTGCTCATGCGTCAAGACGAATTCTTGGTGAGCAATGAAATTTTCCAATTTTCTCAAGTCATATAGCTATGCTAAGATTTACCGATTCATCCAATAGCTGGGCTATCACTAATCCTTTTGTTCACCCTGATACAACTATTATCATACAGCAATTTCATTATTAGAAGATTAGTCTCATACTTCACCACATTAGTATGCGACAATGCATTTGTCTTCAAATTCAATCAAGTTCAAATAGTTGTTTAAATTCCTACCATTGATATTAATTTTATTTCTGCTCATCATGGCAACGAAAAAATTGAAAACGAAGGTAAGGTGTTATCAAGTTGAACTGCTTCGATTAAACCTCGATCCCAATTTATCCAAGTATCGTCAGGCAAACCACTAAATTTTTTTTTGATTAAGTTATTAAATTTATTTTTGGTAACCGTAGTACTGCAAGTGGTAAAACTGAAAAATTAAATGACTTAATAAAAAAAATTGACGATACATGGAGGAATTGGGATCCCAGGTAAATTGATGCAGTTCAAATTTACAATATTTCACCAAACCTTCAGATACACACCAAACTATATAGCTTTTGGAAAAACAACGGAAAACCAGACAAGGTTCCAAAAATTATTCACTAGATCACGTCAAAACCAATGAAATAGAGCTGGAACAACAACTGGAGGAAATGCAACTAGAATTTTTAATATGTTGATGATGCGATGTTGTGATAGAGATAAACATAGTATGAAAATTAGAAGAGGCGCCATGAACAATTCAATCAAAGAAGGTAACCAACGCCGGTTTTGCCAAAAGGGAATTGATCTAAAATGGATATCAATTTACAAATGGAGGTCTAGGAGAGCTTCTAAAACCAATCAAAGTCTGTCGGCAACCCTGACAAGCTGGCATATAAATTGTGTAAAAAATAGGAAAAGTTTTAAACAATGCATTTCATCATGATGAAATAATTCTGAGTTCAAATTTTGAAGACCCACTTATAGCTGTAATGTTTCTGAATAATCAACTATTAAGAGGAGAGGAAGCAAATGTTCCACATAAGATTATGCATTTGCAGCCAAAACTGACGTATATTGCAGTTGATTAATCATTAGTGAGTAGAAATAAAATAGATTTAATCTAACCAAAATTACAAGAGGGGAGAATGCTAAATCATATTAACTAATGATTTGTATACATAGCAATATCAAGAGTTTTATAAATTTCATTATTTTGTTCAAGTAAATTCAGTTGGTGTTTTTAGAATTTGAGTGAATGAACATTCAAGGGAAATTGTTGAAAAATCATTTACAAGAATAATTTCAATATTAATTCAATTATTCCAAAGGAAGAAGAAAGAAAATGTGTTCTATAAATTAGCTAATTTAAGCACTAACAAAAACTTATTAGTTGATATAACATAGATCCATCACTTTTAAATTGATTCACTGAGATCTATCAAATGGATTTAAATGCCTATTGTTAGTGGAATTCACAATCAAACTCTAATACTAATCACTTTCATTTGAAGGACGTTTTTTTGAAACAATCGAGATTGTATTTCATAGTCTGTAGAAAATACGTGCGGAGCACTCAATCTATTCAGCTTATTTTGCCCAATCTTTATAGTCGGATTTTGACCAAGCTTTATATTCGAGATAGCCCTAGTAATCTATACTTCTAGCTCACACTCTTTCTAATGCTTTTAATATCAGTTAAGGGTCATATTTCATCTTTTAATACAAGTTATTCGCTTGTGAGCTTTAGGGTAATTAAGTATGGCTCAATTTAAATCGTGACGCAAAAGTTTCAAAAATTAGCCGTACGATGAAAATCAACTAATTATTTTGATTTTGTGCTTATCTGGGAAGCAGAAATCTTTATCAATTGATTGCACAAACGTCTTGATGCGATCAATATTTAGAGTAAGAACTAGGTCTCAAAGCTGATCCTCTAACTAATACATCCTTTAATTAAATATTGCTATTAGACTATCTAAATAAATCGAAATCTGGATCTCTGCTTACATAATACTAAGCGTTTTATTACATAATAACCGGTATAGTAAATCTAATCTAATCTCAATTATTAATCTTTTAATCATCAATTCATCATCATCACTCCATAAGGTAAAGGATTAAACTGCTCCAAAAAGTATCATATTGACCAAGTTTTGCTATCCATAGATCATATTCAAACAGCACTACTTTTATCCATTTCCAAAAGCAAATTATCCAAACACATTTAATTTACAACCAGTTTATGTTCAAGAGATTTAAAAGTAGAACTCATAGTAACTCATTAAATTCAACAAAAGATGATTCTAATAACAATTTAAGACCACTGAGACTGGATCATCAAAATGAAGATAGATACAGAATTCAATCAAATAATAATTCACAATCTCCATTTTCAAGATTTCAAAGAAGGTTCAGTCAACCTAATTCTACAGCAGTTGCAACACAACCAAGAGATTATTCTTTTCAAACATTACATCATGGTGAACAAGATAATGAATCAGCTATAGATGATGAAGATGACGTGATTTCCCCTTTAAATACCACTGATGCAGATCATCAATCTGTTACATTATCTGAAGCTCCAACTTTAACAGTTGATAGACTGCAAAGAATGGAATTACAAAATACTTTTATTGATAATTTTACTGAATATTTACCTTTTGTTGTACGAAGAATGAGAGCAGTTGAAGAAAGAAGAAGACAGAATCAAGAACATAACGAGAATCAAGATCACTTAAATGATTATGATTTTGATGGGGATGATATGTCAACAATGTATAATGAACAACATATACCGTCTGAACAATATGCCTTAGACCACATAAAAATCATGGAAAGAAATATATCAGTATATAATTTCAAACGACAACTTGTAATAATGAATGGGATGTTAAAACATAATACATATGTTTTCCCAAGTATAGATTCATATAAATTATTTAAAGAATTAAGATCTGGTATCAAAAAGGAAAGAAAAAATTCAGTAATATTATATGACTCCAAGGGAGGCATTCGAAAGGCATCATCTGATGCAAGTATAAATAAAACAGAATTTCAACCACACGGTAAAGATATAATAGATAATAGAAATCACATAATACCTATAGATTATAAAATTAAGGGACAAGGTCTACCTTTATTTAAAATTAATATACCATACATGTCAAGTTTTAGAAAAAACTCACCATATATAATTTTTAAAAAATTTAAAGAAATTCCATCACCACCAACAAGTACCACAGAAGAAGATACAGAATTTGAAACTTTTAATTATTGTTTTGTATATTCAAAATTTTCATCAAATTATAGAAGATTTATATTTGAATTTAATCCTGGTACATCACAAGTTTTTAAAATCATATTATTTCAACTGAATTTTAAACCATTTTGTGATTTCATATATAAAGATACAAGATTTAGAATTTTAGGTACAACTGTTGCATCTGGTTTAATATGTCAATATAATCCTCATATGAGATTATTAATAATTGATGAAGGTCAACCTTCATTTTGTGATAATATCATTAATAAACCTCCTTCACTGTTTTTAAAATTTGGTAAAAAAGATGATGATGAATCAAGTAATATAAAATTTAATATAAATGATCCATCAACTTTTATAAATCCAATTCCAGAAAATTCATTTATACAGGAAGAAAATACATATCAAGGTAATTCATCATATAATTATATTCCCAGTGATTTACCTCCATTTGGATGTTTTAAAGATGCTCTGATTATAAAAAATTCAAATTCTTCAAGTTTTTTACCAAAAAAATATAATGATGCAGGTAGGATTGATTTATATCAAGATTTAACAAATAATAATTTGGATATAAATAGTACATTACTGGTGGATCAAGATACTTTAGTTCTAACAGTTATTCTAAGTACAATGAGAGAAATAAATTTAAGAAATGCCGCTAAATCAAGTGGTAATTCAATGTTAAATGGACCTGGTTCTTCAGGTCCTATGAGATTAGGTGCGTTTGGTTTAGCTACAACTGGTTTGTCAGCTATATAGAGATATAAATAGATATAATAATAAATGTAATTGGAAATCGCGTGTCAAAATTGCGTATCGAACAAAGAAGCGCAAAATTTCTAGACACAAAAACAATTGATTAGATTCTGGTGCCACAAGGTTTTTGTATAAATAAAAACAATAATCATGAAAAGTATCAACAACAATTTTTCTTCCTTTGTAAATTAAAAAATTCAATTACGCTACAATGGTAGTACTTGATTTAAAAACTGGTGATGTCACAGACCGTAAATTAAAGATAAATAGATCCAATAGCAAAATTCCAAAAACTCAAAAACAAACTGGTATAAAATTCAATTGGATTTATGATTTGAAAGAATTAGATAAAAATACTTTAGGTAAACCGGAAATTGAAATTGAAAATATACAAGATAGAGGACAATATTTTGATAAACCAGAAGGTGCTGTGGGAGTATTAGTTCAATCTAGTGATGAACCAGCTGCTTTTGCTGCTTGGTATGGTAATAATCATATTGGTGAATGGAGTCTTTATGGTGATCAACCTGAATCAAGTCAACAAATTTATTATTTATCTGATAGTCAAACAATCTTTATTGGATTATTTTGAGCTTCCGCGATTTTAATAAAACACTCTGAGTTTGTGCCATAGGTAGATGTGGCTTGTATTTTTCAAATTTAGTTAGAGTTTATACGTCTACATAATACACGTAAACTTTGTAAATTTACGAGTATTATATTTGACGCAACACAGCGCAATAATTTTAAAGAGTCGTGAGAATTCATTCTAGCAGTGTAAGTTACAATTTTTATTTATGAACTATTCAAATTGGTAATAAATGTTTAACGTAGAACTAAAGTTTTTTTGTTTTTTTGGTGGTTGTTTAAAAAATATATTTAATCATTGAAACCAAAAAGTTAACAGCCCAAATGAAAATAATTTTCCTATAAGTTGAATTTGAAAGTATTTTAGTTAATGTATTTTGAAGGAAATTAGTTGAACTTAAAGCATCAACTAAACTACTAATAGTTATAATTTGATCTTTAATAATTGCAGTAAATAATTTAACTGCAAAATCTCTTCCATCACTTGTTGAAATAATATCATCAACAACGGATACTGCAAATCCTGATTTTTGTAATGATTCACAAATTTGTTCAACATTAACTATAGTATTTAATAAAGTAATTAATGATGACCAAATTGATTGATTAATACCACCTAAAACACCACCAATGATATCTCCAAATAAACTTCTTTTAAGTAAAACACCATTATTATATAAAGTAACAAGTATTGTCCATAAATTTGGTACTAAACTATAATTAATAAAAAATCTCATAACAATATCAACAGCTAAATTTGAATTATCAGCTGCTGATAATAAAGTTTTGAGGGTGGTTGTTTTAATATAATTTTCAATAATTTGAATAGATGCACCTTGAGAACCTGGATCAGTAACTAAAGTATGTACAATTGGAACACCAGTACCTGAATTATTTAAAGCAGTAAATGCAGCTGTTAATAAGACATTATCTCTTTTTGATAAAATTAAAGCATCTCTTTTTGAAGTGGAATTAACTGGTTGACCATTAGCTGCTGCAACTAATTGTTTTAAATATTGATCAACTTCTTCTAAAGTTTGTTGTGATGGTTCATTTGCTCTTTTTAAAATGGCATCAATATTATATTCTAAATCTAATGATTGAGCTAATGTAAAACTGAAAAAAACGAAGGACAATAAAGCAAGAACTTTCATTTTTGGAGTTAAAGTTAAAGTTAGAGTTGAATTAAAAAAAACAAGAATACAAGGACAGATGATGATTTATATAAAATAAAAAATTTATTAATTAGACATGTTAAACTTTTTTAGTCTAATTTCATGTGGTGCTAGTGAAAAATTTCTACACAACCTTGTCCCAATATAGGAATTATAATTAACCAATTTACTTGAAATTTATAAACATCATCAATTATAATTTAAAAATTTTAACGTATTTAACGAAAAAATTGAACATAAATCCTGCATTTAAGAGATTCGTAAATTTTCATTTACCCAAAGAGGAAATTTTTTTTATATGACGAGCCTCACGCACTACCAATTTCAGATCCAATTTAGTTTCAGATTTGAAATTCTCATAGCTTTAATTTTGAAAATCTCCACTTTGAACAATAAGTAACTCGAAAATCTTACAGAACAATTAAAAACTGCTCTTATATTTCATACGTTAGAACATAAACGCCACTATCGCATTTATTACGAGCAGCAACAATTTGGTCGGTGGGAAAAGAAATTAGAGGCTAGAGGTAGGGCTGAAAGATGCTCTAAAATAATCTATATTTATATCTATATTTAATCTTGTTCATCATCTTCATTCAATATAAATGATAAACCAAAAACAAATAAACCTTCGCCAGCTAATAACCACCAACTTAGACCTCCTGTTCCACTTAAATCAAATTTTGACATAACCCAACCCCAAATTAATGGAGCAATAAATCTTGATAATGCAGTTATTGAAATTGTATATCCATTTATTAAAGCTCTTTGCTTTCTAGGAGATGCTCGATGAATCAATAAAACCATTTGAGAGTTATTTATTGATCCAAAAAATGATAAAAATCCAGCATTTAAATATAATAATGTTGTTGTTAATGTATGAGAATATGAATGAGTATATTCTGGAATTGTAAATAAATTCAATGGTATAACAAAAAACAAAATTGGTATAATCATTAATCCAATTCTAAAAGCTGTTAATATTGTAAAATATTTATTAATAATGGGGAATAATAAACTAACTGCAATTACTCCAATTAATCCAGTTATTGATAATAATTTACCAGTTGAATCAGTACTATACCCAAACCCACCTTTCATATGAAATGGAATTTTTAAAGATTCTGGTCTTATAGTTTTAGCTAAAAAAATTGGGAAAAACTCAGTATAAATGATATTTGAAAAAGAAATGAAAAAATTACAACTTATTCTATGAATTATTGGCCATGTAAAAATATTTGGTTCTTCTTCAATTTTTATAGGAACATATTCATTTGAAGAAATCAGTTGCATTTCATATTCACTATCTTCATAGTCAATTGAGTTTTCATCAATTAATGTTTCAAAACTTTCCCCCTTTTTCATTTGCCATGGTCGATCAGGTACTTCAAAACCAAGTAATTTCCTTATTTTATCACCAATTTCTAATCCTCGATCTCTTTTATTTTTTAATTCATCATGAGTTTCTTCAAGAAATAACCAACCAATAATACAAAAATTTAGAATTAATAAAGCAATAACTATATTTGTATATGCAAATGGAAATTTAATAAAAATTGAGTCCTCCTGTGGTTGTTCATCACGTTTATATTCTCTAAAATGATCAACATCTGTTAAATGACCAGCAAGATAAGCTCCAATACATTTCCCCAACCCCCAAATTAAACTTAAATTAGAAAAAGCTATACCTTGATGTCTTTTTTCAACTGCTATTTCCCCCACAGTAGTTCTCATTATTGGTACATTACCATTTAATAAACCCATTAAAATTCTTGAAATAAAAGCTAATGTAAAATTCTTACTGAATCCAAATAATATCATTGAAAAAGCTGTACCCATACAACCAAATAAAATCGAGGGTTTTCTACCAAATTTATCAGATGCTATTCCCCATGGTACAGAACTAAAAAATTGACTTAATGAAAAAGCTGAAGCTAAATATCCAGAATATCTTGAAACTTCTGCATCATTTTTTGTTATTCGAAAACTTTTAATCATAAAAAATATATAACTTAAAAAACTTGAAAATGCTATTGGTTCTGATAATCTTAATAACATTATTATAATCATTTGAAATACTGGAAATCCTCGTAATTGTTCCAATACAGTTGGATTATTATTACTCATTTTATAGTAGGCATTGATTCATTGAAGTGAGGGTGAAAGAGTGAATGGGAATAGAGAGAAAAGAAAAAAGAGCATCAATAGGATTTGAATCCCTGATCTGTTTTGTTAGATCAAAATATGAGTAAATGGCATCAAAAGTAGCAAAAGAATAAAAAGATTTGTCATAAATCTAAAACAATAGATAAAACAATTTTGTTGCTTATATACAAGAATTTGGCTGCGGAATTTACGTTCCGATTTGGTTATAATTCCGATCATGCAATCAATTTAAATAGATAAGTAGAGGTACATATTTTAAATCCGTTGAATCAAAAGAGAATCTAAAGCTTTATTTCCTATATATTTATTCATAATCTGCTCTCCATTTATCATATAACAATATTGTCCTCAACAACACTTGAAATCCATTTTCAACATCTTCTGGACTTGAATATTCTTCAGGTGTATGAGATAATCCATCTTTTGAAGGTATAAAAATCATTGATGTTGGAACTTGTTTACTTGTATAACAAGAATCATGACCTGCACCACTTGTAATTTCTTTAATCTCGCTAGAATCAAATAATGATAATGCAGCTTTTTTAACTGTTTTAATATTATTTTCATTAAATTTAATAGCTTTTGAAGTTGTTAAATTTTGAAAATCAACAGATAATGGTTTTGAAAATTTTGATTCTATTCCCTTTTCACCTAACTCATTAGCTTTTGATTTAATTTCATACATTATTGCATCTAATTTTTCATCTTCAATATGTCTTACATCTAATGAAAATTTAACAATATTTGGTATAACATTTACTGACAGTGGTTCTAAACTGAGGGTTCCAACAGTTGCTAAACCACCATATTTTTCAGCAGTTTCGATAGCCATAATTATAATTTTTGAAGCACATAACATAGCATCAGATCTTGTATTCATTGGTGTTGTACCTGCGTGAGAAGCTCTTCCTGTAACAGTTACTAAATTCCATTCAAAAGCTTGAGCTCCAATAACTATACCAATTTTTTTATTTTCATTTTCCAAAATTGGTCCTTGTTCAATATGAATTTCAAAATGACAAGCTAGAGGATTTTCCTTGAACGAAGCTTTGGTGTCACCATTATATCCAATTCTTTTTAATTCATCACCAAATTTTTTAGGTTTTTCATCATCAATTGATTCTAAATTTAAACAAGTATCCAAGGAAATTTTTTCTGCCCATACTCCTGAAGCAACCATACTTATAGGGAATCTAGCTCCTTCTTCATTTGTCCAATTTATAACTGCTATGGGAAAATTAGGTACATATTCATTATCTTTTAAAGTTCTTATAATTTCAACAGCACTTAAAACTCCTAAAATTCCATCATATCTACCTCCACTAGGTTGAGTATCTAAATGTGATCCAACACCAGTTGGCTTAACGTTATTATTTTTTCCAGGATATATTGCAAAAATATTTCCAACTTGATCTATTTTAATTGAACAACCTAGTGATTTCATTTCTTCAACAAACCAATCACGTACTGATTTATCTAAATCAGATAATGCTAATCTACAAACTCCAGTTTGAGTTGATTCTGGTCCCCATATTCCTTTTGCTCCCCATTTAGCTGTATCATGAATTGTTTGTATTAATCTACCTTTGGTAGTTTTTATAAAATTAAAATCTATATCTGCAGTCATTTTGAATTAGTTGATGAATCTGTAACAAGATGAGTCAACGGGAAGTTCATTCAATTTATACTAATTTCATTGTTGACAAATTTCATAACTGTGTTCTTATCATATAATATTTTTATTATTTAGATCTAAAAATTTCTTTATCTCGTATTAAGCGATCTTGAAAATTGTGAAAACTTCATTCCATTTTAAGTAGTAACCGCTAAACAATAAAAGGAATTATAATTACCTTTAAAATTACGGAGTAATATTATGCATATGGGGAGACATACTTTTAACTGAAACATAATATAAATGAAGCAACTAGTCTAATGGAATTTCAATCCGATTGATTTGGGATATATATTCTACCAACAAGTATCAGATTCTTACTCCTCCACTACTAGCTAATCACACAATTGTTATGTCACCAACACAAATAGATCAATCTCATTCCACATCAAAAGGTTATGAATATGGAGAAAGAGGATCACATCATATTTCATTAGGTGGGGCTCATCCTTTCAAACCACCTACCTTCACAAATAAAAAAGATGAAAGAAAACATATGCTAGAACATCTTGCAGCAGTTTTCAGAATATTTGGTCGTAAAGGATTTGATGAAGGTGAAGCAGGTCATTGTTCAATAAAAGATCCTTTAGATCCAACAACTTTTTGGATAAATCCCTTGGGAATTCATTTTAGTTTAATTTCTGTAAAAGATTTAGTTCATTTAAATCATAATGGAGAAATTTTATCAGATGGTAATCAATCTCCAATAAATACTGCTGGATTTGGTATTCATTCTGCAATTCATATGGCAAGACCAGATATAAATGCTGTTTGTCATGCTCATTCAATTCATGGAAAGGCATATTCAGCATTTGGTAAACCCCTTGAAATGATTAATCAAGATTCTTGTATTTTTTATAAAAATCAAGGTATATATGAAACTTTTGGAGGTGTTGCATTAGATAAAAATGAAGGTATTGAAATAGCAGAAGCTGCTGGTCCAATTGTAAAAGCAATGATTTTAACTAATCATGGTTTATTAACTATGGGTAAAACTATAGATGAAGCAGCTTATTTATTTTGTTTAATGGAAAAAACTTGTCAAATTCAATTAATTGTTGATTCAATTGATCCAAAAATTAAACAAAAAAAAATTATACCCGATGAAGAAGCTGATTATACTGCTTTTGTAACTAATGATTCTGATACTATGTATGCTTCTTTTCAACCTGAATATAATTTACAATTGAAATTAGATAAAGGAGATTTTTTAAATTGAATAATGATAATGTATAGCTTTTTAGCAATATTTAAGAAAGTTAAGGTAAATTTTGGAGCGAGTAACTGAACCCCTACTAAACAATTCTAGATAAGACTTTTCGATGGGGAGTGCCAAACTTTACAAAAAATTTGTGGATTTGACTTTAATTCAAGAAAACTGTTTTGCGAACTGTTTAATAGTCCTCTTGAGCCGAAGGCAATTGTTCAAAAAGCCTAATTTTGTACAGCCTACAGCCATAAGCTATCAGCCAAACAAAGCAAAATTGTCTCTAGAATCATTTGCTGGTTATTACATCATTAATAGAACTTGTGGAATGTATAAACATATATTTTTTGCAACTAAGCTGGTTTCAGATACCAATTAAGATTTCAATTTGGTAGCAACATTTATTTTCTGCAAGCTTAATTAAATTCCATACTACTTGAAAAATTTCATTAAAATTTTGGGGGGTAGAATTTCAATTGGTTCTTCCATGTTTCAAAAGTTTCTAAAAATAATGGGACCTTATTCGAGGATCTACACACATTTGAAAATCCACGGTCTCCTTCCTCTTGAACTATGACTTATACTTTATTCTAGAACGTCTGGATAAATTAAATATAATATTTTATTATATTAAAATGTCTCATATCGAATGTTTTTTGTGTTATAACATTGATCGTAAAGCATATTATCTAAAACACAAAAGAATGTAACAATAGAGGAAGGTAAACTTGTTAATAGAACAAGTGCTTTCTGCTATTCTCGGAAAATCACCAGTTCTGTTTTCTAATGTCAGTTTTATGAATGAAAGGTAAGAAGAAGAATCATAAACCCAGGGCAGAATTAAATTGCTAATTTGACATGGTAGAGATTTAATCTTTGATTATGAAATTGATTTACTTTGATTAGGTTTTAACCAATGATAAAAATAATTTATTATAATTTGATTGTAGTACTTGTGGTAGTTCTAATTTCAATCTTGAAATTTCATCTTTAATTCATCAAAGGTTGAGCTTCGGTCGAACCCTCTAAAGTTGTACTCTTGTCTATTAGTAACTGCTCTTATATAATTCCAATAATCTAAAAGCTAGCTAGGTTAAAACCACAATATAAAACCTCGTAGTATAATGGAATAATGATGATAAAATAGTTCACAAAACTTTGTATGTAGAATAATAAAAATAGAAAAAGAGAGAGCCCCTTATTTTTCCGGATATTAAAAAATTATTAAGAATATTATTTTCAACAAAAGAATATAACCAACCATCTTTTTCTTTTTCTTTTCAAAGCATCATTAAACATTTATTCAGATACCATTTACTCGAGAATTCAATTAAATAAAGTCCTTTATCATCCACTCACAACAATTCAGTAACACCATTCACAACAGTCATTCGCTTATAAACTTTTAACAAAGATACCCTTTGAAACAATTCATTACAATCGCTAATTAACAATTAAAACTTATATCAATTAATCAAACAATATTTCACTTTACCATTACGTTCGCTTATACCTTATCATATAAAAAATGAATTTTGACTTTCTATCTCAAACAATTCCCGAGCAATCACCAAATATAAATCATCAAAATTCTTTTTCTTCAAATATCCAAAATTCAAATGATGAAGAATTAAATCAATTAATACTGCCTAATCCAAATAACTTAGACAATTTACAATCAACAAATAGTCTTTCAACATTTGATTTTCAAGATTATTTACATTCTGCAAATAGTACTATGGATAATATTGATTTAAAATTAGATGAATCTTTCCCACCATTACCACCATATTTACAAACTCCAAAAGCATCTGCAAGTCCAACTTTTTTAAATCAACAACCTTTAGGTGGATCTAATTTTTCAAATCAATCTACTCCAGCTATAAAATCAAATGGTCATTTTACAACTATTTTACAAAATAATAATGAATCACAACATAATATAAATAAAATTTTTTCACCAATAAATACAACTTATTCAAATAACATACCTGAAAATAATAATAATGATAATTCAATTAATACTCCAAATTCTGTTTTGGGGTTAAATAATTCATCACAACAATTTACTCCACCAAATACTAATAATAATATATCACAAATATCATCAACAAGAACATCAATAGCAGAAAATCCAAGTCCAACTATTGGATTAGGATTAAATACAAATCAACCATTAACTCAATTTGAACAAATGATTAATCAACAATCATTATTAACTACTCCAACTCAACAAAGATTTTATAATCATAATCAAAATTCAAATAAAACTTCACCATTTGCACAATATCAATTAGCTAGCCCTAATCAAATTCAAGATATTCATCAAGAACAATCACAGTCACAACAATTACCTTTTAATTTAAATACACATAAAGCTCAATCTGAACTGAACTTACATTTGCAAAAATTGTGGCAACAACATATTGAAAATTCTTTTCAATTTGAAGATTCAATTGAATCATTAAATCAAATACTGGTTGAGAATATAAATACAGGTATTAAGCAAGAACTGAAAATTTTAAAATTGGATCTCAAACCAAGTGATGAACAACAATCAATAAATGATTCTCCAACAACAATAGAAATAGCAAGTCCTCAATCATCAGATAATGAGACTTCAGATAATAATGGCTATAATTATAGTCATAATATCACTGCTGAAGAATTGTTAAATGATGATTTTTTTGAGGATTTAAATCAAAATAATTCATTAAATAAATTTGATAATTCAATCAACAATGATTCAAAATCTGAACAAATTAGAATAGAAAATGATTCTAATACAATTAAAATTGAACCTCAATCTCCAAAAATGCCACCTATTTTTAAAAATGAACCATCAAAAACTATATCACAAAAACTAACCTCTACAACAATCATACCAAGGAGGAAAAAAAATTCAATATCTGGTCCCGTCTCTTCAAATTCATCAAAATCAAATAAAAAAGTTCTTAAAAAATCATCATCATTCAATGGAACATCAGCATTATTCAATAATTCTAAATTACAATGGACTAAAAATCAAACAACAACAACATCAACATCAACATCATCAATATCTCCAACAACTACTACATTCAAAAATTCAAAATCTTTATCATCATCATCATCAACAACAAAAAAGCCAGTATCTGGTAATAATAGTCACATAGATCTTATAAATTCAATGCCAGTAATAACTTTAAAAAATCATTATTCTTTTATTTATGAAAATGTTGATACAATTTATCAACAAGATTCAGAACTAAATTCAAAAAAACCTACTGAGACTAACTCATCAATTAATTCAACTAATTTATCAAGCACCATTCCTTCAAATAATCAAATTAAAAAACAAAGTACTTCAAAGAATAAAAATTTAAAATCTGGATTAATTGAATTTCAAATTGATTTAAAAAATTAATGCACATCAACTACGTAATTCTAGTTTTTACATTTTCATTCATGGGTTTTGTTTATCATCATTAAATCTTTGCATTTCGTTTTCATTTCATTTATATTTAATTCTATTTTAATTAGTTTTATTTAATTGTTTAATTAATATTTAATAATTATTTTTGAGTATTATAGTAACCTACAGTATAGTTTGATAGTTTAATTTGTGTATTTTGAAGAAATATATAGGAATTAACGCTCACTTACTCTTACTTTCTCTCCAAACTACTGAATATTTTAGATCGGACTTATAAAAATATTTAAGTAAGTACGCGGAAAAAAAGTAAACAAAACAATTATCAACTCTTTTGAATCTAAGTAAACCACGACCAATACAAACATAATAACACAATCCCTTCTACACCACATAGAATCACACTTCTTTCTACATCAAATAATACCATAAACCGTTTTACACCACATATACCACAAACCACACCTACAATGTCTTCATCAAAATCAACAGATTCTACAGCTCAAGCACTACTAATTGAACATTTTGGTTTTGCACCATTAAAATTAATAGATGAAGTTATAAATGCAATAAATCAAATAACAGGAAAAGGTATAGAAGCATTAGAAGAATATTTATTAAATCTAAAAAGTAAAAACAAACTTATAGATGTTGGTGGAGATGATAAATTAATAACTGATGAAATATTTACTGGATCAGCAAAATTAGAATCATTATTACAATTTAAAATTGATATATTTTTTGATAAATTTGAATTATATTCTTTGCTGAATATATTTCATATACCACAAGATTTAATTGATGATGGATTAATAACTTTAAAACATCAACCAAAAGTAGTGGGTGATGAAAGATCTCTAAGAACTCAAAAAAATGATTATGATTATCAAATTTTTAAAATTTATGAATTAATTGAAAAAGAATTGATAAAACGAAAATTATATATTTTACAAATTTTAAAATGTGAAAAAATTTTAAATAATTTGAAATTTATGAAAAATCAACTACAGCAGATTAATGAAATTAGAGATAATAATAGTGATGATAAGAATGTAAAAAATATTATTCGAAATTTAAAACCAATTGATGAAACTTTAGAATTTTTTTATAATCAATTAAATTTAATTATTTTACAAATTGAAAAATTAAATAATAAATTAGATAAACCAAATTCAAGTCATAGTGAAAGTAGTAGAAGTGGTAATTCTCATTCAAGTAGTGGTAGCAATGGAAGTAATGATAAATTAATAGATTCAAGAAATCAATTTATTGAATTAAGAATGAAAAAAATTATGAATGATTTAAAATTAAATATACCTACTCCACCTCCTTCACCAAATAAAGAAAAATTGGAGAATGGAAAACAAGAACTAAAAGATCAAAAAATTGAAAATAATTTGAATAATGATGATGAAAATAATGAGATAGATATAGAAGATGCTGATATAATTGATGATGTACCAGATTCAGAAGTTATGAAACAAATTGTTGCTAAAATTGATGAATGATCATATATGTAAGACCTTTAATGAATTTACGACCCTTTTATACAATGAATCATTACCTATTTTGCCTCTATTTTTGATCTTCTTACCTAACGTTTTGGTGATCAAATCTTATCAGCTTGATCGATATGAAAATCAAAACATCTAAGTTGGTAGCATCTAATTATCGGAATTTTTATTTTTCGAATAAAGAAGCGAATTAATGTTTTGAAATAAATAAGAACATCACTTTAACAGATCATTTTTACAACACATTTCGACACCTTAAAATCAACACAAACTACATAGAACCATATTCTTGAACATAAAAAATTCAAACACAAGCTCAACAATCTCAATTTCATCCAAAAACAGAAAAAGCATACAAATCAAATACAAGTCTATCACACAATGAAAGAAACAAGAGAATCACGAAAAAGAGATAAAGAAGAATTATTAGGATTTTCAACATCAAAAAATCGTCCTAGAAATATAAATAATTTACATGAATTATTACCTGGATTAAATGATATAAGTGATGCATTTGAAGCATTACCATTAGATATTATAAAATATTTTACATTATTAAAAGAAATTGATGCTAAATGTATAAATACAATACCACAAATTAATCTTAGAATTAAAAATTATATTGATAATTTACATTCAAAAAATAATGAATCACTTAAACAAAAACAAAATCAAGATCATCAACAATTAAATATTATAAAAAATAAAATAAATGAAATTATACCCTGTTTAGAAGAGAAAATGCATGTTACTTCAGTTGCAACAGATTTACTAAATAAACATATGTATAGAATAAATCAAGATTATAAATTAATTATACAAAATAATGAAATTCCAGAAAATATAAGAATTGGTCCATTAATTCATCCTGCAATGATATTAGATACAAATAATTCAAATAATTCAAATATAAATAATGGAAATAATAATAATAATAACAGTAATAATATAAATAATTCAATAAATTCTCAAAGAAGTGAAAGTAGAAGAGAAGCATTAGCTGCAAGAAAATCAAATAAAGATGATGATAAAGATAGTGGAACAGGAGGAACTCCATCTACATCGAATGCAGGTAGGAAAAAGAAAAATAAAGAACAAACTCCTTTAGAAAATAATACTTCTACCAATACCACCTCCAACAATAATCCGAAATCTTTAAACAATGATCCTAAAAAGAGAAGAAATAATGCAAATGATGAAAAATCAAATAAAAAGAAAAAGAAAAATGAAAACAACAATAATGATGATGATGAATTAAATAATTATGATAATTCAAATATGACAAATAATTCAATAAATTCAAATTCATTAACATCATCATCAAATCAATCAATTCAACAACAAACCAAAAATAAAAATTTATCAATTGATGGAGGAAACAACTCAAAATCAATCAAAAATGAACCAACTTATTGTTATTGTAATCAAGTATCATTTGGAGAAATGGTAGGATGTGATGGTGATGATTGTAAAAGAGAATGGTTTCATTTACCTTGTATTGGATTTAAAAATCCTCCAAAAGGTAAATGGTATTGTGATGATTGTATTATAAAAATTAAAAAAAATAAAAAATATTAATTCTTAGGTAAGAGATTGTATACTCAATATAAGATGATGATGATGTAAACTACTTTTCTTGATGTTGGTTTAAGGTTTAAAGTTTAAATTTATTTTTTGATGAGATTAGCTTTGTACTTTCACTTCCCGTAACTACCCTGAACCCCATATGACGAGCTAAGAGATACTAATTCCGGACGTAAGAACGATTTCGCAGCATACCTAAGAAAATTTCTCATAAGCGTCAAGCTCGTCTATAACAGCTATTTCGTCGGTCTCAAGTGTCCAAAATTCTCCTTCTAGTTAAAAGTTTCATTCAAACTTAATCCCAGCCCAAAACGGTGATAAAAGTTGATGTTAATACAATTTGCAGGGGTAGAACATGCATGAGGATGGAAAAAGTAAGATTCAAAAAAATTGGATTGTGAAGTTTTATGACAATTAAGAGTCTTTATTGAAATAGTTTGAGAATAGTTGGTTTTTTTTGATTCGGCCTTTGGCTTATGAGGATATCAAATTCAACAAATGTCACATTAGACTAAGTAGTAATGTTTAAGTAATCTTCCGGGGTATAGATGATTCAATTTTATGTCATATGATTAAATCAAAAGTTTAAATTAATTATCATAAGACAATCAAACGTTGGCTATTTTAGTTTTTTCAACGGTGATGGAATTGATGTAATTTTAATACGATATGTATGGTAGCACTGAGGCGATCTTCGTATCGAAAAATATGAAAAAAAGGGTTCGGTTTGGCGAAATTGATTGCCCGAAAAAAAAAAAAAAAAATAGGGAATGGCTTTACATTTCTAAATAATATGAGTACTGATATATGGAAAAAGGCGGTGTTCTTTTACGTAGAAATGTTAATCAAAATGATTTCATCCAATTAAGTTTACGTCATATCGTAATTTCATTTACATACGCCGTAAGGAAAATATTATGGATGTACAATCTGTGGTACTAGATTTTTAATAGATATGTGTTCTACTTTAGCAAAGTAAACTGTTCCATATATTATCTTCTTCTATTAGACTTCTAGTTGTTCTATTTCATATATTTCATATTTCCTATGGAACTTACTAAAAGAAGTAAATTAATTCCATTTTGATTTATGTTACACAAAACTACTTTTTCAATTGAATAAAAAAATAAATAGTAAAATAATAAACAACAATTTTAAATTTTAAAAGTTTTCCCATTTTAAAATTAACTTTTATCATCCTTAATTGACCTAGGTAGTACATTCAATTGATTTCATCCTACTCTAGTTATTCAAAAAGAGTATCAATTGATTAAACAAACTGAAAAAGAAAGAAAATTCAGAGCCAATAATCGACACTTTTGATAAACTTAATTGAAATATCGTCAAATTCAAATTATACAATCGTTTAGAAGCAATTTAAACAGATATAAGCAACATCTAGTTCAAAATCTATATCCAATCACATAATATAATTCCAAATGTTAAGAGAATATAAATTAGTAGTTGTTGGAGGTGGTGGTGTTGGAAAATCAGCATTAACAATTCAATTAATTCAATCACATTTTGTTGATGAATATGATCCAACTATAGAAGATAGTTATAGAAAACAATGTACAATAAATGATGAACAAGTATTATTAGATATTTTAGATACTGCAGGACAAGAAGAATATTCAGCAATGAGAGAACAATATATGAGAACAGGAGAAGGATTTTTATTAGTTTATTCAATAAATTCAAGAAATTCATTAGAAGAATTACAATCATTTTATGAACAAATTCAAAGAGTTAAAGATAGTGAAAATGTTCCTGTATTAGTTGTTGGAAATAAATGTGATTTAGAAATGGAAAGACAAGTTAGTTATGAAGAAGGTCAAGCGTTAGCAAATAGTTTTGGTTGTCCATTTTTAGAAACTTCTGCAAAAATGAGAATTAATGTTGAAGAAGCATTTTTTGATTTAGTTAAACATATAAATTATACTGAATATTTATTAAAAAGAAGAGACGAAAAAGATGGTATAATAGATTCAAATGAAGCAAATAATAATAATAATCAACAACAAAATGGTATAGCGGATTCAAAACAACAACTGCAACAACAACAAATAACGAATGGGGGAGTAACGTCAGGAGCTAATACATCACAAAGTAACAAACAACAATCGAGTAAAACAAATGGAACTAAACCATCATCAACTAGAAATAATCAATCACAATCTGCAGCTGCAGAAAAATCAAAATCTGGATGTTGTGTAATAGTCTAATTGAGGAAAGGGACCATTTTAAAAACAAGGGAAAAGACAATTGCATTCTAATTTTTCATTTTAAACTATCATTTATTCATGTAATATTATTTAATATTCCTATTCAAGTTAAAAAAGTAAACTTCAAACGAGCAAAATTTGATTACTCATACTATCTAGTCATTAATCATGATATAACCCCATTTTTTTAACAAAAATCATCAAGGGGCATACGAAGTCGATGAATTGTGATATAAACCGACTCAAACTTCAAAAATAAATACAAAAAAAAAGTTTACGAATATTTAATTTCATTTATAGTTTTTAATTTTTAACAATCAAGTTTATTTACAACGATTCAAAACATGGAGAAAACTCTATAATATTCTTTTGTATTCATTACTAGAAATTATACACTTTTCCTAATTTATAAAATGAATAACAATAAAATGTAATATTAAACTTGCAAATATAAAATCTCCAAAAGATCTTTCAGGTGAAATATTTTTAAATATTCTTTTACTGGTCTTTGTTTCATCTTCTTCAATATCAATTATATTAATATCTTTATTAGATAAATCAACAACCACCTCCTCTTCCTCTTCTGTTCCATCTTCTTCAACAGTGTCATTAATTTGTAATCTTAAACTAACTAATAATACAAATTGTCCAACACATATAGAAAATCCTCCTAAAAATGCATTAAATGGAAAATTTCCAACCAACAATACATAAATAAATTGTAATATACCTAAAATTACTAAAAATAATAAGAATAAATCAATTAATTTTAATTTAGGGGTTAAATTTTCAAAATAATTGTTGTATGTTGTTTTTAATGCTGTTTGTAATTCTTTAAATGTTGATATTATTGGTTTTGTTGTTGTAATTGGTGATTTAATAGTTGATTTTTCAGACGTGGTTGGATCTGTTGTTGAGGTTTTTGATTTGCTTTTGGATTGTGCTTGTGCTTGTGCTTGTTGGGCTTTCTTTATTGCTGTGTTTTTATTTGCCATTATTCTAGGTTTCTGTGTCAATTGAATGATTGAGAATTGGTTGTAAAATGAATTGAATAATTTGGAATATTGGTGAAATAAATCAATTAACAAATTGTTGTCTTTTTTTTCAATTACAAATTGTGTGTCGTGAAGTTTTGATAGAGTTGTGACAATCAATTTCAAACCGGAAGTATGAAATCATGGCAATTCTGTACAATTCAGTTTGAAAATGATTATTGAAGACATAAGAAGCAAGCTGGTAATAAACGCTGCTCACCTGCTGCTAATGTTCTTTGCTGGTTAAAAAGTGATGGAAAGGTGACAAAACTCGGATTTTTGTACATCCTGATAACTTCGAGACCAATTGTATCAGCACTAGAAGAGTAGTTTACTCTTTATGCTTTGGATTTTGCTCTTTCCAACAGCATTGGGCAAAAGTAACTGACAACGAAATTAAATAAAGCCCAAATTGTAGTTGTAAATTGTAGTTGTTTAAAATTGATTTATGTCAGATTATAAGTTGGTTTCGGATCGTACAAATTATAATCTCACTGAAACTTAAATCTTTTTTTTTTTTTGCATTTATTTTATTCTAAATTATGGGTTTTACCATCATAAATTATATCATTGAACCATCCACTTACAAGTGTTTCATTACATTTCGAGACTAGAAATTAGACTGATAATATAATGAATGGAGGATCTCAGCTAAATTTAAAAGATCAGTTGAATTCAAATAATGAAAAAGATGATCAATTTCGACAATCTAATCCACAATCAATAGAAACTCAGTCAAATCAAGAACAATTAGATCCAATACAACCAAGTCCAAGCCTATCTTCACAATTAACTGAAAATCAACAACAAATTATTCAAAATCAACAAAATGAAAGATCTCAATATACTCAAAATCAAAATATAAATCTTCGAAAAATTTCACAACCTCCAATATTAAGAATAATACCACCATTAAATTTTTGTCCAGTTGAAAAACAATTATATAGATCAGGTCAACCATCAATGATAAATCAATCATTTTTAAATCAATTAAATTTAAAAACTATAATATGGTTAGCATCAGAAGAACCAAATGATGAATTTTTAGATTATTGTAATGATTTAAAAATTAATATTGAATATGTTGGAATGTTAAATGAATTTGAATTTAATCAATCATCAAATAATCAATCTTCTTCAATGATTCCTCAAATTAATCCATGGGATTCATTAAATGAATCAACAATAAGAAAATCTTTAGAATTAATATTAAATAAAAAAAATTATCCAATGCTTGTGTGTTGTGGTATGGGTAGACATAGAACTGGTACTGTAATTGGATGTTTAAGAAGATTACAAGGTTGGAATTTAGCTAGTGTAAGTGAAGAATATAGAAGATTTACTGGTGCAAGAGGTGGTAGAATTTTAGTTGAATTATTAATTGAAGGATTTGATATTCTGAGTGTTAAAATTGATCCAAATTTAGCCCCAGATTGGTTAAAAACTAGATAGATGAAGAAGAATGTGGGTAAAACAAATATAGAGTTTGATTAGCTGATTGATCAATCGAACAATTTTGAAGAGTTAAATTAGGAGTTTTCCGAAATAGCTCAACCTTAACTGAAATAGCTCAACTGTAAATGGCAATGGTCCACTATCGGTATCAAATAAATAAAGCATAGTCCTGAGCAAGCACATTCTACTATGGATAAGTCAGACAAGAGTTTGGGCTTTATAGATAGACTCGGATCGATAAATAATGAATAGCATTCACTGAAATATCCATTTCATAATTAAGAGTGTATAATGTATTTAATAGAAGAAACCGGAGTTCTGGTTATGACTCGGAAAAAGACAGCTACAGAACCGTTTATTGAAATCTTAGTATGGAGGATCTTTTTTTTGGGTTGTCGTTGAATGAATAGTAGCATCCCATAAACACTTCATTTATACATTCAACTTAGAGTATTTTATCTTGAGTTTAGATTGAATATTAAGATGCAAAATATATCTGGTCAAAAATTTTTACACGATTTTTCTTGATGAATCTACACGTTATGAACGAACTCTAGCCTGGGCAGAGTCTGGATTGTTCTTGACCAATTCATGTTCTGTCTAGTATGAAATTTTTAGCATATGATACTTTAAACAACTTGATTTGTTAATTTGTATCGGAGTTATTATCGTATTAGTATTAGGTAATCATTGTTAATGCTATTACGTAATACATTTGTTAAATACTTACCTTTATCTTATCGGAATACTTTTTAACTCCAGTAATACAAACTTGATTATAAATGAGTAAATGAGAGTATGAATGGTCGTTGAAAAGTCAAGCTTACTCATCCTAGGGTCGATTCATCTAGCATGGTTTTAGGAATTTAATAGTGAAGCATGCAACTGTTCACAATTAGATTGTGGTTAGTGAATATGGTTCCTATTAACCATAAATCAACAGCCTTAGTTTACTCCCCTCCTTCTCTCTCATATTGTATCTAAAAAATTCAACAAATTTTATCGTTCATTCGGATAAACAATTCAAAATTCAATTAATTTTAAACAACCCTAAGGCTAAAATTTCAACCCGAACTATTGGCCGTTTTGATTGCTAGTTTTTTGGGTTACTCTGGCTTAAAAGAACATTGGTTAATTTGTTAAGTCTCATATTCTATGGTGGCAAATACAAAATTATTTAAACTCCTAATACGTAATTGTAATTTTATTAGTTACTATTGTTTAACAATGTAGCTTAAGTATATAAATTTTCTCTTTATCTTATCTCTCTCTAATATTCTAATCTCTCTCTCCCTTAAAAAAAATTATCTTTACTTACTTTCTTTTTCTTCTATATTCTATTACTAACTTTATATCCTACCAATCAATTGAGTATTATCATCAATCAAATCAATCAATCAATCACTTAAGAACAATTCATTTAGTTTAGAATTGGTGTGTCTTTAATCATTCTATTTTATTAATACAAGATTTGTTTAAATAATCTCCTTTAAAAAAAACGGTGTGACTTTTTTTTAACGTTTGTATTAAATCAACTTTTATTTTAGATCAATTAAACATACCTAGTTTAAAGAACGATCTGTATTATTAGTATTAAGAGAGTCAGATTAAGTTCAATCGATCATTGTTCATAGCTGCTTTGAATCATTCTATCTTTATCAAGCTTACCAAATTTTTTTAAGACTAAGACACAGTTTTCATTAAGGAAAAAAAATTCCCCACACAATTAAATTTTTAAACAAAAGAACAGAACATAATGGCGGGAACTAGTATAACAACGTTAAAATTATTAGGATTAGGTTCATTAGGTTTATTAACTTCATCAATTATATATCAATCAATTCAAAATATTCCTATATTAATAAATCAATTAAATTCAATATATCAATTTAATATTTTTAAATTAAATAATCAATTAACATTAACAAAAAATTATATATTTGGTTCAAGAATTGTAAATATTTTATTAACTGGTTTAAGTACTTTTTTGTTTTCATTAGCTTTTAAATATAGTCCAATTGATGAAAAACATCCTTATTTAATTTATTCTGCTATTGGTGCACCATTAACTTTATTAGGAATTTATTTTAATTCTTGGAATTATGAAGATAAAATTTTATCAAAACCAGATTTAATTACAACTACTGCACCAAAAACTAAATCAAATAGGTCTAATGTAACAAGTACAACTCCATCATCAGTTATATCTGAAGAAGATGCAGCTAATAATCAAGATTTAAATGAATTTGATGAACCAGAAATTATTTCAAAAGTTAATACTGCTGATGATTTAGGAAAATCTTATGTTCATCTTTCTGATGAAAGTGGAATTTCAACTCCAACTTCAACTCAACCACCATCTCCACAAATTAAACATCAATCAGATGAAGAAGAAGATGATGATGAACATAACGTTATTGAAGAAGAGACTAATGAACCAAAAGAAGTTAAACATTCAGATGAAGTAGATTTAGAAATTCAAAATATTTTAATAAAAAAAGAAATTGTTCAAGATTTGGAAAATATTAAATTTGGTTTTAAATTAGGTTCTTATATTTCAAGTTTTAGTTTAAGTATTGCTTTAATTGGTTTAATTGGTGATTTATATTTTGTATAATAACTTTTTTGAAATTGTTTTTAGTTTTTTAAAAATATATAATATATTGTATATTATTGAAATTATTCTTTAGATTTTGTCAATTTAAAATAAGTTGTGTACCACAATGGCTTTCTTCTTGGTTTTGCTTTGTCCATGGGTTGGAATTAACAATTTAGACACTTGGAATCCGTGAAGAACAAGTAAAGTATATAAAGGAACAATCCCAATCCATGGACTTCACAAGAAGAAGAAAACCATTGTGATATTCAGCTTGTTTATGTTGTTTAAAATGAATAAATATGTATTATTGAAAGCATTCTTTAGATTTTGCCAATTAAAAATAAGTTGAATACTACATTGGCTTTCTTGATATTTTGATTATCCCATGGGTTGGAATTAACAATTTGAACACTTGAAAATGGTAATGATGAAGCAAAGTATTCAAAGTGTTAATCCCAATCCATAAGATGATCTACAATCAACAGAAAACCAATATGATTTCAGCTTATTTATGTAGTTTAAAATGATCAAATATGTATTATTGAAAGTATTCTTCAAGATTTTGCCAATTTTGAATAAGCTAAATACCTCATTGGCTTTCTTCTTTTGATTATTCCATGGATTGAAAGTAATACTTTAAAATAGGTGCTTAGTCTAACATTTTTATTTCAAAGTACTAATCCCAATCCATGGAGTCCACAAGAAGAAGAAAACCATTGTGATATTCAGCTTGTTTATGTAGTTTAAAATAATTCTATATTATTGAAAATATTCTTTAGATTTTGTCAATTTAAAATAAGCTAAATACCACATTGGCTTTCTTGAATGTTCGGACTATATCATGGGTTGGAATTAATAATATAGATGCTTGGAATCCGTGAAGAACAAGTAAAGTATTTAAAGTACTAATCCCAATCCATGATTAAGCCAAAATCAATCAGAAAACTAATATGATATTCAGCTTGTTTATGTAGTTTGAAATGATTCTATATGTATTATTGAAAGTACTCTTTAAATTCTGCCAATTTGAAAGAAGCTAAATACCACATTGGCTTTCTTCTAATTTTGCTTTGTTCGTGGATTGAAAATAATACTTTAAAATATTTGCTGAGTCTAACATTTTTATTTTAAAGTACTAATCCTAAACCACGCAGAAGCGGAAGAAAAGAAAATCAATATGATATTCAACTTGTTTATTCAATAATGGAATAATTTTATAAAAGTCAGGACCAGGATTTTGATGACAAATTTCACTAATTAACTCAAAGAACCATTCAAGATAAGTTATAATATTTTTGAAATATACCAACTAACTTGTAATAATAAAATTGAACCAATACAAAAATTTTGAATGTTTTGGTAATTCATAAACGGCTTGAATACCTTTAATATTTCTTATTAACTGATCTTTCAGCATCGGTTCTCGTGTTAGTTAAGTTTCCTGTATTACTATAACTAGCCGTGGACTTTAAAAAACTCATTGATTAGTCAATTGGGTTTCCAAAACTTTACTGACAAAAGCTTCAAAAGGTAGATTCACTTGCAGCTTCAATTTGAATCATCAATTTTTCTGTCAGAATGATAATCATATATGTTAAATCCAATTATTGTATTTCTTTTGATAGTTTGAAAAGTTGTTTTCTAAGGTCTCTGAACATTTTTCGAAATCACCCTTGAAATACTTATCCAGAAATACACTCAGAATCTCAAGGTGATGCTTTCAATAATAAGAATATTGAGTACTCTTGGGTCTACTTGTAACTCTTCCTTTTGATGATGATCCAAGTTAAATTATTGGAAGAACCATACCCCCAGATTTTGATCAGAATCTGAAAAAGTACGTCAAAGGAGATTTCGAAAGAACTTTAACTTGAGACTCCAAGTTTGGAATTACGTTTGTGCTGATGATTTAGATTTTGGGTGCTCTAAGTTATTCGAATACTCTCAATTGAACAAATATAGGAAGCTAAAAATATAGTAAGTAAGCTTAGGTTGGAACCACTTTGAAATACCCACCAATGTTTGTGCTAGTGATTAGGATGATGATTCATTATCAGTTGTTCTTCATTGTTACACATTTATAAAATAATTTTTTAATTGTGTGTATTGACTTCAACTAATAAAATAATTATTACACTAATACACGTCCTATTTTTCTTATCCCTTAAAAATTATCAACAATTAAAAAAAAATCAAAATATAAACAACATCCGTACTAATCGATCGACATCCGTACACAATTACAACCAGATCTTTTTGCAGCCAATTGATAATAGATCTTAAGTTACAATCAACAACCAACATTGAACATATAATTACTTCCAATCATTGATTTAGATTTACATCCGTTATATCCTAATATCGCTCACGCATTCACGTTACAGTTTTTTTGAACAATGAATTATTCGTATAATTATGAATATGGTGAGGATCCAACAGAAAGCGCTCCATCTGCTGGTTTTGCAACTGGTCAACAACATCATAGACGTACAGCTGCGGGTCAAAATGAGTTAGAAGAAGGTTCCAGTCATCAACAACACCACCACCATCGAAAACAAAATCCAAATACTCAACCATTTACTCATCAATATGCTAAACCTAGAAAAGATTTATTTGTTGATTTTGAAAAAAAACCAGTACCATTTTTTATACAACATGATGAACCAAATAGAAGTAAATATCAAAGATTAATTATTAAACATGGTGGTTATTTAGCTGAAGGAGGTGTTGAAAATTTAGTTTATTTATCAAGTAGAGAACATATGGGAGGTTTTATAAGATTAAATTATATTGATGAATGTATAAAACATGGTCATTTATTAAGTACTCAAGATTATATAATTCCTTCATTAACTGAAGATGCTGAACCAATGATTGATGTCTTGGGGTTAGGTCATAATGATAATCAAAATAATTCAAATGGTTTAAATCAATATATTAATGAACAACAACAACAAGTTCATGAACAACATCAACAAGCTCATGAGCAAGCCCAACAGCAACAACAACAAGCTCAAAATCATCAACAACAACAGGAAGAACAAGAGCAATCTCCACCACCAAAATTAGAGCCACCTGAACCAAGACCTTCACCAAAAAGAAGAACAGGAGCTCAAAATAGATTTACACCAGAAAAAGATGAATATATCTTAGAACAAGTTCGTAAAAATCCAAAATTAAGAACATCTCATGAATTTTTTAAAAAATTAGCAACAACAGAAATGTTAAATACTCATACTGGTCCATCAATAAGAAGTCGTTATCGTACATATTTAGAAAAAGATTTAAATTTTGTTTATAAAACAGATGATAGAAATAGATTAATTAAAGATTCAAATGGTGAATTAATTAAAGTTGATTTAGATCAATTACCAGAAACTTTAAGAAATAAATATACACCAGAAGATGATTTAGCATTATGTATTGAATCTGAAAAATGGAGTATTGAAAATGCGGAAAAACAAAATATAAAATTTGATCCATATCCCAAAAAGTCATTACCATATTCATTTTTTAGTCAAATGTATAGAAAATATCCAAGACATACATTAAGTTCATGGAGAGATAGATATAGATATTTTATAAGTGATGGTACAATACCTGAATACAAGAAATATTATGAAGAATGTAAAAAATCAGGTGAAAAACCAAAATGTTTGAAAAGAATTCCTCAACATTTAATTAAATTTAATGAAAATATTGAAGAATTGAAAAAAGATGTTATTTCAAGAGAAAGTAGATCAGCAGATAGAATTGCAAAAGATCAAGAAGAAAATGTAAAACAACAACCACAATCACCACAAAAACAAAAACAACAAACTCCACAAACTGAAAGTAGTATAGATGAAGATATTTTATTTGTTCAAGAAGCTGAAGGTAAAGCTAAACTTGATATTGCAAAAGCTGAAAAACAAGATTTATTGAAAAAGGATCAAGAAATTCAAGAAGAATCTGAATCTGCTTTAGATGAAGAAATTGGTGAATTAAAAAGTTCAAATATTGATGATGCTTTAGGTAAACAAGAACAAGAACAAGAAGAACAAGAAGAACAGGAAGAACAAGAAGAACAGGAAGAACAAGAAGAACAGGAAGAACAAGAACAATACCAAGAAGAACCAGAACAAGAAGCAGGACCAGAAGTAGAACCACAAGAAGAACAACAACAACAAGATGAACATATTACGGAAGATCATATTGAAGTCCCTAAATTAAATATGATTGATCCATTTGAAGATGATGAATATGAAGATGATGCAGGTTTAGATCTTGATGATATTTCATCACCACCAAAAAAGAAAAGAAAAATTGATGAATCAATTGAAGATGAAATTATTGATTCTAGTGGTAAATCTATTGAAGTAGAAGTTGAAATAAATGAACAAAATGTGGAAGAAGAAGAAAATGAAGATGATGATGATGGGCTTAGTAGTGATGATAATGAAGATCAATTTTTCACAGCTCCTAAAAGTGGAACTCAAAATCAAAATTTAGCAAGTAGTTTAGAAAAACAAGATGATGAAATTGAAAATGAACTTGAACAAGAAGAAGTAGAAAAACAAGAAGAAAAATTACAAGATCAAATACCATCTCAAATTCAACCACAAATTCAACTGCAAACTCAACCACCGTCAGATTTAACAACAACTTCATCATCATCAGCACCAATAATATTAAAATATTTAGATCCAAAAACAAAATTAAATGATACAATAAATGCAAAAGCATTTTTTGATTTTGCAGATATGCCAGATCCAAAAGGAATTTTAGATAAACTTTTATTAATTCAAAATTCTGAAGATGGAGAAGATATTAAAACTATTTATGTAATTTTAAATCGTTTAGGTTTGAATGATAATTTTATAAGTCATATAATTTATTCATGTTCTGCAGAAATTGAAACTATGATAAATTATATTATAAATTTTATACAAATTTTACAAGAAGCAGTATTAATTGAAGAACAACAAGAAGAAGAAAATGATATTGAAATTGATTGGGATGAAAAATTTATTGATCCTTATTTACCAAAACTGAATATTTTGGGATTGTGGAATTTACAATTAGATAAAATTTTAAATTCAAAACAAGAAAAAAGATTATTAAAATTTAAAAGTTTTGATGAAATTGAAAATAGAAAAAAATTTATTTTATCTTGTTTAGATGATGTTGATGAAAATAGTAATAATTAATAAGTCGGTTGTTTTCTGCTAAATATTTTGCACTGGTGTATACTATATTTTATAATTCCTCTGGCTTTATATAAGTGAGTTTATTGAATGATTTCAAGTATGATTTTATATCTCTAATAGTACTCATTTAATAATCTACAAAAGATAGTTTTTCTTTTTCAAGATGCAATGACTTTTAATAGATTTATTGTCTGGCTTACCAAACAGGTGAATAAAAACTGGCTGTAAGGGAAGATAGAACTATACATGCGCTCTTTCATCAGCTAACAGATCACCGTTCTGTAATTTATAAAGTAATTTTAAAACAAAAAATAGTATATTATAAACTATAATAAACTATATAAAACTAGAAAAAAAAAACAAAACCATTGATAAAATCCAATATTGAATGAATTATTCAAATCAATTAAATCAAAATTTTAAATTTAAATTTTAATAAAAAAATAATAAAGAAAAGTTAAGTCATACTAGACAAGTAGTATCTCCAACTCTTCTTTGGGTATAAACGCAACAAAATAAAAATATGAAAAGCAAACTGTTGTAGTAGTAAAAAAAAGACTTTTGACAAGTATATTGAGATTATCTTTCTCTCATGAAAAAATCACTAATGATAAATCATTAGTGAATTATTTAATTTGATAAGAATCCCCAATATTTTTCTGCATTATAAGGACCATCAGCTTTCCATAAATCATTAAAAGCAGTAAATAAAATAGCACTTGATCCACAAGTTGATTTAATAGAACTTATAGCATTATTTTGATTTTGTTTTGATGGTATAGCAACACCATTTGAATCACCTCTTGATGGCCAACCAGTTTCAGTAATTAAAACATTTTTTTTACCACCACAAGCAGTCCAAACTCTTTGAATTTGTTGTAATACCCAATCACCAGCTTGATTTGCTTCAATATGACCATCAAAGAAAGCATGAGCATTTACTGCAACATAATCTGAATATGAACATAATGATGGATTATTTATAACTGCAATAAAAGTATCAACTGAAACAACTGGTCCATTATATCCTGCAGATTTTAAAGCTGATTTACCTTCTTGAACATATGATTGAATTTGTGATGGTGAACATTGACCAGAATTAACTAATTCATTACCTATTGAAACAGTATGAATATCATCCCATGAACCATATTGTTTAACAGCATCTGCAATAGTAGAAATACCTTGAGAAATTTGTGAAACATCAAATATACCAGCAAATAATTTTTGATTTGAAGCTTTTGATTTTAAAACTTGAGCAACTTGATCACAATCAACTCCATAAATTCTAATAATATCAAATCCTGATAATTCAGCAATTTCTGAAGCAATTTGACCAGAAGATTTACAACCACCTTGATCTGAATATGGAGTATAAGTTACACCTTTTGCACCACCTGAACCAACATTTGAACCACCAGTTTGTTGAGGAGATTCAGTTGAAGCAGAAGAAGTTGAAGCAACTTCAGTTGGAGCTTCAACAGTAGTTGAAGGAGCATTTTGAGGAGCATCAGTAACAGCACTAACATCACCAACTTCAGTAGCTGATGAAATAGTAACTGGAGATAAAGTAGTAGTAGCATCACCAGCACCTAAAGTTACAACAACAACATTAGTTTTAGTTACAACATGAACTGCTCTTTTTTCATTTTTATGTTGATGATGTTGATGAATAGCTGGAATAGCTAAAGCTTGAGCTAATAAAGCTGATGAAATTAAAGATTTATATAACATTTTTCTAACTGTAATGAATGAATGAAATGTGTTTTTAACGATTGTAGTAATAGTTGGTTTGAGTAAAATATTTTAAAGAAAGTAAGATATTTTGTTGTTGATGTTTTGAGTTGAGTTATTTCTATTAAATGTTAAAAGTGATTGTTTTAAAATGAACTTCTAAAGGAATGAAAGGAATGACTGATAGAAGTTAGATTTAATGAATCTGTATCTTTTGAATTAATAGAGAAAACAAATGAGTGTGATAATATTTGTTGAAAAGAAGAAGGAAAAGAAGGAAAAAAAGGAAGATTAAGTCAAAAAAATTATCAACAACAAAAAATTTTAATTTCGATAAAATTAATTAATTAAATTAAGTTAACAAACCAAGACATTAATTAAAAAAATAATAAACAAAAATAATAAAATTTTTCTTAATAAAATTTTGTAATAAAGGAGACAGATTTCTGAAGAGGGATAAACAATAAAAAATTCAATCAATTTAGACTGTTGTTATGAGTTACAAAGCCAGTTTCATGATTGTTTCATTTATTAATTTGTTAATTTTTAGTTCAATTTTAATTGACTATACATTTAGTTTCAATAGTTAAACAAAGTATTTAGTAAATTTAACATATTACGAGGCAAACGTATGGTTAGTTACTAACTAATTTACCCTCTCGTTATGTGTAGTAGTCTCTCATATGTTTTTTTATACGAAAGGATGTTTAAGTTTGAATTTCTTTTCAGATGTGTTTCGAAAATTATTCAATACTTGAATTGTAATTATCAACGTGTATACACCCTTTACAACTACTACTTAAATTTAAGTTTTTAAAACTCTACTTTGTTTCATATCTTATAAGATCTGTATCTTATTTATTAACTAGACACAAAATACAACATATGAATCTAGAATAATTAAATGTATGAACTAATTTACAAGATATGACGATAATAAGCAGGTAGTGTTTTCTTGTTCAATTTAATTTTTTCTTAATTTGTTTAAATAATAAATATTGTAATAATATACACTACTAATACTATTTACTATCTACTATCAACTAACTATGAATAACCAGCTTATTTTAATCAGGTCAAGGATCATTTAGTTGAAAGTATTGGTTATTCAGGAGAGGAGACGTAACCGATAGATACTTCATCCCTATTAGGTGTTGCATAACTTCAATACTCCTTTCATGCATCTAATAATTTTAATTTTTCGCTTTAATCGTATAATAATATAATTTTGACGCATATGAAACTTGTACATATTGTAAAGTGCTTAACAATAGAAAATGATTTATCAACATGCTTCAACTTTCCATCAAGTTCCGGTTGTATATGTTGGGCTGATTTGTTTCAGAGGATAGCAACTGAAAATCAAATCTTTATGTCAAAGAAAAAATTTTGTTATTGATTGACATTTTAAACTCAAAATCTCAACTTTATTATGTTTATAATTCATCTTATAATAGAAATAAAATGTTAAGCTTTGATTAGGCTAAATGAAAAATTTGAAATATATGAAACTTGAAGCAATGTTTACCAGTTGTTTCAATCACCCACAGCAATCATCATCGTGCTACTACTAGCTACTTCCTACTATTTTTATCCAATTTTATCTCTTCCTCCGTTTACATTGAATTTATCCTTAAACTCATGCAATAAATTAAACACAAACAATTTCAATTTTGCAATTATTTCAAACAAATTACACAAAACACGATAATTTAAGATTTTAGATTTCAAAATTAAATAAGAGGATCTGCGTATAAAAATATTTCAAAACATATGAAACACTGAAAAAAAGAACAACAAATAATGAAGTAACAACTTGAAACTGAAATATAAATATAATCTACTTTTTCTTAATTTATTCTTGCTTTAATTTTTTCTTGATATATATACCACTCCTTTCGTACTATCTAGTTGAAATTAGAGGAAAAGAGAAAAGAAAATTTTCAAGTCGGCTGAACTAGCTCAGTATATTTTGTTTTCTTGACTAAGAAATTAGTCGATCGATGTATTAGTTACATATTCTTAAACGGCACTACATTTCACCTAACCTTAATATTTTTTTTCTTTTTTTCTCTTTTGACCTCCTCTTGTTGCATTGGCTCATACTCTTGTCTATTTGGCTTATATTCCTGAATTAAGTCGGAGTGTTTAGTCAAAAGGTGTTGTTTTTTATCAAATTTTATTGGTAATTAATCGGTCGGGTTTAAAAAAGAAAAAAATTTATTTAAAACATGATTTGTTTCACGATTTATGAAATCTGTTTTAAATTTGATAAGAGATTAAAAATAAATTTGGATACCAAAACTAAATTTTGTATTAATCATGAGTATGAAATTAAGTAACAACATTATCATGAGAATCTTCTATTTCTATATAAAGTTTAAAATTTTATTGTTGTTTGAGCGACGAAATTACTTGAGCCAACGACAATGTTAGCGAATAATGCTCAAGTAATTTTATCACTCAAACGACAATTATTGATTTTTCAAATTTTGGAATAAAATAAACTCGTTTAATTACTCCATCAAATTATTGTTGAAATCACAATTCTTTGAAATGTAAATGTTGTGATAAAATTTCCAATGAGTTCAATAGACCATTAAAAATATTCGTAGTAAACCAAGGATTTTGAATATTTTTTAGGTCGTTGTTAGCTTGAACAATTAGGTTCAATTTTGATTTGTAAATATAAATCAGCCAATAACTAAAATCTTACCATTTTTTAAAAGATATTTGACTTCAACTCCGGTATTAAATGATTGATTAGTTCTGATTCGTAATGACCAAATGTACATACACAAGGTGACATCCATAAGATTATTTCGGAAATAACCCTGTGAATGTACATTTGGTCAATCTCTTTCAATTTTTGGATCCACTCTATAATCAAAAACATTTTTTTTTTAAATCATAGAACACTAACTCCCAAATTTGATGATAATTGTTGAATGATTTATGAAAGTGATTCTGCAAGTTTTGCTCATGTGTTGATTATTAACATTCTTTAATTTCTTCGCGTATTTGCTCTTGATCAAAAAAGAATGCGTATTCTTCAGTAGTAGTTTGATAAATTCATTATACAAGAACATTATATACCAAAATTTTAAATCAATTCATCCAAAGTATTTATCTTATTGTTTGATATTCGTTCAAAATCCATCGTTTCATTTGATCATTTGACTTGAATATATTTTGACTTTGTTTTGTATCTTTTTCTCTTCAAAATCAAAAAAAGTATTGATAAGTAAATGATTTGATCACAACTAATGAAATTTTCAGTATTTACCTATCTGGTTGTATACTAAACATACCTAATGAAACTTATAAGCACTGTATTCGTTTTTTTGTGAAATGGTTCAATCATGAATGACATTTTTTTTTTGAATGAAAAACCTTTACAAAAATTCTGAGTACTGAGTTATGGATGTTTTAATAACTCTTACAAATTAAATATACGGGATTAAGTTTAATCGAAAATAATTACAACTATATATGACTCGTCTAAACTTGAAAGGAAGTTATTGTGATAAGTCTTTTTCAAAAAAAGTTTGAAACTTTGTAGTGTCCATGAGTTATCAATTCATTCAATACTCTTTATAATTGATGGATGCATGAAGAACTCAAATTTGTTGCAAAATTTTTTGCTTTTCAGTTTATAATAGAAGAAAAAATAAATGAAAGAACAACAAACAGGAATAAAAAGAAGAAGAAAATTCACAAATTCACCACCATGCCAACCTTTAATTAACCATTATCTTTAAACTTCTATTGGTCCCTCCGAGTCGGCTCTCAACTTAATTTAAGAAGACCATAGAAAAATTGACGAAAGTATGAGTAATTCCAATAATACTCATCTGATTTCAATAACTTCATCTACAATTGAAATGGACAATACAGAAACTTTAAAACCAATGCAAACAAAACAACAACAATCATAATAAAAATGATGAATTTTTATCAATTTCAGAGTAAGTTTAAAATTCCCCAAAAGAAATAGAAAATCTGACAATTATTGGTTTCTCAGTTTCATAAACTGCTAATAAACTCACATTAACTTCAATTCCAGGTGTGACCACTTTTTGAGATGATCAGATAGGAGCAGCAATTTGAGTAATGAAACACTAGGATGCTAAAGTTATGAGGGAATGGTTTTCAAAGAACAACAAAATAATATTCCACATAATTTTGACATTGAAGTGCTTTATTTCTCAAACTGTTGCTCCTATTTAAAAATTGACCACTTTTGCCAAGTTTACGAAATCTCATGTCGATCCATCGTTGTTTATTAAAGGATTCCAAAAGAGTTTTAAAAAACAGTAATGAATTGATACGAGATTGAGATTGATTACCAAATAGGAAATGACTTACTACTTAGGTCAACTACAGAATATTCAAGGAGAACCACGAATCATGTTGGAAGAATTGTTAAATAACAACTCACAGCTTAAAACCACCGATTTGTTTCAAACTCAAGCTTTTCTAAGAATAATACTTACACTTGTCAAGGGTATAAATATTCCGAGCGTCAGCTACAAACTTTAAACCCACCACCACAAGATTAGATTCAAATGTCCGCAAAATGTTCCTAATAACCACCTACTGGACTTTTTACGATACTTCATTCAGGCGTGTTTGAGGTACCTATTTGTGCTTGATGTTTATTTGTGTTAAACATCAAGCACAAATAGGAACTCAAAACACACCGAATTAGAAATTCAAAGTTATCCAACTTTCAGTTTCATCTGGAATTAAGATCATACAAGAGCCATTTGTTCAAAAATCGAAACAAAAAACGATACGTTCAAGTAATGTTCACTCAAACACGTTGATCAGCCAAGCGACTAATCCATTGTTAGAAAAACCCAAAGAAAAGAAGGACAATGATGGATGACAAACAGTCAGTGTTGCTAGTACAAAAAAATTTTTAGAAAACCGTGACTAACGACTAACCAAACAATATTTTAAATCCAAAATTTAACGTTTCGAAATCCCTATTGTTTGACTTGAAAGAAACCGATGATTAAAACAAAATCATTGATAGAATTGAAGACTCATGAATGAAGAATGAATTTCGATAACATATTAATCTCAACTCGACAACTCTACGTTGAAGAGGAATTGAATCTAAAAACAAAGACGAAACGTTTCCCTAAAAAAAATCATAAAATCTATTTTAGCATAGAAAAACACGAAAAGACTGTACATCTTTACCAATCCTAACAAAAATGTTGTCGAGTTCAACAAATGGCAACAACAAAATCTTTAAGAACAGTAGTAGCCGTATTGAAAGATGGCGTGAATTTTCTTTTTTCTATCTTCAACATTATTTCTATTATTATAAATATTTACTTTTTTTACGAAGCTATTTCGTATATTTACGATTTAAAAGTTTAAGCCAAGATCAATGATATAAAAGGGTTTGAGTCTTAGAGTTGCAACTTTTTTGACAAAAATATCATAGCATTTATGCAATTTAGAGTATGCTTTTGTACATACTTTTTCAGATGATTCTGTCTAAGAATATTGAACTTCCATATACTTATTTTACAAACAATAGAATCTGTCATAAAATTGAAGCTATATTTTCGGTTGCTTCAACTACGCAAACTAAAAATGTTCAATTTAGTTTTCAATGCTCATAACGCATTATCTTAATTAATATATAAGTCCATTGTATTCATTCATTCTTTTGAAGTGGAGAGGTTATATGCATAATATTAAATTGATATTGGTGGACGATGTAGTTCAGTAGTGTGATATTTAGAAATTACCCATTCTACAGAATAAATTGATTAAGTATAGATTGGCTGAAAAGATTATGTCAAATTTTATAATTCTAAATTTAGATATTACTCTTGTGCAGTATAAAATCTCATCATTATATCGTGGTTTTGATCTTACAAATATTTACTTTTTTGAAGGGATCACATTACATAAAAAGTTCTTCATTATTTTATTTTAAGAAATCTACAACTTTAAATCATTCAAGTAATAATGTCACTAGTAATAGGTTATTTATTATTAATTTTAATGTTTCTTATATTCATTTTTGCACCAAATTATTATTTATTTAAAAAATTTAGTTGGCCAAAATTAATTTTAATTGGTATATATGATTATATTGTTGTTTCTACTTATACTTCAAGTAAATTTGCCACAGGTTGAAACGTATAGCAAAGTCACATTATTAATTTAACCTACTGTAGACGATTTAAGTTAAGTTTATCAATTGGTGTATTTGATTGAGGATTTTGAGTTGAAATATAAGTTGCAAACATTATATAGATTTATAATTACATAGATTTAAATTTCAACAATTTAATAACAACAAATTGAGTAAATATAGTATTACCATTTTTATGTCTTGTGAAAATCTTTCTTGCTTTTTACAAAGATTCCCAAGAGTTTGCAAGTAGGTAGTCAATAAATTTTTAAGATTGTTTTAATTGATGGATGAAACAATTTTTTCATTGTAATCAATATTGTTGCAAAAATATTTTTTTTTTTGTTTGCATATTAGTTCATGAAAATTTCATACAAAATACAAGATTCCTGTATTTGCCATAGACTTCTTTCAAATAAATGAGAAATGAAATTAAATTTAATTTATAAGGAAAATGACTTTTGTGCTTTATAAAAATCTATGAGACGAGTAGCGTTTAGTCACAAAATCATATATTTTATAATAATCCAAAGGGAACTAACAATTTACATAGTTTATGTATATCAATCAATCTACTTATAATATAAAATAGTCAAACACTAATCAAAGTATATATTATAAGTAGATTGATTGATATATGTATCCTGTGATTTATTTTCTTCTATTAGAATTTGGTAATACCGTTTCGTAAAATTAAGTTTTTGATGATTATATTTAAATTCTCCAACTATTTCGTACGTTAAACCGATAAATTATTGTCATTGTTTATAGTCATTTATTATTTAGCAATTATTTGAAACCTGATTACTTGTCCCAAGTTATTCCGGAAGATCAGTTTCTAACGAAGAGGTATCAACCATTCGTCGCTGAAATGTACAACTTGGATAATTTAGGTGATACCTCTTCATAGCAAACTGTTCCACCAGGATAACATCAAACAAATATTCAGGTTAAGCTAACTCCCAATGTTTGAAATAAGATTTGCCAAAAGATGTGTAAACGATTCCAACAATTTTTTTCTTTGATTGAAAAATATATTCAAAAGTAAAAATTCAAAATTAGCAAGTGTGTAGTTAAAGTTTGATATTAAATTGATAAATACGAGCTCTATAACTCTTGAGACTGAATAATTGCTTAAATTGATTTAATTTTATTTGATGTTGTTTTAAATTTTTGTTTTTCTAAATGAAGTCATAAACTCTTTTAAAATTGAAGTAATTAAATAATTTAAACCTTACTTTCCCTGACTACTTTTAACTTGTGTACCAATTAATGAATCCAGTAGAATATAATATTAATAAAATATTGAATAGCTGAAACTCTTAATCATACGTTTATTTCTCAAATACATCCATTTCTTTAGATGAGTCACAAACCTGCCAAGAGGTAATAGTCATCAGTTTACAGCTATTATCAGTGCTTTGGAATGCTTGAGAATGTCAAGATGTAAATGGTAGGACATTTCATAGTCAATAACAATTACATGGATTCCCGAAATTCATATGCATTCGACAGCACTATTAATAACTGACTGACAACAAATTATCTCTTCACATATTAGTAATTCAGCTAATCAATGGAATATTTTTTAGAACATTTATCCAACATTTGTTGAACCTTTTAATTGTATCAGTTTTGACTTACCGAACATCTTTGATTTTACTATTAAGTGTTTAACATTTAATAAATATTCAATCCTCTTTACTTTACCTTTTGAATTTCTTTAATAAAATGAATTTCTCAACCCATTCTTTTGTAGTATTATTGTTTGATGTAATATAAGTGATATATAATATAGGTAAGATAAGAAAGAATATTATAAATTTTCTTTTTTTGGTGAATTATGTGTTTATTTATATTACATATTTTTTACGTGTCTATGGTGTGTGTGTGTCGCATTATTTTAATTTCACATAAATCTTAACACGACAGAAACGTTGATCAAGTTTTCCATAGCAATTAGATAAGATAAAAAATTAAAGTAGTGTAATTTGACTCAGTTTGTTACTAACATTAAGATAAACTACGTAATCAATTTAGACTTCATAATATTCCAGAACTACTTAGTCGTATTAATGTTGAGATTAATAAAGTAGATCCTAATTAACTTTTCATTCTAGAAAGTATAACCAATTAAGCCTATACTTAAAGAGGATCAGTTACAATTGGTTTATTAGTTGTTAGTTGTTAGTAGTTAAGTATATATGATGTAATGTACTACTAATATTAATATTATGTACTGTTAAGAAAGAGAGAGAGATCATTTATTTTTTTAACACATAGACTACTTAAGTATTGTTTCATAGTAGAATAGTCAACTTATTTTGAACCAATTTCTTCTAATTTAATCAACTTTTTACTACTTATTTCTCTTATAATCAGTAATAATTGAGTATATCTTCTATAACTAATTCAATAGATCCATCAATCATCTAATAAGATCTTAATAATTGTTGTTTAAGTAAAATTTAAGTACTTAAAATTATATAATAATAATTTAAATTTGTGATTTTTATAAAGGGGATCAAATATTATTATTTATTATTAATATTATAATATAATATAGACAACATTTCATCAACACTCCATATACATCAACAATTCAATTAACAAACTATCAGATCAATTACATTGAATTGATAATCATCTACATTGCATTTTTAAATTTTCATATAGAAAGGAAAAAGAATTCATTCATACTTATAATTTATTTGATTTTATTGCCACAATTAAATACGAATTAAATCAAGGGTGTTAAAATCAATAAAGCATCAACATATCAAAGAAACATTTTCATATTAAAAACATTTATTTTGAATCATACATATATACAGACAAACATTTTATAAACAATGGATAATAATCAAGATTATTATAATAATAATAATAATAAAAAAAGATCATTATATTCTGATGATCCAATTGATATAGAAAGTACAACTGATGAATATGTTGATGAAGATATATTACCAAATGATAAAAATCAAAAATTAACAAATAATCAAAGAATATATTATAATAATAATAACGGTAATAATGAAGAAGAAGAAGAAGATGATGATTCAAGTCCTGATATAGTTGATATTACTGGTGATATAGAAGATCAAGTTGGAGTTAATGATGATGATAATGATGAAGATGATGATGAAGATGAAGACGATGACGAAGATGAAGAAGACCAAGAATTGGAAGAAATAGGGATGGATGAAGTACAAATAGTAGATAATAATGGGAATTTAATAGAAGTTGTAAATAATAATGATCAAAATCAAACTAATGGTAATGGATATAATCATCAAACTAATCAAGCTAATTTAAATTACAGATCAAAGAAACAGCTACCACAACAACAACAACAACAACCAAATAATAAAGCATACCCTAATGCAAATGAATTTAATGAATTAGCTTCAAAATTATTAAAACCAATTCCTGATTTACCAATAAAAGATCAAACTCATTTTGTATGGGAAATTAAAGATTGGGCATCAATTGTAAGAAATGAAAAAATAAGATCACCAAAATTTAAATGTGGAGAATTTGAATGGAATATTTTATTATTTCCAACTGGTAATAATAATCATAGTAATATGATTTCTATATATATGGAACCAATTCCTCCAAAAAATGAAGAAACTGGTGAACTTTTGGATGAAAATTGGTATGTTTGTGCACAATTTGGTATTGATTTTTGGAATCCTTTACATCCTGATGCTCATTTTCCAAATCAAAGTTCTCATAGATTTAATAAAGATGAAACTGATTGGGGTTTTAGTTCATTAATTGATTTAAGAACTTTAACAACTTCAAAAAATTTAAAAACTCAACCAAGTTTGTTTCCAATATTAGAAAATAATCAATTAAATATTACTGGTTTTATTAAAATTATAGATGATAGTTCAACAGGTGTACTATGGCATAATTTTAATAATTATGATTCAAAATTAAATTCTGGATATGTTGGATTAAATAATCAAGGTGCAACATGTTATTTAAATTCTTTATTACAAAGTTATTTTACAACAAAATTATTTAGAAAATTAGTTTATCAAATACCAACTGATCAAAAAAAAAATACTGCTACTGTTGCTTTAGCTTTACAAAGAATATTTTATTTATTAACTAATTCAAATGATCCAATTGGTACAATGGAATTAACAAAATCTTTTGGTTGGGATTCTTCAGATGCTTTTACTCAACATGATGTTCAAGAATTAAATCGTATATTAATGGATAAATTAGAAACTGCAATGAAAGGAAGTTCAATTGAAAAAGGTTTGAATGATATTTTCGTTGGTAAAATGAAATCTTATATAAAATGTGTTAATGTACCATATGAATCATCAAGAGTTGAAGATTTTTGGGATATTCAATTAAATGTAAAAGGTTGTAAAAATCTTGAACAATCATTTAAAAATTATATTGAAATTGAAATGTTAGATGGAGAAAATAAATATCAAGCAGGTGAAGAATTTGGTTATCAAGATGCTAAAAAGGGAGTTGTATTTGAAAGTTTCCCACCAGTTTTACATTTACAATTAAAAAGATTTGAATATGATTTTATGGTTGATGATTTAGTTAAAATTGATGATTTTTATGAATTTCCTGATAAAATTGATTTAAAACCATTTTTAGATGAAGATTTACCAGATAATATAAAAAATCAAAATTGGAATTATAAATTACATGGTGTATTAGTACATCAAGGAACAATTTCAAATGGTCATTATTATGCAATGATAAAACCAAATTCTTCAGATAATACATGGTTAAGATTTGATGATGATAAAGTTTGGAAAGTTACACCAACAGAAGTATTTAATGAAAATTTTGGAGCAATGGAAATTAATAATAAAATTTCAATGACAAGATTAGAACAACAAGAACATTTAATAAGAAGAGTAACTTCAGCTTATATGTTAGTTTATTATAGAGAAATTGAATTAAATAATATTTTACCCGCGGATGACGTTGAAATAAATTCATATATTCCTAAACATATATCTGATCAAATACAAAATGAATTAGAAGAAAAACAAAGAATTGAAAAAGAAAGAATTGAAGCTTTATATTATACTAATGCTAAAATTATAAATATTGATACAATTAATAATAATTTAGGTTGTGATTTAGCATTAGATGCAACTTTAGAAAGATCTTTTGAAGAGAAACTTGTTGGTACATTAAGTGATCCAAAAATTTTTAAAGTTAGAAAAGATAGTAAATTAAAAGATTTAGTTGAACAAATTGGTGAATTTTTGGGGTATGATAAAAATTCTAAAAATTTTAGACTTATTGTTACATGTCATCGAAATAATCATACAAGTAGATTAGATATTCCAGTTAATGAAAATATATATGATCTAACAATTAATAATATTTATGGGAAATTATTTAATAGAAAATATGATGAAATGGTATTTTTTATTGAAGAATTAAATAAAGATATTAATAATATTAATCAATTAACTACAGAACCTACAAATAAAATTAATCCAATTGATTTTGAATTTGATGATGTTTTTAATAAAATTAAATCTGTTGGTACTAAAACCTTGGAAAATATGGAATTTAAATCAATTGATGAATTTTCTGGTAATATTATTATATTTATAAAATATTTTGATCCAATTTCTCAAGAAATTAGAACTTTATCTCATATAACAGTATCAACTCAAGATCAAGTTGGAATTATAATTGAACCTGTTAGAAAAATTTTAAATTTTAATCAAGATATTGAATTTGATTTATATGAAGAAATTTCACCTCATAAATTAGAAAAATTAGATCCAAATATAAATTTTGATAAACAAGAATTAAGTAGTGGAGACATTATAACTTTTCAAATTTCAAATGTTGAAAAATTAGTAAAAGATGATCAACAATTTAAAAATTTAAAAGAATATTACAGGTTTTTGGAAACTCGTCATCGTATAAGAGTTAAACCTTTTAATGCAAATATATCTGATGAAGATTCAGATTATGTTGAAGATGAAGAGGAAGAGAAAGGGGAACAATCAAAAGAAGAAAAAGATCAAGTAATTAAATCAGAAACTATTAATGGTCAAGATAATGATGAAGAAACTATAAAACAAATTGAAGAAGCTAAAAAATTAAGTAAAAGTTTTGAAATTTGGGTATCATCCAATTATAATTATCAAGAATTATCAAAAATATTATCAAAACATATAAAATGTGATCCTGAATATTTAAAAATTTTTGCAATAAGTAATAATGGTACAAGATATCCACTCAAAACAAATTCTTATTTATCACAATTTTTACCAAGACAATCTTCAATAAATCATATATATGATTTTGAATATGAAATTTTAAATATTAAAATAAAAGATTATGAAAATTTAAAGAATTTTAAAGTAAATTGGTTTAATAATCTTTTACAATTACAACTGTTTGAATTATTAATTCCAAAAAATGGAACTGTAAGAGATATTATAAATAAATTATTACATAAAGTTCAAGTTCCCGAGACAAGTTTAAAACATTTATTATGTTATAGTGGTTTCAATCATAAATTTGATGAAATTTTAAGATTTGATAAACCTGTTTCACATTTACGTCATGAATGTGAAATATATGTTGGTATATTTCCAGGAGAAGTTGAAGCATTAGTTGAAAATGATATTGTTAAAAGATTTATAGATCATGATATTGATATAAATATAGAAGAAGAATTTAAAAATGATGAATTTACTAAGCAAGAATATTTAAAAGTTTCAGAAAATATAAAGAATCTTAATTTAATACCTGCTTTCCATTTTCATAAACATAGTACAAATCATCATGGTGCACCATTTATATTAACAATTTTCCCTAATGAAAATATTATTGAAACAAAAGAAAGATTAAGAAAAAAATTAGGATTAGGTTTACAAGCTTTTGAAAAAATTAAAATTGCTTTAGCAAATTCTCAAGATAAAGGAATTTATTTAGATTTAAATGACGAAGGCCTAAAAATTTTTGATAAAACTGGTAATGGAGATTTAAGTTTAGCTTTAGATCATCCTGATAGAAATCCAAAACGTCAATCACAATATGATAAAGGAATATCTATTAAGTGAAGAACCTACTTAGTTAGTTATGTTTAATGGTCAATTAATATTTTCTAATTGTTTTAATTTTTTTAATTCTCTTTCTCTTATATCTGTTGAACTTAATTTCCCCTTCCATAAATTATTTTCATTACTGTTTTTATCTCCAATAACTTTTATTGCAGTTATATCTAATTTTTTAAAACCATGATCTTGTCTATATTTATTTACAAATTCTCCACCTTTTAAAGTTTCATGACTTATAATTAAACTATTTATATTTGGTAAATATCCAGTTGGACCACAAATATCATTAATTTCATAAATTTCAAATCTTAAATTTAAATCATCAAATATTATATCTAAAAATTGAATAACTGATTGTTTTCTTTTGGTGAAGGTTTCTAAAACTTCTTTAAATTTTTTATTTTTGAGTAATTCATTACCTGTTATTCCTATAATCATTCTTTTTAATGTAAGAAAATATGCCATTGATAATAAAATTTTATGACCATCATGTAAATGATCAAATGTTCCTCCAACAGCAGTAGTTTCAAATTGTTTGGAAATTTTTGAACAATTTGAATCTAGTTTTACCTCACTTAATTCAGTATCGATTTCAGTTATCGGTATTGGTAAATTTTGCAAGTCATTTTCTTTTGATGATATAAAAATATGATTCCAATTTTGTAATAACTTTTTATATTTTGAAAAAGATATATTAAAAATTATATTAATTTGAAAATTATAATCTTCAAAATTAAATTTATTTATTTCATTTCTTATTAAATTATAATAATTATATAAAATATCATTTAAATTTGTTACATTTTTTATTGGTTCTTTTATTAATACATCTAATCTATTTGATCCTATAATTTTGGGTATTATTTGTTTAATTAGATTACTATAGTCTAGTTCTAGTGGGTTTTGGATAATTATTACTGGATTGGGCATTGGATTTGTGTATGGTGTGAGTTGATGCTGTTGTTATGATTGATTATTTGATGATGTTATTTTGATAATGATTTGAAAGATTGTAAATAAAATGCGTTATCTAAATTTAAATATTCCACGCGGAATTTAGATTCTACATACATTTGAAACACCACAACTTATGAAATCACTGCAGTGTTGAGAGATAAGCAATTTGAAATTTGAATGAATAGTTTCACCATGATAATTATCCAGGTGATTGGATGTTCACATTCTTTTGGTTCTTTATCATGTAGTTGATGGGACGGTTTTTTGCAACCAATACAATGAATCCGAAAACTTTCACCAAATCCAATCTATGCCAACCAATACATCCTCTACAATTGAAAAACTTCTAATATTTTACACATTTTTTCATTAAATTATATAACTAAAAATAGAACCACCAAACATTGAAAACAAAATTATTATATATATTTTTTATTCATTTACTAATGTTCTTTAATCTCTACCTCTTCTGAAACCACCTCTTCTTGGAGCACCACCTCTTTGTGGTCTTTGTCTTTCAGCAGGAGCATTCTTTAATCTAGTTAATGGTAAAATTCCTTCTGGGATATTTAATTCTTGTCTTAAAAATTCTACACCTGAATCAGTTAAAGTGTAGTAATAATATTGCCATGAAAATTGAGTATGAACGTAACCTTTTGAAGTTAATGATTGTAAAGCTTTAATAACATATAAATTTTTAGTATCGATTTCATCATGTTGAATTTCGAAATTTTTTGGAGCTACAAGAACACCTTCTTGGAAAAGATGTTGATGGATTTTTTTTCTTTCACTATTTGGCATTAACACTAGTTTTAAGTTAGTATATAAGTTCAAGACGATTTGATCGAACAATTTTCATAAGAAGTTTATGAAGGTGTGGAAATCCTTAAAAGTTGGGTTTAACGAATTCAGTCACTGACTCTCACATTCGACATTTGCTAAATCATTGATTCTAGAAAATAGTTGTAGTATCATTGTCACTTCCATATCATCAAATTTGATGGTACCACATAATGATAACTAAAATGATCTTTGACATTTTGTGTGGTGGTTGCTGGATAGTCTTATCGATTTAATCTCCCGTTGATCTTGATTGAATGAATTTATCTCGATATGATTTTTACAATTGCGTTCTTGGTCAGAATGATGATAATTGAGATGTTCGACATATACATTATCCCAAGTGGTCTCAGGATTACTTCATTTATTTTGAATTTATCATGGTGCTTTTATTTCGTATTCGTCTCATTCTCTGAAAATGACCCCATTTGTTTTTTTTCCAATTTAAACTTCTCTATAATTGTTCTATTCTCTTGACGATATCTAGTTGAACATACTTTTGGCGTTGACTCAAATTTGAATATGGTTGTTGTTGATCAATCTATTGATATGTGATTTTTTAATAAATTTTTCATATAATTGTTAGTATCAATGTCGCACAAATTAATTATTTCATGTTAGGGCAAAAACCCTAATCATATGTGTCGAGAACAAATCAATGTTAAAAAAAAACATTTTGGGACGTTGATAACGCTAAAAAAAGTCAGGGAAAGTTTATAATTATTAGCTCCAGTCTAAGTAAAGATAATTGTAAGGGTTTTGAAAATCATGAGCTGAAAGGGCCAACAAGACTGGATTTAAAGTAGTGTAACAAGAAGTGATTTTTATTTCGCATCATATTGGATTTAACATAGAATGAATATGATGCTATGTTAGAACCTAGTATGGTGTTAAAAAATAATTACTTCTTGTTTCATGTGTTCATTTTTTTTTCAAAACTAACTGTTGATTAAATCAATAGTCTTACATATGAAATGGTTAAATTAGTGATCTACACAACTTGAAATTTAATTCATAATCATTAAACTATTTAACTCCATCTAAACCATGTATTATTTTTTTGAAAATCTTTTAATTGTTGACTCAATATAGCATCTTCTTGTAATAATTTTTCAATTTCATCTTCTAAATTAGCAGTTTTATTAACTTCGTCAGCATTTACTTTTAATAATTCTTCAATTTCATTTTCAATTGAACTTGGTAAATTCGCCGTTGAATTTTCATCAATTGTTTTTAATTCTAAATTTTCAATATCTGTTTTTAATTGTTGAATTTCTTGATTTAATTCATCATTTTCATTATTTATTTCAGGTAATGAAACTTTTAAATCAATCATTGCTTGTACAATATCTATATGATTATGATTTAAATTCATAAATTTAAATTCTAATTGTTTTAATTGTTTACGTAATTTACCATTTTCTTCTTGATATTTTTCAATATCTTTTAATTTTAATTCTTCATTTTCACAACATTGATTAAATTTAGATTCAAATTTGGCTAATTCTGTGGGGTCAATATTAATTTTCATTGAATCAGTTACAAATTCATCAAGTTTATAATAATCCATATCATTTATTGTAGGGATGTTACTTGATGATTTTCGTAACAAATTAAGCTTACCACCAGTACTACTACTGTTGGCTGATGTCTTCGTTGTATCTTTGTCTCTAATATATTTGGGACTAACGTAAACATTAAACAATTTATCCTTTAAATATTCTAGTAGTCTATCAAAATTCAAATTAAGTAATATATTTTCATTTTGAATCATTAAATTTACTGCAAATTTTAATATTGATTCCATACCTTGAGTAATTATAATATCATAAATTCTTAAAACCATATTTAATGGAAATTTATAAGCAAAAAATGTTAAAAACCATTGACTTGCATACATTGATGATTTAATTCCCAGTTTTGTTAAATGATTATATAAAATTGGTGAATAATTAGCTAAAAGACAATCAAATTCATATAATAATAAATGTAATCCTTTCATTTCAGGACAAAATAAATCTCTTAATTGATATTCTTTCATTAACATAACTAATAAACAAAAACATTCACTTTCATCCATATTCATTATTAATGGTACAGCTATAAAAATCATACCTTGAGTATATCCAACATCTGGATCATATATTGAATAAGCTTTTATAACATTAAATAATTCATTTGCTTTATCAACACTTTCTAAATTTGTGAAAAAACTTGTTCTTGTTAAATCTCGCTTTATAGCTTTTTCATGAATTGAAGTTTCTTGTTTTAATAACCTATAAAAATCTTCTAAATTTGAATCTTTGGATTTAGTTACAATTTGCCAAATTATACCTCTAATTTCTTTTGGAATTCCTAAATTTATTAAATTATTTAATTGTTCTGATTTATTGTTAACTATATAATCATAATTATCAACAACTTGAGTCCAAAAATCCCAATCAATATTATAATCAGTTTGATAAGTTCCAACTGTATTTTTTATATGATTAAATGTATTTTTAATATTTTCATATCCATTTTCAATTGATTTTTGTATTGTTGATTCTTTATTATTAAATTTTATAGATAGTATATTATGTTTTGATTGTAGTAAATAATTTGAAGTAGATTTATCATAAGAACTTTGAATTGAACTTATATTTGGTGAATTATCATTTAAATTTGAATTTGAATTTGTAGATTCGGATTTAATGGGTGAGTCCAAATGTAGTATGGATTGAATTGGTTCTCGAGAAGGTAGAATTGGAGTAGTTGTGGTTTGATCTATATCTTCTGGTACTATTGAAACTTTTGTTACTTCTACTTCTTCTTCTGTTGCCATATTTTGGTATTCAGTTTTTGGTGTTGCCTATTTTTGTTATTATTAAATTTATGATCAGATAAACTTTAAATTCGGGTATATTTTTGTGTCGTGTCAAAATTACAAATGTTTCAGAAATTGTAATCACTTGGTCCCAGTTTGAAAATTCGATATTTGTACGTAAATGGATTGAAGCCCTTCATAAACTGTTATTGATGGATGTGAGAGCTAACATCGTTGCCCAAAGGTCGAGGATCTCAGGTTACGATAGATACAAGTATTACTTAAACATATTTATTATTTATACACAATAATTAACTAGATGAAACCCAATGATAATCATCACCATCATTTATACTTATCATTTGTTGCACTGGCATAAACTCATTTATAGGTCTTACTACTTCATTTAAATGATCACGTAATTCATCAGATGAATTTGTACTCAATATATCAGCATCACTTGTACAAGAATATTCTTCATTAAAAGAACTTAAAATATCAACATCTTCTAAATTGGAGATAGGTTCTTGTGTAGCTTTCACGACATTGAGTGAATCTTCCTCTTCGATTATAATACCACCACTTATACCTTTCTCCATACATAATCTTTCCAATCTTTCTTTATCACAATTTGGGAAATGAATTCTAATAACATTTAAAGATTGAATGTATTTCAAAGGTAATTCACCTAAATCAAATAAATTAACTAAATCTGATTTAAAATTTTTCAATTTAGCTTCAAAATTTTTAATATTAAACATCATTTCATCAAAAATTTCTTCTGATAAAATTGTTTCATTTGGAATATTAAAATTAAAACTTATTGGAAAATCTATAAAACAACTAGTGTTTATATTGTTGTTATTTACTAATTCATGATTTGTTGCTGATGATTCGATTTTAGCTAATGATGTGATTATTTGATGATTTTTAGAATTTAATGATAAATTTAATAATAATTTTGAATTAATATTTGAAGGAGTATTATTTAAAAAAGTATTATCTTTTTTATATAATTGATATTTTTCTCTTAAATTATTAAATAATATCTTGTAAGTTTGTTTTACATTTTGTTGATAAATTTTTAACAGAAATTTACTTTGATAAATTTGTGAAAAATTATGATAAATAATTCCATGATTTAATAAACTTAAAATTTTAGATTTTTTATAAAATTTTAAATTTTTTATGGTAGTTTTATAAAATTTTTGTTTAAATTTTGGTTGAAATTTATAATTCCAAGTCTGTGAATATGTAAAGTTTCTTCTTGCTGATGTGGAGAATTGACGTATAAATGGATTAGAACCTTTCCTTTGGTTTACAGGAACAGGTACAGGTACATATGAAGGTTGATGTTGTGATTGTTGTGGAGATCTTTGATGTCTATTTTGTTGTATTTCTCTTTGTATATTTTCAGAAAGTTCATTTATTGCTCTCTGTATACGTCTTGAAATGTCTCTTGTTCTTATTGAGATTTGATGTGTAAATTTGAAAATGTTCATGTTGTGGTAATTCGCTTAATGGTTAGCGGGGTAAAAATTTAGATTAAAATACTGTTATGATACAAGCTGGGTATAGCGAATACTTAAATATTTGAATGATTGAGTTTGAAGTTAAGTCAGTTAGTAACTAAAGTATTGTGTATACTTGTGTTGAAAATGATATGGTGTTAAAAGAAAATTGTGGTTTATAAAGAGATAAGAAAAATTGTTCTTATCAAAGAAATATTAAGGGATTTTGTTGGAAATTAAATCATAAATTTAAAACATGACACTAAATTATATTTCATGACACAAAGTGAAAATAATTGGTGATCCACCATTAGAAGAATAATATTAAGAATCAAATATGTAATTTAGATGAAAGCATGAGGGTGGGATAGTAGCTTTTGTAGGAGATGCAATAGCCCAAGTTTTGAGTTTGGAAAGACCAAGTGCTTTCCCAAGGCTCCGAAAGTAGTTATAAGAGCTTTTAGTTCACGTTCCCGCTTTTCGGATTTTGCAACTGGTAGTGAAACTCATAAAAATTATACCCTTCATCAACCGTACTTAATCTTTACGAAATTCATCTAGATGTTTGAGATTTGCTAAAGAGCGTTGATCAAAAGATACTGGTATATTTTTTCATTACTCAATTAACATTTTTTGTATATTAAACCAAAACCAATATTATAAAATAGTAAAAATGAAATTAAAAACATAAAACTAAGCTAAAACTCATTCTATAACTTTTCATCAAAAGATCAAAAACCGTTAGTGGAATACTATTAGACGTTAATTTGTTCATCTAAAACATCAAATATTAAATCAAAATTAGTTGAATTTAAATCATTTAATCCATTATTATTATTATTTCCTTTACTAGTTGTATCATTTAAATTTTGTAAATTAAATAAACTTGTTAAATTCCAATCATTTATTGAAGTTTCTTTACCATTTTCTAATTTTATTTTTTTAAATTTTGGAGTATCTTCTTGATCTTGATCTAGTTCATGTTCCTGATGTATTTGTTGTTGATCGTGATTTGATTTACTTATCATTTCATTATGTAAAGAATTTAAACTTAATATTGATGATGGTGAAGTTAACATTGAATTTTCATTTGTTGGATTCATTGAAGTTTGAAAAAATGATGATGATGAATTAGATAAAAAGTTGTCATTATCATTGTATTGATTTGATGATTCATTAGTGTGATGATTCGTGTGAAGGAATGAGTCAAACAATTCTTTATTACTATTATTATTATTACTCTTATTGTCTTTGTAAGAAGTTGGGATATTATTAAGTAGGAAACTGTCTATAATCTCTTGTTTGATTTTAGATTTATTAATTGAAAAATTGTAAGGCTGTTGATCAAGTGTAGTGGCTATTGTTTTTGAATGAATGGGATGTGATTTGGATTGTTGTAAAGGTGGGAATGATGTTAAAAAATCATCTTCAGTAGGTGATTGTACTAATGATTGTGGTTCTGTTTGAAAGTGTTGAAAATCATAATTATTTAGACTTTGATTATGTTGTTCATTATTTGCATTTTCCTTTTGATGAATTTGTTGACCTGGTTGTACTATATCATTTGTATTTTCTATCCCAATATCAATTTTGACTTCACTATTATGTACCTCTTCCTCTCTTAATTTTTCTTTTATTGGTTTTAATTTTTGTTCATATTTTTCAAATTCATTATCATTACTCAAGATTTCATCAATATTTATAGAATTTGGTAAAATATAATTCATAATTTCTTCTAATTTTGATAATTTATTTTCAACTTCAGTTAAATGAGCTCTTGTTAACGGTGATCTTATAGTTCTTGGACTATATGAACAATTCCATTTATGTTGAATACATTTTGAACATTGTGGAAATTCTTTTGAACATTTTAATTTTCTTTTCCTACATGAATCACAAGCTTGTTCTATAATTGGGGATGTGGAAGATGGTTGATTTATGGTTGATGATGAGGCTGTTGATGATGTTGGTAATGCATCTTGTTTGACGTTGCATTGTTCTTGTTGATCATTGCTTGTTGTTTGCGTGTTGGTTTCATTATTTAATTTTGAATCCATGATTGATTTAAAACAATGCAATCTAGTCTCTGTTGGTCTGTAGATTTGATCGCTAAGATGTCAAATTTACCAAATTGGTCTGTCCTTGTCAATTGTTTTTATATTTCAAATCAAATTTAAGACGGGTATTCTGGGTGATAAATGGATTCTAGTTTATTTATTACCGTTTGAAAATTTAAAATTTGATTTTTTTATTTTTCTTCAATTAAAATAAAAAAACCCCTAAAATAATAAAAGTTTAAATTAAATTAAATTAGGATTAGCAATTATCTTTGATAAGTAAATTAATGTATGTATAATCACTTGTTGATTCAATTGAAAAATTTTTAATATAATAGATGAAAAGCTGATGAAGATAATAGTTGAAAGAATAAAAGATTTTGAAAATTTTAAAATTAATAATCAAACAAATATAATTTTAAGTTTGTAATTCCAAATAAATACAACAAAAATTTTTAAGGTTTTTAAAATTTGGTGCACAAAATTATCATGAATTATTCAAAAATTTGTAATGAGTAAATCAACTTTCTCTGTAATCTCTTTTAATATGTTAGAGATTATGAGCTTATATTATAATTGTATTTAGTTACCTGTATTTAGTTACCTGTATTTAGTTAACAGAGAAAGTTGAAGTGAAAACGTTTTATAAATTAGTTCGTAGAAAAAATCATATCATTGATAAACGTTTAAATCTCATGTCATAAAAAAAACAACAATCTAAGTGTATCATACTTGAGATTAAAGGGATTGAGAGATTTTCAACTTTATATTTTGATCAGAATTTATTAAAACTTATTCCTTGCTAGCAATAAATTATTAAATAAATCATACGGTTGTTTCACGTTGATCTTTTTCTTATCGATAAATTAATTAATTGCTTGATAAAGCTTAAAAGATAAAATTTTATACTAGTATTTGATGACTACTAGACTAAAAATAGAGTAATTCAATGATCCTGCTAATGCAAGGTATTCATCAGCATCACTTTTGGAATTATAAAAGGAGTTTAAACTCCTTAGCTTAAATAATTGTAACCAAAAAGAGGGGAAATCTGAAAATATAAAATTTTTTTTGTTCAACAAATTTTTTTTATAATTTTATTATTTTAATCAATAATATACAACTAATCTTTCTAGTAGTAATTATTAATTCCACTTCAAAAATAGGTTAAGATGCTATACTAAATATGAGCTTGACTGTACGCCTTTGCACTCATCCACTACAAATTTTTTGCTGTTACATTCAAACTAATTAGACTTTTAATTTGTAGTTCCAATTAAAAAAAAAAAAAAAAAAAATAATTAAAATTAAAATTTCGGACTTTTTTTTGTGTAATTTTATTTAATCATTTATTTAGCAGTGATATAAAAAAATTTATTGTTTATTTTAAGATCGGTTATATACGATTATCCTTTTTTCTTTTCTTTTTTTTTTTCAGACTTGTCACCAAAATAACAATTAGAAGCGATATAGCTGAAAGCTAGTATAATGATTTGTAATCAAAATGCCAACTCTTGTAGTTTTACTTCTAATTCCGTTAGTCTTAATATATTGCCAATGACAATTACTTTTAAAGAAATAAAAAATAGCCCATAGTCTATTCAAGTTCACTAGATAGAGTGTAGATAATGTAAGTATTTTTTTTGGTCTCAGCAAAGCCAAATCTCTTAAACTTGTCATTAAAAAATTGTGACTCAAAAAGCTTGCTCATAGCGAGATGAGGGAGACCTTGAAAAAGAAAATGGGCGCTTTCCTCAAATTACCATTAGGACGTGTATTGATTTTATTAAGTCAAAGAATTAATTACGCTGGCAATACCTACTGAAATTGATTATAATTTATAGGTAAGATAGCGTCATGTTTAAATTATCACCAAATCGAGATCGCGTTATACATCGATTACAAAATCCATGAATGCAGATACATTCCTACTGCGTCAAATGATAACGTGTACCTTACGTAAATTCCATCAATTCAAATGATTAAGCGATGATTGAAGACGATATGCAAAACAATATTGGAATTTATTTTGTTCCAATAGTAATAATTAATCCGAGACAATCAGATCCATTTTCTTGGCAGAGAAAAATAAATTTTTCCGAGAGTATTATTTGATAATATGCTCTTTTCTTTTATTATGTGTTTATTTTTATGATAGGTTAAGTATACGAGCGAGCGAGTAAGATGTAAGATTATAGAATATTTGTATGAGTTGTAAATTTATACGTGAGTTTACTAATAAATTAGAATTCTCGATTGCATTTGATAAATACAATTTATCCCGTTTTAAATGTATGGCATAGTTCTATAATTGTTTAAATCATTTGATTATAGAAATAAAGTGCAAAATCGATCTCGGATTAATTTTTTTGTGAATAAATACTATATAAGTTAAGATCATATGTTTCAGGTAAAACCGATCAAGAAACTATAGATGAGTTTTGTTTGATATGAGTTGTCATTCAACCAAGATTTCAATTCAATTTTGACATGAAGCTTTCCGCACACTCCGTAGAACTTTAATTTGATAAAGACTTTGATTGAAGTAACTCCTTAAACAATATTCCATTCAATCGATAGATTTAAGAATTTAAACTGAAAGCTGAAAATTGCAACACAATCTAAAATTAAAAATTTTAAATCGAAAAAGTCAAAAAATTTAAATTTGGATTTCAACCAATAGCCACTTATAGTACAGAGATAGAAGTAAGTGAGGAGACGACATAGATATATATCGGCGTGTTATAAAAATTGCTTTTGCAATACAAAATGTTTAATATTAAACTCTCCCTGAACTCGCTTCCTCTTGACTTATGGTAGTGTCTTTCTTTCTACTAGATTGAAATCTCATCGAATTTAAATCTTATTGTTAAAAATTTTTATTGTGACTAAAAATCTAAAGTTTAAATTCTACACCACTTTTTTCATTGGGCTAATCCATTGTTAAAATGTCTTAGTCTGATGTAGGTTAAATCTGGGGGGATAAATTGAAGTACTTGAAAGAACCAAACTTGTCAAACAGCAAATTCAAAAACCCCCGACTCGAATAATAGGGTCAAAGAAAAAGGAATGGTGGCAGTATTCTCCAATTTTTTTAATTGAAAAAGTCCCCAATTTTCGTGTTTTTAAATGTATTGTTGTATTTTGTTTGACATTTCTTTTCTATGGTTACATAGATGTCGTCTGCTGAAGACATTTTAATAAAGGGAGTAGTTTTTGCACGCAAAAATAAATATGAAACAACGACATGTTATATTATGTTGGTAGAAATTTGCCGATTTCTCATTGAAAAATAACATAGGAAGGTTGTTTGAAGAAACTATTGTGTGTCATTGAATGATATATCCTGACATCATTATCGCTCAATTTCTAAGTTCAAATAATATAAAGGAGATGCTTGAAAATTAACTATAATGTCATAAATCCACAGTTTAGACACATGAAACGCAAACTTAATAAAGTTGCAAAATAAAAATTATAAACCAAAAATTTGGCAGCAATTTTTATTGATCTAGAATATTGACAAAACTATTATTTTACAACTATTGTGAAATCATAACTTTACAATAATATCAGTTGTTTATTTGAGAATTGTACAAGGGTAAGAAGACAGTATAGACACAAGAAGGGCTGAGATAGGGTAAGCCAATTTAGAGCAACTCTACTTTTCAACAATATAATAATGTTTGACTACAATTAGAAGAAGAAAATCAATTGATGATTGAATGATATCTTCGGTTGTTTCAGATTGATGTATAGTAAATTTATTTAAAATATCTATTTAAGATTTATATCAAAATTTAAACTATCAATTTAATTTAAAATAATCCAATAAAAATAGATTGAGTATCAGATAAATAATAAATTTGTTGGGTTTGTTCAGATTGATTACCATAAATATTATGATCACCAGAATGATCATTATTATACCAACCAGAAAAAGCAGCAGGTTCATCACTAGATTGAACTAAAACTCCAACTGCACCTTCAGGTCTATCAAAATATTGTCCATTATTTTCAGCGTTTTCAATTTCAACATCTGGTTTACCTAAAGTATTTTTATCTAATTCTTTTAAATCATAAATCCAATTAATTTTAATACCAGTTTGTTTTTGATCTTTTGATAATTTTTTAGTTGATTTAGTGATTTTTAAAGCACGATCTGTGACATTACCAGTTTTTAAATCAAGAACAACCATTTTTTAATTATTTGAAATTCAATTGGGAAATATGAGTATAAAGAATGGTAAAAGAAGAAGAAGAAGTAAATTTCATTCAAATTTGCTATAGATTGCTCTATATATATAGACAATATTTACAATAATTCAATAAAAAGGATGGTATATTCGAGAACTTTCAAATGAGTTCAGTGTCATGTTTTAAAAGTTCCACACTCTTTTTTAATGTCATGACATTCAATTTTTGAAAACAAATATTATGTATACGGACGCTAATATATTATTTTGTTTGCTCTCATATGATTATTGATTCAAAACAAATCAAAACTCTTGTGATTTTGATCAAAGAGTTAAAGGAGCTATAAAAAAGCAATATGACAGCTCACCCATTTTGAGGAATGTAAAAAATTTTGAGTTAGTTGTGTTTCCTCGCTGTTCCCCACCGTTCTTCTCTTCAATTTCATTCGATGAGCCTCAATTTTGGGGTAATTTTTACTCCAAAATACTCTCGCACTAAGATCGCACGAACGAATTGAATAATGTCTCAACCCTTTTCTCTTACACAACCAAATTGTCGTATTCTCATGGTTATGTATACTAAGACATTTCTCAGGAGGAGTAAAATTCCGAGAGTGTTAAAAGATTAATAAAAATATTTTCCCCATACTTTTATTATATTAAGATATGAGTATTCATACACTTCTAGCTATTTATTTGTATTGAAAAATGTTAGTGTATTCAACTAAAATGAAGTTGGACCAGTCCGTGTGTTTTTCTTCCGTCCAGCAATCAATCTATAGTTATCTGCTTTCTCATAGATGATAGGTTATGCTTCGCTGATTTAGTTTTATTTTTTTTAGTTTTTGTAAAATTTCATTTTGATGATTTCTTTTTTTTTTTTTTATTTTTAAATTTAAATTTGTACAACAAAATAAACAACAAACAAAATTAATATACACATACAAAAAAAAATATACACATTATCAATCACTTTTTATTCATTTTATTCATTAGCTGGGACAGTTATTACCACCAGACCAAGATTTAATTCAGAGTCTTACCATTACCTACTCCATTACATTCAGTCGTTCAAATTCAAGTTTGCATTATTATCTCTGTAATATTATACATACTTTTTTTTTTAATTTGTATAGGTATCAATCATCAAAAATTTTCAAATAACAACAAAAACAAGAGTTTATCAATAATACTGTCATCATGAATAATATATTACTAGATCATAATATCAATAATCATACTTCGTATCATCCTCAACAAGAATCTCAACATTCATCACAAGATTTACTTCAATCTCATCAAAATTCTCAAGAAAATACATCTCAATCCCCGCAAAATTTAAAATCTTCTTCACAAATTAAAAGTTTTAAAACAACAAACAATAATAATAATATGAATACAGACCATATACCTGATTCAACATCATCTCAGTCAAACAACAATACAAATACAAACACATCATCAAAAAATAAAAGAGATGGTACAAGACCTTATAAATGTCCTCATTGTGATAAAGCTTTTCATAGATTAGAACATCAAACAAGACATATAAGAACTCATACTGGTGAAAAACCTCATATTTGTAAATTTCCTGGTTGTTCAAAAAAATTTAGTAGATCTGATGAATTAACAAGACATTTAAGAATTCATACAAATCCAAATTCAAGAAAGAATAAGAAAAATGAAAAAGTTAAAAATGAAATAATATTTAAGAATAAAGTGGTACTGCAACAACAACAAGAAGAATCGCAATCACAAGAACAACAACAACAACAACAACAACAACAACCTCAAACACAACCGCAGACACAACAACAAGTACAACAACAAGTGCAACCACAAACACAACAATATCCCACTCAAACTGCACAACCTTCATCATTAACTTCTCAAATAAATACAAATTCAAGTCCACCATCTTCCCCACCAAGTACAAATTCTTCAATAATATATCAAGATCCAACAATAAATTATAATGACTTTACTACTTCCAATAATAATCAAAAATTCAAATTATCGCCGTCAAGAGATACTCAACCTTTAACACCTACACATACTCCAACTTTTAAGCATAAACCAAAACCATTTGAAACACCTCAAATCTTCACTTCTCAAGATTATCCGATGAAAAATAAATCAACAGAATCTTTAACTATAGCAAAACATCCTTCTAGCATAGATATATTAGCACTGGCAGCAACACAAGAATTAGAAAATTTGGAATCATCAAAATCTTTACCATCATTAGTAGATCATTTTGGTCAACAAGTTAAACCAACAAAATTACCAAATAATAATTTCAATAATCATACACATTTAACTCATAGTAATAGTAGTAATCCAAATTTCAATTTCACTAAAAAATTTGCTCCTATAACAGATAATCAAAGTTTTGAAAATTTAGAATCATCAAAATCATTACCATCATTAGTTGATTTATTTGGTCAATCAGGAGTTTCAAAATTTATACCACTGAATGATTATAATAATAGAGAAAAAGCAAGTTTTCAAATTAATGATAATTTACAATATCTTTCAAATGTTGCAACAAGATTTTCAACAATTTCAAGAATGACTCCATTAGAACAACCAATAGCAATTAATCGTAAATCTCATATTTCTCAAGATTCTGATATTGATTATTTACATCAAAAATTAAAAAGATCAAGACCAAATAGTCCTAAATTTTATCAATTTGGTAATAGGTTTGGAAGTGGTTCAAATAATAATAATAATGGTGGTAATCATACTAATAATAATACAATACCTAATTCTCCGATTTTAGGATTATCTACAAATTCAACTCCTTTAATGTCCACTCATAATAGTAGTACAAATTTAAAAGCATTAGGTCCCGGTTAAAAAAAAAAGATGTAAAACTACTGTTAAAATTTAATAATAATAAATATTTTGTATAATTTAATTACATGTATTTATGAAATCTATTAAAATATATAAAATCAAAAGGGGTATCAAACTCCAACTGACCAAATTTCATTTTCATCTTCAATTCTATCACTATATAATGTTTCTTCATCACCTCCTTGTTCAATTCTTTCTCTTTCAACATTTGCTAATCTTACAGCTACTCTTTTTGTATAATCACCAATTGATCTAGGTATTATTGTTGTTCCAGTTATAGTTTTAATTTCATCTCCTTGATTTTTAAACCATTCATCAAATTTAGTTAAATTGTTTTCAACAATATTAAAAATATCAAGATATGCTTTTTCAGCTGCTAATTTTATTGGAATTATTGGATCACGTACAGATACAAATATACTGGGAACAATGAAATCAAGATATTCATCTGGTATATTAGTTTTATGAGCAACACTTCTAATAACTATTAATGATAATCTTTTAGTATCTGGAGATGATGAATTTGGATCAATAATATTTTTTGATAATTGTTTAAATAATTCTTCATTTTTGGAATCACTTAATAATATTTTACCAATTGCTATAGTTGCATTATCACTAATATAAGGATTAGAAGAATTTGAACATTTTATAATAAATTCAATAACATCTTCATTATTTTTAATTAAATCTGTTGCATATTTTAAAAATGAATTTATTGCTAAAATTGAAAATTTACTTTCGTTATTGATTACTTTCTTTTGTAATAAATTATTTGTTTCTTCTTTTGTTAATACATTAGCTAATGAACCTAATAATTTTGCTGATGATATAGAATCAATACTTTCTTCTTCTACAATTGATAATAAATTTGTTTTTGATGATTCATTTAATAATTCACCTTTTTGTTCAACTACTGCTAACATTCCTTGTAACATTGATGCTTTAACTCCTTGATCTTCAGTAGTTTTAGCTGTTGAAACTAATTCAGTAATTAATGGATCTACTCTTGGTTGATGTTTAATTAATGTAGTTAATGCAGTTACTGCTCTATTTCTTAATGTTTCATTTGATACATCACCTAATGAACGTATAAAAGTTCTTTGTAATTGTGGTATAAAAGGTCTTAAAAATTGAGGAATTTTGTTTAATAAATTATTTAATGCAACTAAAATTGCTGATTTAATATTCGATGCAACTTTTTCTCCAACAACTCTAATTAATGGACCAGTTAAAGTAGTTGCTAAAGTTCTTAAATTATCAGCTGGTGTTTTTTCAATAATATCTGCTATAGCTAATGCGGAGGACTCTCTTTGGTCTGATGTACCATACATTAAACCATGTAAAAATACAGGTAAAATAGAATTTGGACCTTTTGGTAATGCAAATCCAGGGACAAAAACTCCAGTTAAATTTAATGCTTGATATGAAGGTTTAACTAATTTTTCCAAGATTTCTTTTGGTTGTTGTTTAATTAATGAAGTTAATGAATCCATTGATCCTTGAACAACTTTTGGTGATGGATCACTTAATGATAAAATCATTTGGAAAACAATATCTTCTAAATACATTGAATAATCTAAAGTTGCTTCATTAAAAAATAAACCTAATTGACTAAAAATTATTTCTCTTACTTTTGGATCTTCATGTTTCATTAATGATAATAATTGTTGCATCAATAAATGAGCTCCATCATCTTCAACAGATAATAAAACTTGATTAAATTCTTCAGATATATCATCATCACCATTAATCATTGCATCAATTAATGTATTTAATATAACTGACAATTTTCTATATAATGCTGTTCCTGCAACTGATGCTAATGAAGCTAACGCTAATGCATCTACTGGTTGTTTTAATAATGATGGTAATGTTATTGGGAAAATTATATCTGATTTTGAAGCCATTAATTCTTTTAATGCAAATAATGAACTTGATGATGATGTTGAAGAAGATGATGAATTATTTAATTCTGAAAGTAATTTGGGGATAATTTCATCAATAACAACTTTACCAATTTGTTCATATAATTGTTCAAATGCTTGAGCTGCTGCATTTCTTGTTGGTTTATCTTGTTTAATTAAACCATCATAAATTATAGTAATAAAAGTATCTTGATAAGTTGTTAAACCTTCTAATGATGTTGATTTAATTAATTCAGTTAATGCCATACAAGCACCTTCTTGATCTTTAGCATTTTGAATAGATGGTAATAATTGTGGTAAAGCATTTGCACCAACACGACGAACCATATCACCTAAAGTTTGAGCAGCTATAGTTCTTTGAGTTTCATCATCTGATGCTAATTTTGTAACAATAATTGAAGTTAATGAAGGTAATATTTCTTTAACTGTTCTCGGAGTATTTGAAACAAGAGCTTTCCAAATATCAGCACTTGCATTTCTAACAATTCCTGCAACATCTGAACGACAAACAAATAATGATGCCAATATTCTATCACGTCTATCTTGACCCAATACTTCAGCCAAAGTTTTATTAACCATTTGATCTTCAATAAGTTCATTTTTACCAGAAAGACCAGTAATTTGAAATAATAAATCTCCTGTAAGTTCCAAAGATGAAAGACGAATACGATATGATGTATTTGATAAACCTTCTTCTAATTCTGGTAATAAAAGATCAACTGCCTTTTTAGCATAATTTTTAACAATTAATCTACCAGCTCTTAAAGCAGTTTCTCTAATTTCTTCATCTTGATCAGCTAAACCATTTAAAATTGGTGGAATAATTCTACTTAAATATGGTGAAAATTGTGAACCAAAACAAATTGGTAAAAATAATAGTAATGGTATAAATCCAGCCCTAATTGAAGCTTTTGGTGAAGTTGATGATGATATAATTGATGGTAATAACTCTTCTAATTTATTTACACCAAGACCACAAATAACTTCAGATAATGCTTGAGCTGAACCAAGACGATCACCAGCTTTATTTTCATCTTGTAATGTATCTATCAATTTTGGTATTAGTTCTGGGAATTGATCTTCACCTAATTTTTCAACTAATGAACCTAATGCTCTTGCTGCAGTTGATCTTGTTGCTGGAACTGGATCAACCATAGCAAATTCTAATTCTTCAACTAATTCATTTAAGTATGGTTTTAAATCTTTAGAATCTACTAAAATTGCCATATTACCAACAATTTGACATGCTTTCTTTTTAGTAGATGCTGATCTATCTTTCATAGCACGATGAATAACATGAATAATTAATGCTAATGAAGAACTATCAATATAATGAACGAATTGAGTTTTAGTTAATTTATCTAATGCTTCATCTAAATGTTTTGTTGGATCACCAATAGCATTTATTAAAAATGGAACAATTTGTTGAATTTCTGGATTTCTTATAACTTCACCAAATCTTTTAAGAGATTGTTCAGCTGCTTTTCTAACTTCTTTATGTGTATCATTTAAAACACCAACAATTTCAGGAATGATTATTGATAATGATGCTGATAATTGTTCTGGATCTAAATAAGCCATTGCACCTAATAATTCAACTGATCCCTTTTTAGATCTCCATGCAATTTCATCAAGGTTTGATATAGCTAGTGGAATAAGTTTTTTAACACCAAATGATGTAGTATTTTTCATAATTTCCTTTGCTGCATCATCAGTTGCAATTCTAACTTCATTTTGTGCATCACCTAAACTTTTTAAAATAGTTGGTAATATTTCAAATACAAATGGTTCAAAATAATTACCTAATAATTTGGAAAGTGCTTCAAATACTAATGAAACTGATTCTCTCTTAGTGGCATTCTTTTTATCATCAGATGCATCTGTTAAATTTCTTATCACATCAATTTCAGATAATGCTTTAACTCCATGACCTTTGACAAGACCAGCAATTCCATAAGCCGCACCACGACGTTTTGTTAACGTTTTGCTATCAAATAATTTATCAAACAAGGTATCAAATTGTTGTTGAAGTTCTTTTTCAAATGATGGAACTAATGGAGCTATACATTCAGCCACCGCAAATTGAACGTTTGGAGTATCTAATGATTTCATTAATCTATCAAAAATAACTCTTAATCTTGGATCAGAACTATTAAGATGTCTTGCTAATGATCCATATAAAACAACAACGGGTTCTTTAATGTTTTTAGATTGTAAACTTTCTTCGAAAATGTTTATTAAAGTTTCAACGTTTTTAGCACCATGAACTTTAACAGCTTCAATACCTGCATCTTGAAATTGTTGACGAACATGTTCATCTTTATCACCTAATGCTTCATCAACTAAAAATTTGAATAGTTTTTCAACATTTGATGAATCGGTCAATTTTGGTACGAGGAATTTTAAAGTAAATGCAATAGTTGATCTTTCTTCCCAACGATCTCTTTGATCAATAGTTGATTTTATCACTAATCCAAATTCATCTAATTTTGGAGCAGGTGGAATTTTCTTTTCAATATAAAATTTAAATAATTCATCAAGATTTAATTCAGTTTGTACTGCAGCATCTCTATAAGCTTGAGCTACTGATAATCTTAAACCAGCATCTTTCAAGCCAAACAAATCAAGCAAATTTGTAGTATCTTGAGTTTCCAAATTATTATCTTCCCATATAGTTTGAGCAAAATCTTGACAATTATTATCAGTATCATAAGTTTCAACGAAGATTTCTTTTGAATAATTTGTCAATTCAAACTCTGAATCAATACCTTCTAAAATAGTTGATCTTACAAACACATGAGGAGAAACAACATTACTTAAAATTAATTGTAAATCTTCATCTGATATTGTAGTAGCAATATATTGACAAAGTGATAAAAAGCATTCTTTAACTAATTTTGATTTTGATGGTATGGACATTAAAGATATTAAAATTTTCAATATATTAGTTCTTGGGATACTTGAATCTGAAAATAATTCAGCATGAGCATTAACAATTTCAACACATAATAAAAGATGTTCTTCTTCTGGATCATTTTCAACAAATTCTGAAGTAACTGCAATTTTTTTAGAATTTTTAAAAGCTGCAATTTGACCAATTTCTAAAACTTTAATTAATAAGGGTAAAATATATGATAATGAAATAGCATCTAAAGGATTTTGATCACTTAAAATTTTCACACGATATAATATCCTTCCTAATAATGATTGTAATGGTTCTTCTTCTAAATCTTGATTTGGTAATTTAACATTATATAATCTTAAAATTGCAACACCAACAAAATATTTTAAATTTTCAAATCTATCACTAATTAAAAATGATAAATTTAAAAAAGTTTCAATACTTGGAAAAAATGAACCTTCACTTATAGCTAAATCAAGTAATTTTTTTACACTTATTGGAAACCAAGAATCAGCTCCATTATTTATAAATTTAGCTTGACTTGCAAGTTCTTTAATTAATTGTATAGCATAATTTACTTGATCTACTGTTGTTTTGATGTTTGATCTTATATCAGATTCTTTTTTAATTTGTTCATTAACTAATTTTTTCTCTTCAAGAGTTAATTTTTTAGTTTGTTTTAATTCTTTACTCATTTTTTCTTCCCATGCTTTTATTTCATAATCTTTTGAATTTTTATCTAAAGTTTTAGGTGTTTTGGATAAGACGTCAATTACTAACTCACCTTCTGTTCCATTATATATTAATTTAGATGTTTCATCTATTGGATCTATTGTTAAATATTCGTTGATTAAATTGGTAATAAGGTTCAGTTCTGGATTTATGAATGCTATTGTAGCAAGAGCTTTTATTGAATTTGAGTTTCTATTATTTACACATTCATCAAATATTATTTGATAATTCTGTTTAACTAATTCACCAATATCTATTTTATGTCCACTTCTTTGAATTAATCCAATCCAACCACCAGTGATATTAACTTTTGGATTACTTGCAGGGATGATTAACTTGATTGCATTTGATTTGACTTGATCAATTTCTTTGAGTTGTGTTAAAATAGCATAAACAACACTAAGTTCTTTAATGTTATAAATTTCAAAATCTAAGTTAATGGATTCTGTTATTATTGAATCACTTAATGATAAATTAACTTCAATTTCTTCTTTGAAACGATGTTGTGCAATTTTTTTAATTTCATATGGTACTTTCTTACCGGTTAATACATATAACCAACCTTTGGGTTCTTTATAAAGTGCATGAGTAAACCAAAATAAGTCAACTGTGTCTAATTTTTCATAAATTTTAGAATCTGATAAAATAGGTGATGTTTTGTGAGTTAATGTAAGAATGACAAATGCACAGGTTATAGTTTTAATTGATGCAAGTGGTGATTTTTCAATTGTTGATAAATTATCATCAAATACCTTTTTGAAATGTTGTGATTGATCTGGTTTACCTAATGCATGACGTCCATATTGATCAAACCATACTTTTTTAAATTTTGAATTAAATCCAGTGGTTAAAGTTTTAATGATCTCATCATCAAATTTATTAAGCTTGAAAATATGATATGAAAATACATCAACATAACTACTTAATGATGTTTCATTTTGTTCTTTACTTATTAAAGGTAGTATGAAAGATATAACTTTCTCCGAATCGGAATGAAATAATGATCTTATGAGTAATGATTTTTGATCTGCATTTGATGTTGATTTTATAGCTTTGAATATTTCATCACTTAAATCTTCTGATGATTTTTCAACAACTAATTTAAGTGTAGTGAAAGCATTTTGCCTTATATTTTCCTTTTGAGATTTGACTCCATTTATAATCGAGGATAACAATTTGGTTGAAATTGTTACATTTTTAAGATTTTTGAATAGGTATGGTAGGATAGTAAATGCATTTTCAGATGATCTTAGTATAGATTTTTCAATTGATGGTAGTAATTTTTCTTCAAAATTAGTTTCATTGACAAGTATTTCAATGCAAGACCCAAAATTTTTCAATTCCATATTTGAAACTAATGTCTTTCCCATTAGTACTTGATCAATATATATGTTTAATATTTCATCTTGATGAGTTTTGACTATTTCAATCGCTGATGGTTTGATAGCCACTAGATCAATACATGCCATACATAGTACACCCAATAAAGAAAAAGATTTTGATTTTAATATTAAATCCATATATGACTCATCATTAATTAAAGTGTCTGCAATACTATTCTTTGTAGCTATATTTGCAGCATTCACAATTCTATGAGAATGATTTTGACGATTTCCTTGATATTCTGTACATTTTATTAATAATTTGGATTGAATAGAAACATTTAAATCTGATAATTCATGATTTTTTGCTAATTCGATATTAAAACAATTAATCCATTGTAATAAAGTTAAATAATCTTTTATTGCTAATGATGTACCTGAAATTTCTTTATTTATAAACTCCACATAGATTTTAAAAAATCTATTATCTTTATTTCCAATTGAATTGAGTAATTCAATCACTGAATTTCTTGATTCTAAATCTGAATAATAATTATAAGTCTTTAATAATTCTAATACTATTAATTTTAAATCTATTTCTTGGATATCATTTATATTTGATTCTATACTTTTTATTATATTAATTCGTTCTTTTCTTGATGAACTTTGAATACCTTTCTCATAAATAGGTTTCAATTGCTCCCATGTATTCTCCAGCATTTATGAATCTTTGAAGGTAGTTGGTTGTAAAAGAATCTGATAATAATTTTTCAATGAAAAAAAAATACTGTATAAAATCAAACAAGACAAAAAAAAAATTTTCATCAGTTTATCTCCTTTTTCTTCTTCATCAACTATAACAGTCGATGAGGAAAGGTTAATATCCGTTGCAGCAACGAATCTAGGAGTTAAGAGGTGTGAAAGCTTTTTTGACTTTTGGGTTTGACTCAGTTTAATATTGGGCGCTGTGGAAGATATCACGAACCTCACATCACCACACAATCTTAGTGATATTATTTTATATTATTATCTGAGGCTGTTGTTGATAATAAAAACGAATTCTGCAAGTGATTGAAAGTCCTTTGTTATCCGTTTGTGTGCTAGAAATCTAGTCAACTTTTCGAAGGATAAGGATAAGGATAAGGATAAGGATATGGATAAAGCAATATCTTTGTTAAAATGCTGACTTCATTTCAAGCTGAGATAACGGACAACGAAAGAATTTTAATCAATTTGGCAGATTCTAGTTTCATGAACTTATTCAAATTGTTTAAAGATTTGGTACATCTCAAATAACTTTTACATATGGAGAAAGATCAGAGAAATTAATCAAAAAAGCGTTAATTGTCGTATATTTCATCAAGAAAATTCTCTATTAATAAAAGTAATACTAATACTAAATCAAAGTAATAAATCCAATAAAGTTGTAAAGCAAAAAGAAGAAGTGGACCCCAATATAATAAAAATAAATAGCAAAAGTAAACACCCATCATAAAAAAATCATTGTTTTTTATTTTGTTCTAATCACCATGTTTAAAACAACATCTATTTCCATATCTACAACTACCATATTTAGACCAATTTGAACAAGGTTTAGATCTCCATTTTGGAGGTCTTTCAATATATTTTAATTCTTGTTCTCCATGAGCAAATTGACATTTTAATCCATATGGACAAACTCCCATTCTCATATAAGCTTGACATAATTCTGTTTTATAAAGTTGAGTGTTTACTGGTTTTAGTTTAGCGTCTTGTTGTTGTTGTTGTTGTTGGAAGTGTTGCTGTTGCTGTTGTTGTTGGAGTTGTAAATTATCATCATATTGATTATATTCAATAATAGATGTTTTTCTTGATTGAATTTCTTCGTCTAATAAATATATTTGTTGCAATGTAGTTGAATTAGTAAATGGATCTGGTGATTGTAATTGATAATTAGTTTGTTGTTCTTGTTTCCATCCAACTTGTTGTAATTGTTGTTGTTGAAGAGATAACTGTGGCTGATTCCATAGACTTGAATTTAATTCTTGATGTTGAGAGTAAAGATTTTGTGAAGGCAGTAATGGCAGTTGAGTAGAATTAAAATTATTTGGTGATTGTAAAAATGGTTGGAATGTTTGAGTAGTAGGAGATGAATATTGTAAATTTATAGGAGAAAATTGCTGTTGTTTAAATTGTTGATTATGTTGGTGATTATGAAGAAAATTGTCATTGTTAGGTAATTGTTTTATAGTTGGAGGGGATTGAGGTTGAGATAAATAGTTTTCTAATGCGAAAGAAGTTTGAGAAAGTGGTTGTTGTGGTTGTTGAATTTGTTGTGATTGATTATGTTGAATATTAATGTCTTGTTTAATAGTTAAATAATCTAAAGAATCTGATGATGAATAGCTTTCATTTGATGAAGTTTGCCATAATTCTGGTAATAAATCATTTTTATTAAAGTCTATTAATGAATTTGAATTTGAAGTTGATGATGAAATTGAAGAAATTGATGAAGTTGTAAATTTTGAATCTTTTTTTAATTTATTAGTTGGAGTAATTGTAGATGAATTTAAATAATTTAAAAACAAATCATTGTTTTGATGTTTATTGTTTAATTTGTTTGAATTTGGATTTAGTTCTTCTTCTTCAAAAAATTCTTTCAAATTACTTGTAAACATCTTGAATTGATGGAATTTGATACTTTAAAAAAATAATTTAGTTTGGTATTTGAATAAATTTAAGTCTAACTGATAATTTATATAAATATATATGAGTTCTAATTTGAATTATGATTGAAATATGAAATGATATTTATGAAATTTAAAAGAAAGAACTATTCAATTATATAAAATTTATATTATTATGATATGTTGAAAAAATGAAAAGAAGCTTTTATATAAATTTAAATACTTAAGTTTCAAAATTTAAAAAAATAAAAAAATAAAAAAAAAAAAAAAATAAAAAAAAAAACCACACAAATTCAAAACGGCACAGAAGAAGATTGTAAAGTCAAAAATCTTCCCCTCCTTCAATTTGACTATGTTACCAAACATTGAATGACTTCTCATAGAGTTTACTCTAATCGAAATGAAAAGAGTTGATCATTAGAGGGGAATCTTTTTTTTGAGTATTTCTACCTGTACCCCCTTTCTTTTTCTACTTCTCAAGACTTAACCTTAGTATTCAAAACATAAGCTTAAATATTTTAAACCGAGAATTTTCTAAGAAGAATCAATTCCGATATTGTAATAGCAGTTACAGAATCAAATCAATTTAATCAATCACAGAACGGTTGTTATATACAGGATTTAATATTTGCAAAACAAAAGTTTTTATCTATTTGATCAGTAAACTTTAATTTATTCATAGTAATTAAAATCAACTTTAAACCAATAATGAAATAGTTACCAACATTTCAGGTTTTTTGAAATTTCGGTTTCATATATCTTTACATGAATACCACTAACCCCAGTTTTTATTCAATACTTTTTAAGAGCTGTAAAAGTTTTAGATATTCAGCTATAAATACTATTGTCAGCTCAATTTTTGAAACAATTTATAAACGAGAATATCAATATAAAATTTTAATTTTGGTATCAATGTACAAAAGTTTTTGGAAAAATTTAAAAGCAAGAGCATCGCAGAGTAAGGTGTAACGGAACTGAAAGACCGTTAGATATGTTTATAAAGTAATACTCTAAATTTTAATCCGTAACCATTAAATTCATAAAAAGTTATATAATTTGTTCTAAATTGAAATATTTTAATTAAGAGTTGTGCGGCGTTGAAATTTAATTATATCAATTTCGATTATCGGATTATTGATAAAATTTAATTTAATTGATTTCTAACAACCTATTTTCTTTTTTGTATTTTGATTAAAAAGAATACCAATCCAAATACTCCTTTCATTAATAAAAAAACTTATATCTCAAGTTTGGTCTGACTCTTAAGTGAAATTATTTGAAACTGGAGATATTCTGCATAGATCTCTCAAAAATTTGAAAGAACTCAGTGGTTAAATTGACAGCTCAAGATTCTCTCAAATTCTTTTCAAGCAAATTAGCTGAACTTGATTATTTATAGTTGGAAAATTAGTTTGATCAAAAATGGCTTATCGTTTGGTAGGTCTATACTAAAGTTTATGTGATGCTTGATACACTTTGAATTTATTGACTTTGAGGTTTTAATTTTTACTCCTGCTATAAGACAGATAAACTTTGCCAACGTCTTTTGGTCAGATTGCAATTAATTAGGATTGTAAAGATAAACTTTTTGCACAGGATCAGTAACTTGTAATAAATCTGCTTTTTCCATGTTTGGTTATACTACTTCTTACATAATGACATGGAATTGTACTAGGCTTTTCATAACCGCTGCTCTAACGCACTTCGTTAGTTCTATTTCTTTTTTACATCTTGGAACAACTCCACCAAAGTTTGCACCTTGATATCAGTTGAAAAATGAAAAATCAATCAATACAACGAAGAAAAATAAAATGGCTGCGAATTTTCCAAATTATTTTATTAGTATTGAGGTGCTCGTGACAATGTACCTCTAAATCGTGATGTATAAAACAACTGTGTATATTGTATTCAAGTTGAGTTTGGCCTATATAGGACAACATCATTTAACAAACTGTAGTATTTTCCTTACTTTTCATTGATTATTACATTTGTAACTCTAGTTTATGATTTTCGTGTGTTTATCAATCCTAGTACAAAACACAGACGCTGCTTAATAAAAAAGGATATTTTATGGAGAAAAGGAATAAAAAGATCTGAGCAAAACACTTGGATTGCAGTAGTAAGTAATCATCATAGTTCTGATGAATAGGATAGTTCTTCCACCACGACTGCTTGAAAAATTAGAAATCATGCTTCAAAAATTACATTATAAATTACTATACACTTATCTCCATTAAAATTTAGTTGCACAAAATCAAAATAAAATAAAATTAAAAACATTGAGAAAAGTAAACAAGTAAATTTTAAAAAGGCAACACAATTAATGAAGAATCTTAATATATGATCAAATCCAACAATCTACAAGAACAACTAGATTGGGCACGAAGTAATAAACCACATCTACCAAAACCTGATTTGTTGAGTAAGGTTTTAAAAAAGTACCCTGCTTTTACTCCAAATGTTCAAACATCCATATCATCAACATCATCATCATCATCAACATCCAATATAGGTAATACAAATGGAACACAAGATTCTAGAATGAGACAGACATCTGTATCTCAAGTTGGAAATTTATTAGTCACAACATATTCTCCTGATTCAAACAAAGAAAATGTACCACCTGCATCATCAACAACGAGAACAACATCAAATACTAATATTGACGCGTCATTTACTTCAACTCAGTCAACTTCAAGCAATAAAAGCAATCAAAGCAACAAAAACAATAAAAAGAAATCACAATCAGTACTACCTTTAGTTTCAAGATTTTTTAATCCTTCAGCACCTTCATCTCGTACACCACTTAATACACAATCAGAAGAAGTTATTGATTTAACTTTTGATCCAAGTCCTAAAAAAAAACGACCGTCAGAAGAATTAAATGGAACTACTAATAAAAGAGTAAAATTGAATAATGAATCTTCTAAATATAAAGAATTAATAAGTCTTCAAGATACAAAAATTAACTTGTTGGAAGAAAAATTTATAACAAGTGAATCAACATCAATTTCATTGGATCAGAAAAAAGAAATTTATAAAGAATTACAAAACAAAGTTGATGAGTTAAACAAAAAGATCAAAGAAATTAAAGATAAAGTTCAAGCAGATGATGAACAGGAAGAATTTATTATACATGAATCAGCAATGATGACAGATGTTATAGAAGATTCAGTTGCAGAAGCAGAAACTCAACAACAACATGAAGTTTTTAGAGCACCTGCAAGACCTGCTCGTATAGCTGAAGCAAGACAAATACTTGAACAAGATACACTGATACTTGAAGGAGAAGATAATTTTGGTGATCATACAATGGATGGATTAAAAACTCCAACTCAAGATCGTGATGATTATGATGATATGGGAAGTTTTATTGATGATGATGAAGGTCCAGTGATTGAAAATTCAGAAGATGAATTTGAACTGATTGTGGGAACTCAAACTATTCATAGAGTTGATAGAGATGAATTGGATAATATTAGATTATCACCAGATGTTGCAGAAAAATATGGAATAAGGTATGATGATAATAATAATGAGGATCATGAATATGTTGGTAATGATTCATATGTTGAAGATCAATTAGCAATGAGTAGTGATGATGATGGTAATGAAGAAGAAGAATTTGATGAAGTTGAAGAAGTTGATTTTTCCACACAATTAAATCAAGAAAGAGAAATTGATATCATTCTGATTGATTCTGATGAAGATAATGATGAGGTTAATAATGAAGAAGATGATGTCGAAGCAACTACTATTACTGATAGACCTAATATTAATGTCAACACTTCCACATCAATAGCTGAATCAATAAATGCAACTTCTGCATCAATGATCTCAAAACAAACTAATCAACCACAATCAATTTTACCACCATTACTTAGTATTGATACAGATGATGAATTTAGTGAGGAGGATGAAGATTTATTACATCTTATTAATGCGACAAAAGAAAGAGTTACTCCACCTGGTTCAGAATCTTTCATTAATGAAATCTATAAGGTATTAAATACTGTTTTTAAATTACAAACATTTCGTCCAAATCAATTGGAAGCTATAGTTGCATCGTTATTAAACAAAGATGTTTTTGTTTTAATGCCTACTGGTGGTGGTAAATCATTATGTTATCAATTGTCTGCATTAATTAAAGGAGGTTTGAATAAAGGTACTACTGTAGTTATATCTCCATTAATATCATTGATGCAAGATCAAGTTCAACATTTAATTCATAAAAATGTCAAGGCTGGTATGATTAGTTCAAAAGCAAGTAATGATGAAAATAAACAAACAATTAATTTATTTAAAGAAGGATTATTAGACATAGTTTATTTATCACCTGAAAAAGTTAACAGATCATCACAAATACAAAAAATTATAGGAAATTTATATGATAATAATAAGTTGGCAAGAGTAGTTATTGATGAAGCACATTGTCTAAGTTCTTGGGGACATGATTTTCGTCCAGATTATAAAGATTTATGTTTTTTTAAAGAAAAATTTCCTAATGCACCAATAATGGCTTTAACTGCAACTGCTAATGAAAGAGTTCGAATGGATATAATTCATCATTTAAAAATGAAAAATCCTGTTACTTTTAAACAAAGTTTTAATAGAACTAATTTATTTTATGAAGTTAGATGGAAAGCAAATGATCATTTACAAAATATTTTTGATTATATTCAACAACGTCATAAAAACAAATGTGGTATAATTTATTGTCATTCAAAAGTTTCATGTGAACAAACAAGTAGTAAATTAAATCAATTAGGTTTAAAAACATCTTTTTATCATGCAGGCATGACTCCAGAGGATCGTTTAAGAATACAAACTGATTGGCAAAAAAACAAACTTCAATTAATATGTGCAACTGTTGCATTTGGTATGGGTATTGATAAACCTGATGTTAGATTTGTTATACATTTGACTATTCCAAGAAGTTTAGAAGGTTATTATCAAGAAACGGGTAGAGCTGGTAGGGATGGTAAACCATCTGAATGTATAATGTATTTTAATTATAGAGATGGTAGATCGTTAATTTCAACAATTAAAAAGGATAGGGATCTAACATATGAAGGAAAACAAAATCATTTAGAAAAATTAGGTCAAGTTCTACTGTTTTGTGATAATAAAGTTGATTGTAGAAGAAAAATTGTTTTACAATATTTTAATGAAACTTTTAATTCAATAAATTGTAATAAACAATGTGATAATTGTAAAAATTTCAATCATGTTACAAGTACTTCAAAAGATTGTACAGAACATTCAAAAGATATAGTTAGATTAGTTCAATCAATTCAAGATGAGAAAGTAACTGTTGTTCATTGTCAAGATATGTTTAAAGGTTTGAAAGGTGGTAAAATTGGTAAAATGGGTCATCAAAATAATCCTTATCATGGTAAAGGTAAAAATCTTGATAAATCAGAGATTGAAAGAATATTTTTTAATTTAATTGGTGAAGGTTATTTAGAAGAATATCAAGTAATGAGAGGAGGATTTGCATCGAATTATGTTAAAACAACTAGAAAATCATCTAGATTATTGAATGGTCAATTGAGAATTCAAATAGTATTTTGAATGTTGTTTATTTTTTTGTTGACTTTATTCTTTTTGGAAAACATAGATAAAAGCTAAATTTGAAGCATGAGTAACTAGAAGATTACCTAATGTAAAGATCGATTCCGAATTAAAAATCAAAAGTGTTAAAAAAAAAATTGGAATGGAACTATTATATTATTTGACCGATTTTTATAGACTAAAATAAATAAATTGTAAATTGCATTGTTATTATATTAGTCATTATTGAAACAAGGAGAAATTGATACCATAATTAGTTGTGACTCATCACTAATCTATGCAATACAGAAGACTTCTCTATCAATTATTCGCTTTTTTCTTCTGATGTTAAAATATATATTTGTTGGCTCTTGTTCAATAATGATGAAAGATACTCATACGGCGATGAATAAAGTTGGTACAACCTAAGATAAGCTTTTTACTGATTGATTTGTTGTCCAACCTGTTAAATATCACCTACGTATTAAGTTTAAGATTATTATAAATTACTACTCCTTTGGATCTCATATGTTGTGTGTGACTAATTTCCATTCAAAAGTCTAAAATTAAAAATTAATTTATTTAGTGTCTTTAACTTCAACATTGTTATTATATAAAACCTGTCAAGTATCTAATGTCAACTAATATACATCCAAATGAGATTCCACAAAAGTCTAACACTAATTAGTGGTTCTAATCCTACATTCAAATGTTAAAGTCCAACAGTCCATTCAACGTTGTTTCGATTATATTAATCATCACTTACGCAATCAATGCAGTATCCGCTTGGGAAGCGGATTATTATGCTGGGGTTCATAATAACGGTACAATCCTTAATCAAGAACTAGAAGCTTTCTATAATTGCACTAAAAAATACTTAAATAGTAGTTTGGTTGTTGTGATTGGTGAAAAGAATGTGGTCGATGTATCTTATGACATATGTGTATCTACAAATTTAGATGATGAGACAATTTATTCGTTAAGGCAATGTTTGAGAAATACTGGGATTACTTTTATTCTTTACACCAATCCAACTTTAGTGGAAGAGAATTCTGAATCAAGAAGATATTTATATAGGGGCGAACCTATTGAATTTGAATTGGAGGAGCCAAGTTTGACTAGCTATTACGATTTTATAGGTGAAGACCATTATGTGAATGAAGGATGGCTGGAACCCACCATGTCACTTACCAAACAAACCAAGTACAACTGGATTACTAAATTTTTTCAATTCACTTTGTTTAAGATCAATTACAAATTATTATATACATAAATTAGAATGCATAATCGTTTATCTTCATTTTTGAACCTTTTCTGTCTTAGCAATATGCCAGACTCTGATGTGCTAGAGAATGTGGAAAAACTTTGCCCAACTTTCAATTATTTTTTTGTTTATCCTTTATTTATTAATGATCATTTACAACTATTTACTACCCATAATCAATAATGAAAGTCATCTAAGCAAATTAGAACACAAGCTACTAGGGCCGTAATTGGACATTCTAGTAAATATCTTCTATCTTAATCGGAAATACGGTACCATTTACTATTGAAAGCAATTCCAACGTCTAATTTCATTAGTAGTTCATTATCAATATGATTTTTGTCTATTGTCAAAATTTCTATCCACTCGAAGATAGTGTTATTGCTAATAAATTAACGTTTGTAGACAAATGTTTTGAGTCCATTCATTTCAAACGCCTTAGTGACTGGCTTTGACATTAGTAATACGCTAGGATCTGTAATAAAGATAGTTGGGTATTTGATAATGGAAAACAATGGTTAAAGGATTAAAATGTTTCCAATTTTGTTGTTGTCATAAATTTTATTCGGTAGGAAATGAAATTTGTCGTCAACAATATGCTTCTTGACAGATAGTCACTTATATGTGTAGAATGAAGGATTCTTACTAACTTCGTTTCTACAATGAGGTGAAATGTGAAATTTGAAAGTGCATTGTAACGACTTTCATTGATTTCAAATATCAATTACTTCAGCAAAAGTATACAACGATAAATTATTTATAGGTACATCCTGAGATCATAACCTTTATTAACTACTAACGATTAAAATGATAAATTCTACAAGACTCCAAAAATTTCTCATGTCCCAACAAAACTTTTAAAGTACGATTGTCAATTTGTGATGTATCGAAAAGGTCCATGCCATAAAGTTCTTCGATTGAATATTCGGTTTTCAAAATTATATCTAGCTTTCTTAAATTTTTATTATCTTGCTCATGCGAAGTTAACGTTCCCTTTTCAATCGAGATAATTTTATTTTTGAAAAAGTACGATGGCCACTGACAAGATATAATTTTAAAATAATCTGGACTGTATAATCGCAAATTCTCAGAATTAAAAAATATAGCATCAGAAGACAGACTCATAAATCGTGGCCACCAACATACTTTTAAGGCTGGGTTCTCTAGATAAAGTTTGGCAATTTCAGTGGCATACTCATCGTTAGCAATATCAGTACATAGTATCAATTTGTGTAAGTTTTTTATTGTAATTGAATCCAAATCTAAAGAATGTGAAAATAAAACTAAATTTCTCAAATTTGATAAGTTGGCATTGGTTAATATTTCATTGAACTCGAATTTTTGACAAAACAATTCATCTCCGTGAGATCTACTGCTATTATTGTAATTTAATGATAATGAATTTATTTCATCTGTATCAAAAAAATTCTTCAAAGTAAACAACCATTTTTTAGGTTCTGGCTTAGGTGGTTTCCAGCCTCTATTCCAAGTGTCTTCTAAAGATCTGATTTTACCCCAGAAGACCAAATCAAGTTTTTTCAATTTGCATTTTATTTTGTTCAATTTTGCAAGCAACAGTGAATCTGTTAAATCAATAAGAGACTCGAATTTTAAATGTAATTCTTCAAGGTTTTTGAATAAGTTGACCTTGTTGAACAATTCGATACTTTCTGATAAATTCTCTTCATCCTCATACTCTCTTACGTTTGATCCCGAAAATAAAAACTTCAAACTTTTGAGATTATCATACAAGAAATCAAATGACCCTTGATTATTTTTTTCCAAAAACAATGTATGTCCATAAAAGCCGGGAATATAATTTGGAATCAAAAAATCTAAACTTTTCAATACATCGTTAAAACAATTTTCGTTGTTCATATTAATTTGATTGTTTAAAAAAGCAAAACTAACATAATCTATATGTTTAAAATATCTAAAAGCTTCCTTCAAGAGAGCTGGCACCTTTTTTCTATCTTTATATGACATGTATCCAGTATATTCCACAGGGTGAACTTTTTCAATACTGAGATGTTGAATGTGTTGATTTCTGATCATTTTTTTTCTAATGATGTTACGATAAAAATTGTATGATGAAATGACGGTAAACTTTTTGGTAAAGTCATTCAAAATGTCTTTATGGGCTCTCCACTCGTAGCCTTCTATGTGTGTTTCACCATTTGTTTCACGACGGCTAGTTTCTATTAGTTTATCTTTGTGGTAAATATGGATATTTTTGTATAACTTTTTTTTGCCAATCTCATAAAATTTGGAATGCAATGGCATCAAGGACAAAGCCATGTGATGATTTATTTGTTGAAATATAATCTCCAAAACTTCAATTGAAAAATATATTAATTTCTCCATGTCTTGATAATATTCAAATTGTTGGTACAACGAGATGGCCTGAATGATATATTTTATTACTCCGTGAATTTAGTTTGACTTTGTGAAAAAAAAGACTCCTGAAAAAATTAGGAAAGTTTACCGAATAATATGTTCACCCATCAAGTTTTAAAACAACGTTTTTGTGTAAATCATAGAATTACGGTGATGTAGAAAATAAATGAAATCCAGCAAAATAAAATCTACTAAAATAAAATTGAGGTAGACGGTCATTCAAGGAACATAACTCCCTTAATCGGGATCTATGTCTTGTGTTTTTGTTTTTATGAATTCATTCAATACTTTCAAAATTCAAGTATTTCCACATACTATTAAATATCAGCAATTATCAGACTAGAAGCTATATGGGAGATGTTAAAAGGAGATAGAAATAGTGATCGATGGTTTTCAAATTTATCAATCTTTTGTAAAAAGATTCCCTTAATTATAAACTCATTCCTCATTATTGTGATAATTCTTTCGCTGACTTAATATTATTTTTTATGTATTCAAGTACCTTTCTATCCAATTTGTGTTTTTTCACTTATCTGGACGATCCTATTTTCATATCATTCATTTTTATACTTCAATTCTTGTATTTAAAAGATTTTCAACACTTCGATTAAAGTCCAGCTTATAATGTAGGACAAAGTCTTGCCATCTTGAGTAAATAGCAAGTCTTTTGATGTAATTTTTCTCTCTACGTTGTTTTCTCATACTTTCAATTCTAGCAGACGCTCTGTCGTACAGTAAGGTTATTTTCCTTAAGTGCAGGACTGCGCAGTAATTTGTACCACCGTACTACTGTGCTATACTTATGATAGAAGTGCCTTCTTCGTATAAAATGGTTTCACTAATAATCTAGACCGCTGATGTCTATATTTTAAGTGAAAGTGATGAATTGATGGAGATTCTGGTTGTGCTTACTCGTGAGTGAGTAAATCAACACCTTGATTCACTTGAGATGAAATAGTAGTTATTGAACACGAATTGAACCTAATATATTCTTACTTTTTATAAAATCTATATAACATAAATTACTAAGAATTTCATTCTTATATATATTTCAATCTCTGTAATTATTACTCCTAATAATTACACTTAAAATTAATAATAATAATCTGCTGTCACAAATCACTAAACACTGACAATTAACTTAAGACAATACACACTAATTTCTAAAGAAATCATTGTCTATATGACACGCTCATGAAACAATTTTGTGCGATTTCATTCTGTTAGCTGACGCTCATAATTAAGCTTGAATAGTCGCGTGGAGTGTAAATCACATAAAAAAAATTTAATTTTTTGCGCAAAAATTTTTTAATTTTTGAGATTTTTTATTCTCAGTTCCCAAAAGGGAAACTTTTGCCCACAGTCAATTTTTATATGGTAGCCCAGATTTTTTGTTAAAATTATTTTTATTTTTTTTCAAAACATAAACAAAAAAAAAGTAAACAACTATTCTTCACCAAAAAACAGCTCAATCATGGATCAACAATTCAATTACACAATGATGTAGGTATTTACTATTGATGCTTTAGCTTTAGGACCAAGAAATAAGACATGGGATGTATGAGGTACGGATGGGATGGGATGTCTGGAGAATGGTGTTTATAATATCAGTGATAATGATGATGATGATTCATTTTTGAGTAGTTCTGATAGACACGAATAGTTAGCATCAGCTCTCAATGATCAACCTGACCCAACAAGAATGGAGGAGTATGATAGAAGATGTGAATGGAAAAGACATTGTTTGCTTGAATGGAAAAGAGATCGTTGTCATACGCTTCAGGGATTACAGCTGTATATAGAAAGGGCAGAAGGACCAGAATACTCTAGACAAGTTCTAGATAGAGCATAACTGTCCAATATACATTAAAATCGTTGTATAATTAATGTAAATTTATTAAATTTTAAGTTCAGTCTTAACGAAAAATAAATGAAAAAGACTTAACAATTTTAACTTTTTTTTCAATGTGAACTATTTCCTAAATGGGAATGAAATTTTCATTTTTTCCAGGATTCAAAAACGCGCAAAAATTGGAAAATCGGGAAAATTTTATTAGATTTTCACGCCACGCTGAATAGTCTATTATAGTCAAAAAGTCAACCTAGATCTACTTCATACCGGTTGAACCCTTGAATCACACTCACTTCACTACTTACCCTTTGTTCATGGAAATAGTTTTTTAAATTTGGTTACGGGATCTAGTTATGAAAACATCATTAACAATCTACATGATTAGAATTACACTATTTTACATTTGATTATGGAAAGACACTTTATTAAATTAGGTTATGGAGCTTCGTTATGGAGCAACACAATTCTGTATCTGATTCTTGAATTTCATTATAGAAGCTAGTTATGGTAACTAGTTAGGGATTTTGTTATGAAATTAATTACGGATTTAGTTATGGAAATGGAATAGGAACGGTTTATGGAGAAATAATTATTTGAGATTAAATGTGGAACTAAGTACAGAATTATTTATGTGAATAATAATGTAGTAGGCAATGAGACTCCTTATGAAACAGGACTTACTTAGTTAAAGAATTAGTTATGTAAGTTGTGATACAGTAAGTTGTTTATTCGGTTATGGATATATTAGTTATGGAATTAGTTATTATGAACTTGGTTATGGCGTTCGTAATGGAGCAGTACTTCTTATAATTCGCTTTAAAAGCAGTTATAAAATCTAGTAGTGGAACCCAGGATTTTAAATTGAAGTATATAACTTGTATATTTATTTAATTTTGTCTATGGGAAAAGTTTTGGAAATCAGTTCTTAATAAGTTATTAAATGATTTAGTTCTTAATTTAGTTATCGAATTAGTTAATGAATTAGCTATTGATCTGATATAAAACTTGTTTATAGACTTATTTATGCAACTTGGTATTAGAATTTAGTTATTAATTTAGTTGCTAATTTAGTTATTAGGTAATTAGTTCTTGATTTAGTAGTTTTAAAGAAAAAAAGGATCTTTGATTATATAAATTTTTTTGTATTGTAGTTGAGTTGTTAAATTTAATAAGAGATATTTCTGATTAACTACTGTTGTTTGGATTTAGTCCTGTATATTAGAAAGAGACTGAGAACTGGAATTTATAGATGATAACTAAAGAAGAGATTAAATTATTTTATCAAAAAGAGAATACTGGAATATGTTTATTCTGTTTACTAGGTGTTTACGTTAGAGTTATTCACAATTGTGGAAGACCTTATTTTAGTTTTTCTGATATTTTATTTAATTTGTTAGCAATTTGTTTTAAAATTTAACGAAAATAAAAATTAATAAGTCTAAGTCGTTGATATCTACTATGATTAATTTTTTGTTGAAAGTAGGCTAGAATTAGTAGTTGATGATAGGAAACGGACTAAGCTGATGAAAGTAAATTTACCTGTAGACTTTGATGTTAGGTTGAAAAAGGAAAAGTTCGTAATTAGAATAATTACCCTAATGATTATTAAGAATAACAGGATGATGGTACTAGTAAGAAAAAATGGGCTGAATATGAGTCTTAGAATGAATGGGATACTTGATTTCGAAGATTAAGGAAATGAAACTATTTGATTGTGGTGTTATTAGGTTTATGAGTATAGAAGTTAATGAAAGCTATTCTTTTAATAATTGGTAGGATAAGTGGAAGAGAAATTATTAATGAAAGGTAAATTATAATTAATAGTCTTGATAGAGAGTGAGGGCTAATTTGATACAGGTTAGGTTACTTGAGAAATATTTAATTTTTGAATTGAAGATGAATAGATTGTTGAAGAGAAGTTGATGATGGTAGTTCTCCCGATAATTATAAAATATATCGATTCTTGAAGATAATTTAAGAATTCTTACTAATAAATAGTAGGTTGGATCTAGGAGTTTCTGTGAGAGAAAGAAGATTAGGTCAGTAAAAGTTGAGTTACCTGAAAAGTTTTTTGTTAAGTTGAATTAGAAAAAAGTGTTGAAATAAAAGTTTATCGAATCTACTTTAGTAATTATTAAAAAAAACTAGAGTAAAATTACTAGTAAGAAAAGCAGGGTTGAATGTAAAATGCCGAGAAAGACTAAAATACCTGAAATATGAAGGTTACTGGCTTGAAAGTATTTGATTGATGTTATTAGGTAAAAGTCTTTTGAGAAAATAAAAATTGATGTAAGTTAATCTTTTGATAACTGTTAAAATAATTGAAAATGTACTTTCTAATGTGAAGTAGGTTAGGATTAGATGTTCTTGAAAGAGGGGAATAGGTTAAAGGTTAAATCACTAGAAAAGTACTTTATCTTATTGCGAAGTTGAGTAAGAAATAGACTGTTGAAAAGATAAAAGTATACGGTGGTAATTCTCCTAATATTATTAAGTAATGGGTAAAGTGTAATTGAATGTGAGAATTTTGAGGGGAATGAGATAGATCTACTCGACTAAGAAGTAATGAATTTGAAAGTACTTGATTGGGGTTGAATTATAGATAATCGGTGTAGATTTACCTTCTCTGAGACTACTTAATCTGTAGTTGGAACGTAAATATTCTAGTAAAGGACTGACGTTTTGTTGCGATGAGTAAGACTATTCCCTGTGATTGTTGACTTAAGTAGTTGATTGTGTTAGTTGACTTTGAGAACTTACTTTGTTTGATACTTTACCGTGTTAATTGACTCACGTTAGCCTTGTTAGTTGTTAATAGTTACTTTCCTAGTTGATAGATTACTTACTTAGTTTGATCCGAAAGTTGATTTTGATAGTTTTCTCTAATACTTTACCTTGATGGTTGACCTTAATAGTTGACTTCTGTTGATAGTTGACTCTGCTAATTGACTTTATTGGTTTACGTCGATGGTGTACTTTAATTTACTTTTGTTGAACTTGGCAGTTGATTTAAATAGGTGAAACTTTCGTTTGATAGTTGAGTTGGTCGATTGACTTTAATTGTTGACTTTAAGTGCTGATCTTGATAGGGGATAGCCTAATTAGTTGGTTTAAT